TTAATACAGTAGAATTTTTTTGCATTTCCTTACTAAATGTAAATCTTCTTCTTCTTTGGTTCGACATTGCGCTTGGAGCATATTACCATATATATGACTGAAATAATTAAATTTAGAAGTAAGAATTTGAATTAAACAATAGGAAAAGCTATTATCATTGTGAAAACAATAGGGGGAGATGATCTCAAAATAGGGGGGGGGGGAGCTCAAGAAATGAGGGGTAAAGAACTCCAAAAATTAATCCCCCCCTGTCCTTGTAATTATCTCCTAGAATTTGAATTAAACAATAGGAAAAGCTATTATCATTGTGAAAACAATAGGGGGAGATGACCTCAAAATAGGGGGGAGGTGGGCGGAGCACACCCAATGAACGGTACACGTGACCTCAACAGCTAATCACCACCTGTCGCTGTAATTATCTCCCAGAATTTGAATTTAACAATAGAAAAAGCTATTATCATTATGAAAACAATAGGGGGAGATGACCTCAAAATAGGGGGGAGGGGGCGGAGCTAACGCAATGAACGGTACACGTGATAATCACGGCGATGCAATACACTCGGCCCCGCCCCCCTCCCTAATATACAACAATGGTTCGCATTATATGGAAAAAGTGTCGAAAAATAGGGCCTAGCGTGTGTTTTGGGCTCAATCTCAGTTTAGACTTCCAGAAACCCTTATTTAGTTGCTTAAAAATAGGAAACAATCGAGATTATTGATTAATACAGTAGCAAAAAAAGAAAAACATTGCAAAAACTCGAACCGGCGACTTTCAGCGCTGTTCAAACGCCATGGCTATATTGTGGCTGACATTCTACCCATTTTGGACCCATCGCGTACACTTACCCACTTTGAAGCCACCGCAGAGTCACCGCGTTTTACCTGTGTCTGAGTGGGAGCAGTTCGGGCGCAAGTCGGCTCCCATGCGGGCGTCATATGGGAGCAATTAAGCGTCGTAACTGCTCCCGTATTACGCCCGATATGGTGCAACCAAGTGCCCGAACGGGAGCAGCCACAATTACTACTGGCCCAGTTCGGGTGCAAATCGGCCACGAATCGCACCCAAATTTGCTTGCCCCGTTCCTTTGCCTTCCCCCGATTTAGTCTAGTCATTTTCTTTTTATTTTAGCTGCTCAATATTAGAACATTTCATTAATATACCATTTATTCGAATATACACTAAACATAAGACAAGCATACATAAAATTTAAGCAACATAAGATTTGAAACAGTTATGAATGAAAATATCAAAGGAATATGCAAGTGATATACATAGATAAAAGTAGAATGCAGTGCGTTGTAGAATTATAAGACCTCCCCCGAATTTGAGCGCCGCGCAATGATTTCGATATTTTGAGACAGACCAGTGTTAAAATCGTGTTCGGCATGAAAAATAACCTATACGTACCAAATTTCATGTTAGTATCTTCAAAAGTAACCGCGTAGTGGTCAAAAATCGTTTTTTCGAGCGGTGCAGAATTATAAAGCCACCCCCCCCCCATGAAACGGACTTTTTCGCATTTTTTTACTGTCACGGGACCAATATGCATAAAAATCGTTGGGTGGCTTTGAGAACCTACAGTCTTCCATATTTTTCTTTTTTGAATCATTTTGATGTGCCACGTGGTCGCTGTCTTAGTGCTTCTGAGAATTCTCAGATTCTCGCATTCAAAACTGCAAGATGGTGGAACCGTCGGGTTGCGAAGTTTTTATATGGTCCGAAAACATTTGTAGACATCTTTGTGAAGTATCCAACTCGTGTCAACATGTTCTTGACTGACTAGCATGTTCTCCTTTTGGAGTAACATGGAGAACGTTTGGGGAGAGTTAGAACGCCGTCTCTATGGCCAAAGAAGGAATTTCGGGGTAGTTGGAGAGCTCAAAACCGAAATCGTAGTCGAGTGGAAGATGTTAGAGCAGAAATTCTAATATAAATCGGCCTAATACGTTTAAAACCTCAAATCTGTGCCTGGCCTCTATGCCTATGTTTCTGGCATTATTACCTCGAATGGAGATGCCACCAAACATTAAACTAATGTTATCTTTGAGTTTATAACTTGTTTCATGGGGGTGGCTTTATAATTCTGCACCGCTCGAAAAACGGTTTTGGACCAATACGCGGTTTCCAGTGTGTTTGGTTGTAAATCGCGGTCGGCTAAACATGCGAACTTGAAATTTTGGCCTTGGTGAAACACCAAAACCTTATGGTACGAAAACCTTAACTGTAAAAAATCGTTTTTTACATACGATTGTTTGCGATTAATGTATTAATCCTCTTTTATACGTGCGAACATTTTCAAAATATGTTAACTATGCTAGTTTTCAAAACCCTACTAGTTTTCGATTTAACTACTGAATTTTATCAATTTAAAAAAATTCCCGAGAAAGTTTTGTGACAATTTGGTACATATAGGTCAATTTTCATTCTGAACATGATTTTCAAACTTTCGATATTTTTCACACAAAATATCGAAATCATTGCGGGCCGCTCTACTTCGGGGGTGGCCTTATAATTCTGTAACGCACTGTATACGTTGCAGATGAAGGGGTTTTACACTGCTAGTAAAATATGATGTGGTTAAATTCGAAGTTGAGCCACCCGAATTTCAAGTGATCTTCCAAAATGAGACGAAGTTCAATTGTGATGGTCCTGACCGCTGCTACTGGAATAATCTTAGAAACCCGCCTATTCGATTCTCGCGGAGAAATTTCAAAGAATTTGGTGTCATGGTATTGGCATCAATCAGTTCGATGCCTCGCATGAAGCTGTGCGTCGTCGCAAAAAACATGAGCGGCTCGGACTATCAATATTTGTTGCGCTGTGAGTTTCTGTCCTTATGGTGGCGACACAGTCATAGAATGAATGTGTATCGCAAAATGGCGCCCCAATTCATCGGAAACGCCGCACTATCGCGTGAACAACAACTGATTGACAATCCCCATTTATCGATCGACACTTATTCTTCCAAGTAGCACGCAATCATCAAATTTTGTTTAATGACTCAGTAAGTGGAAATCTAATATGGGATACTAAAAAGAATCCTTTTTAGCCATATTTTAACAATATAAGCATTTTTTGAAATTTCGTGAAAATATAATTCTTTTAAAATATGGGTGAGGCTAAACTTTTGTGGACCAGTGAATAATAAAAGTTGGCAATCAATTACATTAATTATTAAAAAATTGAATCGAGGAGTGAGAGGGCGAGGGGTGTTCGGGGAAACTTACAAGACGAAGTTGCAAGAAAGGGCTCCGTGCCTCTTCACCTTCAAATATCCTCGACGGTTGTAGCAGTCGTCGCGCCCTCTTTTGTCAATTTCGTTATGACTTGGTGTAATTGCTCATCTCGCGGGGAGTGCTTGTAATCATGAAATGACACGTGAAAATTGAAATCCTCCTGAAAATCGAGCATGTGAACAAAATTTTATCATGAATTCCTCACCTCTTCAAAAGATGTGAGGAATTTTGAATGATATACGTTATAATTTTGAATAAATATATAAGCGATTGAGCAGATGGTGCATAGACGAGATGGCTGACATCCGAGTTGGCGATGAGCACATTAATCCAAACCTGCAAAAAAAACAATTCTTTGTTGAGAAATTAAGAATGTTTTTCTTAACGTCGTAGGTAAAGAAGCTCCCTCAACCAATGCAACTAATAAGGTAAAAGACGCATCAATGGCAGCATCTGTTGTTGAAGATTATCGTTATAATCCTTGGCCTATCCTTTAATTCGTCCAAATTGATGTGCTTTACATGATGTGCTTTACATATTGCATCAATTAGACTGAAATTCCCAGCTGTCGTCAGTTTACCGAGCTCTATTTCTGTGAAAGAATTCGATTGAAAAATGAGATTTTTTAACAAAATAAATTCGCTTGAAGCCAAATTTGATTAGAAAAACAATATAAAAATTACCAAAAATTGTGACTAAAAATTTAGGTTCAGTAAAAAGGCAAAAAACATCGTAATCGTAGAAACGTTCCACTCAAATGCGGGCGAAATAATATCTACACATTTTAAAAAATTTTAGGGAAAAAATTAAAAAAAAAACCTCGAGAAATGATCGACAAAAAGCAAAAACTGTTTTAAATAAGAAACGATTTTGAAAAAACGACGCGCAAATTCCGCGGCGCACTATTTTGCAATGCTGCGGCACACATTGTGCTGCTCCCGTTCGGTTGTAATGTTGGACCAGTTCGGGTTTCTGCAAATTGCGGCAATAAATCGGGTGCGCACCGGGCCCAACTCGGGCGATCTCACCAAAGTTGGTGCCGACTGAAACCAGTGTAGGGGCGACTGGGCCAACTCGGGAGCGTTTCGGCCCCAACTCGGGCTACTGCGCCCGAACTGCTCCCACTCAGATTTACCGAGAAAAAACAGCTCTATCAACTGCGCATTAATGAAATTAGGAATAATTTGTGTATAAGAATGAGAGTGGGGCACGTGAGCCGCCATTTCTAGAAATGGCAAAATTTTGGAGAATGAAATAATCAAAAATGCGAAGGGTCATACGTGAGCTACACGTTTATTCCTATCTAGGAACACTATGAGATGACGGTGTTTAACCTGATTTTGGTGTCGGCTACTTTTTCGAAGAACCAATCCTCCGGTGATGTCGAGTCATTATAACAGGGAGGCGCACAACAACAGTAACGATGTTGTCGACGTGAACAACACCAATGAAACGGTATTCAGTTTCTGTGTTCCAATTGAACTCCATTCGAATTCAGCACAAGTTCGATGTAATAGATTACGATGATGACGACGAGTCGAGTGTGATTTGCGATCAGAAAAAAAGACAAAAACGCGATAAGCGATGCGGAGGACGAGCAAGGGCAACCAGCTGGTGAGCCGAATGTGCCCATCATCGAGAAAGAATGAAGGTCGTTGGTCGATGGTCGTTGCTTGTGAAAATAAACATTTAAGGAAATAAGTGATGATGGACATTTATAAAAACATTTATTAACCGCATATGTACGTAGAACACAATTTTAATTACAATTGGACCGATTGCCGTAACAATACGGCATCGAATGCCACAAGTAGCGTCCATCCGGCATGTCGGCGGCTGGTGGTGACGAAGGATCCAGTCTCGTTGCTGACAATGGCCCCTGAACATTCTGGCGTGCTCATATACGAGTGAAATGAACGCACCCTTGTACACGAGGTGGGTTCCGATCGCTTTCATATCAGACATTATGTTGATTGGCACGACGTCGAGATCGTCGCTGATGTCTTCGTCGATGAGAACGAATACGTATGTTCCAACAGTGAGTCGCACGATGTCCACTGCTTCTTTTCCACATTTGTTGCAATAAACATGAAGTTGCGCCTTCACCAATTTTTCCACAGCGTCCCCGTTGATGCCCATGGCGCCTTCTTCGCGCGTCGCATCAAATCTATCACACCGAATTGCAGAACAATCGCCAGAGTTTGAAAAATCGCTTACCTGACATCAATAATGGCGACCTCGCCGACCGAATCGCAGTGAATACCCTCGACGAAACCGATGGCACCATTCACCCAGCCCTTCGACACGTTAATGTTTCGCCGCAGCATAACACGGGAATTAATTGCAATTTTAATTGAATACGGCAATCCACCTGCTATCAGCGGCACACGATCATCGTTATCTGTCACCATGTTCGACGCCTTCCGTGGCAAACGTTCAATGATCGCGAACTCTTTACAGTGTATTCGTAAGCGAGACTCAAGAACACCTCACCTTTCGAATGATACGGGCGTCGGCTCATACGAGATTTTCGTAACGAGACGCTGATTTGAGAATCGGAACACTTTATCATTTTCACTTCGATTCCCAACGTTTCCAAAATCTTGATACAATACCACCAACTCATGAACACCACCGCTATATCTGCTTACCACATCGTTGAAGGCGTCAACTTCTTCGTTTGTGGAAAACATCGCCATTGTCTGCGGTGATACGCTGAGCATTCGAACGAACTCCGACGCTACATCATCCTTATCAATTACTCGACTCTCTAGCGCTCGTACATCATCATCAGTGAGCGCCTCAAACGATCTTAAACATAGAACAGTTGCCTCACTCGTTTTTCCATTCTCACTCATTAAATTCGAAAGCTCCAAATCTTCTCGTTGCCGCATGTTCTCCGTCAACTCCTCATACGAAAATTGTTGCCATAGGTTGACGGCAAACTCCGACGAGCTTCGAAACACTCGATAAATTTCAAGCGGCATCATCGCTACAACAGCCCCACTATGCGGTCCTAACCCGAATTACTTACGCACAAACACATGCGGTGCACGGACCGGTGGAAATTGACATAGGTCCCCAAACGCGACAATATTGAAGCCTCCGAATAATGCTTCTTTGTCACTTATTTCAACTAGGCGCGAGTGAACCTTCGCAAGTGTTACATTGCTCACCATGCTTATCTCATCAATAATGATGAGCTTCACACTGGAGAATTGAAATTTCTTTTTGTCGCGAAGCTCATCGCGCAACTCATTGAACGCTTGCGTTCGCCCACGTTGAACCTTCAAAAGCAGGTATATACGCGCTTCGCTCATTTGCCGCGTACCTCGAGCGCAAGCGCGCTGTGCAACGTGCAGCCTTTGATGTTCGCTGCTGCCAACCTAGTTGGTGCCGTAATTATGACCGACGGCTTAACCGACTCACACCCGCCCCCATAATTAAGGGCGATCTCGTCAGCAAGCGTATTGATTAAGAACGACTTCCCCGTTCCGGCAGTACCGCTGACGAACTATCGAATTGGTTCCTCAACTCCGCGCTCTTGGCCGTCGATTTGTCTGATAGCGTTGTCGAAAATCTGCCTCTGCACATCATTCAACTTCTTCACATCTTCGGCATGCTCCGAACTGTTGACCAAACGCGATTGCACTTCAAGATCGACATCGTCGTCGATCACCATGTCGATCTCCTCACGTATAGCCTATAAATTGTGTTCGCATTCCAGCAAGTTCCCACAACAATTACCTTCCGCTTGTGATATGCTTCAAACCCCTCCCTCGTTTCTACTCTCTGCTCTTGATATCCGTCAAGAAGTGCCATCATTTCTGCGTAGGCTCTCGGTGACCTCCGCTGTACGATTCTCTTGTACTGGTTAAACAGAGTTGCATAGCTGCCCATTCCGTTGCCGGTGAGTTTTTTCGACTCGTCCCGGAACGGAACGAACAACATGCATATTGGCCGATAAAATTCCTCGGTAACAGTGACGTCATTGACGTCCAATTCCGGCAAATAAAAGCGACCAATCTGTTCATATGGACATTTATCAAGCGAACAGCAACCTACTACAAACCCTTTGGCACTTCTTTCTCATCACAAAAACCAGCGATAGGATAACACGATCCAATTTCCAATGTCGGACGTCTATAATATATTGACCACTGGTCTTTTGTTTTGAACTCCTTCGGTTCCTATTCAATATGATTGTGTTTCCTAAAATGTACTAAAAATTAGGAAACGGGAAATGATGAAGAATAAGTTTTTACCATGTCAAATTAGTTTTAAAAAATGCCATAAAATATATGAATATTTTAAACTATAAGGCCTATCAATCAGCGATTATAAAAATGTAAGATAAACCGTTAAAATAAAAAAAAATTGGCTCATATAAAAAGAGACACAGAAAAATTCTCAAAAAATAACGCGCCCAAAAACACGCTGCGCAAAAACACGCTGCAAAGTGTATGTCGCATACACTTCTCTTCGCCTCGAGAAATCTGGCAATTAGCCAATATTTTTTAAAATTTCGTCAAGTCGTTTGACGCCGACAATATACATATGAAATTAACCTTTTAGAACCGTTGAGATTTCTTCGGGGAACTTGATAAGCTTATCATCATTCCGAGGACTTCCATGCGTATACTTTTGGATGAGCCTTGGTGGATGACAAGCCTGAATGTGAATTTTCTGAATTAGAATGTTTTCGAGATAGTAATTTATCGGGGTCGTCTGTATTATAGCGTAGCCCAAAATCAAGTGGACTGCATAACATCTGATGTAGAGGGTGCGGCAAAAGATAACTTTGGCGCAAGCTCATAGTGCACTGTCGCATTTATTGTGCAGTTTTATGTTTTTATTTTATTTTCTATGATGTTTTAATCATTTTCAGAAAGTTTCATGAAAATATGTTTCGTATTAAAAAATGACAGCTGATTCTATTCATCGTGCGGCCATCATCGACTTGAAAAAAAGGGAACATCGTTCAAGATGATTTCTAAAATCCTTGGAGTTCACCACAACACCATACAAACAACTTAGAAACGCTTTCATAAGATAGGAGGACTCTCTAGCTGTCCTAGAAGATGAAGAAAACATTCTTCAATAGCGAGAGTCAAGATCATCAGGGAACGAGTTCGTCGAAATCCAGATTGTAGCATCAGAAGGATGGTGTCAGATGTCCATGTAAGTCCGAGATGGTGGGAAGAATTGTCAATGATGAGCTGAACCTTATTGCGTCAGAAAGGCCGCCATTCTAACTGAAAAAATAAAGAAGGTCGAATGAAAAAGTGCAAATCGCTCCTAGAAGCTGTTTATGGCAGAAGATGCTTTCAATCTCCAAAATCACAGAGTGATCGCCAGAAAGTCTAAGGAAGCTATGAACAAAGGTAGAACCATTCATCGTGTTTCTCATCCTCAACAGATCATGGTATTCGGTGGGATCTGCGCTGATGGCAAGACACCACTGATTTTCGTTAATCCCGGAGTGAAGATTGATCAAAATTACTATCTTAATGAGATTCTGAAGAAGAATGTCCTTTCCTGGTCCTAATCTCAATTCGTAAAACGATCCTGGACTTTTCAACAAGACGGAGCGCCTGCACACCGAACCAATATCGTTCAAGACGGGTGCGGCAGCCATTTTCCATCATTCATCAAGTTAACGGATTAGCCCGCTTCGTCGACCGACCTGAACCCCATGGACTATTCTGTCTGGGGGGTCTTGCAAGAGAAGATGCCAGCTTTCCCAAACCCAAATATGAACTCATTGAAAGCTGCCCTTCTGAAGGAATGGGACAAATTGGACGCCAAATATCTGCGCTCCACCGTCGACGCCTATCCGAAGCGTCTGAAGGAAGTTATCAAGAATCGAGGCGGAAAAATCGAACAACGATGATTAATTTGTGATTGTTATGTGTTGAATAAATTTTGGTATTAATTTGAAAGAGTTTTTTTGATTCTTAAAAAAGTTATTTCGTTTTATCGATGCACCCGTAATTTTGCCGCACCCTGTTTATACGACTTTGATACCGAACATCTATATAATATTGCTTCTCATATTTGAATGTTATCTTAAGTGTTACCCAAATTTGAAACTAATGACGATGGCGACGGGTACTGTCCAATATCGATGCGTTGCTCCTAAAATTTAACACTTTTTTATTGATTATAATAAATTACTCTAAAATCACCGCACTCTGGAAGTACGTGTTCTGGTAACACCTTGCTGCTTCCATGGCCATCATTGCATTCTTCTTTTCTTGGATTTCGTCGAGAACAACTCTCGCCGCCAATAATATCCCCACACTACTGGCATTCCTATGATCGCCGGAATCACGGTTGTGTTGAAGAGCCTCACTTTTTGTGGATACGTCGCAGTCGAGCCCCAGATACGGGCGACTCGGTTCAACACAGCTTCCTCCACGCGCTTCGACGCACGAAGTCAGCATCAAGCCTCTGCTCAATCTCTAAGTACTTGTACACCTGCCTAACACCGATAACAGGTACTTGCTCGAAAGCTGTATACCTACCGAAGTGAGCAGTTGCACATTTTACTTGATTCATGCGCAGGCCCAGGTAACGGCTCACTCGCTTAACCACTTTCAGACCTGAATGTAGATCATTGATATCGGTTGCAAATAACTTTAGGTCATCAACGTATAGTAGGTGAGTTAGTGTTTTGGCTTCCCTCTGTTTTTGCCCCTGGTAAAGGTGCAACCATTCATAACGTCATTGAGGGCCGCTGACACTGGTGCAATTGCTAGACAGAACATTCTTGGAGATAATGTATCGCCTTGAGGTACACACCTTCTGTATCTAATCGGTCTGCTCAGTTCTACCTTGTCATTGTGTTTCACCTGATATCTTACGGTCAGGGCATTTAGTCCTGAAAAATATGTTCTCATTACCGGACGGTCTTACTTTGCTTGCCTCCAATACCCACTTAATGTATTTGTGGGGAATACTATCAAAGGCTTTGGCGTAGTCTACCCATGCGATGTGTAATTGTTTGGGTTCGCGTCGGAACTTGTAATCTGTGCAGAGTGCCGAGTCTACGATGTGTGAATGCGTGATGGACCACTCGCCTTCGCGCAGCGCTCTTTGTTCGTATGGGATTAAGTGGTTTACTTGCTTCTTGATCACCCTCCAGATCATGGCGTTTAGTATCTTGTATGAGATATTGAGACACGCGATGGGTCTCATCTGATCTGGGGAGGTGCACGTTTTCCCTCCTTCGGGGATCATTACGATTCTGCCTTTAGCCACATGGCCCGGGACCGGCCTTTTTCCTTGGAGGACTTTGCCACTTACCCACTTGTTGAGAAATTTATTTGCGCTAGGGAGTTTCTTCCACCCGTATGCATATACCCCATCTGGGCCTGGGGCTTTCCATGGCTTTATTTTAGACATCGTCGTTTTCCAGGCTACTGCCCATTTCCACCTGGGAAATCTCTCTGCTTTCGTACTTTTCAGTCCCTCTGCCCTTTTCTGGACTTCGGGTGGGATTGCCCATTTCCCTCCACCAACACCAATAATTTGTTCCCATGTTCGACACATATATTCTGCAGGGCAGTCTTCTTTCTAGCTTCACTCCTTACTCTGATGTTGTGTTCGGCTACTTTAATCTTTTCTCTCACTCGAAGGAGGTTTTCCTTGATCTTCCTATTGTTACATCTGCCTTTGGGTCTCTCGTTGACTCTTCGTTTTCTGAGCTTTAGTTCGCTTTTGAGACGTTGTGCCATTCTCTCGAGACTGCAGATCTTGGCCCTCATTCCATCTAGGTATGTTTGCCACTTTCCTTGGTTAACCTTCCTTCGGTGATTTTCCAGTTCAGCTATTGTTTTGGCAGCTGCATATACTGCGGGGTGTAGCGGAAAGCCACAAAGTCTACGGAGATGGTCATAGATTACGCGGCAATCCGCATCATGACGTTTGACCATGAGTGTGAGGCGAAACTGCGGGCACCCAGAGACAGACTGACAGCTCTCTGCCTCGCCGCAGGATCGGCAGGCTCCACCCAAGAACATTGGATATCCTTTGACGAGAACTTGATTCTCCCCGCCGTCCGACAAAATCCGTGACAATATCCGCTCCAAGGTATCCTTTTCCCAGCCAAAGGCTCGACAATCGTAGATCAATATTCGCGTGACGCACTCTACTGCGGCACTGTTGCTCGCACCACTTCTCCAGTCTCAGCTTCCGGTCCTCCTCCCGCATTAGCGAGGTTCTCCTTGCGGCTTCAACTGCGATGGTTAGCCTGACACTGTTGACAGACAGGGTGCCGCTCACACTCCTATCAACATCGACTGCCGGGAACTGAGCGATCGTCCAATCAAAGTCTGGTAGAATTGTTCTTTTACCTCTTTTTGTATGTTTCTCCATGATGTCCTTATACACTTGCACTTGTGGCGTTAACAGTAGGTATGCTGCAGAATAAACTACATCTTCGTTGATTGCACTGCTAACTGACATCAGGCCAATCCAGCTTCTTCAGTGGGTAAGTACGTTCGCCATTTTGAGGCTTAAGAAAAACGTGTCCGCACTGCTGTAAACTCTTGCTGGATTTCCTTATCCAATCGGTTCTCTCATTTGTGCGCAGAGTCACGTTATTTCCCCTCAGTGGATAGGTGGTTTCCAGCAAAGAACGTGACAACTGAAATCACGGTTGTGTTGAAGAGCTTCACTTTTTGAGTAGCATCAAACCTCTGCTCTATCCATTGATTCCAGTTGCGTTCAACTTTAAGTCATCGACATAAAACAGGTGTGTTAGTGTCTTGGCTTCGTCTCAACCTCTGGTCAAAGGTGTCTGAAACAAAAAAATAAAATTAATTCAATAAAAACAGCTTTACCGTATCCTTGAAAATAGTAATATTTATACTGTCGTTCACAGTTTTAGAGGGATATCGTGCGGAACATAAGCATTGTGGCAGTGTTGAACAGTTATCTTTATCTAAAGCAAAAAATTAGTACATATGATACGAATCGCACAGATAGAGAGACCTTATTCTGTGCCAATACTGAATGGGAGAATGATGGGAAATTGCTAAATGGGGAAACCTCTATTTTTTGTGTTAATAGGGTGGGGGAGGGTTGAATGGGGGAGAGTTGAAAAATGATATTGAATGGGGATAAGATTATGACAAACATTGATCCATATGAGTGTTTTTGCGCGCTTTAGGCTACCAAATAATAGGTTTAGGTAAAGCAGTGTTGGGCTTAGTCTAACAAGTTGTTGTTCTAAGCATCTTCATCCCCTCTCAACACGGTTCCATTTTCCTCTGGCGTTCAACATGTCTTTCCCATATCAATCCGCTTTTGTGTAGCATTTTTGAATTTGTTTCACTTTCGAAGATGATTTTAAATAAGAAATATAGTAAAAAATGAACTTAAGCATTTAGAATAATTAATTAAATAAAATACTTATCTAATAATTTTCCATTTGTCCAGTTGGATTGGAAACCACTATGATATTATCTCACAATGCAAAAACAGGATAATTGTTTTTAAAATGTAAAAGATAAAACGAGAGAATTTTTAAAATCTATACTGCTTTAAAATCTAGTGCATTTTCTGCGAAAAAAACATTAAATTCGGTTTCTACAGATTTTGAATAAAACATTTCGATTTCCGAAAAATACGCAAATTATAGTTAAAAAACAATGAAAATAAGAAATTTTAAAAAAGTGCCCGTAAAAAATATAAAAAAAAAATTAATATAGAAAATTTTAAAAGTGCCCGTAAAGATTACGGTATCTGGCTCATCGTATTGCGTACAAAACGCAGGATCCCACGACACCTGAATACATTTGTCATTTCTCAACAATATAGTCGGCATCCGGCGACTGCTGTACGCGGGTAGAGTTACGCACATGCGCCTTGAAATGGTCTCGCCACGCGTGAATGCTTATTTTGCTGTTTTCACGTGAACTGCTTCATTTTTCTTGATGAGTTTCGCATTTTCTTAAATTTCTAACGTCATTCGATTAAAAAATTATCGAATTTTTTTTCTTTCCTGCTATTCACATTTTTTCTTTCCTGCTATTATAATGTCTCCATTTAGCACAGTAATGCAAACATTACTATAGTAACTATTTCAAATAGTTTTACGGTATTGGAACCGCTTGCAAGTCGAGTGGGCAAACGATTCCTCACTACCGATTTCTCACTCCACTACCGATTTTTCACTACCAAATTTTCACTACCGAAATTATAGTTTTTTTCACTACCGATTTTGCACTACCGTTTTTTCACTGCCAATTTTCATATACTCATTCTTCTTGATTTCATCAATAATCCACTTCATTTCAGATAAAACGAGTTTAAAGAAAATCTTTTTTAATTAAATATGTATTAAGAAAATAGCTAATAATGTGAACAATATCTATAAAATATTGTTAGAAATAACCTTGTTAATCACACGAATAGAAAAAAATTTAAAAACAATGCAGTTAGGTTGATATTCATGGCTGCGGACGGACGAAAATTTTGAAATATTTTTTGTACCTTGTAAAGTATTTTTTAAAATTAATTTTTACTCGTTTAAAGATAAAATTTAGCGATTTTCTTTATATTTAATTTAAAAAGATTTTCTTTAAACCCTTTTTTTTCTGAAATGAAGTGGATTATTGATGAAATCAAGAAGAATGATTATAAGAAAATTGGCAGTGAAAAAACGGTAGCGAAAAATCGAAAGTGAGAAAACAGCAGTGCAAAATCGGTAGTGAAAATTTTGTAGTGAAAAATCCGTAGTGATGAATCATTGGCATGTCGAGTGAACCTCAAGCTTGGGTAATTGGTCTATTAGAAACCACCGGCACTTTTTAACCCCCACCCCTGCTATTCCACTCCGACTTTTTTTGAATGTCGGGCGGACAACTGAATCCGGCCGTCTCGCTGCTCCTCTGGTCGATGGGCCATCTGAAATTGGCGTGGGTGCTCGCCTACTCGCTGGCGCAAACCGCCGTCGCGTTCGTCGCCGCCGCTTTGATCTACGCCTACTATTACGGTAAGTGGCGCTCAATCTCTCATCAGCCGACCTCATCGACTGCCTTCAGAGCGATTCGACGCGTTCGACGGCGGTAATCGAACGGTGCTCGGCGCCACCAGCACAGCCGGTTTTATTTTTATAATATGCCTTCAGTTGCCATTTCTGTTTGAAATACAACTTTTATTTTGTAATTTTTGTTAATTTCTATGTATTGTTTTGTTCGACCGGTTGTTTAAAAAAAAATTCTGATCCGAACAAATACAAATCTTATCCGATAAATTACAAATGGAATGCAATTACAAATCTTATCCGACAATTTTCCAATCTTATCTGTAGAATTACCTATCGGATCGGGTTGATTCCGGAGCCGAATTTTGTCGGTTCCGATTGGTTTTGAGTTACCAGAGAAATTTTTAAAAAATGTAAAAAATTTTACTGCTAAACATTACTATTAGAAACAGCAAATTTTGAAGTGTGGTGAAAAAGTGGGGGTGGCATCATAAATAAAAGGAGTGGTTAAAGTCGGGGTGGAATAGCAGGGGTGGTTTCTAATAGACCTCGGTAATTAAACTTTTATTATTCCACGAAAACGAACAAAATATTAACAAAGCGGTACAAACCAATAACAAACTTGATGATACTAAATATAGTGGATGGTGGGCTCGGGGGAGAACTAAATAAACTGAAATATTACGATTAAATATATCAGCATATGACTAAAACGGTGTTCACGAAAAAAAGGGGACTTGCATTCAAATAAAGGTGGACTTCGGCCGCGGCCCCCTTTTTGCTGGATATTGCCCGATTGCATGATGGCGTGCGTCTCTTCGTTTTGCACTCTCTCTCGTCCACAGCCTTATCTTCTCGCCCACTCCCATTTCCACATTATCTCTACATTACACTATATATAAGTTTTGTTATAGTGGTTATTGTTATTTTGAAAAGCAACAACTTCGCTTTTAAAACAACAGTTTGCGACATTTGCAAGAATACTTTCATTCACATTCACTGAAATTTTCTGACGCCGATATAGAAACATCGATATAAACCGTTTGATGTGAGAATTCCGAAAGTATTTAATTTTTTCCTTTTTTTCCTGAACTCTACCCTACAAGAAGTAATGGGATCAGTGAGATCGTTGCATTTTCTGAAACAATGGCTGTTCAAGAAGACGAGGCTACGGCCGGGCCGAGGAATTTTACTCACATTCGGTACATTAAATCACAATATTATAGCTTAATCAAATATTAAAGGACTTCTGTATTCAAATTTCTTGATTATGATAGGTTTTTAAAAAACTTTTATTATAAAAAATCAAATTAAACAAATTATTTACAAATCTATTTCTGAATGAAGTTTCATTTCTTTCTGCTGTACGTTTCGGAAAAAAATGAAAAAAAAATCCTGAAATCCTTTTTGTTCAACCATATTCATCGAAACTCCGATTTTAATCATTATTCGAGCAATTGATTTTTTATTTCTTCCTTGTTTGTATTGAGGTCCAAATGCGACCTGTTTCTGGAGCAAATTTGAAAATGTCTCCTTAATTTATAAAATAAATAAATTTAAATACTAAATATTACAAATTAAATATAAATTAAACTGTTTCGCTTGAAAAATAATTCCAATTCGATTAAGAAAACGCTTAAATTCGATTTGAAATCTTCGTTTCGATTTAAATATCTTCGAAATCGATTGATTTATTTCTCAATTTCAATTTTTAAATCGAGTTCGATTGAAATTCTGGAATAATTCGAAACAGATTAATTCATATTCGATTTCGATTGAAAACGAAATTTTTTTTCGAATCCGATTGATTTTAATTTACCTGAGCCTCCGCCTTTTCTCGCGATTCCATTTTCAAAAACTATGACACTGGAAAAATTGTGCCCATCAGGAAATTCCTAAAAAAAACCATTTTTGTTTCTAAATAAATATAGAAAGTACAAAACCAGCCGCACCATTCTCGATGTTAATTTCTAACTTCTAATAGGTTCAGAAAAAAAAGAAATAATAGGTTCAGCGAGAAGCTTAGGCGCGGCCTAAATTTCGCGCGATTCGTTCGCAATCGGTTGTTGCTGAAGCATCGGGTGTTTGCAAGGCATCTTAAGTACGTGTGTCTCACGTGTGGGTTGAGGAAGCAGCGGGTAAGATTGGACTGCCAGTTGACCATGTTCGAAATTAAAGAGCTGCGGAACATCATTGGACGCAGGCACGGTTGCCATGGAACAACTGGAAAGTAATTGAAAGAAAAGTTGCATCAATGTAGCGATGCAACGCCGACCACCTTGGATGACGACTTCGCGACAACAGACCAGAAGTCGATATATTATAGACATCCGACGTTGCCAACTGAAGCGTGTTATCCGATCGCGGATGTTGCCAATACTGCAATGAGAAAGAAGTGCCAAGGGGTTAGTAGTTAGCTTTTCGCTTGATAAATGTCGACATCAACAGATTGGTCGCTTTTTAGCCGGAATTGAACGAATGAATCAAATGGAACACAACGACATGGTTTGGTTTGTTTCCATGTTCGACTACTGAACTGGTGTAAGTATATTTGCTCTGTTTACAGTTTTCGGAATAATTATTTTTAGTGCTTGTCGAAGTATATCATCAATGTACAAAATCCTGTGTGTTCGAATTCTAACGTGTTCGAATTGCAAAGTCGCAGAGAACATTTTCCGCTTGGAAATGTTCACTACGGTACTTGACATATGTGGCAGAATATATTCGCCCGAGGAAGTGTTGGAATTCAGCCTCTGGCTGTGTGATACAAGACGGCCAACCGATGGATGTAAATAGTGTGCACAGACAATGCTCTGTTTTAAGTTTTTCAATAAATAATACGTAAACGCATGTTGTTTCTGCATAGTGTGAAATTAGTGAATACATACGTTCTGACGGCTTACTCTTCCTTTTCAGTTAAATTTCTATTTCGTAAACAGTTCTTTAAAAAATCGTGGTACATGATAGTTTAATGCAAGCAATTACCAAAAATTCAATAATTCGTGAAGTTTTTCTTAGTATTTTACTTTTGGGAAACACAGCAACTGAGTAAGATCAACGACAAACTGCACTTCAAACAAGCAATTCATGAGAAAAATATAATATCAAACAATCGTATAAAAACACAGATGGGAAGTATGCGACTCGAATACACTCAGAAAGAATTCCGATAAAACAACATTACTATGCTGAGGTTTGATTTGTAAAAGAAAGTTTATTCGTATTACGTAGCATTCGTTCAATTAGTTTCTTTTTTTTTCTTAACATTATACTCTCAATCAATTTTCCAAACTAAATATGTCTATAAGTGGTGCTTTACTCAGTGATTGTGTGTGTATGTGTGTGTGGAGTGAAGTTCCAAACGAGCACGACATTGGTACATATGTTTTCGATCTAATGTGAACTCGTTTCGTTTCGTTTTCCGCACCGCAAACAACACATTCTGTGGATTTCTTCGGATCAATCTCTACTGGCTGAATAATTTTTGATATTTTGCCAAAAAAAAGTTTCTAAAACAATTCTTCTTTATTATGTATTGGTTATTCGTTAAAGTTTTTCTGAAAGTTTTTAAAGGGATCAAATAAGATTCTCATTTATTCAGTATGGCTCTTTTGAGGAAAGTTGCTTTCCTTTTTGCAATTGTGTCGTCGGTTTGGATGGATTTTAATTCGTATGTTATACCACAACCATATCCAAAGGTATGAGAAATTTAAATTCGTTTCGTTTAATTAAAGACTAAATTAAGAACCGAGAGCAATATGATTATATAATGGAAGAAACCGACGAACCTTTTCTGAGAAATAAAATAAGTAGATCAAAAACGGTTTCGAAAATACTATATTTATGCAAATTTCATTTTTTTTTTATTTTAGCGAACAGCTACCCAATCTCAAATTGACATAAGTTCTGAGTCGTATTTAAAAAATGATGGAGCTGCATTTAATCAAGGGTATGTTCTAGTTTATTTACTTGGAATTCTATGAAAGTTGAAGGCAATTTAGGGGAATTGACTCTTACGGGTAAGTTCTAATTTTTGTTATTGCAAATCACTCATGACATAATCCAATAACCACCCCTTAGCATAAAACAATGCGCCTCTTGCCTCCGTTAAGAATTTAAATATACCCCCATACTAGACAATAGCGTGAAATACATAGAATTTAAATAAAATTAAGTGAGGATAAACTGCTTGGTATCAAATCTGTGAGTTTAATTTTATTGCTGTTTCTCATTGAAGCTTATAAGACGACGTTAATAAGATGATGTCATCAAAAAAAATATCTAGAACATAGCTGACAGTGATGCTTCACCGGGGGAACTCAATGGGGGTTGGCAAATATTGACTTTACCTAGCTTTTCCCATTTCAAAAGTTTGCAGTTTGATAATCTCTTTGCTATGTTGTATTGCATTAATCTACCAATAAATTTATATATTTCTCAAACTAACATCTCCGATTTAGGAAGTTTTAAGCGTATAATGATTTTTTACTTGTTTAGGGAAACTCGAGACTTTTTACAATTTCTACGCCGAATCCAGTATGATCACAGGCAGGTCCCTGAAAACGACAAAGGAGGTGAAAGTTTTCATCAGAACATTCTCGAGTTTCTTAATTATAGAAGCGACGTTTGTGGAAGTTTCTGTGGTTATTAGTAATATTCGAGCTGTGTCAGAAGTTACAATGGCAATTTTAATTTTTGATCATGTGACACATATTTGCATAGATATTTCAGGATTATGCGCTTGAAATGTTTTACCGAGAATCTTGGCGTGACCCTAGGTTACAATATGATCGGCATTTGTTCAAGAATAAGACAGAACTTGCACTACATGAGAGCTACACAAGCTTTTTATGGTTTCGTTTCAATTCAGTCTATAGTAGCAGTAAAAATATTTATTATCTTCAAGGTTTCCTGATACATTTGTTCCAAACGCAATTGCTTCAAAAAATCCGCAAAGAAATTCGATATCACACAGGTCGCTTCTGAGGTAAAAATCACAAATATATTTCCATCGCAAAAGAAACGAACGCCTTGTATAATTGTGCCCCCACTCCATGGAATTTTTACGGTGGTAGTTCAAATTCGAATATGAAAAGTGGAAATTCGGGAAAAAAACCTACTCCGGTTAACCTGCGAAGCTAACCTATTGTAAATCGGCGCAGGGTCCTCGTTTTTTTTGCGAATGTAATAGCTTCATCCAATATTTTCCTTTCAGGCTTGACGAGACTGGTAAGCTTCTTTATAGCCGTCGAATATCTCTAGTTTGCGAATGCAGTAAGTATTTAAAAAATTACTACCATAAATTGGTGTTTAGCAATGGATTTGACTCTGTTCCCATTTGATAAGCAACTTTGCAAATTAGGATTCGAAAGCTGTGAGTGTGATTGAAAACAAAAAATATCATATAAACTATACACATGATAGATGAAAAAAAAAAAGACGAAAATTCCTCGACCGGAATCGGCCATCGCAAAAGCTATGCCGTTAGGCGCCTGGAGTTTTGCAATCATCATAAAATGTTTAGATTCACATTTTTAGTTTTTTTTTGAAAATTTCATTGTACCATTAAAATGAACATGTATAATTAAATCTATATTGAACATCTAGATTCCATGATATTTGAGTACTTCTGATGGATATTCCTCTTCAATCCGCAAAAATTTGCAGATGGATATACAGCTGACCATGTGGTGTATAAATGGTCACAAGGAGCTAGAACAGCCTTAGAGCTTAAAAAAATTCGACTTCCTGATTTTACGATTCAAGAAGCATATGTTACTAGTCAAATGGAGACCTATGCCACTGGTATTAGGATAATTATATGTACAACCAAAAGGTTTTTTTATTTTAGGAAATTATTCGCGCCTTTACGTGTGTTTCGTTTTCTCAAGATCTTCCGGGTTCTGCTTCTTACAACTCATAATTCCCTCTACAGCCGTTGTCATTACCTCATGGGTCTCGTTATGGATGGAAACCGAAACCGAATTCCAAGATATGATATCCATTATCTTAGCAATCACGTTTTTGATATTCTCTTATAATGAAATGATGCCAAGGGTGAGCTACATCAAAGCAATGGACATTTACTTAGGAGTCTGCTTCATGATTGTATTCCTATCACTAATAAAACTAGCGTTCGTTAAGTATATGAGGCAAAAACTTTTACTCACGTAGGTTTTGTTTGGCATTTTCTATTAAAACTTAATTTTTTAGAAGTAATAGTGGGCATTCAATGAGAGAAATGCATCCTCTGAAGCAATCAACGAAACATCGATTAAAAGCTCGGAAATCATCGAAACTGCTATTCCAAAATTGCGAAGGTAGTACAAAAGACGATTTGTAACCAGGCGAATTCAACATTTCCACTAAAATTTTTGAATCACCTTTGATCTTGAAGATAATTTTTAAAGGTCTTTTAAGTAAATGTACTCGCCTGACGACATTGAATTACTAGATTTTGTGTAAAAATAAAAATCGAAAACCCTGTATAAAAATCAGAAAAATTTCCCATCTGGTGGCGAAATTCCATGAAATCTTGGTATAAACCATTCATATGGCATGTCTTTTTTCGATTAGATATATCTACCAGTTTCAGCTATGGAAATTGATGGCAATTTTGCTGTAAACGAAAACAATGTCGGCAAAACTCCAACAAAGTACGACCGTTTTGAAATCCGAGTTACTCAACGCGTCATGCATCGTTTCCACTGGATATCACAAATGCTATTTTTCTTCGGTTTCGTTATTTTTTGTCTTTTCTATTTTCTAATCTACCCCAATTTGCATATGGTGAGCGTTGATCCTGCGTGCGAGAAGAGTCTTGCCGAATGGTTTGCCGAAATTTATTGATTTATTACTCGCTCGCATTTGCATCGGGTACGATTTATTGTCACCAAAGAAATTTATAATGATAACAATATTGTTAATAATAATAATAATCATTATATCATAACAAAATGCCTGAAATTTTGCAAAAAATGCAATGGAAATTGTTGAATTATGTTGGCGAAAATGTGTGTTTTTGCATTGATCGACCCGTTGAAATAATATTTGAAAGTTCTTAACTACTATTTTTCTTATTGGTTGATACTCAACCTGTATTCGCAAATATTTCAGTAATTCGACGTCACCAACAGTAAAAGAAAAAACATTTAGTGTCGTCCGTCTAAAGCATCAAGATACTTGTAATCGATGAGTCTTGGGATTAGGGTATGTCTGAAAAAGAAAGTAAGAATAAGAAAATGATGTATTCTCACCTTATTGGTAAAAAGAAGAAACAAACAATTGGGAAGACCATTTCAATGAATGGATACGGAGAGAATCCGAACGCGCACAAGATTATGAGTTGCAATAATTGGCATGCCGTAAATAAGTGGACTTTTCGCTGTGGGACTTTTCTGATGTAATGTGTTGGTGGGTAGGCTTGCTATAAATTATAAATTATTACGATACCGCTTGTCGCCACAAATCAAAACCAAACCTGTTCCGTTATTAGCAAAAGTAGTCTTTCAAACATCTCGTTACCGGACAATGATGTCAATGCCATATATAAGAAAAGACCGTGGAGCACGGAAGTCGGAATGAGCTGAAGAGGATACGGAATCAAGTAGAACGTTGAAATTAAGATAAGGATATGGGCGATTAATGATGCAAGGCGAGTTTCGCGAACATTCATGATCCTGAAAATTATAACTGAAATGATGGGGTCACAATACGGCGATTCAATTTATTTAATTCGTGTGTTTCAATATCTATTAACATTTTCTCCACATATGTAAATGAAATTGTGGCTAGAAAATGTTCGACATCAGCGGACTCGGTAAATCACATCGGTCCACTGAAAAAAATTGGCCGACACCGCGCAGACGATCGAATGGACTTATCAGAAGAATCAGAGCGGAAGCCGATGTGATTTACCGGGGAAAAAACGCCGATGCCAAGAGATCAACTAACAAGTGATCTGTCTACATATATGTACATAGTTCACATCTGTGTCAAAACGACAACATTTGTGCATATTGTATATTGTCGGCGTCAAACGACCGAAGGGAGGCGGGACCTTCAAATTCGCGAAATCAGTGTAAAATTTATCGCTGACTGAATATTAAATGCGCGTGCACTATATTCAATGTACGCAGTCTCGCGTACTTCTCGCTGCCTCGAGACGTATTGGCACAAAGCCAATAATTTATTAAATTTCGTCGTTTGACTCCAATATATATATATATATATATATATATTCCCAAACTGGTGCCCGAACGACAACACTTACACTTCATGAACATGTCCCTGAAAAACTCTCTCCTCAACATCTGCTAACGCTCGGAGGTGAAGTGGAGAATGCGGTAGGGCGCCGTGCATCCATGGCAGACCAAAAATGGAAAGAAACATGTTCAATAGTGCCACCACGAACAAATCCAAATTGTGCGATGTACCCTTTTTGAGTCTAACACAATCATGTTTCAAAATTGATCGAATACTATAAAAATCTCACTTGTTTTGACTATTATTAACAATTGCTGAGCAAATGTTTTGGTCAATAAAAAATAAAAATGATAGCGAGAAGCCAAGTAAAAGGCAGACGAAGTAGCCAGATGGTGGTAATGATGCGATATTGGCCATTTCTAATACCGGGTGTTCAAGACGTAGTTTGAATCGATCTTCTATAAATGATAATTTTTGTACAACAAAGATGTTTTACTGGATTACTTTCAATGTCTGAGAATCCATATGATCCAGTAAATGACATAATAAGAACCGAGGCTGGTAGTGCATAGTCCGCAAGCCATTCACGACGCGATCTTGTGAGATATGGTGTCTTGCGGAAATTGTACAAAAATAGTCCTAACCAAAGTGTGCCAAACATTAGAAGCATGTACAATATTGAGGTATCACGACGGCAGAATGTGCCAGTCTCCTAGAGAAATAACCATGCTAATTTCTGTATGATACCATTCCAAACCGTGACATTCATTGCACTTGTAATATTTCCGACAATGCTGTCAAGATTTGAGCCGTTCTGCCAAGAAGCCAATGCATGCTTTACCGCTTTTATTGAATTAGCTGAAGGGTCACAATCGTTGTAGTTCTTCTTAAAACCTGAAATGAAATACGCATAAATATGTAGTATTTAAAATTGAGAAATTAAATCAATATTACTGTTATGAATTGCTCTCATCGATTCCACAGTGAATGCAATAGCTATGAACAATGAAAACATTTCCTCTGCAGATCTCGTGGCGAATTTCATCAGACTACACAATTCCGTGGCAGAATACAATACAAGAAACAGTTGGCAGAAGAGCCCCACACAAGCATACATAGCCAGAAAGTCATATCCAAGTTCTTGGGATATTTTAAATATTACTAAAAATAGTATTATAATTAAAAATAAAATCACAGAGGCAATGCCTTTTATATAAATTGCTAAAGGTACTGTAGTGAGCAATATAATCATTGGCTGACCGCCAAATAACGAGAAAAAAATTCCGCCAACAGCCTGCGCTATGATAACTTTTCGTACGTCTACAAATATTTTACATAGTCATTAAAAGAACGTTCAAACCCACTAATTGCTCCTTTTGTATTGTCATCATTTAATACTCCAAAAGCAATAGCAGGAAGTAGGCACGCAAAATAAAGAAACACTATTGTAGAGAAGAGCTTCTGAATAGTTTTGTGGCCGCGAATGCCGTCGACGAAATCGGATGGATAGATAGCAAGTCGCCGGTGAAATTCGTCTCGCAATCCGCGGAATGGATACCATGCTTCAGGTCCGAACTGAACATTGACAACTATTAGTTTGAATTTAAAAAATATGGAAGTAAAATATTCTATTACAGTAAATCAAGAAAATCCTTCGCAAACGATACTTTGTTTTTAATTGTGAACGTTTTTTCGCAAGTGTGAAAAGAAAGTAACGGAAACTGACGATTTGTTCCTTGGCATGACTCAAATGAATTGACGATTTCCTTTCTCTCCACTGATTTTGATCCATTGCCAATTCTTTGGCGGCCGATAGAAGTGTTGATCGAAATTGTTCAACTGATTGCGCCATTACCAATCGCTGTCGAATTTCCATATCAGCGAATAGTGTGGCAAATGTTCGGGTTGTCTCTAAAGCAGTTTTCGTACCTTTCTGAAAAAGTCTTTCTTTTTAATTGAAGGCGTTTCGTCATAGATGGTTACCGCTCGACTCGGCGCAATCACGATAATAATGAATCGCAGATCTTGCATTGTTCTTCCGAGATTTGTTGGATGAGAAAGTCGCGCGATGGCTACATGACGATGTTGAACAGTGTTGAGCATGCATCTGAAAATCTTCGATGTCTCACCCGAATTCCCATAAAATCCTTATTTCTCATTTTTGTTTTTTTTTTGCGAATCGGTGGGCAAAAAAATCTCATCTCATCACTCAACTTACTCTTCTCGGGCACGATTTTCTTATTGCTAATGCATTGCAAAATCGAATAAACGCGAGGGTTTTCTTGCGTTGTTTTGTTGCAAGAGAACGAAATGAAAAAATGCGTCAACGTGAAGTAAAAAATGACAGCATTTTTCCGATTCATTTCTTATTGCCAAAATTAGAAGAATTATTTTAGCATTTTTATAATGAAAAATCAAACGTACAAGGCGCAAATCCAGGTTTGATCATAGTCGAAACTGCCGCCAATAGAGCCAGTTGTGCATATTGATTGAACCGTCCGGGAAAGAATATGAACTAAAAATAGAATTGATTTATTCAAATCGCAATGAGACACTCATTTTGTCTTGGTTTGACGTTGTTAATTAAATATAACGGTAGATGATAACAGTTATAGCCGGCGGGCGGCATTTACTGTGCGTGGGTGAATTTACCGTAAATAGTATATAGAGCTCATTGATTATAATTACGGCGATTTTGTCACACCATTGGGAAATGCTCACATTGATTTCCGGCATCCTGAGTGAAAAGAACGCTTCGAACTTGCTCGCTGGTAAACTCGGGTTCTTGAATATCCATCTCATGAATAATTCTGAAACAAACGCAAAATTTTCGCAATAACCTTCTTAGCTTCAATGATTTTTCCTCTCTTTTTTTATACTTAAAAAACCAGCGAGATTTGCGATTAACGCAAAATAACAAATTGTCTTGGTCCCTTTTTTATTGCCGTTTTTCTTTTTCTTCGTCTAAAGCTTTTTTCACTTGTTCTAAGAGCCTCTTTTTTTCAACAATGACAACGAAGAAGGCCCAAGAGAAGCAATATGTGGTCGCGGAGGCGGAGGCAAAAAAATGCAACTCGAAAAAAGAGAGAAAATATGCTGCAACTACTATTACGACAACGACGACTACATCAACTCCACGTCTGAGACTAATTTATCGTTTTGTGGAGTGAAAAAAATACATATACCCAAGTTGGAAATGTAAATGAACAAATTAGCCCAACACGTCTATTTATTTCAACCCTCAAAAAACAAACATCGAAAATTCATATCCAATTTTTTTTTCTCGAACTCGGGAGTTGCTCGTTGGAACTTCGAACCGGTTATGACTAGCAAAAACGAGACGAAGTCAATTTCCGAAATTGGTGAGCTGGTCGTGTTTTGTGAATTTTCATTCATCTGTTGAGCGTCTTTTTTATTAGCGAACGAACAGAACATACACCAACAAATGCATTAAATGTTGACGCAATTCTTGAGAATACTCGAGTAGGTTTGAGGCGGTTGATAAAATTAACCCAATGACTAAATGTTTAATTGAACTTCCTAACATTATTGAGCCAAAATATTAAAGCTCGTTACCAAAAAAAAAGAAGAAAAAATCTTCACGCAAACTCATGTGAATAAAATTTTTTCGTTTGCTTATGCACTGCCATAAAAAGGAAAAAGAGTGAATCCGTCGAAAATAATAATCTTTTTTTTTTAGAAAAACAACAAAAACGAAAGACCGAATTTTTATTTTTCAGCGAAAATTTAATTGCTGATTTACGGAAACAGATAAGCTAATATCTAGATTTGATGAGAGCTTCGTCTTGCACATTTTCACCAATAACGAGCTAAATTAATTAAATAACCAGAAGGGCATCACTGCACGGCTAATATTACATTCATGATCGCTATTCTTGCCTGCCTACTGCATTCCTCGTCTCTCTTTTTCTTCTTGTTAATTATTCACATAGTTAATATTTTACTCCCTTTTCTTCTCATATCAATTTTTGTTGTTCCCGACAACGTATAAAAAAATTTTGTTGGTCGACATCATCGACATGAGTGATGGATTGATGAATAAAAATTCACGACACGACTTTCATCCTTTCCGATTCAAGATAGAAAGGAAGAAAAAATAAACGAGTTTCATTCAAAAATAACTTACTTGGCAAAAATCTCCTCAAGACTCGTCTCCTCGAGATCGAGCAAAAGAACAGCCTGAAAAAAAGATGGAATTCAATCAACTTCTCACTTGAACAAATTGACGTCTAAGCTTTTTTGAAGAAATGAAAAAAGAAGGTTTACCTTATTAAGCAAATGATCTATGTCCATTGTAGCGCGGATTTCCGATCCAAAATCTTTCATTGGTATCTTCTCATGTTTCGCATACATCAAGGTCACATTATCGTATTCATCTGAAATTAATTGCAAATAAATAATAATTATAATGAAAACATTAAGTTTAAAATTGCTCTCCCTACTTCCCGCATTGCTCCAACTCAAAGTGTCTAGTGGAGGTGTATCGGATTCGAAATCTCTATCGCCTTCTGCCAAGTAGGCCTGACTGCCATATTGGCTCAATGTCCTACTGGGAGATCCGCCGCGTGGACTTCCACAAGCACTGGATCGCCGATTATCTTGCTGTTCTTGTTGTACGCTTTTCATTGATAGCCAAGAGACTCGCTTCGTTAGCATTTTAGCCTTCTCTGCCGGAAGATGTTGTTGGTTCAATGACGTTGACGGAGCTCCGCCTAAACCCTTGATTACCTCGAATTGTAACGTCGGCTGTGAAGCCCGGCGTTCGAAGGTTTTCAAGGGTCTGAAGCCAATGGCAGGGGCACCTGTTTGCACAGATTTTCGCCGATTGCCAACTGGACTCAGATGGAGGCTCATAGCTGGGGGAGCTGGAGGAGGTGGCGGCGCTTCTTTCGCTTCTGGACAGGAAACCACCGATGATCCAGAAACGTTGGACACTCTCCTTTGTTCGGGAACGAATAACAGAGTATGGGAAGTACGACGAGCCATTATTCGTTGCCGAGGATCAGGGTTTTTAATATAAATACCCTGATTCTCTGCAAGCAGAGGAGAATCTTCTTGGCTAGTGGTCGCATAATCGAGTGTGCTTCTATAGGACTCGTCGCTGTGTTTGCGTAGAGTCCCGTTAGGCATCGTTGACACGAACACCTTAACGTTCGGCGTCGTCATACTACCAAGTTTGGACTAGGAATGGCGGGGTTAGGCCACGCCCCGGCCCTCTTCTCCATCGCTCGAGCTCCACCCGCCGCATGAGGCTTTAAGCGCAAGAGCAAGACGCAGAGACAACCAATATTATGGGTTGTTTGATGATGAATCCGATTTGCTAGCACTGGATGCGGTTTTCTTCTTTTTTCGTCTTCCTTTTTTCCCATTTTGCGAAGACTATTTTATGTTATTTTTAGTTTTCAAGATTTCAGTCTTCAATTTAAAACATTCTGATTTGGTTTCGATGGTATTTTTACAGTAAACATTTTTCAGATCAATAATGAAACTAGCGTAACAAAGAACTTTTTTCCACTTCTCCACGGAGCGATACACCAAGCCATGCAAATCTGATTCTCAAAAAAGCATACAACTATTTTTTGAGGAAAAAGAGAGAACCAGTGAAGTCCTCTCTTAAATTCAATTTATCTATTTATGCGTTTCAAAAAATGCTCTTCTTCTTATTCTTCTTTTATAAATTTATTCGAGTGCATATTCTATTGGAGTATGCTACTGACGGATTCTAATACTTCAATGTTTTTTTTCGATTGGCAAGTCAAAAACATTTGCAATGAGGAGGATGATTGGGGGGGATGATGATGATGAGGATGATGATGATGATGACACTTTATTTTGTATAAAAATACAAAGAGCACATGAATAGAAAATCAATAAATTCCGATTTTCGGTCTTGGCAATGAGAAATTTTCAGACAGAGCAAGGAAGATATAAAACAAGAAATGTGGCTGTAAAGCAAACAGTGTCTTAAGTATTGATATTTTCATGATATTAAGGAAATATGGTCTATTGATTAGTTTTGGCATGTAGTTTTTTTCAAAATAATGCATAAAACCTGACAAACACATGGAAGACAAATATGAATATGCTGGTGGAAGTTGGTTGTGAAATTTTTAAAAATTGTTTCACGTTTCCCAATTTATCAAATTAATTATTCAATTTTTTCGATAAAATTAAAAACAACTGATTATTTTTTAAACTGATTAGAAATGTTAAAATCTGTTCAATTTTGGGTGCGTGTGTTTAAGCTTTTCCCGACCGTACACGGATTTTCGATTCTTTATATCGTTTTCGTTATTTTATTTATAGGCAGAGCAGCTAACAGAAAATAAAGCCAGTTGTTTCGTTTTTGCTTACCATCATCATCTTCAAATTCGTGAACTGAGTCATCGTCGATCATATAAACGTGAGAAGCCCTTCGTTCTTCATTATGATGACTTTCAAGTGAATGGATTGTTGCAGATGTGCACGATTGGTGCATTTCAGAAGTTGACTTTGGTCTTCTGAAGTGGCATCTTCTAGGCGTGTTCGCTCCAGACGCCACAGTAGCTTCACTGTTCGCGCTGCCACTGGCATCTGAGTAATGCCTTCGTCTTGATTTATGCCCATTGCCACCGCTTCCGCTACAAGGTTTACTGGCACTTCCATTGGATAGTATTATTCCGGATCGGGAGCTCACTGGTTTCACAGTGAATACCCTTGATCTGCTCGGTACTTCACGCTCCAGACTGCTTTCAGAAGCCGTCTCGGTGGCAAACGAAGTTTCAGACGCATACTTTCGCAGTTTCCTATCTATTATCGATTTCGCGCAATTGGAAACCACACCCACGGAGGCAGTGGGCGGCGCACGAAATGTCAACGGTGCTGATGGCGGATCTGAACCGCCAAACGGCTCAAGTGCACTGTCCGAGTCTGGTGTTGTCATCTAATTGTTCATATATGGCTATGGTACGGTTCTGAAGTACGAAAATTGCAAGAATTGTTTAGGAAGCAATGGCGAAAACGATACAAGAAAATGTTACGAACAAGACATTCGAAGAAGCTTTTGTCGAAGACTGGCAATTGCAGAAAATTCAAATAATATAGGTCAAATTCAGCGTGAATTCTTAAGGCGCAAATGTTTTTCAAGCGACTTTGATGTATACTGTGTGTGTTTTGCGCGGTGTATGATTCGCAGCGAAACCGAAAAAATTAATAAAATACCCGTAACAAGAATGATGAATGTGATTTAGTCTTAGATCTTTATCTCTGCAATTAAAGTTTTCATTTTTCTTAATCCTAAACGCAAATGCTGAGGATAACTTACAAAGACACAAAAATTGATTGCGTTCGTATCTTCAGTATAGGCTGTACTCAGTTGCAAATTCAAAAGTCTTAAATTTTTTTTTTCAAATAAAAGAGTACTTGTGCAAACTCTCAACGTTTTCTCTTATATACTGTAGGATTTCTTGAGAATTTCTCAAAAATCTTTCTCACTGCTTTTTAAAGCTAAACTCTGTACTGTCGTTTACAGAGAAAATAGAACTTTCCGTTTATTTTTCCAGCGGCAAAAAGGTTTTTCCGAATTGTTTCCTAGTCAAATTTTTGTTGTTCCTCTCTAGTTTCGCTTCAATCTTTCTGCATCGCATTATCTCCCAACCGACAACAATTATATGTGAGGGTGGAGGATATCGCAAAAAAATAAAACACACACGCACATACACACACATGCCGGAGGGTTGGACGGATCGGACCATGAGAAATGTGAGAGAAGACAAAACTTAAATGAGGAACGAAAGAGAAAAAGAGTAGGAGAAGGAAAGGCGGAAATTGAAAACAAAAACAAGAAATACAGAGATAGAAATAATAAAGTTGGACAAAGGCTCCGTGAAGAAAAACGAGGAACTGGTGAATTGAAACAATAAAATGCTTTCAAAATATTAAAACTATGAATTTTGCTGATAGAATATTTTCATTATCATCAATGTGCTGCTGCACATTAAAAAACATTGTTTAAAATTTGAAACACGCAAAACAATTCATTAAAAAATTGACAACGTTTTCGTCTATCAAATTATCGAATCCAAAGCATATCGCACCAAGATGTACTACGGTATTTTCGACGCACAAAGTCCTCGTATGCGTAGTAAACGGTAGAAACAAATTGAAGATTTTACAAAAGTTGGAAATTTAATTTATATTAGACTTTGATTTCAATCAAGGGCTAAACATAATTTTTTGTGAAATTGGATGCCGATTTAGGTAAGCCGAAAATAATTAAAAATCACATTTCCTATGAATCCTTTTTTCCACAAAACGACACTCTTCAAAAGTGGCAACGGAGTGCGAATGGGTGAGAAAGGATGAGGAGTAGGCAAAATGTGTTGAGATTTCCATATTTGGTGTGTGCCTCCATTTTCGATGAGATGCGCGGGAAAACATACGCACATGGCCGATTGGAGCGGCAGCAAGGAGGTGTTTCTTCCAAAGCTTCTTCTCCCCCCCCCCCTGTTTTCTTCATTTTTTTCGCGGCATTGTTCCTTTGGATAAAATTTGGTTAGGTGGGTGCCACCCACACCACCTTCAATATTAAAAAAAATCTACAAGAACAAAAAATCAAGGCGAGGCTTTTTTGCAAATGCATCGCCACAAAAATAGAATAGCAATAGAAAGGAAAATTGAAACAGATAATATTATTAATTGAACAATTAATAAAAGATTTTTACAAAATTTGTGACGTCATAATTCTAAAAAGACTCAATTTTACGAGAAATGTCTTTTTTCAGGTCCGTGTATAAAATTTGAATATTTTATATCTTATTGGAAGATTTGCTAGATTGGATTTTGTTTTTCATCACATAGTTAGACGAAAATCTTTGTCGGGCCCGGAGCAAAGAGTGTGAGTGTGTCGAAAGGGGAGCTCAAGGATGAAGAGCTGGAGAAGCGCGAAAAATGAAAAAAAAAACACATAGAAAAACGACACGACTACGGCAACATTGATAGGTTGAAGGGTGAGAAGAACATTCATTAGGTGTATTCATTTCACAATTAAACTAGATGCATAATTAAACAAGTTTCGTTTTTATAAGGTTTGCGCGCATAAGATATAAATATGGGGGGAGGGGAATTCGTAGAAATATGGCGAATAAGTTTGATAGTTAATTTTAAAAATTTGCTGGGTTTAATATCCAAGTTGTAAGTCATCCATAGATGGAAAAGTATAATGTTTGAATAGAAATATTTCAGTTATTGAAACCGAATGATTTTTTTTCGCCAAGCACTCATATTCATGTCCGGGGAGGAAGCAACGCCCAAAAAATGGAGCATTGTTTGACGAATGTTGAACGACGTCATGTCAAAATGAATTCGTCGCGAGATATCTGCTCCTGCCGACACAACGTCGTTGTCGAAAATTCCAACATGCGAACGTGAAGAAATGGAAGAATAGTCAAAAAATAATAAGAGCAAAATGACAGATTAAAATCTCTACCCGTACTGACGCGAGTTTAATTGTTTTTTTTCGGATGTATTCAGCTTCTCACATTTGTTTTGGCATCAGTTGTCCCCAGAAGCAAAAATGTGTCAACTATTACAACCCGGCGGATATATAACGGCAGACTAATTGATCTTCCCGTCATGTGCCTTTAAAGACAAACTTTTACGACACGTTAGCGGATAATTAAAGTGCGAGTCTGGGACAACGGTAATCGGAGAAAGAAACGAATTTTGGCTACGTTTTAAACATTTTCAGTATTCACCATAACTATCTCATTTGGTTGGTAATGGATCCATTAAAAGCTTAAGGATTAAACTAATGGAGAAATAGACAAAACGAACGAACCCATGATTTCGAGTAATCCGAAAGCGAGAAAAAAACATTTATCGAACTAACAAAAAACTTCGAAAAGCAGTATTGTTAGCATCAGAGGGGTGGGGGATAGTTCGAAATACAACACAATCAAAAAAAAATTAATTAGGCGTTATGTCTGAAAATTTTAAAGGGAGAATTCGCAATTCGGTGGGAGGCACATCGTAAAACCCATAGCAGTAAATCAACAGTAATCGCAGAACGCCTACTAAACAAGATACGCAAAATTTTTGGTAGAACTCAGGTTTTTGTTCTCCTGGTTCGGATATTATAAATCGACGGCATAAATGAAGTAAATTTCCGGTTTCAATATAAAATTCGGCATTTCTTTTTTAATAGTGCGTACTAAACTCAAGAAAAATAAGGAGCGATAGGATTAGTAGTACTGCTTCTAGTAGGCAAAAATTGAAAGTCGTCGTAAAAATAGCATTGAAAAAATGAGAACTGGAGCTTAGAACCGAAGCAGAGCACAAAAACGAAACGAGCGATAATAAAACTGCTGAAAATTAATGAAATGCCAATGATGAGCGCATGTGAAGACCGGAGCAGAAACAAAACAACAAGAAATTAAAAAAAAATGCCCATTATTTGGTCATGTTTTTGCCTTCTATTCCTTGTTAAATATCTGGAATTCGAATGAAGAAGCCAGCCCGATGGATTTTCGTGGCGGTGCCCATTAACATCGCAAATATATTGCCGACTGCGTGGTAGGAAATGCATCTATTTGAAATTGTGATTCGAAAATTGCATGATTTTTGATTTTTTTTTTGAGAATTTTCGTTGATTCGCTTGACTAGAATTTTTGGGGATCTTAGATTTATAAAAAAATATCGATGAAAGAAAATAAACGAGAGTAATGTTATTCTTACAGGACAAATTTATTTCTAAGTAAATAAGATAATTTTCATTCAAAAGAGAGGAAAAATACTCGAAATTGCAATACACTTCACATGTCAGATACATCGTTCAAATTTCGCTAAAACCAAACGAATAAAGTGCTAGACGAATCAGAAGGAAAGGGCGAAAAAGAAACCGGAGAATGCGATGAGCATTGAAACTATCGATGATCACCTCATTCCGCGAGTCATGAGAAAAAGAGAGTACAGACATCAATGAAAACGTTCGAAGTTTGCCAGCCTTCGTCAGGTGGCGAAATTTTCGTGTTCACAAACTTTGCACATCACAACATGTACCATATATCCGAGGATGACAATATGATGATGATAGAAATGATAGTGATAATGATGATAAGTGGTGACGATATTGGCGATGGCAATGCTCGTTTCGTTTAAATGTGAAATCGGCAGAGAGGCGATGAGAACAGGGCACCGCAATTACAGCTGCTGAGGACACAGAAGAAGGAGCAAGAATAAAAAAACGTCGATGGCATTCGACAGGTGGCGACGGGCCGCATGATGATCCGCAAACGCAGCAATTTGTCATGCATTTCGTTGAGAAATGACGAAATTCTTAAATAACTCTTGCAACGATTTCTACTGAAATCTTACTTGTTAGGTGTTTTTTTTTGGTTCAACCCAATACTGTTAGTCACATTTTCTTTCAGAAAAAAGACGTACATACATAAAAGACATATTTAAACATCAAATTTTGTAAAAATTTTAATAAATAAACGCAACACGTAAAACTCAAATATCTAAAAAATTGTAAATACCGAAAATCCGCAAAAAATGTTCACAATAGTACTCGTCATTTTTGAGGAAACGACAGCCTAAAATGCGACTTCCTAAAATTCGTCGTGACTTTGCGGCCGCAGGAGGCCGCCTCTGCGCGACGTTAACCGGCTTATTTCCGAAAAGACTTGTGAGAATTTGAATTTTTCTTTGGAAGTGCTAGCTAGATAAAGGCACTGAATGAGAAGAATGGAAAAAGCACATGTGTTTTATGGAATTATGTTCAGAATTGGCCGCGAAATCGAATGAAATGCGGAAGCGGAAAGAATTTTCGTTCCACTAAAAATATTAATAGTACGCAAATCACGCGAAAGCTAAACTTTTAGCATTTGCCAACGCGAACCCAAATGAGTCTAGATTTTGGTTGAAGATCCATAATGTTTAGAAAAAACGATAAATAGAGATTTTTAGAAATCGAACAATTACAACTCGAGTTTACCAAAAAGTGAAAAGTGGAGTGAGTTCGCCGAAAGCAAAACAAATGTAAAAAGATGGGCCACGAGTATGTCGAAAAAATGGAAAACCCGGGTAAAATGGATAGAAGAATAAGACAAGACACAAAAAATGGTGAGAGTTGACTCTCCTCCACTTCAGAAAAGAAGCTGAAGAAAAATTTCTTCATTTTTTTTACAATATCATCTAAAGCTGATTGACGAAATATCAGCAATACCAAACACCAAATAGATGTCCGAATAATAAAAAGCAAAAAAGGGAAGATTGGACTTTTCTTTTTCGAAAATGTGAATAATTCCACAATTCAATTGAGGAGAGGTCCCGCCAAAAATCCATTCAACCGAAACACACAATAGGTTTTTTCTTCTACGTTTTTTTTGCCGAGTTCTTCAAAACTTCACTTCGTTTTTTACGCAGGCATAGTCAAAGTTTTCCAACGGTAATTCAATATTCGTGTACGCAACATGTTCAGCTCTTTGACAACGAAGATTTCAAGTCAAAATCGCATTCTTCTCGACCGAGTTTTTGCTTAAAGACCTCCATAATGGGCAGTTCGTATGAAAATAGTGACCGAAGCAAATCATTACTGATTTATTTTAAATTTTAGGTAAGAATCATCACTGGGCATTAGTCCGCGCGAGCACCCGTAAATCTACCCATATACAGCAGTAGCCGGGAGATGGTAGATTTTTATTACCCTATTTCAACAAGCTTATGATTCTATGTTACATAGCAATAAAAAACAGCTGAAAGCTGTGAAAATACTTCACCACATAAAAGGTGCAATAGGACAAAAAATTATATCCAATTATTAAATCGAGCCCTGGAGACAATTAAGAAAAAAGTTAGTGTTCAAATTTAATGGATTTCGATGTTAGAAAGTATATATTTTTTTGAAATTCGCGAGCAGAAAATGCCTAAATAAAACAATTCAACGAATGAAAAAAAAAAACAGAAAAGTTGCGTCAACGCTTAATTGGCCGGTTAGATAGGCAAAAAAGGTGTCGAATAGCGCTTCACACACATTCATTTATGTGCATATAAGTCTCGAATATCATTAGCATATATGTGAGCATTATTTTTCATTTTCACATAAATTTGAAGCATCTTCGAAAAATTACAGTAGGACATCATCTGTTTAGGGTTTCTTTTCAAGGAAATATGAACGTACAGTGTGGCTATATACAGCTGATGTTAGATAAGAAAACTCAACTAATATACATTTTGTTTCGTTTTAAAACTGCTTTTTCATTTGCGAATGAACACGCCGATGATATCAGAAAATATGACCGAATAGTTTTATTTTTCAGTTGACCAACCTATCATTTCATCATCATCCGTCATGTACCGAGTTTCATCAATACAAGATTCAGGTTCACTCCCTATTGAGGCGACGGAAGGAGAACTTCTGAAAATAGTAGATTTAGTTGGACTACCAAAATGGCATATGATATTCATTCATAAGCAGTTTCAATTTATATATGAATCTCAGAAAATTTGAATAGTGAAATAGATTTTAACAGAAATACAATAAAAACGTCTTAAAACGGTAAAAACTGAATACACATTTTTAATGGTTTCTTATGCGCATTCAAAAGTACAATTTGAAAAGTCTCGAATTTTAATAATTACCTCCCAGACAATCCAACAGGAACTCTTAGAAAACTGGTATGAAGCGAGTCGCCATCCTCATCTGAATATTTAAAAAATTAAATCTTGCTTTGGAATAGATTGTCATTCGCCAACTACATAAGGTCTTCATAAATAGATAAGTAAATATATGTATAAATATATATATCAAATTTGTAACCATTATTATTCCGACGCCTTCCACGCTGACGCCTTCCCGTCTTCAAAGAGGGATTCGTGTCTGATCGATGCAATCCGCCAAAGTCCCCCTCTTCCCTCATGCTTTGCCATCGAACAACGGGACGTCGAACACGCTGCTCTTCGTAGAGATCGTCTAGTGGCTCCGGCGAGCTCTCCGTCATTTCTAATGGGGAATCGAATCATTAGAGTAAACAGTGAAAAAAGGAAAAATTATTTGCAATAACGCTCGAAGAAAATTGGAAATTTAAAACAACATCGATATTTTTCTTTTTTTTAATTGAAGAAAACACTGAAATGACAGAGATATGTTTCTATAAATTGGGCCAATTAATCTCGACAGGCAACGTCTCGGATAGAATTTGAACTTTGATCAATATTAAGTTGATGGAAATACACAAACGAGAGAAGAACGAAGAAATAAAGAAAATTGACGATATCACAAAAAACTTCTCATGTTGTCGTCGGAACGATGGAAAAACACAGAAAACGCACACGGACCAGCCGGCCAAAGCCACGAAGAAAAATACGGAAAAATGTCGACATGACGACGTACGACCGGGCAGGAAATAGCGCTCCGGGAGGTGAGAGCACCCGTGTGGGACCTCTTGTCGTAACGCTTCAGTTTCTTCTCTTCATCTTCCTTCTGTCGATCGAGAGAGAGAGAGAGAGAGAGAGAGAGAGAGAGAGAGGGAGATTGAGTTATTGAAGTTTGCCGGTTTTCAGTAAGCAGAACGAGAAGTAGGCTGTATATCACAGACGAAAATAACATGAGTGCAAATTACTTGAAAAAATTGGAAATATCGTACAATTTTACTATGAGGATTACTACGGGACTGTTCTGCCACATATTTTTGTAAGATAATTTAGATTGTATTATATGTAGATTTTTATCGAGAATCCATAGCAATTGCGCATTAAAATTAAATTCAAATATCGTTTTTCTACACACGATGTTGAATTGCATGGAAAACTATCGTACTCGTTGTTTGGGCATTGAAAAAAATCATATAAAAGAAAATGAATTGGCAATTTGCCAAACGTTTCAAAAGTTAGTTGCCTTAACTCAAACTCGATCCTTAATGACATGACTGAGACAAGTCCTTGAAAATTTATGGGAAGAACAATACAATAAATATTTAAAGTAATTTAGAATAATGAGAAGGGAGAAGAAACATAAGAAAAAATCATTTTTGGAAAAGAATCTGAGAAAACGAAATTTGATACGTTTAAAATGAGCAATAAAGATTTCGAAGTTAATAAAATTACATTATTTAACGCACATAAGTAACCAAATGCAAGAACTAAAATATTTGACAAGGATACTGCTCTCTTTTTCTTTTCGTGCTTATTTTTCTTCTTTTACTTTTCGATTGATGTCCGGAGAACAAAATCAGGTCCCGTTGGGAATTCAAGTTTTTACTTGCGATGAGTTTTTAGCTCATGCTTTTGCCGCGCTTAACTAATGCACGATTTCAGAACGCAAGTATTGCATTTTCGCGATAGTTCTCGCTCACCTGATAAATTGAAGTGCGCCCGCGGGGCCGGAGAATTTGAGCGAGTAATTTCAATTGGTGGGACGGTTCCGTTATAATATAACTATAAAATAATTTATGATTAGAAGATTTTGCGACTTGTATCTTGAAGATATTAAAAACGTTGTTTCATATCTTGTTCGATTTTTTTACTTGAATAAAAAAATTTAACCTGCTGAACATTATAGATGCTTTCCCAACCGGTCGTAATTGAGTTGTTATCTTCCATAAAAAAATAATGTGTAGAGATTTGAGTTGAATTTCAATTCTTCTGCAAAAAATAGAAAAAAGGTCTTAACTAATTTCGATTAAGAGGTCATAGAAGAGAATAAATTTTGGCGCAAACTTCTCAGCTGTGAAAATTGCATTTCCGGTTCCCAACAAAACTTAAATTAGCGCGACAGCTTTTTCGAAACACTGTCGAAATCAGTGATCATTAAGTTTGAAGAAATAATTAAATGACGTGATAATAAAAATGATGATATCAGTTTTAGAGGGAACAAGAAAAGTGGGAGATCTCGAGCTGCCGAAAAACGCTCATCTGTCACTTCCATCGATTAATGGGAACAAATTAAGAAAAATAATGCAGAATGTCAGAAAACAAATAGTTCGAAACAACTGTTTTTTTTTTTAATCTTTTTCAGCTTTTGCCAGTCAAGCTCAACTGAAAATTTCTAAGTAATTGAAAAGTTTTTTTAATAGTAATTGAAAACAACTTTGAGCCTAGCAAGCAGGCGCGACAAAATATTTCGAACATTTGAAAATCAATTTCTTTCCTAGAAATATTTAAGTTGAAGAATTATGTAATTTATGGAAATTATTCTGCAAAAAGAATATTCTAATGTGCAAGTTAGTAAAGAGCCAAATAAATACAAAGGTACGCTACGCACTTTTCACTTTTTTCGAGAAACTCGAAAAAATGTTTGCATTTTTTGTAGAAATTATTTTAAATAGTCTCATAGATTTACCAGTGGTATAACCTATGCATTGTTTCGTCATCCGAAAATAAGAACATTTTTCTACGACGACGTGACAGTGTGAAAGGAACAATATCAAATTTCAGTTTCATTTTTTGCTATAGGAGACTTTCTTAGAGACAACGAGAAATGGAAAAAAATAATACGTTGTATTCCGTGAAAATCAAATAATCAAACAGTTATTCAAAAAAAGTTGAATGGTTCCTCGGAATCACGCTTTTTGGCGTCTGCGGAACAATGAGATTTCTGCTTTCATTACTTTAGAAACATGAAATCTTTCCCTAATTCCAACAAGTTTTAATTCCACATCCTGAATTAAGGTATTGTCGGATTCAAGCGAATAAAAAATTATCTATGTGCCATTGTCTCGAGTAAGAAATGTGCGCATGTAAGTGTACTCTGCATTTTAATGTACGCACAGATCACAATTTTGTAAATCTACATTTAATTCGTAAAAATAAAGTTTCAGCAACAAAACACGAGTTTACAAAAGTATTGATAAAATTTTGAGTTTGTGAAACTGAATTAGTTGTTAAATATATTTTTAAAAATAAAACTACATATAAAAAGAGTATTCGCCTTCACGTGCGTGCTGGCGCGCGTGTTTGTGTGTGCATGCGTATGTATCACTGCTCGAATAAAACAATTGGAAAAAATAGTGGAAGGAGAAAAATGCACACCCCAACGCACACAAAAAAAGAAAAGTTGGATGATGATGATGAGTGCGACTCAAACAAGGAATTCTGTCTCAAACAAGTGGAAAGTTGTCCAATCGTTTGGTCCCCCAAGAATTTGCGCCAATTTTGTGCAATTTGGCACCAATTTTTCATGTGAACTGAATATTATTTGCCAAATTGGGAGATATTTCAAAAGGTAAATTTTTTTCTCCACAGTGTGAAAGAATTACAAAGTGGAAAATAAAAGGACCATTGTTATCTACAACTGCTAACAATTGAATCAATGAAAACTAAAATATATGCAAAAAAAACTTTTTCAATTACAGGGTGCGGCAAAATTACGGGAGCATAATTTTGGCGCAAGTTCATAGTACACTGTCGCATTTTTTGTGCAGTTTTATGTTTTTATCTTATTTTCTATGATGTTTTAATAATTTTCTAAAAGTTTCATGAAAATCCGTTTCGAATTACAAAAATGACAGCTGATTCTATTCATCGTACGGCCATCATCGTTTTGAAAAAAAAAGGGAACATCGTTCAAGATTATTTCTAAAATCCTTGGAGTTCACCACAACACCGTACAAAGAACTTGGAAACGCTTTGATGAGATAGGAAGACTCTCTAGCCGTCCTAGAAGAGGAAGAAAGCATTTTTCAATAACGCCGGAGCGAGTCAAGGTCATCAGGGAACGAGTTCGTCGAAATCCAGATCGTATCATCAGAAAGATGGTGTCAGATGTCCATGTAAGTCCGAGATGGTGAGAAAAATTGTCAAAGATGAGCTGAACCTTATTGCGTCAGAAAGGCCGCCATTCTAACTGAAAAAATAAAGAAGGTCGAATGAAAAAGTGCAAATCGCTCCTAGAAGCTGTTTATGGCAGAAGCTGCTTTCAATCTCCAAAATCACAGAGTGATCGCCAGAAAGTCTAAGGAAGCTATGAACAAAGGTAGAACCATTCATCGTGTTTCTCATCCTCAGCAGAGCATGGTATTCGGTGGGATCTGCGCTGACGGCAAGACACCATTGATTTCGTTGATACCGGAGTGAAGATTGATCAAAATGATCTTAATGAGATTCTGAAGAAGAATGTCCTTTCCTGGTCCCAATCTAAATTCGTAAATCGATCCTGGACTTTTCAACAAGACGGAGCGCCTGCACACCGAACCAATATCGTTCAAGACGGGTGCGGCAGCCATTTTCCATCATTCATCAAGTCAACGGATTAGCCCGCTTCGTCGACCGACCTGAACCCCATGGACTATTCTGTCTGGGGGATCTTGCAAGAGAAGGTGTCAGCTTTCCCACACCCAAATATGAACTCATTGAAAACTGTCCTTCTGAAGGAATAGGACAAATTGGACGCCAAATACCTGCGTGCCACCGTTGACGCCTATCCGAAGCGTCTGAAGGAAGTTATCAAGTATCGCGGCGGAAGAATCGACCAACGATAATAAATTTGTGATTGTTATGTGTTGAATAAATTTTGAAATTAATTTGAAAGAGTTTTGTTGTTTTTTTTTAAAGTTATTACGTTTTATTGATGCACCCGTAATTTTGTCGCACCCTGTATATATACATATGTATATATATAAAGTATCATAATATTATATCTGAGAAAAAAAATATAAATTTTTATCGAGATCCAAAAAACGCTACCATTCAAAACCTACAAGCCTAAAATTTAAGCACAATTAAAGGAGTGATATCCTGGAAAGGCGGTGCGGTTGGTGTGGAAAGTCGTGCTGTTCGCACAATTGTTTGGACTCCAACCTTTCCAGGGCGCACCATCACATGTTGCGTGCAGGCGTCATCCCAAGAAGCTTCATTCCTTCAGCGAGAACGTTACGGGTTGCGGAAAATAATAAATATCGTGGAACGGCGATATCTGTGGGTTGATCTCGAACTCTTAATTGATTTTGTACAGTTGCGACGGTTTGTGCTATTTGAATAAGCTGAACGGTCAATTGACAAGGCTCAAACTTTTCGATGCTCGTTTCAATTGACTGCAAAAATAGCATTTATTGGGTTAATAAAGCATGTTTAATACTTTCTCGACCTGCTCCAACAAAAAAACTAGTTTCTTAACATCATCATTGACATCGACTCTCGGAAATTCCTTACATTCGTCGACAAATGGAAGAAGATGCTCATTTTTTGTTTCAATTGATGACAGCCTGCTGTGTTTGATCTGCAATTACTTAGATATTCTTTAATATCTAGCAAGTGACGAAACGTGCCTGGAGTGCCAACGCATTATTTTGGTTGAGTGCAAACGCGTTTTGAAACGAAAATTCATATTCCGAGTTTCTTGCTCGTTTGAGTTCATTGAATATAACCGTAGAGATGGATAAAACTTTGGAAATCTAACGAAAATGGAATTTTTAAAATTACTAAACCGTTATTATAGTCGGCGTCCGTCTACCGGCTGTACTTCGATATATTTATGTGCAAGCGCCTTTCGAAAGTCTCGTCATGTGTGAATTCTTATTTTTAATTATCATGTGAACAATTTAATTTTTCTTCACGAGTATATCATTTCCTTAAATACTCAATATCGTTGAAAAAATATATGCTCACCAAGAAAAATTAAACTGTTCATGTGAGAATTTAAAAATAAGCATTCACAGCATTTACGAGACCACTTTGAAATGCGCACCCGTAAATCTATACGCGTACCGTAGTAGCCGACAATCGACTATACCTCTTTTTCAACAAAAGGATCCAAACAGAATGTTCGCGATGATTTCATGAATTCCAAAGCCAGTTCACAGCCACGATTAATAATTTCGCTGACCGCTTCGGTTCTCCCATTTCTCGTTGACAAACCACGAACTCGGCCATATTGTACATGTTCCACTTTTTCTGCTAAATCTTCTTTACCCATTTTTTCGAGAATAATCTTAAAACATTAAATTATATGTAAGTATTCTAAATGTTCACTTTTAATGCTCTGAAATGCTGCCGCTGCGCTCGATCAACAACATAAAGATATTTATCAGCTTTGAAAAAATCATCTCGTTCCAAAACTGCAGCGATTTCTCTTTAAAAAATACTTTATAGCAATAATGTCTCTCAAAATTATCTTTTAACCTGGTCAAATACAGACTAGTGCTGTTACTTTTCCTGACAATCGCGTATCCATTATCTTTATCATTATTTTTGTCGCCAGTGTTTACAATTAAGCGACCGTCCAGATTTTCAACAATCTGAAATCCATAGTTTTAAAATTTTTAAAATAACAAAAAATTAACCTTCTTATCAATTAAATCTTGCACAATTTTGTGCGCCATTCGTACTCGACTCGATTCATGCATATACCTGCAAAATTTCTTGTTTAATTGGAGTTTTTTTTAAATCATGAACCTATCAAACTTGACATCGAACATCGTGTAGAATTCCTTTAAATGTTTCATTGAGATCTCTCTAATTTGACCCCAAAGTTTAAAACAGTCGGCAGATGCATTTCCAACAAGCATTGCATTTTCCATTTCGATAAATTGCTGATGCACTGCGTTTCGAAAATCTTCATCTGTTTTCATGTTCTTGTTCGCGATTACGTAACAATCGGTGAGCATTTTGATTTTCTCCTCATCGCTCAATCCTTTCCAGTACTGATCAGAAGGTCTCATTTGTGGCCAAAACACGGATATCATCGCAAATTGGTTTCCCCAATCCCCCAAGTAATTGACAGAAGTCACCGCGTTTCCTATCAATCGATTTGTCTGAAACAATAATTTTTAGAAGAAAGAAAAAGGATAATTTAACCGTGTCCAAATATCTACCAATTAAAGTTGATCGTAAGTTTCCAATGTGAAATCTCTTCGCAATATTAGGAGACGAATAGTCGATACAAATCCTTTTTTGAGAAGCTAACAATTTTAATTAGACCGCTCAATTTAGCAATGAAAACGAAATACCTTTTTCTTGTTTCTGAAACAATGCTTTCAGTGCTCCTGGTCTTCGCAAATGTTGAAGCATTTGAACACTAACTTCTGCGTTCATCTTCAACTAAATATGAACAAATTCAACATAAACATGTGAAAAATAAAAATTTGGGATCAGAAACTGATCGGAACAGCTGTTGTTTTTTCTCGATTGTTGAAAGAAAAAATATTTCAATGCTTTACCGACAATTTGCGTCCAGCTCTCATCATTATTAAACTGCTTTATTTCCATAAAGAAGTAAGCACCAATATTCACAAGAAATAATATCATTAGAACCGTAGAAATACATGAGAATATATATATAAAATAGCGATCCAAAGTATACAAACAAAATAATACAGTGCTCATGACTCAATGAGATGCTCCTGATCATCCTGGTATTGGATGAGCTCGGCGTCTCCACCACAAATGCAGAGCCAGAAACGAGCGCACGAATGACTTCCTTCCAAATTCGGCAAGATATTTCTTCTGAACCATGGACCAACGAGAACATCGTTATATATAAGTGTTCCGAGAATAAGAAGACCAAAACCAATGAGCTAAAACAAACAAATCGTTTGAATTTTTTAGTTAATTAATTACCTGAATAGCAATGAACTGCTCTCCGAATAGTGGAATCGACACCGCCCAGATGACAAGTGTTCTGATAGAATCGAGAACCATTCTGGTAGTTGCGGACAGTTCTTTGGTAACAGAAACTCCGGCAAAGTTGAAAAATGCAATGCTAACAACGGTTCCAGAAAGAGCCAATGCGATCATTGGTTCTTCTTTAATTTCTTGCCATGCGTAAAATACATCCTGAAATAAATAATTATATGTATATTAAAAGACAGGAATTTTCAACCTCCAAACGTCCTTCTGGATTTGTAGAAAATGTTCTGGGCACATGGATATAATAGAAGGGTACCATCAAAATTGACAATGTAACCATTCCAAAAAGACCCTCCAGTCCAACAGCAAACAGGGCAGGAACATCATACTTGGTCAAATACTTCTGTTCGTAGACCATTTGAATTGCAACAATAATCTGAGCCATAACAATCAACAAGTTTCCTACAAATAAATTTAAGCTTTCAAAAACGTGCGAAATGTACCAGTAATAATCGCATTCTTATCGTCAAGCGGATTATCATCGTAATAAATGTCGGTGACACCGACAACAACCAAGCCGGTCATAACGAAAAGCATTCCGAACCATTTGAACGGTTTGATGGTAGCATTAAGCATTCCCACAGATAGCAAACCTGTGAAGATGATTACTGCACCGCGGAGCATTTGGAAGCTTGAAGCAGTCGTCAAGTTGAGACCAATATACATGATTGAAGTTCCGAGAATATCGCATAGCGCAGGAGGGAAAAATAAGAAGGGATTAAACGGAGGCAACGTAGGCTCCTCATCAGAAGTAATATCGGTCACGCTGCCATGCTCACCTAAATAATCATAATTTGCTATTAGATTTTGACCTAAATATTTTAATGGCGTACTTCTTGGCTATCCGAATATGTTTTAAAAATTATTTGGCTTTGGAAATGTTAGAGAATATACAAAACTGCACTCGCATTAAAGAAATCAGTAATAAATGCTAATAATGCATGCTTACCTTGCACATTTGAGCGATTCCATTGATGTTTTTTGTACATAAATATGAGAAAGAACACTACCAGGCACAGAAACTCTCCAAAGAACATACATGTCGCCTATGAATTAATGAGTTCTGAATCATTCTTAAATAGAAACTATAAACCTGAAGAAACGGATGGTTAAATGGAACCCCCTCAGCCTTGATGCTGTCGGCCCATTTAGCACAAATGGTATTTAGCGATCCGGTGACTACCATCATTACCGAAATGACGACCGCAAAGGCCACCATCTTCAGTCGAACAAGAGAACTGAAGCCTGCAAATGTCTTTTATGTTTACTGGAATATACTTTGTGTAAAAATACAGTAACAAACAAGCAGATCAATTATGATTCTATGACTAATATAAACGCAGACAAAAACCAAGGTGAGGAAAAGAAATTTTCAGAAAGAATTTTCCATCCAACCTCATTATGCAATTGTACACAAGAGAAATAACGAGAAGAAGCGTAGGTGAAGTTGTTATCTATAGATAACTATATAATCGAGAGGTCAATTGCTGATAAAATGATAAATGGAGCAGTTTTCGTGGAAATCAAACGTTTAAAATTACAAATGTTTCGAAGACATACTTTTATACTAACGTTATGACTCACACAGATAAATTTCAATTATTTTACGGAAGAATTACGAAATTTTTGCGTTAGAAAAACATATCAACACAATTCACAAAGAAGACGCAAAAAAATACTGCATCGGCGATGTTCACGTTGTCTGTGAAACAAGCGTCGATATGGACACATGCGACGAAAAAGACCCGTCCACGGCCACGGCCATCATAATATTAATAATACATGTATATATATATATATGGATTATCAGGATAATCAAGACATCAAATCTTCTTGGTGCGTTAAGATTCTTTATGGAAAAGATTGATATTATTTTTTGAACAAATGTTTATCGAGTTGTCATTTGCAGTATGCACAATACGATTTATACAAGAAATCGTATCTCTTCACCATACGCTCCGGTAACTCAAAACCAAGCGGATCCGATTAAATTCGGCTCTGGAATCATTCTTATCCCATTGGAAATTCTGCGGATAAGGTTGTAAAATTGTCTGATCTCATTGGATATTTGTTGGATCTCATTGGTTATTATTCGAATCCGTTTTGTTTTAATTTTTCAATTCGAATTTTACAATCTTATCCACATAATTTCCAATCGGATAAGGATGATTCCGGAGTCCAATTTTGTCGGATCCGATTAGTTTTGAGTTAGCAGAGCGTATGCTGAAAAGATACGATTTGCTCTTATTGTGCATACTGCTTCATGTCGTAATATATCTAACTTACAGTATGCTTAATACAACACATTCTGCAAAGTAGTTTTTAAGCATAATAAAAAGTTAAAAAATAAGAATCCAGAGATCAAATGTTATTTCTTCACAACCTCATTCGAAATTTCTTAATTTTCATATAAGCATGTTTCATTTTACTATATGAATTCCTAGGATTTATGCGCGAAACTACGTGAACATAGATTAGATCTTCCTCCACCTTTAGGCTTGATGACCTCCTTCTCTTTCATACAGTAAGACACTGAAACCCATTTCCTAAGCCATTATAAACATGTCATATCGATACATTTAATTGCTCATCAATCCCTTCACTCCTGGTTTATTTATTTGAATTAATTGAAGGTCTCCCCCTTCTTGTTTTCCTATTGTCGTGCTTAGACTGTCAGCCGGGAGGAGCACACTAATGAAGATAAAAGCGGTTCAGATGAATGATAAGTTTGTTGACATTCTTAATTTGAATTATGACCGCGTAGTCAAGCAAATAAGATGCCCGCAATCTCGCAAATTGGACACTAATTTTGGGTTTTGCTACCATCCATCTGGCGATGTTTGACATCTGAATAATTGAGTTTTCACTTGATTAAAGGTCAAAATAGTAAAATTCAAGAAGTTACAATGCTAAAATATCATTAAATAGTGTTATTAAAAACAAGTCTTCCCTATTTCTATAAATTTCTACAACCTTCGTTTAAATTCGGTGCGCAGTAAATTGCGCAACACGTCCCCTACGCTCATTCTCAATTTTCGCGAATCTTCACCCAATATCCCTTGAGAAATGCCATAAATGTGGCCCAATTGTGCAACACCTCGAATATCCCATCTTCGTGCATCTTTAAAATTAATAATAATGAATGCTATACTAATAATGCGCTTGCTCGAGTCTGGGTCACTTCTGGGAGTGATCATTTCCTGAATAATATATTCGAATTATTATATTGCGTGGCGGACCTCCTCAAAGAGAATTAATAATGTTTCGAGGAGAGACATTTGCATATATTGAATTTTAATTAATTTTGGTGCCACCAAATTTTGATTCCAATTTTCCGTGTTATTGATGATGGGAATCACGTTCACATAGTCTACAGAAATGCACAGAAAATAAAATTTTTAAGACAAGACAGTTAATGTTGAATGTTATGAACTTGTTTATGCAGTCACGTTTGTCATTCGAGCTTGTTGTTAATTATGTAACTTCATCGAGTATGGATGCATTTCTAAGTTGATGACAATTTAATGGCAGAGGTCGAGAAAGTCATGTAATTAATGAACTCTGTGAAATAACTTTTTTATCGAATGGATTATCGATTGAAAATTATGATTTAGGTGCCATCAAAGCTCCGCTTCAACCAAAACCACGGTGAAGAGCGCCACGAATAGTGTTATTTACCAATTGTGAACGATGGCGGTATCATCCTTTATGAAGTGCTCCCCTGCTGTCATATTGGGTTGGGACCGACATTGTGTCAATGATACCTATGCGGATTACTCATTGTTCACCGCATTCATTTCAACCGACATTCAGAATCGACCAAAATTGTTTTGTCTGCATTGTAGCCCAAAGTGTTGAATGAGAGAAAGCGATGATGGAATTGCGATTCGTTGGTCTGTCCTTCAAAAAATCAATGTCCGCCTCGTTTGACTGCTCGTCTAATTGCCTTCACGCATATCGTTTTACTCATTTAAACTGGATCGTCATGTAAAATATGAATTCTTTTCTCTAATTGCATGGTTCGAGTGTCTTAATCTGAATGCACGATTTTTCAACATTAATGGACTGATACTATCCATTTTTATATTTAATAAAAAAAAACTCGTATATATTCTTTTAATACTATAAATTCGAAAATTTTTAAAATCCAACTAATAAGTCTCACAAGCCCATTTACCTATGGTTTCTTCAACCAGCACATTTCCGAATCTGTTGTAAATTATTCACCAATATTGGATAGTATTGGCGGCATCTATGGTTTACGACCCTCGATAGTCGGCGCATTTCTAAGATGTTTTGGCTCCTTCTCAAAATGTGTGCGGTTGCGTGGCATTGTACTCTCAATTTTCTATATATTATTAATTATCTTGCTGGTTGTCTTTTCCGCTACCATTCAAAGAAGGTTCATCGTGGGGTTCGAGAGTTTGCCTCTAATTATAGGGATTTTTGTCGGTTTTTCGCGCATTATTCCAGTGTCGGATTTCGGTTTGTTCACACATTAGAACAGTTATTATTGCATTACTGTATATACCTGGAATAGTCGACGTACGAAAAAAAAACCTTTTTTAAGTAAACCAATTCAGCAATACTTCACATATGGAAAAATCATTATTAATAAATATGTCCATTGATTCAAACTCGTTCATCTTTTGCTTCGTTTTTTCGATCAAATAGTTGATTAAATGTTGAAGTTATTTGTTTGTAAAATTAATTAAATTTAGCATGCGTTCTGCTTGCTTGTTACCCACGATGACTCACTTGCGTAGGGTGTCTGAATATATTTGGGAGTGAACATTTTCCGTTTGAATAGCTTTCGGGATGATCAGCTGGTCCATGGTGTTGGTTAGCGGCATTGGTATAACGCTAATTAGTCGGTACCCATATGGTGGCCGGATGTGCGCTATGCCATACATATTCCCATGTGCTCTAATGTGTTAGTTGCTTTTGTCGGAATGAGTCGTTGCATAACATTGAACAATGTTTTTCTAGGTGAAAAGATAACCATCTCGGGGGAGAACACAGGAAGTCTCTTTTTGATCTAGGCATAATTGGGACTAATTGCAGGCCAAAAATTTTCTATTTTAAATATGTCTAGTCCGCCCTTGTCACTTTAGCTTTTCGTGCTCTTTTCCTATTCCACTTCACACTTTCGGCAACACAACGACCCGGAGCAGTCCACTTAATGAAATTTGAGAACTACATTAATCATTTCGTCAGAGCTACAACATGTTTACGTGCTCCATTTCGTTCGGAACATTGCGACTTTGTAATAATTGCGCATCGATCACAACGACGGATACGAGAAGTGCATCACGTGTGTGTTTTATACACTTCTTATATTGTGATTGAAACGTCTTGATGAGCAAGTCTCGCATTGTATAAACAAGAAGCCAATTGTGGAGATTCGAATTGGATCCAACCGTTGTCCCACACCTAACGATTGTCGGTATAAGTTTTCTCACGCACAACGACAATTTTTGGGTACTGCAATCCTTCTCACAAGTATAACATGTGAGAACATTTGTCGGTATTGTTCCGCATCTACCGTCATTTATTCGAAAGTTTACCATCGTGTGTATATTTGAAAGAGATCTAATCATCACTCCATATATCAATTTGTCAGTAGTTAAATCACAACGGGTGGTCGTATATTGTTTGTTTTGATAGTCAATTATGTTTATGTTTGACGACGTTTCTTCAACATATTCACATTTTCTTATTGGGGAATTTACAAGTGTTTCAAGCACGTGTCAATTATTAATAATCTGCAATTATTTATATGTCATTACAGTCAATTGGTGTAGTTTTAGAATAAAGAATCAGGTACTTTTTAAGTGGAGGTTTAGTTTAAGTTTAAGTTTTTTTTATGTTTTTGAAGAAAAAAAAGAGTCCCTTTTTATCTTGATTTTCATATATATATGTATTATTAGTATCTTAATACATTATTGAAACTACATCTTGTGTGGGCCCTTCCAATTATATTGAGCCGAGAACAATAGAAGTGGTTCTGGCGAGAATCATATCCTCATAATTTTTATTGCGTCTAATTTCAGTGCGTCACGTTTGCTTCCAGTCGCGTCCGATTGTATGTATTGTTGTGACATGGAGGCATACGGGGGCAACGCAGATGTTGTGATTACAAGAAGAAATATGGCTGATGTTGTTGGGAATACGGTAATTGCGGGTTTCTCCAATGTCCGCAGCAATACGCGTGTTATCTGATTTGCTAATTGATGTTGTGCAATATCCGCTTATTACTGTGACTCGATTATTCCACTGTCTGTTCAATAGTTCCTCTAGAAATCAGAAAATGCAATACATTTAAATCAATTCTTATTTTCTCTGAAATTTCTTTGTAGATTGAAGTTGCTATCAAATTTTTTGATAAGAAAATTTCACAAGTTATGCGCATTTTTTCTATCAAATTCAGATCCTATCGAATAAAAATAAAACTGTTCAAATGTTTGTCAAATTCTTCCATTATTTCTCCGTTTATTTCGCACCACAGTCGATCGAAAAGAGGCGGTGCGCTTAGCCACGCCCCCTTCCTGACATGCCGGCCGTCAGTGTGTATGTATATTCACGATGGACATGCCAATTAACACGAGGCGGTCGGTCTATACGGGTCACTGGTTTCGAGTGATCCAGCTGGTCGCAGCTCTCGTCTACAGGTCTATCACACCGTTCCCGTTTCTTATTTATTCTTTTTTTTTAAATTCGTTTGTTCAAAAACCCTAATTTGAAATACGATACCAACCTACAAACTTAGATCTCTTTCCACTATTTCGGAAATCTATGTTCCTTCCCTAAGTTAAAACGAAATAGGATATCTTTACCAACTCATTGCCCACTTTGAAATTGAATTCCCACAGATATCCAATAATAGTATCTATCGTTATTAATCTTTATGGAGCCGTAATTAAAAACCATCTAGTCGGTCATAAAACGCAGGCAAATCGTAAAGTGTTTTATTTATAGCACGATGTTGCTTATTTTTGGCATGTTGTCCAGTTCCAAGTGTGCAATTCTGAAGGTCTACACTTCTCGGAACATCGTTTGATGCAGCGCTCTTCGTAACCGAAACCAAATCAAAATAAGAAGAGTCACTCATCGTCTCCTCTCTCGTCGAGCCACGATCAAATTTGTTGGCCACTTGTGTTCACTAATTACAAATTCGAACCGCATTCATGGTCCCATCCGCCATCTTTCCGCCCTGCGACATTTCGCGAATGTTTATAAACACGAAAAATGTTTATACAGACTATGTGTCGCTTTCAATTAGGCCGCCGCCAAAAGAAGAAATGAAATCGTCTTTTTTCACATATGCAAATTACGCATTTGCCCTAGAGGGCTTTGAAAACGAGAAATCCTAATAACAAATAAGTGAAATGTGTTGCTAATCCTTCTCGTCTTCGTTTCGTCAAATTCTTGACCAAATGACAGATACAATGTATATTTTTACAGATATCGAAAAATGCATCGCGTTACTCTTTTTCTCTTCGTCGTTCCATTCATAAGTGCCGATATGAGTTCAGTTCGCTTATTCGATTCGCCATTGCCGGCGGATTACTGCAAAAACGGTGGTACTCTTGTTGAGGTGAGCAACATAATTCAAATCGTCGTAGGACATCCGCGCAACATGCCAACATGTAAGAGGGATTAGCAGCGTGTGTCACGGCGGGAGCCTATCATCAATTGGGTCCTCGAAAATCTGTCATCTTTTTTTTAATAAGAACCTCATGTTTTATTTAATTTGAAATTATTGATATTCTTTGTAGGGAAAGTGCGAATGCACAATGCGATATGAGGGATTGCAATGTGAACGCGAGCGATGCCTCAACGGCGGACGTCGACACTCCATAAAAGGAGTGGTCAAATGTCATTGTCCATTTGGTTTATCTGGCAATCGATGTGAAAATGTCACATATTGCGAACCGGGAAAAGGTAGAACATTTTACAAGCGAAGTTTATATTAGTTTTTATCGTTAAGGAAAATTGGCAAATGGAAAGTGCGAATGTTTCGAAAGATGGACAGGGCTCTTCTGTCAGTCACGTACATGCTACAATGGTATCCCAACGGGCGGTCTTGATGGTTTCTGCCTTTGTGATCTTGGATACACAGGACCTTTCTGTGATACTCCACTGATTTGCGAGAACGGGGGTAGTGTGAATTCTGTAAGAAAATTTTGAACGACAAGTGTAACTACGTAGGCATATTTTTTAGAATAACGAATGCTCGTGTAAACATGGTTACACTGGAGAGCGTTGCGAGTCTTGCTCTTTGGGCTTCGTCAAAGACGGGCAAAAGTGTGTGCAAGAAGTATCGGAATCTTCCCTTCTAGCACACACAGGAACCCTAAGTTCTCGTCCGTTCGCATGGCCAATTGTTCTCATGGGATGTGCTGCCGCCCTTGCCTTGGTCGTTCTCGCACTCACCGTAATTCTCGCAGTTCGGAAATGGAGCGCGAAACCGTCACGAGTGAATTCCGTTCAAGGAGATCCAGAAAATGGAACCGACGTCTAAATAATTTAGATGAAATTCATCGACATTTCCGGTTTCATGCTTTCATTGTTTTTATCTGGTCTTCTCTTCGCTAATTCCATTGACAGATGAAAAAACTTTTTTGTACATAAGATAGTCACATATCGCTCAATATGTCGCATTTTGTTTTATTTATTCAAACCTCCTTTCAGCTATATTTATTTCTTCGCAGATCTACTGGTTTTCACTAAATCTTTCTTGCTTAATTAACAGATAATTTTTGTGTAAAACTTATGTAATAATAATAAAGTTTTAATTATATGAAGTAGATAAATAAAATCATAGTTAAAGCTCAGTTTGAGTATAAAACAAGTTGTTTTCGACTGTTTTATAAAGAAATCTCGGTTATAATTCAAAAAAATGATGACATGTACACCTTCATTTGACAAAAGTTGCTTGTTTTCGATGAGATTTAATCGTCGTGTTTCCTGAAAAATTATTTTTCTGATTTTCGAGCGTCATTATTTTCACCTGCATCGTTTTATGATAAACCAGTGTTATTGAGCTTGTTATTTTGAAGCCAGTGGATTTATGGAAACATATTTCTCAAATAATTACACAAAATGCGTTCAAAATACAAATTATTTAGCTTCTGCTGAATTCTTACGTGACACTTGTCATTTAGGATCAACTATTATGATTCTATTATCTGTTTATGTTTTATTTTTAATGGTGAAGCGTTCACCAAAGTCTATGAAGTCGTCAATTCCTCATATGATCAATTTACATATTTGGACAATGGTATGCGATTTTACGTTTGCTGTTTTGGTTCTTCCCTATTATTTTCTTCCTTCGGTTAGTGCAAAATTACTTGGAGTTTTTTCTTGGCTCAACCTGCCAAAACCATTTCAAATATGGACTGCTTTCGCGGCACTCGGAGGTACATCAGTAGTGGAAAAAACGGATGTTCAAATCCGATAGGTGATACGCTACTTTTTTTTTTTTTGAAATTTTGCCATTAAATTGTGCTATATACAGTGTTGGCCATAATTCTCTCCAAAACCACATTTTCAGTCATAACTTTTTTCAAAGTTAGCCGATTGATCTTAAATGTTTTGACAATGTTTCTGACGCTATGTCCAACTAATTCACCGATCCACTTCTTTAAATTTCAAAAAGAAAATAAAAAATTGCAATTTTATTGAAAATTGAAAAAAATTCAAACATGAGGCAGCACTCAATTTTATCATTTTATAGCTCATACCGGTATTATTAACCCAAAAAAAATTATTTGACGCTAATTAGTACATTTTGCGTAGCCTTTTGAGTCAATAACAGCTTGACATCTTCTTGGCATCGAATCTAGAAGAGCCTCAAAAACACTGATGGGGGATGGACTTTCACGCCGCATCGAATTGGTCAAATTTTTGAACCGGATTTGTGGCACGAACTCCAGAAAGACGTCTTTCTAGCTCTTCTCACATGTGTTTGACTGGATAAAGGTCTGGAGACTGGCTCAGCCACTCTAAAACATCAATACGACCACCATCGAACCGATTGATGCTTAAGGGAGGAGTAATTTGGGTCGTTATCCCGTTGGAAAACGTATCCGCTGCCGACGTTTTGAAGAGCCCATGGTCTCATAGTGTTCTCAAGCATATTTTCGTTCTGGAATCGGTCTATGATGTCAGTCATTCGTCTCAATGGGCTCATCGCTCCACAGTCGCCACCTGATACTACGTATGGCGATTATCGAGCACCAATAGGTCGACGAATCGAATTTGCACCATTGCTGCCAAACAGATTGAACTTGTTTTTATCGGACCAAATGTGTTTGGCCCACTCAAGCTGTCCCGAGTTCAAATTCTCTGTGACTCACCTCACACGAGCCAATCGGTTCTTTACGTTGAAGAATGGTTTCTTCACCGGACGTCGTCCATGAAGCCAATTTTGTTACAGCCGTCTTCTGATTGTTCTCTGAGCTGATGCAGATTCGTTTGAAGAAGTTACAAGGAGAAACCGGTCTTCCGGGGGTTGGCACCTATCAAAATTTTTTTCTTAAAGTTTTAAGATATTAAGAAATGATTTTAAACCGTTACATTTGGAAAATAACGATTCAGTACTTTATAAACAGCCAGTAACCAGCACTGAAATTGTTGCGCCAGGTACTTGACATTCGTTCCGTTTTTTCTTTCTCGGACGATGGCTTCTTGGATGTTTTTTGAAAAATTCTTGTTGCCGGAAGGTCTGACCATGTTTCTGAGCAATTTTGAAAATAGTCTGACCTTCTAGAGACGTATTATACATTACAATAATCATTAATGAAAAAAAACTGAAAATTCAAAAAAACAAAAAATTGAACAAAAATTTTAAAAATTTAAAATAAATAAAATTTAAAAATATACAAATTGTCGAAAGTATTCTCAGCGTATTCCGTCAAAATTTCAGATCAATCGGCCAATTTTGAAAAAAGTTATGACTGGAAATGTGGTTTTGGATAGAATTATGGCCAGCACTGTATATCTTTTGAAAAATTTCATTAAACTTTTCAAACTCAAAATAATTGTCGCGACCGATTCTGGTAGCCACAGACATAGATAATATCTATACATAACTGCAACTTTTGATAGGAATGTGTGCTGCCATGATTCAAATGTTCGAATATCGTCACCAAGCAATTGTTAATAATAGCAGATTCGTAATGCGCAGAAAATCAACCCGCATTATCTTTTATACTGTTTTCTATACATATCACATTAATTTCGGACTCCCTGAGATCGTTACTATGCCCACAAATCAACTAGAGTTAAAAATCAAGTCATTTGAAGTGAGTTGAAAAATTTTAAACGGGACGTGTGAATTCGAATTTCAGAAAGTTCCATGCCCCTCAATTTTATTTTTTGATGAGGAAACGTTCATACTTCAGGAGGACGGCAAAGTTCTTTTCAATCCCCACATGTACTTTACGTGCTTCTATTGTAGTTGTTTCTTTGCATTTTATTCATTTCATACATTATATTTTTTGTTACCTTCCAATAATCCTCATATGTCACCGTCAACGCGAAAAATGCAGCGTAATTTTTTCTTTTCGATGTGCGTTCAGGTAATGTAAAAAGTTATAAATTACTAATTTTGGTCATACTTCTCAAGATAATGATTCCGTTAATTGTTATTCTTGCTCCTAATATTTATTGGAACATCTCAATTACATTCGATCTACAAATTCAAGGTTAATCTCAGGATATAGCAACTTGTCTCAATTTTTGAATTACAGAGCTTAACTGCATCAGTGTGATACTTTTCACCTTGCATGGATCATCTGCGTCATTGGCGATCATTTTTCTATATACTCCGTATCGCAGTTATACTTTTAGGTTTATTAAGAAAAGTATGAAAAATTCTTGATAGAACCTAATTTTTCTAAATTCATTGCAGAAATTTTTCGTTCAATTTTGACGAAAAATGCATCATCCTCCACCAGTGTGATTACGATTGGAACAAATATCAGGACCAATTAAATTCCCTTTAAAGAATTCTTAAAAGTATATCTAAAATCCAAAATAACGTATATATATATATATATATATATATATATATATATATATATATATATATATATATATATATATATATATATATATATAAATCAATCAATAATTTTTTGGCCACATTGGCATAATATTCATAATTATGAGGATCACTATGTATTATAGGCATTTTATTTTATTTTCATAAACTCTCTATCTCTCTGAATATGTCAATTAATCAAGGATCTGATCGTCGTTTTCTTGTTCTGCACATGTGCCGATTGCGAGAAGGCAGATAAGGACCACTATTATCACGCACCAGAATATCTGAAATCATAGTTCTATAAAATAATGACGTGCCTCACTCACCAAAAATGTCGTACAAGCAATAAATGCAGCCCAATAAACAGTTGGCTCGCAGTAATGGCTCTCAAACATTCCTTCGTTGAAATGCACGTATGAGTTACTACCGTAGACCCACACACATCCTAGCAACGGTTCAAGTATAAATAAATCGAAAAATCGGGTTGATTAACAACTAACCAAGAATTAGCCAGACGAGGTTAGCAAGAGCAAAAACCATTTCAATGCCTTTGCACAATAAACTGGAGCCCATTTTGCGAGGCCTTCGTCGATGAGAGGATTTTCGAGGTACAGGTATCAGGAAATAAATTCGAAAAGTTGCAGAAATAATAAAAAGAATGCCTTCAACAATCAACCAGATCGGAATCATTGGCTGCACATTGCAGAACGGAAGATTTAATAAACCTTCAAAAACGTTACTATAGAAAAAAAGAGAGAAGTTACCAAATATAATAAGCAAAAATGCTAGCAGACTGAACAATGACAAAATGGAGACGCTGATTTCTAGAAGAAATATTTTAGACGGATGAAAGTAGGAGAAACAATTGTTTTTCAAATAACAAGAGAAAAAACTTTTTTGTAATCCTGGTCCTTCTTCGACACAATTCAAAAACATACGATATGGAATTCGATCGTTAATATAATCGCTGAGATTCTTCGCAAATTCAACAGTATCACCGCTCATTGAATAAACTTCTGCCAGTTTTTCATGTTTCCTTCGAGATTCGCTTGAATCTGCTTGCGATGAGTTTCCATTGTAGGTTGTAGGCATGTAGACGGCTGTCGAATTTTTGTCAAATCTTACGGGTGATCGATTCAGAGGCCGCCCGAGAAGGGGCTTCGTGGAGTTAGCAGAAACTGTGGAAGAAGGAATGGAGTCATCAAGATTTCCCAATCTGGAAAACTAAGCTAGAAATAAAAATTAAATAACGAAGCAACCTTGAATGAGGTGGTGCTGATAAAGAAGAAGGTAGGATGGGCGTCTCAACAGTAGGACGAGGATAAAATGAGCTAAACTTGTAAAACATTTTTAATGGATCAATCGGTTACTCGAAAAATGAAAAAATATGTATGTATAGCATAAAATCTTAAAATGCAAATAAGAATTATGTGTACGAAGAAATTTTAACTTTTAAGTGCGTGCCAATTTTTGTTGAAATCGAAAAAATACCCTTGCATGCCCATGTCGACTCTCAGCCTCTGCGGTTGAGACACTTGCGGGCAGTCAGACGGTTGTGTGTGTCGCATTTCAGTGAACGCTCCCATTTGTTCTGAGAATTGTCCCGAAATTCGAGAATTCTGCAAACTTAAGAATTTTTCGGAAATTTCAACATCATCTAAAATCTTCTTGAGTGTTTTTGGGAATATGAGCATTTTTTAATGAAACAACGGTGATATAACAGACTTGGAAGCTATGCAAAGGAAATTCATATTTTACAATTGCCCGCAATGATTCGCTTCAAGTCTCATGTGTGTTGTGCAAATAAACACGTCGTGAATAATAATCAAAATCGATACCTCAACAGGAAAAGACGTTACATCCCTTGAACAATGTGAATTGGAGGTTGTAGTTGACATATCTAAAAGGCATTCAAAAATTATATTGCACTTTCTGTTATGAGAATTTTTAAATTTAGATCAGAAACAAACAAACATTAATATTAAAAAATGACTGGTCTATAATAAGGAGTGAAATTGAGAGGTTGAATAACAAACATCTCTGTGAACAGACATAAAAACGTCTAAAATCGATACTCGGCACAATGAAGTTCAAAAGTGGCGCACGGAATTTTGGTTTCGAAATGCCGAATATTTGCAAGCGACAAACATATTCGTCATTTGTTGGCAATATTCCAACAATTTATGATCAACAAAAACTGAAAAAAAACAACAACAAAAAAGGGCGAGTAAAAACACAAATCAACAAGAACAGCTAACAGCAACAGAAAAAAAAAACCAATGAAAATACGAATTTATTCCTCCATTGCGTCCTCTTTAACAAGGCTTATCGATTCAATACGAGAGCGGTCGACGAATCGCGATGGGTTGAGATTGTCCGCCTGAAAGAAGTTACTGATAACACGATATTGTTTATATCAAAAATTAAAATTTTGAAATTAATATTAACAAAAGTCTGTCTGAATGGAAATGTTCTTTTCTCAAAATTGTTGTACATTTTTCATGTTTAAAGTAAATAGAAAAATTTCGGCAAAACAAATGCAAATAAAATGCGTTTTCCCAGTGAGACGAATTTCGAAATTCAAAATTGAAAAAAAAAACTATCGAGTTACATAACATAATACATATAACAAAAAATAATGGTAGGATATTTTGTAGCTTACGTAAGGTGTGTAATCCCATTTGGGGAACACGCGTTTATAAAGAGCCATCATAATCGAGTCCTGTGCGGATAATTGCTGATCGAATTTGCATTTCATGTGCCCATGAGTTCCTACAGCCTCACGAATGTGGCCTCTGCGACCACTTGGCGTGAACAATTCGACGGGTTTAAACCATTCAATGTCCTCTGCATCAAAAAATTGCTTATAATTTATATGACATATACCCACCTCTATTGAAAAACATGTATCTGGCTACAACAGCACGTTTGTTGATCTTGTAAGGATGGCCGGAAAGAACGACGCGCTTTAGCACGATTCGATCCGGATTACTGTCCAAAACGGAACCACTAGCCATAAGTTCTTGTCTTCCTTTATCATCTTTTCGGAAGCATATTACTGTCGCTGGATTAAACGTGATCGGTGCAAAAACGGTGGCAACGAAAGTCCCATGTTGAGGAGCAAATCTCTCCATTTTGAATTTGTCACCAGGTATATTGGATGAAAAAAGGGCGTTAGCTTCAAATTGACGAAATCCAACGTAGAAGATTAAACTCTAAAAATTTATTTGTCAATATCTTTGTTAGCCTCCGTACCTGATTGTTTTCAACGGGAACTGTGCACGATGGATGTTTGCGTAGGACCATATTCAAAATAGACATCTTTTGCTCGTGAGGAAGCGGTTGAAAAAGAACCATGTGAGTACTTTTCTTGAACGAATCTGAAACAGAATGAAATTTTCCGTCAAAAGAAATATCCTACCAATAGCTTCAATAGGCACATTGATAACATGAACACTAGCGTATACTCCGTTGTATTGCTTCGAAATAACTGCATCACCTGAATCTTCATCCAAAATACCAATTTTGGATAAAACCGTTTTCTTGGTCTTCTTATAATTAGCGAATTGAAATATTCTAGCATAATCTGTCGGCAAATTCTCCTTCGGGTCCCATGTCGATGTTCTGAAAAGAAAAATTGTAAGTAATAATAAGAATAGATCTTAAACCGGAAACTCTTAAGTCCACGATACTTCTGGAATCGAATACGAGCTGGGATATCCATCGGTGTGTCGATTTCATCAGGCCATTGAGCATTTTCACGTTCGCGACGATATTTTTCAACCTGAAAAGAATAAAAGTATTTTAAATTGGAATTTTTGAAATGCAACACCTCATCCATATTAATATCTTCATCCTCGAATTCCATCATTTCACTAGCTGTAGTTTCGCCAGCTTCCGATTGCATATCCATTTGATCATACTCATTCTCCCTCTTCTCGCCATTATCTTCCAGTTCACCCTAATAAAATATAAAAAATAGTCTATGAGATTTGGCTTCACGAATTGCTAGTAAGCAGAATATTAAACACATCGAAAATTATAGTGTATAAAGATCGGCGTGAGCGATTTGGAAATTGTATTTGACATACGCCTATGTAACACAAAGCATCTTGATTTTTCTACCCTAGTTTTCATATTTTTCCATTATTTTCGAACATCATTCTTTTCCGTAACACCAAAATTTACCAATAATATGAAAGTTTACAAGAACCGATGCCAATATTAGGTTAAAAGTGTCAAATGTCAAGCGACATAGATAAAATGGGCCACTTTTAAAATAGTTTTTATAAAAAAGAATTGCGCGTAATTAGTGGATTGTTTAATTATCATTCTGCACTGAACCTATTACTAACGGTTCACGTGATATTCGCATTAATTGGTAAGTTGGAACTGTACCACAAACTCATCGATGGCTATACCACTAGTGTGTAAAAGGAGAGGGTCTAATTGTAGGATATTCAAAATATCGACGGCAAAATGCCTAACAACAATAGATAATCCATGGATTAACATTGATTGAAAGATTTGCGACGCCTCCTGAATGGGCGGAAATTCTCTTAACTCCGCCTCCATTGACTATAAAAAGGAGCTCCGATAGTTGATTTAGGGCATCGTCAGGCTAATCGGTACATCGTTTCACGCAGGTCGAGTACTCTTCAACCTGGCGGCTTCTCTACAATCTAGCAAGTGGTGGGAAGATTTCAGAGACAAACTCAATGCTTTCGAAGCACTCTTAAGGGCTTTTTGGAGGAAATACTTTTTCACATTTCGTTTCTTAATTTCCTCCAATTGTTCAACAATATTCAAAGCATGTTTCCTACAAATCTAAATTTCTTTTATTTAAAAGTTATTTTTATCGTAGCTCAAAAGTTACTTTTTTAAAGTTATTTTTATCGTAGCCATTCTAGTTTTTCTGTTTCACGTAGTTATTTCATTACATTGTTCCATATGACTGTTTTTGCGCGCTTTAGACCAACAAGTAATAGGCTTAGCTAAATCAGCGTTGGGCTGCACTAAGCCTTAAGCGAACTATCTGAAGAACGAAACAAATGAAAAATTTCACGGTTTCACCTAAGCCTTTGAAGAATATATAATGAAAATAATTCCAATTGTTTCTGCTTCATCTTGGAAGGGTCGTACGCCTATAACTCTGAATTTATAAGCGCACTCGAAATATGTTTGTAGTTCAATTCTCGCGACAATTAATTTTTTTTTACATATTTTCAAATATTCATCGCGACTTTTCCCCCATTCAGAAATAACATTTTTCCACTTTACCAGCATTCAGCCCTTCCCCCAATAAGACAATAAATAGACGTTCACCCGTTCACCGATTTCCCCCCCCCCCCTTTCAGTATATACCATTTCATTCACATATAAAAAAACGGCTACCTTATACTGTAAATACTACGGCTCAAGTTGATATCGAGAATTTCAAAAGTATATCGGAAGCGCACTGTGTCATGACATCACACAAAATCGAATGTCATGACATCACACAAAATCGTTTAAAAAAGGTGTCCCGAGAAAAAATATAAATACCTCTGTTTCAAAATCATTTTCCTCTTCCATGTTATCACCATCTTCGTCGTCTTTATCATCGTCATAGTTGTCTTCATCGTCGTCGTCATCATCATCGTCGTCATCATTTTCGTCGAGAATCCAAGCCGCTTGATACGAAGATGTACCTTTAGGAACTTTTCGCATTTCTAAATGAATAACGTTTCATGATAGTAGCCTCTTCAATTCAACCTCTGTCTGCTTCATCGATTTCTTCTTGGGTCGGCCATGTTTGTTCTCCGTCCATATCATTGGGGGCGATTTCGGTCTAATTAGAAATGATATAAATTTGGCATTTAGTTATTCTAACCTCTGCAGATTGCCTATTTTCATTCGCTTTTGCAATTACTTTAACTTCATGAATTTTTTCTGAGTTTCTTAATGGATGCGGATCTCTAGCTGTTTCGATTCGATCAATTTGATAATCTCCTAATCCAGGTAGGTAAACTAAGTTGTTAGCATTCCATTCGGGACCGCGAAGATATCCAGAAGCAACTAGTGTGCACTTACCATCCTGAATCAAGAAATGATAATAAACATATACGATCAGCGTAATGAAACTATATGTCGGCACAGTATACCTGTAAACTATGAGCTTCAACGTTTTCAACGAGCATGTACGAGTGTCTTGCTTGAAGAACCAGTGGTTTTTTTCTTGTCTCAATTAGAGCCCGAATAAGTTGGACGCCATCAGTGGGTGTGTCAGTAGGAAAAACGTTTGAATTGCTGATACTCCTTCAAATTAGCATTGCGACTTTGCTAGAATATAAAGTATCACCATTGAATAATAATTGATTCAATGTTTTTTCGGATATCCTCCTTCTTCTTCTGTTGTGTAATGCCACCCAATCCAGGAACGACATTAATTATCGTCGGCATTCCATTCGCCTTTATCATTGTCAAGAGTTGCTCGTCCCACTCGGTTATTTGTGCATTGATCGGCCAAAGAATACAAAGAACATCACTAACCTAGGCGGAAACCATTTTTTAGGTTTTTAAAAAATTAAAAATACTTTAACAGAGTCTAGCACCGCATTGATCTCATACTTTTTTGGAATCGAAAAAGCGATACGAGATTTGAACCGAGGAACCCTAAACGCATTATCAAAAAACGTAATAGAAAACTGCATACGCAAAGTTAATAGTCGATGTAGAACTTGTCCTCACGATAGTTTCATCGCATTTCTCTAATTTGTTCACGAATTCAACAGGCCGAGCACCATTACCCAACGATATCAATGTCTAAAAATGAGAAAACTCTAAGTTTTATAAATTTTTAGCCACGATTGACCACAAGGATTGGAGAATTCGACATCCTTCTTCGCTCAATTGCCGCCGCCATTTTTGAATTTCTTAGCTGATTCAGCTTATTGCGACGTACATCTTTCGATATTGCGCGATGAGCATTCTGAGCTGATCTAACAAGCTGTCGAACTCCAGCACGCCCTAAAACTTCCGGGGTTGGCAAACATATACATACATATATGTACATACAGTAAATACATATAGTCGACGTCCGGTGACTGCTGTAAGCGGGTAGATTTACGTGCATGCGCCTTGAAAAGGTCTCGCCACGAGTGAACGCCTATTTTGCTGTTTTCACGTGAACGATTTATTTTTTCTTGATGAATTTGGCATTTCTTGGAGTTTCTAACGTCGTTCGATTTAAAAAATCATTGAACCGACCCATTAAATGCGAAACAACCAGTTAGTCCGTGCGAGACCAAGAGAGAGGAGCATCCCCCGTAAATCTACCCGCGTACAGCAGTCGCCGACTATATATGTATATAATTTCTGAAATCTAAACCGATTTAGCGAAATTTAATTTCCCGCCATCGAACAGTCATTTGATGCCGAAAATAGTATATTCTAGGATTATTATTTGTGCGGACTCTAAACAATCTATGGAGACCTAAATTGAAATGTTCTTAAACTGCACACGATATGGATCTAATCTACGTTATACAGATGTTTTGTCGGGATAAAAATTTTTCACCTCTCGTTTCTTCGTTAATCTCTCCCTTGGTTTTTTTTCCTTTCCAAGACTTATGAGGTTTTGCCGGCTTCTTGAAACCACCCGGTCGGTGTCCAGAAGTGCTCATTTCTAATTAAGTTAGTCAACATCTTTTTGTTTAGACATTAAATAATTTCGGAATATCAAAACCAAGTTTAGAACTTTTCCTCAAACAATGAAATGCAGCAATAAATTACTTTATTAAACTCTATAAATAAACATAATTAGAATCAATCATCGCTATTACAACGGTAATAACGCTGCCAACAATATGTACTTTCATAAACCCAAGTTACGGATCGATGGAAAAGAAAAATAGTGGGGGGGGGGTGGGGTAAAACTAGACATTAATCACAGCCAAATTTTAAGAAAAGCGATTGATCATAAATAAATAAACAGGCAATAAACTTTTTAAGGTCTCTTCATTCTTAGAAAAAAAAGTGGGTAGGAAAATGAAAAATCGAAGAAAAAACCGATAACAAAGATAAAACGTAGTCGATTTAAAAGAATTGAACATTAGAAAAAAGTTCATATCCCCTTTTTTAAATTTCATTTCCAGTGAAATCACCGAACTCCCAGATATTTTTTCTTCCTTTACGAGCTTTCTGTTCAGCAGCCTCGTACGCAGACACAAGAGATTGAAGTTGTTGTTCGCGGCGTTTGTCAACCAGGGCGAATCCGTCTTCAATCAATACTTTAGCAACGTCGAGATTGTTAGCGAGAGCCTATAACTTTTTATTAATACAAATTTTCGTGATTAAAAAGAAGTATACCTGTACGTACTCTGCAGTTCCAACCTTATATTCAGTATTAATCTCAATAGAAGGAGCAGAAAACAATAGTGCTTCGAATTCGCTAATTGCCAGAGGAATGTAATCTTCCGTTGGGAGTTTAGCAAGTGCAAGATGATACTCGCGGGCTCCAGCTGATTGGCTAGAAAATCCTGATGGAATTTGAGCAAGAGAAGCAGAAGGTACTGTTTCACGCTGTAATACAAAACATTAAGTTAGCCAGAAAATACATCAAACATACGTTTCCGTAATCAATATACAGAATTTCCGCTTGTCCCGCTTTCACACTCTCAACCTTCGCTCTATACCATTGTCCATCAACAGAAAATTTAGCAACGCACAAATCCCCACGTCTTGGAGTATACGATCCGGAAATTGGTGGATTTTGAGAAAGTTGGGTTCTCAATTCTGACGTCATTTTTTCGAGGCGAGCACCATCTTCCACATTTTGAGCTGAGAACCGAAGAGAATCTTTGGCAACATCAGTAACAGCAACTTTTCGATATTGCGTTTTACGTTCCGCGGTGTCGTTCTTTTGGATTTCAACCTCATCTTGGAGTTCAGTCTCGGTATAGTTCGCCCAGATGTTCTTCCTTAAATATAGCAACATATTTTTTTTTCAATAAATAACTAACTTGGCTTTTTTAGCTCTATTCTCCGCTGAGAGGAGAGCATTGTAGTGCCCACTACGTTCAGCGGTGAAATGAAGCGTAGCGAATCCTTGCTCCAAAAGCAACTCGCTTAAGTTGGCAGCCTTGTGACCATCTTGAGAGACGAACAAATATCCGACAAAGTTTCCAGACTTATCAGTGGTCTCAACTTCGATCTGCACTTCGCGTTGAAGAACAAGTTTGCGTGTGAAAGCGGCAGCTTCTTCCGCGAATGGCTCGCTAATCCCGTTGACAACACCACCTGGTCCAATTCGCGCTCCTTTTGGGCAATTGATTCCACTAAGAAGAAATGTGATTAAAACTGTCTCTTTTGGAATGTAGATTCGAAGACGAGATCCTCCAGCAACGAATTCAACGACGCCTTCCACTCTAAACGTTTTTTTTAACAAAACATGATATTGTTTTAAAATCCTACCTTCCTCCCTTCTGCAAGTATGGTAAAAATTGTTTAGATTTTGCAACATCGCCAGCAATTTCTTGAATTCTGAGAGTATCCTTTTTCTCCGGATTTTTGTCGGCAAACAATCCTTTCTTTCCTTTCTCAGCGTTAGCTTCAGCAGCAAGAAGTGCATCATATTCAGACGAACGATTCTCGTCATCATTTCGATGGCGTACCGTTTTACTCAATCCTCGAGAGATTAATGCCTCGGCAATGTTGAGGTCTCCAATCTTTATGGTAGCACAGGTTTTTTCAGGAAAGTTTTCCGATTTTGGCTGTATGTAGTCGATGTGAACTTGAACTTTCTTGCCAATAAGCCGCTTACGAAGAAATTCACGAGCTTGGAACATGAAGGGAATGTCATAAAGTGGTCGAAATTGGCGTCCAACAGCAGGTTTGTCTTCTCCTCCAGTTTCTCTTGGTAGTCTAACCGACGAAAGGTGGACCTTCAATTCTGAGCCATCTTCTTTTTGCAGAACTAAAGCATCAGAGAGAACCACTTCGACGACCTTGGCGGTGAATGTTTTGTTATCACCAGAAACACCACTACTCGACGGTTGATATCCTCTCCATAATCTCAATCGTTTTTCTTTGGCTTGTCGCTCGGCAGTTCTCAAAGGCTCCGCCCCTCCGGTGCAAAGCCCGATGCTCCAATCTACACATTTCGCGTAACCTTCGCGAACTAAGGCTTCAGCAATATTTCCCTTTGGATGAAGTACTGATCCAACAAGATTCTGGTTCGAAACTGATTCCAAGACAAATTTAACGTCACGTTGAAGAAGACGTTGCTCAACGAAGAATTTAGCCTCTTCCGCAAATGGTTCCACTTTTCCATCGGATCCAACGCGAGTTGCAGGAGCTCTGACTCCAGAGAGTTGAAGAGTAATATATTCAAAATTGGGAAGAAGAATCGCTCGGAACGTTGATCCATCCCTAACCATTTCGATAATAGCATCCACGGGCTTTTGGTTATACTTATCAACCAATTCACGCGGGTTCTCAATCACCCATCTAACTTCTCGGACTTTAGCTGGAGTGGAACTCCATCTTCCAAGGCCAGAAGCTTTTGCTTGTTCTTGAAGTTCAAGCAATCTATTAGCGTAATCACTGAAAAAAATTTGTACATTTTAAAGAATTCCAAATTATGTTTACTCCGCTATCTTTCCAACGCGAACTTCAAGCCATCCTTCCGAAACACCAGATTCCGCAATATTTTCAGCATCAGCAGGTGAAGTTCCCCCCAGGTAAACTCGTCCATGATCACGTCCAGAAATTGCGGTAAAATCGCGAACAAAAGTCACAACTTGTCCTATGAGTTTCTTACGAAGAAACTCCCGAGCTTCCCATGCATATGGCTGCAAAGCGGAATTAGTTTCAGCAATAAAAATTAATTAATACCTCATCTGGAGTAGCTGCGCTTGTCTCGGATGGGCGTTTTCCAAGTCTTGGAGCCGTAACATTGCTCAAATAGACGGTAAACTCTGGTGGAGGGCCGCCTGAGCTTTGTCCTTGAAGTACAATCGCATCACCGGATATTATTTGTTTCACAAGCCCACGACGAACGGGTGAAGGTGTAACTGCTGGTGCCACAGCTGCTGCGTCGGACATTTCCTTCTAGATACTTGATTTATAGACCCTAAAAAACAATTGTTAATTTTCGATTGAAACGTATTTGAGATGAAACGTAGTGCGATAAACAAATATACAACGACAAAATAATTTGGAAAACTCATATTAGAATTTTTTACATTTTATATTGCATGAATAAGTCCATTAATAGAAATGAAACCACCGAATGAAAAATCATAGCTAGATATTTATGAAAGACTATTGTCTCATTTTAATAAGATAATTTAACTATAAAAGGCAATTTAGCGAATATATTACACGGCTTTCAAGAGGGAAACCTAAATGATGTAATGAAAACATTTAGCGACTGAATATGATAAAATAGGGATGTTCACAGGAGGTGAAGACGAATTGAATATTATTCTACCGTATAACAACTGCAAGTGACTCTCGTCACGACTTTCCCTCTCTGCGCGCTCTTCAAGATTAAGACAGGGAAGCCACTCTCTCGCACGGATTTTTTTTTAAATTTTTTTAGAACCCCTGTTTCTGCTGCACGAAATGCCGGGCTGTTTTCAACATTATTCGTCAGAACATCACTTATTTTGTCACATTGAAACATTTTTTCAACAGTATTTTTAAGTTTTTAACAAAATATTTTAGCAGAGACTGTTAGAAATGGTAATTGATCTCGAAGATGGCGAACTTGCACCAAGGTTAGTTAAAATTTTATGATCAAATTTTTTAATTTAATTTTCAGTGGAGATGAGGAAGCAAAACATGAAAGCGAGGAATCCGATATCGACAAAGTGCTTCAAGAAGTTGTATAGTGCAAGTTTAAATTCTAATATTTTTTTTTAGTTTGGGATAATTCAATGTTCTGAAAATACTCACAAGAGTAAAACCACTAAAAAACGAAAGTCACGGTCGCCAGAACGAAAGAAAAAAAGCCGCAAACGAAATTCAAGTGTCATCTCAAAAAGAAGTAGCCTTGATGGTAACAAAATACTACTGAAGACAGGCAACTTCCGATGGCGGCGTGTAAAAATTTAAATAAAATAGTCTGGTTCTGCACTACTATGCGTTAGTTGGGCATTCAAAATTACAGTATGGATCAATTTGCATACCAAAATTTCTTCGTTTCGCGCATATAAAGTACATATCTCGTCTGATTTTTTTAGCGGCGGTTGCCTATCTTCAAGTTTATTTTGATTTTAAAAAATATATCCATAGGTGACCGAAAAAGTTCTCCACGAAGGCGCCGAGACATGAAAACAGCCGCATATCCTAGTATGCCAAAAGGTAACATACACGTAAATTTTGACAAAAATATGAATAACAATTAATTGTCGGATTTTTTGTGTATGTGTGTTTTTCATATAGTTGTACCGATTCCTCCGCCAACAATGTTCAACAGTCGTCTATCGCGCCCGGAAACTCTAAACACGCTAATACCAAACGTAAGAACCAATCAGTTGAATTTGGAAATTTCTAACACTTTCCAGTTTTCATCTGGACCTCCCCCACCAGCTGTTGAAATGTGTATTCTTCCTCCGCCCCCACCTGCTCCAGACAATTATGAACCAGTGGATATGGACATAGATGATGGCTCTGCGGATACCGAAGGGCATCGATCAAGACCCGACAGCCGAAGTAGTGACGAGGAAACGTCTTTAGTTATCCAACTACAAGAAACAGAAATGAAGCTAAAGCGATATGATAGGAAAATGAAAGATTTCGTATCGGAAAGAGAATATCTCGTGGTTAGTATGACCTCTTTATTGTTGTCGTCAAGAAACTGCGCGTAATTTAAAAATATTAGCTCGCTTGTCGTTTGACGCTGTCAATTACCAACTCATCATTATCTAACAAAGAGTATTGCTCTCTTTCATTCGTTAATTTTTATAAACAAATTTCTTATTGAATTTTTTCAGAAAAAATTACGAAAAAACGAATCGGATATCCTCGATGGCAAGAGAAATTACGACGAGTGTTACAGAGAAAATATACGGCTTATTCATGCTTTGCAGAAATGCAGGCGAGACAAACAATCAAAATTATGCGATGCCAGGTGGGCCCTGTAAATTTTTTAATTCGATGAAATAATTATTGCAGCCTTAAAACTGGACAAAATATAAAAAATTACGAATTAGAAAAACTAAGAAAACCTCTGGAAGGTTCAAGTCCACAATCATCAGGTTCAGAATTTATTAAAGTCAATTATTTTAGAAAATGTTTAGAATATGAAGAACGAACGAAAACTCAAGAAATATATGAAGATGAAATGACGACAGAGATATTAAGGGAACTAGCTCTAGCCACAATCAAAAAGTTATAATGCTCCTATGCGATTTTCGGAAATTCAATTGTTTTTAGCAAAAAGCCTGCTCAAGAAAAACTTACAGAAGAAAAAGGGGGTTTAGATACCATTGAGAAAGGCCGTCGTCTCTTATTGAGCATTTGCAAGTTTGATTTAAACGGAAATTGCGCTCGTGGTAATGATGCATGTAAATTGTAAGTTCTGTTGAGCGAATCAATAGGACAGCGCAATTAATATTATTTAGTTCATTCTAAAAAAAAGTAAAACCGCATTTTTTGATTTACAGCGTTTCGCGTGGAAAATGCATAATAAATTTCCTTGCTTTAATAATATTTCAGTATTCACTTGGAAAATGGAATATTCGACGAAATGCTGCTGCTTGAATCTATCTTCCGGTTTATACTTGCATATAGCGAAGATGATATAGGTTCGATGGATTAATAAGTTCTTTAATAACTCGACCCTTATTTCAACATGCTTCGAAAAAGTTTATTACATTTACAGGTACCGCCATTGCACAGCTCAACGATCTTCGCTTCCACTACCAGCGATTCGAACATTTTCTAAGAGATTTTTTGGCTAAGATCATGCGCACAGACAGCACAATTCGAGATAGGTTTTATCAATTTTTCTATGAAGGTACGCGGTAAAAAAAACCAGTACTAAAATCACGTCATTTTTATCTTTTGCTCGATTTTATGTTTTTCACTTTTCATTTCGCTCCCAGGGAAGACCTAATGTATCGGGTACATAAAATAAACCGTTTTTCTTCAAGTTTTCATTCACAGCACATGTTTTCAATATATTCTCATAAAATAAAACAGTAAATAGTAAAATTAATCCATTGGAATAAGCCAATAGCATTAACAGCTTAAATTTTTATTCCATGAGCTGATCATTGTTCGTTTTGTCGGTAAATGGATCAATTTGATGATCCTGCGGTTTCTCCATCGCCTTTGACATCACCTGAGCATCTCCAGTTTCGCATTCTATAATGTTTTGGCGAATTTTGCCCATAAAGCTAATGCTTTTCCATAAATATAAATAACTAACCCATATCAATATCTTCGATTTCATTTTTCTCAAGAGCTTTCGAGATTCGCTGATTGCACTTTTCAATGCATTCATTCAAATCAACTTCCCTCGCGTCTTCGTCTTCATCGTCCTCTTCTTCCTACAACGGATCAATATTTGAAAATGTAAAGTGCTTACCTCCTCGTCATCAACTTCATCATCATTCAACGGCATTAGTTCCTGTTCATCAAAAACTCTTTTACTCTCATCGTCTTCCTCCATCACTTCATTTTCTTCAGCCTCTCCCCATTTTATAGTAAAAGTCGTGACACGAAGTGAGTCGGTTTGTATTTTTCTAGCCAGTTTTTCTATCTGCGGCATAGCTGGTGGATTCTCTTTCATCTCCTCATCCTCATATTCGTTCGACACAAACCAACCAAGATTAATGAATTCTTGATCATTATATTTGCAACGAAGCAAAAGAACACTGACACCGACAATGTCTTCAGTTGGTATCTTTTTGACATCAGGACAATCAGCCTGAAAAAATATCTTCTAAAATCTGATAATATTACAAAACCTACGTCGAATGTAAATTTGTGACGACCTTCCGGCACAGGGCCAACTAAAACAGAGTCAAGAAGCTGATCGTACTCGCTGGAAGTTCCTGAACCAACGTAAACGAGTTCCCACTCAAGATCTGAAAACCAAAAATTCTGAAATATCAGTTCAATAAACATTACCATGAGGAAGTTGTTCAAAAACTTCAAACACTATTTCCAATTTGAACTTGTCGGTAAATTTCGCCGGATTATCGAGAATGTTGACTCCACAAATGTTGACCCGAGAAGCCATTTCTCTACAAGTTATTGTAAACTTTGTAAACAACAATTCGAATATTAAACTGCTAAAACAGCAAATAGATACCAAACTAAAAATTAAATACGGTAACATTCATTCAGAAACACAAAAAATGATGTAAAAATAAGTATGTATTTTGGAAATAAATAGTTATATTGACAGAGACTTCAATAGATGTACATAATTCAGTCTACGACAATATATATATATATATATAGATATATTAAACATGAATAGTGAGAAAATATAAATACGTAACAATCATCGTAATAATGGTTTAAGAGGAATTCTTTGTACAATTTCCGTTTTCTCAGACTCTTTCATGAAGCTTGCGTCGTTCAATAAAAACTCATTAAAAAGCTCGCCGGCGCGAATTTTGATATCCCCAAAGGGCTCTTCTTGTATTACATCTACTGCGCGCTTTTTAAGAAGAGTTAAAAGTGAGTAGAATTGTTCAGCAGCATGTTTTCGTGTTTTTGCTGTTGCGGTAATACTCGAAAATTGAACCTGAATTGATTTCCATTAAATATATTTGAAAGCGCTTGATACCTCTCCGCCGTTTTCAATTTCCAAAGAAATTTTTTTCAAAATATGTTTCGATCGCTTTGCCCATTTGCTATCATCATAAATGGGTTTTTTGACTGTACTTCCAAATCCAAATGATTCAAGAGTACCAGAAGTCGAAGTTGAAGATATTGAGAACGGATCTGCTTCGTCTTCTTCGTCATTCTCTTTATTCTGTAAAGTTTTCGATGATTCGCTCATAAATACAAAAATTAACAACTTCGAATCCAAAATTATTCATTGGTTCCGCTTCCATGGGTACAGGGATATGTTCAAGATCTTCCATTGTTTGATTAAACCGAGCCATTGGAAAAATATCCTCATCTACTTCAAAATCACCATATCGAGCGTCCTAATCATATATTAAAAAGACAGTTTTCGCAGACCAACATGCGTACTTGGATATCGCCAAGCTCAATAGAGCCACTGTTAATAATATCTTCGCTAAGTCCTAAGTCATTCCAAGGGTTTTCCGATGAAGAAGATGATTCAGCTTCAGCCCCAAGATTTGGTTTGTAAGCAGTTGGAATTAAACGGGATTTGTACTGCTGCAAAATACTGAAGGAAATTAAAAATTAAATTTTTTGAACCGAACCTCTAAAAGTTCAGGGTTACGAATCATTATTCCCGGTGCTTCCATAAGCACATTAAGCACACCAGTTTCGCACATCCTCCGCGTTTTCTTGTTAGGTGGAGCTACAGTAATTTGCCCTAATGTATCGCTAAAATGGATTTTATTACAGCTTATAGCAGACTTGCAGTCAGCAACTGCTCAAAGCAAACTTGCAAATTCCGAGTCGCCTTTACGGTGTAGACCACTTTAGCGTAATAAATGTTACGAGCTGATTTTTTAACATGTGATTTATTTTCAAATTCCTTGATTCCGACGTTGCGCCACTGCGGAAAATTGGCTAAATGTCAAAAAAATATCTTGGTGTGTGTTATTTTTAAGCTTAATGAATCTACAGTTTACTGCAAGTATGATTCAAGGTAGGTAGAGTTTTTTGCTATTCCTTTGCATTTCTAACGACTATACGATCATTAGAAAACAATTTTCAATAATAAATAAACGATTTGGTTGGTTTTTTGCCAAAAATTAGAAAGTCTCGATATGCGTTGTGCACCTTTAACCTATCTTTTTACTTCTGCCCGTAAATCTACACTTAGTTTTACACCAAGACCACTGGCATTGTTTTTTTTTTACATTTAGCCAATTTTCCGAAATCACGCGACACCGACAATATTTAGGATTGATACGAAACTTTTTAGCGTCAAGTTCAATCCATATAATCGGAACGCATTTTCATTACTGTTAAAATTATGTTTCAACTGTACCTGAAATCATCCATTTGCTTTTTCCGAAAATCATCAGAAATGCTGGTATTTTCATCAACAATTAACTTTCGCGGCTTTCGATTGCGCTTTCCCCGTTTTCCATCAATAAGGGAAACATTAAGCGGCTCTAACGAAAAAGATCCCCTGTTATCTAAATAAACAGCTAACATTCATTTTACTTTGCGAATTCAAACTTTTACTGTGCTCATTCTCGACGAAATCGTCAACGTCTCCACAATCTAAAATACTTAAGAAGTCAAAATATATTACTCTACGTAACGAACTACCCATTAAATCGTCATTGACTGCTTGGGGAACTTGTAATGGACCATCAAGCATTGAGCTGAATAAATCGCCATCAATATCGAAATGGTTATCTCTTAAAAAAAATAATAATTTAATGTTTTCTGATATACATATTTACCCTAGAGTGTTATTAGCATTATCATTTTGTAGCTCTGTTGTATTTCTCGTAGCTGGTGAATTTTTTGGTTGAGTATTAATTATATCTGTATTATTTCCAGGCCTGAAAAGTTTAACTGGCTGGCTTTGTAAGATTTAATGCTTACACTTTGTCGATTGCGAGCGATTCGTTGGTATCACGAGCAAATTCTAATACTGATGCGTCCGGTGTATGCATTGAACTTGACGGGTATGATTCATACATGTCTGCCAATTCTCCGAAATCGTCATTCTACAACGTTCATTAATTTCGTCAATCATGCAAAAATAAAAGTTACCCAGGTACCAAAGTTTAATTGTTTTAAAGTAGAATTCAGATTAATATCATCTTTTAACGTAATATCTTCAAGGCGACTGATGTGTTGCTGAAACAATCATACAAAAACGTCACGAATACTAAAACACCTGCATAACATTCTCATCGATTTCAATGTCAAGGAATTCGGGAACAGTCATATTGATTTCATCGACATCGTCGTAGTTTTCATTGTCGTCTTGTGCACAGTAATCATCAATTTCAATTTGGAAACCGGCTCGGAAATTGAGTCGCATCTTGAGAAAGAAAACTGTTAGCATAAAGTAAATCTAGCTCAAAATAAACCTTTATAAACGCCTCGTTAGTATCAGCTAATAAATATCTTGTTTTCTTTGAATAAATTCGAACAATCCCAAGTAGTAAATGACCCACGGTTCTTAGTGCCATTTTGACCTTCAAAATTTTTGATTAATTTTATAATAAACGTAACAGACCTTTGGCTTCATTACTTCTTCTACTGCTTGCCCGACATCTGTTTCAAAAATTTGAGCTTTTGTCAATTTCTTCTCCCAGTGTGCAGCTAACCAAATTTTTGCTAAAGGCCCCTTTTTTGATAAAACAAATTGCGCATAGAACATCTGAAAAATTTATTTAGATATCTTAAAAACGTTTATTTTTATTTAAAGACAAAATTAATGTTTTATTCTAGCAATCGTTTATATAAAGGCACAGAATAAATTGCCCTCTCCTTTTAATGTTTACTAGATTTTATATGATTAACTATAAAAACGACGTTCAAACACTTTAAAACGATTTAGAAACTGCGCAGAATTAGAAAAATAAGAAACACAGAAAAACAAAAATTTGAATGCTAATGTTCGCGCCATCGCAGAGAGAAGAAGGAATTACGGTAACAGTTGTTCAGCTGTGCGAATTGTCACTAGAATTTCAAAATTATTTTTTTTCTCTTGTTTATTTTTTCAATACTTATTGGTGTTTCGAGCTTAATGGATCGATTATGAAATTTATTTTTTTTTCAAAAAATGTAAAAAATTACATTGAACATCCTTTATTTTTCTGCATTCTTGCATTGGAAATATTTGTAATTTTGATTATGAATAGGTTCAGAAAAATTTTCTTTTTGCAACCAGCCCGTCGAAAAAAAAGCTGTAAAATAATGCTTCGGTCTCTGACAACCTCTAATACAAATACTTCATTAGCGTTATGCAATTCATCGTCGTTTCTACGGCTTATTTGAATAAAATAACTGATATTATTTCAAGTTAATGGATTTCTTTAAACGAAATTTTGAAAACGCAATAAATTGCTGCACTTAGCATATTATTTACTTGAAAAGTCGTTATTCAGAATGTCCGAAGAACGTCGCACTGTTAAAGTTGATCCAGTCTCTGTTGGCGAGATGTCCGATTTGGATAATTTGGCTCATCTGGCAGCATATGTAAGTACATATTTTCTGAATTTTTCTTTGAATAAGCCTTTTAGGGAGGAGATGGACGATTATTTAAAATGGAGGTTGATTACACAAAGCAAGTCGATGAAGCCATCATGAAAGCCGACGAAATAGCTAAAAAGGGGGACGTTGTGGCCGCTGTCGAAAGCTTGAATAATATTGAGAAGCTTTCTCGACTTGGGTCAGACATGAAATCAAATACCAGAGTAGTTCAACACATGGTTAAACTTGCGTTCGAAGGAAAAAAGTTTGACTTGCTAAATGAAACTATTCTCAATCTTTCGAAAAAGCGACTTTTAATCAAAATTGCCATTGCGAAAATGGTTCGGGACGCGGTTTCAATGATTGAGAAACTACCAACGGACGAAATTAAAATGAAACTAATCGAGACGCTAAGAACTGTGACTGCCGGAAAAATTTATGTCGAGGTCGAAAGAGCTCGCTTAACTTCAATGGTTGTACGTAAGCTTGAAAACGAAGGAAAAATTGAAGAAGCCGCAACGATGTTACTTGAATTGCAAGTTGAAACTTACGGATCTATGGAAACGAAAGAGAAGGTGTCATTTTTTCAAATTAAATTTTAATTTGTTAATGTTATAGGTGGAGTATCTTTTGGAACAAATGAGATTTTCGTTGATTCGTAACGACTTTATTCGTGCCAATATAATATCCAAAAAAATCAATATCAAGTTTTTCTCCAAGGATTTAAGCGATGACGTTCAAGATCTCAAGCTCAAATATTACAATTTGATGATTCGTATTGGACTTAATGATGGAAGTTATTTGGATGTTTGCCGTCATTTCCGTTCAATCTATGACACTCCGAAAATCCAAATTGAGACCGCAAATGCGGCTGCGATTCTTCGAAAAGCTGTGATGTATTGCATTCTTGCACCACATAATAATGAACAATGGGATCTTCTCAATCGCATGGCGGTTCAGCGGGAAATGGAAACTATCCCAGAATACAAAATAATTATCGATCTATTCATTAACCAGGAGCTAATTTCTTACAAAGGAACTATTGTGGCAAAATACGAGAAGTTGCTTCGTCGTGGAACTTCTATTTCCCCTGATACTGGCGTAAATATTTCTTGATGATTTTTAATATACAAATAATGTTTTAGATTTTTGATAAGTCAAAGGATGGTGAAAAGCATTGGCAAGACCTTCACCTTCGTGTTGGAGAACATGTAGTGTAAAATATCCGTTTGTTTGTTAATAACTATTTACAGAACATGAGAATGATTGCCAAATATTATACTCAAATCACATTCGAACGTCTCGCAGAGCTTCTTGATTTTCCGATTGAAGTATGTTTTTAATAGTTTTATTATTTTCCATTTAAAGCAATTGTCGACGACGGACGATTTTGAAAAAGTTAAATGATTCAACACTTTAACCCGTCTTAATCTTATGTTAACGCGAAATGGGCATATGGTTGCATGTGATACATATAATGCAAAAAGAAATGGCTCCATAATTTCGCCCATCCTCGAAAATATGCTATTAATAATTTAATTATTTATTCTCAGGAAATGGAATCATTTGTGTGTAACTTAATCGTTACTGGTCAAATTACGGGCGCCAAACTTCACCGCCCATTGAGAATTGTGAATTTGCGTGTGCAGAAGGATAGCGTTGTACAACTTGACCAGTGGGCGAGCAATGTGCATAAACTGACAGACACTCTTAACAAAGTAATTTTCCCAAAATGTGTATTATTTCAAGTTATTTTTCAAGGTATCTCATCTGATTCTCAAAGAACAAATGGTACACAAAAACTTGGATTTAACAGTGGCAAATGCCTAAGTCTGTTACCTTCTTTTTTATGGTTCGATCATATTTTATTTATTGTAACTCCGACCTTCGTCAACCGTGTGCATACCCTCCCTTTAATTTTCTATTTTTTTTTCGATCCGTTTTATTTTACTTTTTGATTGTACAGGTCTACCAATTATAATTTATTTGATTGTGCATGAAATCTTCAACTGTGCAAGAAGACAACATTGTTTTAAACGTATTATTTTTTACCCATCAACGGGTTTTGCATGAACATGGCCGGTAATCCATTCGGTAAACATCGGCCTAGTTGGCACATCATTCCCATTGGGCAGGAAATTCCATTGTGGCATGCTAAACTAAAGCGTATTGTAATATTTTATCACAGAAGTACCAAATGTGGTCGACATTGGATTTTGCATACATATTCCATTGATGCAATATTGACCTACAGGACATGTTGCACCAGTCATACATGCTAAAAATGGTTGTTTAGTGGGGAAAAAAAGAAAAAAAAACATGTCTCCGAGGGCATGACTTGACTGCCTTGGTAAGCGACGTTGCTTCGAGTACAGTAACCGTTGACGCAAATTTGACCATTAAAACATTGCTGCATTAAACTACATGGCTGAAGTCCTTAAAAAAAACAATTGTGTCTAAATAAATATTTAAGAATTGAAAAGGACCTCCTACAGTCGAAGGAACACCGCCTAGTGGCACAGGTTGTGCCCCGCCATAAGGAGTGACTCCAGTGGCTACATTAGCGCCAGTTGCTAATCCTGCAAGTTTTTATTGTGGATCACCTTCATTGCAGTTTTTGAACATATTACCGCGACTTGTTGCCATTCCCGAATAAAGTGCTGCTGCGGATGCAAGCCCACTAAGGCCACCTCCTGCCCCAAAACCGAATGCTCTGTATAATTCACGCTTTTTTTGTTTCATTGAAAAGAAATTTTTTACCTCGAGCCCAGTACCGACGAACTTCCAGAAGAGAGACAATTTCCATTCCAGCAATACTGACCAAAAGGGCAGGAGATGTATCTTAAAATTAAACTTAAGCGCGAAAATTCCGCAATTAAAATGTTTTTGTCATTAATACCGACTAATTTTTCAAACAATTGCCATGTCAATCAGTTTACTTCTTAAAATATTCGACTATCACGCCAAAATTGAATTCGGCAATACTGAAACGTTTCTCCGAGAAACTCAAAGTTTTCAATTTTTTTATGCTCCTCATTTTTTTGTTATTGTTTTTCAACTAACCTACACATATCATTATCATTATATGATCCTAGAGCGTTGTACAAACTGCTTCCAAGAAATTGAGAATCAGCCAGTGATCTAGTCAACTTCTTATATTTGTTCTCTGACAAAATGTTCCACTTACATTAAAATGCTAGCAATAATGGACGAAAAAGCGATCATATTGAGGCAAAAAGTTGCGCAATGTTCGTATTCGAACCGTAATAATTCCCGAAAACGCCGGCCTCCTCCCCTGTCGCGTTATTTTGCGAGGTCATTATTTTTCTCGATGTGCAACAGACTTGACATCAATTATGTTGGTGGGTTTGGCTGAAATCCGGTTGCGCCAAGTGAGTGTATGACAATTGAAGCGTTTTTATTTTCAATCGAATGAAACAACCTAATTTGCTTCGTGTTTGTTCCGATATTGGATGATAAAAACGAATGAAAATCCAACAAAATGAATAAAATGTATTCTAATGTTTTCAATCGCGTGTTTTTTCATACTACAATTACTTTAAATATTTAAACGCATATGTGAAAAAAATTTTAAAATATTAAGCAACGATGATATCTTCGTTGCTTAATATTTATATACAGGTTTTAAATTTAAAAAAAAATCATGCAACATAAAAAACGTATTTATAACCTGTTTTTAACTAATTTTTCAAAATCCTCATAGTGTCATTATGTTTCATTCAAATGATAAAGTTTAAATCTTTGTAACGCTTAATTTTTCTGTAGTGGCCTAACTATAACGGCCTAGTAACTGATGTCAACTAATTGGCGTCACTCCAATCTAGCCAAAAAGGTAATCAAATACGAGAACTTTGCACCCAACCGCTAGTTTCACTTATTTTCTTTAAATCGTTCTGCGTATCAACATATTTCAAAAAGATTTTGATCGTATTAACAATATTTATGAAAGCCATTACATAGTTTTTTGTGCATCTTAGTAAACTAAAAACGTGTTTACACTTTTCATGACAAATCATTCGTTTATGTATATATTAAGTGCGCGTTTCTCGTTCGGAACAAATCGATTCTAACATTTTGCGTCAACAAATTGTCATTTTAAATTATTTACACAGCAAAGAGCAATAATTTTAAACATGATAACACGACGTTTTGTGCTTTTATTTTCGATCCCAAAAAACTATTTTTCAGACACTTAACAATGATACCTTATTGGGTAAAAGAGCGATTTGGATTCATATTATCCCTAATAACTTCGATTTATTTTTCTACAGTTCGTTTTGTTTTCTGGTGTTTTTATTCGTTTTTCCATCAAAGGAAATACGTCACAGAGCCTGCCGATAGTCTACTATTGATATCTGCATCGCAGGTTGTTCATCAGAGTTTCGAAAGTTTGAAATTTTTTTATTTAGGCGGTTCGAAAAATTGCCAACCGCGAAATCACTTCTTCACGATTGATCGAGTCCTATATCCATCGTATTGAGCAGGTAAGAGCTTCTAGATTTTTATGAATAAGGTTTATTTTGAAGATCAACTCCACAATCAATGCTGTCGTTGTTAAAATGTTTGATGATGCTCGAAAACAGGCAGAAGATGTTGACGAATTTATCGCCACAAGTTCAGAAGATGAAATAATTGCGGTTTTCACAAAGAGCATTTCAATTACTATTATTGTTTTCCAGAGAATTCAAAAGCAACCGCTTCTTGGCGTGCCGTTCACTATGAAGGATGCATTGGAAGTGTCCGATCAGATTGTTACATGTGGAATTTTGAGCAGAAAGAACTATAAATGCGATCGGACTGCGGACGCTGTTCAAAGGTATTTAAATTGAGTCGTGAACGGACGAAGCCTGTCGGAACCATTAAAACTACGTTTTTCCCTTTATAAGCATCATCAATTTTAGAGTTCAAAATGCTGGGGGAATTCTTCTGGCAATCACTAATGTTCCGGAAGTTTGCATGTGGGTTGAAACTACAAATACCGTATACGGACGGACAAAAAACCCATATGATACTCGCCGCATGACTGGAGGATCGAGTGGAGGCGAAGGTGCCCTTCTTGGTGCTGCTGGTAGCGTCATCGGAATAGGTAGCGATATCGGAGGAAGTATTCGGATGCCATCGTTCTTCAACGGAATTTTTGGATTCAAACCCACTCCAGGAATTATTTCCCTTGCTGGACATGTTCCCGAACCCACTGGATATAAAACAGAAATGCTTCGCATTGGACCAATGTGCAGATATTCAGAGGATTTGCAGCTCATGCTTAAGGCATGGAATTAATTCTTTAACGCTGGTTCATTCTATATTGCAGGTGATGGCTGGAGACAATGCAGAGAAGCTTAATCTCTATGAACCTGTGGTCCGAAAAAACCTCAGAATTTTCTACATGGAAGGAATTCAGAACGCTCCGCTAATTCAACCGCTCAGCTATGAAATGAGCCATGCCTTAAAACGAACTGTTTCACTTCTAGAGCGCAAATATGACGTCATCGCCACGAAAATTGATCTCCCTTTAGCCAGATATGTTATGGAATTCTTCACTCTATCAATGCACCAAGATACTACTGATCCTCCCTTCAATAAACTTATGCTAGCCATGGATGGTTCGAAAGGCGAAGTTAATTGCTACGTGGAGTTGTTCAGACTGCTTTGTGGAAATTCGAATCATACATTGGCCGCTGTGATCACTGGAATTATCGATTCGCACGATCCATTCACCGAACAGCAGAAAACAGAACTCCTCTACAAACGTGATCACTTGAAGCGTCAAGTTCGAGATCTTCTTGGTGACAATGGTGTTCTTCTTTTCCCATCGTGGCCGTGCACCGCTATGTACCATAATGAACCGATATTGGCGCCTCTAAACTTCTGCTACACTGCTCTTTGGAACGTAGTCTCGGTTCCGGTCATTCAGTGTCCGGTTGGACTCGACTCTCGTGGACTTCCACTCGGTGTTCAGGTCATCGGAAATCAATACACTGATCGCAATCTCATAGAAGTGGCACATGATCTCGAAGAAGCTTTTGGTGGCTGGGTTCCAGCCGGACCTTTGTAATACACTAAATTATTTCACTCTAATTTATGTTTTATGATCTGTAAGAACATGTCGCGATACTTGTTTTTTTTTTTTAAATTATACCTAATAAAAACAAATTTTATCAACAAAAAACAATAAAAATCAACAACTTTCCAGATAAAAGGAAAACAGGAGCGAATTAGTCACTAATATGTAAATAACGCAATTTTACCATCTGCTCCAGCGGTAATGAGCCAAGGCTGTGTTGGATGCCAAACCGTGCTTAACATTGACAAATCACCGACGGTTTCATGTCCTTTGAGTCTTTTGACAGGATACAGTTCGTTATCACGAGAGTAATCGGAGTAAATTCGTGCGTAGTAGATCATTGCACTACCATCGTCGGAAACGGTAGCGAGGAGAGGATATTTTTTATGATATGCTACGGAACGAATTGCCGAATGATGATGTTTAAGTTTTTTCCACGGCTTGTTGCCCATTTGCAAATCCATCCAAGCGAAACGACGATCCAAACCACCGAGGAATATGTTCTGAAGTTTATGTGTATAAAAGACAAAACGGAAGGAAATACCTCTCCGGTGGAATCTGGAACCATTGCCGCAATGTGTTTGATTCCGGTAATCAATTTCTTGATTAAAACGCATCTAGCTAAGTCATATTCTCTCACATGAATCTTTGTGGCAACGAACAAACGAGCCTGAATATTTACCTTTATTATACATACTAGCAGTGTCACGCGACTACCAAGAAATGGCTAAATGCTAAAATATCTATAGCAGCAGTCTTGGCGCAAATCTAAACGTTTAGATTTATGGGTGACTCATAAGGGTTGGTTCAAGGCAAGACCTTTCTCTAATTTTTTGGCATTTAGTCAATTTTCTGCAGTCGTAAGGCGCTGACCATATACGAGTTTTGTTTATAATTTACCTGAACTGGATGGAAAGCAACTGCTTGAACGTGCCCTTTTCTTTTAGTAAACGGACACTGACTTTTTGATTTGCTCAATTGATGAACATAAACTGATTTGGCAATGTCGTCGACAGAAACTGTCGCGAAATAATCTCCTTTCCCGTGCCACGTTACTTGTCGAATCTCCTAAATAAGAACTCGAAAACTTAATTTTAAAATGTGTTCCTTACATTTGGAGTTTTGAGAATAATGCGGTCTTTGGCTTTTCTCCAATGAACTGCAGCTCCGTCTTCTTGAGATTCAACGGGAACCTAAAGTTTCGAAAACTTAAAAATTTGGTTAGTCCGTAAGGTTTACCTCAGAAATTAACGATTCTGTCTGTGAAACGTGAAGTTTGTCTCCACAGCCAGTATTCAAAATCGCTACATTCTTGCCTTCATAAGCAACGGCTAGTAAAGTCCGTTCAGAAACTGGGCAAAACGCTATCGACGTAACCTCGCCACCCATATCGAACAATTTGATGCATCTTCCAGTGGCAATTACCCAAATACGGACAGTTCCATCTTCTCCACCACTTGCCAACAGTTCACCTTTTTCAGGCTCGACAGAAATCGCGCGAACTTGTCCCTTATGACCGCGCATATACTAAATATTTAACGAAACCTCTATTTCATAATAATAATAATAATAAATTACAAATGCAAGAGTCGTTGGAAACGGTCGTAGATCATTTGGATTAGGTAAGTCTGGCAACAGGTCTGTTGGATCTGCGTGGATCTAAAGCCCAAAATAATTATCTTTAATGTAACGTAAAAATCGCACCCGCATTTTTCTTTGTCTAGGTGCCAAATACAAATCCAGGCATCGCTCAAATCGTTCCGTAATAAATTTATCGTATTGCGGAACTTTCCGAAGCGCGTCAAACTTTTTAGGTACGAAATTCATTGTTCTATCCTCAGGCTCAGCTTCTTCCCATTTCTTTTTCTCCTCCTCGTCGAATAGATATTCTTCTGGTGGATTGTAAGATTCAGCATGTGTCGGTAAAGTCATTTTAGGTGCTGGCATATGCACACGCATACGAGAAAGCTGAGAGCGGGTCAAATTATCCATTGCATCTTCGGAAGCCCATAAATCGTAAAACTTCTTTTCCTCTTTAGGCTTCTTTGGACCTTTCGCCCATCCCATTTTAATTGCGTGCACCATCCTACTAACCATACGCATTTCATCCTTTGACGGGATGAACCTTGCCTTTGGTTCAGGTCTGAAACATTTTAATTCAAGTGATCCTTAAAAACTAGCTTCACCTATTATCGATTGGATGAATCTCTTTTTGAGATGAATATATATCTAAGAACGGTTCGTAAGGATTATATCCAACAGTTGGATATTTTCCTGACGCAAGATTTTCAAGTTTTTCAATTTGCTCATCGGTCAATTTAATATCTGTGCCTGTCTGCCTATCGAAAACCTTTCTCCAGTAATCCGGATCCTCCATTTTTTCCAAAAACGTTTCGATTTCACCCTTTTTCTCAGGTTTCTTAATTTTTTCTCCAAATTTGTCGTAACCAATATGATCTTCATCGTCGTACCATTGAATGGGAATATTTCCGATAGTATTTCGAAGATCCTGGTTGAAAAATTAGTTCAATACTTAAAAATAAAATACCTCTTCATCAGAAGAATCATATTCGTACTCATCGACTTGACTTGGTTTCACAGGTTTCATATCAATAGGATCGCCAAATTCATCCTTCGGTGCGTTCTTCTTTTTTATATCACGTCCTAATTTCCTTTTCGAATTTTTGGTATTAGTGGAAGACATCTAAAATTAAAAAAGTAATAGTTAATAAACAATTTCGACAAACGAGAAATAACATTATTAAAAGGTTTCTATTCCAGAAAAAATAAGCAGTATTTTTAACACGACACAGTTTCTCGGGTATTTTCTTCCATTAAACACAAAAATCAAGAAATTAATCAGAATAAACGCGGACGAAAAATTTTTAAACGAAACGAGCAAATGCGCTCCATTGAAAACACGCTGCGTACCGTAGCTCGCGTGCGACTTTTAGGCCAGAATTTTATTTTCCGAATTTCTTTCGTTCTGTCGAGTTGCCCTTAGTTTTATTCTTTTTTCTTTTTTCATTTTATCAACAATTTTATTAAAAATTTATAGCAAATTTTCAAGTTATATGAAATTTAAATCAGATGCATTCTAATTTAAAGTTTTCGTTAGTTTAGTTTTGTATAATTTGCGCGATTATCATTAGTCTAAATTCAATTGTTTTATTTTTTCTACCTACTTCAATGCTCCTTTTTGATTTACCGTTAGATTCTTATTCAATATTTCCAAAATTAATTTTTAAGGGGTACTAATCCAAATTTGAATTTAATGGGGTGAATTAGTGCGGCGTACTATTAATGAACTGCGAATCAAACTCCATAAATTGATGTGGTGTGCTCGTTTTTTTTGTCATTGTAATATTTATATTGTGAAGTTTTGTATTCATTTTCGAATTATTTCGAAATTGTTCCGTCTGTTTACGTTATTATTTTGTATCAGAATTTTTCAGGGTATACAAGCGCAATGGCGAAGAGAACTAAGAAGGTCGGAATTGTGGGAAAGTACGGAACCCGTTATGGAGCTTCCCTCCGTAAAATGGCCAAGAAAATTGAAGTAGCTCAACACTCCAAATATACCTGCTCGTTCTGCGGAAAGGAGGCTATGAAGAGAAAGGCTGCTGGAATCTGGAACTGTGCCAAATGCCACAAGACTGTTGCTGGAGGAGCTTACGTTTACGGAACAGTTACCGCTGCGACTGTCAGATCTACGATCAGAAGACTTCGTGATCTTAAGGAATAATTTTCCTTTTATTGTTAATTTTCATAAATGTTTGAGCTAATCTTTTTCCTACACTGCACAATACAATTTCATTTTCAATTTGATGTAATACTTTCTCAAGAACAATTCTCGGTTTTCATTGTTAGAATTAGAGACTTGCAGTTGGGATGGGAGTTCCCGCATTCTTCAGATGGTTAACGAAAAAATATCCGGCTACAATTGTAAACGCAAATGAAGAGCGAAAACGCCTCGAAAATGGAAAAAGAGCCCCAGTTGATTGTACACAACCAAACCCAAATTTTCAAGTATTTATAAATAAACGGTGCATGTATTAAAAAAATTCTAGGAGTTTGATAATTTATATTTGGATATGAATGGAATCATCCATCCTTGCACACATCCTGAAGATCGCCCTCCACCAAAAGATGAAGACGAGATGTTTGTAAGAGAGATAGGGGATTAATGTAGACATTAGTATGATAATACTTAGGCACTAATTTTCGAATACATCGATCGTATTTTCTCCATTGTTCGCCCACGAAGACTTTTATATATGGCAATCGATGGTGTCGCACCACGTGCTAAAATGAATCAGCAGAGAAGTCGTCGTTTCCGAGCTAGTAAAGAGATGGCAGAAAAAGCAGCAAGTATTGAAGAGCAGAGAAAACGATTAGAAGCAGAAGGAATTGCTGTTCCACCAAAAAAGGAAGCTGAGCAGCATTTCGATAGTAATTGTATCACTCCAGGGACACCATTTATGGCAAGGTAATTTCTGAAGCAATTTCTTAAAATTAAATATACCATACGTAGACTAGCCGATGCTCTTCGCTGGTATATTCACGACCGAGTGACCAATGACGCCGCATGGTCCAAAATCGAAATTATACTTTCCGACGCCAACGTTCCGGGAGAAGGGGAGCACAAGATTATGGATTATATCCGAAAACAGCGTGGAAATCCCGCACACGATCCAAATACTGTGCACTGCTTATGTGGAGCTGATGCCGATTTAATTATGCTCGGTCTTGCTACACACGAAGCTAATTTTAATATTATCAGGTTGATTTGATCTATGTTTTTAATTTTTCTCATTATAATTTAAGAGAAGAATTTGTTCCGAATCAACCACGAGCCTGTGACCTTTGCGGACAGTATGGTCATGAATTAAAAGAATGTCGAGGAATGGAAAATGACGCGGATCTTGGAAATGATTATGTCAAACCTGAAATGCGCGAAAAGAACTTTATTTTCCTGCGAATTCCCGTTCTACGCGAGTATCTCGAAAAAGAGTTAGCAATGCCGAACTTACCATTCAAGTTCGACATTGAGCGTGCTATCGATGATTGGGTATTTCTGTGCTTTTTCGTCGGAAACGATTTTCTGCCTCATTTGCCGTCTTTGGAAATCCGCGAAGGCGCTATCGATCGTCTCGTTAAATTATACAAAGACATGGTTTATAAAATGAGAGGATATTTGACAAAAGACGGAATACCAGAATTAGATCGTGTTGAAATGATAATGAAAGGTCTGGGAGAAGTTGAAGACGAGATTTTCAAAAGAAGACAGGTGAAATAAAGATTATTATGGGACCAATATTTTTATTTTAGCAAGACGAAGAGAGGTTCAAAGCTAATCAAAGAAATAAGAAGTTGAGGATGCAGCAAGGGTATGGCCGTGGAAGAGGTCGGTCGAGAGGTGGACCAGCATATGTTCCACAAAGTGGATCGTTGTTGGCCCCTTTATCAGCTCCACAGCCTCTTTCTGGTGAAGTAACGCGACAAATGGCAGCAGATGCTAGAATTCAGGTGTTTATGTTTTTAAAATCTGACAATTAAACAAATATTTTAAGGCCATGAATTATGTCGAGAAAGCTAACGCGGAAGCTGCGAAAAATCTCAAAGCTCTGCTCAATATTCCTGGCCAGCCATCGGATGCTGAATCAAACTCCCGGAAACGTCAATATGAAGTGAGAAGAAAACATTAATTTAGGAATAATTTCAATTTTTATCAGAAATCTGTTCAAGAACAACAAATAGAAGAGGATGAAGGTCCACAAGACGAGATCAGGTTGTATGAGTCCGGTTGGAAAGATCGATACTATCGAGCTAAATTCGACGTCGGATCAGATGATGTGGAATTCCGCCATCGAGTCGCTTGGGCTTACGTAGAAGGCCTTTGTTGGGTTTTAAGATACTATTATCAAGGATGTGCTAGTTGGGATTGGTATTTTCCTTATCATTACGCGCCGTTTGCCAGCGACTTCGACACGGTAAGCCAGTATGTACCGGACTTCTCTCGGAAAACGTTTCCATTCAAACCGTTGGAACAACTTATGAGTGTCTTCCCAGCTGCTTCAAAGCAGCATTTACCAGTGGAATGGCAAAAACTTATGTTCCAAGACGACTCGCCGATTATTGATCTCTATCCAGTTGATTTCCGCATCGATTTGAACGGAAAGAAATACGCGTGGCAAGGAGTTGCTCTACTACCATTCGTCGATGAGGTTCGACTACTTGAAACTCTTAAGTCCGTTTACCCAACTTTATCCGAAGAAGAGAAGCAAAGAAATACAAGAGGTCCAAATCGCATTTTTATTGGTCGGAACCATCCGTCTTTTGCATTTTTCAAACAAGTTTACGAGGGAGAAAAGGATTCGAAAAAGTACATTGAACTTGATCCTTCATTGATTCATGGCATTAGCGGTAAAATTGCTCCGGATCCGTTTGTCGTCATGCCGGAACAAGTGTTCGCATCCCCTGTAAATCACGAGGATTGCCAGGATATTCCGGTAATTCGTTTACCGCTTGCTCATTTATCTGTCTTCATTAAAGGTGAATTGTGGCATCTCCGTACTCTATGAGGATCCAGAGTATCCAGATGGATATATTTTCCCGGCTGTTCGTCTTCCCGGGGCTAAGGATTTGGAAAAAACATTAAAGCCCGAAGACTGGAATGACCGAAAAGTTTGAATTCATCAATAGTAATTATGATTTTATTATAAATATTTTAGAATGGAACATTCCGTCCGATGATTGGATTTACACGTGACACGACCAGAGCGGCTTTAGATAACTCAGGTCATCGTCACTTTGAGCATCACGTTCGTGGAGCCATGAATGATCGGGTTTACGATAATTATCGAGGTTTGAAGTTTTGTTATTTTTTTTTTTTAAATAATGTTGAGATGCTACATAATGCCAGAATTTTCAAAATTATGACAAAATTCCATTCTTTTAATGCGAAAAACACCGTGAGGTTCCATAACTTGATTTTCACAACGTTGATTTCTCATGCTTTTGATTTTATAAAAGAAATTCAATGAAAATTTAACTGCTAATAACATTATTATTATTATTGCTGTTTTAAAGACAATAATTACCGCGGACGTAGCAACGGATATGAGCAGCGAAACCAAGGAGGATACGATCGGAATCAAGGCTATCAAGGAAGGTACGACAACCGGAATCCCAATGATAATCATCCACACGCAGGTTATGGAAGACATTACGGGCGCCAAGATGGTAAAAATTCTTTTATACTGCAATTTAAATCTAAATCATAGGGTATAATCATTCACAAAATTACAATCGTTCATACAATCAATGTGATCGTGGAGGTCGAGGATTACCACGCGCTGGACCACCAGGAAGAGCCGATAATCGTTTCAACCCATATCGTGGAAACTCATCGTGGCGCTAAACCTCTGTTTTATTTACATTCTGCAAATCACTTATCTCAAAGACTTAATAAACACAAACGAATTTTCATTTATGCATTTATTTTTGCGTTCGGGGTTCGTTCACGACATTTATTATGAAGTAGAAAAATAATTATTTCTCAGCCGGAGGAGCAGTGGGGTTATATGTCGGCAAACCGTTGTATACTGGGTACTTTGGAGCAAATGGTTTGCTATTGTCATCGACGTTAAGTGTTGTACCATCGGTTCCGTAAACAGAATCTTCATAAGAAATAGGAGGAGCTGAAAAATGAAAACTTCGTTCTTTTTAATTGAATGATTAAATATAAATTACCGCTCGGAATTGGTGATCCTTTTGGAAAACCATTGTCAGCATTCACGGGATATGGCGGAGACAGTGCAGGGGCTGGTTGTGGGATTGTTGATATTCCATTCGTTTCATCTACTGAATACGGCGGAATAACAACAGCGGATGGATCGGCCGGATAGAAAGAGGGTGGAAGATAATCGCGAATCGGGATAGTTCCAATGAGCAATTGAACCTCGCTTTCGGCTTCACTTCCAAAGGTTGCAGCAGTGTCAACTCGAGCCACTAGATAATACTCGACCAGGATTATTGGACTGTACTGATTTATAGTTGGAACAACTGGTGCTAACTTAATCTCAAGTGTAAGATTATCCGAGAATCCAGGCTGTACGTCAATCTTAAGCAATTTTTAAAAACCGAGTATTATGATATGCTATTCCCACTTGCTTAGAAACTTTTGCAACTTCCTTGCTTTTTTCTTTCACGTCGCACATGGAGAACGAAGTGTCGTTGGGAAGTCCATTGAATCGAATGGTTGTTCCATCGCGAACAGCAGAAAATCTTGTACGTTGATAGATTTCTACTTCTGCCTTAATAATTATTGGAAATATTTTTTTCCTGATTACAAACAATCAAACAAGAACGTGTACTATTTCCCATTATTGCTAATGAAATACCTTGGTAATTGGCACCGAACTAGTGTTGTTGAATTGCATGTTGATTGGAATAATCTCGCCAGGAACGTAACCTGATTTTGGAACTTCGATTCTGAGCTCAACGTATCCTTTCTTAAAACAACACGATCCTATATTCTCGCTGCAAGAATCGCGAAGCACATTACGTGCTTCTGGAGTCAAGTTCAAGTCTATTTGTGGAGAAACTAAACGAAATGGGTTTGTCCTTTTGGTCGAATAATATTTACCAGTGAAACACTGTTTTTTCGCTTTATCCAATCTCCATGGTCTATCGATTTCAGCACGGAGATAATATCTAATGTATCCATATTCTCCTGAAAAACTATCAACTTCAACATAAATTTGCGAAGATCATAATATTATATTCGCAAAAAAACGACCACCCTGCGCCGATTTACGGTTAGTTAACTTCATAGGTTATCCAGAGTACGCTATCTGATATCTGTGAGCTCACCGTTTCAATTAGAAATTGAATTACCGCCTCTAATGAAAAAACGCCAAATGGGACTTTTTTGAAATAAGAAACTGACCTCATAAAAAATCAGATTTACCGATTATAATTTTACGTTTTAAAATTTTAATTTTATATTTTAAAACAGTTCGCTTTGTTCAAACATCTCGGCGATTCGATCGGAGCGAACAGGAAACCCTTTTTGGCTAACAGGTTATTTCAAATTTTGGCCAATGCCAAATGGGACCAGCCAAATGGGACCAATAGGGGGCCAAATGACAAATGGGGCCAAAATGACAAATGGGACCAACCTCTATTAAAAAAAGGACCCTTTTTGCCATATGGGACCTTGATTTCAGAACTGAAAGTGACAAATGGGGCCAAACTCTTTTTTTTTCAAGCAATGCAAATAAACATTATCAACAATCTACTGTCACCGGAACGACATTTTTTTTCTTGAAAGAGCCATATACACCAGGGCTGTGCGGCATTCGGAAAAAAAAGCCGGAAAGGCAAATTGCCGAAAATCAAAATTTCGGCTATTAAATGTTTTCAACGATAGTTCGAAATATGAAGACCGAATTTCTTAATTATGTTCTTTCGGCCAATACCGTAAATTTTCCTAGAAATTGTCAGTGTTATATGGGGGAGGGGGTCTTAAGGGGTCCGAATTCGAAAGTTTTTAAAATTCCAGAAAATGATCCTAAGTGCCCATTGTTTCAGAAAATGATGCTAAAACGTAATTCTTTTTCATCAAATTTTCTGTTCTGCTCGAAGGTCAAAATTTACAGTTTCTAACAGTAATTGGCTAACTTTGATTTTTCAAAAACTGTAGACTATCCTTATGAAAGAAAATTTTTACAAGAAATGAACTATTCACAGAAGAGCAGGTTCAGATAGACTTCAGGTTCAGATTCGGGGTTCAGATAGACTTCGTAAGCGTGAATCTATTCCCACAATTTCCAATATTTCAAGTATCCAATTGTGCAATTCTGTATCAAGCTTCTTTGCAATCCTTGCGCAAATCAAATACCTAAAAACAATAGTGGCAGGCAAATAGGCTTAAATTTTTTGTACAATTTAACACATTTGAGGAATATAAATTTATTTTAGGAAAACAAAATTAAATTAGAATGGAAAGGGAACAAAAAAATGGGAAAAATTTACCAAACATTACAAAAAAAAAACCAGCGAATCGAAGAAAGGATATCGATGGCGCGGGATTAGCGTCAGACGAAGCCTGAAAGACACATAAATCATGGAGTAATGTTGAATATACGAAAAATAAAACAATCCTAAAAATTGGGAAAATATTAGGCATTTATTAATTTCAGTCCTAAATAATCACAAGTTCAGTCCTAAATAATCACTAGTTTACAAATATGTACACTTAAAATAAAACTATAATTAATTTAAATCCAATTTTAAAAGAATAAATCGCAAAAAATCGTTAAAAACTTTAAAAAATTGAAAAAATTAAAGCAAAAGTAATACTGCCGACAGCTTAAAGGTGCAGCGTTACTGTAGCATTCGCTTAACTGTGCGATTTTTAATAATTGGATTTTTGAAAAATTAACTCATTTTTTCCCTATTTTTAACGTTTTTTTGCGATATATTCTTTTAAAATTGGATTTAAATCAATTATAGTTTTATTTTAAGTGTATATATTTGTAAACTAGTGATTATTTAGGACTGAACTAGTGATTATTTAGGACTGATATTAATAAATGCCTAATATTTTCCCAATTTTTAGGATTGTTTTATTTTTCGTATATTCAACATTACTCCATGATTTATGTGTCTTTCAGGCTTCGTCTGACGCTAATCCCGCGCCATCGATATCCTTTCTTCGATTCGCTGGTTTTTTTTGTAATGTTTGGTAAATTTTTCCCATTTTTTTGTTCCCTTTCCATTCTAATTTAATTTTGTTTTCCTAAAATAAATTTATATTCCTCAAATGTGTTAAATTGTACAAAAAATTTAAGCCTATTTGCCTGCCACTATTGTTTTTAGGTATTTGATTTGCGCAAGGATTGCAAAGAAGCTTGATACAGAATTGCACAATTGGATACTTGAAATATTGGAAATTGTGGGAATAGATTCACGCTTACGAAGTCTATCTGAACCCCGAATCTGAACCTGAAGTCTATCTGAACCTGCTCTTCTGTGAATAGTTCATTTCTTGTAAAAATTTTCTTTCATAAGGATAGTCTACAGTTTTTGAAAAATCAAAGTTAGCCAATTACTGTTAGAAACTGTAAATTTTGACCTTCGAGCAGAACAGAAAATTTGATGAAAAAGAATTACGTTTTAGCATCATTTTCTGAAACAATGGGCACTTAGGATCATTTTCTGGAATTTTAAAAACTTTCGAATTCGGACCCCTTAAGACCCCCTCCCCCATATAACACTGACAATTTCTAGGAAAACTTACGGTATTGGCCGAAAGAACATAATTAAGAAATTCGGTCTTCATATTTCGAACTATCGTTGAAAACATTTAATAGCCGAAATTTTGATTTTCGGCAATTTGCCTTTCCGGCTTTTTTTTCCGAATGCCGCACAGCCCTGGTGTATATGGCTCTTTCAAGAAAAAAAATGTCGTTCCGGTGACAGTAGATTGTTGATAATGTTTATTTGCATTGCTTGAAAAAAAAAGAGTTTGGCCCCATTTGTCACTTTCAGTTCTGAAATCAAGGTCCCATTTGGCAAAAAGGGTCCTTTTTTTAATAGAGGTTGGTCCCATTTGTCATTTTGGCCCCATTTGTCATTTGGCCCCCTATTGGTCCCATTTGGCTGGTCCCATTTGGCATTGGCCCAAATTTTATGGACCGGTTCGATAATTTTTTAATCTAATGACGTTAGAAATTCAAGAAAATGCCAAATTCATCAAGAAAAAATAAATCGTTCACGTGAAAACAGCAAAATAAGCATTCACGCGTGGCGAGACCTTTTCAAGGCGCATGCACGTAAATCTACCCGCTTACAGCAGTCGCTGGACCCCGACTATACCTACGAATCAAACTCACCATAAAATGGAACCGTGCGGTCATTTTTTTTGCGATTGTAACCCAAATAAGGGAAAAATGCAATTAGTCGAAACAAATGTCACCCAGGGATTATCCCAGCACGCTAAATTGAGGACAATGTGCAATTGGAGTAACGTACTGGTATTAAGTGTTTAAAGTTTCGAGATCAGAACCCCAATGAGTAAATCAAAAGCGACCGCGGGGCGTTATTTTCGAAACGCTGACAAGGATATGTCTGTGAGATATGCAAAACTACAGTATACATCAATGACATGCAAAAATTTGTTCATATCTCGCTAAGAAACAAAACTGTATCCGTAATTTCATTGCCCTTATTCTAACCTTCAAAACTTGGCGGGCAGTTTGGTGGTAAGTTGATAGAAAACGGCCATTGATAACTACCAGGAGGCATTTTATTCTAAATCTGTCTTTACTATATCGTGCTTTTATTCTCTGTATACCTCTCCATCTGATGATGTCCAAAGAAGAGCTTCATGATCCATATAAAGAACTTCAGCTTTATATGTAATTGTTCTACTTCTTCGTCTGGATGTGCCATCCGAATCTCTAAAATAGACGTGCATTTTTAAAATGATCATTCATGAGCTTCATTGTAAAAATTAGTTCCTGGTTTAATCGATCAAAAATTAAGATATTTTCTTGCAAGACAATTTTCTAAAGCACCATGTGGTAAAAACCAAAAATTTTTACAAATAATCCTTTCGGTGTCTCACCTTATGTAATACGATTCACTTTCGGTCCAATTTGTCTCAGCTTTGCCAACAATTTCGAGTTTAACGGCCCTCGCCTAGAAAGTTGCATCATTTTAGAAGTAAAAAAAAACAAAATTTAAACCTTGTATGTTTCATCCGTTTTAAAATAGACGACCCCAGTTATAGGATAACCAGGAACGAACACTTCCGTCTTGTTTTCCAGCACCACCTCAAGTTCGACATCAGCACCCATGCCTGTGAGATGATAATAAAGAGAATGCTTCGTTAAAAAACATAAAAAGCCTATTATCGCCGACGAGAAAAAAAACCAAGTGTAACTGAATGCAAGAACAGAAACGAGAGGGCGCCGACAGTGAGATTGAACACGCAGAAATGCCGAAAAGTGTTTCTAGTTTGCACTTTTCTTTTTGTTCAAAGCAAAATGGCCTTTGATATTTGAAAATGAATTGTCTACAAAAGAAATAGGTTGGAATCGAAAAAAATTGTCTGCAAATTTCGGTTTAGCAAAACAATGAGAAGATTTTGTATGCTCAAGTATTCGGTAATTTTTCATTTATATTTATTGTGGAAAGCAGACGATTTCGGGAGAGCGGCGAAATTTGAAAATTTGTTCATTTCGCTTCAAGATATCGGCAATAATATTCAACGAGTCTGTAAGTTACATCGAGAATAACTCAACGAATAAGTGATTTTGAGTGTTTATTTTCATTTTTCCGTTTTGTCGATACTTAAGACATTGATAAGAAACTAAATTTAATAGCGAAATTAATTTTTTTAAACATTTGGTGTCTAATGAGTTTAATTTTGTGATCGAGGGGCATACTCCCCTTTTTCACAATATTTGTGAATATGTATCGACCTATTTTTGGTAACATCTGATTCGAAATTCGACCTTAACCCAATTAACACTATTAAACAAGGTAATTTATTGTTTTATAAAACAAAAAATGTCAGAATAAAATGAATTTTTTGAATGAAAAGAAAATGCTCTGTAGCAAATTATTAGTAAAGCTTGAATATCCGCTATTTCTACAGTTTAAATTTAGTTTATTCAGACGGCGGCATTGGAATCTCAGGAACCTGCGCTTGAGGAATTATCGTGTCAACATTAATCGACGGTGGTCCCGCAGCACCCCCACGCGCTTTTCGCACCTGAAATGTCATGTGATTTATTGAAATAACAAAATCCAGTAAAAAGATGGCAGAGAACCGTTTTTTTTTTCTAAAATGTTTCGAAACAATGTGTAATGTTTACAGAGTAAGAAGCCTACTTCGTTTTGTTTTTCGGTTGCGTCCACCTGTTCCATTTCCGCATCCGTTGGCGGCATTGGCGGTGGTGTATTGTTATTGGGTGCAGCCACAGTGGTCGTCCAGCTATTTTGTACTGTCTCTTGTTGTATTCCAGATGATTGAGTGTCAGATGTAAGACTAGGATATTGTGGCACCTTCGGGAGTGATGGATATTGCGTCTGCTCTACTGTTTGTTTAGGATATTCAGCAATTGTTGGGTGTTGCGATGGAACGGGTGCCTGACCCTGGTTTTGTATTGGTACTTTAGGATAGTCGCTAGCTGGTTGATATTGCAAATTTGGTGACACCACTGATGCTTGATATTGCGGTTTGGCAGGTTCCATCAGATAACTTCTTGAAGAAGACGGAATTTGAAATCCTGATGGAACATTTGAATAAACATCTGGGCGGCTATACGAAGACGGTCTAGCATAAGACGAAGGTCTTGAATAACTCGACGGACCACTGTAGGATGTCGGTTGCGAATATGTGTTTGGCTGAGATTGGAATGCTCCCATTGATCTTCCGTAATATTCCATAGGCATGTTATACCCGCCTTGCCAATTTTGATATTGACTGTTGCACTGCGAATCCCAGTAACCGGGATAACTTTGATATGAAGGCGTATTATACATGTAGGCTCCTCTTCGATCCCTATATGAAATTGAATGATCACATTATTGAAGCTAATCACTTTACCTTTGATTGCCGTCCGCACATGACCAAGTAAGTAGGAAAACAAGAAATAGAGATAGCATGTTCGCAATTTGCCAGAAACTTCCAAAATGGAGATAGTTATATAAGAAAGGAGAAACGGGTGGAGACTCGAAAATTTGCCGAATTTCGTGATTGTTCAACTATTAGTTCGTCTTTTAGTACCGATTTTCAATCATACAACATGGTGAAAATTCTTGACCTATGACTCATGAAGTTTACCGAATAAGGCTAAAACGTAATTTAGTGAGCTGTGTAATAGCTAACAAAAGTGGTTTTGTGCTCGGCTGGGTTGAAATTGAAAAATTCGAGAATCACTTTTCGGTATGGTACCACAAAATAAAATGATAGGAATGGATCGACAATAGTTGGTAAGCTTAGAAAAAAACCTGGAAAGTACTCTAAAGAGAAAACATTGAAACCAAAAAGCAACTCAAACCCCCAATAATTAATTCGTTCTTTGAATACTGCACGTATAAATAAAACGATAGAACTGGTAAATAGCAAAATGAAATCAATAAGGTTTGACAGGTAAGTCCCTGAACGTTTCCATGTATTGCTATTAGCAAAAGCATACCCGAATTAGAGTTTTCGTTTGCGTTTTCGTTTTCTGAGACATTGACTTGTGTGCATTGACCATTCTCATAATTGATCTTGTTAGAATTGCCGCTCCCAAAGGTATTAAATAAGATCCGATTCCTAACAGAGTAGTATTCACTTGGAAGCATGACGAGTTAATATCGCCGAATCCGCAAAACGGCTCGTAAATTGTCAAATTGTGATGTTTATGTTCAACTTTGGCTTGCTTGCGTACAATTTCAAAATTCCATGGGCACAGAAATGGAATAATCTGCATTCATTGTTCTATCAATTGATTATTAGTCTCATTTTTCAAGTTTCAGAAACAAAAACAGTTCTCCAAACATATCTCGTTTCGTTCATTTGAAAACTTACTATGGAGATGATGGCCAAAACATATGGAATTCCAACAAACAGGGAAATTATTGATTTTGTTACCCGAACGCCTTGGATCACCAGAAATCGGTAGATAATCGTGCTGGTGATACTAAGTGCCACAAAAAATACAATACCCTAAATCTGAAGCATTTCGATATTCGAATAGATGTTGATTACAAGAAACACATGATACGATGCAAAACACGAATTTTGATTGATAAGACGACACAATCCTGACGACAAAATTGCGAGGGTCGTTGACGACGGAAGATATCTAAAATCTTTTAATAGTCCGCTTGATATGTCATAACGCGTGATTTGTACCGGAATTGCAGAAAAAATGTGACGAGACTCAGAAAAATCTGAAGAACGCAAGTATTCCGTATGAACAATTTCATTGTAGCCATCGATTTTGGGGTGCATTTAGTAATAAGCATTAGCAGTATTGACTGTAGGATAAGGCTCAAAATAAAATGAACTTTATAATAAAAGCTAGCACATAAAATTAATACATTGGAATCCATTGCCACTTTTTGATTTTTGTTAACTTTCGCATAATAACGCAAAGAAAAACAATCAGTAGGTTTTAATTAGAGATGTGGGAAAGAAGGAATAACTATTTTTGCAGTAATAATCAATTTTTTCGATAATGGAAAGAAAGGGCATCGATTTTTCAAAGATTTCTGTTTTGTGTAGCAAATTCTTGTATTTGCAAATTGATTTTCTCCTATTACAATCCTAAAAGTTGTATTTTTTACTTTGAAAATTCCTTCTTCGTTTCCGGTAAATCTGTGGCCAATTCTGTTTAGTGTTTCTTTTTGCCATTTTTTTCATTGCATCCGCGAGATCTCCCACATTTTTCTCTGCGTGATGTCATCCCGAAAATTGTATTGTGAAACGGACAAACCGCTGAATTTTATTCAAGACAATCAAAATAAATACACATTTCCAAATAAGACATCGAAAAGGAGAACGAACAAATGAACGCATAATACCACATAATGTTCAAAAATTCTGTCAAAACTTTTGCACATAAATCACAACAGTATTACTATGTACAAACAATTTCGAGATGGTATTCAATTGATGATGACGAAATCGACTGATTTAGACTAGAACGATGAAACTTCAAAGAATGAAAAAGAGATCCAGCAAAGATTCAGAGAAAATGGAATAAGAAATTGTTTGGCCAAGACACGTCGGAGAGATACTTGATGGAAACCCCTAGTCGCTTTTTTTGAACACTGTGCTACATAAGGACTTTAAAAAGTCGTTGCTCGTTGATGTGCTATAAAATTAAAACTTATGAAAATGATAAGGGTATTACAATTGCAAAAAACGAGCACCCTGAATCGATTTACGGTGTGTTTGATTTGCAGGTTATCCGTAGTACGGTACCTATATTTTGACTGCTTTAATCGAAATTTGAATCCTAGAAAATACGCAATAGTCCACAATTTGTCAAGGTGCTCATTTTTGCGATGTTAATATTAATTCTACCATTTTAAGCATAAACTTTGAAACCGGCTTAATGATGCGTCTGCTTCTTTCTGAGATGGTTCTTCTACTGAATCATCGTAGTCCGCAATTATAAAATCCGCTAAAGTTTAATAAATAAATACGAGCTCTTAGCTACTGATATACCTGTGACATGCCGCCTCGGCCTGATCACTGCAGACTGTACCAGCGATAAGACGAGCAGCAGAATACATATCCTCAAATGTTCTATGCCTATCCTTTGTAAGAGCATCAGCTCGTTGTGTGCACTACGACGTCTTCACAAAACCGTCGTCGTCGTCGAAGTCGCAGCGGCAGTTTTGTAATTGTTCGATGGTGAAATCGCAGTCAGTGTCGAATTGTGACCTCGTCGCAGCTGCGGCTTACCTATTGTTTCTGTGGAATCGGATATTAATGGATGCACCTTCAAGAGAAATCTATTATTTAGAGAAAACTCCGTTATCAGTCAAGGGTAAGAAATAATTGAATGATTGGTCATATCAGAGTGTATTTAAAAATTTGTAGACCCACAAAGTGCTTAAAGATTGTGTCAACTGTAATAGAATGTGGGCGTGGCTAAGCCCGATGAATAATCCGCGTTGGAGGGATATTTGTGGTAAGTTCAATAAATGTCCGCGCACGCGTGACCTCACAGAGGAAAAAGAATGACTGAGACGAAACGCAGTATTCAGAAATTTAAAAAAAATTTATTTTGCTTTCATTGGATTGAAACCCTATTTGCAAAGATTATTATCGGTTAAAAATTCCAGACTCGTTTTTGATGAAAACATAAATCGAACTGGGCTGGTCGCGGCCAATATGTCATTTCACCATGGTTTCTTCAGAAATTTGCTCGTTTCTTTTTCAATTTTGCTCATTTATCTGGTTTTTTTCCAGACACGCGACGGACAGCAATTTATACATTTTATTTGTTCTAGCAAATCGTAAGTACCCAATAAAAATTGATTTCCGGTCTTGAATGTGTGGTCGGCGAATGGCAGCAAACCATACAATGGGAATATTGCACGAGTCAAAGCATCAGAAATTAAATACGGTATTGTTGAGATTGAAATCGAGAAATTGAGCCAGCTGATTGCGAACCGTCTCTGACGTCGGAACTGAGCAAAGCAAGACAAAAGCCGTTGAAAAAAAGGAGCTGCGCAAAGTCCAAAAATGGCAACACTAACTAAATGAGTGTAATTCAATACAGGCAAACGCTAGGCAGAAAATAGACAAAACACATTGAATACGACATGAAATCTGAAGACACCGCACCGGGAGCACATTTGAAACTTTTCGCTAACAATGAACAAATTGGAATAATTGAGAGCAACGAATCGAAAACTTCCGCTGTTCCATTTTGAACAACGAGTAGCATTGTTTTCAATTCAGAGAAACTCGTTCTACTCCGCAAAATTTAACTATATATAGAATTTTCGTTTTTTGTTCGAAAGTACACTTTGCGCGATGTACATTAAGACCTTTCATATATTTTGGTGACCTTGGCGCTTGTGACGTCACAAAATGTGTCATTCGATATTTTGATCACAATAACTACAGTAACGGAAAATGATTAGAAACAAAAATGAATAGAAACTTCAGTCCTCGCGCTTTTGTTTCGGGAGTTGTTATTTTTGGAAGGCCGATATTCATGCTTCATCGAGAAATGGAAAAAGAAGAGAAAAACGTGGATCAGCGTCAATAAGCGCGGGCGCCGAATTGAAAAATTATGAGAAGGTTTCTCGTTGCAAATCAATTATTCTTTTATGAAATAATTCGGTCTAACGCGCTTGCGAATTACACGCGGTGCTGGCAGGCAGGACAGCTAGCGGGGGCTCCCGACATTTAATGAAAAGACAATTCTTTTTTCCCGCGCAAAAACAAAAATAGTTTTAAATATTTGAGAAGTTCAAATAAGCAAAACGTCATTTTTTTATGAATGGCTACTCAGTCGGGTCTCCTCCCACGAAACTCAATCAAGAAATCTTCTAAATTAAATATCATCAAATAATATACTCCCTCAACTTTTGCTCCATTGGATGGGGTTCTCTCATTCGAAATTGAATTTTAGGAAGGAAGTATTTCCCGGTTTCATCGCATTTTCTGCACTATTGAATTTTGTAGAAAGCATTGTTATAATGGTGACTGGAAGACACATATCCAGTTGATTATGAAGTTACGAGAAAGAAGGGAAACAATCTGATATTTTTATTCTTTTTTTTAAACTTTCATTTCATTCATGGAATTATAGATGTTAAAAAAACATATTAAAAATCTCTAAGAAAAATAGGAACCTCAAAGTAGAAATACGAAAGTCGCAAAAAATGTCCAATGTGTTGAGGCACTTCGATAGTGTATTCTCGATGAAATGCCAACTACCTCTTGTTTGTTTCATTTTCTTCAAGAATTTAATTTTGATAATTGAAAACAGACCATTTAGCTGTTTCTAACCCAGGGTATCCAACACATTCTGTTCGTACACACAAAAAAGTTGGTGAAACAGCCGGTTGTGTCCAAATGATGTCAATCCCCCGGGAGTACTAATCGAAGTGGGTTTATTTTTATTTCGCATGTTTTTTTTGCATTAAGCTCTTTAGGTGACAAATTACACGGGTTATTTCATGCTCGGCGAATTGTTTCGAAAACCGGATATTGCGTAGCGCTAAGATTTAGTTCACTCCTTTTGTTGACCTCAAAACGGCCTACTGTGACGCACACCTATACGCAAATAGCTCAAGTCGATAGCCTCCAGTGGGAATTCGGAGATTTAGCCACTTTCTAGGTTTAGTGGAAGCTTTGAGTTTCAATTTGGGGTTCCAGAACTGAGTAGCAAATTCGATAGTTACAATTCAATTAGTTTTAAAAATCGACACAGTCAAATTAATCTAGGCTAAAGAACTTGTAAGCCAACATTTTAGAGAGAGAGAAAACCGAGAAGCAGTATTTGAGAACGAATGAGGGAAGAAACAAAATTTTCCTTTAACAAGTAAAAATATATATATATATATATATATATATATATATATATATATATATATATATATATATATATATACTAATCCGCGTTTCTCTAAAAAATATATATATATATATATATATATATATATATATATATATATATATATATATATATATATATATATATATATATATATATATATATATATATATTTTTTTTTTAGAGAAACGCGGATTAGCAATTTTGCTGAAGTAAAACTCCCGGAGCAAAAGACGACAATTAGTGCAATTATTCATAAACAAACTCATCAATATTAATGAATCATATGTTTTGAAACTATCATTAAAAATTCTGAGGTAGATATGTATATGAGTGTGCGCGAGTTTTTTTGGGCGGAGACACTCGAAAAAAAACACACACACAAAAATAAACTTGGCTCCTAGCAGAGAAAAAAATGAGAAGCGTTTTAATGTCACCAAAATGATTGATGGTGTTTTTGATGATTATCATGAGCATTAGATGAAAAAGAATTGTTAATTTGACCTTTTTCCCGGTTGGAACGAGGGCGGAGACAAAGTTCAAAGCGCTCTGACATATTGAAAAAAATAGATTAGTGTAGGCGAAATCTTGTGGTTCCAAATTATTGGTAATAGTGGAAATGCATTTAATTCTTGTGAATACTGTAGACCTATGTGTGCGAAGATTTATATGAATATCGTGCCGATTTTTTTAAAATTAAAGGGGCGTGGCGTATCCGCTTTGTTTTCCTATTATCTGTATTACGTACGGTTTTCCGATGTTTGATTCTGCAATAATGATGGTCGCGTGTTGATCTATGTCGAAAAAAGTCCGGAAACCTAACAAACTAAGCAACATTTCGGTCTTTCCGAAACCAACACGTTCATCGTTTTCAAAGCTTTTAAATTATTTAAGGAAGTCTCAAAAATACAACTAGAAAACTTTTCCTAGATGTGCAAAATATTATACAACCGTGTTTTTCGGTTTTCTTTTTATTTTTATAGCAATTGCTCGAAAAAATCGAAAATAAAATAACTATCACCGATTAGGAAGATTTTTTGAAAAAGAAATCTACGAAAAAAAAAATGAATTAGTGAAGCCTTAGAAACGAAATATTTATTGTCGTATTGGGAGAATGATATCACTTTTACGGAATGTAAAGATCAAAATTTGGTGCCGAAATCCGGAAAAGTGGCGCAAAATAGTGACGAATAATCAACAAAATGGAAAACATGAAAAAATGTTCCGCGTGAATGCAAATCGTGCCAATTTCCGGAATTGAAATTTATAGGCATGTAAAGCCTAGATCGCCGAAGTCGATTAGAATTTAGTTCATGCTGAAAATAATTATGTTTGTATGAAAAGTTTTGAGCAAACTTTTTGTACATAAATTTAAATTCATAACTTCAATACGTCAAAAAACTGTCCAGTTGACTGATTCTGTGTGACGCCATGAGCACATTATGCAAGTTCAATAAATTTTATAACGTTGAACAACCAGTTGAACCGAAAAATAACGCGAAACGTGAAAAGCTGTGACGTCAGTCATTATTTTTTATCTCTCTTTTTTTCTGTAATTAATTGGACCAAAATGAGAACTTAAAACATCGTGTTGTCTTTATTTCCTTCGAAATATTTCAACTTGTTAGGCTTATAAATTATTTAATTTTCGCGCAAATTTTTTTCCGAAAAATCTGGAAATGACATATTGTTGCTCAGCGAGTCCCATGCTCATATTTTTTAATTTGTCATTAACGGAAAAAACACAAAATTTCAGCTTGTAAATTTCCAGTCGAACTGCGGGGTAAAAACGACATAAACACTAAAAATTTATGTCAATTAATAGGTTGAATATGTATGTATATGAAAAATGATATTTCTATTGGTTTGTTTTAGTCATGCATAGTAGTAAGCAGTCATGAAAATTAGAAAAACGAGTGGAATCAATCAACAGTAAAACAGTAGGCTTAAAATGGAATGACGCGAACAATAAAAAAATGGTCAATCTAAGAATCAATTGTAATCACTTCGCGACCGCTTCCTCCAATGAACAAAACACGCGGTAGAGATTCAGTAAGCACATCGAGATAAGTCTGAAATTAGAAACAGAGAACTGTATTTTGCATTTTTATTAGTCGCACTACCATGTAAGAATTGTTGAAGGCAAGTCGATTTCTCGGCGGAGATGGAAGATTGAGAAGAATTAATTGGGCTTCGTCGGAGTTCTCGCGGATGACATGATTCAAGCGCACTGATGTATTCATTTTATGAATCTAAACTCGATTATCTTTAAAAAAGAACTTTTTTGCAATTCATTACATTAAGCTGAATTGATCCCTCAGAATCTTCGACAGGAGTTGTCGAACGATACAACTCTTCGAAAATGTTGCTAAAATTAGAATGTATATTTAAAGGAAATGAGAATAAAGTTTTTTACTCGGTAAATGTTGTTTCGGCTTCATCAATAACTAATGTAGTGTGTGAAGCTGGTCCAAAACTACGAGTGGAGTCACCTAATTAAATAATCATTAAATTAGCCCTATTAAAAATTTACTTTGACGCATTCTTGTTTTTCCGTTATCATCGGTGTATGCCTCATTAAGGAATCCGCTACGATTACGCTGAAAAATACAATTTTTCGATTTTTTTTTCAATTTCATGAAACGGTTTCGGCAGCAATCAATGATTTTCTAGATTGCTTACCCGCATTTCTTCATTTTCCTTCAGCTTCTTTTCAATATCAGCCGCCCTTTTCATCACTTCTTCAGAAACCTCCATGTCAAGTAAATCCACAATCTATCAAAAATTGTACCTGTTCGACAGAAACAGTTGCAACTTACGAAGAGTTCGGCGTCAATTCTCAACATGTAAATGTATTTTTGCAATCCCGCTTTCATGTCCTCGCTTTTCGTTGAATCTTGTTCGCTGACGGCGAAAATTCGCAGTTGACATCCCTTCCAGACCTTGTGTTGCCTCAACAGGTAAGCGATGAGCATCAAAATTCCGCCATCTTGAACAATCCACCAAATGTCGATGAATCCGTTGAGTCGCTCATTGTGATCGGGAAAATCGGTTATTCCTTTTGTGACAATTAAGCAGTTATCATTAGCAGCTCCGTGAATAATCTCCTCGGTGAATAGAAGCACCTCATCTGCGTTTTGATCGTTTGGCCAGTTTACCAAGACTGTGTTCGGGCGAAGACCGCCAATTCCAATCGATTGATAGAGCGCCGAGATGGTTCCGTTTATCTTAAAATAATTTCATCGCCGACATAAACGTATGGAGTCAGTTTCTAAAATTCGGCTTCCAGAATGGTCCGCTGTTGGATCAGATTTGCGGCGACCGATTCTGGCAGTCAACGCCTATCACGTACTTGATGATTGTTGTAGAACATTGCCTTTGCAAAGCCTCTTAGCCTCACTGCGTTCATGTCTTTTAAAAGAGTGTTCTTCACTTCCTTTGCATGATTTTTATCTTTTGGATTATCCGCGGACCCTTTAAGGAATGCGCACGCGATAGCAAGACCCCGTCCAGCTTTTAGTTGGGCTCCAAGGTTCAACATGGATACAGAACGGCGATCAATAAGTTCTTTGGACCATTGCGAGGTCAAACAAATAAGAATCTGTGGGCGCCAATTCTTTGGATGCGGGTCCTTGTCTTCGACCTTCAGCAAACTGTACTGAGCTGTGCTGAGCGCCAAACCTCTCATCCCATCACCCCATTCCTTTTTGGCTCTAAATTCATTTCACGTTTGTGCGTATTATTAATGTTGAAATGTTACCCTTTCCACTCCACGTATTTGTAAATGATTGCCGTAATTGCGCAGGCAATACAAGCCAAAGGCACGCTTGAAGCGAACATTATGAAAAAACAGAGAGCAGCTCCGAGAAACGATAGTGACCAATGGAAATATTTGAATCTTGGTCTCCAGTTGGGTGCTTTTAAAATTGAATGCATGAACGCAATCAAATTAACAAATGCATAGCACATGAGGAAGAAGAAGTCGAGGACTTCGGCGATTTTGTCGACAGCACCTAGCAAAATTCCGCACTCAGCGATAATGACGGTAAGAATGAGTCCGAGGAAAGGCTCGTTGCTCTTAGTGACTCTGGCGAATGGGGCAAGAATTGGGATGACATCGTCTTTTGCTATTGATTGCAGAAGACGAGGTGCGCTACATAAGCACTGAAGTGCGGCACCGAATGTTGAAAGGAAAGCGCCAACTGTAACAATTGCGGGGTGAGGCCACGAAAGAGCTGCAACCACCATAGTATTTCCAATTGAGCGGCCGAATCTGTAGGGAACGAGGTAAATTGGTTCATTATGGATTTTATACTTGTCTCGAAGAACTTCTCTTGCTATAGATCCGCCGAAGAGCAAGGCAAGGATGTAATAGATCGCCGATGTGGTTAGAGTTGCAGCAATAGTGCCCACGGGAATTGAACGCTGTGGATCGGCTAGGTCACCTTTAATGAGTTTTATGAAATCTGACAAGTACAATTACGGCGCAAACCACTCATATTTGTCCCTGTGAATATGCCAGTCACCGCAGGAAAGAAAATTGCCATTAATAGGAAAAAGTGGGATCCTTCGTCCTAAAAAAAGGGAATACGTATCGGAAATCGGAAATTTAACCCTACTTGAACCACTTCGGCTTGTTCTTTTCCCGTCACTCCAGGTACAACTTCGCCTTTTTCCATATACAGTGGGTACATGTTGTCCGATAGCGTTTGAAGGTTAAATCCAGGGAACGCCTTTTTGCATCTCATAATCTCTGAAGTGTACACTGAACACAAACCACCTTCGCTTGTTTCCGTTTCGGCGTTCTGGTTGTTCAATTCAGTGCAGAAAACATTTTTCTCGAGGCTGTGAGTAAAGTTAATTTTGTTTAAAAAATGGTTTCGATACAATAAGGATTTTTCGCAGATGCTGCAAAAGTCATCAGTTTCGTTAAGCCCGGCAGTGGTTTGATTAATATGTTCGACATTTCGAAATATTGAAGATTGTAAAAGTCGATCTTGTAGCATACAGACACTGGAAATGATTTGTTGTTGTTGTTGTTGTTGAAAAGCGTCGATTTTAATACCTTCCACCGGTCCCTGTGATTTGCTTTTCAATGCCGCCTCCAATGCATGCAGCGCAAGCGAGAATGACGCACATTAGAGACACTGGTGCCAGTAGTTGCACAAATTTAACACCCATTGCAACAATTAGTGCTTGAATTATGAGAAAGATGGTGCCATAAAGGCGAAGATTGTTATATAATGTGCCGAATACTGAAATAGCTCATGATTTTTTCCATTACATAATACGATGTTACCAGCAGTGTCATGAAGAGACTCTTGTCCTCCCAGGGCCATTTCTGGCCAGATATACATCTGAAACACTAAAAAGTTAAACTGAAATATCACATTTCTTTAAACCAATATCACTTCAACACCTCCTACAATATACATAGAAGCTGCTACAGTGTTAGCAAGATAGAAAAGCACGCCAACAGCCGTTCCGAATTCTGCACCCAGGTTTCGACTAATAATGAAATATGCACCGCCGGACTCAACAACGCCATTTGTAGCTACAGCCGATAAGGAAATTGAAGTGAGAAGGGTCTGAATATTGGTATTTATTGACGGAAACCGTTTTTGGAAACTACCGAGACGCAACAAATTGCTAGAAGAACCATTGTCCAAGCAACACCCGCCATACCAACTACCCAGAAAAGTCGAATAAACATGGTGACGCCCAAAATGTGCTGAATTGTTGGAAGATAGACGCCAAGCATGACACCAAGATTTGCCTAATTCCAAATGAAGTTTTGTGGAATTGAAAACGAAATATTACCTTTTTGTGTTCCGATGTTGCTTTTTCCTTGGGACCCGGGGTTGTGTACCCGGACAGAAAAGTAGCTTGTGTTCCGATACCTTCATCTTCTTTATACAGTGCTAGGTGTCCTAATGTTGTCGTAAATTTTCGATTTCCTTTGTAGTCGGCTGGAATTCCATCTTCATTAATGGAAGTCGCTGAAAACATAAATCTTTTTTGCTTATTTCGTCGCTTGCTCTCACTTCCACCGCCGGTCTTTCCCATTCCGTCGGGATTGATTTGTGTCACCGTGCTAAAGCGTCGCCTAGAAACATGCAATTAATTCAAACCAAAATCACTGATAAAGTAGAACCTACAATAATTTAATGTCATGTATTAGAATCAAATGTCAAATAACAGTCATGAACTCTGTGCAAAAGAATTTAGTCTGTTGACTTTATGAGCGGAATGGTATAGGTTTCCGAGCGAATTATTTTCCGGATATTTGACACGTCTCTTGCCTCTCAAGGTCACATCGTATATTATTTTGAGACAAATTAAATTGTGCATTAAAAAAATAAATTTGCAAAATGAATGGGTGTGACTATATTTTTTCTGAATGCACGAACCTTGCGTATTATTAGAAATCTGGGCTTAAATCCATCAATTCTTTCTTCAATTTTTAAATACGAAAAAAATTATTGAATCGTCGCAAAATCGGTAATTGTCTTTTTGCGTCAGTTACTTTCCGCGTATGTGTATTTATTTTCCAGTGGCATCCATAAATTTTGAAAATAATGTAACGGATTGGAATTCAGCGAGGGTGCGCAACGAGAATCACCAACACCACTGCCCATCATCATCATCGTCGTCGCCGAATACAATGTTTTGTCACAAAATATGTGTGAAAATATTTGGCCTAACCGAAAGGGATTAAAGTTCAACAACTTTTAAAACAATTGAAATAACTAGTATTCTTAAAGTAATAATGGGATACAATTGTTAAAAAATAACGGATAAGTTCCCTATATGGCTTCTAAAAATGTTTTACTGATAGTTTCATTTTCTCCCTCTATCTTAACAATATGTGAATATAAATGAAAACTCACCCGGCGTTGGCCATGATTCGCTTTCTTAGATCCTGAAAATCGTATAGATGGTTATAGCAAAAATCAAAAATGATTTCAAGAATGTGTTGTGTGTTGTGAATTTACATTTCTTTTATCACATTAAAATGTTGAATAGGTTATCGTGTGAACAGTGTTGAGCGATTCAAATCAATCGCCAAAGTTTTCTGAATAACAACGAATTTTTTTTTGATACCCACATAGTTTTTTTTTTGCTTAAATTTGTTCAATTTGTAACACAAGGATAAAAACGGGTTAATTGAACAGATTTTTGCGAAAAAAAGTGCTTCGGACAAAACAAACTAGATGGAATAAAACATTTGACATATGTACATAACATTCAAACGTGAAATGGACTCAAAATGAGAATTTCACATCATGGATCTAACCAGAATGCATTATTTTTTATGGAAAATAATAGAAAATAAATTTTACAGAATTGTTAACCATCGTCTAAAACGTCAGCAAAATGTTCGATTAATCATCGGAAAATGGTGAAAAATGTTCACCTAGAAATCAAAAAATGATTCATATTAAAATTGGAATCCGATGGTTTTCCTTCTATTGTTTTCTCATGCTTTCCTAATGATTCATTACGGACTGGAAAAGCTTGAATAAAAATCAAACCATCAAACTCAAAAGATCGATTTTATCTTAAAAAATAACATTTTCTTTTTTAATCATCCTACCTGTATTCCCATTTTCAGGGAAGATTATGTCAAAAATCGAATGTATTATTTTGTGATTAATATTGAGTAATTGTTTAAATGTGGAGTAATAACCAATATTATGCGAACTCGAGTTTTCAAAACGATTATCCTTCTCGTGCGCACACAAATTTGGTGTTTTGTTGTGGCGGGCATTCTGTTAAAACCGGATCGGATCGGACTGGATACAAAATGCCGAGCGAAAGAAAGGCAGTGAAAAAAAGCAAAATAAAAAAATCGATTTATGTTCATCATCATTACTATTTTTTGGGTTGTATTGATAATTGGCCACCGACTAGTGTTTGTCTACCAGCTTTTGCGTGTGTTTATGATATTTTTAGCATTTATGTTCCTCGCCATCTAGCAGTCCTCATTGAAGCAGGTCGGTTTTTGGCGCCACTTCGATTATTAAGCCGAGCATCATCATAGTAACTGAGAGTGTCTGTAAAACACCGTATTAAATTTTTCGCTATTCAGCTTACTCCAAGTATTAAAGGTCTTGAAAGGAGCGCAAATCCCCATACAGAAACTCCCAAGTCGAATTGTTCCATATGAGAGGTCAAGGTATTTGCAATTATGTAAGTTTCCTTCCGGTAGGGAAACCAAACTGATCTGTTTTGACACAAAAAACCCTTTGATCTACATATCTGAACAAATAGAAAATTATCGATGTCCGAAAAACCATCATCGCTTACCTCGTCATGAAGCCTTGCTGGAGCAATTGTCACCGCGAAAAAACTGAACACACATAATGCAATCGTTGGAAAGCATACTAGAAAATCCTTGATACTGTGAATTCGATGATTTAACATCATTAAGGTGAGAATCATCGATGGTACGGTTATTACGATCATTATGAACGCGTATAACTATTGCAGGAAATTTTCAGGAGATCGCAAATTTGATATAGCTAAACTTACCCGAAATATCTGGTCTAGAAAACGAATAACGGAGCACAGCTTACTATAAGTTTCGAGATAATGCAACAATTGCTGATTAGTCTCCTCAGTATTTCCATCAAACTAGAAATGAAATAGTTTGACTGGAAATCCGTTTAAATTATACCTCATCAATGCATTTATTGAAGTAGCATACTTCGTGATACGTGGCATTTGTATAATGAATCATCACAAATAAAGTAATATTCCAAACTAGGTATAAATACGTCGTAACCGCAGCATAGATTGGACGGAGCTCGGAATAATAAAACATCTAACAAGTATGAAATTATATGCAATTGTTGTTAATAATGTTAAAACCGTTGCTTGTTTTTTCTTGAACTCTGAATGTTGCGATTCTGTATAGTATTTGATAGAAAACGCTGTATTAATGAAGCAAATTGATAGAATTATGAAATAAAAATAGAAATTGCTCTCTAAAATTTGAGGTTTCTAAAAAGGTGTTGTTCAATTCTTACGCCTAACAGCGTGTTTTGCTCTCTCGCTGAGCAGTCCTTCATAGTTTTGACATTGTCTCAATTTGTGGCGAAACGTCGAAAGATGGCCAAAAAATTGCCAATAAATGAAAAACATTAGCGAAATGATGGATTGAAATGCCCAGAGGATTACAAGGAGCTGCGCCGAAATTTCAGCGGTTATATGTTTCACACTGAGACTTGTTCGAATGTTGTGAAGCATTGAATAGGTTCCTGAAGCGTTCTTAAACTTATCGTCTGGCTTTCCATGACAGTCATTCTGTGGCAGCCAATTCAATTGTTTAAAATTATTTCTATTTTGAAATCAAAGAAAAAAGGAGTTTTTGACAATTTGAAAGGAGTTTTTGACAATTAAATATAATATATTTAATTACCGAATTTTTACTCGAAAAAATAATATACAAAAAGGAAGACAACCATGTCAGACCGAAATGGAAAATCAGCAAACCTACCAAGAATCAGCATCAAGGTTGTAATAATGGCATTCGTCCAGAGCTTTGGTCGGTTTTTGTGGTTTCGAAAATCGATGCAAAGCAATGAGGCCATCTATTTTAGTCATGAAAAATTACATATAAAAATGATCGCAATTACCTTAAATACATGGCTAGCGAAATGAGAATTGATGTGTTCTTCTTTCGACGGATCATGAAATTCAACAATAGTCTCGACGTTTTTCTGCATTTGCTTCTTCCTAAACATTGAAAGTGTAAATGATATAACGATTGAGGGATAAATGATGGAGTGAGAGGCTGCTCTTGAACTTTTACCATTTTCCTAGAGGCTATAATGCAACCATTTTGCAAAGCGAAAAAATTGGGGGCGTCCATTGCCAAAAACTCATTAAAACGAAAACCCACTCCAAATTATGCAACGAGGAATTTGAATAGAAATTCCATTTTTATCTTATTTATTTTCCATTCGAACCCTCTTCATTTTTAGCAAATTGTGCCAATGTTTATTTACATTAAATTATAGTGAACGAATCAACAAATATAATAAGAATACAACGGGCGAAATGTGTACAGGAAATTAGTTTTGGAGGTTGCTTGATTATTGCAACTTTTTTCGGCGGGATGACTTCCAGGCGCTTTCTTCTGCAAATAGCATAGATCAATACAAACATTCTTATTTCATTGATGAAAGAATTTTTTGAGCACAAAATTCTTCTTTCACAAAGATACAATTGTTTTGCAAAACCCGTTCGTTTTTTGCAAGTGTCAAATGGGACCCCTTTAAGAAAAAACCCATGGAATCGAAATGTAAACCTAAAAATGGGATTATTTTGTAGATAATCTTATTTTATTAATCAACCTTAAAAAAAAAACTTGGTGGTCCAAAATGCCAAACAAATCGAGATTCCATATCTTGATAATATTATTATCGAATTATGAGAGAATATGAACTTTCATAAAGCAAGGCTTGGTTTAAAATCGGGATCATCATTTCAGAAGATGGCCCCAACTGCCGTTTGGGCAGCTCTCAACAGCAGTATATAAATGCTAGAATTTTCTACGACACATTATGCGAAAATGATAAACTCTTACGTGAAGGAAATAATTGATAATAGAGCAGAATAGACATGACAAGGACGAATGTGAAACATATCATATATAGTGTTAGGTATTCACCCGGATGAAACTTCTGCAAAATATTTTGTACATTTTAATTTTATTTTTGAAATTGGGTATTTCTATTTTTCTCATGATAACTTACCACTTCATGAGAAATTACTTCAGGCATTATACGAAATTAATCTGGAAGCTTGTGAGAAACGCGAGAATCGATTTTGGCTTGCAGACAGCTGCTCCACCCCACTTTTTCGTACGGACTCTCGCGTATTCGCAAGCTCTTTAGTCGACTAGATCTGCGCTTATTCGAATTACACCCAACGACTTGCTACTTCCATTCGCCGAATTTCTAGAAGCTTCCTCAACTTACTTCATACCTGAACCTTTTTTATTTTGATAGTAATGGCCGCTGATTATGATAATGATGAGCGTAGGAATCTGAATAAATGAAATATTGCAAACCCTTTTGAAATTGTTGTAACTTTTCTTGCAAATTTTGTAATAAGCTATGACTGATAAAGCCAGCGCTACTGTAAATACGAACATTATCCATGTCATAAGCTCGCCGGTCTGCATCTTGCTTTGTCGTGGTGCCGTTAAATACATGGTCCAGCTAGAAACGGACATAATTGTAGGACTTTACTTTACGAAATCGAATTAGGACGAACCAATAATTTTATTGAGTAATTAATTAGCGTATTTTAAATTATTTACACATGAATAATTTTGAGTGAACGATTTATGATTGCTGTTTGATTTGGCAAGAAATGTGCATTGCAAGTTACAAATTTATTTTGATTGTTTTTTTTTTTTGTAAAATGATTACAATTAAAAATCAGAATTATCAAAAGAAATTTAGTTCACAATTATTTTACCCGAAATAATTGAATCCGTCGATTGTAGGAAAACTATCAGCGGAAAAGTGCGCGATGTCCGAAAACAAAAGCAGCGACCGGAGAAAATTGAATTAGTTATTCTGGACGAAAAACGCGCACACATTGTACAAACACATAGGATTTGTTTTAAGAGGATTTGAAGCTACGTGGACAAAGTTTTGATGGGAAATGAGTAAAAATGTGAGGATGTTTTGGGTCGGAAAAAGGAAAACGCTTGAAAATTGCATCGAGGTTGTCATGGTGAAATTTCAGTCTGATATTTGACACTATCGCAATTTCTACTAAAAATAATTCATACGGAGAGTAGTTTTTTCGAGAATAAAAAACTTCAAGAAGAATACATTCGTAATGCGAAGAAATGCTCTTTTAGGATGAGATAATCTTCAATGGAATGCGAATAATAAAAGATTTTTCCGGAGAAATCATGCATTGTCCCTTTACAGATTATCTATTGCCGAAGTCTGCGAAAAATTTGTTAAATAAAAAAAAAACACTACTATGGAATTAAGCATAGATTGTTTAAAGGTGCAGAACGCGTACGGAGACCTCCCCAAATTATTTCTGGTTTTTTTTTTTAAATCGAACCCAGTATGGAAATATTTGTCAATACGGCAATACATTGACAAATTTTTTTTGGGTCTCACAACGAAAAATTTCGAGCTCAATTTGACTTTATTAATTAAAATATGTCGACCAATTCGAATTTGTCATATTTTTTTTTGCAATAATGATTTTTTTCTTTTAAATACAACAGTTTGAAAAAAAAACTGAATTTATCAATTATTCACGAATTGGGTTAAAGATTTTGGAAGCCCTTCAGAATTCGTAGAAACCGTTTGCCAATGACGAACTTGTTTAATGCTTTCCAAATATTTTTCTTTTACACAATTATGGTTTTATTCTTACATTCACTCTGGATAAATAATTTTATTAGCATTTCGCAATATTATTTATACGACATGTTCTGAACGGTTTTAATCACTTGGCGCGCCTGTAATTTTTTTATTACATTAATTTCATATTTCACTTTGAACACTTGTTTCAAGCTTTCCTGCGCTCGTGAAGAAAGAAACGATCGAAAACTACGCTCCAGCGAAATATCTCGAAGGCCGCAATCGGTTTCATAGAAGTTTAGGATCGCCTTCGCCAGAGCCTCGCCTAGAGCTTCATCTGCAAATATTGAAGTAATTTTTCCGACCCTATGTCACATTAATTTACATTTATATTGCAAATAAGGAGTGCAGTGAGAATTTCCTGACGAATCCTTGTGGCGATATGAGAAGAATGACACCTCCATGGTATAACAAATGCAAGAAACAAGTTCACCCATTGTTCTAATAAGATTAATACGGCTCATTCACGATATTAGGATTATTACCTTCTCCCAGTTCCCGCTTTTTCGGCATCTGTGTTGAATTGGGTGTATTCAAGAGAGAAATCCTCGCTCAGTTCTGCAAGTAAGTGCGGAAGCCATAGTTGGCGGTCGCACAGCTTTTCGTTGTTTGTTGAGACGTTCCCGTATAGAAAACAGTTTGATTTTTGAGAATGAGCATGCAAATCAATATAAAGAATAGTTTGAGCTTGCTAAAATGCTTAATAATTAGAAAAATCAATATTTTTGGGCCACACTGGATTTGAGTCGTACTGTTGTAGAAGTCCTTTGACGGCGAAAATTGACGAATGCGCCCATTCCGACGGCTCTCGCCACATTCTGTTCAAATCGTATCCCAATAGAGAGCACCTAAATAAATTGAAAAGATTAATTGCAGAAAATGAAGCGAAAACCTATAGTTTCCTAACGAAACACCGTCTGGATTGAGCATTGGCACTATTTTAAAACAATAGACTTTTCGTAACTTGTGCGCGCGATCATCATTCGAAACAAGAAACTCGATGAAACCTAAATCGAATTGGAAGAGTCTTGGTTTTACGAATACCGTGAAGAACATGACTACTGGGACTTTCACCGGGATGCACGCGAGCTGTCAGAAAAACCATTTTCTTTGAAGAGCTGCCGAGATTCTCGACAATCGAGCCATCAATCGTTATTAGATCAACTCTTCTTTTTTGCTGATTGTTAGAAATATAATCATTGTTTATACTTTTTTGCTGTCAAACCACAGTATAGGTCAAAATATCCCTGTGAAAAAATGGATAATTCCTCGATTCCAGTTCGGTTAGCCACTTTTGCAAATGATCATATGTATACGGAATACTGTAGGCAAACTTCACGACGTCGCCCCCTTCGAAAATAAACGCGAAGGAAAGAATCCAGCGGTCGCCATGCTGACTGCTTCGATAGTAATAAATATGCCGAGAAGGAATCCTCGACCAGCTATTCTGAGGTTTTGATTTTACAACAGGGGCTGCGGTACCGTTTTCGAATAATGTCCGCTGTTTTGAAAAATTCACAATATTGAATATTACTCTCTAAACTTCTAATAATGATTTTTTTTTACAATTTATCTACCAACTTGGCCTTCAAGCGCATTCTTGCATTCGAAATAAAACCAAACTCGATATTTATTGTTCATGGTGTCTGGCCTAATGAATAGATCGTATTCAGACGACGATATCTTGTCAACTCGTCCAAGATTGCCTAACATAAGCGAATTAAAAATAGTTTAGACCGCAAGTGATGTTGTTTTATGAGAATGATGTACCTGATTCAAAGTCGGCATCAAACATAAGATTTCCTGCTGGCGTCTGAATTTCAGGATATGTGACATTACCGACGAATGTTGGCGAGCCACCAGCCATTGGCGGTGGCGTACGGCCCGATCTCAAGCGGAATCTCGAAAATAGCGATATTTTGAAAAACGGTGTATAGTTGTAGAGCGACTTTCAAGCAGGACTCCAATTGCCGGAAGTTTCATATGCTTCGATAAACGCAATAAATTCACTCAGAATGTGTTCATGAGGTGTAAAAGAATAAGGCGAAAAAAAAACGACGCGTATTAACTTTTTCTATTTAAAATGAGGTTCTCCAGTGAAACAGTTAGAGCAGTGAACAACAGTTGATTTAGGAGTAAAAGAAAACTGTAAACAATAATATAAAGAACAAAACATTAAAAAAAACAACAGAATTAGTTTGGAGAACGCGAACGGCTACGGGAGCGGCTGCGCGATGGCGAACGCGACTCAGCTTTAGCAGCAGGCGAATGCGACTTCGATCTTGAGGCTGATCGGCTTCTGGAGCGCGAACGAGAAGTATCACGTGCCGGCGGAGAACGAGTACGACTACGAGCACGGCGAGGCTGAAAATTAAGTGCAAATTAATTTGTCTGTCTTAATGTTTAATGTTACCGATCTCGAGCGCGATTTTCTTGGAGATCTCGAATATCTCGGAGAGCGCGAGCGTCTTCTAGCCGCCGAACGAGATCTGAAATTAATTATTCGTTTACTTTATTCTTTGAAATTAAACAGATGACCATATTCACCGACACACTCAATTGAACCTAGCTACAATATACTTACAAAAATGTTTTCTTGTCTCAAACAGCTATCAAAAACAGCAGCGCAGCAGCTGAGCTATCACAGAGATACAAGAGAAGCAAAAACTGGTAGCCGCAGACAGCATCAAACACGACTGCATATGCTGCTACAACTGAGCATGTACACAGCTTCCCGCCACAACTGCTTATCAGACTTCAAATACAGTTCTTTTAACTATCACAATAACTAACCACGTATGGATACATGTTTTTTGTGTAAACCAGAAATACTTCGAAATTTCTATGGGCGTTACGTAAAAAAGTACGTAAAAAAATTTTTTACCTTCTTCTTCTTCCCCTCTCATCGGCTGGTCTCTCGTATTTCGCCATCGAAACTCTTAACTCGCGACCGTCAACAAATTTTCCGTCAGTTCGATCCAAAGCGTACTCGGCATCGCGTCTCCTAAACACAAAATAATTATTTTCAAATTTTCCTGACAATTCGTACTCAAAAAAGCGAACGAATCCAAATCCACGACTTTGTTTGGTGTATTTGTCGCGTGGAATATGAACATCTCCAATATCTCCATAACGTTCAAATATACGGCGAAGTTCGTTGATAGATGTGTGATACGACAAATTATCAATCTAAAACGAGATTATTTGAATGAACAATGAAGTCAAATGTTTTACCTTCAATGAAGTCAATCCCTCAATTTCTGGTGGTGGGCGGCGATCTCCACGGCTCATTATGACGCTAAATAATAATGAAAAACTCTTGAAACGTGAAACAAGCAATTTATCGCAATTTTAGAGCACGTAAACTTTTAAGAATTTCTATGAAATGTGAATGAGAAGCGTAAAGAGGCTCATTTGAGTCGACACGAATCCATCGCAAGTCTTTGGCGTCATCACCGGCCTGACGAAATAAAGAAGATTAAATTTTAAGCAGGATCTGATGTCTGATTCCATATGACGACCTAATTCCTATCAAAGAATACGCACCTTAAGCTCAACATTCTTTAGAACATCATTCACATCATGAAAATTGATAACAACAGTCTCCATCCAAGCATTATCCGTATTTCTTGGATCATCTACATAACCTCTGCAACAACCGCTCTCGTTGCCTCCCCAAGTAAATGAGATAAAACTTGTAAAGCTCTTTTCCTTGCTTCCAGAGTTCATCAATTTTTTCTGAATCGATGACTCCGTTCATCGCTTCTTCTGTGAATTCTCTTTTAATAGCTTCGGATACTTGCTCCCCAGCATCAACCATACCGCCAGGAATCGCCCATTCGCCTACAAATTCCACTTCTAAAAATACGGTGACAAAATTCAAGACCTGTATCGCCTCTTTGAATCGCTACAAACTCTAAATCTCCGTGATCATTGTATCTCGTAACAAGTGGATCAGCGGCATGATTTGGACCCCATTTGCCAAGAATACCGCGCCCAGAGATACCCGTTCGTCCCATTGGATTAATGGGACGCATTTTATAATCGAAGGAATAGTCACAAACAAAAGATACTCGATTAATTTTTCCATCTATGTTGTTCCACTTGGGACTGAACGTGCCGATATCAGGATCCGCCCACGGTTTCCCCAAAACAATTGGATCAGTGTATTCGGGAGGATCATATTCGGCAAAATTCACACTCCACTTAACTTTGTCATCGGGAACGAAGAAACGATGTATCGAACTTCGTAAATACGGGGTGTCTGTGAGAATTACTCATTATGAAACAAATGAATCGACCCTACCAACAACACGGCATTTTTTGTGTATAAACGCCATTATCGATTTGCACACAAGATGATTCCAAACTGACATATAAAATTAAAGTACTACTAAAAAGGATAATAATACATTCAGATTACAAAGTAAAAATAGAATTGTAATTACTAACGTCAGATAAATATTTTAACACGACGACTAGAAAAAGAAAATAAAAACGAACAATAAATTATTTCACACGAATAATAGGTGTGGGTGATAGAAGACGCGCGTCGACGCCGAAAAAATGCGCGAAAAGAAAGACGCACATTCATTTGAATTTAGGCGAACCATAAAGACGCCAGTTGCCACCAAAAACGCGCCAGTGCAGTATAGGTGGCACAAATCAATATATTATAAAATTTACGAACACAGAAGCTTGAATCAGAATTTGTGATTATCTTTTCAATGAAAAATAAAAACAGAATCGCATTGCAAATGCTGCAATGCAGGAACACAAAAAATCCAACAAGTACAGTAATAAATAATGAGGAACACCGCGAGACCGTAAGTCAAATTGTTGCCTTGAGTCTTTTGCGCTCGGGGCTATTTTAGGTATATAATTGTGTGGAGACTGTAGAATTAGCACGAAAAAAAATAATTTATTTAAAACTTGATCCAATCAATATTATTATAACATGCAATAAAGAAAAGGAAATGAATGAAGTGAACGTGTTATCAAACGATAATGATAGAAAGTGAAACGATAAAACCGAGCATCCCAATTATTTCTTCCCTTTTTTCGAGTGTTTACTCATTGAAGGGCTATTCTGAACACCAACTTGGCTTTGAGCAATTTCCTGAATTGAATCGATTTGATTGTATTAATCGATTAAAAGAAAAAAGAAACCTTTTGGGTAACCGATCCATTCGCAAGCTGTTCTTTAATTCTCTCTTGCGATTCGAAATGCATGAGTAAATCGTTGACTTGACTTTGCAGTTCTTCGACGGTTCTTTCGTATTTTTCAGTAGAAATCTTGGATGACGCTGTCAGTTTTTCCAACTGATCTTTCCACCCCTGTTGATCTTTTCGCAGCATCTGATTGATGTCTTGCTCGTCTTTTAGCTTCGCAGATAACTTTGCATTCTTATCCATCACAGTCGCCAATTTTTTCTCCAAGGCACTCTTTTGCTTGATCGTTTCATTTAGCTGCGACTTCACTTCTTTTAGCTCTTGTGATTGTTCGCTGATTTGAGCTTCTAGGGTTTCCACTTGAGCCATTGCAACTTTTTCCATTTTCGCCATTGCCTGTTCGACGTCCGCTAGGCGACCTTCGAAAAACTTTCTTTGATCTTCAAGTTGCCCAGTTAAAAGCAGGGTGTATTCCAACTTAATGCCTTCAAGCTTATCATCTTTGCTATTTTTATCTTGAGAGCTCTAAACCAGATTTATCAATTTTTCTAAATTGAAAAATGATTCTACCGAATCCTGATCCCTTTGATATTCCACCAATTTTCCATCAGAATCGTTTTCAATCAACCGATGCACATAATTATCACCAGCATAATCCCAAACACGTTCACCTCCAACCTTCATACTATACGTGTGTGAGGTGAGTTCCCAATGCTTTTGCGCATGCTGAGAAGCGTATCTTCCGCATCCGATGTTTCCGCAAATTAGACAGATCCAAAGATCCGAACTTTGCCCACAATCATTGCAACGCTGTTCGGCAACGACCTCTGGCGATTGAATGTATCGGCATACGGGACAACTGAAACAACATTTCTGAACAAATCATGAAAACCAGTGAGCGCACGTGTTATCAGCCCATTGTTCAAGACAGAGCGCATGAAAAGTGTGATTGCACAAAATTGCCAAAACACTTTCGTCCATTTTCTCGAGGCAAACGGCGCATGTTGGTAGCTCAGTGAGTCCAGCCGATGAAGTTGACAACAAATCATCCGAAGTTGTCTTAATCTCGAATTATTACAGATTTTTAAAAGTGAAACCTACACATTCGATTCGATCAACAAATAAAAGAACACATTTATGAGGTTCAAGATCGTTGAATTGGCAGTTATTATATTCCTCATAAAATGTAACAGCGTCATTCTGCAAGTTGATATTTCTTTAACAATATTTATTAATGAAACCTACATGTTCCTTAAATTTAATTATCAGCATATACTGATTCGGCGATGTATCACGAACCACTTTTATCTTTTCGATTGCTGGAAGAGCCGGACGCAAAAATGTAATAATTTCACGAACGCTGACTTGAGCAGGAACGGCCAGCATGCAAAGCATACGACATTGGGCCGCTTTCATGAGTTTTTCATCTCTAAATTAAAATTTTTTCAATTTTCGAAATTCGTTTTTTTAAACTACTCACGTGTACTTATAGAAATGCATTATTCCTTCAGTTTTTTCGGTCAACGGATTGCCATAATAGTAGCTGGTATGTTCCAAATCTAGAATGCAATAATAAAAAAAATTCTGAAGAATCTAAAATTTACCTAATGTTTTGGTTTTTTTCGACGATTTCTGTTTTTTACTCAGTGAAGTTGTTGATGACGATGACGGTGTACTCAGAAGTTTATCAGCTTCTAATGTAGAAACCAATACTTCAGAATACGTCCGCCGACCTTTATGATACTCATGTGAAGGCTTAGCTGTCTATAAATGACTATTAAAACATCTTATAGATTTTAAACACACCGATTCACCAATAGTTGGTGGCGCCCCTGTTTCTTTTTTCGGGATTACATTTCTTTTTTTCATACCGGTAATGAGGCGACGACGTGTGCGTTCTCCAGCAGTCGGCGAATCAGAAGCTGTAATTTCTCAATAATCGTACAATTCGACCTATTTTGAACCACTTACTTGCTTGGGAATCGTCAAAAAACGAGTTGATTGTTTTTGAATGATCTTCTACTTCAAGTCGCAGCACCAGCGGAATATAGAGACTGCTCATGCAACCTGTGTATTGTTTGTATTATTGAAAAGTGTTTAAAAATAATTGGTAAGCAACTGGTATCGAACCTTGAAATAATGGAAAAATTTCAAATAATAAACAAATATTTATGTACAAAATCTACATAAAAGGCAAGTGTACATGTATCAAGAGAAATGTATTAACCGTACAATTAAAACTAAAAATATGAAAATTGAAATTACACTGTCTATGTGAATGGCTATTGGCTTATTAATTGGATTGAACTCTCAGAACAATTCCATTCTCAACAGATCCGGTTCGAATAACATTCTTAAATAGAGGAATGTTGAATCCATTTCTAGGTCTATTTTCCGATGATCCTAGTGAGTTTGAGAGCTCACTGGCGTTGAGAGAATCCATTGATTCGGCAAAATCGATATTGTCAGTCGAGAAGAAATAATGAAGACTTTGCCAAATTTCTTGCCGATTTAAACGCGAAAGGAAAGTTGCGCGAAGCTGAATTATTCATCAGTTTTTCCTTTGAATTAGCAAAACACCTCACCTGTCTCTCGGCGCGACTGATCAAATGAGGCGCAAGGTTTCCCATGATTGTTTCAGCAGTAATCAAGCTCAAAACATTGTCCAGGCTCTTATTAGCTTGTGTTCCAAGTTTTTCAGTAGAATTTGCCAAAAGGGTTGTAATTTGCGACACACCGCATTTTTCCATCATTTTACGCGAATCTTCTCCGAATCTGAATAATGAAAGACTCACGGCGTTCGCTGCAATTCCAGGACGGACCCTCTAAAATTCATTTTGACACATAAAGAACTTTCTCTAAAAAATAAATTCACCTTCTCTGGATTCCTTTTGAGCAAATCCCTGACAACATCTCTCGCAACAAAATGAATTCGATGTGGCAGTTTAGGCAAGTCTACTTCTAGGTATGTCTTGCTGTCCAATTTTTGGTAAAATGGATTGGATCTGCAAGAATTCAATGATAAAATGAACACAACGTGTTTTAAACCTGGTGAAAATCTCATACGCCAATCCTCCAGCCGCCCAGGTGTCTGCCATTTCAAAATCGACAACGACGTTTGGTCCCGGTACAGCATTTTGAATCTCGGGAGCCCGAGTTCTCGCATTTCCACCCAGGTATACATCTTCTGAGGTATAGTTTATTTTCCAAGTTCCAGTGGCAAGGGCACATCCAAAATCAGCAATTACCAGCGAGGGAATTTCGTCTATTAGATCGAATTTTAATAAAAACAAAAGTTCTTAACCTACCATCCTGATCATACTGCAGCAGAATATTGTCGCTTTTCATGTCCCTCTGGGCTACTTTATTTGCATGAAGGAATGTGCAGGCTTCAAGCAATTGAGCTAGCATAACTCGACCAGTCCAATAATTACGATGATGCGTCCAAACATAGTCATGAAGTGTTTGACGATATCTTCTCATAACCACATACATGGTCTTTGGCTCCGCTGCTATCGATTCATACCAAGAGGCAGTGTGTAGAGCGTCAGGATACCTTTCGGCGGCATCCGGAAGAATCTTCAGAGTATCCACAAATGCTGTCATGATTCGAACAACATTCGGATGTTTCCTCGGAAGTGGTTTGAAACTAAAATTAGGTGATTAAAGACAATATTACTTAAAAAATGTGAACTTTGCCATTTTCCCACTGAGCAATTTTTCAGCTTTTGGATATGGTGCCAATTCATTTCCCATCGAGCTAAACGCATCACAATATTATAAATAAATGCAATTCCATACCTCCACAAATGATTTTCACCGGCGCGATCATGATCGTAATTGAACATTAATTTAATGGCCAAAGGATACTTCTGCAAAACCAATAATACGTAGTAAATTCATAAAAAGCGAATTTACGTTCAAATTGTATTCCGTTCTGGTCATCGGTGGCTTGAGTGCTATAATATCCGATACTTCATTGAATCCCACTCCAATATTCTGTTTCTCACTGGATAATTTTGCTGAATACACGGCTGCATTGCATCCTTGTCCCAAAAAATTGCCTAAACGTTTGAGCTTAAAATTTTGAAAGTATTAAGTTATCTAACCGAAGTCATAAGCATCGACTTTATTAGGCATATCATTTTCGTTTAAATCTTCATTATATCGTACATTGCTTCCGAATAATGTCTGAACATTAGAAATTATAAAACGTTACTATTTCAATGAAGTTGAACCCGAATTCTCTCCGTCATGTCAATTTTACCAATTTTTCTATATTTAATAGGTATGAACTTTTTAAATTCATATTTTGAGCGTTCGAATCGATTTTTCTCGATAACAACAGAAGCAAATGGTCGAAAGATCCGGCCATTCCGGGCCGCCAATCTCGCCTGAATTTTCGCAATTAAATTTAATGAGAGACATTGATCGTAATACCAATCGAAACGCTGATTGTTTAACTGATACAGGGGCCTTTCTTAACACAACATGAGCTCCCAAATTGTGCCAAGTGGGAAACAGTTTCGGCCAAATTCGAGCCCACGCCGATCCACGAAAAGATCGAGCCATAAGCTCATTTCCAATTCGGATGGCGGCTTTTCCAAACCTTTTCATAGACATCTAAAGATGATATTTGGCTTTTTTTTAAAGAGTTTAGCTTAATAAAAGTATAATTGAGGGCGATGAATATTATCAACACACTCACCCCAAAATTGGAGATGGCAAATAAAAAAATTCATTAGGAAGCATACAAATAGTAAAGAAACTTTTAAAAAATCACAAAAATGTACGACTAGTGTTCCAAATGCAAAAATATAGAGTTAAAATGGGTCAAAATGTGAAATGAACCTTATTCTCTAATAGGGTAGAAAAAATTTCTAATCAAGAACTTAATCCTTAATTAGTCCCAAACTTCTGGCTTCTTGTTCAGCCCATTCGGTTAATTTGCCATCATCCGTTATTGGAGATTCTTCTTGACCACAAACTGCATCGATGTAAAACGACCCTAAAATGAAATATTGATGACTAGAAAGGGAGATTTAAACATTCTTTGTGCTGTTAGTGTCTCAAAATCGTCATCATCCGAACTGCCGTCTTCATTATCTGATGTCGAGCCTAAATATAAAAATGTTATAAAATGTCAACCTTTTGAAAGTAATAAAATTTACCTATTTGGAACGTCGCTCCGTGTGATGGATTTGACGGCATAGACACAATCGCTGAATAATCCGAAAAATCGACAATTACACGACTGCCGCGAACAGAAAGTTTTGAAGCATCTGCAGCTGTTCCTCCGACCACCAATGTGATTGGTTGAAGCTTTAAAAACATTGACATATAATTTTATACAAACTACAAGTTACCCCGGGTTTTGCTGGATACGCGTTAATGAAATGCTGAATGGAAATATTTGAAATCAATATTGATCCGCTCAAATCGACGTGTCTTAAATTTGGCAAATCAGCAAGCGCAATGAGACCCTCATCGCCGAGATAGGTACAATTTCTCATTTGAATAATTTCAAGGAGTTTAAGTGATTTCAATTGTTCAATTACTTCTGAGCTAACGGCGGCAAGCGAAGACACATCCAACTAAACAAAATGGCTTAAAAATGAGTTCACTGCATATATCGAATTTACTTGAGTCAGTTCTCTCAGATTTTTGAAGCTGGAAATTCCGTTTTCAGTGATCGATGTATCATCACCAGAGTTTGCAATGCTTAATGATTGAAGTTTAGGAAGTCCTTTCGAAATTGACATAAGTAAAATATCTCCAACTCGGGTGTTATAGTCAAGACTGAAAACCAAAAATTATTAAAATAGTTATTTATAATAATCTTACGCTAGTTCTGTAATATTACTCATTTGTCCAATGTGAAGCAGCCCAATCTTCGTTAAGTCCTTGAAGCCATCGCCACATAGGGTAAGAACACTTAAATCCTCGAGTCTTCTTGCTATCATACTGATATTCTCATCTGTTAATTTATAGCATTCATTGAGTCTGAGCTCCTTCAATCCTCCAGCAGAAGTGCACAAATCCTCGAAAGCCATTGGATCAATTTTATTGCATCCATCGAGATAAAGTTGCTCCAATTGTGAGCCGAAAAGACGGAATGGACGGCCGTGAAGACGTTTGGCGTTGCGGAAGTCAACAAATTTCAGTTGATGAGCACAGTTTTTGAGCAAGAAATAAAATTGTTTGTCTCCAGTCATTTCCATTCCACGATACGACAGTTCTTCAAGTTTGTTCAGACTCTCGCCAAGCTCTTCAAGAGCCTCAGCACTAGCATGAACCCCGCTGATATCAAGCTGTAACAAATGTTGTCATAATTTGTGAAATAATATAATTACTACTTCTCGCAAATTAGGGCAGCAATTTGAGATTATATTGAGAGTTTTGTCATCGAACAATTGCACGATTCCAGAAATGTCTAAGCGTCTTAAATGCAGCCCTGCCCTTGTCAAAATTGCCTATAAAAGTGGAACATATTTTAAACCTTCATAAATAAAAAGGAAAACCTTTAAATGACTTGATCTCATTGGCCGTTGCTTGTTGAAAGAACCTTCTCGTGCCATTACAATTTTTTGTACAAGAATCCAAGATCCAATTGATATTTCCATGTATTTTTTATTAACTCGCTCTAGTCGAATAGTGTCAGATATTGGGAGATAGGTGAATATTCTTTGAAGACATTCAGCAGGAAGTTTGTCCAATGGAAAATTCTGAAGTATATCAGTGATAATTCAAAATTTAGTAGCTTCTCACATCGTAAGTGCTAGAAGTCATCGATCCCGAGGCAACAGATTGTGTTGACGATGCCCGTGACAATGGAGTTTCTTCCCGTCTGTCATCGCTTAGAACAAGTCCCTTTCCTCCACGCTTCTTCGAAATGTACTAAAATAGTATCACAACTCTTACTGATTCTATTTTCATATCAAGTTTGCATTGAAAAATGTGTTTCGCACGTAATTCGAGATAAAAACTTACCGCCGATACCGTCATCACTTGATCATAGAGCTTCAGTTCATCGGGAGAAGCCTCTCGTGCACGCTGAGCAGATTCTGCTTTTCTAAGCCGTACATTTATGAACATTAAAAAATTTATTAGTCCACTCACTTGAAAGTAATTGTGGCGGAACCGCAGTTTTTCGAATGTTTTGGTAAAGTTCCAAAAATTGAAGTTTTCTTATCTTCCCGTGGCAGAACACAGCTCGTAATCTAAATTTCTGAATGTTGCACAAAACGTATTCCTTTTTCTACCTTTCCAAAATTGGAAAAAAAAGATTTTAATTGAGATTCCGTGACTTTTGGCGAAATGTTTGTAATGACAATCATCCTCTCATCTCGCGAATTCGCTTGAAACGCTATGGTTGCATCAAAATCGTCGGTTTCTCCGTTATCGAAAAGATCACCATCGGCTAAAAGCATTGGAAGGAGACGGCGATACTTGATAAATTCTGCGGCAGAATGTGACCAGGTTCGTCTAAATATTGAGTTTAAATTATCAAATAAACGATTAAATTCACCTCAATTTTCCAATACTAAAAAATCGCGCATGGGTTACGAAAGACTGAAAAGCTTCAGTCATATCATGGAGCCCACGACTTTCTAAATTCTGCCCATGCAATCGCCGAAGGGCTTTGAACATTGTCTGAAAATTTAAATGATCAAATGGACGTGCCTGCCGAGAACGGTTTTGCGATCTTATCAAATTATAAATAGGTATGAAACGTGCGTTGACGAAAGAAAAAAAACTTTGTCTTACTTGTTGTGATTTTGGATCTTTCGCCATCGAACGAAAACTGCGATTAAAGTCCATTTTTAGGTTTAACCTGTAATATTAGTTTATTAGAGCTGTGCAAGCAAACAAAACGCTATTTGAAGTGAAATCGACGCTCACGTAACAATTCAATTCACAAAATTTAGCTCCGGGGTATTTGAATTATTAAACTGTTTCTAATGTTTTTTTTTCTTTGGTGTCAACGTCTTCAACCAAGATAAAATAGCTTTAATACAAAAAAAAAATAAAAAATTACGAAAACACAGCACATTAAACGTTTCGAGACACTTGCTGTAAAAAATCTAATCCCCTTTAAATTATTACTGTAGATTTTTGAAAAGTTGCAATTCGTTTTTTTCGGTTAATTTTTTCTTTACTTGAGTTAAAAATAAGAAATTATAATGAGTGACGATGAATTATTCGACAATACCGTTGGTTTGAAATTATGGTAACGTAAAATGTCGTTAAATAATAATTAATCCTATTTTAGCGACACCGACCATTTGATATCGACGTCTTTAATTAAAAACGATTTCGATGAAGTTTCCGTTGAAATCAATATAGTTCATGAAAAGCAAGTGACTGCTGAGCCAAAACAGCCGATCTACGAGTTCAAGTTCTCCGGGAAATCGTTTTTAAACGCCGATATAAATGAAGAAGAAGATACTATCGGTAAGATTTAGTCTTTTAAAAATTTTAGTATTTTGTTTTAGCCACAAAAATTGCAAAAAATGCAAAATGTGATAATGAAATTGTGGATTATTGCATGAAAAAAAATTTGAAAACACACGATTTATATGATTTTTCAAAATCGGTAGGTGTCTTCAGACAATTTTGAGATGAGTCATGGTTGCTTTAGGTTGACGAAGTGAATGCAGAAAAATTAAAAACAGAATTGACAATGAAAGCGTTGACGAATTGGGACGCAAATATAATTTTTGATAGAATTGCGTGTGATGAAAATAATACGTAAAACTTTGCTTGAAGAAAATAATGAAGCTCTCTGTATTTAGAGAAAATCAAATTTGTGTTATCCGGCTGCACGATTTGCTTTGTAATATGGACTTGCAACTGCTTGCAATGACTAAAGAAATTTTAACATTTGGGTAAGAGACGTATTAAAAATCAATTTCACATTTTTTTCAGAGAAATTGTTCAAAAGTACGATTTGGATGAAATGCGAAGGCTTGGATATCTGGTATTCTTATTTGGCATTATTGAAACAAAAACGCTTTTTTTTAGAACAAAAACAATAAAGAAAGTCTAGTGTCAACCATCCAAAGTCTTCGTACGACAGCAAAATCTTTTATATTAGAGGTAATGTCTATCAGAATAAACTTTAAAACAAAATTTTTTGAGACGCAAGACATTGAGGAATCAATCTTTACTCAAGGGTTGTTCAACAAAAAGTGTAAAAAAGAGCAGCGATTTGTTTTAAGTTGTGCCGATGGACTGTTTTATGCATCAATTACTGGATTTGTGTTATATTTTGGAGAGAAGTTGGCGAGGAGAACGTATCAATGTTTTCAAACGTTGAAATCTATACTGAATGTCTTGAAAATGCTTCGGCAGATTTGAGAGCAATTGTTTTGTTAGCAGAATAAACACAAGTTCGATTTTTCTCATTTTCGTGACCGAGTTTCTGCGTGGACGAAGTAATGGAACTACGGCTGCGGCCATATCGAATTTTTCCCATTATTTCATTTTTCCTAAAAAAAAACACTGTAATTCCTTTTTTGACGTCGAAAGTTTCATTAATTTACTATTTTGGTTGATTTCTGCAGAATGGCATTTAACAATAGTTCGCGTGGGCGTGGACGCGGTGGTGGTAGATTTAATCGAGGAAATTCTAATTCTAATCGTGGTAGAAACTTCGAAGGCTTTCAAAATTATGGTTACAAACGAAGCTATGAAGATCAAGAAGCACAAGATGACGAAGTTGACTTTAAAAACCGTTAGTTTGTTCACTGTATCTTATTATAACAGGGAATTTCAGCAAACCGAACCCCTTTGGCAAAAAGAGTAAAATCGGATGGAGGGAATGAGAGTGTCGAACCACAGTTTAGGCCAAAGAGCGCTGTCAGAGAAAAGTTTGAAAAAGCGAAAATGAAAGCATGGAGGATTATTATCCGAAATTTGCCTTTTAAGGTATGCAACCATTTAATAAATATTGTTTGACTCATTTTTTAATATTATAGACAACCCAGGAAGATATGCAGAACGTTTGCTCCAAATTTGGCTCTTTTGTTGAAATTGTCCTCCCACCTTCTAAAAAAGTTTTTTTTAATTCGATATTTTGAATTTTAATAATTTTTAGAATCCTAAAACGTGCGGTGGTTTTGGGTTTGTTCAATTTGTAAAGAAGGAAGACGCCGAGAAAGCCAGAGAATTCTTCAATGAAAATAAATTTTTGGTTTGTGAGAACTTGTATTAATAACTTTTTTTTTATAATGAAGGGAAGAATGGTAGCTGCTGATTGGGCCCTCGATAAAGATACTTATGAAACGAATGCTCATGAGGAAAAGGAAAGTTTGAAGAAGGCTGTCAAAGTTGAAAAGGAGGAGAAAACGAACACAGTGAAGAAATTTTCGGAAGAAAGCGATGAAGAGGACGAAACACCTGAAGATGAGCAAGATATGGAGGATGAATCTGAGAGTGAAGAAGAATCTGAAGACGAAGATGACAAAGATGCAAAAAAGAAAAAGAAAAGCCAGAAGGAAACGAAAAACGACCAAGCAGTTATTGACGGCAAAGTTGTCTTTTTAAGGTTTATTCATTTCAGATATTTTTGATGTTCAATTTTCCATTTTTTAGAAATTTATCGTTTGAAACCACCGCTGAAATGTTGAAGGAAGAACTTGGACGATTCGGTAAAATTGATTTAGCATTGATTTGCAAGTACAAAGACAGTGGACATCCAAAAGGAACGGCATTCGTACATTTCGAAACGCCGCTTGCCGCTTCAAATTGTATTGAAGCAGTTGAAGACGGAATTATTATTGGTAAAGTTATCTCGTCTTTGTTTTATTATGGTGAAATTCAGACAACCGATTAATCAAGGCTTCGCTAGCTATTCCCAAAACAGAAGCTGTTGCTATGGAAAAAGAGAAATTAACTAAAGTGCCCAAAGATAAGAGAAATCTTCGATTGGTACGCTTCAGTTTGATTCGTGATGGAACAGCGGCGGCCAATGGAATGAGCAAGGAGGATGCGGCCAAACGTGAGAAACTTGCGGAAGCTATGAAGAAAAAGCTGGAAAATACGAATATGTAATTTTTTAAAGTTATAATCTGAATGAAATTTGTTCTACTAGGTTTGTCTCTCCTGTGCGTCTCTGCATTCACAACTTACCCCAAAGAATTGATGATAGAAAGTTGAAGCATCTCGTGCAGAAATCGACGTCATCTGATGCGCAGATCACTGAATGTCGTGTCTGGATGGACAAGAAGAGATTGACTACTGATGTAGAACTTTCTCTTTTTTTAATATTTACCTATATCATTATTTAGGGTAAACCCAAATCCTCGGGATTCGGTTTTGTTGCTTTTAAAGAACATCAACACGCGTTAGAATGTTTAAAAAAGCTAAACAATAACCCAGATATTTTTGGAAAAGAACGAAGACCAATTGTGGAATTTTCCATTGAGAATTTGATGGCAATCCAAGCGAAGGTTTATTTTTAATTGGTTTTGATTTTTATAAAATCATAATCTCCAGGCGCGTAGAAATATCAAGCAATCCGAAGAAAAAATGAGCGAAAGACAATTGAATGAAAAGATCCGACAGCAAGTTAAGAGCTCCATTGGCGAGGTTCACACAGCCGGAATGAAGTTCTTACCGAAGTTCCTTGGCAAGAAAGTTCGTCATCGCGATTTGAAAGGAATGGCGAAGAAAAATGTCGAGGCTAAGAATAGAGCGGTAATTTTACGAAATGTTAGTATTTTTATGATTTATGCGTTTTATAGAAGGCTATTAAATTCAACAAGATATCTGACGTAAATCCGAAAAATCTAAAGAAGAAGTCGAAACAAAATGTCACAAAATATCTATCGTTATCTACGTAATAATTGTTGATTTGTTTCATTGTTGATTTTGTTTTTATAGTTTGTTGTTGATATAAATTCTGTTTTTTTCTAAGAAATATTTGCTATGTCAATTTTTAGAGTTCAAACATCTCTTTGTATCGTTTTTTAAATTTACCTAAACTTAAAAATATATATATTAGATAAATTAAAGCAATATGGCACTGAGAGGTTTGTCATTTTGAAAAACTATTGTTTGATGTGCTTTAATTGCTTTCTACCATCCGTCTTTATATTAAAAGTGGAATTTCAAAAAGGTCAATTAATTCCACTTGCCTCCGTGGATATTATATGTTAGACACCATAATTGAAAATATTGATTTTCATCCTTTTTTGACCATAATTATTATTTGTAATTCTCATTCGCTGCTCAATTATTCAATTTTCTTACTTTGATTTCCCTGCGTTTGAAATAATTATAACAATGCTATGATTTCTGATCAACCAAATGTGTGCTTGTTGCACATGGCAACAGAAAATAAGAAAATTGAGCGAAATAATTTTTCCTATTACTACATTTTGTACTGAACTACCTAATATTCGTCATTGGTTGGCCATTCTGACAATTCTTTTCCAATGTACATATTTTATATAACACTTTTTACGTTATGTTGTTGCATTTTACATTGATACATGGAATTCAATTTCACCACTTCCCTTATGCTAGAATTGAAGTTGACGTTCTATTTTTTTGAGCTCAAACAGTTCATCCTCCCTTTAGTAAAGTTCTAACAGCTCAAATGAGTTTCTTTTACATTTCTGTTCAACTTCACACCTCAGCTCGATCCCTACTCGTTCGCGAGGAAAACCACAAAAATATATTTTGATAAGTTGTTTAGTATTGCGAAATTTGCCGAACCACACTCGCAGATTTTCTCTCTATCTTTAGTTGGCTACATTGTTGTGTATGGCAATGATGACAAATTGAGGTGAAACTCAATGTGCACATTTGCCTCTGGTTATGTCATGATTTCTTGAATTGTGGTATGCCAGCCTGATTATTATTTCATTCAAGCATTTCTAACAACCATGACATGGACATTAGATTTTTGATTTGTATGCTTCGGTTTTTCAAATATACTCGCCTTTCCATCAATACCTGCCGAAGTTTTCAGCTGCACGCCGCTTAATTTCAACTTCGTTCGCCGCCATGTCAGGTTCAGTCTACGAATTCACCGTCAAAGACGCCGAAGGAAAGGATGTCACTTTGGAGAAATACAAGTTCGTCGAGTGTCTAATAAATCATGCTATATTTTATTAATGTTTGTTTAGGGGAAAGGTTCTTATCATCGTCAACGTTGCTTCAAAATGTGGATTAACAAATTCGAACTACACACAATTTAAGGAGCTTCTTGATCAGTATACAATATATAATTAGACATTTTGTTTATTCGCTTTTTTTAGGTACAAGGACAGAGGACTTGAGATTGCAGCGTTTCCGTGCAACCAATTTGGCGGACAAGAGCCTTCCTGCGAAATTGATATAAAATCTTTTGTCGCTGACAAATTCAAATTTGAGCCCGACCTTTACCAGAAGATCGATGTGAACGGCGACAATGCCAGTCCTCTGTTCAAATTCTTGAAGAAGGAGCAGGGTGGCACGCTGATTGACGCCATCAAGTGGAATTTTACAAAATTCTTGGTGGATCGCGACGGAAATGTTATTAAGCGATTTGGACCAACAACCGAACCAAAAGATATGAAAAAGCATATAGAAGCGGCTTTGGAGAAGCCAGCCAAGTTGTAAATTGTTTATAAATTGTATAAATAATTAAACCTAATGTATTCTTATATGCTTTTCAGTGTTAAACGTGAGAAATAAATATTTAAAATGCGTTTTTTTTTCATTACCAGGCTTCCGCAGTCAGTAATCTGAAATAATACTAACTTCTTATTTGGTTGAAATCCGCAAAACAAAAATATTATAGATGGCAATATCAGATACAATCGAGCGGTTCGTCGAGAAGTGCAATGTGTTTGACGAACTTCCGCACAGTTTCGATGATACGTTGATCGATAAATTTATTGAAAGCGTTAAATTTGACGGTGCGGTGATAGATAAATATAGGAATTCCAATTAAGCTCATACAAACGGCATGATTCCATATTTAATTAAACTAAATTATCCTTATCTGCAGTTTTAGTCATGATTTTTGCAGAAAAAGTCGTTAATGTAATACGAAAGCTCGTCGAAGGCACAAATTTCGAAGTTAAATGTGTTCCATTGCAAGTTGTCATTCGTCTTTTAGAATCGGCTATCCGGCATAATGTAACATAATATCGTTTAACCACAATAATCACGCCTGATTCAGGCTGTCGAATGTGATGAGAATGTTAAAACGTTTATTGATCGTAGTGAAGCACTACTTGAGCAGAAGCGGCCTGCTGTGTTAATCCATCACCTATTCAGTTTATACGCAAATCCGAAGGTGTTCCAGACACGAAAGCCTGATGGATGGCTAAGTAACTTGAAGAGGTGCTTTCGATGGATGACGAAAATCAGAATTACAGATGTCTTGCAATGGTGTTTAACAAACATTGATGATCCATCAACAACAGTTTTCGTGAGGCGACAAATTCAAAATGTGATTACGCAGTTGTCTTCTGCTGATGCCAGACGACTTATGATCATCTCTGCCGTTTTGCAGATCTTTCATAAATGGGTGAAATTTTTTTCGACTACAATTTGCAATTATTCGTTCATAGACTAAGCAGGACAATTGGAATAATCAAATAGTCGACGTGACCACGCGAATTTTGTCTCATTATTCATCGGATTTAGTTCCGGAGGAGTGTCTGAGTCTTGTTGACGATATCTATAATAGTCCCAGGATCGGTGAGAATACTATTAAATTCATTGTAGGACTTTATAAGTACGACGAAGTTGCTTTTCGAACCTAAAGAGATTTGTTTAGGAGAAACCCATCTTTGAAACTACAATTTGGACCAGACAAATGGAAAAACGAAGCAAATCGGATTGATGTGGCAACACTTACTCTCGCAACGAATGATGGGTTTTCATTATTTTTAAGTCGGTTTTTAAATATTTCTTTTTTTTTTTAAGATATATTGAAAACTCGCATGATATTATGGAAATAATTTTACCATCGCCTACTTTCAAAATTCGTCATATTATTCTAGTAATTAATCTTTTGTCGGAAAAGGTGAGATTCGAAGCGTTTCAATTGTCATGAATTTATTTTTTTGTGAAGGTGAAAAATGATTATAGAATTTATTATAGCAAATCACGGAGTTCATGGAGCTTTGGGCTAAGCGAACTGCGAAAAACTTTAAATTTCCATTATCGGATATAGCTGAATTACTGCCGAAACTGAAGGATCGCGTACCGCTCCAATATATTGCCGACTTTTTGCTCATAATTGGCGCGAGGGTTATCGAATCTTGCTCAATACTTGTCGCTCTACAACAATCTTTTGGAAGTGAGATATTTGAGACCCCCGAATTTGCTGCATATCGAGATATGATTCAAAAAATTGTCAATGAAGGTTTGATTAAATTCAACTAAAAACTAAATATTAGAAATGGTAGGAATGGTGAGCGGCTGTGAATGGGAATTAGTCGACACAGTGCTGGAAATTGGGAGATTGTTTCCAATATTTTTGCCATCGAAAGGTAAATAATTTGGAACCAATTTGTTTTCTTACTGTCAATGTTACCAAATTGCAGAAAAAGTGATGGAAATCGTTTCTAAGAACTTTTACTCGCCATACGTCTTCACAACATGTCTGTTGATTCTCCACGAAAATTATGGCGGTGTTCCCGTTGAATTGGCCATTAAATGTGTATTAGAATCTCCGGATCCACCACCTCGCCGATATTGCATGCAGATACTCACCGAGCTCTCATATTTCTCGTTAATTTCTACAAACGTGGTGGTTGCTATCATTGAAACTGCTCTAGAAGACATGGACAGTGTTATGAGATTCGAAGGATTGGCAATGGCTCAGCTAGCATTGCAAAACTACAACAATTCGAGTCAATGCGAGATTAAGAGTATTCTCAATAACTGGAAAGATGTGACTATCGCTTTGAGTTTCAGCACTTCATTCTTAAATTTTAGGATCGTTGGATAGGGACTGATGTTCGAAAAATTCTCAATATTCCAATTGAGGCTAATACTGGATCAGCAACACATTTAATAGAAGAAATGATGAATGCCTTAAGTATTCATAGAAACGACGATGACACGATGGATTGTTACTGAAAAGGGTTTTAACGTTTGTCTGAAATTTGTTACGGTTCGACTCATATAATTGTTTCAATTATATTGCACAATACTAATAGTCATTTCTTTTTATTATTTTGACTGTTAATTAGTAAATATTTATGCATATTCAAATCTTGTTACGTTAAACATTCGATCTTGGAAGCAAAGTTCTCTGAAAATAGTTCGCACTTTTGACGACATCGTCTTAAGGAATAAGATTTCTTATCAGGAAAAAAAATATGGTAGAAAGCGTTAAATTGAAATTATTTTGTAGACCTTGCGGAAATTTTCAAAATTCTAAAAAAATCCTCATTGTTTTGCCAAAAGAAGGCCAATTAAAAACTAATGGGCACATTATTTTTATGTTAATAACGCATGTATTTAATCGGAATTTTTTTTTCGTTTTAAAGCATTCTGAAATGTTTTCAATTATTTTGTTCGTTACTTCGGCGTTTGCAATCAATCGAAACGTAAGTTGAACCAAACGTTTTCTCTAACATGACTTTCTATAGGATTTCAATTATGACACGATGAGTCCAATTAAATATCAAAAATTCTCGCAAATTATGAAATTGAAAAAAGAACTGTGGCATTCACATTTGAATGCATCAATTCACAATGCGAATATCTCCAGGAACAAATCGATTGAGGCATTCATTGAGACAATTTGCGAGCGGTTAGTTTAGAGAGCGAAATTCGGTTTTGGGATATTTATTTCCATTTATCTAAATATCAGTTCATCCCTGGAATGTCAGCCCAATGGGGTTGACAATCAGGAGTTCCCTATTTTTATATTCAAGACAAGAGAAATCAGAATGTAATAATGCTTTTTTGCTTATTTTTTCCACGATACATTTATAGATCAAATATAAACACCGTATAAAGCTAGGCAGAACAGCTGTATGTTTCAGCTACCGTGATCAAGCATCTTCTGAAAATCCATACGCAAAAATGGCTTCAATACAACTTTTTTCCATGATCGATCTTAAGTCAGGATACGATGTGGAAGTGTGCAACACCAAAATGAATTTCAGTAATTCTTCATTCAATTACTTGCTGAATTATATACTTTTTAGTGGAGTACATGAATTATCTTGAGGAAACTCGAGCCAAGTACAAACCATTAGGACGTGTAGGATTTTCCCTTCTTACTAAATAATTCCATTACATTTCATAACAATTTTCAGACTCCTAGCTGGTATATTGCTTCTGACGAGGGAAAAAGTTTAATATTTGCTATTCATATGAATTTGTCATCTCGATTGGGCTATAATGTTAAGGATATTTACCATATTTATGCTACCGAAGTCACTCGAAACAATTTTGTAATATCAAAAATTTCACAATCTGGTGGATGTCCCCAGATTGGCACAACCGATCCGCACTTCATTTGGCATAACAATACTGTCATGAAATCAGCAAAAACATTGAATATTCAACTTCTGGTAGATCGATTGATGGCGCGGTAGAGAAAGAATGAAGTCAAGTCTATAATGTGTCTTATAGAACACCATATGTCCCTGATCTTGCGTATGATCCGGTGGTTGATACAAGAGGGCAATTCTTTGCGATCTTATGCTCATTTTATAGTGAACGGGTGAACCTTGGTATTATGTCACTCGAAATAATGGATTTTTCATTTTTTAATTGAAGAAAGTTATGTAAAACATGTTGAAATTTTTGCGCGCCGCTGGATGCCCAAGGAAGACGTACCATTTATCAAGACGACAATCATTGAGCGGCAAGATTATTACGTTTTTCGGCTGACTTGCCCGTTAGTTCTCGATAATACTTTGGAAAGAGTTTGGGAGTTTCAATACGTTTGCGAATATGTTTAGAGAAAAATCAATTCAAATTCAATTTCACATTTGTTTCAGAACAAACACGGAGATGAGGATTGGTATGTCACATCAATTGTTGAACAGTGCCCAAAAGAACATTTCAAGTATGAATTTAGAATACCAGTCGAAATTTGATTTTCCATTTAAGCGGGAACAACTGGTCTATTAGAAACCACCCCTACTTTTTAACCCCCACCCCTGCTATTCCACCCCGACTTTTTAACCCCGACTTTTATTTATGATACCACCCCCACTTTTTCACCCCCAATTTTTAGATTTCACCCCTACTTTTTCACTGCACTTCAAAATTTGAAGTTTCTAACAGTAATGTTTAACAGTAAAATTTTTTAATATTTTTAATAATTCAAGTTATCAATAGGAGATTCGCAGGACTGATGTCTAAATTAGATTTTTCAGAAACTATTGTCGAAGTCAAACGACTTGACGAAATTTAAAAAATAATTGGCTATGTGCCAATGCGTCTCGAGGCAGCGAAATTGCGTCCATTGCATTATAGCGTACGCGCATTGAATATTCAGTCAACGATTAATTTAAATCTACATTAATTTCACGAATTTAAAGGCTCCGCCTCCCTTCAGTCGTTTGACGCCGACAACATGTAGTGTTCTTATGAAAGGTTGACAATTTTAACAAGAAATTAACTATTCTCGGAAAACCCTGTTCAGAAAAATTTCGTCTTTTGTCAAAACGTCAACCTTTCATAAGAACGCTACATAGTTTCTGAAAAATCTAATTTAGACATCAGTCCTGCGAATCTCCTCTTGATAACTTGAATTATTGAAAATATTAAAAACAGTAAAATTTTACTGTTAAACATTACTGTTAGAAACTTCAAATTTTGAGTGTGAAAAAGTAGGGGTGAAATGAAAAAGTAGGGGTGAAATCTAAAAATTGGGGGTGAAAAAGTGGGGGTGGTATCATAAATAAAAGTCGGGGTTAAAAAGTCGGGGTGGAATAGCAGGGGTGGGGGTTAAAAAGTAGGGGTGGTTTCTAATAGACCGGAACAACTTGACTGACGTTTATGGTAATTACGCGGCAAAGCTTGCCTTGGAAGGAATTAAAGATTTATTGCAAAATGGTGGTTGGACAGGACGCTATAAGATGCTCGACCTTTTTGAATCACCCGATTTTCTGATGGTACGCGTTGCAGTGTGTGGAGGAGAGACTCAGAAAATGAATCAGCCAGGTAATCGATGGCAACGCTTGAGCGAATAAGTTTTTATAGCTGAAATCGCAAAGTATATTTGGGAATTCATAAAGGGCTACAATGCTACTTTAAAGGTGGATAACTGTTCGAAGGGCATAATTTATGAAATATTTAGAATATTGAATCTGATGTCAAGAATTCACTCATTGACACCACCATTGTTATTTCCACGAGCCTCGAAATCTACAGCGTTCTGCACAAAGTAGAATGGCAATTCCAGGGAAGATACTCAATGCTGCTATCGACGTTCCAAATAACACATATTAATGTGACATGCCCGAAAATTATTTAATTCAAATAATATTATTAACCACATTTTCTTGTTAACATGTCTTGAAAATCTAAAGGTGCAGTGAATATTTTCTGATGCTAATTTTTCATAATTTTCGATACACGCAATCTAATAGTCACATATTTCTCAACGAAAAATATTTTTAAAAAACTAAGACAAAAACATTCAATTATTGTTTTTATTGCATATCATCCCATTATTTATGATTATTTGATGAATTTTTGTATAAAAGGCCCATCAATGGTTCAATGTTTGACAAGAAATGTGCCGCTCATTTATTTTTCTGACCATTATATTTTTTGTTGGAATTGCCGAACGCGATTCCAACACAGAAAACTTCTCCGAATATGCTGCTCTTCAACGTGAAATTAACAAGTTGAATGCTGCGAAGAATGCGGAATTACGTGCGAAAAAGAACGAGTCGATCGCTCTTTTTTCGACAAGAGTTGCAAATCTGTGAGTCGGCTTAATTTAATATGATTCTCTCTTTTAATTCGCCAATTGCTTCAGACTTCGTGATCAAGCTTCCTCGGACCATGAGAATTACAAAAATGCGGCTACCGAATTATTTTCAGTCATCGACAGCTCAAATTATACAGCATTAGTATGCAACACTCCAATGAACTACTGTAGTCATTATTTAAAAAGTGTTTAAATGATTAACGGTTAAATTTCAGTAGAATATATCAGCTATCTTGAGGAGACTCGATTCAAATACAAAGTTATCTCAACTGTCAGTTTATTCCAAAAAATTTCTAACAATTGTTGCAACCATTTTAGGCAATTAAATATTACATTGCGATGCTTCAACGTGAATATTTCATATTCGCTGTTCATATGAATTTGACATCTCGAATGGGCTACGAGGTCAAAGATATTTACCATATATACGCGCATGACATTGGCAAAAATAATTACGTGATTCGGAAAATTGAACAATCCGGTGGTTGTCCGCAATTCGGAGAGACGGATCCCAATTTTATAAGAAGACAAGGCGAATCAATGCATTCCGCTGAAATTAAGACTAAAAATGAATTTGCTCATCGTTTGCTCATCAATTCGCCATATGTGCCGGAGTTAAACAATGACAAATTGATGGATACGAAGGGCTCATTCAGTGCAACACTCTGCACAAATCCCGGCTATCGCGTGCCACTAAGTTTAATATGTGTTCGATTCGATGTTCATTATTGATTTTGAATTTAGATCGCTATATCAGATATATGGACATATTTTCGAATCGTTGGCTAATTCCGATTGAAGGAGTAACATTCTTGAAAACGAAAATATTAGATGCCGATGATGTGTTCATATTTCGTCTGTCCTGTCCACTTATTATCAATGAAACAATATTGAGAACATGGGAATTTCAGTTTCGATGCGAATATGTGAGAATTTCGAAAAGAAGTTTCGATATTTCCGATTCCCTTTTTTTAGAACAAGCATGGAGACCAACGATGGTATGTGTCCGATGTAAATTTGCACTGCCCCAAGGAGCATTTCAAGTAAATTTTAAAAGAAAATTCAGCAGATATTAAAAAGTTTTAGTGGGGAAGGCGGTCTGCGAACGATTTATGGCGAGACGCTGGCTTATCAGACGATGAAAGGACTTACCAACTTATTGATCGACGGTGGATGGAACGGAAGATTTCAATTTTTGAATTTGTTCGAATGGAGTGATTTCATTCCGGTGGAAATTGAAGTCTGCACAAAACAAACGAAATTAAACAAGTCTGCCGAAATTGCCGACTACCTATGGAGGTTTTTTGACAACTACAATTCAACTTTCAAGTCTGCTAGCCATCAAATTGAGACTGCCGATTTGATTCTACGCTTCAACGTTTACACAAAAGTTGACATTAAATCAGTAATGCATGGTATCACGTGGAAATTCGAAGCTATATATGTTAGTTTGACAAAAAAAAGAACAATTTCAAAAAAATTTTCACATGTTGTGTCGTAGGGAGGAGGGGGTGGGGGTTACTATGATTCCTAATAGTAACTCACTGCACTAAATTCTCGTAAATCCATAGAATATTTTTATTTGAATAATAGTATATGAATATGGCAGTAGGTGGTGGTGATGCCCCGAGAGGAGAAATGCGATCTACTCCATATGTAAAGGGAAGGGTGGAATGAATGTTAGTCCCATCTCTGGCCAGCCGTCGCTAGGCGGAGTCTATCGATCTGTAACAGTTGCAAAAAAAAAACAAATTTCGAAAACCAACATTGATAAGTATAAGAATACGCTAAAATATTATGTAGAAAAAATATTGGTTTAACATCATCTGTTCTATTATTTCTATAAATATAATTTGCAGGAGCAATTTTCAACTCTTCATCGGATAAATAAAATATTTGTAACGTGCCCAAAGCCGCTATGAATTTCGAATAAAGAATTTACAAATTTTTTGAATTTCCGATATGATCAAACCAATACTTTCATTTGATGAAAATATTGATTTTATTGAGGATTAGTCAGATTGTCTTCTTTTTTGTTGCCAAATGATGCATACACATGCAATCGCCTTTTGATTAATAAAAAAAACCAAATTCGTTAATATTTATTAGCAAAATATTTATAGTCACCTGATGATTACTAGAGAACCAGTATTATTGTTTATCGTCCCAAGATATCGTTGACGCCAGGGAAATTGACACCAACACCGGTGTTTACTCCAACACCAGCCATTGGTACACCAACACCGAAATTTGTGTTGACTTGGCCATTGAGAGGATCCACTCCGACATGTTGATTCTGCTGGTAGTATGGTCCGACACCTCCGCCGACGTCTACTCCGATTGGCTTTCCAGCATCTCCGGGTTTCAAAGGCACTGACACCGAAAATATGGCGATCATGCAATAGTTAAGCCTATTGAAATGACGCTTACCACCGCATGAGTGTCTCCTTCGATTCCCAACGATTGGACCAATGGAACACTCCAACCTGACTTGTATCCATATTTTCCCTCATACCAATTGGCACCAATCTCTTGATACTGTGACCAGTAGTCTCTGACTCCAATGTGATCGGAATACCCTCCGCCCCATGATCCGAACGGAATATTCATCTGGCGGCCAGCCCCAATAGCACCTTCCTCGTTGATTGGGTAGTACGGAATTCCTTTGACATCCCTTAAATTCGAATGCAATTCAGTTGGCATTCGTTTTCATACCAGGTTCCGAGATTCAAACCAACATTTGAATTAAACGCATACGCTATATTATACAATGGATCTTCTTTGGGCAAGAATCGTTGGCAATCCTAAAATTGAAAAGATTGCCTTGTTCAAATCCGAACGGAGAACCTACATGGAAATATCCTTTGCATTTGCTGGCGTACTTCTTTTCAGTCTTCTCTCCAGTGTTGCAATGCTTTCGAACGGTTGGCAAGAAGCGGTGGCACAAGCTTTCCAAGTGCAGCGCTTTTCTGTGCACGTCGATATTTTCAGGCCTCGGCTCAATCGCTGAAGGTGGTCGCTTCACCATAACAGGCATCGCCGATTCCGCTTTTATCGATCGTTGCTCGATTTGTGACTTTTCGGAGATTCCTTCAAAAGGACTGGCAGGCTTTTGGGTCTCCTCGTGTTCTCCGCGAATGTTTGCCTTTGCCTGCTCAACAGCAGCGAGCTCATCGCTCCTCAAACCGTATTCCTCCATATTCTTTGCAAATCGTTCTTTCTCGAGTTCCTGCTGCTGCAGAATCTGACGATATCTATTAATATGCACATTCATTGCATAAGCTCTCATCCGATCAAAGTAATTCTGGTAGTATTGATCATATTGACGTTGACGTTGCCTTTCCGCAAGCTTCTTCTGTATTTCGTATTCCTGAAGTTGCTTCTCATATTCTGGAGTGTAGTGATGTCGATGACGGTGTCGTCTGCGAGGTTTCAAATTTGATGGTGCTGGCGGATCACTGGGAACATGTCTATAAAGCTGTGGCCGTGTAGAAGAATCTCTGTTAGACAATAAAACGTATTCTTAAATGTTTGTTTGTTTTTTTTTCACTTACTTTGGAATTGGAATTGGTTCGTGATCTTGCGGTCTTGCACCCGCTAAACTGCATGCAAATATTGAATAGTAAACGACGAGTATCATCTGAAAACGGAAAAAAATATCAAAAACATTTTGTTTCGAAAAAATGCTGACGATTCGCGTGTCTAACCTACGCAGGAATTCGTATGTTGTGACTTTCTGTGACCTTGCATCTGACCACTCGAGAAAATGGTATTGTCTTTTTCTGACGTATATTGATGTGTAATGGCTATCGGGCATGTACTTAACTGTTAATTTTCACAATCAAAACTAAAAGCTGAGAATACATTGAATTAATGTTTTTGTTTTCAGTCACGCTAATCTCCTGTCATTATAAATTTATACATATTTGCATGATTCATAGTTTGGCAACAGGTATTTAATATTGATTAATGCGTTTGGTCCACCAGTGCGTTCCAAGTCATTTAGAGTACTTGTGATCATTTCTTCAATTTGACGACCCTATAACATCCATTAAAATTCTGCAGATTTCACGGGTTCATTATTACTCTGTTATAATGAACTCGATCTGAGCGGCTTCTTGAATGCCCTACGCTTCCTAGGCAATAAATAAATCCTTTAGGTTCTCTGAAAAAGAAAAAGAACAAACTCAGTGGAGGAAGAAGTTGTCTATAAAATGGGACGAGCTGCGGACCGATGCCAGGAAGCGACGTGACTCGAGAAAGTGTCCTCAGGCAGAATTTCTTCTTCTCGACATCAAATGAATAAAGGCCGGCGCGAATTCCTCGAACCAAGTGTGGCAACACGGAAATCAGACTCATTTGATTGCGAAGCGCAATTAAGAGGTCCGTGATCCCGGTTTCAGCCACAAATCGATATGGCTGTAACAAGATTATTAAAAATTAAAAACAGACGAAGAGTAACTCACGTGATCTAAAAGGGAAAGACCCAATGAGAACTTCGAAATCAGCGCGCAAATGGTTTCATTTTTCATCTGACTCGGATCCTTGGCCCATTGCAATTCGCGAGGTCTGCAATACGAATTATTTCCAGGTATACTCAGAATGCTCAATTTATAACTTTTCACCGGGACCCCCTGAATGAATTATTCGGACGTGTAAGTCTCCGCGCGTGAACATGTTTCTGAATTGGGTGGCGTCATCAACCACATTGGGATCAGTTGATCTTGATCGAGTCATCATTTTGGGTAATGGAACAACACTTGTATTTTGTTGATAAACCTGCCGGCAGAAGGGAGGAACCTGCACAAAAATGACAAACAGTTAAAAAAAAAGACCACACATTGGAACCGTTCGAATCGGAACAATTCGTGGGCCCGATGATTTGATGACTCGAATATTATCTCGAACAATATCGCGATGATGATTGTAATATTTTTTTGAGCTCGTGCACCAATCAGAAATGTCTGAGAAATAATCAAGCGGCTTGCTAAAAAAAAGAAGCTTTTTGACGAATAGATTATTATCTTACGAAAATCGAACAGCTGGTAGTGATCGCTCTCGGCATTCCCGATGAATTCGCGCCATAATTGAAGACCCGCAAGCGATGCGGATTAAATATATTAAGGGGGAGTAGAAATGTCAAGGTGACTCGAACACGCTTCAATTGGCACATGTGCTCGTTTCGTTTCCGGATCGCTACCAGTCAGTGGGAAACACCACTAAATTTGGAATTATGGAAACATGGCGGGAAAATTCTGAAAAATAAAAACACTAAAATTCGGTCAACATTGGATAATTGTAACCTTAATAAGAATCACCGGTATATAAAACAAAAAAAATCGTCGAACAATTGGCTATTGTTACAAAATGTGTTCCCGAATCCAAAACTATTATGTATTATAATGACATTCACAACTAGTAATCTGTATCACAACTAGTAACCATCATCCATATTCCTTAATAAATATGTCTCTCATACGTTTTTTTTCGCCCAATTTCATTATGCGAGACCGTTATCTACGCATTTCCTTATTTGGTGAGATCGAAAGTGAGACGAACAATGAGCGAGAGTTTTTCGATTTTTTTTTTCGGTGCAAAAAATGAACAAAATTTCATGTGAAGATGAATATCGTTGCGGATTTTTGCGGGCGGTCCGATTCATTCCTCTGGTATTTTCCGCACGCGGGGCTGATAGGCGTTTCGAAGCACCTCATTTGTTCAATCACATCATCGTCAGACTCCTCGTTTTAATTCATTTCAGATTAGTGATGCGTCGCGTTCTTACGATTTTGCTACTGGTCACAGGTATTATAATTAATTCATTAGAAAACATATTTTCTCTGATATTTTGTTTCAGGTGGCTTATTTGAGCATTTGACGGCTCCCGATGTGAATTTCTTAATTTTCTGTAAGTAATAATCGTTAGTTATTTCAGTTTAATCAAGATTTTGGCGGAAGTACTTCGGAAATTCCGATCATTCAAGACTATGATTCTGCTGAAATTCGTGACATGGAGCAAAAGTTTCGAATTTCAACAACAACAGAATCCATTGGTCGAACTCTCATGAACAATATGACAGGTTTTTTTTTAAATCTTTTTCTCGTTTGCTTATAAATGCTTGAAGATCTTGGCAACACTATTGAAGACATTTCGGAGTTCTCGGCAGATTCAACGGAAATCGATAAAGACCTGGCGGCTGTTAGCGCTGTGGAGAGCTTGAAAAATAGCAGCAAGTTTGTGACGGAGAAAACGAGTGGTGTTGGAAATGTCGGACGAGAAGAAGCTCAAAAAGCCGATCCGTTGGTGAATTTGGAAGGAGATGTCGCAACAACGCGAGTCTTCGAAACAGTCGTCTCGCAGCAGCCCTTGGAAATGTTTCCGGACATTCATACTACACCTGTTACTCGTAGCGAACCTCCGACAATAAAATATGTAACTACTTCTACTACAACGACGACAACTACTACTTCTACTACTACTACTCCTGCTACAGTAAACGAAAAAGATCGGCTAGACGTTTCAAATGTGCCTCAAAACGACGATACCAACCGTCTTGTTGTGTTCGAGAATACTTCATTCGGAGAGGACGTCGATCTCGAAAATGCCCCGAATGCTCTTATTGATGGAGATACAGTGCGAAACACTGGATTTCCAGCAACCACTGAGTCTACTACTACAACAAATGTTGTAGGACTCCCAATTCTTCCCACCCTTCCATCAATGTCGTTCACAGAAACAGTCAAAGTGGAAGCGTCTAAGATCCGGAACAAAGGACTTGGTGTCTTTAGAAGGCATCATTATCACAATCGATCAGAGAAATTGAAGACAACGGTGCAAATTTTGGATTTGCTAGGAAAAAAGATCGAAGGAATCGACCAACAGCTGACACTGAGGACTCCAAATACATCGGTGCTTCGAAATATTCATAATAGAGGTGGGATTCGACGCAGAACGAAACAGTGGGGAAGGTCTTCGGTTCGACCGGTTGGAAAGTTTCGCAAGATTATCGACGGTCACAGCATGAAGGTGGTTGATCATCACAATCGAGATGAACAACGAAAGAGTTGGGGAGTTGTCAGTGGAAGAAGAAGACTGCGCACAGCGAGATATTCCTCGAAAAAAATTGAGAAGCAAAGAATTTATCAGCCAACAGAAGCCGAAAAAAAGTAATAATCTCATATTAAATCAATAAATTAAATTTTTAGATTCGCAGAAGCCTTATTTAGTGGTGAAGAAGAATCGATGAACATGTTGAAGGAAACACTTCGACAAATACGAGAGGTGATGAAGAAGAAGACAAGAAAATATACAAATTACACCCATGTATGTATTGTTTTTAAATTTATATATGTGTATTACTTGATATATTATTTCTAGGAACCACCAAGAAGCATTTATGCCGGAGACTTTGGATTTCGGATTTTCCACTAAATCGCAAGCACTAATATGCGGGCCCCTAGTGTTTCCGTTGCCGTGGCAACCAATGAACCTCTTCTCTATTCTCCTCTATTTTCACTTTTAACTAGTCTACGATGATTTCTAATGTGGTAAGACATTAGCTGCTTTATTATTCACTGGAAATCCAACTGATTACAGAGATCGTCATTAATTTATCAGCTGCTGATAAACATCCAAAAACGTCTCTCTATCGTCTTTTTTATCACAGTTTTTATAATGTATTGGTACAAAGGTAATTGATGTTTTTGTTAAAATAATTTAACATTTCGCTTATATTTTTCAAGAATAATGAACATTTCGCAGAGCGCTCCCTTCTTATCGCTAGATTTGAATATTTAATTTTGTGTATAATCGGCGCCCTGCGACTGCTGTACGCGGGTAGATTTACGCGCATGCGTCTTTCAAAATGGTCTCGCACGAACTAACTCGTTATTTCGCATTTTATGGGTCAGTTTGATAATTTTTAAATCGAACAAGGTTAGAAATTTAAAGAAATGCGAAAGTCATCAAGAAAAAATAAATCGTTCACGTGAAAACAGCAAAATAAGCATTCACGCGTGGCGAGACCTTTTCAAGGCGCATGCGCCTAAATCTACCCGCTTACAGCGGACGCCGACTATATCTCTTTATAAAAAAAAAACGATTATCACAATTGAAGACATTATTGTTACTCTTCCATGAAAAAAATAAAACAAAATGGCGAGCATAAAAATAAAATGGAGCCTGCGAATCGTAAAACCCCATAGGTGGGACACGACCTTATTAGGCTCAGAACGGGATCATGAAATTTGTTATTTTTTTTCTACCCTGGGTCGACTGATTCTGGTAGATCAAAACAAATTGTTTTAACGAATAACGTGGAACAATGCCAAAATTTCAGGTGCTATTCTGCCTTATCAAAAATATATGCGGATAATGGAGTTTCTAATAATTATACCATTTGCACCAATCGAATATCTTCGAATCTCGTGGGCTCATCGTGGCAATATTCTCGAAAGCAGTGCATTCCTTCTGCTCACTTCGTTTCTCGCAATTCCCATTCTTTTAATTACTATATATTTGGCGTTTTTTCAAACCTATGGCAGGTTGGTATAGTTCAAACTCGATTTAATCCAATTTTTCAGTCTTGCTAATCGAAGAAATCCTATGCTACATTCAAGCGATATTGGTGATATTCGAAACACTTTTATCGTTTTCTCTATCTATCGCTTTTTCGTCGCCGTGAACGTTAATCGAAAAAACAAACATAAACTATTTAATAGATTTCTAAAATATGCAGTATTTGACGGGGTTTCTTTTTTTGCGTTATTTTCCTTCAAATCATGTTCACTAATAATTCGACAAAATTATTAATACAAATATTTTATTAAATTAAAAGTCAGCTGGTTTTTGTGCCAAGTTGCAATTGCTGAAAATCTCAGTTTCGACTCAAATTTCAGATAGCCAACTTACAAAGAAATATCGGTGATTTCCCAATCTCCGTATAAGGAAAATGCTTGGAGATGGGCAACAGCTGGATAACTGATATTATTGTTGAAATATCCGTTCTCGTCGCCCATGTTCAAACCAGTTTGTGAACTTTGCATTCTACAAAACAATTATGTTCAAAAGTGATAACAACAAAAAATACTTGAATTTGAATCCGAATGTTGGTGATTTGTCACGAATGCTATCAGTAAGAATAACTGGACGCACACCGGCGTAGCTTTTCTGGAAGTAATCGGATTTAAGGAATTCCTCGACAATCCGACATTACATGCTCAACTCCTCCTCTCGTAACATAAGTCACGTTGGTGTCGTAAAAATGAGTGAAGTTGAGAAGAGTTGGCTGGCGAAATGTTGGATCGATTCGACCAACAGTGAGACCATTGTAAATTTCAAAATGGATTCTGAAAACGTTCAATTAAATTTATTTCAATTTTGATTTCACACTCAGAAGCATTATCGTATATTCCTCCATTAATTATAACCTCATCGCCGTCAACCATTCCTCCTTCGCGGAACAATAGAATACTGTGCATTTTATTGGCTAGTGTGCCATTCTGAAAATGAAGAAAAAGCTCATTTTGATTGCACAAATCACGATAACTTACAATACTTTCTCCACAACGAAGGGCTTGAATACAGTTTTGTTGGCACTGTTTGCATTCCTTTTTCGCCTTGTTGCCCCCAGTGGTCGGAGTGCTTGATTCGCTTGATTCAGAATCGGAGGCAACTGTCGTTTCGCTACTTTCCTCCGAACCAACGCACACAATCACCGCAGCAACGAAAATCAGCGAAAAATGTTTAAGCATTTTCGAGCCAAATGCACACGTTTAATGAAGTTTTCCTTTTATATGAAAACCGTTTCCGAACATTTATGATATCTCGCACGCTCTAGAACCGCGATTTGCATTTTTCGCCAACGCCGCCTATAAAAGAAAGTGGGATTTGTGCTGCGAAACGTTGCTAAACAAATGGGCATCTTACGTGTTCTGCTGGTCCCGCTCTCTTTGTGGATATTGCGTGGCGAAGGCACCTGCGTTCAGCTTATGATGTGCAACACTTGTGTGGTAATTCAACAAACGACCACGCCGTTTTCAATTTCATCTTGTTCAGCGAGGCGACTTCGCCAATTCGGACTACAGTATTCTGCTTCAGCGCCCAATGCAGCACGACGATGAAATTAAGATAAAGGGAAAATTTTTCGGGCAAAAAGAGTTGGACATCCGCCGATTTTTTTTTGATTGACAATCTCAAAAACTTGCAGGGTTCTAGTCAACATGCGACGAAACATGACGGTTTCGGCGAAAGTCGCCGGCAAAATTAATCCGGCCTCGACGTTGGCGCGCATCAAAATGAATGAGCAAGGAACAATCGTCGACTCGAAGGCTATGTCCAATGTAAAAGATTTTCATTGTAATATTGGCACAGAAAATTCGAAAATTTCAGACGACGTTCGAACAGAAAAAAGAGTTCAACGTGAAGTTATCTGGTGAAAAGTTTGTTATGAAAATCAGGTCATTAACAACGATATTCGTTTTGATAAAAAATCTCAAAATTTTCAGAAAACTCCAAGATTTTGCGTTCAGCATCGGCGACAAAAAGAAGTATCATTTCACTTATTTCTATGATCCTTTGGGAACGACGCAGAGTTTCGACCTCACCGGCGAATTCAACACGACTTTTGTGGAATTGTAAGCGCTAAAATGATGAATCCGACTAACATTTGAATGATTTCCAGCACCTGCCAACAATAACACCCTCGTTTCCTTGTTGTTTTCCGGCAACGCAATAGCAATGTAATAAAGAATTTTTATTCAATTGTGTTTGACCTTATGTGCTGCCAGAGATTCAAAATTGTTGAATTTAATTATCCGCTGGATGGGTAACATTTGAAAACAGCTTCCTCCAAAACACCAAGTTCATCCCCATATGTCTCCATAAATAGTAAGTACATGTATTCACATGACGGACATAAACGTCTAAAGTTCGAACGAAACGAAAAAAACCTGCTTCATCGGCGTTCGTTCAACTATTCTTCTGGTTTTCTTCATCTTCTCCTTTTCCTCATACACATATCTACTATTTTAATCTTCGTTTTACCATTGGCAAGTCGTCCAATTTCCTCCGGACACCTGTCATTATAATAACTTTTTCGAATGAGCAAAGTCTCTTCTTTCCGATCCACTGGGAAAATTTTGAAATAATGCAAAATTTGGTGGGAAATTCATTCGGGATCTCATTTTTTCTTGCGCTCCTGTCTTTTTATTTACTATTAACTGTCGGCCAGGCTATCAATTCGTCAGTAAACAAGACAGTCAATGTGTGTTTTGTGCCCATTTTTTCTCGGCGAATTTTCAAATCAATTGTTCAACTCATTTGGCGTTCTGCAGTATCAGTAATAGCATTTGCATAGTACGAATTCGTACGAACAAACAAACACACAAATGCTACCTCTTTTATTGTAGTTTTGCGTCATTTAACACTACAATATGAACAAATTTCCATTCATTTTCGGGTTCGTCCGGAATTCAATTTCATCTTTTTCAGAAATGGAATTGAAATTAAAATGTTTCTAATAATATAGGCGCGATTTTTTTTCCATTTTTAGTACTTTAATAAAATATTTGTGCTATTTAAAATTTTCTGAAAAGTTTTATAGGTCCATAAATGGATTAGTAACAATTATGAATTTTTTAGTTGCTGATATTTGGATTAAATTTCCCAAGTTTGAAGTTTTTATTAAAAAATAGTTATCATTTATGGTTTTGCGCTCATTTTTTGTGGGAAAATTCAAATTTTAATGCGATTCCCACGAATAACGATCCGACCCGACCGACCTTTGCCTGCGTTCTGATTTCCATATTCCAAGCGCACAATGAAATATTTAAAGCAATTGTTCGCCTCATCACTGTCCCATTTTAAGCCCAATTTTGGGAATCTCGCAATTCGTGTGCATAGAATCGAATAGTAGATGGGCGAAAGCAAATCGGAGGCTCAATAGCACGTCTCACTCTTACACACACCTATAATTTTGTGCTCTGCCTTTTCAGTCACAATGGTTTTTTTTTCTCTTCATGTTCAGTGCGATTGCTTGTCCACGTCATGCACGTTTCTTATCAAAAAATGTGCATTTTGTTTTATATCACACCATCATTTTTAGGCCTGCAATGCGGAATCCGTTCAAGAAGCTTTCTAGATCGATTTCGCAAAAACTTCGTGGCAAAAAGTAAATATTTTTTCGCAAATCGCACATAATTTCAAAGAGAGTTCTTCAGGAAAAATACGGAATGTGAGCAATACTCAATGCAAAATTCCACTTCCAGCACACCTACTCAAACGTCAATCGAGGAGGACCCATATAGAGTAAGACGAAACAATATTATATTTCCATTTGAATCATCTTCCAGGAAATCCTTCGCTCCTACGAAGACAATATCTCGCATCTCATCTACCATGGCTCATCGCTCAACTCAATGGCTTGTTTAGAGCCGCCACCAAGAACAATTCAACACAAACTATCATTAACACGTCGGCCAGTGACATTCAGCTAAAAAGAATTGCATATACAATTTTGCGTATGGTTTAAAGCCTCTTAGAAACATCTCCGGTCATAGTTTACGGTTGTACGTAGTCCCGCTATTTATTATCATTCCTTCTGGTTTTGAATGATTTATGTGTAATTCTTCATTTTTCGATGAATTTCTCCAAATGTGCTAATAAACAAAATCTAAAAAGCGGCTGAGAAAAGTCCACTCAATACAATGATGACTGGTTATATTGTCAATTATACGTTAAGAATAACAAGCCACTTGACGGCGGTAGTTGGCCAATGGTCATTTGTGCTAAACGGGTGTCAGCATTATTATGCATCTGATATTATTCCTATTTTCGTTGGTTCATTCGCAAGGTATTTTTTAATAAAAAATTATATGGTCTTGACACAATGTCGATGCAGAAATAATTTATGGAAAGCCGCAAAAAATCAGCGGTGACGCGAGTTGGGAGAAGGCGCAGGAGGTTATTGCAATACTCACGAAAGATGACGAGGAGATCCTCTCGAACAATGTCGACGATTCTCGGCAGTTTCCCGTACCGCCTGGTATCAATGTTGAACCGCCTGGAGTTCAGCCGAATCGTGAACGATTCCAGAGTTGAGCATTTCAATAATGAAACGTTTCAGTTAGTACTTCTATGTTCACTTCAAATACAACAACTCCCAACTCGTTGAACACTCTGGTTACTGTAGAACTGCAAAAAGGGACCACGATAAAAGTACACCAATTCTAAAATCGATCAAAAAATACTTTGTTTTCAGGTTGAGGTTAAAGATGGTGATGATGAATATTTTGAAGATAGTGAATTCAAAAAGAAGACAGATTTTGAGGAAAAACTCTCAAATTATTCAGAGACCCAAGGGATTTATAAAAAATCGAACGATTCTGATGATTTTTACGTAACATCACCGACAGGTTCTTTTGATTCGAAATAAGAAGTTCTAGAAAAAATTATTATAGCGCGATCGACGACGATGGCAAGCAGTTTGGAGAGAATAGAGAACGGTTTTCTTATATTGGCCAAACAATGAAAAACAAAATGCCTCCCTATAATAATAATAATTTGATGATTGCAGATTTTTCTCAAAATTCCTCCGAGCAACGAAAACCATCAAGAACGGTTTGTGTGGAAATCGACATGCTTCCGAAAATAGACAAAACTACGAAAACTAGTGATGTTATCGTTGAGGTCTCTCAAGATATTAGCGTCGAGGAGAAAACACGAAAAACTCGGAAAAATCAATGTATTCAATATTCAAATATAGTTTTTTTATTTAAACCGTTTTTAGGGAAAAAATTTGAGATGGATTGCGATGTGGAAGAAGATGAGAAGGGACCAATTTGTAAAGTAAATTATTGAAAGTGTTCTGATCAGAAATCAACATATTTCCAGATGTGGGCTATTGGCGGACTTTGCGTTTCTCACAAACCGACAATGCTTCTCTTCTGCCGACGGACCTGTTTATGTGTGGGACCACAATAAACTATACTAGAAGCGTTTATTGGAATAAATTGTTGCGATTCAAACTAATTATACGTTTAGTTATCAGAGAATGTAGTGAAGAGCTCCTGCGAGAAGGTTGATGTCTGAGCGAAGCGAGTTTACCGCAAGCATTATAGATCTTGGATTGTTAAGAACCTGAATGAGTTGGAGGATTTGAAATCGCTTCATAGCACATACCTCGACACTTTCGGTGTAGGGATTGTATCTCACCACGAACGGTCTCTTCATGTTATTTGTAAACATTCGGAGTTTTTGCTGGGCTTCCTCGAAATTTCTTGTATAGAAATAAGCGTCCTGGAATGTTGTTATAAGGCATTCTTGCTCTACAACACGATCCGGATCGAAGCGATGAATCGCGGCGCCGTCTCCGACAGCATGCTGAAATTGCACTTATTGGCTGCCGGCGAATCATGAGCAACCTGCAGCTCGCCAACGCTGCTTAGCAATCCAGCACCGTAAACTTTGAAGCGTTGGCCAGCTTTATCCTTGTCTGGCGAAATGACGGCATCGTCCGAAGAAAGTCCAAATTCGATGGAGAAAAAATAGAGCTAAATTCTCAATTTAGAATAGCTATGACAAAAATGTTACAGTTGCTAATTTCTTCAAATCTTCCTCGGAGGCTCCTAGGGATGCGAGACCAATTTCCTGGGAAAACTGAGCAAAGTCAGGATCGGCGAACAATGCCATATGGCCCATCAGTTCGTGTACCGTATCCCTACAGTATTTGAGTAAGACCGACATGGGGCTATCGATATCTTACGGCTCTGGAGTATAAAATGGATCGGCATGGTGTCGAACATACTGAGTGCAAAAAAACACACGAAACGCGAGGCCAGCTAAAAAATCTCTGGCCGACAAATAGCCAGCCACTGGTCGAACTCGGAATCCAGTTTTCGCTTTCAAGAAACGGCAAATGTCTTCGAGTTGCGGGATATTGAATTCAGAATAGCCGCAATGGCGTTCAAGCAGCTCGAAGTTATCAAGGAATTGTTTGCAAGCATGCTGTTTGTGTAGCTCGCGGAGCTTACGATAGATGACACCCCACGTTTTCTTCTCTTGGTCGGTGTACTCAATTCGCGGAATTGGTTCTCCACTACAATCATATCTGTTTTAATCGTTTTTAAATTATTTTTTAACTGTTTATAGTTCAACGCAATATCGGCAAACATCATTCGACGGTCCCTGTATTCCTGATCTTTGAAACCCTAAATTATTAATAATGTAATCTTCAGCCATCGAGTGAAGCAATACTGGATGATCTGCGTCAAGACCCGAGCCATACATTATAACTCGCTTGGCACATATATCAAGGTCATAAATGCTCTTGGGAAACCACTGAGATCCAGTGATAGCATCTTAAATACTGATTAACTTATTCCAAATGTTTTCTAGAGGATAACCTTCCGATCCTGGTTCGGTGAACTCGTCATTTGTAGTTGGGCGTATGGTGAATGACACTTCATGAACATCCAATCCACTCATTCTCATATAGTCAATTGCTTCATCTTTTCTAATATCGACAAGTTCTAGTTCGAGGAGAACATCCATCGTCGTAGAAGTGCCATCTTGACTATCGCGAGTCTCCATATGCTTCACGCGTGTGTGAACCTTTAAATCAATCTATTGTTAATTATAAGAAACTGTAAGTCTCTACTGGCAAGCTGGACACCATTTTGCAAATATCGGTTGCCTCGCGACTCGCCTTGATGATTATTGTGAGAATGTGAACGCCTTCTTCATCACCCTCGCGTATTATTGACTGTTTCCTTGGAGACGAAAAGAGCTTCAAAAGATTGTCTCGAGAATGACCTAATACAAAACACCATACTTGGTTAACATCCTCTTCTGGTACAAAAGGAATTCCAAGGGATCCGCTTCGACGAAATCTTCTTTTAAATTCTTCCATTCTTTGATTGTCATTTGGACTTGAACTTCAAAAACCAGTGTCTTCGCCATTTTCTTCAATGTTTTCATTACTTACATGGTAGTTGACATCGACTTGGCAGCAGCCTTTTTCGAATAGTATTGAAATTTCATAGCAGAAGCCATTTGGAGTATGAATTCTGGCACGTATTCTCGAGGAATTAATGAAGAAAACCGCGTTGGGCGCGGTTGAGAAATCGTTTTATTATGCAGTGCGCAAATAGACACCTCCGTGGTATCCGGTGACAAGAATGATGAGGTTTCAGGCGCAATTCGTATTTGCGTTGACGGATCACTATGGTTTCCGTGAGAATACATTTTCGATCTGCTCATTGGTTTTCCATTGAGGACGAATAATAAATCCTATGAGAAAACAGGAAATAAACAAATTTCAGACCTGATATTATGACTAAATGGTACGGTGCGCAAGGCAAGTCTGTACTACGTACATTGTACGGTGCAAGCGACAATTTTATCGTTTTTGCATTTTATTTCAATAATCTCGGTTTTATTTCTTAAATAAAAATGTAGTTTTGTTAAACAAGCGTTAAAATGTTTGTTTAAATTATTTTCTGTCAAAAAAATTTACATAATATTTTAAAGTTAGTTTTAAATGGAAATTTTGTCAAATTTCTCGTACTAGGAAAAATCAATGAATAGATCAATAAAATAAAGCTGAAATAACGAAAATATGTAGGAAATAGAACAAATAATTATATAATTGTTTTTATTTTTTATCAACGGATTCTATTTTTAAATTTCAGACTTATTTTCGATCGAGCGCTGCAATCATTCTTGAATCCAATCAATTGAACCTTTTGCCAATTTTTCGAACCGTAAAACAAACAACACCGTGTGACAAGCGAAAGCTTGCAACAAGTCATGTGACTTGCATCGACCAAGTAACCGTGTTCAAAACAAGACGCAAAAACCGCTCGGAGTCTCTAGTGATAAATGGTCCACGTGAAAAACATGCGGCGCCGACCCGCATTCCGAACCGATCGCCAATATCGCTTTCCGCAATACAATTTGTCTTTAGCCAGCCGCGTTTTGCTTCGAAAATTGTGAGTTTTTTGCGGCTGCAAAATGTTCACGCTTTAATTTTACACGTCGCAACATTTTTAGTTTAAACAACGCGCGGAGTTAGTTTAGTTGGTAAGTCACTTATTTCATATTAGCCAAATTATGTCGGTTTTTCCATAATCATCAGGAAACAGATGCCATTTGATATAGTGATTTTACAGGGTGTCATTTAAGTTCCCGCACAACTTTGAAGGCATATATTTCTGAAACTAAAAGTCCAAATCAAACGAGACTCGAAATATTTTTTATCTATAGTATAACAAATAATTATCTATTAACTCTTTTTGATTCGGTCTCCTTTCGCAGCTATGACTTCACGGAGACGCTTCGGGTAGGATGTGACTGTGGTACGCAGGTATTCGATGGAATGATTGTCCCATTCCACCAGTAATGTCTTCTTCAGAGCCTCTATACTTGAGTGGGGTTTTGCGTTGACCTTCTCCTGCAAGAGCCCATCACGGAAAAGTCAAGCGGGTTCAGGTCTGGGGAGAAATCAGGCCATTCGGATGACTTGATGAAGTCGGGAAAATGGGTCTGGCACCACTCCTGAGTAGTTTTGGCAGTGTGGGCGGGTGCTCCGTCCTGTTAAAAAACCTATTTCTGCCCACCGAAATGCGTTTTGGCCCAGGGTATCACATGCTTCTCCAAAATGTCCCGAACGTAGACTTCTTTGTTCACTTTCACCCCCTGATCCGCGAAAACCAGGGAGCACTTCCCGGTTGAGCAGATGGCACCGAAAACCATCACACTGGCAGGATGTGAAGCTGGATGATATGTTCTTCCTTTCTCAGAAGCTTGCTGGGATGTCTGGGCAAGTACTCGATGGTTTTGTGAGTTGAATGCCGCCTCCACAGTGAACAGCTTCTCATCGGAGAAGACAGTGACGAGGTGTTCTCCAGACCGCGTGCGAGCAAGAAGTCGTTTTGCTTTTTCGAAGCGTCTCTACTTGTTGGCGGCCGATAGAATTGCCGCTTTTTGGACACGATATGGGGTCAGTCCAAGCTTCGTTTTGACGATTTGTTCCAAAGCGAAAATGCTCATTCCCACGTCTGACGCCATCTTTCTCATGCTCCTGTGTGGGTTTCGCCTGATCTTCGATTTAACGGCGTTGAACTTCTGAGGAGTGGTTACCGAGACGAGTCTTCCTTATCTGGGACGGTCACTGGTCGTATTTAGTTCCTTGAAACGTTAGATGATGTCGTAAACCGTTCTAATAGGCACACCGAGGCGTTGAATGATGTCTCTCAGGCTCACATTTTGCTTATGAAGTTCGATAATGGAAGCGCAATGGATGTTAGCCTTCGCCATTTCTCGGAAACACATCCGAATGAGGTAAAACTTGGAAAGTAAGTAAAATACACCTTATTTAACAAAAATAAATTGTATTGGTGCACGAAAAGTGCGACAGCCAAGCTCTTCATGGCGTCAAACTTTTGTGCGGGAACTTAAATGACACCCTGTATAAATGCTTAGAAATATGGGATAACAAAATATTAAAAAGTGCGGCTAAATATTCGTTTAATTTATAGAAATTAATTTTTATGTAAAATCACAAAGTGATCTTTGAACATTCACAAGCGTAATCAATCCAGTGTTGTAAAAAAAAGTCAAAGAAAAGTTGCAAACCCTAATTTTTAGCATTTTTCATTTGATACTCATCTATCAAGCATCTTATTTTTTTCGATGTCCGCACCTTAAAAGTTCCAAAACGTGATCACCATGTGCCCACACAGTCTCTATCACTAGCGATTTGGCGCGATACTGTCCGCGTTTTTCTTTTCCCGCTATTGTCTCTCCTTGTGACTATAATGCACCTCCTACTCACCCATTTGTAATCATCTCCATCTCCTGCAGGTCAATATCTTTAAAAGTTGACGTTTCAACAAACGTTTAGTCTTTCTCTCTCTCTAATTTATTGTATTATCGCCTCTTCGTCGATGCAATTCGTCTGTGTGTTTCTAGCATTGGTAGTTCTCGCGCAAATACTGCGCTATTGATTATTTTTTTCAAAGGAAAAACTTTAATATTTAATTTTTTCTTGCTCATTATCACCAAATAATTCTCGCATGGTAATTTTTGGTTTCTCAAAGTTTGAGACGGTAATGAAGCTGCAGAAAGCACACAGATAAACGAGGAGAAGAAGAAACACCGTTATCACTATGTACGAGGTGTTCAGAGGGATGTTTCTGTGTTGTACGCATTGATGTCACATGATCGATGTTCTTTGGATATTACACGTGCCCAAATGATTTCGCACCCACCGATTGGGAATACGATTTGATTAGTGTTACACAACAAAATCGACGCAAACATAATGTCTTAATGAAACGGATTCGAATCAATTGTAATTATTTTTTTCTAACTTATATCATAAGGGTTGCAGAAATTCAGCAAAAAATCGTTAGCGAATTTCTAATTAGTCCGTGAACACTTTAAACCAATCTTTGAGGTTGTTCTGAGAGGTCAAACGCCAGGTGACACACAAGAGTACGGGGTTCAGAATGTTTCGTGATTTTTCGGAAACAACACCCAATCTTAGTTGCATCCTAGTTCCAGCCGTCTGCTATCGGCCGCTTGCCACTCGAATTATTGTTTCCTCACTGTTGACACGTATGAGTGTTCTCTGGTCATACGCCGATCGCCGGCATTCGATGTGTACGCTCAGCGCGTTTCGTACCGTCCGTTTTTCGGATCGACAGGACATTTTTGGTAGGTTTTACAATGTTCGCTCGAGAAAATGCGAGTTTCTTTTCCAATGCGTTGGTTCTGCGTTTCGCTTCACGGAGAAATGACTCAAAAATGAGAGAGAAGGGGAAGCTCGGCGGTCACTTATTTTTGATTTTTGCTCGTCATCGTCTCCACGCAAAGAATGCCGTTTTACGGCCTTCGTGGTGTTCGCATAGGTCAATATTTTAGAATCACGTGCGTCCGATGTTTAAGTATCGATTTGTTTCAAAGCAATTCGTACAGGTTAACATGCCGAAATCGACGAGACTTCGCATGTGCGCACTTTTTTCGCCCGAATAGGGTCCGCAGATAAGCCGAAACCGGTCTCTTTTTTTAGAGGCGCCATAGAGAACTTAACTTTTCCCTCAACTGATACGTTTGGTTTCATATAATTTTTATCATTGAAAATATAAATTTTGGCTATAATACCCAATTAATCGTTATTTTCTTATCGCAGTGAGTTCTAGACATTGTCAACAGTCCATTTTCCACTCGGCCACGCCTCCCGAAAAGAGAAAAAAACTTCATGTTTCGATGTCATATATAAATTGTCATCATATTTTTACTTTCCATGAACTTCGTTGTTTTCAAATATTTCACTTATCAGTTACGATTGGCTTTTAATTCTCTATGTTTGCAAAGCGTTAACTTGCTCTAGGTCCTTTTTTAATTTGAAAATAGCACTGCTTGAATTGGTCATTGAAGTGATGTTGTTCCGTAGAGCACACTTGCTGTGTCGTGTTTTCGTCATATGAAACGTTTTTTTTTTGAAATCGAGGATGCGCGTTTTAATTGAAGGTAATTGCAGAGAACACAAATCGAATTTTGTGTGGCGCTAGCTAGAGAATTGTTCTGAAAATTCGTCGCCAAGACGAATAATCCGTTCAAAATTTGTGACAAAACCACCGCGTGGAACACCTCGTCGAAATCATGTTTATGGATCGTGAAGCGCTGATTCATTTTGTCGGTGGCGCTGTTGGTGGTACAACGGGTATGTCGAAAGACGAATGAATTGATAAGATATTCGCATGGATTATAGGTACCGCCATCACGTGCCCACTGGAAGTTGTCAAAACTCGAATGCAATCGTCAAAAGGTTTTGATTCGACGATTGGAAATGGGCCGAGCACATCTACCGGTAAGGATAGAAAAAATAGAGTCAAATTTTTTCATTGCAATTTTTTATTCGCTACACATTTATATAATACAGTGTTTTAACAAGAAAAAATGCACTTGAAGTCATTTCATTGCATAAAGTTGTTTTTTTTTGGGAATTGCCTACTTCGCCAGTGACATTTTGATCGCATTGACCGAAATTTTTTGATTTGATAAGAAAAAACTAAACGAATATGTTCAAGGTTCACCACAATCGAAATCGTCGAAAAATGGGGGATCTCTGAAAACGGTGTCTCATCGAAACGGTTATGGTTCGAATTTTCGCCTTCGCGGACAATACGCGATGGAGCGACTCGTTTCGCCGAGACATCAAGGTTTAGACATTGCGCGACTATTCAACAATGGTGCCGCAAAACGTAAAAACAACAACAACAATGATATTTTCAAAAAAATGTATTCATATATAGAGCCAACAACAAGTACCAAAATGCTCCTTCAACATTGCTCGAGGAATTTTGCTTCGTCTGCCGAGTCTAAATCGAAACCACTTCCTGGAACTCTTGTTTTTCGTTACATGATGTTTGTTTAATGTTTGAAATTTGACTGAAAATTTTAAATTCCAGGCAAATAGTCAAAACTGAGGGTGTTACTGGGCTTTATAAGGGTCTTATTCCGAATTTGATTGGCGTTGCGCCATCCAAGTAAGCGTGTTAAATTTTTCACTATGTAAATGACTATGTTTGTTCTCCAGAGCGGTTTATTTTTACACGTACTCGACGTCGAAACGATTTTGGAACGATCGCCAGACGTTTGTGCCGAACTCGGCGATCGTTCACATGGTGAGCGCCGGCTCAGCGGGATTCGTCGCTGCATCTGTAGTGAATCCAATATGGCTTGTTAAAACTCGCCTCCAATTAAATAAGGAGTCGATCGGCATCTGGGCAATGATCAAACGTGTATATCACAAGGAAGGCATTCGCGGATTTTATAAGGTAATGACATTTTTTGCGGGTTGTAATGTTTCCCTAGGTTTTACGAGCGTATCAATCGAATTTTTTTTGTAATATCAAAACTTTGCAGGGTGTAACTGCTTCGTATGCCGGTGTTTCTGAAACAATGATCCAATTTTGCATTTATGAGTATTTCCGAAGTGTGTTGCTTACAAAAGCAAATGAATTTGATAAAGGAAAAATGGTTTGTCATGGAGTGAAAAGAACTCTTCACCAATTATAAGCAACAATTTCAGGATTTTCTAAATTTTATGGTTGCCGGGGGTTCGGCGAAATTCATTGCGTGCGTTTTGGCTTATCCGCATGGTATTCTATCAAATTGTTACTGTTTTTTACGATAATTGTTTTAGAAGTCGTCCGCACTCGTCTTCGTGAGGAATCCGAGATCAAGCGCGGATTTTTCGATACATTGTATCAATTATACAAAGAAGGATATCGAGCAATGTATCGTGGCTTGTCGGTTCAGGTACGCTTTTTAAAAATCTTGCTTAGAAGCATATTTATGAAAATACATTGCAAATTTTCAGCTAATGCGAACCGTTCCAAACACGGCAATAACAATGGGCACTTATGAATTCGTCGTCTACATACTGCATCATTTCTAATGGTCCATTTTTTCAAACCTTACATGTAATTAGATTATTTTCTGCTCATCTTTCTTTTTCCGATTCCATCGTATCTTAATCACGTTTCATTTTCTCTCTATTGTTGTCGTTCGTTTTTTTATCGGTTGTCAAATGCAAAATTAGCCTATTTTTGTTCAATTACTTTATTTTTCGTGCGGTTAGCTATTCATTTCTTCTCTTCCAACTCCCCCACATTTTACTTCCAGCATTGAACAGAGAAAAAAAAACCAAATAGCAGAAAGGATTCCGAAAATATATTTTTTTAAAGAATACCATTTCCGCCCACGACAAAACCGCGCGCACATCATAGAATAAAACAAATCCATTTATTCAACCGAATACCATTCATCACATGTTGTAAATTACGGATAATTAGATTTTTCTTTGTATTTTATTTTCCGGTTTCAATTCTTCTTTTCAGTCCTCTTCCCCATCCACCCAAAAAAACTTCCCTAAAATAACCCCTATTGCTTTCTTTCGGTTTTTCCTATGACGGAATGAAAAGCGGGTGTTCTTTTTTTGTCGCGTTCATGATGTTCTGTGTTCTTTTCGTTTTCTAGTTATTTTCCTTCTCGTCACAGTCTAAAGTTTCTACAAAATTCATATAATAATTGTCAACAATAAATAATACAGATACGGAGTGGAGCGATGAAAGGTAAAAAGAAACAAAACAGATGAATGAGGCCGCAATGGATAATCGAAATCAGACCGGTAGAAGCGTTGAGAACAACTGACGAGGAGCGGCGAACGACGAGTTTGCATTGATCTGAGCTGATTTCGGCTTTTTCGATACGAGTCCTTCACTTGCGGAGACACGCAACTGGCGGAGAACATTGTCGCCGTCGATCGCATCGATTATGCTTTCATCTGAAAACAAAACAACTTAATTAAATTAGTCAGATATTTAAAAAAAAACGAACGCTTACCATTAACTGAAACTTCGTACACAATCGCCCTAGCGGTTTCTAGACAATTACACGCAACTCCAGCGCGTACCAATTGCTGGAAAATTTCGCCGAACGATTGTATGAGCGCCAGAATTCTGAGGGTTAGCTTTTTCCATTTGGCCTTTGAGCACAGTTGCTTGCAAAGGTGAAGTGCCAAATCCAAAGTGTTGGCAAAAGCGTATGCTGGCGTCCCTTTTCTGAAAGATCAAAATGAACTTTGAACACACAAATGTAATTATACATTTTGACGGTTTCCGGTTTCAGGAACACTTCCTTTGGAGGTTCAGTGAATACGTACATCTCAGCTATGATCTCAGTAACAGCAAGCTCTGATAAAGCCGTCCACCCTTGCTCCGAAGAAGCCAGTCGAGTGAAAACAGTCTGCAATTTCAAACCTATTAAATTAGCGAATCAGGACTTGCGCTACCAAAATCGATGTAAGAAGGTGCGATTGCGCACATTGCTCAACCCTAGTGACTATCGCGGCTCCAGAAGGCGAAGCAATCACATTCCAATCAAATTCAATCGATAATAATTCCTCACAAAGAACTCTACACACTCCACTCTGCGACAGACAAGCAGCCAGCTGAAAATTTTAAAGTCACTGAAAAGCTTGAAAAAAAAACGTTACTTTTTTAGAGCCTTTGAGATCTTCATGTAGAAGATCATTAGCCAAAAGAATAGCGGTGGCCTGAAATAGTGCAATTATAATTATATTCTTGAAATTTTTCAAGTTCCTAAATCTTACACCTTCAAGTGACTAGAAAAAATAAACAATAAGAAAATATCTTCTTTCTTCTTGACATTTCCAAAAAATCGTACGTCCCATGGGGATTCGAGAGATTTTGAAACCCTCGCATGCGAGCGTCCATATTTCTTTTGGCTAGGACTAAAGTGTACACTTTTCAATTTTACCATGTGCATTTCGAATTCACACTCGTTCATATGCGTATTATGCGTAAAAAGAATCTACCACAAATACCAGTGAGCTTTTTTGGTGATGCTAAACAAACCCAACATTATTGTTTCAGCTTAAACCACATTTTGCTTCTCGCAATTTACATCATTTTTATAATCGCCGCCGCTTCAATATTTTTCATCGTCGAATCTCAAAGCACCGAAGCATATCGAACAAAATGGCAACGAAAAATTGAAGCGGATCGAAAAAGGTAAAATTCTAAATAAAAACTCGACGTGAATCGATAACAGATTTATCTCAACTTCATTATTCCCCGAGATTTTTAACAACAGTCGATTACTGCTTTATGTGCACGGAGAAAAGTCCCACTACCTTAAAAATGTTATAAATAAGCGTCTCGACCAATATGAAATCCGCCAGTTGAGAATTCGCGCGCCGATGCCAAAATTTCGAATCACATTCGTCCATTGCCTATTTTTCGTAAGTGATTCTTCAATGGAATTGCTCGAAATTGGGAGATGAAGGTATTCTCTACGATCACCACGACTGGTCATGGCTTCATTCAACCAGTTACTGATAATGGAAGGACCATGTCAATAATCATATCAATAATGGGCATTCCATTCACAATAATCGTCGTCAAAGACATCGCTTACATAATCGCCGTTCTTCTTCACTTCCCATGCCGACTATTGCGTGAGTTTTCACAGAACAATCATCAAAATTGCCAAATGGTCCCAATGGGACAGCACTTGACTCCGACTACGCGACACCATAATAATTCAAATATTCAGAATGTTTATGGAATGTGTTCCGATTTTGTACACTCAATCCGGCCAAAGAGGACGAACTGGAGAGAGAACTCAAAAATGGCCGAGAGGATCCTAGTAAGGATTATCGTCTCGATCACGTCAGCCGACTTCTCTCGATACCCGTAACTGTGGCCGTTCTATCAATAATCGGCTGGATCAGTTTCGGTGTCTTATTAATGAGCTACGGTTTCCCACAACTTCATTCCTCGCACAACGTGTATTTCATAATAAACTGCCTCACCACTACAGCGGTCTCTAATATTGATTTACCAGGTAATTCTTATTCATGAGTGGGAAAACATGCTAAAATTTCAGAATTAGACTTCACAAAGTTTTGCATCTATTTCATTTACGTTATATTCGGGCTCTCAATCGTGACATTGTTCATAAATCTATTACATACAAAATTCAGCAGGGCTTACTGGATGCCCGGAAAAATGTACATACCTTTACGGTAATCAGTAAATATAATAACACATGTAAATTTTAATAATTGAAGAAATGGGGGCCTCCTAGCATCTCGCAATATTGCAACTTTTGACAGCTTCGAAGAACTTAATATTAGCGACATGCCCATTAATCATATGGCTACGTTGGGGATTTTTCAAACCGATGTAACTATTTCAGTATTATCCAAATTTCAACCATTTCTCTTAGGATAAGTGCCCGCTGTTAGCAATTCTGAAAAAGGACAAAGCGGTTCATGAAGTCGTAACACAAACCGGCGAAGTTTATTGACTAAATACTCTTAAATGATTTAAAAATAATACTTCCAGACGACAATTCAAAGTTTGAACCGCATTTTGCACCCCACCGATCAATCAAGCCCTCTTCCGGTAACAATCCCGCAGGAAATCCATTCCTCAAGGGAGGACGTCAACTCTTTAATTATTGAGTCATACGGCACTCGAACATTAGGCTCTAAATATGCAAACAAATAAAAATTCTCACTTTTCGATGTTTCGGCAAATCCGAGATGTTTGAAGATATGTGGCGGCCAATATCAAACGCCATTGTTTCGACAATGTTGACAATTTCGTCTGAAGACGAAGATGAAGTAGCGTGGCCATCGAGAAGCCAGTCTTCTGCTTCAAACGCAATCTAAACAAAATTTTCATAATTTCAATAACGTCTCTCTTGCCTCCGCGCTGTTATTCTCAAAAACTGCCCTTAAAATCAAACGAAGTGTCTTATAGAGGCTAACCTGAAATCGAAACGTATATTTTTATTACGAGGTACTTGAACTTACTTTTACATCCACACTCTTCTCGGTAGGTTGAAGAAGCAATTCGATTAGCGATTTGAACAATGGCGCAAAAAAGTGCCGAATATCGGTGAGCTGCAAATGAAAAAAAACTTGTTCACAGTAACCGATTAGCGATGAGTGATAGCGTCAGAAAAAAAGAAGTGATAATGCGCAGCAACACAAAACCAGAATTATTGGATGGCAACAAGTTACTGCGAATTCTTATCAAGCTTGATACTACTATAAAAAGGAACAGCGGCAATAATGGAATCAGTTAATGTCATAAATAATACTTAGTTATCTTTATTATTTCCAGCATTATGCAAGTTCATACTGCTACATTTGTAGCCTCTTCTCTAAGTGGGATTGCGTTGTTATGCAGCCTTTTGGCACTCAGCCAAATCTATAGCAACGTTCAGAACTACTGGAACGAGCTCGATGCTGAAATCCAATCATTCCGCATGGAGACGGATCAGATGTGGAAGGATCTTGTGGATATCGGAACAACAGTCACGAGATCTCGTCGCGATGCATATGATAGCTACAATGGTGCTCCTGCGCATGACTTTGGAGCGCAGGCTCCAGGAGGTCCAGCTCCAACAGGAGGATCGTGCCAGTGCCAGAGTGCTGCTGAAAACAAGTGCCATCCAGGACCACCGGGACCAAAGGGATCTCCCGGTTCTCCTGGTCCAAACGGTCTCCCAGGAGTTGACGGAAAACCTGGAGAAGATGCTGATGATGTTGAGCCAGCTCCACAAGACACGGGCATCTGCTTCTATTGTAAGGCTGGTCCGCCAGGGCCTCCAGGACCACCAGGTCTTCCAGGACTTCGCGGAATGAAGGGAGCCGATGGAGCGCTTGGCAAACCTGGCCGTGACGGAAATCCAGGTCATCCAGGTGAGATGGGAGCACAAGGACCACAAGGAAAACCGGGACCAGAAGGACGACCAGGAGAGAAGGGAGCCGATGGACGGAAACCAATCGGTAGACCCGGACCAAAGGGACAACGAGGAAAACAAGGCGATCAAGGACCAAAGGGAGATGCTGGACCAAACGGACCGCCAGGAGCTCCTGGACCATCAGGACCATCAGGAGGACCAGGCCCAGCAGGAGAGAAAGGACTTGATGGACCACCAGGACCAGAAGGAAAGCAAGGACGTCCAGGACAGGATGCGTAAGTTATACGCTGACAATCGGGCATATACATGCAAATTTGCAGAGAGTATTGCAAATGCCCAGACCGGGGATCGAAGGGAGGTTCACTCGGTGGTCGCGGAGGCGGTGGTCACCACGGTGGAAGCTCAGGCGGTTACAAAGAGGGATACAAAGCTTAAACTTGCAAGCTTTCTATTATATAACTGTGCAATGAAATGTTCCATACTTACCTTTGGATATTCGTCTTTGGCGAGTTTCGCCACCGTTTCCACCATTCTCTGGAATGTTTGACAAGCAGCCAACAACGAGGCACCGTCGATTCCCGAAACCATTTCGATTAGCACATAGCACGAATCGCGAAAGATTACAAGTCTGAAATAAGTTTTATAATTGCAATTTGAAAAATAATAGAAAAAAGAAACTGACTGTGTCGCCGTTGTGAAGAAATGAACAGGAGCAAACACCGAAAACACGTTGAGAAGAGCTGTGCAACCCGAGACAATTCGTTCACTAGATCCCTTTGAAAGCAGATTTGCGTTGATCTCCGCACTGTACTCTAATACACTCTCAACTTCCTGAAACTATTTATGAAAAGACCATAGACGAATTACTATTCTACTTTTTGCACATATTTATACTCTTCACAGTCCGCGTAAACAGTTTCAATCTCCCTCCGAAGAAGTCTATCCAGATATACCGTATCGTATTGTGGAACTCCATAAATGGTAATAGTTAAACAAGCATCGAATATCTAAATAAATTAATATGTAATATTTTCTAGAATTACTCGAGACCTCATGAAGTTTGTTGACGTTAAAATGCACTAGCTCCGGATAGATCAATTCTGACGTTTTTGTTACCGTGGCTCTTCGTAATAAACTGAACAACAAATTCGTCGACCCGCCACTATCTTCGTCGTCCATTGTATACTCAGAAACCATTTCCGACGTCTCTAATAATGCTCTGTACAATGTTTCAGGCCTGGTGAAGTGGCCAGTCGTCAACATTGCCGAAATTTCAACGGCGGCAAAGTGGAGAATGTATCCAACAATCATTCGTCGAACCGAAAACACTCCTGCTGAATATGTGTTGGCGATCTCGTCTTCTTTGATGAGCGCCGAGCACACAAATTCCGAAGTCACGAGTTTTTCAATTATATTGGACGATCGCATAAAGCAAAGAACCGGTTTTGCAAAAGGACACGACATCGAAACCAAACGTTGCTGGAAAATGTTAAAACTCATGAAAATTTTCCTGTTTTTAATTATTCTTACAAGAAATCTGAACGATGGTTCCAAAAGTGCTGAAAATGACAGTGAGAATGGATTCTTCGTAGAGATGAACTGCTCAATTATATATAAAATATAGTGTAGTCCGGTGAGAATCTCATCTAAATAAAACCAATATTATTCCTAGATTTGAATTTGATTCTACCATTTTCATAAAGTTCCTTGGTATTAGCTTTTGATGGTCTGAAAGCTAGCAAATAATAGCAAATATTATTCACATCGTTGATTTTGTCCGATTTCGTATCAACTGCGTCTGCCAGTGTATCCAAAAGAATTCTCGCAGTTTCTCCACGAGCTGTTAGTGGATTTTCGTCGTCCTCTTCTATTAGTTAAATATGGTAAATGAAAGGAAATAAAGCGTACCTTTTGCAAGGGAATCATCGATTGAATAATGAATTGAGGTTGCACATAGAGCTGTTCTTACAGCCCTCACGTGCATTGCGGCCGCGTCTCGGGACTTCAAAAGTTCCAACATTGATCCTTGTGCTGCTCCACGTGAAAGCGTTACATCGCGCAAGATTCGAACAGCGTAGAGGGCATGAATTGGATAATCATCGCACTAAATTGTTTTTTTATCTCGATTTTTCTCTGATGACACCCTACCGTTTGTAAATAATGAAAAATGAGATCCAAAAGGGTGAATGGCGTTGAGGAATGGATGGGTGTGAATACCAAAGACTGAATTGAAGCGACGATAACATCACACGAAAGGACACGAGCACAAGCCCTCAGTGCCGGATGCAAAATGATCGCCCGCGATAGTATTTTGAGAGCAATCAGCGCCGATTCGGACGATTTCGGTTGCTTCGAACTATACGGATCCATTTGAGCTTGACAATCTTCCATAATAATGCGTGTTATCTAAACATAAAAAATATATTCTTTTCGAGATTAATTATCATTAGTCTACCGATCTAAACAGCGGGGTATCATTGAGGCATTGGGTCAGTAATGCAATATGAATCTCATTGGCTGCAACAGCTCTTGGCTCAACAATTCCGTATTCTAGAAGAGTGTTAGTAGCACGAAGTGATTCTTCAGCGAGATGCCACTGCAAGAAAAATTTCAGATAAATCGTTTAAGTATATTTCTAAAACACACCATTTGATTCACGTCATTATAGCTTCTTGAAGAAAACTGCGAAAGGATAGATTTCGTAACAAATTGAATGGAAGCTGCCGAGTCTTGTGGCAGGTTTCTAAAAACACGCTTAACTAAAAGTTTGAGAAATAAATATTACTTGTGTTTCAAAAGCGTTGATATCAAACGAACGAATGAAAGGGAAACGTCATATTGCTTCGTTACGCATTCCCTCTCATCCAACTCCTGCTGCATTCCCATTAAACTTCCATTTTCCGTTACGTAACAAAGCTGGTGAATATGCATTACGTGCCAAACTCTAAAAAATTCAGAAAACTCTAATATACCATATTATCATATACCTAATTGCTGACGATTTCAATCGCGCAATCGCGTTCAATAATCCAATAAGTGCCGCTTTTAGTTGTAGAGGAACTGACGCCGACGCTATTGAGGCTATCAAATCCAACGCACCCCAGCTTCGATCTTCTGAGAAGCGCAAAGCAGCGACGTCATTCTGTTAATAACAAATTCAAATTCATTATGTAGTGAGTGAAGCATTACATATCGTGCCACTTTGGTCGCAATTCGAAGGCAAGCAATTAACCCGCTGAGCTCTTGCGCCGGAATTATGACATTTTCAGACTGTGTTCGATTAGCTAAAGTGTGCTGTTGAGCGAAACTGCGATGCATATTCGCTTTTTGTTCTCGGAAAAGTCGATCGTAACTACGAAGTGCTGACATAAATGATTCCCAGCCAAACAAATCTAAATCTATGAGGTATTTCTGCAATGACTGAAAATTTACCTGTTCCTGGATGATCTCGATTGAAAATGTCAAACAAAAACGCAGCGGTATAGGGATTTCGACACACTGCCGCTGTAAGTTCGAAGTATGCCACGGCGTGCACGACATGATGAGGTAAACGAGCTCGTTCTAGCAATCGGCACAATTCGATCTTTAAAAAAACACTTTTAAATGCGAACAGAAATAATTAATTACCGATCTTTCCGTGCTGAAGGCCAAACTGCATTCGATAATCTGGTTATAAAGCTTCTTCTCTCTTGAGCAGTTTGGAGGCTCTGTCAATGGAAGAATTTCGTATAGATCGACAAAGCAACGAAGAAAGTTTTCATAATGTGATGCAGCAGTTTCATACTAAATACGACGCTGATTCAATTAAAACAAATATATAATTTATACCTGAGGCTGTTCTAAATTTTGTGCAATTTGTTTTGATGATTGGGCAGTGACTTCAGCACTTGCTGCAACGTCCACACTTCTCTGTTGCTGCTCATCAAACCAGGCAAGCTCGTCAGCACTGTTTCTCTCAGTCTCCATCAACTTCGCGGGAAAAAATGCAACAAGTTGCTTGAGAACTTCATCAATGATCACGAATTGGTAAGCTTCATTAAAGAAGTCTGAGTGGATGATAGCATGACGCAAGTACTGAAATGCCATGTTTCGAATTCCACGGTCGATTATCCGCTCCACGTCCACTTTAATGCTTTCAATGCCCAAATGGTCGGCTGGAGAAGAAGCAAGCGCTTTCAGAGATACTGCACACGCCAGCTGAATAGTCCCACACATTGCTTGATCTGACCATGTGGTCTCATCACGAATGTGTCCGATCATCGAATTCAGCACTGAGGTGGCATCTGGCACCTGGTTAAGAACATCACTTGAAGTAATTTTCACCAGTGAAAGCCACGCTGTCAGGTTGTTGAGATTTAACTTCTCCGCGGGAACATTCTGGAGTATATAAGAGAATTTTGAAAGTGTTGTTTTATAAAAGAGCAAAAAATAGAATTACCTTAACAATTTGAAACAAATAATTCGAAATATTGACGACTTGTAATCCTGGATTCTCACAAATTAGGCTGATAGTATTCATCATTTCGTGTCGAATTTCCTCAATAGCATTTCTCAAAAGTCGTTGATGCTTCGATCCGCCAAGACCGTTCACGTTTGGCTGCATGAGACGCGAGAACTCCGATTGAACACTAAATTTTGCCAAAAGATCTGAAAATGTATTACAAAATATGCGCGTTACTCATGATCTTACGGAATAAATGCTTGAAGACTGTCTCTTGGATAAAGGTGGAGTCGATAAGATCAAGAAGCTTTTGCGGTAGCTCCTCTCGATCGAACTCTAGAATTTTACGAAGAGACGTGATGAGTAAACGATGAGCATCATAATAACAGACAACAGCAATCAGCCCACGGTTTAAACCATCAAAATGGATATTTTGTGCTTCTCCTGCAAAAAAGTTTGTGGTTTTACAAAAATTCTGAATGATACCCGCTAAGACGAAATCTACAGCGTCCAGCTCATTTATAGTGAAAATATCACTGACGATTAGAGCTTCCGCACAAATTTGGGCATCAAGGGTTATTTCAGCATCGTCAAATTGAACAGTAGCATTTGGAACTACCTTTGCTCGTGATTGCGTCGATTTTGGCTGCAATTAAACCGTGTTGAAGGTTAAATTCACTTATTATTTTACATTATTGCATAAAACATTTGCCAAACGAAATTTGTATTTCTCGATATTTGCTATTAAATCGTTTGTGGCGTCATCATCGTCGAAATTTTCAAACTGTGCAATTTGATCATACAGTTTTCGAATTTCCACCCACATTCTGTAATTTTTTAAATAAAAGAAGTTTGAAAACAATAAACTATTCAACCTTTGTTCAGATTATTCAAATATGACAGGAAAATGAAATTCGAAATTTAAAAAACCGTTCGTGACCGAAAAATTTGAAAACTCGTCCAAATTTTGTTGTAGTCCACACGGAGTAAGTGAAACACATGAGTTTAACGAGATACACAGACGACATGCATTTCAAGGCACAGTGTCTGGCACCTCATTTGCACGACAATTTCGTGGTGAGATATCGACCCGCCAAATTTGAAGCGTTCTAATTTGCAAATCATTATTATGAAGATGGTGTGCGTTTCTCCGGTTTTTATCACGATTTGCTTTCTTTTCACGTTGATTTTATCATTTTTATGTTAATTTAAACGTGTTTTCTTATTACCATTATTTTATTTCATTTTTTAGTCAAGATGAGCGACTCCGACAGTGATTTCGCTTTCGATGACTCGCCGAAAAAGAAAAAGCCGGCAACCAAAAAACCAAATGCGGGACAAAAAAGTACACCGGCGAAAAAGAAAAAAGATGACGGTTTGTCTAAAAATATATATATATATATATTCTGTTGCAATTGTTATTTTCAGTTGCTGATATAAGTATGTCAATGACAGAAGAAGATAGGAATGTGTTCACAAATATCGACAACGTCAAAAAGACCGGAAATAAGAAAATGGCAATTGAGGATATCTATCAGAAGAAATCCCAACTTGAGCATATTCTTCTTCGACCAGATACTTACATTGGCTCGGTTGAGTATACTGAAAAGACGGTACGCTGAATTTCTAACTTGATTTAAAATCACAGTTTCAGCCGATGTGGGTGTTCAATACGGAACAGAAAAAACTTGAACAACGAGAAATTCGATATGTTCCAGGGTTGTACAAAATTTTTGATGAAATCCTTGTAAATGCCGCTGACAATAAGCAAAGGGATCCAAAGATGAACACCATCAAAGTCACCATCGATAAGTAAGAATTTCAGAACTTCGCTCGATAATGAATATATAATTTCAGAGCTAAGAACACAATTTCGGTATATAACAATGGAAAGGGTATCCCTGTTACCATGCACAAAGTTGAAAAAATGTACGTTCCTGAAATGATTTTCGGAACACTGCTGACTTCGTCTAACTACAACGATGACGAGAAAAAAGTTACTGGTGGTCGAAACGGATACGGAGCTAAATTGTGTAACATCTTCTCAACGAAGTTCACTTTGGAGACCTCTTCGAAAGAATTTCATCACGCGTTCAAACAAACATGGATTAACAATATGACGAAAGACAAAGAGCCCGAAATTACGAAAAATGTCGGAGAAGACTACACCAAAATCACGTTTTGTCCAGATTTGAAAAAATTCAAAATGCAAGAGCTTGACGATGATATTTGCCATCTAATGGCGCGTCGTGCTTATGATATTGCTGGTAGCACAAAAGGAGTCAATGTGTTCCTTAACGGTGAAAAACTCCCCGTGAAAGGATTTGAGGAGTATGTTAAAATGTACACCAGTCAATTTACTGATAATGCCGGAGAACCAATAAAAGTCGCTTATGAGCAGGTACGAATTCATATGTTAGGTGCTAAGACAATCAATATATCTTGTAGGTTGGAGATCGTTGGCAAGTTGCGCTTGCTCTTTCTGAAAAAGGCTTCCAACAAGTTTCATTCGTAAACAGTATTGCAACAACTAAGGGAGGAAGACATGTAGATTATGTAGCGGATCAAATGGTTGCCAAGTTTATTGATTCAATCAAGAAGAAGCTTTCGAAAACATCCATGAACATCAAACCATTCCAAGTAGAACTGTCGAAATCTTTTTGTCACTAGTAGATTGATTTCAGATCAAAAATCATATGTGGGTGTTCGTGAATTGTCTTATCGAAAACCCAACGTTTGATTCGCAAACGAAAGAGACTATGACACTACAGCATAAACAATTTGGTTCGACGTGCATTTTAAGTGAAAAGTTCTCTAAGGCTGTATGTTTATTCTTAATACTCCCAGTCAACCATCTGAAATTTTGTAGGCTCAAACTGTGGGAATCACTGATGCTGTTATGTCTTGGGTTCGATTCCGCCAAATGGAGGACTTGAATAAAAAATGCAGCAAAACCAAAACGTCAAAGCTTAAGGTATCCGTATAAGAAAATAGATTTTGAGTAAAAATTGCCCGTGATGACTCCCATAATAGTATGAATTCTCACTGTCACGTAACGAAGTTGTCAAATGTCTTAAATTTCGTTAAAAGGCGCAGAAATTTGTCTGCGACAGTGGATTTACATAATATTCACCGCTTTAGTGAGGTTGCATCGAATTTCTATGCAACTTCTAAAGGCGCGGTGGAATATCTATGCATATAATATGCATATTGTTGTACATATTGATCATAAGATCTAATGTAAGTAATACAATTGATTACTAAAAGGCGAATCTGAGGCAAAATTATTTGTGAAATATCTCAAATTCTATCCGAGTTTCAAAGATAGTACTATTAATGTTTAGGGCATTCCGAAACTCGAAGATGCGAATGACGCTGGTACCAAAAACTCACTTCAGTGCACCTTGATCTTGACTGAGGGAGATTCAGCCAAAACATTGGCCGTTTCTGGACTCGCTGTTGTCGGTCGTGACAAGTTTGGAGTTTTCCCACTTCGTGGTAAACTTTTGAACGTTCGAGACGGAAATATGAAACAAGTATTTAAATAGAATTGCGCAATTTTCCTCAGCGCCTTTTTTTCAGGTTGCCGACAATGCTGAAATTACCGCAATGATAAAAATTCTTGGTTTACAATACAAGAAAAAATATGAAACCGAAGATGACTTCAAGACTCTGCGATATGGAAAGGTTATGGTGATGGCTGATCAGGATCAGGACGGTTCACATATCAAAGGTCTCGTCATAAACTTTGTGCACCACTTTTGGCCATCGTTGATCCAGCGAAATTTCGTCGAAGAGTTTATCACTCCTATCGTGAAAGCCACGAAAGGAAAAGAGGAAATCTCGTTCTTCTCAATTCCTGAGTATGCAGAATGGAGAAACAATACGGAGAATTGGAAAACGTACAAGATTAAATACTACAAGGGATTGGGTACATCAACGTCGAAAGAAGCGAAAGAGTACTTCAGTGATATGCTTCGTCATCGTATTCGTTTCAAATATGGCGGCAACGATGATGATAGCGCTGTCGATATGGCGTTTTCGAAGAAAAAGATTGAAGAAAGAAAAGATTGGCTGACAAAGTGGATGCAGGAGCGAAAGTCTCGTAAAGAGCAAGGATTAGCGGAAGAATATCTTTATAATAAGGATACCCGTACTGTCACGTTCAAGGATTTTGTGAACAAGGAACTTGTCCTTTTCTCGAATCTCGACAATGAGCGCTCGATTCCTTGTTTAGTTGATGGGTTCAAGCCAGGACAGCGAAAAGTGCTGTTTGCATGTTTGAAACGTGCTGATAAAAGAGAAGTCAAAGTGGCTCAGTTGGCTGGTGCTGTTGCTGAGCTATCCGCATATCATCACGGTGAACAGTCGCTTATGGGTACGATTGTTAATTTGGCGCAGGTTTGTTTCGTAAGAGTATTTTCTATTAAGCTGTGTGTTCTAGGATTTTGTTGGATCAAACAACATCAATTTGTTACTTCCAATTGGACAATTTGGTACTCGATTGCAAGGAGGAAAGGACAGTGCGAGCGCTCGTTACATTTTCACCCAATTGAGGTTAATTTTCTACGTGGTCTTAAAAAATACTGATTGTTGCTTTTTAGTCCTGTAACTCGCGCAATATTCCCGATGCAGGATGACAACGTTCTCAAGTTCTTATACGAAGAGAATCAGCGAATTGAGCCAGAATGGTATTGTCCAATTATTCCGATGGTTCTTGTTAATGGAGCTCAAGGAATTGGAACTGGCTGGTCCACAAACATTCCTAATTACAACCCGCGTGATATTGTGGAAAATGTACGCCGTTTGATCCGTGGAGAACAACAAAAGTGTCTCGCGCCGTGGTACAAAAACTTTAGAGGGGAAATCTTCCAAATCGATCCTTCACGTTTCGCCTGCTACGGGGAAGTTGCGGTTCTCGATGACAACACCATTGAGATCACCGAGTTGCCAATCAAAACGTGGACTCAAGACTATAAGGAAAAAGTCTTAGAAGGACTGATGGAAAGCTCTGAGAAGAAGCAGCCTGTAATCACGTTAGTTTTGAAAAAATTATGGCGCGAAATTTTGGAAATATTCAGAGACTACAAAGAGTATCATACCGATACGACCGTTCGATTTGTTGTAAAGATTGCGAATGGAAAAATGCGGGAACTTGAAGCTGAAGGACTTCATCAAGTTTTCAAACTCCAAACTGTTATTAATACTACTTGCATGGTTTGCTTTAATGTAATCATTTTTTTTCAAACATCTTTTTCCAGGTCCTGTTTGATGCTGCAGGTTGCTTGCGAACGTATACGTCACCAGAAGAGATCACACACGAATTCTTTGAGTGCCGTCGTCAGAAATACATTGAGCGTAAAGAATACATGGTTGGCGTTCTTTCTGCGCAGAGTCGAAGACTCACTAATCAAGCACGATTCATTGTTGCAAAAATTAAAGGAGAAATTGTTCTTGAAAACAAAAAGAAAGCGAACATTGTTGATACTCTTATCAAAATGAGTATGATATATAATAATTTTTACACTAAAATTAGTTTATAATAATTTAGAATTTGACCCTGATCCGGTTAAGAAATGGAAGGAAGAGCAAAAGTTGAAGGAACTCCGGGAAAGTGGAGAAATCGAACTCGATGAAGATGAGCAAGCCACTGGAGAAGATGAAGAAGAACTGAGTGATAAAGACAAAAGTGTTGAGACAAAGCTTTCTGATTATGATTACCTCGTCGGTATGGCTTTGATCAAACTTTCCGAGGAGGAGAAGAACAAGCTTCTCAAGGAGAGTGACGACAAAATGGCCGAAGTCAAAAACTTAGAGGCCAAATCTTGGCAAGACTTGTGGAATGAAGATCTTGAGAACTTCCTTAAAGAATTGGAGAAGCAAGAAGCCAAAGAGAAAGCTGAAATCGAGGCTAGTGTGAAAAATGCTGCCAAGAAGTTTGCTGCCGATGCGAAGGGTGGACGTGCGAAGAAGGCTATTGCGGTAGAGGTTCTTCCATCCAAAGACGGAGTTCGAATTGAACCAAAACTCGACGCGGCTACCAAAGCCAAATATGAAAAGATGAGCCAACCAAAGAAGGAACGCGTAAAAAAGGAACCCAAAGAGCCTAAAGAAGCTAAAATAAAGAAGGAGGGACAAGATATTAAGAAGTTTATGTCACCGGTTGTAAAGAAAGAGAAGAAAAAGAAGGACGAATGGAATTCTGATGAGGAGAGCGAAGAAAGTGATGTCGAGTTTATGGTAAAAAAAGATCTAAATAATAATATATTTATGCAACACATTTCAGGAAGAGAGCGCCTTTGATGAGGATGGTGGTGATGAAGTTGAAGAAGTTATCCCAAAAGGCAAAAATCGCGCTGAGAAGGGCGTCCCAAAACGAATCAGCGATTCGTCCAAAGAAAACGCTGACGCAGTTGTTATCCTTGCCGACGACGACAAACCGGCCCCAAAGGCGAAACTCGCGAAAAATGTCGACGATGATGATGATATCGTTATGGAGGATTCTGATGGCGAGAAGCCGAAAAAAGCTCCAGCTCAAAAGAGAAAAAAGGTATTTGAGAGTTTGCCAGAAGCAAGCCACATTTTTCTTTATAGGATGTGTTTGATCTTTCTGATGATGATAACGAAGGGCCACCGGCAAAGAAAGCTGCGCCTAAAAAGAATCCGGTAAGCAAGAAGCCTTCAGGATCGAAAAAGACGATGGATGATTTCTTCAAGGTAGTATTTTGAATGAAAGTTTTACATTAAAATAAGTTTGTGGCGTTTCAGAATTCTCCAAAGAAGGCTCAGAAAAAGAAGAAGCAGGTTTCTGACGACGACGACGATGATGACATCAAGGAAATCAGCGACTCTTCCCCACCGCCACCGCCACGCGAGAGAAGGTAATTTTAGGAGGTATTCCATTTTGATCCTGTTTATTTGGTTTAGTGGACGCGCCCGGAAGGCCACCAAGTACACGATTGAGTCCGACGACGAGTCTGATGACGAAAGCTTTGCTATGAAAAAGGGAAAGAAAAAGGCGCAAATCGATAGTGATTCTGATTAATTTACTTGAAATTTTAACTCTGTACCAGTAATCTTATATTTTAAACTGATCTCAACACACTGTAACATTTTGAAAGTATCTTGTAATGTGAAATTGCGTACTTATATAATTTATTCGTTTCTGGCGGTCTTGAACCGTCAATTGGTGCTATAAAGTGCATTTGTCTATCGGCATTGCGTTTATGACTTGTACTTTTGCATATGTCGCCCCTTCTCATACCACCGGCATTAGAACCACCTGCTGGGCTGCCTCAGCAATTTTCCGTCGATGGAGGTGTCCTTGAGCCAACGGTGGCTGACACGAGATGTTATCTTGGTTTTTGGGGAGTCAAACGAGGGACGAGTGACCTCCGTCGCTGATCACGTACGATGATTAGCGAATATGACTTTAAGGTTTAAGTTCTTCACAAGTGCCCGTAAGGATGGAATGATGCGTTTACGCCAAGCTGAATGTGTCTCTAGTCATAGTGTCGGTTGATGCATATGACTAACGAGCACATCCAGCGTGGATCAACGCGAATGACTAGGAATACAAGGCCGAAGGCGATCAATAGGAGGGCAGCACGGAATAACATGACGGGCAGTAGACAGCAATGAGACAAGTTGGCCGACCGGCGGCAAGTCCGGTTGAAGGTCATACACGTCTTATGTGTGTTCGACCTTGCTGCCGCTAAAGTCGACAGTGTCGTCGTCGTCGGCTGGATAGAGCTAACGGAATGACGACTCGAGCAAAGTCCGACGTGGGCGGATCGTATGGGCGGAGCGATTCGGGGCGTGACTTGGAGGGAAACAAAGAGGGTCGTGCGGGCGCGAATGTTGCAAACCCCGGGGTGACATATGGTCGAATTGATAAATAGGCGGTGTCTTCAGGTTCGCACGCGCGAAACTTGCGTTTGAAATTTTTTTTATCGACGTGACTGTGCAAAAGGGCATGTATGAAAGGTCGACGTTCAACGATATTCGCTAATAAATCAGATCATCGAAAAAGAAAAACCCTGATGCCTAGAATCTGAAAAGAGCAGCTGATGTTCCGAGAAAAATTAAAAAGAGAACATCTCGGAAATTCTCAATGTTCGAGAATTACTCCCGATTTTAATGGTTCTATTTATTCCTTTGAATAAGATTAAATGTTTAGGCATTGAGAAGAATAGATTTACTTTCCAGTTTTCTTTTTTTTCACCGAAAAATAAAAAGTCAATTTATTGCATTTACATGATTCTTTCTCTAAAAATGAGAAATTTAAAAAAAAATATATTTTGAACATGTACATATGTGGTGAGGTCTATTCGTACGAAATCCCTATAGAAATAGAAGTGGGCGGAGCGTGCGAATTTATAATTGATTACTGGGAATTATTCATCGATCAATGCACATAAGATGAATCATGTGTGGATCGATATCAGGAAACCCTCATTAGACAAAGTTTGCGCAATAATAATGGGCCGCTGGAAATTAATGTCTCGCAAGAGGTTGCATCATTCGTAATAGCTAGCTGTCTGCTGGAGTTGGTTTGAATGGTCGAAACCGTAGCCAAAATTGCATTCCTGTCTTTAATTAAAATTAAAGAAATTTGACAGTAATTGATCAAGAAACAGTTAAAATAAAGAAGAGGATAACCACTCAAATCGTTTCAATTAAAAAATAGACCAGGAATAAAAATAGCTTTTTAGATCTCATTTATTAGTGCAATAATTTGTTCATCCAATTTATGGAACTGTCGACAACAGCTGCAACAGATGTGTGAGTGTCTTAAATATTAATATATTTCATAGATTCTTCACAGTATTCTCCAGATGTCCAGATAAACTTTGAAAAATAATAATCGCAGAAAAAGGAAATGTGTTTCTGCAAGCGAACACAGTGGTTGCCAGAAAATTAGCTAATTTACTTGTTCGTTCCCAAGACGAATTTGATTCCTCCAGCATTCCCAATTCTTTTTTTGACGGTTACCAATGTTTCCTTAAACTGAGATAGTATGAATAAATTGCTATAATTAGTCGATAATTGATCGTAATCATCCTTTCCGTCGGTTCCATGGATATCGTTGAAACATTTATGGCCGATCAAGGTGTCCATAAGGAATCGCCAGCAAAGCTTGCTCCTTGGCTTGACGAAGTGTAGCTCTTATAGAGATTTCATAAAATCTTACAAAATTTTTTGTCGCGTTAGTCGGTCAAAAAACTTGTCCTTGTGCGATTCAAATTCGAAACGACGTCGTCGAGCGAGCTTTCGACGACGGCGCGCTGCGCTCATTGCCTTTGTCTAAAATGGGCGACCCGGGCGACTTACGCGCAAACGTTTTTTATTGCCATTCTTTGTGTTTAGCGGGGACGTTGGAGCGCGTGCGCACGCGGGGCGCCAAATCAATACATATCGTAAGAATCGAGGAGGGTGAAGGGTGTCGTCGACTTGTGTGCCGCCAATTTCAAATTTTTGCGTTTTCCTTTACACACGCGCGCCTTTTCGAATTGAATGAATGACGCATCGGGGGGTGAGACATTCGACGATTTGCACTTTCGACGAATCTGTCATCAAAAGGAAAAATCCTAAACAAGCCACCGTTTTGGTTTGAATCGTATAACAAGAATCTCGGTTTGAGACAGGGAAAAAGCAAATTTATTTGAAGTTCAAGCCGACAACCGTATTCCGTTAGAAAGGGTCATTTACTTATTTTCAGCAAGACTATGAAATTGGATGAAAACTCGTGTGAAGCAGAAATGTGCCATCTGTAAAATAATTGAAATATTCTATCAAATCTAAATTTAGAAAGCATTATTAGGCTGAGATTTCAAAGATTCTATACAAATGCTATTGCATAGTTTCAAGACAAAAAGGAAGATTGTAGAGGATATCTGAAAGATGCGAAACCTTGAAATAACAATATATGAAATTGAGAAAAAAAACTAAAAAAAAATGGTTGTCAATTTTTTTTGTGCAATTTGCATATAATTTTCTAAAGGAATTGTACCTGTCTTTCGATTTTTTTTCAAAAAAATATGCTTGAGAAGAATCTCCTCATTTAATGCTGAATATTGGGAAGTTGACGCTTCTCTCTGAAATCAACCTCCAGCTTCGAAGTTGTTCTTCGAATAGTTCTTTTAAAATTAAAACAACAACAATTATTACAATTTATACGTTTTGTCTTCTCTTTATTGAAATTTATTTATATTTTATATCCCTTTCAGCCTTTTTTTACGGCCGATAAATATCTTTTGTTTCAGCCAATACAAATATATATTTTACTTTGAAGCAGCAGAAACAATTTTCCATCTGAAGAACTTTTCTCTAATACAATTTTCGCTTTCATATTTTCACGGAAAAAATATTGAAATAAATTGAAATTTTTCGAATTTGTCAGATTTTTAAGTTGGCTGATAATTGAATTAATTATATAATTGCAGTTATCTCGATGCAATCCAGAATTAAAAACATAATTTTCCTAGAACATCCATCTCCTTCAGAAACTCATTCGAAATTGCCTTATACAGTGCGAAAAAAGAATGGCGTCATTCGTTTATCGCATATGCTCATTTCACCATATTTTTGGCGATCTGCCAATGTCGCGCAGGCAGCGATAGGAAAAACCATTGTGCTGCATATTCGATTGCGCGCGCAATCTGTCAACCGACGTCGGTCTGCGTCTCGTCGCCTCGCACGCTCTTTCATCGTACGCAACGACCATCTGCGCATCATATGCGTCTGCGCTCTACACCGATCAAATGGTGCCTTGCGTAGAAAACCTAACCGGGTCACACACACACACACACACACACACACCCCACACTTACATACACAACCCTTCACTCTTATACCACTTACATACACATCGGACCGCGTCCATCACACCATTTTGGTGCAATGCCCGTAGGAATCTTGCCGTATTCCAAAACCACGCCTCCTTTGAGCCTATGGGAACCTTCAATCGCATAAATAGACGGCGATCGGAGCCGAGATCCTTTATTGCTATTCGTTATTCTGCTAGTTCACCATGATGTGGCTCGATTGGTGTTTCGCCATGGTGAAGTATTCACTGGGTCCGTTCTTCACCGGGTAAACATCAATCGAGCTCCAAAAATTGGTGCTGCTCGCTGCCCGCGACCGCAAGAGTCTGTGATTATGGCTGATGATAGTTGCACATATCACAGTCTACTTGCTGTCTCGGGCGGCGAGCTCAAGTTCATTTCCTATTCGCTCGGTATTCTATCTAATATTTTGTGGTACGAGGCCGACGTGCCGATCTGGATGTGCTCGTTGGTCATACAAAATGTGCGAAACTTGATTATGACTAGAGACACATTCAGCTTGGCGCCGATGGCCTTCCATTCGCGATCGAACGATGTAAAAGGCCCATGGCCGATCGTAACTGTTTGCCATCGGTGAGATGCTCAAAAACCCATCTCACCGGGTGAACATTTGCGCTTGGACATGTTGCTTCTCTTTTTTGAAGATATCAATATGCCAATAAAAAATGAGGAAAATGAACTATTGGCGGGGTTTTGTTAAAGTTGAAATTTTAAATAAAGGAGAACATACAAATAAACGATGGCGAAGTTCATTAAGTCTTCGTCGCTAAACCTTAAACTGTGAATTCTTTAGCATACTACCAAATTTTGACTTGTTGAAGATTATGAAGAAGTAAATTTAAATCGCGTAATAAAAATCAAGGGAAAAACTATTCTTCAGAAAATTATTCATAAACAGTTTATTGCTTTCTAAAACTCATTTCAATTCTTTGAAGTGTCATAAATCATAGATCAGGCGTACACTATTGGCGAGTTGATCAAAGGGGATCTACATATTATGAGTGGTATAGTTCAGAAAATATTTCTTAATAAAAATTGGAATTATCATACAAAAAATATCGCTGGTCCATAAATATCCATTATTGTCGGAGTCGACTTGACGAAATTAAAAAACTTATTGGCTATGTGCGTCTCGAGGCAGCGAGATTACGTACATTGCATTATAGCGTACGCGCATTTAATATTCAGTCAACGATTAATTTAAATCTACACTGATTTTCGCGAGTTTGAATGCCCCGCCTCCCTTCAGCCGTTTGACGTCGACAATATGCATAAACCACATATTAATATTATTTTTTTAGCTATGCAAAAATAACTTGAACCAAAGTAATCATTGTCTAATCGAGAATTTTTTCATTTCTAAATTTTTAATTGAAACCAACAAATTTTATATTCTCAAGTCGCAAAAAATAAATTAGTTGAAAAAGTGACTAAGATTGAATTCTAGAGCCCGTCAAGCGTCGGTGCTGCCTTCTTCTTCTTTTTCGGATTCTTGCTTTTCGTCTTCATTTTGCACATTGGGCAGGTTGGCGCGTTTCGATGAATCTTGGCTCCACAGTGCTCACATTGCTGAATTATAAATATCGACGTCCGGCAACTGCTGTACGCGGGTAGATTTACGCGCATGAGCCTTGAAAATGTCTCGCCACGCGTGAATGCTTATTTTGCTGTTTTCACGTGAACTGATTCATTTTTCTTGGTGAGTTTGACATTTTCTTGAATTTCCAACGCCATTCGATTAAAAAATTATCGAACCGGTCCATAAAATTTGAAATAACCTGTTAGTCCTTGCGAGACCATTTCAAAAGACGCATTCCCGTAAATCTACCAGCGTACAGCAGTCACCGGAAGCCGACTATATTTGTCTTGAATAGGGGGGAAAACCTTCATTTTGCTGGCTTCCACAAATTGCGGGGGCATTCGATTCCGATTGATAAGATGCTGATCGCCGGATGTTGACGGGTTCGCCGCGGAAGTCAATTGAGAATGAAGAAGACTTGAAAACCATGTCATTGGGTTCGCCGATGTGAGAGCCACGTTGAAAATCGATGGAACACATATTTGAGGATTCGTCGCGGGAGTCGGAGGAGGTCTGAAATTAGTATAATTGAATGGAACTTCCTTCAACATTTACCCATATTTGTCTTCCTCAATCGACTTTTCAATTTCGTCTTCGATTTTGAGTGTCTAAAATGGATATATTGTCAACATCGCAAGACTGCAGAAAATTGGGTAAATGCCTGGAAAATAATGGCAGTGGTCAACTAAAAGTGTAAATTTAAGTATAAGGATAGGTTAAAGGCGCACACCGAGACCCCTTGAAATGTTTTGGCGTTTAGCCAATTTTCCGCAGTCGCGCGACGTCGACAATAATATTTGTGAAAAGTAGTGAATTTCAAAAAAAATTTAAAGAATTGTGCTTATTAAAATATGTTTACCTTTAGCGCCGAATTCGCATCAATCCGTGAGCTCTGAACAGCCCGAACACCATTCGTCACCTTCTCGCGTCGGTTCTCCTTTTCGGTCTTCAGCGCCTTTGCCATATCCTCGAGGACATTGATATCCTGAAGTCGCAAAATAAAAAAAAAATTGATTTGATTTTTCACCTGATTAATTTGTCGCAACTCCTCCGCATGAGATTTTCGCTCATTCTCGAGTTCCTCTCGCGTCGTCGCACAATTTTTGATGTGATTCTCAAGTTTTTCAACTTCCAATACCTCTTGTCGGATTTCGAGGCAAGTCTTGCAAAATTCGTCGAGCCGCTCTCTAGATCAACGGTTTCTTTTGATAAGTTGTTTGTTTTAACATTTAAACTTCCGTCTTGGGTCTCGTATGGAAAAAGAGCGAGTCTTGAATTTTTTTTAGCTATCACAATTTTACAAGAATTTTAAGTTTATCAATATTCTCAATAATTTAATTTTAAAGATCATATGATTTCATAAAAATGATAATTTTTAATTAGAGTACACTAACCGAATTCTGACATAATTGTCAAGATTGCTTGAAAATTCTGTGGCGTCCATCCTATAATAAGATGAAGTACAATGATCAATAAACGATGTACAGCGAAAAATAATAAAAAAAGGGTTGGTCGCGTTGGGCTGCGCTTCTCCCGCGAAGACCAAAAAAATAATAATCGAAGTTTATCGAGAAAAACGGACAGAAATGATGCGGACGGTTTCGATAGAGAGACGCCGATGATGATGATGATTCGGGAAAAAAAAGAGCGTCGTCGCAATCATCAATGGACCGTGCGCTTCTGAATCGTCGCCTATTTACATAAAATCGGCGTGAAAATCGTCAGCCTAATGATATGGTGAGAGAATGGCGCTTCTTTTCCGCACCTACAGTAACCTGTTGTTGTTGTTTTTGATTTTTTTGACTCATCAACAGTAAACCCAGAAAGAGAGGGGGGGGGAATAAATATAATATTTTCTCGTCTTTTAAGGTGGAAAGAAGCCGAATGTTTAGAAATTGCGCCGGCGACGTGGGAAAAATGCTCAATGTACACGCGTGTAGATCAATGTATTCGTATGATAGGAAAGACGGGAAAAAATAGTTGTTGGCCATGAAGACAAAAAGCAAATGAAAATCGCGGCTCTTAATTGAAATAAAAAATGCCGCTCAGCAAACAAAACATAAACGGCTATCGGGGCAGCCAAGAAAAAGAAATTATCCGTGTGAAACGCCTCGGAAGTTAAGAGGACGCCGCCACCGGTGATTACTGTAGACGCCACTCATCGTATTATCAATTGAAAGGTGCATGTTGGTTCATTGAGTGAATGCATCATCGTTTTGTAATATTTAATTGATCAACGCGTTTCTCAAAACATAATCAAATGCGATTTGTAAGATTGCGCATGTTTGCTTTTACAGTGAGCAACGCGCCATTTCGGTTTTGATGAATTACCCATGTTTTGGCGGGGGAAGCACCTTGGCTTGCGTCGAAACAAATTCACCAACACATGATGAAAAATTTGGAAAAAATGGATTTTCAATGTCCGGACCATTTTATGATGCTGATTGGTTTCACATTTTTTTAACTTTTTTAAATCACAAGAAATTGCAGTACATGTTGATCAAAGGCGCATATTTCTAAATTTTATTTCGTATTTGTCGCTTAGTTATCACGGGAGTCTTACTGTAGCGTTGGGTCTCGAGTCGAAGGGATATTTTAACGATGCATTGCCGATAAGGAGGACGCCACTCTTCGTCTCGAGACCATTCCAGACTTTTTCGCCATTTTGCACATCTCTCATCATATAATTACTATTTTATTAATGCAAATTGAATGTCATGAGATCTCCGCATAGGAAATAATTGCTCAAACAATTATATACAACAAATCAATTGAAAGTCACATCTCCTTCTTCTTGGGCTTCTTCGGATTCTTGCTGCGGCTCTTCGACTTGCACATTGGACATATTGGCGCGTTTCGATGAATCTGCTGGAAGCACGATTGGCACGTCTTCATTGGTGGCGATTGGTGATCGGAAGGTTTCAAATGGTGCATGGCGGCAAGATGGGGTGGCGGCGCCCGGAATTGAGTTGGTCCTCCGCCGCCGGGAAACGTTTGCAATTGCTCGAAAAACATCGGCGGCAGGAGACTTCCGAGTTGCTTGAAGTTGAAGCCGCCGAATGGCGAAGGCATGGCAGATACCGACGGAGTAGATTGCGGAGTCGGCTCTCTTTTAAGATTCGTCTGTGGAAGATCGTCTTCTTTGATCTCAAAGTCGACACCACTATCACGAAGCTTTTCATTGGTTTGCTCCATAATCTTCATGAGAAGCTGCAACAAAATTATTGTTGGGAGATTCCGAAGCGTACGCTACCTCATATTTTCTGATAATCTTTGATTCCCTCTCTTTTTTTTCATTTTCAGCCTCCTCGATTTCCCGTTCCAAATCTGTCTTGTCCTGATTTATCATTTGAATAATTTCCGAGTGCTCCTCTTTCTCTTTATTCAGCTCATCAATCGTTTTCGTGGTCTCTTTGATAAATCTAAAGCAGAGAAATGTAAAATTGAGGCGATTATTCTCAAAATTACTTTTCGGTGTTCTCCAATTCGAACAAATCCTCGAGCAACTCGTTTTTCTTTGTCACATAATCTTCGACTTTGACCCTGCAAATCGGTAAAATTGGCGGTTTCGAAATGAAAACGATTAAGGACAAAAGTTTTTCGCACAACCCCAATATCAGCCGTAATTTGAATAGATCGCACACACATACATACACAGACACGAGCGCGCGCAAGACTTCAAAGGAAACGTGGCGTCGGCGCCAACAACACCCCCCGAAAAAAAGGTCGAATATTAATTAGGTCTCGTTGCGATGACACCGGCGACGGATTACGGTATATGGCACTTGAGAGCCAGCAATGAATCTCGCAGGTGTCCTATACGAATCCTTTTGTTTTCTGCTCAAGTATCAGGCCGGATTAGCATTTTGCAACCGATACCACCTACAGTATACCTAAAACGTTTTATGGCAATAAATCGTCATGCAAAAAAAAAACGATGAGACGGTTCGTTGGCTATAAAGGTGCGATTTTCGAGCGGAAACGAATGTGGTGGGTTTTCGCGAAGCCAATTTTTGGAATTCGTGGAAATTGGAGTTATCACGCTAGCTAGTGCAAATCAAATAAAAAAAAACACTCACTTTGCGTGTGCGACTTTTTGCAGCTCGGCTGCCGAAATTGCCGAGCTGTTCTCGAGGACCGGTGAAGCCGCTGTAGCCGCCATTCGGAATATCAGCAGTCAAATCTAAACCGAATACTTTTCGTGGTGGCAAATACGGCAGAGCGCTTGTGTGTCGACGGAACACGAGGGAAACGAAGAAATGTGGGCGGAGTCGGAGGGCCGGAGAGTGACAAGAGTTTTCGTATAGCATCGACCAATAGATGTCACGCCCCAATGTTTCTTTACAAATTGTGTGAACAATAGGACAATTATCTTTTTATTATGATCATAATTGTGATATATTTCTTTAGAAATGGCAAAATTTGAAATCTAGACGAGAATTCAAATTGTAGAAGAAATATGGGGGAAGTTCTAAAATTCCCTACAAATTCAATAAAAAGCTATATTGGAAAATGTCGATGGAAACGTGTTATCGCCACGAAAAGCAATTAGTACTGCGTACCGTAATCTAACCGCAACATCAATGAGGCTCAGGTGTCTCGGTGCGCTCGCCAAAATGATCGACGATGATCAATTTCTCGCCGCCCAAGTGTTTTGATGGCATGATTTATGAGCCACTTTGGCGAGAAACCGACAGAAAAAAATCAACGAGATCGATCCGATCCGACTAATTGAATGATGTGTGCAATCAACAGTGGAAACGAAATTAGAGGTACAGTACCAATTTTTTTCAATTTTTTTCCCAAATGCGACCATCGAAAACGATGACACGATGCAAAATGTGCGTCGATGGAATAGGAGAAAAAAAAAGTTGGAAAAGAAATAGCGATGTGTTGTCGCCGTATATTGGTGTTTGTGTTAAACGACGGGCGGAACAATTTGCGAAATAGCGCCGCGATTTGAGAGCGCCGGGTTACGGTGGAATGGGCCAACACTTTGGACCTTCCTCCCCGCTGACATTCACAACTTTGGAATTATCATAATAAGAATGAGATGAGATTCCGGAATTCACGACACGCGAGATTCGATTGTGTGAGATTCCAAGCGGCACGAAACCTGCTATAAAAAATTTTAGTATTGAAATGTGAATGAATAGGTATTGTTTTAGATGGTTTCGAACAAAACTGCGCCGAAACTAAAAATTTTGCCTATTCAGAACGCGAATGCAATGTTTACTCAGCGAACCTAACATTTTCGAAATTTTCCTACACGTATATGATTGAAGGAGAGCGCGAATGAAATATGTAGATTTTGAATTAATAAAAATATGTAGATTTTGAATTAATAACAATTTACCTTTATTGTTTTGGGCAAGAATGGAGCATGAATAGCCTATTGTAATGCATAAGTTCACATCTAAATTAGTGGTGACTTCATGACCTTTTTTCCACAGCACAATTCAAATAATGAATTCAGGCTTAATTTTATACTAAACGTGACGTCCTCTCGAATTGCCTTTACATTTGCTCGCGACGATAATTTACAACCACCCGTCGTGGCCTCAGCCAATCGCCCCTCCCGCCTCGCCATATAAATATCATAATATCTGTAGACTCTTGTGTGTCGATTTACGACCGACGACGCGTGGCACACCGGCTGTTGGTTCAATTGAAACATTCCTAATGCGCATGGGAAAATAGCCATTTTCGATGAATGGTGCGAAAGATTTCAAAATTACATGGTTTAAATTGAGATTGACCCATCGTTGCCAATTCTTCTGGCAAAAAAAACAAATACAAATCAAGAAAAATTTAGCTAACACTATTAGAAAATAGAAATATGCAATAAAATTGCTATTAATAATTTAAACGAAAAAAAAAACAATAATCAGAAAGTGTGAAAAAAAACGCAATTCGCTATCATATGGGAGAACAGATGTCGAGCGTCGGCTTCGACACCAAAAGCGGCGACGAAATGGTACCCCGGGGAGACGCGTTTATGAGTACCTCAAAAGGTCAATTAATCAACGAAGCACCGCGCATCGGATCACTACGCCTCGCTGTTTCAAATGGCGGACAGCCACATTTTCTTAGAACACTAATTTCATTGGAATTTCGAAATAATAATTCCCATTTATTTAAATGATATTTTTAGGCTTATTTTAGAAATTTCTGATAAATTGCCTCCGAGATGCTAATTCAGGAATCATTTGTTAGTCTCGCATTGGCTGAGTATGAAATGCTTCACTGTAGTGAGTTAATATTATTACTGCTAGAGTTAAAAATATCAGACACTTTCAGCTCATTCCAAATAGCGGCAGTATTTCCTTAACATGCTACAGTAGTCCTGTGTGCAATATTCTAAAAGCTCAAACAATCTTCCCGCATAGCCAATTTCCCCTGAGGATCTATTCAAACAAATGAGCAATGGGGCGTCGAACAACAAATCATTTGGAGGTCGCCAATGACTTTTCACCCTCCTTCATTCGTCCATGTCGTAAAATTGCTAATTTCAGCCGTAAATGTACCCGGGATGCGCTTTTTTATTCAAAACGTTTATGAGAATGCAAATATAATATATCAAGAATCTTTAAAACACATATTCACAAGATAGATCGACAAGATAGAAAAAATTGAAACTCGTATATAGAAGTTATATTTACAACGTAGGAGCAAGATCACAATTATTTCCAAACTTTAATTACACCATCAGCACTAGCGGAAACGAGAATATTTGGTGCCAGTGTGATCATATCGCAAATAGGGGTTCGATGATATGTAGATGGCTGTAATTATTATCGTATTGATTACTAGAAACGAATATTTCATCTACTTTTGAGTCGATCGGAACAATTCTTCGCACTTCTTTCGCGTCAGTATCCACTATTTTTCTCTCATAATAGACGTGAACGTCATTTTCGGTTTTTTCATCAAACATTGTACGATAAGGTGTTCGACCTATAAACTTTATTAAAATTTTGAAAAATTTCTATTTATACCTCTAGGAGGCTCACAAAGCACCGAGCAGCCATTAATTTTGTGCATATCCCATTTTCTAAGGGTTCCTCTCGAATCACCCGTATAAATTGTATCAGTGTCATCGCAAACACACAAGGCCTTCGTTTGAAGATTACTTTCAGGCGATCGTTGTTCATATCTCAAAAGCTGACTGCCTCCTATCCATAGGACCTTTTTCCTGAACAGAAGCAATCATATTGCCAAATATTAAGAAATAAATCAAACCTTGCTGGTTTCATGCTCAATTCCATCGAGCTAACTTCACCGTACATATTAAATGAAACAAGAACTTCCGGAGAACTCCGACTGGTCGTTGTGTTGGCCCACATTGCAATCGGGCGCAGTAACTCATGTGGCGCCTTCCACGAGCAGGCCTTTAAACCAATTGACAACATGGATAATTGTTACCATAACATAACTGGTTACCTCTTCGCGGAATCGTAAATCATACAGAAGCATGTTACGATGATTTGCGGTCGTGCCAAGAACCATCCACGCCTGCTGCCAGGGATCGATTGTCGAACACGTGACCAGACCGCGTTCGTCCTTGAGCTTCTTGCGCCAAACATCGTGCCTTTTCAGTGGTCCGCTAGTTGCGCCAACCCTGAAAAAAACGGTGGTATTTCATGAAAAGTACCTGCAAGCCTGAGGTTACCTCAAATCTAATCCGTACATCACCCCATGATGGGTCCTAACAAAACATATAGGCCCATGGAGATGCACATCCACCGGATATCCCTCATTTTCCGGAATGTTCACATACGTCGCTAGTTTTACACCGCCATTCGCTATATCTGCCCACCGAACGAATCCATCCTGAGAGGCGGCGCACACATAGTTGTCGCACCAGCCAACACTTTGAACTGGATCGCGTTTTCCATCAGCGGGTATCCAAAAATGTTCGCTCATCGCAGCGCCATATCCTTCGCCAAGAATTCGACTCGTCTTCCAGATGCGAACGCTTCCATCCATACTTCCGCTAGCGAACAAACTTTTGTCCCTATTCGCTGACAACCTGAAAATAAGGGAAAACTTAAAAAAAAAACTTGGAATCCACTAGGTACTTGGTTATAACGGCAGAATGCTCATGCATGTGGGAGAGTATAGTTCCCGTAACAGAATTTCTCTGCTTTCGAGTAGTGGAAGCGGAAGCTTCGACTGCTGATTTCGAAGTCACGTTTTTCATGAACAAATCGTTAAAATGGGCTAACATTTCGTTGATTTGTGTATCAAAAATCGAGTTTCTCACTTAAAACATTCGATAATGATTATAAAATCAAAGAATAAGTTACGTTGTGGCCCGCCAACTCCTGTGACAGTTCGTTCCTCCTCAAACGCAACTTCACTATCAGCTAGGAGAGTATCACGACTATCGATTCCAAACGGCTTGTACAATACCATTTTCTGGTTGGCCACGTTCTCAGACCCATACTCGAAAATCTTCCTTCGAACCTCATTGTAAGCATCCGATGACAAATCGATGACACCATGCTGTTTCGTTAGCAGAGATTCCAATCCAGCTCTGTAAATATGCAAATTTTTTTTTGATAAATCTCTTTTTAGAATTCCCTACGTGCAACGCGTTTCCGCCATTTTCAACAGAAGATGCCTGAACGAAAACAAAGCAGCGAGAAGTCGTTTCGTGCTTTCAACTGTCATAACTTCGGCACCGCTCTCATGCGGAGCCCTTTTTCTCACATCATGTCTCGCCACAAGACCTTCATCGGTTTTCTTAAATAGACGCAAAAACCACTGATCATTCGTGTCGAAAGTTTTTTCTTTACAGAAATGATCTTCTAAAAATTGATTAGTGTTAATTTCTCTTTATTCTAGTCTACCTAGCAGCGAAACGAGCTTGTTCGTGCTTTCCAACGACATTTCTGTGACCCTGTCCCAAATGTTTCTTGGAATCGGTTCAATAAGACAGCTCAACAAATACGATCGGCTTTTCAATGTGAGCATACTTTTTTTCGATTCCTGGATAAACGGGCGTATCTTTGGCAGAAGTTTCACATGAATGTCCGCCATATGCCATTTCTGATCGATGGCTAACAATATTTCGCACGCCGAACCTCGGAGCCACTCATTTGGATGAACCAAAAATGGAATAACATCCTCAAGAAGATCCTTGATGGAATTGTTATCCAATGTTCCATTTCGTATGAGAAGGTACACACAGCCCAGTGCCCTCATTATGACTTGCTCTTCAAAATCCTGGAGGCCCTGCTGAATTAATGGCACCATGCCAACACTTTTCTTCTGCACGCAAATTGGCAGCGAATCAAAAAATGCGGCTCGCAATCTCCATTCAGACTTGGCGTTTAAAAATGTTATGAGAAACGTTAGAAGACTGTCTCCGTCTGAAAAAATTTGTTTTTTAAAATCAATATTGATTAATTATATATATCTTACTCCCAACTTTTGAAAAGAATGTATAAAGTTTGTGAAGAGATTGAGGTTCAACTAGGCATCGTTTCACCATAGGATCTCGGCTACAAAGTGAACTGAATATTGCCGAGACGCCAATGTTGAGCGCTTCCGAATCCTCGGAAAATCCTTGCTGGTGATTATCACTTGAAGTAGTCGCATTTTCAGCCAAAGACAGATCTTCATCACATGAACCTGATCGAATATCCCGTCCAGCAAGAAGAAACCTTCAATTGTTCATTGAAACAAAAGAAGTGCCATTTAAAAAAATCTATTACCGATACGCGGACTCGGCTAAAGACCCAAGAGATGTTGCAATTGCAAATGCGATGTGTTGCGGACAGTCATCGGTTAGCAATGCGCTTATTTCCGGGAATAAATAATCCACAAAAGTCAGTGATTCTTCATAAGTTTTAGGAGAAATCGGTTCAAGAATTTTCGCTATCATATTTACAGCAGTGGCACGTATCTGCATCAATTATAAGCTAAAGAAATATTAATTTCTATTACCTGAGTTTCGGGATCATTCATACAATGCACTAAGTATGGAAGAGCTCGTTCAATTGCGACGTTTGGCTCGCAAAGAGCACAAAGGTCGACAAGCATGCTCATTGCATCCTGGAATTAAATTGTTACCCAAATACGGTCACATGTACAAAACCGTTTTCGATTGAATTGTCCTCAAAGCGCGAAGATTTGCGGTGATTAGTGTGACGAAAAGCACCGAATATGGCTTGGTATCTTCACTCGCTGCTAGTTTACTCCACCAAACATTCTTCTCTCGTTTCAATCTGAAATATTTGAAAAGATTTAAAGAAAAACATATGACTAAAATACTTTGCAATGACATCGTCAGGCTCCATATACGAAAACTCTGAAGGTTGACTAAACTCATCGGCATTTTCGCTTGAATGCGGGGTTGGAGATCCATAAATCGGGCGGAACACATCGAGATATTTAAAGATAAAGTTCTCGAGAATAGGAGGAAATGAAAACGCCGCCCCACTCAGCTGAATTGTTCATTTTTCAATTAGAAATTTATATAAAATTTTTACCACGGCGTTAGCGGACAAGCGTAGCGTTGGTTCACGATTCAGAAGCATTTTCAATAGTGGTCGAAATTGATGCGGAACGTCTTGCAATATTCTTCAAATCATTTAAAATGGCAAAATAAAGTTTTTTTTGTGGTTACCTAGCAAGTGTCGCAGCTGCTTCCGCATTCTTCATCGCTCGATATTCGCAAAGTTGACTGTAAGTAAATGGGCTTCTCCCATCACAGAGTATTTCATAAACAATACATCCAGCTGAGAAAATGTCCATTGATGGTTTCAAAGAACCTTAAACAAGATAATTCTTGAAAATGAATTAAGGAAACTCTACCAAAAAGCCATTTATCCTTTTCATTCGCAAAACATTTGTCATATTCGGTTGAAGATATGAAACGCTCTGGGGCAATGTAGCAAGATTGTCGACGACTTGTATCAAAGAAAAACGTGAATGATGACGGATTATCCTGTTTTCTTTCTGATTTTATTTAGATTTTATTGAATTATTCGTTACTTGTGGAAGAAATGAGGGTTTAAATGGAGCAAAATCCGTAATTTGAAGCCAATTCGAAGAAGAAATCAACACATTTTGAGATTTTAAGTCGCCATGACATACACCGACTGCTTCACATTGTGAAAGTGCTTTGAATAGTTGATAAATGTACCAAACTTTTTCCGGTTGCACTAAAAATGGTCTTGTGCTTATCCGGTCAAATAGGGTGTGCTTTTGATAGTCTCGGAGCATAACCGCATATTTGGGTTTTATCTGAACTCAATAAATATGATTTTAAACGATAATTATAGGTAACTGACCAACACTTTTTTGATTGCACAACAGTTCGGAGCTCGACTGAGTGATTTTCGAATTTCGATTATTCTCTGTGGGAATGGCTCCAAAGAAGCGTCATCTTGCCGAACATACACTTTATATACAAAAAAACCCTCAAGCGTTTTTCCTTTGGCAACTTTCATGAATCTCGTGCTTCCAAGGCTGCAAATTTTGCTAATTTACAAGGAATATTTTGGAAAAAATGCGTACTTCTCGATAGAATCACATGATAAATCCGATAAATATGCTTCAACTGGCAGTATTTCAGATGGGTTTTTGGTGAACAACGAGTTTATATTACCCATCACTGAAAATGATTGATTTCACGAGAATTTCACAAAAACTAAAGGAAACGTGACAGGAACATGAATTTTCATTGAATGTTTGTAATAAACGAGGACGCGTATTTGCACGGCCACGGCCATCTGATTTGAATGTAAATTCAAATGGATCGAGTTTACTTGAGGAGAACGAACTCTTGAATTTCGTCTGACAATCGTCGTCCGTAACATTAAGCGGAATGAAAAATAATGCAAAAAAAGACTAGAATTTGTCTTTCAAGGGAGTTGTATGGAAAAAGAAAAATCAGTTAGTTTACCGAATTATTAAATAGACGAAAACTTTGCCGAGATACATAAACCTTCTGAAAAGTCGAATATTTTCTGAAAATTGAAGAGTGGCGTAGTATTTATTGTTTTCCTGCAAACACCGACCTTATAATTTGCAGAAATTTTCATTTATTTTTTCCATTGTTAGGTCCTAACATTAAGACCAAATCGTAAGTGTTTCATTTATAAATACGTTATGTTAAAAAAATATTTGAAACGGAATACCTATGGATTTTTTTGTTGTTGAAAAAAACTATAATTTAAATAAATTACAGAATCGCAAAAAACAAACTGATTTTTCAATCCTGAAAAAGATTGCGTGTCATCTCGTCCTCCACTTTCCGAGTGACGCCTTTTCCAAGTTCTTCAAAAAAATCTTGCAATTCAACATTACATGTTTCTCCAAGAACTTTGAATTCTCTAAATAAACACCAGGTAAAATCTTTCGAACGAAGTTTTGCAAACAATAATTGTTTACATTTAAAATATCTTGAAAACACCTATTTCCAAATAAAGAAAATCTTTCCAATGCATGCATTGGCAAAATTCGGGTTAGGCAATGCCTAGAGAAGTTAGAGGGTTGAGCAAACTACACACAGAAAACCTCTTCCTTTTAATCGATTCGAGAAATTAGTTTCTATTTTTGGCAAACATTCTTTGAAACAATTTAAACATTTCTCGATTTAAAAATTGTGCGAACAATCTTTCTAATATTCCATTTTTTAATTTCTCGTATCAGCACGACATTAAATTGCATTCCTTATGTATTTCCTTGTATAAAATTTTTGATAACACAAGTATACAATTTTTCGTTTTCCAAATGTTGTTTCTTCAGATTCCAATTGTCATGGAACTCAATTGTTTGTTGCTACCTTATCAGATGAGCTGATAAACTACGAAACGAAATCAAAATTAGTTGGATACTGACACCCAAATACCGGTTTCCATTTATTAGTGTAATATTTTTGCAAGTCTCGTTCATCATTCCTCCAAAAAAAGAAAGTTGAAATTTCGCGTCTTATCTGATTGATATTGAGAGTGTTTGTTGTAAATTTTTCACTTGCGCATCAACTAGTATTTCGTCTTCACTCCATTATTTCTCGCTTTCTTCAAAATCCAGAGTGTATTTTTGTTTATGTCTCTGAGATCCATTCTAGGATTAATGAGATCGTAAAAACTAGCATTATGGTGGAAAGAAACCTAGAAGCTTTTTAAGCACTATATTTGGAGCGTATAAATTTTTCATGACAAAAACCGCAAAGTGCAGTTCTTCAAGCTTTGAGCATTTCGCTTAAATGGAGCAGCTCAAATATACGGTTTTTCCTATAAATAATTATTGTTTGCTGACGAAATCGCAGCCATCTTTCTATATCCTATTCGAACATTGTTTAGCACTCGAAATGTCTCGCGCTCTTCATTCTCGAATGGCTACAACAATAGTGTTAATTTCGAGTGCGATTTGACCTGTAGGCGGTGTGTTTGAGGCTGCTCGTCGAGATTTGTAAACCGATATCCTATTGATGTCACCGGAACAATGTTCTAATGTGTTGTAATCAAGTAAATAATGAAAGTGGTGGGCAGATCGTTGGACAAAACTATTTGGTCATCCACTTGTGCGATCATTATTTTTTGATTCCCATTTTTATGATTTCGAAGTTTCGATAACGATCACATATTTACCAAATACGCGTTTTCTAGTTTGGTGTCGTCGCTCGTCTTCTTGCAAGAGTCGAGATAGTCAAAATATTGCTAATGGCATTTTATTTACGCTGTGACTTTGAAGTCACTGATTGATCTCTCAACATTTCATTTGACACAAGTTGGGTCCTTTCCGGGAATCTGTCGATTTATTGGTCTCGACGAGGTACATTGTGTGCGCAGTGTCGCTACGGTTGAGAGTTCGCGCGGCTCCCACGCGTCTCCTTCATTTTCACCAGAGTTGTTTGCGCAAAACTCGAACAATTTCGCGTTTTTTTGTTCCGCGCACACGTATTTCACAAAAATTTCCCCGCTAGCAGGGTAGGCAGATTTCGGACTGCAATGGTCGTGGTCCAATCGATCGAAGAGTCGGCACGACTGCTTTCCATATTCACTGAACCATTCTCCTCATTTTTGCGCTCAATTCCGATTGAGTTCGAGGAGTTTTCACCAAGTCAGAAGATTGACGACGCTGAGGACGACGATCAAGATCTAGAAGCGTGTATCGACGCTGATGTCTTTAAACAGCCTGAAACCCAACAGGCATCACATAATCTTCATAACGTTACCGAAAATGCTACGCTTCATGTAGTAGAGCAGAGCAACTTCCAAGTTATTCGGGAAGTTGTGAATTGCCTGCTAAATGCCTTCGAGCCGCCGACCACGACCATTTCCACATGCTGTTCGTTTATTCGAGCCCAGCAATCTGCTAGAACTCGTTCTATTTTGCCTGATACTCGGCACATTGCTACTCTAGCTCCAGTTCAGGCGACATTTCGAGAGCCAAAAAAGAAGAAAACAATTAAAAGGTTGGTTTTAATGTTCATTATTTCTCTTTATTCTTAAAATATCTATCCATTTTTTGGGGAACCAATTCATTAAATGCAAGTTGTGTTTTGATTATTGAAACGCACAACACGTGAAGTGAAAAGTTCAAATTTTTTGCGAGATTTCGTTGGACACATGTCGATTTCAAGCCCTCAGTGTAATCCTGCCTATTCTTCTTCTTCTCCATCTTCCTCCTTTTTACCGCCGACGGCTCGGTTAAACGAAGTTGTTTTGTTTTGCCTCTTTCTCATTGAGTTTTTCCTGTCGCGCTGTGTTTTTGTGTGTGCGTGTGTGTGTGTTTGTGCGCGCTGGCTGGTCTTTGGTGGTAGGGCAATCCGAATCTTAATCAAATTAGTACTGTAAGTGGTAGCGCGACCCTTGGCCTCGTCGTCTGTATTTTTTTGGCGCTCGCGCTTTCGCTCTTCTTCAATCTACAAAAGTGTTGAAAAAATAGTGTGCATCCGAGTCAATATTTGTGTGTGTGTGAGAGAAAGACCGCATATTATTGGAACGCGGTATCGCTTAAGTGTGTGAGAAAGTTTGTCTTTGATGAAATCGGTGGAATTGAATCGGATATCAATCATTCTATACGTATGTAGAAATTGCGATTTTGACATTGTGTATAATTGTCGGCAATTTTGAATTTTCTGAACATTTAGCTATTCTTTTGGGCAATATTTGTTGTCAGGATTAACGGCTTTTTCCATTTCCAAGGTTTATAAAGTTTATAAATCAGCATCACAATCTAATTTTCCAACAACTATTGATGTTCAATTTTTATCTTTCATTAGTGTAAACATGAGAATCGAGGTGATACATAATACTCGCCAATCAATTATTCGAATTGTCGTCATCGCCGCGAATATCATTTTTCACTATTGTGATCTTTGCTCGGCGTCTAGACGTGCTGGAATAAATTTCGACTTATTTCAGCAAGAAAATGGCGGCTGAGGTGTGCCAAGTTAATGAACCGCATTGTTTCATTGCATCGCCGTCGACCGTCGATCGTCCTTTTAAGCTGCTCGTCCAGAAGGAGACGTTCCTCATTGATGCCGCCTCGATGAGCCGAATTTCGCCGGTATGGTTTTTGGTCACATTCAACAAAAACTCATATGTTTTTTTTTGAAGATCTTCAACATCATGTGCTTCGGCAAAGATTTTGAGAAAATGGATTTGTCGCGAGAGATTGTTGATGAGAAGTCCGTCGACATCAATTGCTTTTTGCGTGCTGTTCACGACACTTCGATCATTAATTGTGAGTTCACGTGAATTGCAAAAAAAAAACAACAGGAAAAACTATCTGTTATCTCACATGATATCCGAACGACGAAAAAAAAACAGCTGGGATTTTGTTAAAAAAATATGTGTTTCAGCATCCAACTTTGCCCTGGTTCTCAGACTTTCCAACAAATATCAAGTTGAGCCTGTGATTGAAGCTTGCCAACAATATATTATGCGCCAACACCTTGAGTAGGCCTAATTTTCTACCGCCCCATCAAAATGATTTTTATTCAGCGTGTTGAAGCCTGATGAGATTCTCAACATGCTCATCGCTGCTTATGAGCATCATTGTAAAAAAGAAGTTCTTCACAAATTGATTCGTCGTTTGGCGTCGGAAGGCAACAGCGTTTTCACCAAATTGAAAATCTCACGCTACCTTCCAGCCCAAGTCTATGGCGCTGTGATTTCGACGTCAATGAACTTGAACCAAATGAAAGAGCACGAGGCAATGAATGGCCACGTTCTTAAAACCGAAAGGTAAATTTTGCTTTTTTTTAAATCTAATTGTTGTTTATTAAAAAAAAAACAATGTAGAAACAAGATTCGTTGGCGACAATCTGTATGCGATGAATGCAAGGTCATCCATGAATGCTCGAACTGTGAGGAATGCAAGAAGGCGCTTTGCCGTGAGCATGTCGAAAAGAAGAAGTGTGCCAACGATTACGGTTCGCGTCTCACCGAAGATTTAAGAAAAAAAATTGTTGACTTCGAGTGGAACGACTAGATTTTTTCATTGAGTCCCCTACAAAATTACTGCACAATTTGTTCATAATACTCAATTTCTCACAATTAATAATATTCGAATTTAATATTATTTTGTGTGTGCTTTTTGTCAATTTTAGACTGTTTAGCTAAAAACCCTAAAAACCGGCGAAATCATTATTAATTGTCGTTTAACGTGTATTAATTGTTTCGTGAAGCCTCCCTCCCCAATGTGTACATTACTGGTTTCTACTGTATTCATATGTACCTTTTTCGCGTTTTTATCTGTATTCTTTTTTTGGTCGAATGAATTGAACTAGTTTTGAAACTATTCGAGTCTTTACAATCATTAAAGCAGCTTTGATTGGCAAAATCAAGAGATTTAGTCAAATTTTCGTCGCGAGAATCCCATTATCCGGTTACGATGACGTCTTGAGAACTGAAATGAAAGGGGGGGGGAATATCTCGAAATAGAATTTGATTCTACTCACAGCCACTCGAATGATTGGCTTTGGTTCTACTTCGGTTTGTTCCTCGTCGGCTTCTTCATTCTCTTCATCGCTTTCCTCATCAACGATCTTCGGCAATTTCAATGATTTCGGCGGACGAATACCGGGTGGCTTCGGGTTTGATAGTGAGGCCATTGAGGGCAACGATGCAAGAGGTGCTTCGAGAATTGGCGGAGGTGTCGGCTATAAGGAAGTTGGCGTATTTAAACCAAAGTATGCTTGATTTTCAGCAATAAATTTCGAATTCAAGACCAATTCGATGTTTTCGATACTTGTCTGACGTCAATGTGAAGGTCAAAAGCTCGTACTGTTACACTATTTTCGGCATTTAATTGACGAACTCATGTGGAAATGTTAAAATGCGAATTACCTTGTAGAGAAGACAAAGAAACATTTTGATTCTAATAGTGATAAATGATCACTTTTTATTTTATGACTGGAACTCAAATAATTTATTGTCGAAGTCAGGCGATAACAGAATATCGGCGAAATTCCAAAAAAAAAACAATAATCGTTGTCTTGGCGCAAAACTGAAAGTGTAGATTTACGAGCCAAAGGATATATTAAAGGTGCATTAACACGACCCTTAATGTTTTGGAATTTAGCCAATTTTTTAGAGACGTCAACAATATAATTATATTTGTAATAAATAAAAGAGTGGCGACTTGCGGATCGTTTATTTTAGGAAGATTTGAACAATAAGCTGGCGATGGTACAAAAAATTTAAAATTTTCTGGAAATATGATCAAAGCTTACCCCCTCATCGATTTCCTGGAATGAATCTTCAAACTCGTCCTCGCCGAGCGAAATAACTGATGAAATCAGAGTACAAAATGTTAGAAAGATTGCTAGAATAATCTTGAATTCTTTCATGGCGAACATCGGATAATATTTTGGCAACCAACTGGGCAGTATAATTACTACGAGTTCGAGACTCCGCCCATTGAAAAGGTCTTCGGCCTTGAAGCGCTTTATTGTTGTTGTGTTGGTCAGTCAGAAGACGAAAACCAAAAGCGGAACAGAAAAAAAATTTAAAAAAAACTCAATGTTGCGGTTTGAACAAGTTGATGAGACCCTCGAGGAAGTTGGATTCTTTTCCGGGACCGCCCTTCAAGAAAAAATTTAAGCACGCGTTATCAAATGGCAACAGACAATTAGCGTTTGATTTCCGATTGTCACATTTTGGCCGACGTCGATGCCGCGTTTTTCGTCAATTCCGAAACTGCCGTCACCGCCAAATGTCGTACCATTGACAAGAACCTTATCGGTTTCTGAAATTCGCTGAATTCGAAATTTATATGAGGTTGCTGAAAACCGTATTTCAATTAAAATTTGAAATCAAAACAAGACGATGATTTCCAATTCACGACTATATCATTAAAACTCATTGTTTTTATGTTATTTCAAATGGCGTCGAATAATGCATGAATGGTGTGTTCAGTCGAGCATTCGACTGCATGTTTAATTTCCCTTGTTTTCACACACACACATATATATTTTTTGGTCGTGTTATGAAAGCCTTAGACTAACTCACTATCAATTTTAAATGTTCCGTTTCCGCTAGTCAACTTGAAATCGCGACTGCCTCCCCATCCAAACAGATTCAGACTTTGTCCGCCGCCAATCTCCAAATCGCCTTTCTCGTTTTTATTCAGCACGATGTTGCCAAACGGAAGGGGTATATTGAATTGAGCTAAAATGGTCTTAATTATTCAAAAAAAAATTTGCATTTCGTCCTTACCGATACATAGATTTAGAGACACCAATAAAACTAGATAGAATCGCATTTTCTGAATGTTTTTTTTGTAGCCAACACTCGTAGAGCAAATATTTAAAATCTTACGAGAAATATAACACGAGAATAAAATTTGAATAATTCAAGACGGGCAATTTACACCCATGTAAATAAATAAATTGCGCCAAGCGGTAGATAAATACCAATATTAGTTTTGTGAAATTGTTGGTTCTTTTTTAATACTCATCTTTTTATGCTTGAATTTTTTTAAACCATCCAAAAACGTTGAAAAATATTTCTAAAAATTATAGATCAATATTCCTGGTCATTTGAATTTTAGTAGATACACAATAAATAATAGATATTCGCGAAATATACAAGATGAATCGAACATCGAAAATCATGGGGATTGAAGAGAAACAAAGGATAAGTGGAAAATGCAATCAACCATATCGGGGATGTCCATGCACTTTCTCTATTATCATCCTTGATGTGAACGCGAAAAGAGTGACAGACGAGTTTACGCCAAAAAACAAACCGAAAAAGTTGACCAGTACATTAAGTACATTATTTTTCAGGAAACCATCATGATTTTCATTTTCAGACCAGCAAGATTGATTTGAATTTTTAAATTATTTGGTTTTTATTAAAGAAAATGTCCAATTTTCTAATTTTCCGGCCAATTTTATTTGCGACTGAATCAACCTTTCAAAAAATCCATTTTAACCATTTTTGCGTTGTTGTAAAGTTTTGAACGAGTCCGCAGAGCACATCTGCCGCGGCTCCGATCCGATCGCCAGTTGCCCAATACTTGCGTCTCTCATCCGCTCCATACTCTTTCGCGCATTCCTACGGACCGCACTTGTGCGAATGAGCTTATTCTCAATTATCAATCGTTTAGTTTCGTTTTATGGCTCTTGTTGCTAATTCTGTCAAATTCTTGACCATTTCAAAAGTAGATAATCGGTCAAATCTGCCGACATCGAAATTTGAAGATGAGACCTTAGATAATGAGGATATTGTTGCGAAGCTTGCACGTTTTATGCTTCAAAATGCTCAAAAAATGTTTATTTTGTTATTTTCGAGCCTTTAAAATTTAAAAAGAAAACCCCATTCAGAATATTGTAGTCAACAAAACTGCCTTTTATGCGGGATTTATTCAAATCTAAAAATACCAATGGAGTCTAATATGTAGAATGAAACATTCACCAACCATTACTTCCATAAAAGGCAACGGTGCACAAAATATATGCATATTCAATTACATTGGTCATCTCACCTATTATTCGCCTGTCATCAAGGTCGTTCCTCTAATATGGATACGGTAGATTGTTGTATCGGCGTTTATGCATTTGGCATCGTGAAAACCTCCAACTACTTGAGAATTCATTATGAAGACCAAAGATATTTATTTATTTGCCCCCTCCTGCCTACTTTCCCCCCGAGCGTCGAGATTTTCTTTGCTCCCCTCGAAGACATTCATATTATATTATTATATTATTTGATATAAAAAAAATAAGAACTCTTTGCCAGACTATGCCGCACGACCAATGACAAAATTTTCGACACGTTGCGTTATTGTGTTCCTCGTCGCCGCAATATGCTTTTTCCTTCAGTATAATGTCATTTTGAGAGGATTTTGGACGATAAGCGGAAGTGAGAAGAAAAAAAGGTGAGAAACATCAAAAAATTTCTCATTTTAATCTCGATTATTCATTATTAATATGATAATGAGATTTTTTTAAAATTTGAAACTCCGTCGAGAAAATAATTGATTGCTGAATGAAAAAATTCAAACGTGAAGATCTCCCCTTGGCTGTTTGTACCCCGACGAAAACATGCACACATTTCGTCGGATTTCTTTGAAATTATTTTCTTTAAATTTTTCTAAACGAAATGAAAATAGAGTATTCGGCAAAGTCACAAATTTCAAAATGTGAAAAATTGTTTTAAAAAATTAACTTATTTAGCACTACTCAAAAACTACCATCTGCTCTAATAATTGGTGTACGAAAAGGTGGTACTCGAGCACTTTTAGACGCCATCGGTCTCCACCCAAATGTCCGAATCGTTCGTCGCGAGACTCATTTTTTCGATGCAAATTATTCTTTGGGTATTGATTGGTATCGTTCTCAAATGCCATCAACTTCTGATGACGAGGTAGATCAAATCGGCAATCGATCAATTTTCGAATATTTCAGATTGTCATTGAAAAAACGCCCGCGTATTTTACCAGCCAGTTAGCTCCGAAAAGAGTTTTTGAATTGAATCCGAATATGAAATTAATTCTTATTGTACGACATCCAACGTTCAGAACTATTAGCGATTTTACACAGGTTTGCAATTTGAAAAAAATTTCAAAAATTTTTATCATTCAGTTTAGGTGTACTACAATAAATTAGAACAAAACAAGACACTGCCTATCCTTTCTTTGGAAGCGTTTAAGTTGGACGACAAGGGTCAAGAAACTATCAATATGGGATACAAACCGATAACGAATTCGCTTTACGATCTACATATTGCAAACTGGCTGAAATACTTCAGTCTCGACAATTTCCATTTTGTCAATGGCGATGTTTTCAGAGCAAATCCGCTTAATGAGGTATTCGTGGAAATTTCTCAACAACTGAAACTTCCCTTCATGAAACATTTCAGTTGCGCAAAGTTGAAGGTTTTCTGAGTCTCGAGCGAAGCATCTCGCCAAGTCAATTAGTATACGATTACAAAAAGGGATTCTTCTGTTTCAAGAAGACCACAAAAATTAAATGTCTTGGGGACAGCAAGGGTACAAATTTGAATAATTCATTATTTACACACAATAGCTAAACGATGTTCAGGAAGGAAACATCGAGCAATTAGCGACAATGCCGTCGAAAAGTTGACGCAATCATTCCAGGAGCACAATGAAAACTTTTTCCGTCTAATTAATCGCACCTTTTATTGGGTCTAAACGATACCGGTTTAAATGTTCTCTAGCGGGTCTCATTTTTTTGCTTGCTTTATGTACACAATATAAAGATTTTTTTCTTGAATACAAAAATTAAGTCCTAAATAATCAATGAACAATTTCTGTTGCAAATGCTTGAATTAATTCTTTGACGTTTGCAACAAAGTTCATGTTACTGGCACTGATGAAACTAACATATTTCTCGAAGAATGGAAATGCCTAGCCGGGCCTAAAACATGCTGATACCTTATCAGGACAGGCCTATAAAACTGGAGAGCACATTTACGTTTCAAGTAGAATGTCGCTTGACGTGCTGAAATGGATTCTGCTCGGTGTAATGGCACTTATTACTATATTCTTCGGGCTTTTGCCATTGCAAGTACTGTTTTATTAATTGCATAATTGAAAAGTAACCAGATTTTCAGCTCATCAATTATCTGAACAACGAGCATAGCCGAATTCACAAGAGGGCTTCTTTGGTTCTTTCTCTGATTTCCTGCTTCGCCGGAGGTGTATTCCTTTCGGTCTGTTTTCTGGACATGTTGCCAGATTCATTGTAATGGTCCGAAACATGTGCCGACAATTGAGCCAATCTTTCAGAGAAGCTTGGGAAGATGTCAAATCGGACACTGGATGCGATATTGATTACCCTTTTGTCCAACTAATTGCACTAATCGGATTCTTTTTTGTCTACATCATGGAAGAGATTTCGACAAAATGCTGCGGCGGCCACGGCCACAGCCACTCAGGAGTTACCGACAATGTGACATTCCCGAGAGCTCGTCTCGCCACTGTTGGCACCATCTTCGACATCGACGGAAACGTTGTGCAGCCATGCAAAGAATCTGTGAAGGACCTGGATGTTGATGGAGAAGGTCCCATCCAAACCTCGCTGATTTTCGCCTCCGCTTTCATTCTTCATGTTTTCTTCGAATGCTTTGCGTTTGGCGTTCAAGAGGACGCCGTTTCGTTGACTTCTCTCTTCCTTGGAATCATTGTGCACAAATCTGTCGTGATGTTTTCATTGGGAATGAAGCTTAGCAGGTAGCAATTACGTCTGTCCAGTACAAAATTTATGCACAATTTGCAGAAATCATCCCCGTAGAAAATACATTGTTGTGATTATTATGGCAACAATCGCTGCTTTCAACATTTTCGGAGGAATGATCGGAATTCTAATTGAGGTTCTATCAAGCACTGTACAAATCGACTCAAGCATTCCGTTTAGGACTCACAAATTAACCAAACTCCAAAAGACATTGTTACGTTTGTGCTGTTGAGTTTTTCATTGGGAAATTTTATCTACATCACATTTTTCGAGGTCAGTTTTTAATGCAAATTTCCTGATAACCCACAATGTTTGCGAGTTCTAGATGCTATCAGCTGAACGAGCCAACAACCATTCAAATATTCTGCAATGGTTTTTCACGTTCGCGGGCTTCGTGCTCATCGCCATAATAATGATTTGGTCCAGTTAAACCTATTGAAGGCTTTATTCAAAACCAAATGTTCATCACACTTTTACCGGTATTATTCAATGTTTTGGGATGGTTTGAATATAAACAAATATTATAAATAAAATGTATTATTATACCCTTAATGCCAGGAGCTTGGCGATAAACTTCGTTGGCTTGGCGTTGGTGAGAGCCGGTCTGTTGGTGAGAGCTGATCTCTCGGGGATTGCGGCCGACTTATCTGTGCAGTAGGCGATGGCGATATTGTAAGCGAATTCCTCTCCGATAGAATACGGTAAAGTGATTGAAGAGTTCGCGAACTCGCGTCAATCTTCTTATCAATTGAAGAGACCTGGCCAATGTATCAGTAAAATACGAGAAAAACACCAAAAAAATACCTGCATTTCGAGTTTGGCCAGCCTTGAGCCAATAGTGGCTGAATTCCCTTTGCGCGAACCCTTACCATCGTATTGTCCCGGTTTTCCGAGCGTCTGGTCCAATCGTCGTTGAAGTTCTTTGATTCGGACCATCATGTTCAAATGACCTTGCGAATATTGCTCGATGACATCGCGGACGTCGTAAGGCTTTCGGGCTTGCTGGAATTTCCGTCGCGCCACAAAATATTTCACTTTTCTCAATGCACGAATCGCGTTTCGATGTGCTTCAGTCAGCTCGCAGACGCTAAAAAAAAGATTTCAATCATTTCCCAAAACTAATCGGCAAATCCAAACTGTGAAATTTGGGCTCCAGACGTCGTTGGAGTCGCAGCTTCTTCGGTTTCATACTCATTATCATTATCAATTCGAAACTTTCGATCGTCGTCCGTATCAGAACCTTTGTCATTTCTAGTAAGTCTTTCCTGGTGAATCTCTCCGAGTTCAACGTCTGTTGGCTGAGTTCTGCTTTTCTTGAACGTGTTCACCAGACTTGATTGTTTTTTGAACAAATGCCTTTTTCTCGATGACGGCGTCTCTTGCGATTTCATTGGACCATTATGAATTTCGGTTGTTTCATGGGTCAATGGATTAACGTGCGCATTCCATGTGGCCGACACTCGTTTCTCAGCCGCATGGCATCTCCAAAGGCATTGAATCAAAGTGGCGGCGGCTGGTATTTGACGATTGAAGTGCTTCTGGCGCTGTTTCTGTTGAACTTTGAGGGCAAATCCCGAGCCGAGTATTCCGGCGGGAAGGGCAAAAAAACTGATGGCGAATATTGAGAAGCACGAGGCGACAATTCGGCCAGTCCAAGTTTGCGGCACAACATCTCCATAGCCAATTGTTGTCATGGTTATCTGAAGATGAAAAGTAACTGCCCTTGTCTGTTAGCTTCTCGCTTACCACACCCCACCATAACGCGTCGGCATAGCTAGTGAAAGGCTGCCGGCCGTCCGGCGTTATATAATCTTTTTCGGCTAGGTAGACAAAGTACGATGAGAAGATTAAGCCAAGAAATCCGATATAGAGCGTTGTGATAAGTTCCTGTCTGTGGATGAAGACAACCGAGCCCAGAAGTCGCCTAAAGAATTGACAGTTAAGGAGAAGTACAAGAAACTTCCGACCATGTTCCGCCTTGTCGGTCTACGTGAAGCATACGCAGAATTTGAAGGAATCTTATTCCACGAATAGCGCTAGTTGCGAACACCTGGCCTTCACTTCCAATACAGATTACTGTAATACTTGCGACCACCACACAAAGATCTGAATCGTCATCGAATGATTTGGTAGAAGTAGCCAAAAATGATTACCTATGAATGATATTGGTTTTCGAGCGAATCGTAACCTCCCCCAGAACCCAATATATTTTGATCTACAACCGGCCGACCATAACCGAACCATGTACTCAATTGCAAAAAAGAATACTAGAAAGATTTCCTGCAAAATTGTCTTTTTTTAGACTTTGCTCAAAATTGAGCGCCTACCAGAATGTAAAGGATTTCAGCAGCAAAATGACTATGCTCCTCCACAGTTGATAGAACACTGAGAATCAGGCACACAAGAACGACTAGAAATACGCTAAAAATTGATATTTTTGCTAAATATTATATAATGTAATTTTCTATATACCTGAAATGATACAGGAAGCATTTCCACCCGGTTGGTCGTTCAAGGCAATTGTAAATCTGAAACAAATTATTTCAATCCTCAATTTATTTAAACGTGTGAAAATAGCATGACGAATTTTTCGGGCGGAAAAGAAAAACAAAACATTTTTCAATTTGTCTGTGGGAAATTCGTCGTTCAAATATCATCTCGGGATTTGTCGAAATGATTTTTTTCGTTCAATCATTACAAGAAAAAAAGCTCAAGACGAGGTAGCCAAAATTGGCGATGCTCGAAAAATCATATCAGCATGTATTTCAGTAAATTCCAGAAAATGTATTGGGATATTCGACAAACCTTTGCTCGCAATGTCATTTTCGCCGCCTTCTTCTCTTTTATGTTTCGATATCTGGCATTGAACATCTGCAAATGATAGACACTTCAAAAAAAAATCGGCTGAAAATCCGAGAATGGCTCGAATAGTGGGGGAAAATATTTACCCATTTCTCACGCCTCTCGTGTTTTATTATATATCAAAATCAATTCATGATAAATAATAATTCCCACACAGTGAATGTTCGCAATTAATCCGTCGTTGAGAATGGCTTCGATTTTTTTGCGGAAAAAAATGACGAAAAACACTTTTACAAGAAAAAATGCAGAAAAATGTCGTCGTTGACATATTAATGAATAAAAGCGAAAATGCGAGGATAATCTTGAGGATTGGTCCACAGAAAAAAATCGGCGCACCTCTTCCTGTGTTGCGTACACTTTTGACCTACGATTCGACGCATAGAGAATATCGTGAAGCTCCCAAGTTCCAATAGTTAGACTACCACGATGATCGAGTAAATTGTACATTTTTGAGGCAACAAATGATTTGACTGATAACGACGAAATATGGTCGCGACTAATCCTCTGTTTTTTTTCCATTCAATGTTAAATTTTGAAGATCAATAATTGTTCAACTTTTGTCTTAAACTAATAGACGAATTCATGAAATACAAAAAAAAATTAAAAAAAGTTAATTTGCAATTGAAAATTTGTAATTTACAATGTATTTATACATATGTAGGTCCATAATAAATTCTATGGTTTCATTTAAACTTACACAATACGAGGAAAATATTTATCGGAAAGCAGCAGCAGTAGGGGATTTAACAAAAAATTTACTTGTGAATGACAAAAACCACAAATTTTGTTGTGATATTTGTAGTGGGATAAGCCGTTTTTTGTACTTTCTCTCGTGAACAACCGGAACTATTCGAATGCTAACAATCGTCAAGATAGAAATTCCTACCTCTCTACTGAAAAACACTGGTTTGAAAGTGTAATCTATAATTTGTTTGAATTTTTGTTAATCGACGAGATGTCTAAGGAAAAATCGATTGTGTACACACGAATAATTAAAAGAAGGTGCAAGGAAAATGTTGAGTGCAATAACAAAACGGGAATCTCAAATATATGGGGGGGGGGACGAACTCGCCTTGCCAATTCCGTCGCCGGTGACCATTCCGAGCAAAAACGTCTCCGACTCGTTCTCCGGCTGCACAATTTCCTCGGTTGACGATCGTGCCGAGCCATTTTGATGGCTCGCCGTGAGCATTCTGCAAATTTAAGGCAATGAGAAGCAATCCTGTGAAAGGTTATTGACTCCGCCTACATTCGGCTACCATGGCAACCGGAACCGAATTTGATAGATTTTTTTGGACAAACAGCAGCAATCATACATTTACATCATTTTGGGAATATTTGCACTTTTAAATTTCGAAATGATTGAAAAATGCCACTAGATTTTTGATCACGTTTTTTTTTTATCTGAAAAGGTTTTGTGGGGGTGTTGCTGAGGCAGATGTTAATTAGGAGAATTTCGATTTTTTCGGAGAGCAAAAAAGATGATTATTTAGAACAGGTTGTGCTACCCCGTCAAACCAAAAATGAAATAAAAATGAGAAACGAATTCGCATTGGAGTCGAGGGCTCTTGAGAATTGCTCATTTTCTGAAGGAAACGGAGAAAACGAAATGAAAAAAACAGAAACCACACTGATAATCGCAATTTCCGGATTCTGGTAACGAAAAAATAATATCTCTGTTATTTTTTTTTCTCAAACGAATTTTGATTACCTGCGACTTCTCACTGAGTACTTTCGCGCCATTGAAAACTAAAAGGCGAACAGGGAAAATATTTGGATTTGAATATTAATAATATCAAAGTTAATCCGAAAGCTGTCACGAGATGAGTGAATCCCCCTTGTGTGTGCGTAATTAGCGAGATTTATAGAGTCAAAGGGGGAGAGGAGAATTGCAGAAAAAAAATCGCAATAAAAACATCTGATGTTCAAAATTGAATACATGCCTAATTTCCATAGAAACGAACAATTTGAAAATAGTAAAATAAATTTCGGATAGATTTGTTCGGCACGTATTTGAGACAAAATGATACACAAGATTATATTTATTTTATATCTTTAAGCTTAATTTATGTATATACAAAATCTTTTTTGGAGGAATTACTCCGAAAGATGATAAAAAATTCGATATTGTCTCGAATAATTATAATAAGTATTGCAAACTTGTCGAGTATTCGGTTTCACTTTGAGAAATATCGATTACAATTGGATAAATATGCATAGTCAATGGTGAAAAATTACTTACCGAATATATGGCCGTGCGCCCAAGTGAGCCATTTTCACACAAGGTTATTATAAAAATGAGTGAAAACTTTGTCAGACTGGCAGTCTGTTTAATCAGATTATAATGCAATTATCAATATTTATAGTCATATATTATTGATCCGGAAGAATTCATCGATAAATAAATATATTTTAGGTGTGAAATGTTTCTTAAAATTATTGGTGTCTGCAGACGACGCAAAATTGCACTTTTTTAAATACTTGATATTCTTGGTTTGTCTTCCTTTTCAATAAATTCGTTCAAATTTTGCAATATGAAAAGTTGCTTATATTTTTATGCTATATATAATTATATGACTAATAATTGAATCAGTTCTCTTAAAACGTCCCACGTAATTATAGCCTACAAATGAACTCTGGTAACTTTTTTTCTTAAAAAAATCTGGAAATTCCACTTTCAGTCTAAATATCAAATTGGACTTGCTTTAAAGCTCCATTGAATGGATTAAAGAAAATCTTTTATGGAACCTAGAAAAAACAAATCTTAGCAAAACGCAAACACAATAAATACATTGATAATGACGATTGCAATAATAAAAATTGCAAGAAACGAGAGAAAATTGCGTAAAACATTCTATGTGGTGGTGTTAATTGGTTTTAGAAATTGTTCGAAATGTGCAAATTTATCGGCAACAAGAAATTTTGTTGTTTACTTTTCGGTAATAAAACGCAAAGCAGAAGGTTCGTTATTTTTAATCAATTTTCGCACTTTAATGCGAGATATTTATGCTTTGGACCAGAAATTCGTTTAAAATGATTGAATTCATTATTTATTAATGCTGAAGTGTTGTCTGCGTTTCATTTTTCCCGCGGAAAACGTGATTTTTCAATAATATTTTTTTATCTTAATTTTTTGCATTTCAAGAAAAAAAAAACTTGTGTCTGTTTTCACAATTTTCTTAATTTTTAAGACTCGAAAATTTAAAATAGTTGAGCATTACACAATCAGATTCCCGACAGATTTTCGTATTATCTTCGCAAACAGAAACACAGTAATGCTTGTTTAAACTGCCTCTAAATGCTTTGGTGCAATTATAGTTTTCGGTGTTTGCGGACTTTTAACTTTCGCATTTTTAACCCATTTACTGCGCACAAAACTTGATTCTTACACATTTTCTGCATATTTTTTTGAATTTATACTTATTCAACATATTTTTGTTTAATTCATTTTTCATTTAAATCAAAATTCAAAAAAGCTAATTGGAAAAAATACTTGAATTCGTTAAAAATAGGACTATTCTTTTTTATTTTTATGTCGCAAAATAGAAAAAAACCTTGTTAAAAAAATGAATGTGAAAAATTCTTTAGCAATCTGGTTTATAACGTAATTTTGGCGAGATTTATTAGCTTTTCTGCAAATGTTTCGGATATTGCTTAGAGCAAAGTTAATAAAACTGGAATAAGTGTGTAAGAGATAAAATAATTAAAAAAAATTAAAAGTGATGAGTAAAGCTTTCCCAATTGCACCCGTCATCTCTTAATTAAGTAATTCGAGAAATCTTTATGCGTTCTTCTTGTTATCCTTTTCTAACCGAAAAAATTCAGGTTTTCCGACAATGTCGGACGGCTTGGACTTTGTTCGCTCCGGTGAGGAGCCGTATATGCAATTCTCAAATTTCAAACTTCGAAATTATTTTCCTCATGAAATTGAGAAGCTCAGTGTTCTGAAAGTTACGCAAACAAAAACATTTGATGAGGTTCGCAGAGTCTTTCTAATTTTTTACTATCAAACTTAACAAATTTTAGATTGGACATCCAATTCCTGGCGGTTTGTATGATCCAATTTTGGGTCCTGGAGAAACGAACGACAAGTGTATGACATGTAATCAATACGAAAGACATTGTCCAGGTCATTTGGGCCATATTGAGCTAGACGTTCCCGTTTTCAACCCACTCCTTTTCTCATTCACTTATAACGTATGTTCATGAGAGAAAAATTGGTTACTGAATTGAACATTTTGTTACAGCTTCTCAAGGGAACTTGCGTTCACTGTCATCGATTTACATGTAAGGGTGATGGAATTGATGCCAAGCTTCTATTAGTTCAACTTCGGTGCCTTGAACTTGGCGCTGAGCAGGTTGCCCTCGATGTTTCGGCAGTTCTGAAGGACAATATGGGAGGAAGCTGTGAGAATTAACTAAAAAGTATTTTTATTAATGATTTTTTCTAGTGGACTTTTTAAACGAAGATGATGATGAAAAAGCTGCCGAACAAATCGATTTATTAATTGCAACTCTCGCTGGAAGATCGTTAGATGATCTGAAAAACCATAAATATGTTCCATCAAAGAACGCCGTTCAATTCAAAAATGAAATTATTAGAAATTTTACGAAAAATTTTCTGGTTTGGAACATTTTTCATTAGGATTTGTCTAATTTTTAAAATTCCAGTTCAAACGTTTGAAAAAGTGTCCTCTCTGTAAAAATAGGAACGGAGATGTAAGAAATGATGGATATAGATGTATTCTTTTGGATTTTACAACTTCCCTAAAGGTTCGTATTTTAATTATATAGAGAAGCATGCGAAATTACAGAAATCGAAAAAATTAATTATCTCGGATGAATATGGTGTAGAGGAAGAAGAGAGTTCTGATGACGAGGAGAAGAAAAACGTCAATGACACCAAAAACGGTTATATTTTCTTTAGAAATTAAAAAAAATGGTGTTTTTTATTTTCAGTCTCAACCACAGCCGATGTAGAAATTGGCGAAGGAAGTCTTGAAATGCAAATGAAGAACGTGAGAAGCGGTCATTGCGATAAACTCGCGTGGCGTGCCGCAGAAGTTCGTGAGCATTTTCGCATTTTGTACAAGAATGAAGGCCAATTGCTGCTCAAACTCTTTCCAATGCTTATTGATGAAATGGTAATTTTGCCGCCGAAAAAAAAACAAATTATTTTAAAACTTGATTTTTAATATAAGGCTTCCAAGTCGCAAGTTTGCCCACTTGATGGATTATTCTGCGAAAGAATTTTGGTGCCGCCGAAAAAGTTCCGACCGATTCGCATGTTTAAGGGCGCGCAATATGAAGACCCTCAAACTTTGAACTTGAGGAAAGTTCTCGAAGCCACTGAAACTATTAAAGTGACCTGAAGAAATTTTGTTTTATAATCAATTATATTATTTAGGCGATTGCCCTGATTATGAAAGGCGATAAAAGTTCAACGCTCAAAGAGTTGGTGGCGAATCGCGTTCACGGAAAAACGATCAACGCACAAATGCACGAAGCGTATCTACAGCTGCAACTGAGGGTTAATGCAATTTTCGACGAAGATTTGAATAAAGGAGAACGCGATCATATTGCGGGTATTAAGCAAATTCTTGAGAAGAAGCAAGGACTTTTCCGAATGCACATGATGGGAAAGCGTGTCAATTTTGCGTGCAGGTTTTGAAATTTCAATTTAAAAAAATTGATGAGCTTTTCAAAATTTCTAGATCTGTTATCACACCCGATCCTTATTTGGACATCGACGAAATCGGAATTCCGGACATTTTCGCGAAACGACTTACGTTCACTGAGCCAGTCAACATTCACAATTTGAAGGAGTTGAAAAAACTTGTTCGAAATGGTCCAAACGTTTTGCCGGGCGCGAATTTCTTGATAGAGCCCAACGGAAAAAAGCATATTTTCGGAAATTTTCCGGAAGAAGTGAAACGAAGAATGACTATGGCGAGAACATTGCAGCCAGGAAGTGTTGAAAGCTTGCGATCGACGACAAAAATTTTGAGACACATGAAAAATGGTGATATGATTATGATGAATCGTCAGCCATCTCTTCACAAGCCTTCGATTATGGGTCATAGGTGTTACTATTGAGCTCGATCATTTGTTGAAATCGTGTTTTAGGGCGCGAATTTTAACTGGTCAACGAGCGCTTCGAATGAACTACGCTCCATGCAAGGCATACAATGCTGATTTTGATGGTGACGAGATGAACGGACATTTGGTGCAGTCTCATATTGCTCAGACTGAAGTTAGAGAAATTGGTAATTCGGACATATACTTGAATATTTAAAATTTCTTATATTTCAATTTAGCGAACGTTGGAAGCAATTTCCTCGTTCCCAAAGATGCTACGCCTCTTCTTGGTCTCATTCAGGATCACGTTGTGTCGGGAGTTTTGCTTACTTTGAGAGACCGTTTTTTGAACAGGGTAGATCAAATTATACTGCACTTCCTTCTCAATGATTCGTTTTTTAAGGAAGATTTCATGCATTTAGTTTTGGCTTCATTTGCCGAATATTCGAAGCGCATCGATATTCCGCCGCCGACTATTATTTATCCGAAGAAATTGTGGACTGGCAAGCAAGTAATCACCACAATTCTAAAAACTTGTATTCCTGATGGGAAGCCGTTAATTAATTTGGATGGAAAAGCGAAAACTCCATTGTCTTGCTGGTCCGTTGACGATCTTCCACCGCCGCCGTTCGATATGAGTGAATCTCACGTCATTTTCCGACAAGGAGAGCTTCTCGTTGGTGTTCTTGACAAAGCGCATTTCGGCGCAACTCAGTTTGGATTAGCTCATTGCGTTTTCGAGCTTTATGGACATCGTTGTGGTGTTCAATTGCTCTCATGTTTTTCAAGATTATTCACGACATATCTTCAGGTATATACTTGAAATATTAATTAGAAAACGCATCGATTTTGCAGTATCATGGATTCACCCTTGGTGTTGCTGATATTTTAGTTGTAAAAAAAGGAGATGATAAACGGAAAGCGGCCGTAATGGAATCGAGGACAATTGGAGATCAAGTTGTTAAAACTGCGTTCGGTCTTTCTGAAAATGCGACGAAAGCCGAAATCAAACGAACATTGGCGGCAACTTATTGTAATCCGCGTGGGCAAGGAACTGATGTGAAAATGCTCGATTTTGCGATGAAGCAAGGAATCGCCAAATTCAATGATACAATTACTAAGTCTTGTGTGCCGGGTGGTCTTCTTCGCAAATTCCCACAAAACGCTCTTCAATTGATGATTCAATCCGGAGCGAAAGGATCGGCGGTGAACGCTATTCAGATTTCTGGTTGCCTTGGTCAAATCGAACTTGAAGGAAAGCGTATGGCTGTCACGATTGCTGGACGCACGCTTCCCTCGTTCAAGGCTTTTGATCCATCGCCAAGAGCTGGAGGATATATTGATCAGCGATTCTTGACTGGAATGAATCCGCAAGAATTGTTCTTCCACACAATGGCTGGAAGAGAAGTATGAAGAGTGTTTATTAATGATATTCATTGTTTTATTTAGGGACTTATCGATACTGCGGTTAAAACCTCTCGTTCTGGTTATCTTCAAAGATGTATTATCAAGCATCTCGAAGGAATTCGGGTGCATTATGATTCTACAGTTCGTGACCACGATGGATCTGTTATCCAGGTAATTTATTATTATTATATCTATTTCGACCTGAGCACGATAATTTTAGTTCCGCTATGGTGAGGATGGCATGGATGTTACAAAGTCAACATTCATTAATAAAAAAGTGATGCCGTTCATTGAGTCAAATCTGGAAGCGATTACAATGGCGTCGAAGCCTTCAGATGTCTCAGACATTGATTATGGTGTGAAGAAAGCAGAGAAAAGATACAAGAAAGTGTGCTCGTGGAGGAAGAAAGAAAAAATTAGGAATCCGAATCGGAATTCGAAGAAATCATTCTTGTCCGCCTTCACTAATTTTGCGTCACACATGGAAGGAACCGATAAAAAGATGGTAAAATTCTTGTTAAGAGCATTCCATTGTCTAATCGTGAAATTTTTTCCAGATTATTTCTTCATGGTTTGAGTTAAGTCTTGAAGAGCGCAAAGAATATGCTGAAGGTGTACCCAAGAAATGCCCATCGGCCGTCAACGAGGTCTTCAATTCGAATTGCACACTTGGAGCTTTGCCCGAAAAAATGCTCGATGACATTGAGGAGTATTGCACAAATGTGAAAGACGGAGAGGAGCCGAAGGATGATTTGAAGAGAACGTTATTCTGGAAAGGTATTCAAATTCGTAATGACATAATATGTATACTCAAATGTCTGCTTTAGGAATGCGCTCACTTGCGGAACCCGGAGAAAATGTTGGCCTCCTGGCAGCGCAGTCGATCGGAGAGCCCTCGACTCAGATGACGCTCAACACGTTCCATTTCGCTGGTAGAGGAGAAATGAATGTTACTCTTGGTATTCCTCGGCTTCGTGAAATTCTGATGACGGCTTCGAAGAATATCGCCACTCCAAGTGCCCAGATAGCCGTTATAGAAGGAACACCGAGAGAGAAGATTGACGCCATCAAGCGCGAATTGGATCGCGTTTACTTGAAGCAAGTTCTCAAGAATTTCTCCATCGAAGAGAGGGTGCTTTTAAACGAATGGTTCGTTTCATAGGATCTTGGAAATGCAGCTCGAAGTTATATGTTTTTAGCCAAAGTGCTCGCCGATATTTGTTGAGAATCGAAATTCTTGCTGCCAATAAGCGAGAAACGGGAGCGCGACACCTGAAAAGATCTACTATTATGGAAGCGGTAATTAGAGTATTCAATTTTGATATGCTCTATTGTTGTAGATTGAAAAACGCTTTATCACACGCGTTGCCAATTCGATAAAAAGAAAATTCGCCGAAATCACGGAATATCAGCAAATGTCGCATAGAAAAATGCGACAAGGCAACATGTCAGCTGGAATTACCGGAGAATCGACTGCCAAAACATCTGGATTGTAAATATTGATTTTCTTTAGTAGCCTAATTGTTGTTGTGTTCAGACAAGGACCAGATCATGGTGAGTCTTCCGATGAAGAAGCTTACGGAGGTCGTGAAGCTGATGCAGCGGAGAAGAGGCTTCACCAACGACATAGGGATGAAGCGGCAGAATATGAAGGAGAAGAAGATGAACTATATGATTTGAGAGACACAACGAATGAGTATGATTTGGTAATTTTTGCATTTTTTTCAACAAGCTAGATTAATTTTGAAGGTGGATGAGGATACTAATATCAAAGAGACTGATGACGAGGACGATGATGATGATGTCGACATCGAAAAGAAAAGAGCTCAAAAAGAGTTTGCAGTGAAGAATATGAACAGAATTCAGGCATTTCAGCACAGTTTTTCGCGAATCATAATAGGTTAAAATTTCAGCTCGTCCAAAAGATGGCAGACAACATTTGTAGCTACAACTATGACGCGAAATCGGAGAAATGGTGCGAGGTTGTGTTTGAGCTACCACTCAAAAACAAATCGAAAATGGATGTTGCAACGATTGTTGAACAGTATATCGATATTTCAAAGCCTTTTTTAATTCCCACAATTTTAGAGAAGTGGACGAATTTATCATACACCAAACTCCAGGAGTAGAACGCTGCGTTGAGCGTGAAGAAGTCAAGGATGGAAAGACCGTGATTTACCTCCAAACTCAAGGAGTCAATCTTGATGCTCTATTCAAGCATTCTGACGTCCTCGATGTCAATTCATTGTACTCGAATGATTTGAATTTGATTCTTAACAAATATGGGGTTGAAGCATGCGCCAAAGCCATTGTCACGGTGAGTATTTTATCCAAGAACAATAGATTAAAAGTGGCGTTATATCCAAATACGTACATCTTCCGACGATTTTAATTCACGTGAGTAGTTCCGAGAAGCAAAATTATTGTGAAACTGATAGCATTGCTTAATCATTGCGCGTCGAACATCACGTGAATGAGACACTTGCCCGAGTTGTCTTGGTGGTGGCAATTTTCGAAATCGCTCGGTTTTACGGACGAGGGATATTTTGTCGTCGACGTAATCGGTCGCTGTTCGTTCCTAACGACATCATTATGAATTGGAATTCAATTTTTGTCACAAGTATTACTATATTTAATGTTTGTTGCCTGTTTTGAGGACACTGTTTTGAGGGTGATCGGCAAGATTGAAGCCAATGCGGGAATTCAGTAAAAAATAACTATTGAAAATATTTGAATGCATTAAGAAAACGAGAAAAAATATTTTATTTATATTTTTTACTGCATCTTACCTTCAGTTTTAAATTAGTAGAAAATTTTTTAAGTAGCTATCGAATAGGTAATTTTTAAACCAAAGGTTTAATATTTCTTGAAAATTTCAATTTTAATTTCCATTTATCGCGCCTTTAACCTATCCATCTACATTGACCCGTAAATCTACACTTATTTTTGCGGCAAGACCACTGTCATAGTTTTTTGGAATTTAGCAAATTTTTCACTGCCGCGCGACGCCGACAATACGAAATTTTTCTCAACAAAATTTCCAAATTTTAACTACTAATTTGTTTGAACATGTGATGTTTTGCATTTGTGGATTTAAATTTCTTTTTTTCAAACGAAATTCCAAGAAGATCACAAATCAAGAGTACCGTAATCCAATTTACGCCCGTTAAAACTACATCCATTTGCAAGTTTTCGCTAATTTACGCATGACTTTTGAAAATCGCAATTAGAAACGGAATGCGTGTCTTGATCGAACAAATTTTTGTGCAAATTTGGTAATCTTTGAACGTTTTGCTAGTAATAATTGTGCTTTCTCTCGCCAATTCTGCAAAATGAGAGTTTTTGACAAGGTCATTTAGCCGCCTGTATGACAAGCTTTTTGTAATTGGAAGAAATTATTGCCCTGACAATCGAGATTCTTGATCTTCATAATTACCATTTTGAGGTCAAAAGTTGAGGGTGCGCTTCAGTTAGTAGAAAGTGTGGTTTTTTTGCAAATTGACCTGCAAAAGCGCCCAAAGCTATTTCATTGTCTGCGCTTCGCCGCCGCCGTCGCCGGCCAAGTTGCGATTTATCAAAATCGTTTGATTGATCTTCGACAGCCAGCGATCAGAAATGATAAAGTTTTTAAATGTCGCCGTCGCTTTTTGTCTCCAGAATCGGCGACGAACCGACCGAGAATCGACGCGGTTTTGCTGCGATTGGTGCGACACATCATTCCGCTTTCCATCTATAGATTGCCTCATAATGGTAATTTGAGGCAAAGTTCAGTGACGTAGCGAATTCCTTGCTGGACTTTTAATGTTTGTAGGCGGGAAGGAAGGAATTTCAAGAGATCTCCGCGTTGATTAGGTTTTTCTTGATATCAATAGATGAAAATGCATGAGGAATTGGTACGAGGATGTGATTTTCATGTTTTAATATGTCGCTAAAATATCTGAGACTTGACTAAAATTTCTTTCGACGGAAATTAAATTAATCGCGCGAAAACGCATTGTTTGACGAATAGAAATTTGGGTTTCCAATTTTCAACATTGAAAGATTTTGAAAGCAGCTTTTGATGTTTGCTGAACTCGTAAAAATATTTCCTGCATTACGACATGTTTCAAATTTCACATTTTACTGATTGTTATTGAACACTTCACTGATCGCTGACCACGGGAAACGATGAGATCTCACTTGGTTTTGAAATATCGCTGATCTTGGGAAGAATGATCAAAATGTTTCGCTTGAAATTTTTAAAAACGTATGAAACTAAATATTTAACTCAAAATTTCATTGAGATTCGATCTCGATTGATTGTAGAATTTCCAATGACATTAAGTTACTTTTCGGATTTTCAGCGACATTAAGAAATTTCTTGTGAATGTCGTGATTTTTACGCTTTTTATTTGAAATGTTTTGATTTTTCTTGCCAGAAGACCCCAGGAAAATGCAAAAATAGATTGAAGGCTACTGGTTACTACCATTGTTGTCTCTTAGTGAATAGTCTTTGCGCCTGGCACTCTTCTTGCCGAAACTTCCTCCTCTCACCGCGAGGCGTTCATTACTGTAGGCGGAGTCTGCGCGTAAAAGACGGTCCGCGGTCCGCGACGTGTCTATTGTCGTCGTTCGCCCGTTGTCGTCGTCGTCGTCGCGGTTTTACGAATCGTCCTCTTTATAATCTCACTACGTCATTTGACTGCGTTCTACAAATTTGGTTGTATTCGGTTTTGCACTGCTCCCTCGTCGTTTTGTGTGCTCTCTCGCCAATTATCGATTTGTTTAAAGGATGAGGCAAATGGGGGATTTCTTCAGCACTTATGTCCGCTATAATGATGATGATGAAGCATTTGTTGTTGGCTGAGAGGCGTTCCATGGGTGCAATTTTTGCGCGAATTCCTCTTCTGGAATCGAGATTTTTTTCTTCTCAAGGAATTTTTTGAACTACATCTTGTCTGATAACTGATTGAGTGATTGATGGATGAACAGCTTCATTGGTGGGGACATGAACTGAATTAGAAACGAGAAATTGGAATGTTTCCAATATGTTGTTTAATTACAGGAAATGAACAATGTGTTCGCCGTTTATGGAATCGAAGTGTCGAAGCGGCATTTGTCACTCACAGCCGACTATATGACTTTCACTGGAAAGATTGAACCATTTAATAGAGGCAAGAATTTTATAAAGCACATTTTTAAAAGAAATTGGAGTTTTTATTCAATATTGGGGATATTTCTATTTTACTTCAACTCTTTACTTCTCATAATTAAATTATTAAGAATGCCGAATTATATCCTCAAACTTTAGGCGCAATGTCATCAAGCTCATCACTACTCCAAAAGATGACATTCGAAACGACGATGGCCTTCCTTCGCGATGCACTCCTGCAAGGTTAGTAGAGATGTGTTTTTCTTCTTTGCAAGCAAGCACATATTCCGCCTTATATCAAACGTTGAATAATTTTCAAACATGTCGGTGGTGTCGTCGCCGCGACAATGATTTATCAAAAGCGAATTTATGCGATTAATACATTTTGGTCACAGAAATTTTCGGCTTCCGTAGCTCGTAGTCGGTTGAACTGTGACGTAGAAGACGATTTTGATCTTTTGCTATCATTTGTGCGCGTATCGCCCGCCCAGTTAATGAGGATTTCTATGAGTGAGAGATCTACGGAATTAATGTCGGCTAGAGAAATAAATGATGGAAAACTTGATTGAATAGTAGATTGCAATCTGGAGTTTAAGAACTAGAGGTAGACTTAAATTTTTATTCTGGAGATTAGAAAATGTAATTCTTGTGACTAATCATGAAATCCCAATTCTAAAATTAGTAAAACCAATTTTGAAAAAAAAACCCTTTCTGAGACGCGTTCGCCGTCGATAGTTTTTCATTCTCTTTTCTATCGGCATGCTGCAAACGTCTATTATGTTCAGCGGCGTTTGTATTGTTTTATAAAAAAAAAAGAAGAAGAAGCAACAGAAGCTGAAGCGGTCGTTGTCGATGCAACGCGAGGCGGTTTTGCATGTGTATGACGCATGAAGATCGAAGGAGAGCATCTTTTGATGGTAGTTCCAGTCGTCCGAATTGTTTCGCGTGGGTCATCGTGTTTACCTTGCTCGCTGAGCACCAATGACATCACTTGCTTCCACAAACTAGTCTCCAGGTCCCTGTTTGCTAGACGTTGGTCTGTTCGCTCATCGCCACGTGGTTGATTGTCGAAATGTTTTTGATTGGCGTCGAAGAAATCACTATTTGTCGGCCGTAGTGATTGTGATAATTCTTCGTCTATTTTTGGACATGTGAAATCGAGGAGGTGAATGTCTTTATTTTGCTTCTTTCTGAGGAATGCGATTCATGAACTGCTAGCCAAGAATTTACCTTGGGAAATGGGATATTTGTCAAACAAATGGAATTTTCAAAATAATTCGGTTTTATTTTCGAAGTGATCGTATTGATCAGCTCGAAAATTTTACAACTGTCAGTGAAAATTCGAAATTAATACATTGAAGATTCTGTAAGTCGTTTGTCCTCTAAAAATAGATTATCAACTTAAAAATAACCTCCGACTTCCCTGATGATAAGAAACTTTACGCGAAGGTTTTTGGCTACGGTAGATATTTTGATAAACTCCTTCGTCTCATATCCTCGGCTGCTTCAAATCTTCATTGAATACTCCTTCAACAAATTCTCAGACTCATAATCAAGTTTTTGTGAATACATTTGCAAACGAAAAGTTGCTTTTCCTTTCAATGACATACATCGTAAATTTACACAAAACAGGTCATATTGGGATGGAATCGTGGTTATTTTCCGTAATTTCGCGTCGAGACCCCTAAAGTGATTTTTTTTTCATTTCTCCAATTGGTTGAGGTGGCGCGTTCGTTTTCAATTTTTTTGTTGAAATCCTCAAACTTGAAATTCTGCGTCTAATGTATTTCGACACTATTTTCAGCATTGTTATGTCATTTGAATAGCTAATAACAGGTAACGCACTGGGGCTGTAATAAACATAAATAGTATCACAGGGGTAGGGGAAGATTTTTTGAAGAAGAATCGCGCCTGACGCACTGATCTTTGAAGATCAAATTAAAAGGATAGTCGTGGGTGACGGCTGTCCTGCAAAGGATTTTCATCAAAGTTATCCGACACCGTGTTTGTGGGGAACCGGTCGGCTGGAGTCTGCATTTTTCGAATTGCACTAGTAGTACAATCCCTTTGGTGTTAATAATATCGATAATGTTATGGGTTTTGAAATGGTGTGCACTTGTTGCGTGGTTTCTTTGATAAGGCGAACAAAGTTCAATTGGAATTGCGGTACGAGTATGAAAAACAAATATCAGATTTTCGAAAATTACAAGGTGTTTTATATAGTACATCAAATAATTAATTAAAAATAATACTTTTTAAAAATTTGAAAATGGTTAGTCATTGTTGTAAGAAAAAAGTTCATAAAATTTCGAAAAATCTAGATTTTTGCTTTTAAAGATGGTCAAACTTGTTTATTTCCGGCCTAGTGGCCGTAATAGCGAAACTAGACCGTTTCCGTCGTCCGTCATCAAACATATCATAATGATGTTCGGTATGATGATAGGTAATCCTGCAATAGAAGTTCAAAAAATGACAGAAACCCCCCTCATTTCATTTCATTAAATTCAAAAAGTTTAAAACATTTTATGGCGAAAAATTGAGAATCTACAGTGTTTACTGTATGCTGCCATCTTATGATTCATTGGGGGTCTTCACGAAATTTCAAGATATTTGATTCTCATTTTTCATCGTGACGATAAAGTCTGTCGAACGTGGTAAATATCGTGATGGTTAAAAAAATTATAAATTTCGTTTCTCGTGGATTCACGTGAAAATATCGCCACAATTTGATTTCGGCATAATTTCTCCCTCGTCTATCGCAAAAATTTATACTCGATTCAAAAATGATAATTGAAAATTGATGGTTCTATGAATTCTGGGCTATAATATTTATCAGGTTTGAGTGTTCTCTCCACCTCTAGAAGTCATAGGGGTTTAAAATATGTTTTGCTCCCTACACATTCAGAAACTGACTTGTGGCCATTTTTGCGTGGGACGAATGTAAATTAACCACAAACGTGATTGTGGTCGCCTCATTGAGTATCAAGTGAAAATATTTTTTATAGCTGAGTTGGGATTGTATGACTAATTTGAGCTGTGTGATTCGTGGTATGAATTTATTTTGTGTATAAAGTTGTTGATGCGGCATTATTTATAATCGGATGAGATTTCAACCCGGACATTTTGCGATTATAAAGATCATTAGAATCCATGTTTTGGTCTTCAACAGTTATTGATGATCAGATAAGAATTGTGATTTGTGATGTGCATTGTTTGTATTGAAAATCTGCGAAATGAAACTCCCGAGAGTTGTTTAAAAAATGTTAAAATTTGAAATGTTGATTTTCTAATTGCACATCCTCATTCAATATTTTTCATAGCGAAACTGTCGATAAGGCGATGAGGAGCGACGATATTTGTCGGAATTCGCGAAACTTTGCACCTAACACGTAGCCTGATAATATTTTTTATCAGCTCGACCCCCCCCACTCCTATCATTTCAACGAAACAGCGATATGAATGAATTTCAGGTGAAGAGGATTCGGTGACGTCGCCGTCGTCGCGGCTTGTTCTCGGAGCATTGCAGCGTGGTGGAACTGGTGCTTTTGATCTACTGCTAGACCAAAACATGATTTCGGAAAATGAAGAATATGAAAGAAATCGGATGAGCAGCAAAAAATTGAAAAGTTGTTAGAAAACCTTTTTTGTTAATGATTCTGTTGTTATTGTTGTTGAGTTTTTTTGTTTTGTTGTTATTATTAGTGGTTTGAATAAAAAACATTCATGAACAACATTGAAGAAAGTTGGGTAACAAGTTGTCCTTCCAAATGAGCTTAATATTTTTTGTGCAAAAACAAATTTGTTTTCAAATTTCTCCCGATGGATAGACATTTACTCATTATTACGACCTGTGACAATTACAGTATTCGCTAACTCTGAAGTGTTCTTGAACGATATAGGTCATGCGCCTTTAAAATGGTATTGTGTGTGACGTCATGTACTCTCTGAAGACCAAAAATGCTTATAAAAGGAAGTGTTTTTATTTCTATTTTGCTTTCTTTTACAATTTTCTGTGAATTGTGCTTCTATTGAAAAATTTTGATGGTGCTGATAAGAGCAAACGTTGAGCATTCATATCTGCTTTATTCAAATTTCTTATCGAGGGACCCATTTTGAACAGAATAACATAAAGCATTTTATTATGCGTAAGAAAGTGACGATGGTTGAATTTAAAGCTTTGTCGATGTCGTTTCGAGATGCTCCGGTAATGTTTGAGATCGGGAAAAATTGGAAAAAAGCGATCCTAGTAACTCGCTCGGCCGCTATTCGTCATTTCGAACGACGGGGCGATCTCTCCGGAGTTGTCGGCGGACTGAAAATTGTACAATAAATTTTACATTGTTTTTTTTCTTTTAAAAAAAGTTCTGACGTTGGTATTAAACCATTGTCAGAGTAATCGAATAAAAAGCTAACCATGGTCTCGAAGAGAATCGACTGTAGGAGACGAACTCCAATGTGCTACTCGATTGGTGGATGATGCTGATCATTATAATATATATATAGTTAATAATAATAATAATGTGTCTAGAATTTGTTGGCTGCTGGTTTTCACTTGTTCAAATTTGAGAGATTCGCCGCGCATCGCGTTGCGCTTTTATACGGTCGCCGTATTCGCTCCGCCCACTTTTCCCAGCCCAAAAGACCACGCTGGCACCGCGCCAACACGTTCGCTTGGCTCCGCCCACTCTCCTCCACTCACACACACACACACACACACACAAATTTGGTCGTTTTCTTTCGCGGTACTTGGAACAATGAGCGACTGGTTTTGTGTGTGGGGAGTATTACGGTAGCTGATTGCGGGCCCGCTGCTACATTCTTAAATTATATTCCTTAGCCTTCGCACTTGATTTTGCTTTCCTTTTTTGCGAAAAGGTCGCAATTTCAAATGAAACAATGCACTTTGTAAGGCGATGAACAATGATTGTGTGTGTGTGTTTTTAGGCGATTGCCGAAAATAGAACCTGAGAGCCTTGTTTTGAATGGTGGCTATTCTTCTCTCGACGGGTTACTGTAGAATACGTAGGCTTGTAGGAATTGGAATATTTCCAAATGTCATGCATTGTCATATAAATATCACATTCGCAAAAAACGAGCACCCTGCGCCGAATTACGGTGAGTTAGCTTCGCAGGATATCCAGAGTACGGTATCTGAGTTCCCACCCTTTTAGTGCGATGGGCCATAATTATGCAAAACGCTTGTATTTTTTTGCGATGGTAATATTTTTATATTTTTTTTTGCAAAATAAATATTTTTAATAAATTAGTTTATTGATATTAATCAAAATCAATAAATTTGTTTTTCCAGCGAGAAACAGTTTTTTAAACTGCTTTTTGAGAAAATATACTAGAAAAATAAATAGAAAAATCTACAAATTTGTATTAATTTTGCATTTCCCCAGAAAAAATTGAGTCATTAAACCATATTTTTAGTGTCAATTTAGATCTTGGTAAGCGGATTTTGAGAGGCTTTTCTAGGTAGGCGGTTCTTTTTTCTAGTTTTACAGCTTCAAAATAAGATATCGATATTCTCAAAAAACGCAAACTCATGTGTTGAATATCAGGTTTTTCGAAAAGAAGCCGCGTATCAATGTGTTTGCATAAATCAACTAATCAAGGCCAAGGTTATGACTTTTGACCGCATTCTTAATTTCGAGAAGAAGAGGTGAAAGTTGAAAAACCATACTGATTTCCAAAGTTTCATCAAAACCCTTTACTTTTGGGTCCAAGGAATTCCGTGAACAAGTTGATCGTTGACTTTAGCATCTTAAACAGGTTTCAATAATGTTTCAATGCACGTGATCCCAAGACCGAGAATTTGAACATCTTTGGAATTATTGTCTCGCTATGATCGCGATGTTTTCCCGTGATGTCAATTTTTTAAAATTTCAGTTTATCGAAAATTGGGGAAGTTTCGAGATTGAAGTGCGCATGTACTCAACGAGACCCATTGAAGGATTGGAATGTTTCGTAGGACGAAGATGCCCAACTTTTTTAGGAACCAGTCTAAATTCACTGAAAACTTCAGTTTTCTAAAACCAACCAAATAAATTGTATTTTCCTCACAAAGATCGAAATTTATCTACCCCACATATGAGACATTCTTAACACGTGTTATTGTTTATCAGTGTCATACGATGGAATTCAATCCTCCGGTTCACATGTACGCCGCAGTCACCAAAAATAGCGGTGTCGTAGTCGAAAATAGTGCGATTGATAAACGAAATCTTTCACTATGCTACACGACAACCAAATTTTTATAACAATAGCCTAGAAACAAGAAGCGAGGGATCAACAAAAAACTAAAAAAAAAACAATCTAACTATATATCATTACTTATTTTTTGCGATAGAGCTTTGCGTACTTTTCCCGTAAGACCTTCAATTGCTCAGCTTCTTCGGGATTCGGAATTCCGGCTCTGAAGAAAGGGATTGTGTTATTTTAAACAAATTTTAGAAAGCGTACTATTTCAAGTTGTTTTCATATTTCAAATCATAAAAGTTGAGATTGTACTATCAATTCGGCCAATTCTATGGGCACGAGAAGATTCGCCTATATTTGAAGGACATAACAGTGAAACTATTTTTCGTTTCAGAATTTTATAGGATAGATATTTTTCATTAAAAAGTAAAACATGACTGATGTCTATCAAAAATAATATAAAATTTTTTGTACCTTTTATCTATGTAATCACTTTTTGGCAGTCCGTATAATTGTTCCAACGACATCAACCTCGACCAATGTGGATATAGTTTTCGTCCAGTTGGCGCCAAATCATCTTGCCACTCTTTATTGGCCCTATAATGCATTATTTAAAAAATGGTGCGCAATATTTAGAGAATATACATTGCGATAGTATCCTTGACGTATTTCTCAGGATCGAATGCTTCCAATTCATTAAGAAGACCGTTCATACGCTTTCGGAATTCTCTTTCAGCCTAAAATATGGTTTATTTCCTATGAAAAAAAACTTATAATGAACCTTTAGCTTTTTCTCTCTGTGGTATTTTTGATATTTGAAAAAATCCCGATCATAGCGCTTCCTTCTTTTGTGCTTTTTCATTTTCTTCCTTCTAATTGTCAGCAGACGAGGCGAAAGCCACATTGAAACATTCGAATAGCTTGGTGCACTTATTTCTCCCTTTTCGAGTGCCGGGACCAATTTATCAAGGATTTCGGTAAGTATTGGACCTGGCGCCGAGAGCGGAACTCGATTAATCGTTGGGAATGTGTAAACCTTAAAAAAATAATACTTCTCGTTAAAAATAAACCAAACCTGTTGTGGATTTTCGAGAGCGGGTAACTCTACAGAAACTGGTGTATTGGGAAAATTAACTGATCCATTGGCTGGAAACCCCTTATCAGTTGTTGGAATTCGGGAAGGAACAGGTGGAAGGATTGCTGATGATGGAGCACTGTTAAAATCTTGAAATAAATAAATCAATGTATGATTACACGGAGCATATATGTTACGATGAACTAATGCTCGTTGAGAAATTGTCAAACGACTACATGCTTCTGCTAGTCGAGAGACAGCCCGGTTCATTTCCTGAAAATAAGAAAATTAAAAATAAAACTATTTAGATATAGAAAAATATTCAAACTTTAAATATTAGTACGAATAAAAATAGATACTTTAAATATTTCGTGTATACCTTAAATATTCCGTTTAATTAAATCTGAGAAGTTTCGACAATACTTTGAAAAAAAAATTTAAAAAACAAATAAAAAGTTAATTCCGTCAGATTAGACGCACCATACGCAATTCTGCATACACCATAATCGACGCGCGAACGCTGAATTCAAATTTTTCCGCGCCGTTTTTGCAATTTTTTTGTGAAGAAATTTTTCAAACATTTAAAAATATGCGCGTTATATATTTTTCTCTTCGATTTTTCCTTCTTCATAAGTTGTCTTTTTTATAGAAATGACGTCATATCAAAGTGCCACCATTGTTGCTGCTCCAAATGAGTTTCGAGTTAATTATCCACCATACGTGCAAATCAGCAAAGTTCAAGTATTGTAAATAAAGCTAAAAATATCTTTAAACATTTTTTTTAAGTTTCAAAAAGAGACTGGCTCACGTTTACTTGCTGCTTCTGGATGGGACGGAGTGGTGAAAATCTATGAAGTTGGATCTGTTGGCGAAATTAACGAAAAGACAACATTTCTGGAAGGAAAGCCATTGCTTTGCTGCACATTTGCTGTAAGAGTTTTTTAAAGTAAAAATTTAATTATATTTTCAAGGGATACAACAAAGCCGCTTGTGGAGGTCTCGGTCACACAGTTAAACTTCTTGATCTTGAAACCAGTCGAGGTAAAACTTATTTTTATCTTCTTGAAATAAAAATGATTCAAAGGTTTGCAAATTGGATCTCATGCGTTGGCGGTGAGGTGTATGGAATATAATCCAGTGTCCAGTTTAATTGTATCTGGAGGTTGGGATTCTGCTGTCAAGGTTAAAATCTAAACATTATCTCTAACAAATTTGAATTGTTCAGCTTTGGGATGCGAGAAGCTACGGAAATGGTGCCACTGATACTGTGAATGTTTCGAGCAGTGTCTACGCAATGGATGTTTTGAAAAACAATGTCCTGGTTGGAACTAAGGATCGTAAAATCTATCTTTTTGATACTCGTAAAATGAAAGACCCCGTTCAAATTCGTGACAGTCCACTGAAGGTCCGCAAATAATTTTTTGGCTAACAACAGTTATTTTATTTCAGTATCAAACTCGCTGTGTTCAATTCTTCCCTACTGGTGAAGCTTTCGTGGTCAGTTCAATTGAAGGTCGAGTCGCTGTCGAATATATCGATCAAGAAGGAGAGCAGTTGAAGAGAAAATATGCGTTCAAATGCCACAGGTGTGTTTGAAATCAGAAATCAATCAAATTTCGTTTTTTTTTTCAGAGAGAAAGAATTGGATGGTACGGAAGTAATTTATCCCATTAACACAGTCGCATTCCACCCGAAATATGGAACATTTGCAACTGGAGGATCTGATGGAATCGTTAATATTTGGGATCCGTTCAATAGAAAGAGGCTCATTCAATTGCACAAGTAAAAATTCCGTTCTGAAATTAATTTTTTCTTCGAATTTCTTTAGGTTTGAAACGTCCATCATTTCACTATCCTTCAACGAGGATGGAACCCAGCTCGCAATTGCATCATCATATCAATATGAAAACGAAATCGATCCGAAGCCAATTCCGAATAATACAATTACCATTCGTCATATTACTGATCCCGAAAGCCGACCGAAATAAGATTTTTTTAACAGCCTTACATGTATACGGGAGCTGTCATCATTTTCGATCTGGACAATTTATTTTTATTTTTAATTTACCATATATAATTTCGTGAATGAAACTCACTTTTTTTTTAAGTATTAAAGACTGTTTGGAATTTCCAGTAACATTCAGTGATATATATTTGTTATATTTCAAGCCTAATTTGAATAAGTATCAAATAGATAGAATGCCTCGCGGAGATTATCCAACAATTGGGGAATATGCTGAAGCTCAAAAGCAACTTGGAAGCTGCTTGCCAGAGTTTCGCGCAACGATGATCAAGTCATTGCAAGTCGGTGCGGGATTTGGGGTCCCTTTTGGTACTTATGTCGCATGGAGGTAAATCAGGTTTTTCGACCATTTTGAAGATTTTCATAATGGACCTATTTTGCAATGAAAAAAAAATAAGAAAAATCTTTCTCATTTGAATTCCCTATGCACGCACGTCGAAAATTACAAAAAATTGACATTTCTCGTAATTCTCCGCCATTTATTTTCAAAGGCGCACGTGAAAAGTTGCGCAGGTCACGTCGCGAAGTCGGTACTGTAATTTTTTAATGGCTGTTTTTTTTTCGATTTTTTTTATTTTTTGAGCGTTCAAAACGTTTTTTTTTGAAATCTGTAGAAGTATTTTGTTTAATAAACGCTGAAGGTTCATCAGAAGCGTCATCGAGCAAAGTCTGCATCAAATTAACACAAATATCACAATTTTTTATATTTGGCATCTAAATGACGAAAAATAGACTTATATTTTCGAATTAGGAGTAATTACACCAGCAATAATTGTTTTTACTCGTTCTTAAATCCGTTAGTCATTTTCTCTTCGAAGTTTTTGAAAAATACGAAAAATTTAGCACACAGAATGAAAAATAAAAAATACAGTACCGACTTCGCTACGTGACCCGCGCAACTTTTCGTATGCGCCTTTAAAAATAAATAGCGTAGAATTATGATATATCGCGTCAATTTTTTGTAATTTTCGACGTGCGTGCATAGGGAATTCAAATGAAAAAATTTGATTTTTTTAAAATTTTTTTCATTGCATGAATAGGTCTATAACCTGAATAAAAAATAATAAAATGTAGAAAACATTCCTTTTGTTTGTTTCAGTTTTTCGATGTTAATAGAATGATATTGGTATCAATCAAATTAAATTAACTTCAGGCAACATGGCACAGCGTTCAAACCTTTCATTGGCAAAACAATTGCGACGTGGGTAACCTCGACATTGACATTTGCCTGCTTGGGGCTTATGGGAGGCACCTATAATTGCCTTCGAATAAAATTTGATCGATAGCCTCTTATTTTTAAACGCTAAATTTTTTGTAGATGTTGCTATTTTCGCTCCTCAAGTGCATAGGAAAAAACGAGTTGTATAAAGAGATTCGGATAAAATCAGTGTTTTCGCGTTTATTTGAAGGTCGAAGGCGATTTTTTGCTGACGGTGCAAATACTGGCCTCTGATAACGCGTGATGTTGATTGAATTCATTTGGTTTTTTTATTTATAAAATAATTGGTGAATAAGAAATTTTTATTTTTTTGTGGTTTTCTTTCGACGCCGCCTCGATGAAATCAGTTCTTATCGTTGTACTTTGTCCGACACTGTCATTGGGGTAAATTTCACGTAAATTCAACGATGATTCGTCGCTACAATTCTCTTTCGTTGAGTTTTTCCCCTCATTTCATTATGTGTGTATTTTTGCGTAAGATTCCGTCTGTAAACATCTTTAATTGATTGCAAACGGAATTTTTTTCTCGTTATTTTTTTATTCCAATTCGTTTTTCTCAACGATTTTATTTCGTTATCTCAATTTTTCTTGCTCTGTTTTCAAACTATTTCGTCCTCAATTTTAAAATTGGTTGTTTTAATGAGGAAACCCACCCTTTCGATTAACATTTCCGTTTAATGAGGAATGTATTTTGCATAGATTTTTTGTTCTTTTTTTAAATAATTGCATTAAGCGCTTAAATTAGGTTTTTTTAGTAACGCTATTCACGACCGATTTTCTATTTTACAAAATACGCTTTTGATTGTTTTTACACGCTCTGAAGCTGTCAATCAAAATGTGCTGAATAGGTTCTTCGCCGATTAATCTCGAACCTCTTCCTAAGTTATTTGTTTTTGAGTGGTGATTAAATTTCAGTTTTTGATCTAAACCGCCAGAGGTTAACTTTTGATCGAAACCGCCCGTTATCGAATTTTTTGACCCAAAACCGCGTTCGGTGAGATCGTAGTTTTCAGATTTTCATCCAAAACTTGTTTTTCAAACGATTTCGTCTTGTTCGACATGGATTTTGTCTTTCACAATAAATAAAAACAACAACACAATAGAAAAATTGTTATTGTTTTTGATCTAGAACCTCGTCCCGACGCGCGTAACTTCGCCATCTTCTTCAAACAGTGTGTCAGTTGGCTGCTGGTCAACCGCCGATATCAATAGTGTATGTTGTTTTCTCACTCGACACGTTCTATCTTGTTATTCTATACCGATCACTGATTACTTTCTTTTTCTTCGTATTCGAATTCAACTCATCTTGCAATTTCGAAGTTTTCAGATGACAAACTACCGTTCGACTCAGGACTTGCCAGCCGACCAAAAACCGGAAACGTCAACGGGCCCCGATGAATGTGCCGAGAAGGAAAAGTGAGATTTTGGCAATATATTTCGATTTCATTTGAAGTTTCGTTCAGTTATCGCAAGACATCGGTGGCTACCAATAATAATGTGCGCAAGAGATCGATTGCTAGCAGAAGTTCATCGATTGAGTCGATTTCTGGGGTTTGTAATTAGTCGAACTAATTGCTACCGAAAAATTACTGATAACTTAATTTTAAATTATTTGAAATTTCCCAATTTCTGAAGACAAATTTTAACATATTATTGTTCATATTAATATTTAAAAACTATGAGCAAAGAAATTAGCAACAACTAAATTGACTGCTAATTCAAAATATCATAAAAACCTTAAAAATTACAAATTGCAGGATATGCTCATTTCGGAGTACATGTCCTCCGATGAGTTGGAGAAGCTGAGTATGACCCTCAGTGAGGTCAGTTACCCATTCCAATCTCATTAATCGCGGGGCGGTCCCACCGGTGACCAGTGGTGATTCACGTGTTTCTCGCCGGAATAATAATTGAATGCAATTTGAGAATGAGAGACGCAGACTTTGAAACAGTTCAAAGTCCGTTCGCCACCAAATGGTGTACTAGACCCTCATTATTAGTGTGTATCTCCGTGTGTGTTCTATGTATTTTGACCTATAATTATGGACCACTTCACGGGTTTCCAAGGCGAATTAGACTGTATTTTAGCAAATTCAAAGGTTTCCCTATCTCAAATTTTGCTTACCTCTTCTACTTTATTCTTAACTATAAACTTATAGGCTTCTGCTGGCAACAATGGTGATAAAACAACATTGTTCGATGATATGCTCCAAGCTCAGTTAGCTCTTTGGACTTTCGCATTTTCGCTGCTCTATTCCTATGCATGGGTGCAGCATCGCAAAAAGTTTCTCATATGTATTGTATGTTTCGAAATATAAAAGGAAATTACTTCAACGGAAAATCGTTTTCAGTTTGTTATTATTCCGGTGGCTCTCACCCTAACGTGCATCATTTCTTGGCTTCTTGGATTCATTGTAATTCTTGGACGTTTCTTCACAACTCCAGTCAACTATGGTCGTTACTTCGACGCCTCGAAACACGAAGGATACGCTTTTGGTAAGCGATCTTGAATCAAATCGTAAATTTCACATATAAGAACCGTGTGGTTGTTTTAGATCGCAATATGGCACGTGAGGCGTACCGCCAGCGCAGCTTTTCTGGAGCATCGGCGATTACTTACACCACAGAGAACATGTATCCGATGACGATGTGCAGAAGACACAGCTCATACACGTAATAACTTTTTATATTATCATTAATACAATATCCTTTTCCAGTTCACTTAACAGTCGCCCACCATCAGTGACCCGCAAGCTCTCTCAAGTGAGCAACATGGGCGCATCTAATTAGATTAAATAATTCATATCATATATAGTAATATACGCGGGTACTGTGTTGTCTCACTTTATTACATTATTCAACTGTCTAACGATTTTCAACAACAAACAATAAATGACTAGCGAAAACACGGTATACCCGGAATGAATTGAATTACAATTAGAACTTATTCCTTGAGTTGTGTGCGGTACGATATGTAGCTGTTCCAGAAGAAGGCGGCCAGTTGGACCACCAAAACTCGATAATTCAACGGCATGACGTAGAAATTGAAAAGTTGCACCGCGGGCCAAATTTTCAGGCTGTTTATGTAGACTTCGCCCCAAACTTCCTTCATTTTGCTGATGGCAACTGCTGGAGGGTCACCCTCTAAGAGCTTGACGCTCGTGAGAATGACTGCGGTAAGACATGGTCCGAACATAAGCTGATCCACCATCATCCTTTTCACAACTGCTACACTTTTGTTAGGATGAGTTATCCGCTCAAGAACTCGGAACCAAACGTTCAACGGAGGAGCGATGATGAATGTACCGAGGAAAGTGAATCGAGCGGTTCGCCACACATCCCACCGTGGTTCCTTGGTGATGTATTGTGCAAATACGTCTCCAGCGCCGCAAACCGCTCCGGATACAACCATCTGAGTGAGAAGGGGCCGACGCGCCAGAATCGCGTTGAAGCGGTTGAGCAGCATTAACCTGAAATTGGTTTCTGCCAAAAAATGTCCATTTTCAAAAAAAAACAGCCAAGTTTTGCGTGTTGAATGGTAAAGACACAAAATTTTGTGTAATTAGTGCAAGAAGCAAAACTTTTAAAACACAGACTAAAATATTTAGTCTCAAAATTTATACATTGTCGACGTCGCGCGATTTCGGAAAATTGGCTAAGTGCTAGAAAACAATAAAAGTCGTTTTGGCGCAAAAATTAAAAGTGAAACTTTACGGGCCAAACTACAATGAATATGTTTCAGGCGCACACCAAGACGTCTTCCTAAATTTTTTAGCATTTAGCAAATTTTCCGCAGTCGCGCGACGCCCACAATACGGTTTTAAATTTATTTGACAATGCTTACGTATTTCGTTATGCCGACTGCTGGAATCGCGATGGTCTTCTAAAATACAGACGATTTCGGAAAAGAAATGAATACGGCATAAAAATAATGAATCATTGAATTTGGATCACGTACCAATTTTTCAGAAGAAGAAAATTTAGTTACAGAAAAATAAAATGCAATGGTTTGATAACACAGACAGTTAAAAAGTGATATCGGCGGTGTTAGCACATTGATAATAACTTTTTGAACTGACCTTGGGCGGACGATTTGAAGAGCTTGCATTAGAGCTTTCTTTTCAAGAATGAAATTGGTTGGCCGACTGAAAAACAAAACGATAATTGATGTTCGATTAATTGTTGCGAGACTTTGAAAATGCAGAAAAGAGAAAAAAGCAATGCAGTAAAAAATGTTTTTCTTTTCCTTTCATTATTTTTTCACATTTTCCTTTTTTTACTGTTTTGCTCCTTAAAAGTCGGCAATAAAATTATATTAATAATATTTAAAAAATTTTCTACTATTATTTTGATTCAAGTCTATTTCACAAAACAAAATCTTGTTTTTTTTAAAAGGAAAATTTCAAATAAATTGGGGTTGTGCGCATAGAGAAGCCATTTTTAAAGGAATATCCGAAAAATGTGGAGAGAATGAGAAGAACTCATCGAAAAATCGCGAAACTCGTAACCAATTGCAAACACAAAATTGAAAATATGTTGTTTGTGCCAAAACGTCGCGAAATTTCGTCGATGTCGGTGGGGCGCACTTTGAAAGCGCGGAAATCCGAATTTCGCATTTTTTTTTCACAACGTCGCTGGCGAGCTCATCGATCACTTCAAAAGCGGACCCGATTCATCTGTGACTAATCCAGCGCGCGAGGCTCGTTTACGACCGGCTCGTAAACGCAAGACGCGCCGCAGCGTCGGAGGCTTTTTTGTCGTCGTCTCACCTCGCATTCAAACGATCGTGTTTGTCGATTCAAAAAGGTCGTTCGTTTTCCTTGTGATTTTATTGATTTTGACCCTGATTCAATCCACATGTTGTCTCGCAATTTCCCACGATTTTTCCGTCTTCCTCCTCGAAAAAATTGATTTTTTTTTTCTTTCAGAATCGTCATTCGATGGCCGGAGCTGTCATTGAAAATTTAAGCAATCGCAAGTTATTTTTCATATTAATTGGTTTATTATGCGTCCAAGTCCTATTCTTCCTTGTTGGAGCGTGGTATGGTAAGAAAAAATATATTAGGTTTACGAAAAGCTCACAAATTTATTTAATTAAGCTCCTGCGCCATCAACTTATATGGAATTTGAAATGATAAAATGTCACGATCCTTCAAAAGGTACTACCAATGAATGGTTTCACAGAGACGTAAGCAAATAAATTAGTTTCGAAGATTACAATTTTTGTTTATAGAATTGCAAGCTAATAGACGATCTTTCCCAATTTACTCCAACTTCATTCGACATGAGGGAAATTGTATTTGTCGCACGAATGCCACACATTAGGTAAGTTTCAATCTATTTTCTCGATAAAATTTATTATAGAAGCGGTATTGAATTGGAATACTCGCCTTGGTTCCAATTTCTGCTCGGAGTGCTGCACGTTGATGTTGAATATAGTGAACATTTCAAATATGGTAATTTTATTAATAAATATTTACTAAGTAGCTACTGATTAAGTTGCCCATGCGCCACTATCATTAGAAGTTCGAATGGGTTACCGGACAAAAGAATCATCAAAAAATGATTGGAATGAATTAAGCAATACCAATGTGTCTCGAATTCTTGAATGCACAATTTCTGAGCAAGACGTAAGAAAATATAGCTTCTAATTTAAGACGAACTCGAAATATTTCAGAAGAAAGATGGCAATTCTTACGATTGTGAAACAATGGATCTTTTCGAGTTTGGATCGAGCAGTTACCCATTTTATCTCATAAATATTCGAATCCCAATTAATCAAGCTGCATGCAGATACAATCCATCAAGTCCAAATTGTCAAATCGGGAAAATTAACGAGCTTCGACTGATAGTTAGTTGATTATCAATCATTTTACTACGTACAGAAAATATTCAGGAGATTCACCAAAATGGAGGGTTCACACTTGTTTGGCTTTGGATGAAAACCTTGCTCACTCCAGTAATGATCGCAAGTATTTGGTGGTACTGGAAAAGGGTGATAAAATATTTAATGCTATTAAAGTCATTAATCAATTCCTAGGTTTATCATTTGGCCAGACACCCATTACTTCTGGAAAAGGCCATTTTGTTGCTTGGCGTGAGTGTTGCTATTCTCGACTGTAAGAAAATACTAGCTCTCTTTTTTATTAAAAAATATTCTTCAGTTCCAATTGAATGGATTTCATTAGTATTCCGCGTTCCTTTCCTTCTATTAATTTCGGACTTGCGTCAAGGCCTTTTTTATACAGTTCTGCTCTCATTTTGGTTAATTTTTGCTGGAGAGCACCTCATCGACGACACTACTAGAAATAATATTGTAAAAATTAGAGAATTATTACACGGTTTTGTACATGTCATATATTTAGATGTCGTATCGCTTAAATTTGGCATTTATCGCAATTGCTTCTGGAGCACTTTTAATTTATGATCTCATCGAACGCGGAATTCAGCTTTACAATCCGTTTTACAGTGTGTGGGCTTCGGAAGTTGGAACTAAAATTGCGGTAAGCACATGATCTCTTTCTTATAATTATAATTATTATCAAATAATTAATTCTTACAGTACCTTGCCATATTTATCGGAGCCGTCTGTAGTTGTATATATTTTGCCTTTTTATTCTACAAAATTTTCAAAGTGTGGACGACGATTCGCCGCAAACGTTCTGCGCAACTTTATCAGAACAATGAAAATCGCCGACTAAAAGTTGAAGGAATTATTTATCGCTTCAAATTTCTTATGGTTTTTACACTTTTGTGCGCTCTCTGCACAATTGTCGCATATTTTATGAAGCAGGTTTGAAGAGAATGCTCTGCTTTATCATGAAAAATTTTTTTAAGGTTGGAGAAGCTCAACTACACGGCGATGAAGCTGGAGACGGATTCTTAACAGGCAGCACGTCGGCCTTCTTCACTGGAGCTTTTGGAATGTGCAATATCTATGTTTTACTTCTCTTAGCGATGTATGCACCATCGCATAAACATTATAGAGGGGCGACACGTGAGATTTCATATATTAGTTTTGATAATGGAAAATTGCTTGTAATTTCAGAGCTAATTGATGAGGACGACGAGGATGACATCGTCGTCGACGGTTCTGCTACGGAATCCAATGCGATGACGACGTTCCTGAAACCGAACACCGACTAAATTTCAATTGTACTATTCTAACACTTTGCATCTCATCATTTTCGTGTGCTTTAATTCTACGCATTTTACATGTGAATCACGGTGCTAATTATAAATTATTATTCTTATTATAACATATTTTCGACGTGGCCTGCTTTGAATACTATGCGCACCTGTCATTGAGAACCAACAGTTATTACTACGAATTGGATTTTTGGAGAATCGACTGGCGCTTGAAATTGAATCGACTCATCATTGAAAAATGGCCGATATTGGAAACGTCGATGAGGGTTCGTATGTGTCAGACTCGAAGATTTGATTTGTTTTTTTAGGCATGTGCTCAGTGTATTCCGTTCCGCCCTCTGAGACGAATTGCTCCATTAGTGAAGCGCTCAGCAAGCAAATGAACGCCATCAATGAGTTTGCGCACGAGTCTGGTGGGTTATTCGATCAGAAACTCCTCAATTTTTAATATATTTTAGCTATTAGTGTTTCGGAGTACAGTGATTACAAATCAGAAGCAAATGTGAGCATGACCGACGGATTTGCACCTGCGGCTTTGTTCGGTACGTAAACAATGAAAACTACGTAAAAATGCACACAATTAAATTGAAATTAGCTTTCGGACTGGTTTTGGCTTGGAAATAAGGTTTTCGGACTGGTTTTGCACATAGGTGCCAAATTAGGCATCCATTGCAGTGCTTGGCGATATGTAGCATCCAACGGCGAGGGTCTGATGTGTCGTTGACACCAGAGTGGGTAGCAATTGAATCTAGTGAGCGAACGTCCGCGAACTCGTTTCTTCGCCAATGAGGAATTGTGCAGGGGTCCTGAAATCGGCCGAGATGTGTGCCGATGGTCCGACGAGTCGACAAGATATCGGGTCTTGCGCGAGTCGGACCAGAAAGATAGCACCGACTGAGGCGAATTTTGCGGAATTGTCTTTTGAATATTACAGATGCCACCGAATATACTGCTCTGCCATCGGAAGCCAATGCAACAATGGGTTCATCGATGGAAGGTTCCCATATTTATTATTTGACAAATTCAATGTGCAACGTATTATAGCATCTGTATACAGTGCTCCAAAATCTGAAACTATTGTGACACTTAAAGATGGTTTCGAGCCGTGTGAAGATCGTAAAAAATACTTTTACTATAACGTTTTAAAATTTTAAGATTTTAGTTCGTGCTGTATACATGTCGGCCTATTCGGCGCCTCCATCAGAAGTCGGCGTCACAATGAGAAGCGGTTTCGAGCAATGCTCAGATATGAAGGCACTTCAAATTCGGCAATTCTATCGCGATTTTGAGGATGGTAATTAGAAATTTATTGAACTGAATATATTGTGAATTAAGAAATGACGGCTATTGATGGAGAATTTTTGAGCGAATGTAAGATTTTATTAATTTCCGATGCTTCAAGATCAATTTCAGACGACGGTGCCGATATTCAGCAACAATTAGGAATTCCTGGTACGCGCTAAAATCTTCTTTAAAGTATAATTCAATTCCGACCATTTTCAAATACACTACTTCACTCATCATTTTTATTTGCTCTTATTCGAAACGGGTATTCAGATGAGAAAATGTTTGCGATCAGCTCAAGCAATGGAATGCTCAAAATAGTCGACTCGATCGAATGCCTAAACCGTCTGGCCGAATTTCAACCAAAACCTGTTGATTTTTGTCAATAGACTCTCGATTTTCTCTTGCCGACCAACCAAAATTTATCCCATTCATTTCCAATCTTCATTCGCTTTTTAGCTCGTGTTTTTTTCAGCCGAGGCGTCTAGCACGATGTCAATCAATAATGGTGAGTTGTTGCGATAGTTTTAAAATGTTTGTCATTTTACAGATGCTGAAAGCTACATGCTAAAGACGCAATATCAACACGAGATTTGAGGCCACGCCCGTTTTCATTTCCCCCCATTTCCTCCTTACGTCCTCCATTTTTTTGCCATAAAAATTGCGTGATTGAAATTTGAGAGCAACGCTCATTTGTTTCTGAGTGGCGTTTTTAAAAATCTCCGAACAGGACAAGCTGTCCAAATATTCAAGAATCTAAACAACAAGATTTCCTCAATTAATTTTGAGCATCGTCTGATTCATTGTTGAGCAAATTGCCCGAGAAGAATCCCTCCCAACGGCCACTTGAAAGTTTTATTATTCTGCTGTATTGTTATTTTAATGAATTCGAATAAACAAAAAACCCCTCACTTATTCGTTTATGCACATTTTTTGCAAAAAAATACGTTGTTGTTTTTTTTTGAGTGTTGAGACGAAAAGAAACCCAATTAAAATACAAATTTTCCGCATAATGAAGGGAATGGGAAACAAACTAATTACTTTACTTCATTTTTTTAAACAAAAAATGTCGATTTTTCGAGCGAAACTGGCGGCAATTCAAATTCGACTCGCCGGCGATCGACAGGTGTTCTTCCCAGGCGATCTAGTGGCTGGAACGATTACTGTCGAGATACCCGACGGATTCAAAGCGAGAAAATTGACGACAAGATTGGTTGGAAAAGCATACACTTATTGGGAAGGTGATGCCAGAAATAATACAAAAATAAAGTGAGTTTGCAACAACAACAACAAAAGAACGAAACGAGCGATTCCAGGAACAATGTAATTGTTCGCGTTCGCCATAACACCGCCGATCATCACGCGAAAATGATCTACGTGAAAGCCGAAACAGCAACGTGGAAAAATGAAAATTCTCGAGTGAGATTTTTATTTTAATATTCTCAATTTCTTTGAGAAGTTTAGCACGAATGGTCCACGGGGACTTACAACTATCCGTTTTCGTTTCAGCTTCCGTTGAAATGCCCACCAAGTTTTGAAGGTAATATTTATTTAGTAGATGGTGTGGAATTATAGTTTTTTGTTATGCGTTGCGATTCGCATGCGGCAGCATCAGCATTTTTGTAACTAGCGTGTGATCCTCCTCTCTCCTCATTAGCATCATTTTAACATAGTTAGGAAAACTCAAAAAAAAAACTCATGTGACCGCACGCGAGCCGCAACACCCCCAAAAGACATTTGTATTGCAGCGGTCAATTTTGGTAGTTCCAGAAACTTGCAATACTTTATATGGGTTTCAAAAACTCCAGTGAAGAAGGGTTTCAGGAGAACTTGGTTACATCCGCTATTTCATCAAAGTTGTCATTGATCGGCCATGGAAATTCGATGACAAGCTCGCCAAATGTTTCACAGGTTCATAAATCCCACTTTTCATTTCGGTCGCTTCAACCATTTCTAGTCCTTCCGGTCGTTGATTTATCAGCCGTTCGAAATGCGAAAGTAGATTCGCGACGGCACATTTGCGAACGAGTTGGTTCATTCTGGTGGAACAGGGGTGTTGTCAAATTGGAGGTTGCTTTGTCTCCTTCCCACCCAACACGTAACCGTATTCGTTCTAGTTGAAACTAACCAAGCAGGGATTTGTGCCGGGAGAGGAGATGGAGTGCGAGATAACTGTGGATAATAACAGCAAGACAAATTTTAATAAGGTTTCTACATATTTTTTTCTTTAAAATCCAATTTCCACACGCTTCATTCAGCTCCAACTTTGTCTCATTCAATCTGTAACTTACACGGGATTTCGCGATGGATTTCAAGGATCGAAATGCGAGAAAAACAGCTCGCAGGTTTTGGTGTCGACCCGCTTGAATTCACAGATGAGAGTGGACGACCGAACATTTTTCGATGAGACAATCGTTGGTGTAACTCTCGACGATTCTTGGTCAATCATTTATTTTCGCAGGATGCAAATGTTCAATCAAATTCAAAAGAGCAAATTGTGAAGAATATTTTGATTCCGGCGCTCTGTCCTTCGATTAAGTGTTGCGACTTAATTGAGGTCGATTACAAGCTGAAATTAAAATTGAAGCCTTCTGGTAACTTCGCCAACAGTATTAAATTGGAGGCGCCTTTCATTATTGGAACACTGCCAACGGAGAAAATCGACAAGAAATTTGAGTACAAAAAATCAGTGTTTGGCTATAACGGAACACGTTTGAGGACCAAGAATTTTCAAGTAAATAATTGGAATTGATTTGATGAAAAAAAAAATTGAACTTTCAGAAATTCGCGCCAATGTATCCAGTTTTTTCATAAAAACTCATTGTAATTATTTTCACATTCCATTTTATTTACTTTGAAAAAAAAGGTTTCACGAATAAAAACTTCTAAAAGGCTTTATAACCGGAAACATTATTCCATTGCTTGTTGAACCGCACAGAATTTTGCCTATTTTTGAGTCTGCCCGCTAATGTCCGAATATTACTCACACTACACTAAAGATGAGCTTCTTCAACAACTGATCAATGTGTCAGCAAAATTAGCAAAATTCAAAAACCGGGATACGACTTCAAGAGTACTGTAAGTCTTGAATGCTCGTCTAATTCGAATTGGTTAAGAGTCGTACGGCTACACGAAATGAAAATCGAAAAACCGCGGCATTTGCGATATTTGTTGGCCTCATTCGCCTATTCAAACTTTCGTGCGAAGTTTTCGCCATTGAAGGCTCGGCAACTAATCTGAAATGTCTACTGAGTACGTCTATTGATCTATTTTTATTCCTTGAATTCTTTTTGATTGCAGCGTGCGCGAAGAACTTGTCCGAATGGTTCGAACAGGTTTTCACAAGATTACCGCCAACAAATTTAATGGAACATTTTGAAGAATATCTTGTCACGAAACAGTTAACTACGGTAATTGTGTGAACATTTTCTCAGGAATGTAGGTAGAAGTCTAGAGAGATGTTGCGGTTAATTCCATTCCGGGTGCAATGATCAATGAAATTCAAAAAGCTCGCTATAATCATCATTTGGATGTCAAGAAAGCTTGTCAGGAGCAAAAAGCTTTCCGTGAATCATTTTTACGGTCTCAAACCGACTTTGATATTGATTTTGAGGACGGCGATGTGGAGGTAAGCACTCTGTCATTTGACTCTCTCGAAGAATATTGATTTTTGAGGATGACACAAAGCTATTATCGATTGAAGAGGCGGTTTTAATTATTCAGAAGCTTGAAAGAAGTTTGATTTTTCCATTGGATTTTTTTTTGAATAGTTGAGAATTCAGAATATCAGGCGATCTCGCGAAGAAACTACGTTAGATTTGTAAGGGAGGGAGCCGCTGAGTTTCATGGAGTCAAAACTGAAATCGACGCAACTCAAGCGGCCATTCGAATTCAAGCGGTGGCTTTTGCTTCTAAAAAAAATGAATTCGGATAATTGATTTTAAGCGGACTCGCGGCTATTTTGCGAGAAAATATGTTCGCGAAATGCGCGATAAGGAGCTCAAAATTCTCAACATGAAGCCGGAAAGTCTCATCGAGGCGAAATGCAACGAACGAAGCGAGCGACGAGTGGTTCTAAATTGGCAAAGTAATGCGAAACCGATTGGCACATTCCCAAATGATTTGGAAGATGCCATCGAAATGATGAGAAATGCGTTCTACGTGGCTCTTGATGACGACGAGGAGAAGCAGATTGTGCAGGCGGAGACGGAAAAAACCGACACGTTGTACCTCGATGCGTGCTATCGTGGAATCGTCGCCTCGTTGGGACAATTTGGTCTCGCCGAACTAATTTCGCAAAAGTTGGTGGGAATTAACGCGGCGAGGAAATCGCTCAATTTTTAGGGAACGCGTTAAAATTGATGGGCGATGCCTAATTTTTGATATTGTTTCATTTGTGACCATCACACTCGCTATTCCACTAGGTAATCGACTTTTTTGAAAATGCTCTATTCAAATTTAAAGCTTTATCTACATGGAAGCCAATGAAGCCTAGATGGATGCTTTTAATTGGAGGGCCTGGATCAGGAAGGCGATCCATAATTAAGGTGATACTCTAGGATTATTTTCCTAAGTTTTTATTGTATAGGCGGTTTCAAACGCAACATTCCATACACACATTCATATTTCTAAAAATGCTGTGACTATGGGAAAACGGAAAATCTACACGACGGCCCGGAAACTAGCGAAATATGAAAAACGATTATTGATTAGTATCGATAAAATCGATATTTTGAAAATTGATAAAAAGACGAAAGCATTGAATCATCGTCAGGTGCTCACACAGTTTTTTAAATTCAAATTTAGATCTTCTTTCAGCTGTTATTAACAAATTTCCTAGCAGATATTTCACACACCTCAGCTACTGTAGTAGGGATGAGTAGGACCGATGAGTTGCAGCAGGCAGTCCACAACTACTTCCAGCTCCAAGTTTATATATCTCAACCTCGAGATGATACGAGATATGGTAGGTTCAAAAAGCAATTCAAAAATACCAATCAAATAGTATTCATACTATGTTATTTCAAATTTACTGGCATGATCATTATGATCCAAGGTGTGAGACACACCTCATAAAACCATCATTGGGGCGCATGGTAAATGATAATGAATTGCGTCACACCACACCGCTTGTATTCAGTTCCTTCGAGCAATCGAATTTGAATTTTATTGCACTCATGATTTTTGAGAAATGTTCCGAATAACTTCATCTCTCATTACTTCCACCCGACTTCTGGTGGTTCATGTGCGAGTCAATTTCGGTTGTACTGTCGGCGAGTTGAAACGAATCGCACATGCGCGAGCTGATCAAGACCGCGCAATTTCGAGTTGAACACGTTGCCAAACGATGAGTTTGCCGGAAACGTTCGGATTCGAGTTCGAGTCGAAATTTGTTCGAGCACACGCGAGTTGTCAGTCGGTTCTCAACTCACACAAATGCATCGGAATGGGAAAAGGAATATATTCTCAGGCGGGACACTTGGGAACCCAAATATTGCACTCTGGTGTTGAGCAGCTGGTTTTGAGAATGAGAAGAATCGCTGGATGATGGGATTCCAAATTGATAGCTTCTGTCATTTCAGATAGTGTTAAGTGGAGACGGTAATCATTGCGAGCTCGTGATAAATTCCCCCCGGTGCAAGCACGAGCTTGAGCTTCGCACCTTGTAAGCTGTCAATCATAAATTCTGCAAAGTGCTCTTATCTCTTCAATTCTCATTTATACGGTATTTTATCACAGATTTCAACATTTATTCAAAAACCGAAATATGTATATCAGAATGGGAATCAAAAGAAATTCTCACCACTTAAAACTATGGAAATCGACTTTTTGACTGAATTATTCACAAATTTAGAATTCGATTAAATATAGAATATTTAAAATTATTCGAATTAATGTGGATATTTTCTTCGCAGCTGCTATTAAGGCTTCACGAATTTCAAATAGAACAACCTCAAAGTTGTTCACAGTTATAACACCTTGCTGTCGAATGAAAATGTGACGATTCCCATTGCTCCGGATGAGAATTTCCGTCGATTCCCATTCCGATGGTTTTTGTGACATTTGAGAACCGCCTGACAACATAAGTGTGTGCAATGCAAATTTGGCTGGAAGCGAAACTTTAGAAGATCTCTGAAATGATCGCGCCTGGCATCTTTGGGTAGAAAAAAATGAATAATTAGGATTGAATCAAGTTGGATGTTGAACAGCTATTTCTCTTCAAAACCTGCATAGTGCCATTATGGATTGTGTATCAAGAAATAGACTTTTGATATAATGGATGAGAGAGGCGGTTGGACGATTTCAAGTAGGATACAAATGTTATGAACGCGTTGACTCTTTGATTCCACCGACCGCACATTGTCGATTTTTAGATTTAGCCGCCAACTGTTTAAGTCGAAATTTGGAGCAGGATCGACTGGCAAAAGTGCCGCAACGGATATTCGACATTGAGAAGGTTGATTTCATTCATCTCGCTTGTAAGGCCAATTATTGTTTTCAGCAAACGCAAGGGCTCTCATATGGAAAAGCGGTGAAATTTGTGACAAATCGATGGAGTGCCGCCAATGCCACGAAAACCAATCAATCGATATGATTAAAAAAATATATTTATTTTTTGTTTATAGCTTAAACAATTAAGTATGGTACAGAAAAAACAAACAATAAATATTATATACAAATTTCTAAAGAGTGACTAAGAAAAAAAAACAATGTGAACCGTAATTTTATGATTTTTTTGGTGGTCTATGGGCCATTTAGAATTTATTACTATATGTATAATAATTAAACCAGTGTATTCCCCCGTGTTGCTTATGTATTTTGAATAGTTTGCTTATTATTATTGGGTTTCAAACCCAAGGCCTCCAAATAGTTGGTGTGGATTCAATAGAACTCGATGAGGTGTCTGAGGGCGATGGAGCTCCACTCTCGACTGAATACGTTGGCGATGATACGCAAAAGTTTGGGATGACTGGCAAAAAGCCGAAAGGCATCGGCGGGAATCCAACAGAGACTGCCGAAGGAACTGGCGTTGGTTGAGTGTTGTGCAATTGTAATGCTCTAAAATAGCGCAATTTTTTCCAAAATATATCAACATAATAAATAAATCAATATATATATATATAATAGTTTATATTATTACCTTTGAAACTTGATGTGCCTTTCCAATGCAGCGGTACGAACACACAAATGTTTGTCGTTTTTGAAGAATTCCAATGCGAGTTTTGTAGCAATCTCGAATCCGCCGTTGTAGGCGACTTGATACAGGGTTTTTTCTTTAAAAAAAAATTGAATAACCAAAACTTGCGATATTGATTTTACCTTGAGTACAATCTGTCGTGAAATTTCCCTTTTTGCTTTTAATATATTCCAAAATGTTTTCCAACACTGTGAGTCTCTGCATTTTCTCTCTGCAATGGCAACAATGTCTTCAGAAAACGAAAATTCCCAAAATGGAACTTACACATGAATTTTTGACCGATTCGCTGAAATGACGATGAGAAAATGTTTAAGCGCTTCGATCGCTTCTCCTTGACGATCCCGACGATCCTGTTCGCGATTCTTTTTTATAATTTTTCGATCCAACTTTTTGAATGGCGATGGTGTGCTTCGATCGCTATCCGGCGACGACTTCACACGGCCGACCGGCGAGCCTTTCTTCTTTAATCCCGGAGACCCTTTGCTGAGCAGAAGCTGTTGTTTCTCTTGCTCAAAACACGCTTTGACGCGATCAATGAAGTCTTGACAAATCGATGGATCGACTCCGAGATTCCGGATGAAATGGAGGACCTCGTTCTCGACGAAACCGAACGCGTCAATGAAACCTTTGCGCTCCGGTTGGTACGAAGTTCCGGGCGTTTCTCCTTCCAGTCTATACACGAGTTCAACAGTACGCCAAAGGACATCAGCTTGTTTCAATCTGCAACTTTCAGCGTCGGTTTTAAAACAATACTGATCGTTTTGTCGTTCAAACCCATTCGCCTTTTTGTCGATTTCATCGTCACAAACATAATTGCGCAATTCGTTGATTTTGTTGTTGATCTCATCACGCCGCTCTTTTTCGCGAATCGACTTGTGATTCTGAAATATCGAATTTTTGAAGTTTTTTTTTAAGATCGAAGGACTTACCATTCGACTGGAGAATGGAGTGTCTTCTTTGTTGTAGAACAAGACCATCGCACTGCAAAAAAACCAAAATTACGGTACGATAAGAATCAGAGCAAAAAAAAATTCGAGATTTGAATCAAAACTTGAAACAAAGCGATACTGTAGTAAAAATGAGATTTGTTTAATTTTCTTATCAAAACTGTCGTGGGAGTTTCCCATGACCCTTTGTATGATGAGCATGATAAGAGCCCATCTACAGTAATCCTTTAATGGACTCAAGAGGGCGGAACGTGTGAACAATATAAGGCAAATATGGAAATGGGGATTAACGACTACAGTAATCCGCGCGGCGGATGTGTCTCGCCGATGAGCTGGACTACCTCTACTGATCCACGACGCACCAGCCACCCCCACCGACGCCACCTTTCGGCACCGCCCACTTTTTGCGCCTACTCCCACTTTTCGCGATGCCGCATTCGGACCCCTCCCACTAATCGGTTACGGTAGCACGAAAATTTAAGTGATTTATAGCGAGATGATTTGACGATGAAGAATAAGGGCAACGAAATTTATGTTCATTTGAATGCGACAACACTCAAAAGAAGAAGAAAAAAAACGAAGCGTTGTGATAATGCGACACGCCGATTTTGCAACAGGAACTGAACGTTGAATCGTGCGAAAAATGATATGAAAAACTTATGCAGGGTTATGAATTTAAGGCGAAAATGCTGAAAATCGGTGTCTGGAATGAATTCTGAAACTCTCAGAACTCGAAATAATCTATAATTTTGATCTACTGTTTTGGCACAATATTTCTATTTTTGCTAATTTTTCTTAAAAAAATAATTCGTACTATTCATTTTTTCCCCATTATTCGTGTTGCGCAGGTGTTCCGGTTGAATGGATTGCGTGACGCACTCCGCCGCTTTCGTAGAATCCTTTGGAATTCGTCTCAAACAATTCTTCGTCAGATTACCGCGCCTCGTCAAGATAGTGGGTTTCGGGAATCATAAAAATGTACTACTACGTCGACGACGACTACTAGTACCAATTTGCTCTTTTCCCACACCGATTTATCATTGTCATTGGGAGATGACAGCCGCCGTAGGACCCCTCCGAAGACATCAACTACATATTATTGTGATTGAAACGCAGAGATAATGGACGATTGAGAGAGAAATTGAGGATCTCGCGCACTCGGATGAGCCTCTCATCTTTGCCGCCAGCGTGTTTTATAGGTAAACTGCGCGCGCGCGCCCCCAAACGAGCGGATCGAAGCAATTATTCATACCAAGAAGAAAAACAAATGGAAACACTCGATTAGCCATGGGTACGGTAGCACTTGTTCAAGAAAAAACAAATGCATGATTAAAATCAAATCGCTGCTCCCACTAGAATTTAACCTCAATCTAACACCTTGTTGTCGAATGAAAATGTGACGATTCCCAGTGCTCCGAATGAGAATTTCCGTCGATTCCCATTCCGATGGTTTTTGTGACATTTGAGAACCGCCTGACAACATAAGTGTGTGCAATGCAAATTTGGCTGAAAATATGGAGATGCAAAAATTAAATGATAGTTTTTAAAGAACTTGGTATACTTTTTGCGAATAAGTTATTTATTTGGGTCACTTGTCAAGTCAAATCATTTTGGTCTTTGAATAAATGTTGAAATCTGTGATAAAATACCGTATAAATGAGAATTGAAGAGATAAGAGCACTTTGCAGAATTTATGATTGACAGCTTACAAGGTGCGAAGCTCAAGCTCGTGCTTGCACCGGGGGGAATTTATCACGAGCTCGCAATGATTACCGTCTCCACTTAACACTATCTGAAATGACAGAAGCTATCAATTTGGAATCCCATCATCCAGCGATTCTTCTCATTCTCAAAACCAGCTGCTCAACACCAGAGTGCAATATTTGGGTTCCCAAGTGTCCCGCCTGAGAATATATTCCTTTTCCCATTCCGATGCATTTGTGCGAGTTGAGAACCGACTGACAACTCGCGTGTGCTCGAACAAATTTCGACTCGAACTCGAATCCGACCGTTTCCGGCGGACTCATCGTTTCGCAACTTGTTCAACTCGAAATTGCGCGGTCTTGATCAGCTCGCGCATGTGCGATTCGTTTCAACTCGCCGACAGTACAACCGAAATTGACTCGCACATGAACCACCAGAAGTCGGGTGGAAGTAATGAGAGATGAAGCTATTCGGAACATTTCTCAAAAATCATAAGTGCAATAAAATTCAAATTCTATTGCTCGAAGGAACTGAATACAAGCGGTGTGGTGTGACGCAATTCATTATCATTTACCATGCGCCCCAATGATGGTTTTATGAGGTGTGTCTCACAATATATTTTGGGTGATCGTGCTCTTAGCAAAGAGAAATTCAAAAAACTGCATTATCGAACAATATGAATTGATTCGATTAAAAGAAACCAGAGACGGCACGTTCAAAGAAAACACGACAAAATTTTCTAACGCGGATGGGAATTTCAATATTTTTGTGAAATTTTGTTGAGAATATTCCAATTTTTGCTCATGTGTTCTCTTGTATCTTTAAAATATGGTATCGAATTTTGGAAATCTGCAGACCGGAACAAATTGCGCGTAATGTCGGCACGATCAAAGGTGTCGCGCAAGTGCGAGGTTTACAAAACCCGGCGGATTGAACTTAAGTGACTTCCGACAGGCGATTCATTAGCATATTGGAGTGGAACGGAACAGCTTTCAACTTTGTTTCAGAACGGTTTGTTTCAGCACGCGCGAGTTGTCAGTCGGTTCTCAACTCGCACAAATGCATCGGAATGGGAAAAGGAATATATTCTCAGGCGGGACACTTGGGAACCCAATAGCGACACTTTGGTGATGACCAGCTGGTTCTGAGAATTTATAGATTCTTCACCTTTTTGAACGTCAGATATTGAAAAAAAAATACATGCCTTATATTTATTATTTCCAAAGAAATCTGATATCACAGAAGCTGGCATCTTGCATGTTGAAAAAATAATAATTACATTGGCTCGATAGGCAATAAATCTAATTGTATTCGAGTTTTTTCATTAAAATTCCCCAGGAAATATCTTACAAGATGGTTCGTAAATTCTTCGTCCGTTTTTTTACAAGTTTCCGTAAATTTTCAACATACTTGCATACGCCAAGCTCGACGGAATAATTTCTTGTTAATACTTCTTCAAGAAAGAAACAATTTCGGGATTAGGCTAAATTAATTTTTTCCTATTACTGTACGTATGGCAATGTGTAGCAGTGCATACACAATCACGCAAAAATGAACCACACCATGTGATGCCTATTTTTCGTTTTTTTTTTTTAATTTTTTCAATTCGCAAAGTCAAAAATTATTTCTGATAAAAACTATTCGCGGTCTTCATTATTAATACTATAAATACTACCATTTCCCTTGTTATCTAAATGTTTAGGCTAGAAAATTATTCGAACTGAGGTCGAACAATATTGTTCCTCTCTGTGTCTGCGCGCGCTATTCTCGCCACGAGGCAAAACGTGACGACGAGACATCAGCACACATATAATGGCAATGGAATTGCGAGAGACCCGTGCAGACATGTCCGAGTGGTTAAGGAGATTGACTCGAAATCAATTGGGCTCTGCCCGCGTAGGTTCGAATCCTGCTGTCTGCGAATCATTTTTGCTGATGTCGCTTCTGCCAAACACCACGTGTAAGTCAGCTATTTTTTTCGCTGCTTTCGCATGCCACCGCCAAGCCAATTGCGGTTGACCCAATTTCTTTGAAGTCGAACCACCGGCGAATTTCGACAAATGATGTGTGCATAATTAATGACGGTGTGTTTTTTGCGGCTTATGCGCCGCGCCAAAAAAAACCGCTAGCGAACACATGTTGAATCTCAACTTACTATTACTTATTGGACGCTCGCCAACATCATGACGAGGGTCACAAAAGTTTTTTGATAACCAATATGCGTAGCATAGTTAATGACAGACCGTCGCCCGCGAAGGTCGAACACAAAGATTTGGTTTTGGAGATACGGCGGTGCGACAAGGGAACTTTCTTCCGGATTTCCGGATAAGGCAATTAAAGGGATTTGGCGAGAAGAAATAAATAAATAGGCAAATTTTCAATAATCAAGAGATAATGTCGAATTTGAAAAATTATGAATACTTAAAAATCAATTCTTCAAATTTTAAAATTTGTGACCATTTTGAAATGGTTAAATTTAGCAAAACTTGCTGATAAGCGCTTTGAAGCGAGTGATATTAATTAAATCCCTCAATGGATACTATCTTTTTTTTTCTTCTAAGCGCATGCTCTGAATGGTACGGTGTGCGGATACAATCTTTATAGCCATCGTCAAAAGCGATTCTCGATAAATTTGTAGGCGCGCGCGCGCGAATCAAAAATGTTGCCATTTTCTCTTGAGATAACTATCTGTGAATGCGTGTGTACGCGTCCCGTCCCGCTATCGTTAAAATAATTGCTTTACGTGTCGCATCTCATCGCTACCGTAATCGCGCGAACGTATCTCCTGACGTCGTTTGTCGCGCTACAAAAATTACCATTAAAAACAAATTGCATGCGGTGTTGGTTTTTTTGTCGGCGTTCGATACACCGCTTTCAATAATTGTTATGGGAAAATATTGAGAATCGGCGAGAGCGGGACCCCAATTTCCGGTTCACATCGCTCCATGGTGGTAACAAGATTCGCAGTTTCCTATGGTGCCAACTTGAGAATGGGAACTAAAATTTTTATCGCGGAAGGGACCTTTCATTTATTGGCTCAAACAGGTTTATAAACAACCCATAGTCTGTTACTGAAAGCGAATTCCAAAAAACTGCACGCGCCTTTAATTACCGTATTCCAAAAAATTCGAATTTGGAAAATCATAACAATTGCCTTAAAAATTACTGATTTTTGAGCACAACTTTAAGTAATTGATTAAAGGCGCATAACGCGAAAAATGAGGAGATTCTGATAGCCGTTTTTTTCAGACCAAACTATAGCAACCCGTTTATTACAATTTAATATTTTCGCCGAAAATTGATAACAAATAAAAAAATGTGCATACAAAAATGATATCAAAAGGAATATGTAGGTACGTGTAATGAAAAAATCGGCATCACCAAGCGTATCATATAATTTGTGTTGGTTGCCATGTAAACGGTAGACGAAATTCTATGCTTGACCTTTTCAATCATTTCTGGAGTCAGAAATCGCGAGTAATTTTAAATTTAAAACAAAATTGAAATGCTAATTTAGGTTTTGAAACCAAAATAAACGGGATGTGTGGAGGCGATAAGTCGATAAATCTTAAGAATGTTTCGCCCATCGGCGTTCGATTCATGTAAACGTGTCGGGCGCGAACACCATAAATCGAGTCCCTTTTAACTCGCCGTCCTAATACGGGACCCACGGCACACCATAAATCTCGGTCGACCTTCAATCACCCTTAAAATTGTTGCCAAATTTTTGGCCGGCGTCGTATGGTAGCGAATTCGAATCAGCGCGTCCGTCCCCCGGTCCCCTCCGATTGGGGGGTAATTTATTGTGCACAAAATTGGAATTGAAGCGGAATGTGAAATGTTTATTTTATCGAGAGAAATAGGAAACTGAAAATATCAAAGGCACCAGTATTTATTTACAATTAACAGATCACGCGTTGAATGCACGAATCGCGTAGGCATTGCAATGCGGCGTCGGAGAACTTCGGACGACCTATCATTCATTCATGTATTTTTACCCTATGAGCCTTGCTTACCGGAATAATCCGCGTAGGATATCCATTCGAGTTCGGGGCAGAATTGGGCAAGAATGTAGATCGATTTGTCGGTACATGCAGTTCCGCGGATTCGGACCTCACGAAGCGGACAGCGTCTGATGAATATTTTATTTCTGCGGGCGCCCTTCTACATAGTTTAACTACCTTGCTAGAACCGCCAAACCTTTGTCAGTCACATATCGACACCCATTGATATTCAAGCATCGCAATTGACGGCAGTTTCCTCCCAAAAGGCAGAGGAAGCGATCATCGACGGAATACATATGGGATGTCTCCAAATCCTGTAAAAATGGATTCAAATTAGGAGTGATCAAGATCGCGACATACCGTAAGACTTCTGGCTCCTCTAGCAATTGCGAAAAGAACACGGTAGGTCATGCGCATTCGGCAGATTCGAAGGCATCGCAATCGGGAAGCACGCGACTTGGTACCACCTCAAATAATATATAATGAAAGATTTGCTCAAAAAAGCTAACCCGAAAAATATTTCTGAAGAATGGTCGTATTTAGATGATTGACCTCTAATGAGAGATGTGTCAAATTAGGCAATAATTCAGTGACAAGCATTAGAGGCTCATCGAAAAGACGAGGAACCGAAATTTGGAGCTTCGTGATTTTTGAGCCGAGCACTGGAATCAGAGCGCAAAGAAGGTTGTTGGCATTGTCAACGGATTGCTGAACATTTTGAATTGCGATCCATTCAATTTGATTCTCTCTCTCTTACAATATTCGCCTCGCGTACCGACACAATTAGATTAATACTATCCAATGATGGTTGATCCAATAAGGATGTGACCAATTGCTCAGCATCCTCCTCACCAGACACCGACAATCTGATCGATCGAACGGTGGGCGGAAGTTGAGGAAGCATTGAGAAATAATTTCCATACAAATCCAAAATTTTCAAATTGATCCCATCAATGACGAATCGGTCAATTTCATCCTCTGGGAAAAATCTGGCCAACGAGAGTTGCGAAAGATTTGGACACTGGGATGATAGATAATGAAGTGCAGCTCCCGGATCGGACAGTGAGGTGGGGAAGTCTAATTCAAGGACCTAAAATTGAATGACATATACATTTTTTAATAATCGTTTTACATGAAGACGATCTCCGATGAAATGAGCAATATCATAGAGAACCTGATCATCCAATGATCTACAGTGATTTAGGTAGACGCAACGGATTGTCGGATTGTTAGAGATGAGCGTCCTGATTCCAGAACTAGTTATCTGAAGCTCATTTACTATTAACTGTCGCCCTATTCATATAACCGACCTTTCCACACCCGGATAAATCGACGGAATACAAATACGGGCTGTAAATGTCAACCAAACCCTCATCGGTGATCTGATGCATTGCTCTGAACTCCAATTGTCTCAATTGCATTTGACCGCGAGTCACGGCTTTTGCTCCCTGCGAAATTCTTTGCTCGACGGCTGCTCAAAAGCACAAAAAAGAAACTCACAATATCGGTGACATTTTGGCAGTCAACAAGTGTGATCTTCTCAACACGCTTGTTATTGATTGTCAGCTTATTGAGCATCTCGTCGGTAAGCTCACTCGACAGATAGAATGTCAAGAATGGAATGTTGAGTCCAAATGTTTCCGAGGAAACGAGACTCGAGCAGTCGGAAGCAGACAGCTGGAAATATTTGAAGGCTACAGTATTTAAATGCTCATTCATAAAGTAATCTCACCTGATCGTGACTTATGAAAAATTCTAGGAGCTTCTGCTTACATTCGGTGGGTATCTCGGAGATATCCGAATTGAGCTCATGTTGGCAAATTGCCGAAAGGCACAAATTCAGTAGAGATTTCACCATTCAGTAGGGCATTCTTCGCAGACAAACACCTCTGAAATCTTGATTTCTATTATTGTTGTTGTTTATTTGTTTTGCATTGTTTATTTATTTTTTCGTCAACAAGACAACTGTTTTACATCTCTTAAACCCTTCTTAAACAATTTGAAAAAAGATTTGTTAAAGGATGTGTGGAAATTGGGCCGAAAATGCCGGCAAACGAGATAGTCTTCTTAACGAAATGACGATTCAAAACACTTGGAAAACTGCTTAAAAATAATGGGAAGAGAACTAGAGCGTCCTCAAATAGTTGGTTGTTTGAGGCGAGGAAAGAAATATTGAGGGAGAGAAAGGGATTTGCAAAAGAAATCGCGAGCCTGTTACAATGGATGGCGGCGATCCCGCGACTCGCCGAAACAGTGCGCTTGAATCGAGACACGCAGCACGGAGCAGAGAGCAAAGGTGACGCAACGAAATCGTCGAGTCGCGAAACGTGAACCGTTTCTCTTGCAATGATTGCCTATTTCTAAATATGGCGATTCAAGTGTGTCCGAATCAATTTCTAATAGATCACGAGACTGTTTTCAAGATATCTTTGACGAATGTTACTAAATCTCGAATTTGCGTCAAGGTTTCAAGATTTTACCGAAAAAAGCTAGTATTAAATGGTTTCAGGTAAAATGCTCAAGTAATGCGGCCCTCAAATTACGGCCTGTGTTTCAATTTGTTAATGTAAAGGCAATAAAAGAAGACCTAATTTGAAAAGAGCTAATTCTAGGCCGGAGAGTCTGGAGTAATCGAGATTACTCGAAAAACTTCAAACGAGCTTCGAGACCACTTTGTGACCATTTATTATATTTACTGTGATGAAATGGAGAAAAGTAAAAGAAATGTTAGCATATAAAAGTCAGGAGGCAGCAAAAAAAAACATAAAAATATTGAAGACTTGGAAAACTGGAAAAGCGGATGGCTCGCATCGGGTTCCAATCATTTATATGTCGAATCATTGTGGGATGGAAACGCCAGTTTAATCTATTTTTTTTTCGTTGCTCGTCTGAAATAAATGTGTTATTGGATAGAGAAAAAGTGCGTTTTCCACCATATGACCGACGAATATATGTTTTTCTGTAAATCTGGGTTGCGATCAAAAGAGCTCGACAAACTCTTGGCGAGCAAAACACGGACACACTTCTAGGCTTTGAAGAAACACACGGGTTCGCCGCTTCGAGGGAAACAACCAAATTGTTCGGATTTTTATTGTCACGGTTTCCTCCTAAATTCGCGACCGATCGGAATAAAAATATACCAAAAATGAAAAAAAAAACGTGCATTTCTCTCATAATTAATTGACCATTTCTAAAAACTTCACTCGACAGGAATTAGAAGAATGTATCCAACTGGAGGCCATCCAGTAAGCCCCATCGTCCAGCAGCCTGTAATGGTTCAACCGGCCTATAGGCCCTATGCACAGCCAGCATATGTCCAGCCAGCATACGTTCAGCCAGTGTATTAGGTACTCTAATGAAAACCCATTTACCAGATGTTATTTGCAGATATGTGTCTCCAGCGTAAGTTTCGAATGGCTAAAATTTTTCAAAAATAATTTCTTTCATAATCACGATTTTTAGCTATGCTCCAGCACCTGTGTACGTATATTAATTGTTATGATTTCAAATCAATTATTTTTTCAGCTATATGCATGATCCCAGCGAGTAAGGAGTTATCATCAATCTTCCTCATCCACCGCTTAACGGTTTTAGCGACATTTGCTGTGGGCTCTGCTGTGGCGCATGTTTGACTAGTCTTCTATGCTGTTGTATGGATTGATCATTTCAGAAGACATTGCTTAACTTTAATAAATTATAATAACGCAATTGCTCATTTCGGTTGAATATTTTTCACATTCTTTTTATTTTTGTTCAGAATATTCCATGACTAAAAAGGATTCCGTCAGATGTGTATTCCAGAAAAAAAAACTGCAACCTAAACCCTATTAAAAATTCGACAATAGCAATATGTCTTAGAGCGACGAGAAAAACGCAGAAACTATGCAAAAAATACATCAATTCAACTCAATTTGAATTTTTTTTTCAAAAGTACAAGATATTGACTGGAATGTGATAAGCTCGGAGCTTGTGCTGCCAGCTTTTATTATAAATGTTCACAATATTGAAAATGTTCACAAAAAACTTGTTTGAGGATTGCGTCTGTCTCATTGGTATCTGCTTATCTCAATTGTGTTCCTCTTATAATAAAAGCACAGACTTCAATCTCATTCTTCCATTCACTTCGTCACGTAAGCAAAAAGCGGAAATTCTCTCATAAAAAAAAAGAAATAATAAAAATAGTGAAACCATGCCTTCGTCGAAAAACCGCACGAAAATTTCAATTCAAAAACCGTCGGCAACATTCCCTTATTCGTCCGACCTAATAATACAAAACCGGTTGGAGGAGCGAATTGAAATTCGCTCATTATTGAAATGACGCCCTCTCTCTCCCCTCGAAGCAAACAAAGAGCGCGCGCAGGCATTGGTCATTCGGCGACACCCCCGCTACCAATATATTATATGTATACGTATAAATGCGCCCTACGCAATTCGTACACATTGGAGCACACACCCCACAAAAATTCGCCTTCAGGGCGGTTGCGCAAGCACATCAGCTGTCTTTCCTTTGCGTTTCCATTCCGCCCGTGCGGTTCTCTCGCGTCGCCCCTCATTTTCTGCGCCTCTTCTCCCTCAACACCCTATATAATCGCATGTTGAATTGAAAGCGCTTGCATTTCTGCAAAACTTCACTATACAATATTTTGTTTTTACAGATGTGACAATATCTCAATACTTGCTGGTACCCTGCGGCTCAATTCATCTCGTTCCAGCTGATCTCGTCCAAATCCTCCAATCAAGTGCATGCTGTCTTTCGTCTTTTTTGTAGTTCTGACGATTTGAGGTTTGCGATTTCAATTAGAATTCATCAGAACTATTACTTTAGGTAGCACCGTCGTCATTCATCATGGATGAACCCCGGTGATGTTGTACAGACCCCTCCCCCTTTTTTTGTAATGTTCGTCCCCCCGAAACCACTTTTGTCATCCCGGTATAATGCTCCAAGTCTTTCATGGCCTAAAGCTTCGGTTTTTCGCCTTTATTTTTTCGTCCATCTTGTGTCATTTTGGACCACACAACGTGCTTCTGGACATTGGCCGAATATCAACTGGAACGAGACGCAATTTAAGCCGACCCCCTCAAAAAAAAAGTATTTATGCTAATGTTTTTTTTAGTATTCCCCGAAACGACCATCTTATTCGGGAATTATTGTAGAATTCGATAAATCTATGGTTTATTCGAAATAAAATAGTTAAAACGTACAACTCTATTTATTTTGTCTTCGGAAACGCTTTGGTGTGAAGGCCGGTCGCGATAAGGACGTTGTCATGCTTGCGGTACAATTCTGCCTGAAAATTGCAGGGTTTGAAAATCTGCCGGCAGTGGGAAATAGTATTTTAAACTGCACCGTAGGTATGCAAAATTTTGTATTACCTTGGTAAAAGCCAAACGATTTCCTTGCTTGGTTACTGTAGAATCCAAAACTACAGTCTCGCCAATTTTAGCCGCAGCAAGGTAGGATACATGTAGATCGACAGTGACACCAGGTTGCGCTCGTTCAGTGAGTAACAAAGCACCAGTGGTGTATACATCGATGAGAGTGGCGGTGCATCCGCCATGCAGGGTGCCTAGTGGATTTGTCATTTCCTTTTGTACTTCGAATTCAACTTTCAAACGGCCTTCTTCTGCGATCACCGGGCGGCACTAAACCCAATGGATCGGAGAATTTCATTGAAAAAACACGTACATTTCCAGCTCCGCACGCTTTATCGAATCTCGAACTCGCCGCGCACATTTTAATGAATTGATTGGCGGCTTGCAGATATTTCCCGGCCATCTTAAATTCTAGGTTTTTGAGCAACTAAAATATTGCCAGGTAGAATATTTGAGTAAAACACAATTCCAATAGAGATCACAAGAATCTTGCAAAAATTTTATCTATCGCCGTTTTTTCGGCGCGAGATCCATTCCAACAATATATTTCTTATCAAGACCATATTTGTTTAATAAGAGTTCCGATATGAAATGAATCTGATTCCCTTGCACTATGACTTGAGGACCTTCACAGTTTACAGCTTCAGGGTTGCTTGTGACGCTGGTAGCGATTCCTCTCTAAAATTTTCTATTGTATTTCTTGTTTCTAAAAATACGACATACCATAATTTGGTGAGAAATAGTTTTAATTTGGATGCCAAATACACTCAAGTTATTGATAATTGTTACTTTTTTGTTTCCAGATCGCGTCTCTACCTAGAATTACGAGTTTATCAAATCCTTTAAAATTGAAGATACTTTAAATTCTATTTTCGGAGAGTGAACCTTTCTCACAAATTCTCGACCATCCGACCATCGAATTACCCACGTTTTTGTCATTTTGGACTTAAATGCATCAATTTTGAAAACGAAATTAGATAATTTTTACCTGAACATTTTGAATTAGTGTATTCCAATCAGAAGTTTCAGTTTTTATCCGGCTTACATCCGCTAATAATGGGTCCATTTTGATTATTTTGCCCTGGTTGAGCTCCTTTAACAGCAGAATCAAAAAATGATGAAATTATCGTCAAACCTCACATTCGATTTAACATAATTTGTGAGAATTTCGCGAATTTGTGATGTCGTTAGCAAATCTCCTTTAGAAGTTTTTGCTACTTTTTGAAAAACTGGAAGAACTGGCTCAGTAACGGCACAATATTCAAGCACAACGGGGGCATCAAATTTATCGCCGGGTGCAATTGGAGGAGCTTCATCGACAATTTTCTCATCCGTCAGCTCAAAATTCCTTAGAAACTCATGATCCCACTTAACCTATATAAAAAACAAAATATATATCATTATATATGAATTATTAAACCGTTGTAATATACTCTTCTCCTTTTTTCTTTTTCTGCAGTGTCACAATATCATCACCAGTTTCGTTGTTAATCTGAATATGACTTTCGAGATGAGATTAAGCGGCTTGCAAAAACTTCTTTTAAAAATATCCCAAACTTCTTGTACTTTGTTTTTTTCATATCTAATCGTCGGCTTTCTGGGATACACGAAAGAACACATTTCGTATAAAACTGCCCGACTTCGATAGGAAGATTTCCAGACTTTTTCAGACGGTGCTTTAAACCAGCAAAGAAGCATCGACGAAGCTAGAAAAGAATCCTACGTCTTTAATGAAAAGTTCTGAATATAAAAATATGTATTACCAAGTTTTCCATAGGTTCAACCACTTCCTCAATTTTTTCCTCATCGCTTTGAGTTTCTTCTAGAGGATTAGAATTGGAATTATCAGCTACTTCTTTTTCCTCCCCGTTTTCTATTTCTTCTTTCTTTTTTCCTTCCTCATTAAATTCCTCAAGACTTATTGAATTTGGCTGACCTCTTGGACCGAATTCCCTACACCATAATATTTCTATATGGATATAACCTTGTTAGAATATCATACCATAAAAAGTCCCTAAACACATGCAACACTTGGACCCCTTTCCCTTGGAAGCCACAGCTAAACATTTCATCAGAAGACATCAAACTGCATCCAACCGCTATTGGACCGATGATTCTACTTTCTGATGAAGAAAACAGAGCAATTGCAACCGGACCACCTTTTCTAATAGCCGGAAATGTGTATAAATCGCTTTTAATCACTCCTGAAATATCTCAATATTTTTACGGCAAAGTTTTTTTTACCTGGTAGCATCAAATCAGCTCCATTTTCTAAGTATTGTAGAACTGGCTCATGGACTAAAAGCACTGGATACGCTTTTGGAAATTGCCACATGTAGAATACTGTCGGATACACTACACCAGTTTCAGAAAACTCGAAAAGCATTGGCACTTTGTCGAATAGATACACGTTCATTGTATCATCGAGAAAGTCCACTATTTTTACTTTTGCAATCTATGAGGAATTCTTCCCTTTTACATATTATTTTTAATATATCAACCTGCGCCTTTTTGTCCAAAGTTGGAAGTCCATCGGGAACTTCTTCCCCCAGGCGTTGGAATAATTTTCTCCTACAATTGTCTTTCTTTGTTATTTTTTTCTTTTAACCTACTTACACGTCTGAGTTTCGCAAATTTGTATTATTTTTAACGTTGAAAGATTTTCGAAACATCACTTTACCTCAAAAAATACGAAAATTAGGGCATAAGGCGTGGGAATGGTGGACATTTCTTTTTAGAGACAAAAAATAAAAGTAAATATTAGATGTGCCGCTACCTTGCATCTTTCCAACCCCGCCCAGTTTTCTATGCGGACTAGGCTAGTCCGAATTTTTTCAATGAGTTTTTTTCTAAATTTTATCCGTTATTAATTATCTTCGGTAATTAATTATGCTCAAACTCATATTTAAAAAAATATTATATAATGTTGTACTTCATATCTATTCAAATATAATTCAATATAAAAATATATTGTAGCTTTGTTCCAAATTCTTAAGTACGATTTGCAGGTGATAAATCTCGCCAATTAAGCATGGCACTGATGAGTAAAATGGCGCCCACGGCGGCGGTATGCTGCCGAAATAATTTGCTGAAGCCGACGACCACAGTGATTCCAGCAATTCGCTGTTCGCATGCTGCTGTTTTCCGAAAGCGACCAGGACAGCTTATTGTAAACAGAATCAAGGTAATTTTAATATGATTTCTTATTTATATAAAAAATTTTAAGGATGTATGTCATTTCTACTTTATTGGAATTGGTTTCCTCCCAGTTTTGTTTGCATTGACCTATAACCACATTATCTATGGAACCTGTGAATTGAAAGACTACCCAACTGAGGTTGTTAATGAAATATTCAAAAAATTATATATTTAAAGTTTTAATTTAGGGTCCTCCACCACATCATTGGCAATTCGAAAGAACTCCAGTCCGTCAATTCTGGGCTAAATATTTTGGAGTCTCCGATATTGAGCACCATGAGCGAAACCTTGCATACTACGAAAAGCAAGGGATCCTTGCTCGCTGGAGGTTTTTTTAAATTATTATTTTATCCGAAACAAGATGAATTTCAGACAAATTGAGCAGCGCGTTAAACATTTGGAAGGCGAACGATGGGATTACAAAGGATGGAGCTATCAACCAGTATCTGCTACTTGGGTTGATTATGGAAGATGGCACGCTCTTCGCATGAGAGATCAGTACGAGCAGCATGGGCATTATGCTCAGTAAATGTAATCATTAAAACTTCAATTAATTGTTTTAAACAAATGCTTAATAAGAAAAAATCATGCCTTTTGTATCAGTTTTTGCAAAATTGTCGAATTTGTCAATTTACCAAATGCAATAGTGTAAAATTTGTCAAATTCGAAGCTATAAATGACTATTTCAACTTTTTTGCATTCCACTGATTTGGATCATTACAAAAGTAACGTGTTAAAATTTTGAAATATAAATCTACAGTATTTTATTTTATTTCTCTGGAAATTATTATTGAAAAAAAAAACTATCTCTTTAAATCCAGAGATTTCGTTGATTCAAAATAAAAAGAAACGAAATTTAAGTAAGAAATTTTCAAGTTTATAAGAATTTAGAAATTATTTTGTTTAAATATAGATCATGAATCGCTAAAGATAATTTAGTTAATTGAATATCTCATTTAAATATAAGGTCAAATTCTCCTTAAAAAAGGGAAAAACCGGTTCAAAAGTGGATGGAAAGTTCAGTGTATGATTAGCTCTAACATATTTTGTTTTCAAGTAGGTTTTCAATGATATATTAAATAAATAGACCTTTTGAATACATTTAATTGAAATATTTTCTTATAATTTGATTGATCTATCATTGCAGGCTCGTCATTATCGAATTGTTTGTCGTTGTCGTCAGCAGTGCCTGTAGTAGAGAGTTTTCCTGGTTTCTTATTCATAGTTTCAATTTTTCCTATTATGTCGAATGAATTTCCTTTAGTGTAAATAAAGAACGTTTGGATATTCGAATAAAGCTGCGTGTTGATTTATTTATTGAAATGTTATTTCTCTATGATTAGAAGGAACCGAAGGCCTTCTAGTTTTATCAATATTCATTTGGTTTTGGTTTTTGTTTATTGTTTCGTTTTAATTTAAACTAAATATAATTGGTCGCGGTAAGCTTTTTCGCCTACTTATTTACTTTTGAAATACTACAGGGTGTCATTTAAGTTCCCGCACAACTTTGAAGACGTATATTTCTGAAACTAAAAGTCCAAATCAAACGAGACTCGAAATATTTTTTTTTCTATAGTATAACAAATAATTATCTTTTAACTCTTTTCGATTCGGTCTTCTTTCGCAGCTATGACTTCACGGAGACGCTTCGGGTAGGATGTGACTGTGGTACGCAGGTGTTCGATGGAAAGATTGTCCCATTCCGCCAGTAATGTCTTCTTCAGAGCCTCTATACTTGAGTGGGGTTTTGCGTTGACCTTCTCCTGCAAGACCCCATCACGGAAAAGTCAAGCGGTTTCGGGTCTGGGGAGCGATCAGGCCATTCGGATGACTTGATGAAGTCGGGAAAATGGGTCTGGCACCACTCCTGAGTAGTTTTGGCAGTGTGGGCGGGTGCTCCGTCCTGTTGAAAGACCCATTTCTGCCCACCGAAATGCGTTTGGGTACAGGGCATCACATGATTCTCCAAAATGTCCCGAACGTAGACTTCTCTGTTCATTTTCACCCCCTGATTCACGAAAACCAGGGGGCACTTCCCGGTTGAGCAGATGGCACCGAAAACCATCACACTGGCAGGATGTGAGGCTGGATGAATTGTTCTTCCTTTCTCAGAAGCTTGCTGGGATGTCTGGGCAAATACTCAATGGTTTTGTGAGTTGAATGCCGCCTCCACAGTGAACAGCTTCTCATCGGAGAAGACAGTGACGAGGTGTTGTCCAGACCGCGTGCGAGCAAGAAGTCGTTTTGCTTTTTCGAAGCGTCTCTGCTTTCTGACGGCCGATAGAATTGCCGCCTTTTGGACACGATATGGGGTCAGTCGAAGCTTCGTTTTGACGATTTTTTCCATAGCGAAGATGCTCATTCCCATGTCTGACGCCATCGTTCTCATGCTCCTGTGGGGTTTTCGCCTGATCCTCGATTTAACGTCGTTGATCTTCTGAGGAGTGATTACTGAGACGAGTCTTCCTTGTCTGGGACGGTCACTGGTCGTATTTAGCTCCTTGAATCGTTTGATAGTGTCATAAACCGTTCTACGAGGCACACCGACCCGTTGAATGATGTCTCTCGGGCTCACATTTTGCTTATGAAATTCGATAATGGAAGCACGATGGATATTAGCCTTCGCCATTTCTCGGAAACACATCCGAATGAGGCGAAACTTGGAAAGTAAGTAAAATGTACCTTATTTAACAAAAATAAATTGTATTGGTGCACGAAAAGTGCGACAGCCAAGCTCTTCATGGCGTCAAACTTTTGTGCGGGAACTTAAATGACACCCTGTATTATTCCTTGGTCGTACTATATTGATTATTTTGGCAATACCATTGAATTGTTTAGAAATGCTCATAAGACAAACAATGATACGGGAAATTTCATCATAAAATTCGAATTTTCGAACAGAGAAAAACTTCTTATCATATGAGGAATTGTCCATCATTTTTCTTCCTCGTAATTACTTCCCCCGATTTCGCCACAACATCATTATAGCGAATTGACTATTAACTATGTGCACACAAAAGGCTTTATTGCTGGCAACGGGGATTATTCGTGGTGTGTGGCCGCGGAAATTGCGCGGTCGTCAAAATGCGTGGCGAAACATTGCCAGTGAAATAAATGTATTTACAATGTAGTTTTGCCCGCATTATTTGTTCGATTGTCCGGAAAATTTTGACGAATTTTTCGTTTCAGGGGGATGAGAAATGCTGGAAAATATTGTAGCGTGGGTGCTGAACAATTATATTGGAGAATATCTCGAGGATTTGAATACTGACCAACTTTCGGTGGCATTGTTATCAGGTAATTTCCTCGAAAATTACCTCTTTCTTTTTTAATTTGGAATTTTTTAGGCCAAGTTGAGCTTGAAAATGTTCCTCTCAAAAAGACAGCTCTACGAAAACTCGACCTACCGTTAGAAGTTCGCTCCGGTTTATTAGGAAAATTAACGTTGTCTGTTCCAATTACTCATATTCGAAGTCAACCATGGACCTTAAAGGTTTGTTTTAAAACGAAACAAATTAAGCACATTCAAGGTTTTAACGAATTTTTATTTTTAAGAGATTATTCGTTTAGAAGAATATTTTTCAGTTAAGCGATGTTCTAATAATTGTTGGTCCCCTTTCCGCGGAAAAACGATACGATGTTCAAGCCGTTGAGCAGGTTGAACAGCAACGGAAAGAACAGATGCTTGAAGAGCTGGAATTGAGGCATAAGGTTAGAATTATTTTTTTAGACACTGCCTTGAATTTTGCGTGATTTTTTCAGACCGCCTTATTTGATATGCTGGGAATTCAAGTCCCTGAATCTCAAGATTCCTGGTGGGGAGCTTCGCTTATATCTACTGTTCTTAATAATATACAGGTTTTTTTTTAATCAACGTCTGTTTTTTTTTTAAATAAAAATCATAATTACAGCTAATTCTCAATAATGTACATATTCGGTACGAGGATAACGTGACAATTACTGGAAGAACGTTCAACTGTGGTATTCGAATGCAACGAATGACAATGCAGACCACTAATTCACACTGGGTATATATCTGACTTTTATGCTAGAAAAATTTTTTATTTTTTTAAGAAGCCTGGATTTGCGGAGTCTCAAAAAGGAGTGAATATATTCAAAAAACTGGAAGTCACTGGTTTCAGTATTTACTGGAATTCTCAAGCCACTATGACAACCGACATCGATAGTATGAAAAAGTTGCGGGTAAAGGAGTTGATTGAATATAAATGCCAAATTTCAATTCTAGAATGTCATGGCACCGGAAACTTCGTCAAACGCCTATATTATTCAGCCTTGTAGCGCTGAGCTAAGAATGGAGAAAAATTCGAGCAAATTTCCCCTGAAACACCAAATTCCGCGATTCAAATTTTTAATGAGACCTGAAATAATTGTGTGCGAATTGACGAAATTGCAAATGACACAGTTGAGGGCGTTGAATCGCGAATGGGCAAGGTTTGAAAGAGCACGACTACACCGAAAATGGCGTCCACTATGCACAATTGGTGAAAAGTTGGTTTCATTGTTACTGAATTTAGTGTTATTTATAATTTTAAGCGCAAAAGAATGGTGGAAATTTGCGTATAATCGAGTAATGGAGGATAAACGAAAAGCAAACTCGAATCGAACTTGGAGTTTTGCCGCAATCAGAGCGAAACAACTTAATGCGTATTGTCGGGCATATCGAAGGCGGCTGATAGCACTTCTTGCCAATCCAACAGCAACGTAATATTTTTAAATTGAAAAAAAAGTATTTAAAAAACGAAGCCGTTGTTTTTCCATTATTTGTAGATAAAAAAATCTGATTAAGAGTAGTTTATCTTAACAGTAAAATAACATTTTTTTAAATTTGAAATAAGTGCACTACTTGGTTTCATTTTTGCAGGCAAGAATCAGCAATTGATCCTGCTTCAACAACGACCAAACCAAAGGTCTCAATTAATGGTCCACAGCCATTACTGGAAGATCGAGCGATCATGAAGCAGATTGAGAATGATTCGCAATACTCATATCATGTAAAATAATCTGATTGAAAACTGAACTAAAATATGAAAATTTAAGGAGCTTCACCTATTTCGTGAAACTGTATTTCGAAGGCTTGTTCGCGAAAAAGAGAAGGAATTAGGAATTGCAACGACCACACCATTGCATGATGAAACATTTGAAACAATCGATGCCATTCCGGAAGAGGTTTTCCCGTATTCCACTAGTTTATATTATAAAGTGTTAATTTGAGGCTAATGCTGACGAAGTGCCTGTTGTTGAGCCGGCTGGTGGTGGCTTATACGATTGGATCACTGGTTTTTTCAGTCAGCAACAAAAACACGAAACTCAGGAGGACACGAAATTCGATTTTGGCAACGTTGATGTTGGAGAATTGAAGGAAAATGTGAAAGAAATGGAGGATGAGATTCTTGACGTTCTCCACGAATCTTGGGATGATTCAACACTGTTACGGCGCGATGCTCTTCTAGCTCAAATTGCGTTAAGATTGGAGCATCTCACTTTGCGATTCGTTGACAATTATGTAAGATTGATTTGACTTTTTTTGATACAAAATGAAATGTTCAGACATTTGACGGAATCGAACAACAACGAGTTTTGGCTCTTGAGCTTTCAGGTGTCACTGTGCGACTCGAAATGAGTCCGAAGAAACATTCATTGACAGTCGACCTCACAGTTCAAGATATGAGTGTTCAGCGACTGAGATCTGGCTATCCAAGGCCGAAGGTATTTTAGTTTTTTATTAAAATTTCAAAATTGGATTATAGAGCAAACTGGCCGAAATCACAGAATCTTTGCTTTATTCAACAACCGAATCTACCAAAATGCTTCTGACAATCGGTAGAGATGTTGAGGATGCTGTTATGACAGCAGTTCCGATGTTTAGGTATTTTTGGTTTGTGATTTCATTTCAAACAATTTTGGAAAACTTCAGTATGCATTATCGAAGAACATCCCCACGATTGATCACAAAGCATGTGGTAAATTGTCGTTTGAGGCCTGTGAATGTTGTGTATGAAGAGGGGGCTTTGGAAGGCCTTTCAACACTTTTCACGGAAGATAACCTTGTCGAAATAGAGGTGCCAAATTAATTATTTATTATATTTGCGATCCAACTGGTTTTAGAAATCAATATCTGGAAGTGAGGAAGAAGATATGATTGAAATGCGTGTAACCGATCAGCTCTCCATTATTGAGTCTCATATTCTTGTAAAGCTTCAAGTACCTACGGTAATTTACTGTATGATAAAATTACTATTTCAAGCAGGGTTGGTAAATTGAAGCCGGGGCCGAAAGCCGGCCGGCCGTCTTTCGGCTTTTTTTGAATTCCCGCTTCGGCCGTGCGGCCGTAAACAACGGAGTCGGGGGCCGAATCGCGGGCCGAAAATTTGACAGCGAAAAAAGCCGGCCTCAGGCCAAAAATTTTTTTTAACAAAATTTTTTTTTCAAAATTTAACAACCCTGATTTCAAGATATTTACTTTCATAGGTTCGCATGGAAGTTCGTGGACGAGGTTGGAGTCGTCGGGATCTCAGACCGTCAACGTTTTGGGAGCCCGGAGAATCTCTGGCGTGCTGCGTTGTTGAGAATCTAACTATGGACATTGTTTCCGAAGAAATGTTTCTGACAACGATCCAACTTGGATTCGGGCACATTGAACTAAGGGATATGCTCGAAAATACAAAGCATCCCTTATTTACAACGTCCTCGCAAACTCGCATTAGTGTAAATATCTGAATACGAAATCCCGAGTGCCTAATATTTGAAAATTTCAGCGAAATTTGTCTAATTCCTGTCCGGACCTTGTTCGAGGATTTGGAGGAGGCTCGGCACCGGCGCAACCATCAAAATCGTCAAACTCTCATGACTACGTATCTTCTTCGGTCCCTGCGGACGTTTTTGAGTGTCAAACAAACCTGCGTAAGTTCGAGAAGAGAACACTACATCTTTATTGAAAAACTATAACACTTTATTTTTAGCGATTCAAACAACGATGAAAATCACTTCGGCGGCCTCGATTGACTCGAATCAAATGCAATCGGGTCCGACGTCGCCGCAAATCGGCTCGTCATCTGCAAAATATAATAACAAGCATTCGGCGGCGGTTTCGCTCAAACCGGAGTGCACTATGAAATTGACATGCGTCGACCGATTCCACACGCAATTCGACAACAAGTATAAGAAGGTTGGCTAATACGAAACACACGGCGATTTTGGGGGTGGAGGGGGAGGAAGGGGTTGGGTGGAATAGCGTGACGACTACTAGTGGTTTTCAGACGAATTTGACTGAAATTGGGGCATTTTTTTTTTCAATGTTGTGCTTAATGAAGGGAAGTTGTAAGAAGAATTTTAACTAAAACTATAGAATATAAATATTCCAGTTCCCCTAAGGTTGTGAAGAATCTGTGAAGTAAATCAAGTTATATTTTTATGACAATGAGAACTGTGAATTTAATTTCCGGTGGTAGTAATCATGTATTACATCACTAGTATTATTATTATTTTGATTATCACGATTTTCAATATCATTACGTGATAATTTCCGGTACCAATGCCCACTATATCTCCTCATTGACGTTTGTTAATTTCCGGACGACAATTCCGTTCTGCCAATATTTTATTTTTATTTTTGGTATTGAAAACAGCTTCTCAACGACGTGGTGTTAGGAAATACCCTTGATGTACGAATTACCGTAATTCAAGTAATTCGAAATGTTTAAAATTATGAATGATTTTCATTGTGGCAAAAAGTCAAACAGATAGGTTTAGCTTTGGAATTTTTCACTCTCAAAACATGAGAATTTACAAAGCGTTTGCGAAGGCAGGGATATCTGTGATTGAGAGAAGATTTTGGTGATTATATGAGTAAATTTTTGAGAAAAAAATCATTAAACTGGTAAAAAAAACCAGCGGTCCTTGTAAGTAATTCCATTAATTTATTTATACATCGTCTTTGAGAATCCCCGCAAACTTTAAAAATTTCATTTGGGCATCTGAAAATTTCTTTGTTTCTGTATTTGAACAAGTTTAATTAACAATATTTATGTTTGGTCGTTTTGGTTTTTTGTTTTGTTTTGTTTTGAACAGTCGTTGACAAGAGAGAAATGAGAGAGAAATTAACATATAATCCAATGCATGTGTACAATGTCCTTTATAGTGATTCAGTGATATTATGCACGCAGCGCAACATGTGTTTAGAATGGCAACATTTCGGGAACAGCTTGTGGCTCATAGTAAGCGGCACGGTAGCCGGACCGTTTGCCGAATCTGCAATGAGCCGAGGGTAATTTAGTTTAGCCTGATTTGCCCTAACCTCATCCGGCCACCAAGGCCTTTTCCCTTGATTTCGGTGAGAATGTCGCCGAATGGAGAAGCTTCCCTTCTATCCATGAATATCGGTCGCTCGTTTTGAGCGGCAACCTGAAACAGTGGTTAGTATGCGAATGGTGTTGTTGCACTTTGATAATGCAAAAGAAAAATATATTTCAAATTTTGTTTTCGTGTACTCACGGCTGACGAGCACATGCAAATGCCGAGAACGATGAGCAGAACTGCCGAGTAGATGGGGTTCATCTTGGTTTTCGGTGGCACCGAAAAAATATGAAATGAGCTTTTTCAAGCAGAAGTGGCGGCTCGCCTCGAGATGGGCGTGGCCTGCTTTTTTTGCGTTTTGGGCGTGGCCATGAGAAGAAGAAGAATGAACAATGAGAATATTTTGATTGCAGAGAAATTGGTATATCGAAACAGAAATGGAGGAGATGGAAATGCAAATCAATCGACGGACTTGGGTTGCGTTGCTGGAAATGGCGGGAATTCTTGGAGATGATGAAAATGGTACGAATTGCCTTTGAAAAAATTGAAGTGACATTATGCGCGAAAAGGGGAATAAAGTGGAATATTGATTCAGTTTTTTCTTCGGTTGTACACATTAGGTTCCACTTCACTTGACCTATGTTGATTGTTAGATTTCCGTAAATTTATGGCCTCTTCCAGCTTTTTCTTGCTTTTATGGAAAAATCAGATCTTTGATGGTTCAATTTTTCATGTGATTTTAATTTGAATTCCACTATATCTGTAAATTGTGGTTCTAGGCAAGATATTCGAACATCTATTTAGTTTATTTGTGGGAAATCGGTTAGATATCCGTCAATAAGGATTTTCAATATTTAAAACCTAAAATGATGTTATTTGATAGGCAATAGTAGGCGAAAGCACGAAGACTATGCTTTGAAAAATAGCGCGAGTAATATTTGGAGATAATAATGTTTTAAGATTGCTAGAAATCAATTTCCAGATATTACACAACTTCCAAAAACGACCGTAGAGACTCGTCCTTCACCATTTCGTGTTGGCTGTTTGATGAGGATTAGAACGTGGCGTGTTGGAATGCCGTTTCCTCGAAATCAAACGAGTCTTGGATTTTTAACATTCCAAAATGCTGAAGTTGAATCGACGGTAGTGCTCAACGAAACTCTGGATGTTCTAACTGTCACTTTGGCACTCGATGGGATCAATATTGAAGACACCACACCGTTTTATTCGGAATTGTACGGCGAAAAGATGATTTTGATGGATGATGCCACGGAACAGGGAAACTTTGGTGTGCTATTTTCGATTAAAAACAATTTCAGTTTGAGATTTTAGGCGCTCCAATAGCGAAGAGAAAACTAGACGAATCGCGAAGAATTCGGATAAGCATTGTAAAATATCTAGGCGATAATAAGAACCGTGAGTGTGACATGGAAATCAAATTATTTGTGCCGACAACAATGCGATTTTACTATGTGCACACGCATAGGTTTTTTCTTTATTAATACGAGTTGGAAAAGTCAAACATTTGAAAATTGCAGATTTTTCTGTGGTCTCACCGACTTTTGGCTTCAATTCAATGAGCTTATGAGCATTGTTGCTCGTAGTAAAAAACAGAAGATTTCTGAAAACGTTAGCTCTCGAGTATCGCTTGACGTTGATATCAGGTGCGCCACATCGCTCATTATGCCGTTGAATTCGACGTCGGCGGATGTGCTTATATGGCAGGCAGATTCACTTCGAATGACGAACTGCTTCAAGCGAATGCGGGCGTTGCAGACGGAAATTTTTGCAAAGTACTCGATTGATTGTGATTATGGATTAGGTAAGAATTCTGAATGTGTCATTTTCAAAGTTTTTATGAATTTTGTGGAAATTCACGCTTCTAAAATTAATGTTCTCACAGAAAAAAAACATTTCATGTGAGAATTTTTACGCGGATTGACGTACTCTGTTTAGATTTTCTGGAAATGTTAAACAAACTTTGGAATTGTAGAATTTTGTTTGGCGGTTTTCCAAAAATAATAAAATTTCTCTTTGAACAAACAGGGACAAAACCGGAAATTAGCTTTTTTTCGTATATTTCAGATCCCAACGTTGATTGTCTTCTGGATTATGGTGACATGATATTGTCGAATGTTCGAGCTCATGAAGGATTTCGATTAGATCGAGTACAGAACCAGAAAAACTTGAGTTTGATTGGAGAAAAAGCGTTTACGGGCTGTCTTTTTGTTTTAACGTCTGCTAATGTGTTTTCAAGGCGATTTGATCTCAACAATAAATTTTTGCGAAATTTGGATGTGGCGTTATCTCATAATGGTAATTGCAAACATAATGACTTTTTTCAATTTTGATAAATCAACATTAATTTCAGTTCCCGATCTGACGATTATTACTCGAATTAGTGGGCTTGATTGGCGAATGACGACAGATTTTTATATGCTTATGCGAGGTGTTCTTGAGCGGAATTTCGCCGACCCGTTGATCTCTGTTCCCGAAACGATTCCAATTGAAATTCTGAGAATGCCAGCGAATACGGCGGTGAGTGCTTTTTTCGGGAAACACATATGCGAAATTTATTCCTATTGCTTATTAAATATTAATTATGAAATTGTACGATTTTCGAGAGATTTGCCTTCAAAACTTACATTTAGTGGAAAGAGGGGGGGCTCAGATTTTTACAAAAAAAATCTCAACGTTTTTTTTTTTTTAATTTAGGATGTTCGCTCGACTAACAAGTACGCAACTCTGTCGTTCCGTATGATTCTCGAAAATGTTGACATGAATTGCGAAGTTCCCGGAAGTTCGCAAAAACGAAAACCGGACACGTGGATTCCGTTCGCCAACGTGAAATTCGAAGACGCGCGTGTTTCGTTTGACGCATTCATTGATGGCCAATCGGAGTTGGATTTGATTTGTCAGAAAATCGAGTTGATCGACACACGAAATAGTAAAAGAGATTGCAGCGATTTTAAGAATTTTGATACTTTTATTATTGCAGAAGAATCCACGAATAACCATTATAATCATTTTCCGGTGATTTTGAAGCAAAATGAGGAGAATGAGTAAGCCGCCGTAGAGTTCTCTCGATGATTTTGTAATTTTAAGGGAGTCACAAAAGGTTTTGATGCTTGAAGCTCATTTGATGATGCGGAAGGATGAGCCACCAGTTCTTACATTGGTTTTGTGTAATGCGCGCGTTTTGTTGGCCTACGATTGGTTGGATGATCTAAAAAAGTTTTTGCTGCTTTATACGGATTTCGTGCCGAAATGTAATCTTTTGCCTTTTGAACATTCTTCGTAATTTCCAATTATTGCAGATTCTGATGAAAGCGACATTAATCAGGCGAAATTAATCAGGCGAAAATTAGCGGCGAATGGCGGAATATTGGAAAGGGGTCCTCATGTGTCGGTAGAGAAAAACTCGCAAACATTTTCAGTTAAAATCACTCTCAGGTAATTTAATTTCAGTGAAAATATTTTAATAGATTTTCTAGGGATTCGGATTTGTATATGATTGAAAATTGCTGGATGAAGAATAGTTTTGCACTTGTCGCTTCAACGACGGCAGTGTTGAATATGAATGATATGAATGGTCATATTGGAGCAAATTTGGAGATTCAGGTAAGCATTTTTTTTTTAATTTTAGATACCCAGAAACACTGGCATTTAGTCAATTACTCTTGGATGGTGCTCAATGCAATTTGAGAAGATTACCAAAAATTTGTGTTCTAATAATTTTTCGTTGACAATTGCACTTACCGTGGATATGGCCGAATCAATGAGTGCTCCGACGAGCGCAAGAAGCGGAATGGTCGTCACACCGCCGGCACTGCACACACTTGAGGTATTCTTTTATTAAATTAATGAGATTTCTGAATTTTCGCAGATTTTTGATCGGCCAAAATTTATAGTTGAGGTATTTGAATGTTGGGGTATTGAAAAAGTTGACAACACATACATTTTTGAAATTTCATTTTTAACCAACTTTTTCATAATACATAATATTAATTATTAATTATAGTAATTATAATACAATGTCTATGTCTGGGCTTATTGAAACAGTGCCATCTTAATTTTTTTCCCTTTTTTGTTATATTCATTTTGTTGCTAATTGTTGGAATTTCAGTTTTTTGGGGGATTCCTAGTTTGTCCGTCATTTCTCCAATTTATTCAGGTCGATGTTGTTCGTATGATTTGTCGACTTTCGTATAAAGACGCGCGTGCTCTAAAAGCGATCGTCGTCGGATATCAGAAGTATTTTGAAGAATCGACGAAAAAGTCGTTGATTCCAATAATTGTTGAGCCGCCACCTGCAAGACGTTGGATGTGTTTGTAATTATTTAAAATATCTTGGTTTTTTTAGCGATTGACATTGGAAAACTAATTGTGAGAAGTGAGCATGCCGATTTGTGGATTCTTGATGATCTGCAATCAAATTCAATTCCCTTATTTCGCCTATCGCTGTCGAGTAATTCATTCTCATTAATTGTCTGCTAATATATTATATTTGGAATATTTTTAGACGTCACCCTTGAGAAAACCGGTCAACGAATCAAATCAGCTCTTCACGTGTCCCTGGATTATTTCAATCAACGGATATTTGGATGGGAGCCTGTTGTAGAAGAATGGAAAATTTTGAGATTCCTATCGAACTTGAAAGACCGAAAACATGTCGTGGAATTGGTTTCCGGTAGATATTGTCAATTGTTTTATAATAGTATTAGTTTTATTGGGATTTTAGAAACGAAAAGCACTCTTAACATTAATGTCACTGAGCAATTTGTACAACAAGCGATTCAACTGAATGCCAAACTTCCTGCGATTTTCGCGTCTTTTGAAAGAGACGATTTTAGGTTTGAAAATTGCACTCTTGACGAATTATTGACGAAGACTGATTTATTTAGGAATCAATGCACAAGAACAAGTTCTGATCATTTACCGTATTTGATGAAAAATGCGACGGGATGCGATATTTCATTTACAACGAATGTTGATGAGCAAAAGTTGTTCAATATTTCCTATGTGAGAAAAATGGTTTTTTTTAGAAAATCGGAGAATCCAAAGACACGAAAATGGATTCATGTTGGTAGAGGACAAGAGAAGAATTTTGAATTTCCGGCGAGACTTTTATTATATTCCGTAAGTTTTTTGTTTGAATTCAAGTGATATTTGATTGATGTACGAACCACTTTTGTTTAGAATGTGGAATTCGAGCCGCCTCGACAATTAATCGTGAAAGTGAATGGATGGGATGAGATCACTCCGGTGAATGTGGACGCGTGTGGAACGTACTTCAGAGTTGTGAAAGCCGAAAAATCGCGTCCAGACTTGAACATTGCCCGTATTCTAATTTGCGTGACGATGGAGAAAGACGGGAAGAAGGTTGTGACGCTGAAATCGTCGATTGATGTAACGAATCATTTGCCGCACTCGATTGCAGTTCAGACTCAAGGAGCAAGTAAGAGTTTTAGTTTGGATATTTTCGAAGAATTGAAATGATCTTCTTGTAGAAGGGGAACTGCTAAACATTGAACCAAGTGGATCAGTGTCGATTCCTCTCGAATATGCTCACGCCACGTTGACCGCATTCCCGACTGGCAATGTGCAAGTTTCTGAGCATGCTGAAATCGATTGGAAAAGCGTTAAAATTTCCGGTGAAGTTTGCAATCAGACGCAAATGCTTAAGACGAATGGTGCCGAACGATACTATTGGTAGGTGTTTTCGAAAATGCTTTATCATAAATTGTCGCGAAATGGCTAATATTGCAAATTTGAATGTGAGAACGCTTTTCGATTCTGATGTGAAATGAAATTTCAAAATATAATATTTAATGAGTTATTCAAAAATGTGTTTCCCCTCTGGACATTAAATGTATTTTTAGGGTTTGCACGGCCATAAGGCGCGAATATTATCCCGAGCATGAATTTGAATCACTTCCCGGACATTCTATTCATCTCGTTGCCCCATTATCTCTTCAGGTATCAAATTTCACAACGATGAATGAGAGATAGAAAAAAATTAATTTTAGAATTTGCTGCCAATTGACGTCGAAGTCAGCATTCAAGACAATGATTTTGCGATCGCTGCCGGAAAATCGATGTTGATTACATCGGTATTGATTTTTCTATAATATCGATTTTTATACGAAAACGTTCAGATTGACATTACGAAGGAACTGACGTTGTCTATCAGCACTGATCGTTTGACGTCACAATTTCCATTGGTAATATCGAAGGTCTCGATTGCGGAAGGACAGCTTCTTTCTACAAAAATGGCTGATTCTAAAGGAAGACAACTAGATATGTATTGTCATGTGAGGCTTGGACTTGCCCAATCGATTTTGGTTGCATTTTGGGTTCCCTATTGGATTGTTAACAAATCCGGTAATAGAAAAATCCGGTATATAAATTATTATTATAATTGAGTTTTATAGGATTGCCGTTAATTATTCAACAAGATGCTGTGAAGGAACAAGCTGCTGGACAAATGGAGGAACACGAAAAAGCCAAAGATCGTCATCCGTTGATGTTCTCGTTTGCTGATGAAAATTGTCCGAAATCGTGGGGAAATTTGAATTCGAATATTTGAAAATTGATTGATTTTATAGGTGTCGTGTTCGTGTCGGAAATTCGTATATAAGAGAGCCGGGCTACGTTCCAGCACTTAGCGAAAAATTCACTTTGACGCCTGGTGTGCAGGCGTTGAAGTTGAAATTGGAGCACAAAAAACTGCCGACGATATATTATAATATTGGAGTCGAAGTGAGAGCGGGAACTGGAAGGTACAAGGATACGCAAGTTGTGCTCTTGACGTCGCGATTCTTGCTTCAAAATCAGTCTTCGGTATCGTTATCGGTGTCGCATCAAGATTTGATTGAGGTTTTCCTCGTTTGTATGTTTTAAAGCGTTTATTTTGAAAATTTTAGAAGCCTCGCGAGCATGTTCATCTTGCCGCTCAATCCTCGACGACGTGGAATGAAAACTACGCAGGACGCCGAAAATTGTGCGTAAAACGCGCCGACGTGAAACATTGGAGTTGTCCGTTCTTAATCGACCGCATCGGATCATTCCATGTTACAATGAGGTTTTGAAATTTTTATAGAATTAACAAAATTCGCGAATGTACTGAATTTTTTAAGGGATGCTGATGAGACGCCAAGATTTATTCGCGTTGAAATTATTTTAACATCTGCCGTTTTTCAAATTACGTTCACTGATGCCGACTTCTATCCGCCACCAATTCGAATTGAAAATTTGACTGACGTAGGAATTGATCTCTAGAATCGTTGCCATCGTACGTGAGTTATTCTTCAGGTGCCCGTTCTTTATCATCAAGAAAGTGATTCTCCGACACACCAGCATTTGAGGACAATTTGCAAAGCGAAAAGTAAAGTCGACTACGCGTGGGATGATCTTTACGGAACGAAGAAAATGGTGCTGCAAGTTTTTGAGAATCGAAGCAAATCATATGAAATTGGAATTCCTGGACAAGCCGAAAGCCTCTTTTATGAGAATAATTCGTTTATTCAACTCGCGTATACGTTTAATATGAAGAAGTCCGCCAATGGTACTCACATCTCTTTTTTTTGCGGAAATGTTTTTTGTCACATTTAGGCCGGACAGAAGAGCAGGAGTTGGTTCTAGAGACGATGGAGAAGGGAAAAGTAATGCTGAACAAGCAGAATCGAACTGGTGGAATGTGGGTTTCGTAAAATCGATAATTAATAACTTCAAAGTTCAGAAACCAATTATGGAAATTATGTAAAGATGGATGCATTGAAAATATTGGGATGAGCATGCGAAATCAGAAACCGGATTCAAGATTTGTTCTCGATGTCCTTGGAAATCATTTAATGATGATGGAAAGGGATGAAACACGTAATCACTTTCAAAGATGGACAATGATGCCCGACGGAAGGATTTGTCTAATGGATCGCCCGAAAATGATGATAACTGCAAAGCAGACGGAAGTCTATCTGGCTGATGTGGACCAGTCGGCGCCGAAAGGGGAAGACGGAATCGCCATAACGCAAATTTGGAGGATTCAAAAGCAGCGGCCTGGTAGCGGAACGCTCGGTGTTGAGCTTCTTCACAGCGGGCCGACGGTGGTCGTCAGGATCAGCGATCGAGAGCAGACGCGAACTGTGTCAGCGCCTCACATTCAAACGGCGATTTCACCCGGCGTTTTGGATGTGAGCATCTCGATGAGGGGTGGAATTGGAATTTCAGTAGTGAATGGAGAACACGAAGAATTAATTTATGCGCATTTTGGTACGAAAAGAAATAATAATTTGTTCTAATATGATCATATCTTAAGGCGGAATTTTCCTCTCTGCTCGACGCGTTGAGAACACTTATCAAATGACAGGAAGCGTGAATGTGATTCAAGTTGATAATCAGCTGCTAACATCTGATCGATGGCAGGTGCTCTATTGTCAACAGGAGAATTTCGTGGTGACAGAAGAGCATCTCGATGAAGCCCCTACTGGTGTTTCGATGAATGTGAGACCGGCGTTGAAGTTGGAAATGAACTGTACACCAATGAAGCATTATGATTCGTTTGACGTAAGATTCTCAAAGTAATAAGTTTCACACACCAATATTCAGTGTTTCCGTTTGAAAGTGTGCGATATGAGTGTTCAATTAGATGAACTCCTTTTATGGAAGCTGGTACAAATGGTACAATCGTCGGATGCCTCGTCTTCAGTTCAGCAGAAAGCTTTGAACCTGCCTCCAAATACAGAGTTTGCTTAATATTAATTATTTATATATAGACACCATTATTTTTTGTAGATTGGAACGGCATGATCCATTGAGAACTAGACGATGGTATTTTGGAACATTGGATTTGGAAATGGGGCATGTTTCTCTCAGTGGTACGGATTGCGACCAAAAAAAAGATATGAAATTTTTTGATTTTTAGTAGTTACTGTGTCAAAATCTGGCCTTCCTCGCGATCTTCGCCATCTGAAGCAGCAGTTCAACGTCAAACTGATCTCTTTTGAAAATGCGATTGTTTCGTTGCCACCATTCCGTCAACATCATTATTTTGAAACATCTTCGTTTCTTCTCGAGTCGCTACAAAAATTCTACCTCGCCGAACTTCAAAAACAGACTCTGAATATTATTGTGACCCTTGATGCATTCGGAAATCCGCTTGGTTTAGTCACAGATCTAAAAGATTCATTCCAAGTTGGGTGTTGGTCCAAATCTGATTTAGTTAGTATTTTAAGGGTCTCTTCATTGAGGGAGATGTCCAGCGATTCGTGGCGGGTCTTGGCTATGGCTTCTCGAATAGTGTGTCAAAAATGGCTTCGTCCGCTGCCACTGGAGTTGGAGCTTTGACGTTTGATCAGAATCACGAGATGAAACGGAGGCATAATATGATACGATCTCACAGGTACCCGTTCTTCGTTTTTTTTTTACACTACTGAGATATTATGAGATTCAGCTCATCATCAACACCTCTCACACACTTGTATTCTGGTGTCAAGGGTCTAGGTGTTGGCGTGCTTGGCGGCATGACAGCAATTGTAACAAACTCGATGTCAGAGAGCAAAAAGAATGGAATTGTCCGCGGAATGTTCAGGGGAATGGCGACTGGCGTGGTGGACACATTCACAAAACCAGTGCAAGGCGTTTTTGATTTTGTCGAAGGTTTCGCGCTTTCTATTGCAAGTTGCCCAATATTTCACCATTCAGGAACTGCCTCGGCTATGAAGGAATTTTCGATGCCATCATCATCATCAAGACGGGCGTTTGCACAATCGTGAGCTCTTCTAAACACCGTCTGGAATGATCCGAGTACTTATTTAGACGTGTCCGACCGCCGAGACTTTGCCGAAATATCTATCACCTCTTGCCGCCATTCAACGAGAACTTGGCGAATGCTCAACTTGAATTACTGCGAATCAACGGCTATTCGACGAGAGAACGCCTTTTGGATGTTGAAACTTGTTTGGAGCATTTTGATGGTCCCAATAGTTCAAAACTAATACGGCAGTATGTTTTGCTTACCACGAAACAGTGTTATGTTTGTCGACAGGTAGCATAATTTTTAGGAATATTATGAATCAAATTTTTGCAGACAAATGGTGAAGATTCAAATGTGATACAGAGGATTGCTTATAAATATTTGAAGAATGCTTTAGCGAAACAACCTTTGGAAAACACATTTTCAAGTGTTGGTATGTTTCATCGAGCTTCCCGATATATCTATCTATTATGCCACTTTCAGAAGTCACTCTGTCTCTTGAAGGGAAACGAGTGCAGACCAGCCATATTTGGTGTAGTCGATATGAAGTGGCGAAACGGCTCGTGGATAAATTGTTGCGAGCCAAACAACTATACGATCACAACAAGCGGACATTGAATGATATCTCTTGGACGAAATCTCTGTTTGATGCCGATCAAGCAATTGAGTAAAGGGCTGGAGCCTTGTAAATTTAAATTTGATAAACTTGGTTTGTTATTAGTTATTCTTTCGTTATACTTGTGAGTCTTTTGTCATCAGTTAAGTTCATTTTCTTTCATTTATTCATTTCTAATTATTCATATTTTTGCTGTGCAATAGTCGCGCTATGGTTCATTATTTTTTTCTGGGAAAACTGGTCTAATCAACTTTTTCTTTTTCGCTTTATTCATGTTTTATACCCTCCGCGTGTGTGTGCCTTACGGTATTTTCCTGTGATAAAATTTATTTTGCTTTAATATTTTTTTGCGAATTTTTATAATATTGGTTGACAATGACCTTTTCCATATTTTAAAGGTAAATTTAATTGAGATTTTTCCTTTAAAAAAATTCGTTTTTAGGCCGTTTTAAATGTTAAGTGCCGATCTGCCGAAGCATCGACTGGGATTCCGGGTTTTTGTTGCGTCTTGCATATTCACTACAGCCACCATATGTTGGTCGAGTGGACGAAATCATTTGATGCATACAATTGTTTTTTTTTTCAGTTGCCGTTTTATGGGATGAGCGGCGTCAACGAGAAAGACGACAAGAGGGAGTGAAGTACCGCCTGAAAGCGATTCAGCAGAATGAAAATATGGCTGAGTACGAATTGCAGAAGAAGCGATATGAAGAATATAAGCAATCGAATTCGTAGATAATAAATTATTAGATAGGATTTGTTATTTTTATTTTGCTTTTTTTTTGTTTCGTGCAATGTGCAATATTTTGAAGCATTTTCTTCATATTTATTCGACAACCTAGATGAGGCCGATTCTGTTGATTAATGCCACAAAACTATCGAATTTTGTCGGTGTTAGGTAACACTTGATTGTGACATTGGTGAATTGTGTACTTCCTACAGGTCAGCAAGCACTAGTCTTCAAGGAAAGGGACCATTGAAGACGAATTGGAAGCAAGACGTCGTTTATTTGTACCAATTCCCGCGACCAGCCAACAAAATTCCAAATCTCTCGCCATATTGTCTCAAAATCGAGACGTTTCTACGCGCGAATCGCATTAAGCATGAAGTTCATGGCACTTGGCTGACATTGAAACAATCGCCAACTGGGCTTCTACCTTTTATTGAGCTCAACGGACAGCAAATTAGTGATTCGCAAGTGATCATTTGGAAGTTGCAGAAACACTTTGATATCAAGGTATTCGAACAATTTTCAAGAGAAATGAAGGCGTAATGATTTTCGTGAATTGTTTACAGGATGAGCTGAACGGATATGATCGCGGAGTTGCAAGAGCCGTTGAGCGAATGGTTGATATTTCCACCAACTAGTTGGCGTCATTTTTAAAATTTTATTATGCAACTGCTTTATTTCAGCGGTCTTTTAGTCGACAAATCTGTGAATAATGCTCATTTGTTGCTCTCGAGACAAGTAATCAACAATAAGTAAAATTTTGGACGTTTTGTACTTCAGGTTAGCAATGCGCCCTTTCCGGGAATTGTAACGAATTGGTTGGCTAAAGGGTTCAGCGATAAAATGAGAAAACGTGTGAATTCGGTGCTCGGCAAGTTGGACAAGGATGAGCTGAAGGAGGTTCTTCGGAGAGATATTCAGGCTATTGATGATATACTTGGAGACAAGAAGTTCTTATTTGGAGATCGAATCACATCGGTATATTTGAGAAATCAAAACGCTTGTTTAAAAAAATTCACCGAAAATTCACTGGGTTTGTCTTAAAAATGAAACAACACTGTTTTTGTGGCATTAAAAAAAATTCTTGGTCCTACAATAGAGAAAATATTAATTACTATAAGTCATTGAATAATTCCATTTTTTTATTTTTTGTTTCCAGACTGACTGTTCAGTTTTCGGCCAAATTGCTGCTGTTTGCTACTTACCGTATCGACAGCAGATAACAGATCTCCTCGAAGACGATTTTCCACGCGTTCAAGCATATTGCGATCGAATTCGCGCTCATTATTTCCCAGAATGGCGAGATGATTAGGCCAATAGTGTGTGAATTATATTGTAATTTAGATAAAGAGGTAACAACAAATAAACATTCAATAAACCGATTAGATAACACACAAATTTAGAATAGATGTCCTTTTTTATCATCGCGCAGAGCAGCGGCAATCTGAAATAGCGAGAATATCATTTTTTTTCTCCCGGTTTTAAAATACAATATTGTATTCCGTTTGATCGGAAATTGGAGGCGAAATTGGCACATTAGTAATAGCACCTTGTCGACCATTTTCAAAATCTCAACAACAAAATATTGATTATTTTAATTTTACTCACTCCAACTTACACATTTGACGATTAGGCTCATAAGTTTGTTGGATTTCCACTATTTTTACTTCCAATAAGTGTCTACAAAATGTGATTTTTTGTTTCTGTTAACGTCAATTGTTTAGAATAATACACACCGATAATGGGCGCGAACTGCCATCATCACACCAATACAACAAATAATTCCAATTAAAACCATTACGGCGAATATGATGATATTATTAGAAACGAGACTTAAGTTGGCATCTGAGGTTCTGATTTGTCTGACAAAAACATATCTCACTTACACATTAGCGATAGCTCCCTCGGATTAACATAAGAGCCCGTCGTAATATTATTATCGGACATTTTCATTTAAAAAAACAATAGAAATGTTTTCACTAAACCCAAAAATCTCACGTAAAATATATATGGTGGACAAATACCGAATGTGAAAAACTGCAGCGAAATCCTATGTATTGTGTGCGTACACCGAGTCGCACAGTTCAGTCAGAGCTACAGTTATCTCAACTGCAATTTATTTATTTATTGTCGAGAAATGACAAATGTATCCAGGTGTCGTGGGATCCTGCGTTTTGTACGCAATGCTAAGAGACAGTTACCGTAATCCTCGCAGCGATTTACGGAGTTTTTTTTTTAAATTTTCATTCAATTGTTTTTGCTGAATTTTCTAATTTTCTTTAGAAATCTTATATTTAAAACCTTTAGAAACCGAATTTAAATATTTATTTTTCAGAATATGAACTTTTCCATTTGTCCAGTTGAGTTGGGAATTATTGTGAAGATTTTGACGCTCTAAAAATTATTTTGAAAATGAAGAATACAAAAACAAGATAATAGAAACGCATACAAAAAGCAAAGCACGGTTAAATAATTTTATTAACGACAAAAATGATTTCTTTTTAATCTTTGCTGTTTTTACCAAAAAATATCGTTTAATAGTGCTTATTCTGCTAAATACATTATTAAACTCGGTTTCTGCAAAATTTAAAAATTTAAATTAAAAAATTTCGAAAGAAAATTTAAAAAATTGAACGAAAAATAAAAAAAATGAATATGCGAAATTAAAAAAAAGTCCCCGTAAATCGCTGCGAGGATTACGGTAATTGTCTCTTAGCATTGCGTACAAAACGCAGGATCCTACGACACCTGGATACATTTGTCATTTTTCAACAATACTTAGTTTTTTTTCGTTTTTTCTGTGTTTTCTTGGCGAATTAATGGTTTTATGCATATTTATTTTGGTGAAAAAGTGTAATAGTTATAATTTTCTATATTATTCAAAGATAATTGTTTTATATGAAGAGAAATCATCAATTTTTCGAAAAAAAACGACTATTCGAAATTAATTAAGATAATTAAGAAAGTTGAACAGAAAGAAACCGATATCAGTGATTTTAAAAATTTGATTGAATTTCAATTATCACCCTTAACCCATTATCATTATCTTCGATGCCGTCATAACCATTCTCGAATTAAATATATCTTCCTTCTCGAATTCATCACACGAACGTTTTGAATTGGATTCTTTAATTCCAGTATTCGATTGTCGTCTAATGTCCCAAATTCGACTTACCCATATTTTCCACATGTCGGATACACTTGATTATTCGGTAGCGCATATTCTTTAAATAATATCTCGGAATATCTTCCAACATCCCCATGAACTACTGAAATCGAATAAATCTGACTCGAATTCAGCCCAAAACAGAATATGAGTCTTTGTATGGCTTTTCGCATATAAAAATAATGTTGTCGTCATTGATATCTAATGGTTTGATATGACCGAATGTGCCGTCAAATTGTTCCCTCCAATCGAATCGTCGTCTCGCCACATTGAAATTTTCTCCACACAGTTCCTTGATTTCATAATAATGTGTTGCATTTTCAGGCATCAAATAGCATTTGTCATATAATTGAGGATAATTATGCGGGCAAAGATATTGATGCTCTATTTGATTACCATAAGTTTTTTTTATTAAACTAGTCTTTTTGACAAATACGTACACATTAATTGGCTGGAAACTGGAATTCTACTCGAACGATGAGCATTATATTGATTTGTTTCGGAGTGTTGTTGAGGAAATTACGGCGGAAGACAAAAAAGCGCTTCTAAGGTAGTTTAATTTCGATTTTGTGTGAGAGGAATGTTTGAAACATTATTTTAGATTTATTACGGGCTGCTCGAGACCACCGATCGAAGGATTTCAGAATATTTTCCCGCTCTGCTCAAATTGACCAAATATTCGACTCGTGTGAAACTTGAGGAGAAATTGAGGTTCTTTCTTTTTTTTTTTAATTTTTCCATAATTTTTGCTATTTTAGATATGCGATTAATTCGAACGCTGGGTTTGAATTGATGTGAAAATGATTTAATTCAGATGGGCCGAATTTTTTCTTGAAATGTATATTATTCCTCAATAAATTATGTCCCTTTTTTTCGAATGCTTGATTTTTGATGAAATTGGATGAAATCCCAAAATTTCGATTTGTTTATTTTTAATCGACGAATTTTGCAGGTTGCAGATATTTTTCAAATGTTGTGTAAACTATTTTATTTAGACTTCAAATATTTTTGATTTGAAAATGACAATTTGACCTGCGATATTTTTTTTTGAAATTTTGACCTACGACATCAAGTAAATGTTGCGCGCTAAATAAAATCATCACGATGAAAGATATCGATTTTTTTGGGTTTTTTTCGCTAAATTTCTGAACCTTGTTTTTGATTCAAATTTTTTCATTTTTTTGTATTTCTTTTCATTAATGATGTACAATAATTAGCTCAACTATTTTCAGCCCACCAACAATTAATATTTGAATTGTTGAATTTTTGTTGTCGAAATATTATCATCATTGCGAACTCCGTCGTTCAGCAATTCGTAAAAAGCGAACTGCCGTTATTTTTGTTGCTGGTATTCGTGCGAAAATTGTTTTACTCTACCAGTACTCCAATTACAGATTGCTCTCCGTTTATTGACTTTTTTGCAATTTTTCTTTTCTAACCAAAAAATGTCCGCAGTATTTCTTTTCTTGGATTATATTCCTTGTTTTCAGAAGCATTCACCGGTAATCGAATACACCACCGGACCAATTTGTCAGCCTTGCTCGCCGGATCGCCGGTTTCGAAATTAATTTGAAACAGTTAGAATAATAGTAATAATGCATTGCGCAACTTCGTGTCTTCTATTTCAGCAACGATTACTTCCTCGCCGCTCTTCCTCTCGCCGCACCATCGATCAACGTCGGACCCTGAAAGCCGCGGTCGCGCCGCCAACGAGGTTAGCGTCGATTTCGTTCTGCCGCCCGCCTTCATCGTCGAATTTTGTGTTTTTCCACGCGTGCGCCTTGATTCTCGGACTTGGACAACATGTGAATGCAATATTCCTTACTAGGACAATATTTTCAAATTTTTTTTGCCCTATTGCTACATCATCGAATTAGTCTAACGGATTTTCTAGGCGAGTTTTCGTATAATTAATTGCGAGTAATTGAAGAGACCCCAAAAAGAACACTTTTTCAAATTATAGTCAAATTGCAAAAAGAAATTCAACATTCAGGCCATGTGCTGAGCTTTTTTTCGAATTTCTCCGTAATGTCATTAGAGTAATGTTAGTTTAATTTGTTGCTTTTAACCCGTTTTGACTCTCACATTAGAATTCATAAATTTTCCTATTTTGTTTTCCAATTTTTAAAGGAATATTGTGCACATGTGTTCGGAGTCGCCCAACTGTCTCGAATTTTGCTTTCTTTTGCTGTCAAATCGCGAATTTCTTTAGATTTTTTTGTTTTGGAGTTTTGCAGTTGAATTGTTTTGATTCTTCAGAGTTTATGAAACACTTCTTGGAGCATAATCCCCCTCCTCAAATTTGCGCGGAAATTTTTTTCAAAATAAATAAATAGCGTTTACGAACAAAAGTTAATACTTCACATATAGGTGATTAGGTCTTGGTCTGGACTGTGCGGCAATTGGATTGCCATATTTTTTTTTTCCGAAATAAAACCTCAATATTTTGGTAATTTATTCTCAAATTTCTGTTTGAAAATTTTAAAAATTGATCCGAATTAATCGTTTTTTTTTATTTTTGCGAAATGCCAAATATACTATGAAAAAAGTATTGCCGGAATTATTTCGGCAATTCGCTGATTGCCGTTTTGTCCAGCATTCTCGAATAAGAATTAGGTGGATTCGAATCTCGATAATAGGTTTAAATTGGGACTTTCAAATATTTAAGTGTGAAATGAAAAGCATGCGCGTTAGCAGATTGCACTATTTGTATAATTAAAAAATCAATTGCGGTGAAATCATGCACCATAATAAAAATCTCGTTTTCCTAAATTGTTTTTCTCCGCAATTTCGTAGAATTTAAATTTTTCGATTTCTTACCTATTTTTATGAATTTTTTTGATTTTTGAGATTACCCTCCACTTTTGTGTTAAATATGTATCATGTCTTTTATATTTTGGTTGAGATAATTGGGGATTTAATTACCTAATTTACTTCTTGCGTTTAATTTATTCGAACGCGGTAGATACTAGGCTCTTTTACAATGCAGAATAGAAATTAGTTATTTCCAATTAAACAAGATGTTCTTCTATTGGAAAGCGTATCATAAGTATTCAGAAAATGTAATGAGAAGAAAACATAAAAATAATAAGATTCAAAAACGGGTTACGATCAAAATGTTTTGGGTTACTGTAGGATCGTCTCGCTTCTTGACTGAAAAAAAGAATACCACTTTGTCATTTTATCCGTTTTATTCATAATTTTTATAATTCAAGAAATCATTATATTTTTTGAAAGCCTACAGTAATCCTAAATCCTTTTCACCGTCATCCGTTTTTGATCTCACAATGAAGGTCGTTATCCACTACATTGACGATATTTCTTAATGTGCTTTCTATAATCTGCGGAAAATTTCCTATCGACTGGTCCAAACGTCTAAAAGTCTGAAAATTTTCTATCTGAAGTTTGAATAGATTTCCTGGGCAAATTTCGGTGACCATTACATTTTGTATGCGCGCTTTTATATCCCGAGTTTATAATTTTCTCTCACCCACCGCTGCACGCTCCTTAAACTTTCTTATTAAACTTTGAATATGAAAATGCGCATACAAAATGGATGGGTGAGTAAAAACTTCAGACAGAAATGTTCAGACACCTAGGCGTCTGCGTAATGACTGCTAGAGTCGATACAGAATTTTCTCTAGATTATATGACCAATTTTGAAAAAATCATCAATATAGTGAAAAACGACCTTCAAGACATTCTGCCAAAAATTCGCTAAAAAGCAAACCCTTATTGTTTCAAAAACTCTGTGAATCAAAATACTTTACTGCTAAAACAAGAAAAAAATAGAAAAATTAAAAAGAAATTCATCGACTTGGCCGCGAAAGAAAGTGAGATTCGAGGCAATTCGGCGACTCCGAATGTCCAAGTATTCGAGAATCGAACGGGCACGCTGAAAAACAGAAAATTCGACATTATGGAGGGCTGCAGAACGGAATCCGGGCTAGCAGTCGTGGGGGGAGGGCCGCGCATCTGGACTCCAACGGGAGGAGGGGGGTAGGATTGACGGTGTTGGGAAAAAATTCGAAAGGGGGGCCTGGTTACTCAATTTTTTAGAAAATTACGGCATGACGTTCTCTCTCACTTAGCGACTCCTCCAATTTTTGAGCGAATCCCTCCCCCTTCATTTTCCCCGAGCCTAAATCGCACAAAGAATCCCGTGTCCTAATCTCTCCAATTTTCGGTCATTTCCCCACATTTATGAAATTTTCCATCACATTTGTCCCAAAAATCAAACTCACACACTTCCGATTCGCCATTGCTGTGCCAATGGGAATACACTTGAATTTACGAAAGTCTGCGGATAAGCACAAGAAAGCTGCAGGGTTACAAGATAACGCCGTTTACAGAAATTCTGCCGTCATTGTATGCAGTTTGGTCAGGATCAAAGTATATACATTCTTCTGGACCAATCCTAATCTAACAAAACCATAGATTCTGGCTTTAAATACGCTAAAATTTAAATCTAACTCTAAAAATGTGAAAATTTTGGGCCATTTGAAAACCGCCGAGACGCGCCAATCGATGTTAATGGAATATTAAAGGAGAAACTGAAAATATTTGAAAATAGGTCAATTTCCACAATTTCAAACGGGAACGAGAAATATGAAATTATGTTCGTCACCACATTTGAATAAATTTGAGCACAATCAAACGAGGCAATCCGCGAATCTATCAAAATTAACTCTACAAATTCTCACTGCACATTGAAAATGGACGAAAAGGAACACTTTTGATGAAAGCTGGATCAAAAAAGGTAAACTGATCTGCCACAGATCCACTTTTCAGGTTTAGCTGTATTTTCTGCGATTTGGATATAATTTGAACAGGTTTTTATGTAAGCCAATTTCTTGTGGAAATATCCATGCAATAAAAACATTACATTTTTTCCTGTACAGTTGTAAATATTATTTAATGTTTGCCTGAATTAATTCGAAACTAAAACTTCTCTCCTATGTAAAACTCTACCCACGTACCATTTCGCATAATTTGAACAAATCTCACTTATTGAACCCCTTCCCCCAAACTCGGGGGTTGTTATAACCGCTTACTCTGGAATTAATTGTGTCCAATAAATGTGAAACTAAAATAAAGGAATATTTTCTAATGATTCTGCGAAATAACCCGATCGAAAATATTTTAAATGATAGAAGTGTTTTTTCTGTGATATTTGCGTCACGGTGCATTCACGTATTTTGGGTCCGTAGTTTCAAATCTCAACCATTGTTTTTTCGTATCTAGCGAATTTTTCGTTCCAAATTATTGCGCTTATACGGGCTAGGTGCGGCGACAAACCTTTCAGAAAACGGCAGTAACAGTCGATAGGGAATTTTGAAAACTGTTTGTGTGCCATTAAAAGTATCCTGTTTCCCCACAGAGTCATTTTAATCTCTAATGTTCCTTACACAAGTGACACCAAACTGCATACAAAGACAAAGAGTAATGTAAACGGACATCTAGTAACTTTACAGTAACCCTGGCTCGTCCGTGAACTGCCGTAAATTCCAGTGAACTGCCATTGACACGACAAGAGCCGAATCAAAGAATGTGAGTTGTGAATTTGGTACAAATTTGAAGGAAGATTTCAAAAAATGTTGGAAAATAACCGAAAACTGAGAGAGTGGAACCAGGCCATCTATGTGTATTTCGACTCGGGAAACAATGTCGAGTTTAGGAAACGAACAGGGAAACCGGAGGAATCAAATGCTCATTATAAAAACAAAAAATCGCGTACCGTATTAATTTATCAACATTTATTAACAACGAGTTCTCGAATGAATGCAGCTCCATTTGTCCTCTTCGTTGCTTTTATCCTTCATTTGTCGATATAGGCAATACACAATCTAAAATAATCCAATTTTTTAAAATATAATCGATATGTCTACGTCGGCCAGATCTTTAATTTAGCCAATTTAGCGCAGCTATCGATAATAACTTACGTTAAATAATTTTTAAAAATAAAAAAGTCGTTTTGAGAAATATGACTCGTTTCCCTGACAGCTTCATATTCTGAAAAAAAAGTTAATTAATTGAATGAAAACGGTAGAAAATAAACACGAAATCAACGAAAATATGCAAAATAAATGAAATAATGCGGAAAGAATACGGAGGGAGTACACGAAGAAGAAAACAATGAATATGAATTGTAAAACGATTGATAATCTGAAATTTTTTTTAGAAAACTGGGCGGCGGGATAAATACAAATATATACTAAGATACCTCGCGTATAAAGGTATTGAAAAAAAGAAGTTTCCGTGATGAAACACGCTTATATATGATTAAATTACAAATGAATCATAACTAGAACAGGTTTAAAGCATTTAAAAAAGCAATAATGTAAGAAAAACAAGGAAAATTCACGAGAAACACCAAGCATTTCAAGGAAAAGTTAATATCGATTTTTAAACGGGCGGAGACACAGAAAAAGCGCCAACAATATGATTATTGACGTAATCCGAATTTCGTTGGCGCATTATTGGATACAAACTTTATAATCAATAAATTGTCAAGGAAAATCACTTTTCAACCAATTTTCTGCCGATTTCTCGGAACAATAATAATTCGGAGCTTCGCTACCAAATGAATAATATACATTAACGCAATTCAAAGCAGGTTAACAGTCTATTTTGAAACACGAAAGCTATGATAAAACAAGGCGCTTTGACCCTAAAGAAGCCTTTCACAACAAATAATGCAATAATGTAAGAAAAACAAGGAAAATTCACGAGAAACAATACCAAGCATTTCAAGGAAAAGTTAATATCGATTTTTAAACGGCCGTTGACACAGAAAAAGCGCCAACAATATGATTATTGACGTAATCCGAATTTCGTTGACGCATTATTGGATACAAACTTTATAATCAATAAATTGTCAAGGAAAATCATCTTTCAACCAATTTTCTGCCGATTTTTCGGAACAAGAATAATTCGGAGCTTCGCTACCAAATAATAAATAACATTAACGCAATTCTAAGCAGGTTAACCGTTTATTATTAAACACGAAAGTTTGATAGGATAAAACAAGGCACTTTAACCCTAACGAAGCCCTCAACAACACGCAAAATTATGTACATGACATTTATCAGATAATATTATGATTATGAAAAAAATTAATAATAAAAATAAAAACAATTATAGAATATAAAAGATCACAAACCGATTATATCACACATCTTCTTTAGAACGGGGTAAAAACTTTTTGGGTTGATTCATTTTTGAATCATATTTATTAGAAACTCTTCGTAGTTTGTACTCGATGCATATTTCTTGGCAAACTCGACAATCGCCTGCTTTCGCCGAGTATGCGGAAATTGATAGCTAAAACAATTTGTTCAAACAATTTCAGAATTTGGCAAGACCCACTTTTCAATTTCAGCAACATCGCGTCTCGACGTGTTCAAAATCGTGTGTCGCACGAACGACGCTAAATTCGATTGCGACACCACAATTCCATCAACAAGCGGACCGGCTTCTCCAAATCGATTCGGGGTTCCGCGAGTGCGAATTTGCACAACGCCAGGCTCAATCAAATGAATGAACATCACCTGGTAAGCGACATGCTGAGGCGCAGCCATCATTCGCATTATTCACACTCAAAAGCGAATTTCCATCATCACAAGTTCCGAGAAGTTCGCCTAAATATAAAATTTTGGCACTTTTTTGGCAGAAAAAAAGCTTACTGATCGGAAAATAGACAATGTCTTCAGCGCGTTCAAGCCAAACGAGAAGCATACGAAGCGGACATGTGCGTCGACTGATATGATGGCCACCGCCTGAAATTATTCCATTTTCAAACAAGCCGATGGGAAACCAACACCCACCCATGCTTGAACCGCCACCCGCGTACGGCCTAAAATCAAAACATCCGAACACTTCTCTCCGTGGGCATTAGAAATGCGATCTCGGCACTTCCGCCAACCTGATCGCACCACCAAAGCGCATTCTGAATTCCATCAATGATGTAATGATCAACAGCTTCCGATTCAGTATAAGGTTCTAAAATGAATATAAAACGTGAGAAATAGTCAGTCAACATACTTCTCTCGTTAATTTCTCTTCATATAAAACAATTATCTTTGAATAATATAGAAAATAATAACTATTACATTTTTTCAACAAAACAAATACACATAAAACCATAAATTCGCCAAGAAAACAAAAAAAAAAACGAAAAAATTAAATAAGTAAAAAAAATATTTGCAGTTGAGATTACTGTAGCTCTGACTGAACTGTTGCGACTCGGTGTACGCACACAATACATAGGATTTCGCTGCAGTTTTTCACATTCGGTATTTTTCCACAATATATTAATATACAAATTTGTGAAAATATGTGTTCTATTCGAAATTCGCCGGTAATCTTAGCGCCGGTATTATTTTAGGTCATAAGCAGCTGGATTTTTAGCATAGCCCTCCATTTTTTTCCCATTTTTTTTAAATCTGAGTTTTCCCAGAAAATTTTATTTCGTATTCACGTGTGTAAAGAAAATAACTAGACATGTTGAAATTACACCGGGAGTACTAACACCGAAAAAAATAAATATCACATAATTATGCTATACACGATTACGCACGAGTCGCTCTTATAATACAAAAATATAGGGTAAGTGATGATATTTGTGGATGTGAAAGGCACAAATTCAAAAAATGTACATGATGTAATCTCACACGGTTGATAATGATCAGTGGCCAGTGTCCTGTAAGAATGAGCAATAAACACTAAACCAAAAAGGATTTACCTTTAATTGCGTTAAGTACAACTGTCTTTTTGTTTCGATCGTCTTTTGCGGGAACGGATTCAATTCATTGAACGCCACATTGGCGAGTTGCTTGAAATCGGTGATATGGTCTTGAGCACGACTCAAACACTGATGCACTGTTCCGATCGTCCGACACTGCAGCACATGCGGTTCGCAGATTTTGAGCAGCGCGAGGGCGAATCGAAACAGCACTTTATTTCCCTCATAAAGGAACACGTCAAAAATTGTGAGGTATATGGAATGCGGTAAAACGTCGACGAATACGGTGAGGAACCATGAGAGAGCGAATAGTGAGAGGTCGACTTCCAAAGCTCGTAGGTGCGATGCCAATTTTGGTAGTTTTTCTCCAACAAGATCACGAAGTACTTTTTGATCGGCAACTGCTCCAATCAGTGAACTCGTGTAGTATCCATCAGGCTGCAAGTGCTCAACACATGTGATTAGAAACCAGAAAGCGTCCTGTTCGTCAAGATATAGAAGTGCAATGGCGGCAAGGCGATTCAAGCCCTATTGTGAATCAATTAAGATATTGAGATTACCATACAAATGAAACCTGGCAATATCCAACATAAGTATTGTGATATCTGAATGCGTATAGAACGTTTCTCAGCTTCTCAATATTTTCCGATCCAGGCTCGTCAAAATGCTTGTTCGTTGGTAGTGTCCTTGCCAAGTCCAAATCAATCTCAAAACAAATTTGTGGAGCGAATTTTTGGGAGCTACATTGTAGCCTACCTGTTTGATGGCTGCGTCATAAACTCCATCCTCTTTTTTTGAATTGGCGCGTCGAAGCATACTTCCATAATAGCCATTTCCGAGTTCAGATACCTTATCTTTCACCCAATATTGTACAATGCTTAAATAAAAAAAATAATAATTTGCTCATTAATATGTTGTACCTCTTCCAAACTCTCCCACGATATGCCGGCGGCACTCCCGTTCTAATAAGTGTCTTCATTTCGGCTGAAGCGATAATCAGTGATTTCGATACAGTACTATTGACTAAAAACGAGTCCCACGATTGCAACCATTTCATGTAATCTTCGCTTTGTTCCAATTTCATCGCCTCTACGATATCATCCGATTTTTTCATGTAATAAGTTGCCGTGTCCAACAGATCAGTATTATCCGCCAGGCTGTCCTTAAAATGCGATTAAAAATGTCAAATTGAATTTGTTTAAGCACCATACTTCTTTATAGAAGCCTAATTGATCAGTGAGGCTCTGCTGAGATTCTCGTGGTGTTTGCGCCGATTCTTCGAGCAAGTTTTTCAAAACTCCAGATTCCATAACTACAATTAAATGAGAATAAAAATTTGTAGACGAATTTCGTTCGCGTCCTACTTTTTCCCGGCTTCATCGGCGACTTGAAATGATTAAGCACCATCAAATAGCGGCTTTTCAACTGATAATAGCACGCCTCCAAATCAAAATTCTTTCGTATCAAAGTTTTTTCTCTTTCTTCCAAACTCCGAACAATCGCATGAAGCTCTAAAAAAAGAGAATAAAGCCAAGTTTGACTATAATTGTTTCCAACCAACTATTTCCGCATTCAAAAACTGGTTTTGTGATCGGTAGCCATCGACAAGATCTTGAAGTCCTTCGACATCCTTCACATTTTCTTCATCGAGAACTCTAAAATATTCAATAAACCCGTGAAATTCGAAAATCGGCTCACTTTCTCGTGGCTTCTTCGCAATTTACAGTCGTGACATCTACTAAAATCCCTTCGGGAACTTCGACATCTCCAACAAGGCTATCTTTATGCTCCGGCAACGGATTTTCTTCGAACATTCGCAATATCAACTCTTCTTTGGTTCGCAGCGATTCGCGAAATGCTTCAACGGACTGTTGCAAGTCGCTTATAGTATCTTCAAGTTTTCTGGAAATATGCCGTTTTTTTCAAATTTCTGACAGTAACATTTCATACTCATTTTGATCCTCCAACTCTCGAACCTTTCTAGTGTTCATGCTATTTGTTATGTGAAGCGCTGTCAATTGGCTCTCCTTGTCAAGCAAATACTCGCGAATATCCTCATTTTTTCCGTTCATCTCCTCAAACTTTTGCCTTGAAAACAACAAAAATTGGTTCAAAACAACGCGATTGAAAACATTACAATGTTTCATTTTGTCTCTGGGCCATCAATAGAGCAGCTCTCAAAGATTCCACAACTTCTTCCAGACTCGCCACTTTATCACGAAGTTCTATGCATTGCTCTTCAGGGGTTAAGCCCGAATCCATAGAACCAACGGTTAATCTCTGCAATTTTGATAAGAGCATTTTTATTCAATATATATATATATTTTTATCTACTCTGGGGCATTGCTCTTCGGCGGTTGATTGCCTCGAATGTTTCCAACTTGAAAAGTTCTTTTTAATCGCACGAAAAGGCGCCTCAATGCTGTCATTCGTTCGATCGGCAATCCGTTTCAGAACCGCTTCAGGGCTCTCGATTATCTTCGGCATTTGGAGACTTCTCTCGTTCAATTGGCCATTTTCATTCAAATACCATTCCGTTGATGTTGATGTCTCTTCTTTCGATGACTCATCCTTTTCAGGAATTTCTCTGATCTTTAAGATGATCTATTTTTTCGCGAAATTTTTTAAATTCCGAAACCTCGGTTTCACCGTCGCCCTGCTCATTCTTAGCTTCAACTTCTTCTTCTTCTTCTTGTTTCGTAGTTTCCTGCGGCTTTCTAGCGACTCGAGGACTTCTTGGAGGCGGAATTGGAGATGGAGCATCTCCTGACTTGCTGGTTAGTGAAGAAATATCTAATGAGGTGTCTGAATGCGATTTGGCTGCTCGCCAACTCCGTTTACGAGTGTTTTGAAGTGCCTTCATCCATTCATTCCGCTGCTTGTCTGAGCAACATTCTAGAATGTAGACCTCATTTCCGGAACTGAAAATTTTCTAGATAGATTTTTGAGTAAAATGTTCGACGTTTTCAAAGTTTCGCTAACAAAAAAAAATTTATCGGCGACTTTTTTGAAACCATCCACAGAATCCTCTGGCGGACCGTTGCGTTTTCATCGCCATTCGATATACCCCATATTTAGGCATCACTGTCTGATTTCGACTAGTAATGAAAAGAAATGGGGCATCCGTTATCGAATCAGCATTCGCCCACACATCGTGCCACTCATTTTCCCGCTGCGCTATTAGCAAGCGGCGTTCAATGTAGCCACACACGATAGACGAGTGTGGTGAAACAATGTTGAAACATTCTTACTGGATCTCAAATCGACCCTTTTCTTTCGGATCATAAGTGAATGCCGCGCCGGCCAGCGAAACTCTTCCGATGCACTTTACATCGTCGCTATCCTTATACCAATACAAATAGGGCGTCGTATCACATAACGCAAACCAATAGCGTCTTCTGGTGATGAGTCCGATCGAGCGAACTTCAATCTATAAATCCGTACAATTCATGGAGTTGTGCAAATTTTTGGCAAACAAATCACTTTAAAAAAACCCTATAATTGCTATGCACAAATATAATTGAACCAGTTTCTTACAAAAAATTTAATTGTGCCGTAATAAGAATAAGTTCTTATTATTACCCTGTGTAAGTATCCACAAATCGCCGACGATTTGAGCTCTGTCGCCGGCGGACTGATGCTTACATTATGCGGCATTCACCTAAGTAAGAATATTTTCAGAAAATTTTCACAATTGTTAGTTTAAAGGTATGTTTATCGTCAGAAAAAAACGATAACCTGTTAGTTTACATAAAATAACATTAAAAGATTAATTTATTTCGTGAGATCAATTGTGAAACAAATTGAAACAGTGAGTTCTTCTAATCTTTACAATGTTTAAAGAATTCCGGCCATTCTTCAAGCTCTGAAATCACTAATTTTGCACTACATCCTTGAACTGCGCATTTCAGAGTCGATTTTTTCTTTGCAAATTCCGTTATTGATTCCAAGTCGTACACATGAGGACATCTCTTAAAACATTAAGTTTGTAAATTGTTTTATAAAGACAATTCAATTACCTTGGTTCTAACCGGCGTCACAATATCCTTCTTCGAAATTGGATCTTTCCGGCTATACTGCATTTGCATGACCTAAGATGGCATTTTAAATACATCAAACGAAATTCGTAAGAAACAAACCTCCATCTCCTCTTCGCGCTGTGATCGAATATTATTAACAATCAAATCGAAAGCCGCAGCCCTCGAACTATCATGATCTTGGCATTCCTCCAGCTTCTCCTTCCACTTTTCATCGATAATCTCCGGCTGAACACATTGATGCATTTTGAAACTTGTGCAAAACTCACCGTTAACTCATTTCTTATTTCCGTCTTCATCAACGAATTAAAACAATTTGTCTGACGTCGTGCCAATACATTAATTTCCTGCAACACAAATGTCAAAAAATGCTTTTAAAAATCGATTGTTGAAACCTTCAACGTTTCCACAGCATTCACCCGATACTTTTCAAATTCTTCAGCTTCGTTCCTATCATTAGGAACCGTCATATTCTCCATGAGCTCAGCGCAGAATATTGTGTATTTTTCCAGCACTTTTGTGCAATGGGCAATCTCTTCAGTCATCTGTACAAAACTAAAAAAAATACGACGAAAAGGATGAACGTATAATATGTAGGTTAAAAAACCGGTTATATTGCAACGCGAAAACAAAAATAACATTTAAAAAATCGTATTAAAGCACAAATTATGAATTCGACATATTAAGATGTCCAACTCGTACAGACAATATATAAAACACGTTATCCTTATCACTTCCGTATTGGTTTGCATATTTAATGAGTCTATTCAACATGGTCCGAACTTCCGTTTGGCAATTGTTTAAATATTGAATGGTAAGTGTGTTAGAAACGGACCTGAAGGCAAAATGTATTTCCGGCTCATCTTCAAAACCCACTTCAATCGAATCTCATCCGTCATCGCTTTGAATCGATCCATCGCTTCATGAACTTGACGTCGAATTCCACTTCTCTCGACCAATTGCGCCAATTGGACATGCCCGTCTTTGATGGATTTTTCAACATCCCTAACTGTTTTCGCTTGCAATATTTCATCAGCTCGCTTCTTAAAAACCATTCGCACCTAAAATCAAAGAAACAATTCGATACTGGCTTGTAAATACCAATTCTGTACCTTGCTGGCGAACAACTCATTAAAATACGATACAATTTGCTCTAAAGTGAATACAAAAAAGCGGAGGCGAACACGAATCGATCTAAAAGAAAAATTCACAACCCTTTTTTATTTTTATCTCATATACCTATGGTTCCTGATGGAATCATGGGTATTTGCTCTCAAATCCATTGATGATGGCGGGCATTTTAATCGATTAATCAATTCTTCTAAACTAATGCATTTTTCTAGTTAAAAATTAATGTAATTACTATCATTTGCCATTGCAACCAAAACTTCTCGTGTCCGATACGCCAAATGCGAATATCTCATACACTCATTCATCACATCAATGATTTCCGGACGAATGAAATAAGCCAATATGGCGTCAAGCTGCAAATTATCAATCTAATTAGTTGAACTTGGTTTTTTAAACCAAAACCTACTTTACATGAAAATTTCGATTGTGTCGGCATCCACGTAAACCGAAGCACATTCTCTTTGCTCAAACGATTCCTGGAGGCGAGCCAAAACGCGTCGGAAAAATCGCCAACATTCGAGTCGGACCGAAAAACGCTCGCCGCATATTGCTGCGAAACGGCACCAACGACGACACTCTGAAAAAAACAAAACCGATTAGCCTTTTGTTGATAAGCGCATCGCCGCGTGACACAATGACCAAAAAAATCAAGCATTGCGAATGCACTAAACGAATATTAATCATAATAATTAGTGCATTCCGTTATCAATAAACCACAGAAATTTCCGTAATATTTTAAAATCACAAATTAAAATTTCTGAAATGTAGTAAACAAAAACTTTTTTAACGATTTCAATAACCGTGTGCCATTTTTCTCTATCTCTATGTTTATTATCATAATCATAAAATTGTTGTGTTAAAACTGGAAATTATGAAAAATGACCATTATTCTTCAGAATACTAAAAAATGAATAGTTTCTCCTCAGTGCCTCTTACCTCGAGGTCATTCCAAATATTCAAAAATCGTTCATCTTTGTGTAAAACATCAAGAAGTTCCTGATCATATTGGCTGGTCAACGATTCGCACGTCTCGACAAACAGCGAACGAAATTCGGAAAATGATAAAAGCCTAGATGTCACCATTTTGAGTAATATTGAGTCGTCAACCTACTCGAATTTGTGTTTCACATTCTCGTAAATCGATTGATATCGTTTTGTGAAAGTTTGCTGAGGAAACTCGATAATTCCAAGGCGAATTCTAGACTAAAATTATAATATTATTATTATTATTATTACTCACACCAACAACATTTGAAGTATTAAAAAAATTAGCATTGCGAAAAAGGAAAAATTACAATATTTGATCGTTGCAAAATAAATGTACTTTTTTAAAGAAAAGTTTTAAATGAATAGAACTTGGCTTAGAATTCAGCAAAAGCATACCAACATTCCACCTCATAACTCGATAATTACCTGCGCTGCCGCTAGAATTGTCTCGATGAGATTTTCATCCCACAAGCACGTGTTAACAGATCCCAAATCTCGACATAATAGCAAATCCGCTTCTGGGCGTTTATCACTGCAAGAGAAAAACCACCAAAATCAATTTTCAAAATTTATAACGGATTCTCAATTTTCAAAAAAGTTTTTTTGCGTTTGAAATCTTCAATTATTCCATCATTGATGGATATCCGATTTTTCGCTTCAACAATTTTCAATGTCATATCAAATAAAATCTCAAAACAAGCTGGACAGCCAACCAAATTCCTCAAAAATTCATCAAATTCACTAGACTCGCCCCACTTTCTCACACTTCGCCGCGCTTTCGCCACCATCTTTTGATAAGATATGCAAATTTCGGCGACAATTACGCAATCCCCCCCCGCCCAAAAAAAAGAAACTGGATTAATAATCTAGCAGATTCCACCTATAAAAAGGTGCCAAATAAGAAGAAAAAATCAGTCGTTGAAAAAGAAATGTCGACCGGGGTTGCCTACGCGGCAGTCTCATTCGGAGTATTCTCCATTGCGTGCTGCATTATCGCATTCCCACTCATTCTGAGTCGCGTCGACGATATACGAAATGAACTCAACGTCGAAATGGATGCATGGAAGGTATGGAGATTTCCAGATACACTCATTCTTAACAACATTTCAATATATTACAGTATGAAACCGACTCGCTCTACAACGATATGCAAAAGTATGGACGTGTGAAGCGCCAATATGGTGGATATGGAGCGGCTGGTGCAAACCCAACACCACAAGGCGGATTCCCAGGTGGTGCCGCACCAAACGCGCCAAACAGTTTCCCAGGCATCGTTGGAATTCCTCCACAACTCAACAACGAGCCATCGGTTAACGGACAGTGCAATTGCAACGCCGACAACAAGTGCCCCGCTGGGCCAGCCGGAGAGAAGGGAGCACCGGGTGTCGACGGACACGACGGAATACCCGGAGTGCCGGGAATTGACGGACAAGACGCCGATGATGCTCAAGCTCAAACTCAGCAATACGCCGGATGCTTCCACTGCCCACAAGGACCACCAGGAGAGCCGGGAGCGCCAGGAAAGCCAGGAGTTCGTGGAATGCGCGGAGCGCGCGGACAAGGAGCGATGCCCGGAAGAGACGGAACCCCAGGACAGCCGGGAACACTTGGACCCGTCGGACCGATTGGTGCCACAGGAGAGCCAGGACCCGATGGCGAGCCAGGAGCCGACGTTGAGCACGCTATTGGCCTTCCCGGACCAAAAGGAGAAACCGGACCAATTGGACCGCCAGGTGATCAAGGAGAGCAAGGAGACGTCGGAAAGCAAGGCATCGCCGGACCACCGGGAGAGCGCGGACCACGCGGTGATAAGGGAGACGACGGCGAGAACGGAGCTCCAGGAGCACCGGGAGAGGAAGGCGAGCCGGGAACCGATGCCGAATACTGCCCATGCCCACAGAGACAAGAAGAAGCGGCCGTTAACGGACAACCACACTACAACAGCCGTCGCCACTAAATCAACTTCGCACTATTTATTATTACTCAAAATAAAAACTTTTAGTACGTCTGCAGATTATAATTTTTAAAATACTTACTTGTGCAGTACAAATGGTCCAATGTTGATGGGAACTCTACCATTTTCATAGATATGATCCATAACACGCAAAAGTGCACTTATCCATCGATTTTGAAGTTTACGCACACATTCATTCTATAATATTTCAATTATTTCAATTTTCACGTAGCTGGCTTACATTAGTTTGAAGCGCTTCCATTTCAGTTAGAAGGAAAATTCGATTCCAGCAATGCTCGATATCTTCCCAAAGCCAAGTTTGTTTCGAAGCGTCGTCACCAATTAATCGTCGAACCACGTCAATGTCTCGACAAAGACGTTCGGTTTGCGCCAAAACTTTCAACGGATCCAATGGTCGTTTCGAGCGGATTTTTTCGATTTGCCAACCGAAGTCGTTCAAAAATTCAACAACCCAATCGCGAATAATCTGAAAATCGAAAATAAACGTGAATGATTTTTAACTTGCAAAGAAAAACAAACCAAAATTGGTAGAGGCGTTATGAGTTGGCTTCGCTCGGATATTCGCTCAACAAAATTGCAAATTTCCGTCAGCTTCCTCCGCGGCCTCGCTAGTTTCTCTCCAAGAATTCTCAGCTAGAATCAATTTTATACAATTTTTAAAACAAAATCGAACCACATACGTAGGATTTTTGAATTATTGCATAAGGGCTTTCTAATGGAAAGAAATAATCGGAATGAACTTCAAGACCCGAATCTGACACCGAAAACAGCGGATATTCTACTCGATCCGAGCACACACGACGCTGAAGCTTCACCTAAACAAGTTTTTTTAAAATTTTTTTTCAGAAATATTTTGATACCCCCGGTGAAATATCAATAAAATCTAGTAAATGCATAGCTAATCGTTGCGGTGTCAACAAATAACCGTCATTTCTGAAAAAAAAACTCAAACTTCAGGATAATCTAGCAAAAAACACCACCTTCTGTGAATTTCATTCATTTTATTTCTAAATAGATGCGCCCTTTTCACAATAATTGGATGAAATGTTCTCAGGTGATTCTTCCTGCGACATCCGTTGAAATTCTAGTAGTCATTAATGTAATAACTAAATTACTCTTAAATTACCTGTTTCACCGGCGGCACTGGATCGCGCGCAGATTCAAGAACACATGCCGAATCGGGCCGATCTTAACACATTGATGATAACAAAATATTTCACAAAATATCAAAATGTTTAAATTGTTACCAGAATCCTCACTATCCCCTCTTTCATTTCGACATTGCGAGTAAAATGTTTTCTGAGAAAATTCATTCAAATCGCAATATAACATCGAAATACCTCATAAGCGCATTGATCAAACTCCACTCCAATTCCGGCATCATCGAAATCATCATACATTCTAAATAAAAACTTTAACATTTTCTAAAAAAAAATTTCAATCAGAATGGTAAAGGTTATAATATCCTAATTTACAAACGCAATTGACAATGAAACAAAAAAACACACTTTATTATTCACTAATTAAAACTGGACCTGAATATGCGAAAAGAAAAACAATCAAATGAAACTCTATGTACTGCCTAATGCTAATAATGAATTACTTAATAAAACTGTAAGCGAAAATCGATATTATACAATGGCACTTCAAATTGTCCGGCCTATGGTGATGACGGTGAGTCTGAGCGAAGGTACGACGAGGCAAATTGCTCCAAATTCCGTAGAAGGAACACCGCTTTGCCCCTAAAATTTTCAATTAATTTCTATTCGCACCACAATATCCTACTTGATAGTTCCTAAAGTCCTAATAGTGCTATCCACTTCCTCAATGACTTTCTTTTGCTCGTCCAAGTCCGCCTTCATTTCGCGATGAACACCTCCAACTGTCGTGCGAAGCCCATCGAAAACTTGGTCCATTTCTCTATAATTCACAAAATATTATGAAACTAATTGAATTTCTGCTTCTTAAAACCTTATAACTTGCGTTTCGCAATGGGTCGTGTGAGCCGACGCGACATGCTGCATTCTAGCAGCCAAATGTGATCTTTAAACATCTCGCTAACCAATTATTCACCGCATATTTCCAAAAAATACCTGAATTGCTCCTTTAAATGTTGCTCTTTTGCGCTCGAGTTCCATCGCATTCGCTCCCACACGTATAATCCAGCGTATGCAGCTCCACCAATTGCAATGACCTTTAATGCGAATTATCAACGAGATCGACAAAGTTGTGTTTACCCTCCATCCAACAGCCTTGTAGACAATTCCGCCAACAACAAGAACACCAAGCGAACCATTCGCAAGAAAAGCTGCCGACGTCAACACCATTTGTGTCATCATCGCTTGCTCTTCAGCAGCTACAACAGCGCCGTCATCTCGAACTGCATTCGCTTTCGCATTTTTCTAAATGTCGGTTCTACAAGCTTTCATTTTGATGATTACACTAACCAATGACAATGGGGTAAGCAAATTAGAATTAATAGCAGTTATCGGCTGCCCACTTCTATAAGCAATTATCCTTCGAATAATTGATTGAAGTCCAAATGTGAATCGGAATTCCAAATCTTCGTGGAAATCACTGAAAAATAATTCTCGTTTCACACAATGCCATCGCACTTCGGATTCCCACCTGACAAGCGCCGGAACATCAACACAAATGCTAAACTTGAACGGCGCCCGATATCTCCAAACTTCTTCAAGTTTGTTCTGATAAGGTTCCGCGAGTATTTTTGTGACATATTCTATAATTTTTTTTTTATCTCGTCTCATTTTTATTTAAAAAATCGTCATACGAAACATGTCATTCTCCAAATTCCAAATTCTCGACATCAATCCACCGGTGCATCTCGCCTCAAGGTCACTACTGAGACATTTATCGACGAAAACGGCAAGATCCTGATAGAAAAATCGTATAATTCAAACATTTCTTTCTTGCAATTACTTGTTTATATTTCGCAATTCCGCCAGACGATCCATCAAATGGTTCATCGAATCGATCAATAATCGCATCAAGTCGCGATATTTCTTCGAAAAAGTCGGCCGACACTTTTAAATGAACTTCGGATCGAAGGCGTTCCGTCTGATCACGATACGCCTTTTCAAATTGCGCGAAATTCACACGACATTCGTTGAAAATGTTCGTACTTTCCTAAAAAAAAAACTCATAATTTACACCAATTAATCAATAATAATATTACGTTTAGTTTATTCTGCAAATTACTTCTTCCTTCCGCAGCAGATGTCAATACACTATTCAAATTGAGCCGGATTTTTCCAACCATTTCGTGAGCACGTCGATTATGCGCTTCAAATTTCGTATGAATAGCGGATCTGAAAATGATTTCATCCAATGTTTTTGAATTTGATATTACTTTGAAATGCACTGCTCGAAGTGCTTCTCGAAATTCGCAAATTCCATCGCTCTTGTCGCATGACCTTCAGCCTGATAGGCCTTTTGAACAATTCCTCGCGCTTTTAGGCGAGCTTCCAAAACTTCGCGAGACGACACAAAAAATATACGATCGTTGACTTCGCGCTCACTGCACACTTCCAATTCATCGACAAGAAATTGGCGGAATCGCGTCATATGCTGCTTTTTTACCTAGAGTTCAAACAAAATAATATATTAGCATCAAGAAATATTACATCATCAATATTGTCAGTTTCTGAAGCGCTAGCATCCCAGCGATTATTGAGAATGAAAACGTTCGGTTTGCTAAGCTTTTTAGCAACACGAAGAAAAAAGTTCTTTTCCTGGAATTTCAAAAAACAATCAGCTTATTTTTACTCGTAAATCTAACCGCCTGTGTCAGAGTTGATTCGGCGTTCGACACCAATACAAAAACGTCGGCATCGAGGCAATGCTTGTCGATCCAACTATCGAACTCAGGAGAAAGATCGACGCCAGGACTGAAATTTGAATTAAGATGGAATATGAAAATATCAAATATACCTATCCAGTATAACAACGTCATTTTGTAGTAAGCGATTCTCACTATTCGGACCCTGTTTCGGATGGAAAACTCGAATCAACGAGTCTTGTCCCATCGCGGGAAGGTCCGAATTTTCATCGCTGAGCGCGTGGCCAATTTTACTGAGGCTAGACATTTTCATTCGTTGCGGATTATCGTCAAGCTGCAAGTATCCTTCGTCCTCATCGCAACCTTCAACCTAAAAATTGTGCTCTGTGCGATAGTGCAATAAGAATAGAACAATGATACTTGTAAAAAACAACACGTTGTGTGTCCCATTCCTTGTGGAAGAACCTTTTCATGCAACATCGCATTAATTGTTGTACTTTTACCATTACTCGTCCTTCCAAAAAATACAACTTTCATATTATCTCTTTGAAACGTTTCCATTATGGTTTTTATCGATTCGCGTATTGCTTCAATCTCATCTAGCTGTTCACTTTTCACAATATCCTTATCTTTAATATCTAAATTAAAATAAATATTTTGGAATCATTACTAATATGGGAGTACCGTTATAAACTCCCTCGAGTTCTGCGACATTGTCCCTGAGTTCTCCGTAAATATCCCCGAGAACTTTTTTGGCTTCACGGAAGCGTAAAAGTGGCTCATTGTCAGCAGTCCTTCGAGATGGTTTTACTAAAAAAAATACTCATGGATTTAAGTTTGAATTTTATCATAATCTTACAGCTGTGCAATCCTCGATGATTTGAATCTCCGCTAGCAGGTAACGGGTGCACTAAACTTGCTGTGCCAGACATTACCTGAAATCAATAAAATAATTTCGCAATAACAAAATATGTTTATTGTAGAAGAAGGGATTAAATCAAAGAATAAAAATTAAAATTGATTGGACAATTCTGTCCCCCACATGTTTTATTTTGGTTAATAAAAAGAAAATATTTAAAAACGCATAATTATGCAATTGATATAAGAGTGAATATTTAGTAGTACAATAGTTAGCTAAGAATGAACAATATTTCATGTAGAGATATTTACCGAAAATGGGCAAACACTATATCTCCGTTTAAATAAATATTAGTGGTTTTGAGTTGAAAATTGTGTGCGCAAAGAAAATAAAATGGTAATAGTGCAAACGCGCTCCACCGACAATGTTTAAATGTGCAAACTTCAAATAATATTTTGATGCCATTTTTGCGTATAGTTTGCTCACAGGACGATTATTTAATTAATTTCGCTATTTCAGCGTGTTCTATCTGTCATTTCAACTAATCCACTGATCAAGTAACTCTACGAACATGGACGGACTTGATATTCAATCGCATCGTGATTCTGAGCATCATCGCCAAAATCCAATACGTATGTTGAAATTTTTCAATATTCCCACTTAGTTTTTCGGCAAAAAATTAGATTATGAATCGTGTGTGTAAATAATAAAAATAATAACTATTCCAGTACACAAGATTTCCCCTGATGATGGAGCATCTGGAATGAAAACACCTCGCAGAGGTCTAGGAATGGTCATCAATGAAACTAAAACGGTAATCATTTATTAACATATTCGTAAAATCGAACATTATTATTATTTCAGCCTGGAGCACGATCCCAACAGCTATCTTCGTCAAAAAAGAATATTTGCAACACGATGGCTTCTACTAAAATCAACATTCCTGAGTTTGAGGTACTCGAAGATGCATTAAGCGAGGAAAATGTTACTAACCGCCAAGAATTATTCGAAGTCAAGGACGATGGTGAACTAGAATCTCCAATTGAAGGAATTTCAAGATTGTCTCTTGGTCACGACTCGCTAAAGGATATAATTGAAGAGCAGAAGGTGAGGAAAGAGAAAAAACTAAACATCAATATATCTAATTCAGGATCTTCAAGACTCTTTCTCTCTCGTCGAAGATTCGCTAAACGTTTTTTACGACTCGTCTCAAGAACGTCTTGATTTGGAATGCCGACAAATTCTCGCGGAGCTTGGTGCTGATGAGTGGGACGAATATCCACCAATCGAATTAGCGTCTCGAATTGACTACAACATTCTCGACGATCTTCGCGAGGATCATCAACCCGATCCTGTGGTCCTTGTGAATGATTCGATGCTACACAACGATTATGTCGAGCCGAGCGATTGGAGATCAAGACTGTCTTACGAAGAATTTGTTGAATGCTTGCAAAATGGAGATGACGCTGAGGAAAATGTTCAAATCAGCATTTGAGTCAACACTAACACAGCGAAACCATACATATCTTGTATATATTTGATTATTTGAAGCTGATGAATGAAACTACTCGATGAACGTGCAATTTATTCCCGCATTTCGATTAAAACATTATACATTAACATGATGAAATTATGACCAATCTGACTAGATACTTGCAAAATAGAGATCCTTATTACTTTAACCAGCTTTGAACAAATTCATCTTTTTCGCATTGAGCTGCTTTAGAATACCATTCCGTAATATTTGGTATCTGCAATTTTGAAATGAACATCGCTCAGTATTGAAAATTGATTCACCGATTTCGAGTCCGGTATCGTTTCATTTCGCTTCCAGAGCATTTCACAAATGCGGCAAGCGCCGTTTCGGTATCCCGGAGCATTCCAAGGTGGTGTCGTCCATGTGCCTTCTTGTTTCCAGCGAAAATATTCAGCGTAAGCCGTACTAAAGAAATTTGAAATTGTTATATTTAACTATATAGGGGAATAACGAACGCATTTTTTTCGAGTGTCCTCAAATGGTTAGCCATTTCCGCAGGATTTTTGTAATCATCCATTGCGATGAAAGACATGGGCGGCATATGATTCTCATACGTTTTACGGCGCATCACAATTGGAATACTAGCAACGGTAATTCGACCCCAAATTTTTTCCGTAATGTAGTCATTGCAAACCTATAAACCAACAACTGCATTATATTGTATTGTATAATCAACATTTAGCATCATACCGTATTTTCAATTGCTAAATAAAATGGATATTGCTCCAAAATATCAAAACAATTCGAATCAGATGGGCAAACGCTTTTAAGCTTTTCGTCTGTTGCACATTTGCCGCCAATCGTTACATTGATATGTTTGCCAAGCTCTCTGATGGCCAATTCTCGTTTCGAAGGCGTCAAACAATTTGAAATGAGTCCAAAAATGCCAGATTTTGGTTTGATGAACCGCTTTGGATTCACATAATAACTCTAGAAATTGGTTTTTTTATTAAATGAAAAAAAATTGGTGATTTATAATAGAATATTTTTCTTCCAAAATCACAGATTTTTTATTCGCGAAGAATTCGAGATTTTTAAAAATAAACTTCACTATAGAAGAACCAACTTGAACTTTGAAGCCGCGACTTTCCGCAACCTGCGTTGGTATAAAAAACGAGCCATATTTATGAATTGCATCAGATGTGCTGAGAAATGTAGACGACCAGTTGAAAAAGTTATCTAGATTTACAACCAATTTTGCTACGAGTCTTCTATTATTCATTCAACCTGGAACAGAGAATTTTCCGCTGTGCTCAGGTGTTTCCATCGAAAAAAACACGTAAATCTGCGTCTCATTCCGCTTCTCTGGAAGCGGGTGTTTCGAAATGTCGACAGCATGGAATATGACCGCGTCGGCTGACATCACCTGACTTTTATTCGTATCTACTACACATCGATCCTTAAAAAAATCCGCCAAACTACTAGGATGGCAAGCTTAAATTACAGTTAGTCCAGGGCAATCCGACAACGCTGAATGAGGCACAACTGCTCCGAAAACAGTTGTCCAGTATAATATCCGTTTAGGTGCTAATTTTTCAAACCGACTTCCAATCCTGTAAGATTTCGAAACATTTTTCTGCACACTTTTTTCCTACTACCGGTCTTTCGAAACCGTGAGATATAAATGCCGCTGGGGCCGGTGTATCGGTACGTGTAATCCATCATCATAGCCGATAATTCCGTAAACCGCGTAGATGACGAAGAAGGATGCGATTGCCAATAACAGATAACGATACACACTAGCAGGTCGAACCTTCATTCTCAACCACGAACTAATCACTCAAAGAAATTCTAATAATTGCCATAAAATTTTTCAAATTTACGTAAAAGTAAATGCTTAATCGTTTCTTTGACATATGTTGAGGTGCTAGCAACCTACTTCAGAATTAGTAAAACAAAGATAAATTAAAAACAAGAAATCAAATTGTTTATTAAAAATTTTCATGCTGCCGGATTAGTTCTCTGAATCTGAACTCCACTCATCACGTAATTCTGATGAAAGAGAAGCGTATAAATGATCCCAATCCCAAGGTGCGTTATCCTCGTATAACTCATTTTCTGGTGGAAAATGTCGTCCCAAAATGGAAAGATCTACAACAAAACACGAATTTTTACATGGAATGTGAATTCCAAAAAGACCAATGTCGTCCAGTTTGAATAGATCCGCTAGCTTCGAACTCACTATTTCTTCCTTCAAGCTAGGTCGAAAGTTCGGTGCGTTAGCAGCTTCCTTTGTCACTGGATTTCGACTTACAGAACTTCCTACACTTTCAGACTTTCCACTTCTTGGAGATTCATCATTGAGTACAACGTCTTCAAGAGCAGAAGCTTAATTCATCGGTTTCATAAGGAATTAAAAAAAACCGCTTACTTAGCTTGGTAGAAGTTCTGAAATTTGAAGGCGGTAATGCCGATGCACTTTCAGCAGCTGCTTCCTCCTCTTCTTTCTTTTTTCCTGCTCGCGATCCAGGGCGCCGAAAAAGACCAGTCAGTGGCCGTTTTAGAGTTTCAGTCGCACCTTCTCGCAATTCTTTTATTGATGGTGCATCCTTCATGTAAATTACAATTAAAACAAATAATTTAAATCTGAAAAAACCTTTAGCATATTCCCTAGTCGAGATTTGCGTACAACTGCATCAGGATCGTTAGTTCCTTTTCCTTGAACTCGAAAATTAAGATCATCATCTGCAAAACTAATTCCTTCAACCTCCAATTTAAAATTTACGATAAAATACGAAGTGCGGACGTGCAGACAAGTGAAACACTCACAATAGTCACTTTTTACCAGAAGGAATTGGTGTTTCATTATCAGGGACGGCTTTCCTTCTATTCATTCGGCTCCCTGGCCGAGCTCCTGATTTGTCTGACATTTCGCAACAGATTCTTAATTTAGATTATTTATTGAAATGAAAAATGAACGTCAATCATGAAATAATTAGCGGATTAGTACAATATCATTATTAAGAAATAATTAATTTCAAAATTTAGAAATAAATGTTTCTACTGCTTATTGCGATTTTGAAAAAAGTAATATATCGGTCCGTATGTTTCTCACTTTGGTGATTATATAAAATTCCCAGAAAGGTTCAAGAAAGGTGTTGCGAAATTAGGTGATAAATCCCGCGATTGGAAAAAAGTGCGAAAATTAGTGCGAACCGCGACGCGTCAGCTCGCGTTGCGGTCGAGAGGAGGTGCTAAACATGCGGACAGCCAATGAACGCACAGCAAAGGGGCGGAGTCAACCAATCAGCGACGAGCCGTTGTCGCAGCGGGTATAAAAAGCGGAGAATCGCGCGCGCGCGTTCAGTCGCCCTAGTCTAGGGCTGTGAATGGATGGTGGCTTGTGCTGCGTTGTCGTCCATACAGCCTCCAAATCAGTTGGCGGTGCCGATGACTACGTGTGCTCAAACAGTCGAAGACCTAAAGGAGCGTTTGCTCTTTGCTGTTGAAAATGTAAGAAATTCCTCTAGTAGCGTCTTATGAGCATTTCACAGCTCTAAAATTAATTGTAATTTGTACATAAATAAATCGATTTCAACACCAATCGCTGTTTGTTGTCTGTAATCTTTCGAGATAACTACGAAATAAGAAGAAGTAAACGTAATTAGATTTTCAAGTTATATGTGTTTTTAATTAATTTTTTTCAACCACATCGTTTTTTTCGTTTACAACAATTGTTCGCATTTGCTTCAGGAAAAGGAAGAACTGTGCGAAACAATTCTCGACGAGATTTTCAAGGCAGTCACGACACGGGAGATCTTGGAGGTAAGGAATTCCAAACGGCCGAGAAGCCACCCCCGGCTAAGCTTTGACGAGAGACGAGCGCTCGGCTGCGAGTCTCCCGTCGAAACTGAATGCTGGCTTGGGGCAGTCTCTCCTATGCGTCTCTATAACAGCGGCGACGCTCGCCGTCTAACATACGCGCCCTCGCCTTTGCTTGCGTTTTCAATCAATACTCAGTTTGCCAACGCGCTGCCGCACCGAGCGGCGGTGTTTTCGCAAGCCCTGTGAAAGCAAGCAAACGGGAAAATTCCCGAAACAAAAATGATCGCATGTTACTTGCAATCAATTTTTTCTTGGAAATGTCAATAAATATATTTTATATGAATCATTGTCAGCATGTTCTTATCTTGCAATGTTTCTATAACAACACAGTAGGAAAATGTGGGAGTAATGTTTGCTTACATCTGAACCTGAAAATTTAAAAAATGCGAACTAGTTTCTGAGAAATATCAAGATAAATAATGGTGGTATTTTATAGTGTGTGCCTGAACATTGTTTCAGTTATCATATTACATTTAATTCGAAAATAATTAAACCCAGGCCTGGGAAGTAATTGTGTGGGAGGAAAAATCAGTAATTATTGTCTAAATTAGGATAGATCAAAAAACATGTAAAACATAATTTGAAAATATATATCTGGAGGTATAACTATAAGGCGTGTTAAAGAGTAGAAGGGCATCGTTTGGGTAACTAAAATTACGGAAAACTAAATACAAATGTCCAAAAATGTCACTAACAAAGACTAAACATAAAATGTTGGCCAGCTTGCTGATCATTCCAAATAAAAAAAGTCAATAAAGCTCTGAATATGAAACCGAATTCCAGAAATCAAGAGTCGGCTTCCATGTAAATAATTTGCGTAAGAACTATCTCAAAAAGTGGCCGCATCTCTCAAGAAAATGCCGTGAAATAATCAAACATTGGCAGGAGGTTGTGAGCGATGAGGTTCGTAATAATATCGAACCGAATTCAAATAAACGAAAATATTTGCAGAGGAGGCCTCAGAGTGGTGCCTCGTCATCAAACACAACACCAAATTTGGTGTCGCCGAGTGTTGCAAAGCTGGCGCGACGCGGAATTACTCCAAACACGCCAGTCAATCGTCGAATAACGTCGACGGGTTCGCAAATGGGTGAGTCGTTGAATTGGAATGCGCCGGTAATTGGTGAAATTGCTTTGTGTAGGAAGACTCACCGCGCTGGTGTCGCCGGCGAACGGCTCCTACGCGCCTCGCAGCGAAATTTCGCCCAACTCAACGAACACGACAACAACATCGTCGACGAATGGAATTCACAAATCGAAATCCGTTGGAGTCAACCTCTTAAACCATTCAGCTCCGTTGACGCCCAACGATGAGAAGAATCGAAAGCGAAAAGCTGACGAACCAGTTTCGAGTAATATATTTTTCATAGTTTTATTCTTGCGATTAAAAATGTTTATTGCAAAGGTTTTATATATGCGAATATATTATTCATAGTTTAATTTTTGGAACGGGCGGGATAAAGGATTCAGAATCAACAAATATAGTTACTGTCGACATCGCGCTACTACTGAAAATTGGCAATCCAAGACAGTGAGAGTTGTCTTGGCGAAAAGTGTAGATTTATGGGTCTCAGTATAAGAAAACTTCATAGGCGCCCACTGCGTAAAGTACCTTTCTATAATTTTTTCGGCATTTATCCAATTTTCTGCTATCGCGCGACGTCGGCACTAAAAAAATAAAGTATTCAACATAAATAGTCCTTGAATTTGGTTTCATTCAAAAAATATTGTTTCAGTTACAACCGCAACAATGAAGCGGACTAAAACGACAGCTGGATCCCTCGTCTCACCGTCGACGCCACAATCTGTGTCGGCGGCGCGGAAGGCTGTGCAAAGCACAAGCGCACTCGTCGCGCAGCTCAGTCAGAACTTACCTCAACATATGAGTATCGATACCACGATCAAAGAACACGAGGAAAAAGTGAAGCGTGAGCATAAAGACGAAGAAGTAAGGATTTGATGAATGTTTCAATTTAAGCAATTTTTAATTGCAGCTCGCTCATCAAATTCAATCTTCTTCGAGTTTATCAAACTTCCAAGGCGAACGAAAGAAAAGGAAGTATGAGCGAAAGTCGAAGATAAATGAAGTTAAAACAGAATCACCTGTACCGCCAGGTAATTGAATTGGGTTTGGTTATTAAAATGACATTATTCTTATTTAGCTTCTGAAGAGCGTCGTGAAGGTCTTCTTATTCGATTTAATCGAAATTCTGGAGTGGCTTCGACATCAACCTACTCAATCGATGATACATATGAAAATACTCGCTCTATACCAAAAGAAACAACACCACCGCCAGTTTTTAAGCAGGAAGAAGGAGTTGACGTAATATTTGAGAAAACGGAATTTTTGAAATGTGGTTTTTATTTTCAGGAAGTTGATTCGAAACCTCCTAAAAAGCCGTCGTCAAGCAGAAAGGATTGGAGTTCCCTGATTCCATCTCTCGAAGAATTGAAAATTCGAGCAGCGGCGGAAGAAGAACGAACAAAAGAATTATGCAAACAGATGAATGAAAACACGAAGAAAAATCCGACGAAGGTAGGAATTATTTCAAATTTCAAAATTGTTATTAAAATGTTTTTGCAAATTCAGGTTCAATTCATCAAGGATTACCGTCGTCCGATTTTCATGCTACCTTATTTGGATTATAGCAGCGGCCCCGATTTTATAAAGCACAAGTATACATAAAACATTAAATAATATATTTATTAACAACATTTAGGTATGAAAATAGTGAACAATATTATTCGGAGGACAATTTTCGATATGGCAGCGAGCGACCTCATTGAAAAAAGCTCAACCCTCTGTTTTCCCTTTTTGAAGGCTCTTAAAAATTGTTGCCAAACGTTTGTTTTTTTTTTCTTGTGACAGTCGGGTATTGTCTGTGTTTTTCATTTCAATTGCTGCTCATACTTTGAACAAACCGCACAAATCGATAACTATTTGTATTTCAAAAGGCTAGATTAGAAGTGCCCCATCATATTTATATGCGCGCCTCACAATATTGTTTTTTTTTTTCTTCATATTTATACCCACAAAAACCTTGGAACAAAAAAATGTTAAAAAATCTTTGAAAAGCTCAAAAAATTGTGAAGATCTCCTACAAGTTTTTATATTTCGTTTTTTTTTCGCTTTCTTTGGAATGCCGCCGGCTTGCTTATGTTATTCTGTTTTGTTAATAGTCGACTATTGATTTTCTTTCGAACGGGTGGCCGGCAGTTTCCAGAAGTTTCTAAAGCTTCTTTTTGTGACCAAAATCGTTCTTTCGAAAAAATTTTTTATAATTTTTGTCGGTGATAATTATTTACGTTCTTTTTTCTTGTTTTTTCGCCCCCTCCAATTTTTCTACTGGTGTTTTATCATTATTAGGTTCGTTTTTCTTTCTTTAAATGTTCTCTATCACTTTTTTCGATACTTTTCTACTATTATTTTTTCTTTCTTTTTTTTGTGTGTTTTTTTCTTGTTTATTACCTAACCTTGAATGATTGTGTTTCTTTCTCGTTCATTAATGGTTACGGTAATCGTTACGCCTCTGGTGAATAAATTATGGTTTCGTGTTTTTGTGTGTTATAAATGGTTTTTTAAATGCTTGAAGATAAATAATAAAATTTGTGATTATCTAGAAGCATCCAGTTTTTAGTTGAAATCGAAAGTGGGCCGCATAATTAGCATAACAGATAACATAGCGACAAATCGATTAACTATGCGCCTTTTATTTGTTGCTTTATTTCCAATTTTAGTCTGTCAGAAACATCAAGGATCATTTTATTGGAGTATGTTGTGCATTTTGTCGTTGAGTGCAATTGAATTACCATCTTGGGTCTCGTACGGAAAACCCCTTATGAGCGGGGTTTGTTCAATTCAGCTATCTTTATGTGCAATAGAATTAAATTTGAGTTGTTTAGTTATTTTAAAAAATATTTTTTTAACTGGCAAAATATAAGCAAATTTTTTACGGGACCACTTAAATTGGAAGCCGGCGAAATTGAAAATTTTTCAATTTCATTATAAATATTGCGATAAATGCGTAAAATTTTGAAATATAGCGGATCGTGAAATTGAATGCACTTCATATGATGTGAATCGAACGCGTTGCGTGTTGAATCATCCAATTTTGGGACGAGACCAGAATCCCGAATGTTTCGATGAAATCGACGAGGTTTGGATAAGTGTGTAGAATATTGATTTAAGATTTTTTGTCAGAATGGTAATCGGACACGGATTCTATGTGCTCTGTCGTGTGAAGAATCACTGGAAGCGACTCTGGCACGTTTTCGTGACTTGTTCAGCACGGAAAAATAACAATATTTCGGCGTAGACTAAAATGCAAGTCCGCAATGTTCTTCCGGTGTGATTTAAAAAAACGACAAAATGTTGTGAAGTCACAGAGCTTGAACTCTACGGAATTGCATTTTAATCTACGCCGAATTTATTTTGATTTTTCTGCGCAGAAGAAATTTCTACTATTTTTCATGAGTTATCTTTGAAAAAACCTGAGTTTAATATTTTTTAATTTTAGGTTAAAAAAGTCCCTTCAAATAATAGACATTGTGTCCAATATTACACATATAATTTGGAAAGAAAGCGTCAAGATTGGTACGAAATCATTTCAACTAGTATTCAGATAATTATTTTTAAGGTATTTATGGCGAAATGGAACCTGTATCGACACCACCATTAAATTTCATCTCATTTGCGGTACACCGACTAATCCGAAAATATTTTATCGTGAAAATGAGCAACTTTTTCTTTATGAGGATGCTAAAGATTGATGAAATTAATTATTTTAAATATAATATTTTAATTATGTTTATTTTGTTTGATTTTTCTAGCCATAAAAGGCTCTCCATTCTCTTCATTCAAATTGTGAAGGTTTTAAGTTTGTTCAATGGAGCGCAATTGTTGCGTTTCTTCAAAATTTTGATTTTATTTTTGAATTTTTTACCTAATATTTTTTATGTTTGCAAGAATGAGTTCGAATCTTCAACTACCAAAGAAAAAATGGACAGAAGCAGAAAGAGCAGCTTTAAGCAAGAAACTGGATGATGATTTGGAGCAATTTATGGAAGAAATGGCTGCTAGAAAAGTAGGACTTGATATTTTCTATTATTTTTAACATTTTATTGGAACCATAATAACAGAAATGAAAGAAATGTTTTAATTTATCAGGCAGAAAAACAAGAAGAGAAAAAACCATTTGATTTCGATGAGTGGTGCAAAGAAATTGACGAGCATCCAGCATTCATGAAAGAGCTCAAGCTGGGAGGAAAGTATGGTGAAACCATTGAAGCCCTTCAGGTATAAAAAACAGATATCAGTCATTTTATAAGATATTCGTGTCTAGGCAATGAAATATGAGAGAGGAGATGGAGAGGACTCGGTAATGAATGCTGAGGACCACAATAAGGAAGGGAACAAGCATTTTGGATTCAAAAAGTATCGATGGGCCACAGATTGCTACACAAATGGTTAGAGAAATATTATACTAATTATATTTGAAAACAATTAAATTAAGGTATAAAGGAAAAGTGTCCTGATAGGAAACTCAATGCGGTTTTGTATTTCAACCGAGCCGCTGCCCAGCGTCATATCGGAAATTTGCGTTCGGCGATCAAAGATTGCGCGATGGGACGAAAATTTGATCCCACACATCTAAAGGGAGTAATTAGAGGAGCCGAATGCTTAATGGAACTTGAATATGCAAAAGATGCCCTAAATTGGATTGAATCTAGCAAGAAACTGTTCGCGTTTCACAAAGAAACGTCGGAAAATCGTAAGAAACATACTTTTTTTTTTGAAATTTATGCTTGTCATATTTTGTTTTTAGCCGATTTAAGCGAAGAAGAAAAGAAGTATATAGATGACATTGAAAAATTGAGAGTGAAAGCTGTTGAAATATCTTTGAAAGAAGAAAGGGATAAAAGAAAATCGAGAGCCGAAGTTGATTTTTTAAATTTATTTGTAATATGAAAAAAGCATTTTTTAGGAGCGAAAAGATACGGAAAAGAAGAAGAAGCTGCTCGATGCTTTGAAAGCGCGAAATTTAAATTTATGTCCAAGAGTTCCTTTTGATCATCCAGAGCTAATGGATATGTCGCTTCTTACAGTATCACTTGCACAGATGCATACGGTATTTTTAATTTATTTTCCACACAATCATGAATAAACACATTCAGCACGAGTGTGTTCAATTTGACGATGACGGGAATTTGGTGTGGCCCGTTTTGCTACAGTACCCAGAAACTGGTCAGACCGATATTTTAACGGACACGTGTGAAACAACGAGATTGGGAGAATTGCTGCAGGAAGTGCTTGCAAGTCCAGCAGATTGGGATCCGGAGCATAAATTCAAGTAGGATTGATTATTTTTTAATTAAATTGGCAATTAATACATAATTTTAGATTCGAAAATGTCCGGTTTTTCGTTTCGGATCAATATGATGAATATTGCATGGAAATTTTTGAATGGATGGATTTCAAGACAATTTTAAGTTTGCCTGGGTATCAAATAAAGCATGGATTGCCGGTTATAATGGTGAGAAATTCGTACACAGAATACTTTCTTATATAATTTTCCAGATTTTTACCAAAGAAAAAGCTTCCGAATCACTAAAACAGATCGATGAAACCGAAAATAAATACCTCTTTTCATAAAATTGTTTTGTTTTTGATTTGTTATACTCTTCGGGTGTTTGTTATATTTACATTTCTTGTTGAATTTTGTTATTAAGCTTTCAGTTTCTATGCTAACTTATAAGCGGTTGGTTTTATAACCGCGTTATTACCTTACTTCGATTCTACTAGATTTGTTTTATTGATATCACGGCGTTGCAGAAACTGAAAATGACTGTTGGAAAGAAAAGAAAGTCGTCGCAAAGTTCGCAAAAAGCGAAAAGAAGAAGCGTTGTGCTTGAGTTGTGCCATATTAGTAATGAATATCAAACAAAAACGTTTACGGAAGCATTTCGACACCAATATATTCGTATGTGCTGATACCAATATTACAATTTCGATTTTTTTTTAAAGATTCTGAACCATTTCCCCATTGGCAGCTTCGAAATTTCATTGATAATTCAAGCAATTTTGTTGAAAAAATTGAGACGGAACTCCAGAATTTCGGGGAGTGGAAAAGAAAAGAAAACGATCTTTACTCCCTCTATCAAACAGATGATCTGAAATCGATTTGCCCTGTCAAATACCCAAATCTATACACGTTTCGGTATTAAATTGATGAATAAACGAATATAATCTCAGCAATTTCCAGTCAATTTTTGTATACTGAAGTGCGTGAATGGCTTCAGAAAACGAGTGGAGTGGAACTAACCGAGCAGGTGGATTGTAATGGGAGCTGCTATGCTCAAACTGATGGATTATTGCCGCATAATGATTTGGTATGATCTCATATTTATATAGTTGAAAGGGGACTAATTTGACCAATTTATATGAAAACTTTGATCTAATTTTTAGCGGCCATGCTCTTTTAAATTATACCAGCATGAACTCAGACGAAAATTATTGTCCCTTTAATTCGGACACTCCGGACAATTTTTTGGTTTAATTCTGGTTTTAGGAAGAAAATCTACTTAGGATTTTTAGAACGTTCAAATTTTGATATTTTTTCTCGGTTTTTGAAATTTTTTGGGAAATCTCTATAATACAATTTGAGTTCAGATCGATACTCGTCGTTTTGCGTTTGTTTATTATCTAACGACACCAAATTGGAATGCCGGCCAATTTGGAGGAGCCTTACAATTATTTAATTCTGATAGTAATTAAATTTTGTATTAAATTCGCGTTTAATTGAAATGTTTTAGAAAATGCAAACCCCACTACAGTTGCCAAAGAGCTTCTTCCTCTTCGCAATTCCTTCATGATTTTTGAAGTCTCCGAAAAGTAGAATTATTTGAAATTCTGTGTTTAATTATCAAATTTTTAGATCTTGGCATCGTGTTGCTGAAATGCTCGGCGAAGAACCGCGTTTGTCAATTAATGGCTGGTTTCATTCCAAAAGAATCATTGAGCCGAAAAAACCGCGCCCGGAAACTGTACCAAAATTCAAACCATCGACTGTAGGCGAAACTTACAACTATATTAAAAAATAAAAAATCATATATTGGCTTTTCAGAAGTTTGCCATCTCAAACTTGATAAATCCACAATACATGCAAAAAGAAAAGCAGGATCAAATTCAGGCGACGTTTGCAGACAGCTCAGAATTGAATTTAGTCGAGTTCTTGAAGGTTTTAAGAATTGGCAAAAACTGTAATAATAAACATTATTATTTTAGAACGACTTCAATTCCGAACTCTACTCGGAATTGAGTAACAACTCGAAGTTTTTCAAAATTATTGGCCCGCCCAGCAAAAGACATATTGCAAGACTGAACTCATCTAATAACACTAACCTTAAAACGTGTTCAAATTTCATCGAAGCACTGAAATCGAAAAATTTCGCATCCCTCGCTGAGAAAATTACTGGAGTCACGCTAAAAGGCTTTTGCTTTAAATTTATTCAAAAAATAATATTGTAATACAATTATTTAGGCTTGGAATGCAGCTTGAAAATAAGCCGAATTGAAAATGGAAGCTACTGGGTTATTGGAGATGAAGATGCTGAGCAGAGCGCCAGTGAGGGATATTCGCTAGACATTAACGTAGGAGATGGAATTTGGGCATTCAAAAAAATAGTAATTTCTAGATTTTTGTTCAAAAATCGAACTGGCCTGAAGAAGCTGGTGGTAACTTGGTTTATATTGCTGAAGACGAGGAAGAGGAGGTATGATTATGGTCAGCTTTTTCATTAAACATAGTGTTTTTAGTTGCTTCACATCTCACCGCAGCCGAACTGTGCTTCGGTTATTTTCCGTGAGCCGGGAGTTTTGTACTTTTTGAAATATGCGAATCATTACGCAAAAGATCCGTTTTTCCTATTCACCCTATCGTTCCATAATGTCGAATGTTGATTGATTGATTTTTATTTTTGATGTATTCTGTGTTTATTTGTTGTGTTATGATGAATTTATCGTTAATTGTGCGTCGGTGTTGAAGGGCTCTCGGGTGTTGTGGTTGCCAACGGTGTGCATAAGCAAGTTTTTCGACACCACAAGAATTGAGTGGCTTGATTCGTCTCGCAAAATCCAACCGATTGCCATGCGCCACATTTCAATGGAAACTCGTCGCTGGTCTGTGAGCAGTCGATTCCCAGCGTCATTGCTTTCGAATTGGTCTTCTGGAGCTTCTTCAAATCGTCTTGAGCTGAAATTTCGCTTCGAAATAGTATGAAGAGAAATGAGAACTTGCCATGAAGCTCGTCTAAAATATGCCCACGATTTCGTTTGACTTGATCAATTTTTTCTTTCGGCGTCAAGTAATCCAAACTTCGAGATTCTGAATAAATGTGAAATTGTTATTTGTCTTCTTCTCGTTTGACCTACTATGCGATTTTCCTTTTTTGCGTTTCTCTGATTTTTTCGATTTCTTCTTCTTCTTCTTTCTTTTTTTCTTTTCGCTCTCATCGCTTTCCTCACTATAATCGTCGTCTTCGTGAACCTTTTCGTCATTGTCCTTGCAATCCTTGGATTCAAAATCCTGATAGTCATCCTAAATGAATTAATTGGCGGCGATATTCTATAGTTTCAATACGCTTCTCGATTTTTCATCGTTATTTGGCGCTGGCGTTGACTGCGGATTCGTAGGCGGTGGAAATTGTGAATAACCCATGATTGGCGGAACCATATACGATGGTCCGCCAGTTTTCAACATTCCGCATTTTTTCTTTGGGTCCATCTTTTTATTTTTCGATTTCGGTTTATTATTGTCGTCTTCGTCATTATCATCCTCATCGTCGTCTTCATCAGAAAAATCTTCATCGGAATCTTCAGTGCTTCCATCAATCGATTGAGGAACTTTAATTTCTCCATCCACTATCTTCAGCTTCCCATTTTCATCATCATTTTCTTTACTTTCATCATTTTCATCTTTTTTCTTTTTATTATTTTTCTTTTTCTGAGTTCATTTAATTAATTCGTAATATTGAAATGTCTAATTATTACCTTCTCCTTTTTCTTCTTCTTCTTATTTTTTTCAGCGTCCTCTTCACTGTCTTCCTCGTTGTTATCTTCATCGTCAGACTTCTACAAATATCTCATTCTTTTTAATTTATACTTTCTTAAAAATAAACGTTTTTCTTTTTCTTTTTACTATCATCTTCTTCATTCTTATCCTCATCCTCATCACCGCTATCTTCGACAATTTTCTTCTTCTTCTCTTTAGGTTTTAAATTTGTTTTTGTGATATGACCAGTTTGTCGAAGACTCTAAAAATTTGATTATGAAAAATATTTGCAATTTGTCCTCCAAACAAACCTCATGACCTCCTCCGCTTGCTTTCACATCAGCCAAATCAATTTCGCCAAGCTTGATGATGCCCTCATCATCGTTCGACCCTACTTCAGTAACCTTCTGGCCCTCACTGTCATCTTTCTTACTTTTCGGCAATTTCTTTTTGTCGCTCTTCGTGCCTTCATCATTGCTCTCTTTCGACTTCTCTTTCGTCTCCTTAAAAATGAACTAATATAGCTAACTAAGCTTTTCAATTGACCTTCTTAGGTTTCTCATCAGCCTTCTCGTCTTCGCTATCTAAATTTGGAAAGAGTTCCAACTCTTTCTCGCCCTCCTTCTTATTTGCTTCTGTCGTTGCTTGACCCTCATTCGAATCGTTCTTCTCATCCTCAGTTTGCTGAAAAATTGATTCAAGAACAGCAACCTTCCAGTCGATACCTTTTGTGATTCCTCGTCATCTCTAGTACCTTCACCATTTTCAATGAGCTCATCAGGTTTGCTTATTTTGACTCGAACAGGCGCTTTTGGTGGCCTACGACCTCGACCTCGTCCTCTCGAAATCGGCCTTCTAGGCCGCTCGTATTCATCATAATCTGCTCCTGCTGCCGATGGATAGTTGTCTGGCTCACTGAATCTTAAAATATTATGAATTGATCAAAATTCGACGTTTATTTGACCCGGTTAGTTGGAAAGCGAAAATTGTGAAAAATAGGTAGAAGAAAGAAGGAAAGACAAAAATTGACTTTTGAATGTACCGTTGATCCCAAGGCGGATTTCTCGGACGCCCTCGAACCCATGGCGGAGGCGTGTACGGCGGCGGTGTCGGTTTGTAAACGGGCCTCTGACCCCGAAATGGTTTATCCGACCAAATGTCAAGAATGCCATTGGATTTGTGTTTGACATTGTGCACTACAGAATTGACAGAAGCCAGCGGAAGACCCGAGGCTCGCGCATAAACATCACGATAAAACGGGTCTTGGAGGCGAGGATCCTGCTCAAGAACTAGGCAAAAATGTGCTCGTGCATTTATATATTTTCAATTTGAAACAATTACCAATACTTCCGGCGCTTGTATAACGAAAATAGTTGACAACGAGTAATAATAGGGTAAAAGCACAATACATGCTCTTCACTGCATTGAATAATGACGATTTTTCTGCAAACTAATGTCCTTTTTGTTTATCTCAAATTAAAAATTATGCACTTTTCAAATTAAATAGATTTTTGAAGAGTTTATTGAATGAGAAAAAGAGGAGGTAAAAAATGATGGATTCAAAACGGGTTCTCATAATAGGCAATCTTAAACCCAGTGCTATTCTTGACATTACTCAAGAAGCAAAACTGAAGGGATAAATGGCTGGAATGCGGGCTGGACTAACTCGTTGCATTAGCTGAATGCATTAGTGTGAACCTATCAGGAGGAGCTGCATACCCACCTCGACAGCGTCAATCCGAAACGAGTTTCCCAATTGTTTTCTTACTCGTTCTAATGAGGATGTTGACGATTGCCTAATTATGTACTTCACCGACATGCGAATTGACCCGCGTTGAGCGGCGAGGGGAGAAAAATTTAGACATGTATGGAAATTTGAAAAAAATAAAGCGAAAAGAAAATTCACGTCAAAATATCCGTTACGTTGTTCATTTATCGCTTGGGATTTCGTAAAAATCAACCCTGATTTCAAGATCTATCGAATCAATATGCTCTTGATTGTTCAGGTAAATCTAGAATTCACAATTTTTTTAGAATCTGGCTTTTTTCAGATTATGATGGCATTATTCACTTTTACAGTGATTTTAACTCAATGTGGAAAGAAAAGTGAGCCAGTGTTTCGTTTTCTCAAAAATATTATCTTCTCGATTTTCAGATCCTAAGGCAGGAAAAGCTGCGGATAATAAGAATACCGGATCGAAGAATGAAAAGCCGCCACCAGCGGCTACCTCGGCAGCTTCCAATAACACCGCTCCAGGAACTGCGCCGAAAGCTGATGCCCCGGCAGACGTATTTAGAAATTTTGCAGACACATATATTTATTTTATTCCAGGATGGTAACTATGAAGAATTGGCAGTGCCACAGTAGAAGACGCATTGAGTTCTGCTTTCAAATCTCATTCAACCCAAATGTCATTTAAATAAAACTAGTGCGTCGTCAGTTTTTGTGAACAATCTTCCTTCAGATTAACGTTTATATTGAAAAATTTCTCATTAACCAGAAGCCTTATGTGGAAAATCTTGAAGAAATCCCAATTCAGACGTGTGTGCTATACGATTGATAATTAGTCCGCAAACACACCGACGCTATCGTACAACCCGAGCAATCCGTGTTTTATCGGTTGTGGTTTTTTACTGGTTTTCGATCAATCGCGACATTTTTTTTTTATAAAGAATGAACTGAAAAAATGAATATGTATTTATAATCTTTGGTTTTGCTCTTTTCTCTCGTTTCCCAGACAAGTACGCGTCAAAATCGATGTCGCCTGCAGGCAATGCCATTTTCGGAGAGGCTGCAGAGAAATGTAGCCGAGCACAACCAACTCGCAGTCTTTCTTCTTTTTCAACTGCTTCTCTTTTGCTCATTGTTCGCTGCGATTATGTGTTGTATAGTTAAGAAATAGTATTTTTCTCGATTTTTGCAGGCAAATGGATGACTCATATGCCATAGCTACGCCACATAATGATGTGTTCGCCAATATTTACAAAGAGGTATTATTTTAAATTATCGAAATTTTAGTAAACCTTTTGAGATGTCTAATCCATTAATATTAAAATTTAACAATTTCAGTTTAATCCTCAAAATTTGCCACGCGTCAATGCCGCAGAGGCAGCTGCATTCCTCAAAACATCGAACTTGCCAATGCCGACACTTGGACAAGTAAAATAAAAAAATGTATTTGAGCATTTAGTTATCCTTATAGATATGGGAATTGAGCGATTCTTCCAAAATGGGCTCGTTGGATAAAAGAGGAGCATATGCGGCCTTTAAGCTTGTTGCCGCTGCCCAACAAGGTAACATGATATCTTCTGTTAATACGAGACTGAAAAACACGACAAACAAAGTATAAAATTATTTGTTATGTTTTGTATATTTATTAAATGTGTTTAATACTGTGTCTTAATTGATTTGCAGGAAAGCCTGTTGCCAATTCATGCCTTTATGATTCCTCATTGGCACCTCCGAAGTTCGGACCCCAACATCCTCCTATACCACCGGCTAGCCTCCAACATCATTTCGTACCATCATTTCCAGCGGTATCGTGGATTTTAACATAGATTGATAGTTTTTGGGTTCTAGCAAGGACATGCGCCTCCAGTTCCTCCGCCACCCCAATTTTCATCCCAACAATCATCGCCATCACATCTTGCGACTGCTCCCTGGGGTATTAGTGCTGTCGATCAGGTAATAATAATAATAGTTTCTCAAATTTGCAATTAGAACATAACGTTTAAGGCAAAATATGATTCAATCTTCCAATCGCTAAATCCTGTAAATGGAAAATTGAGTGGAGCCAGCATTCGCCCGGTCTTAATGAATTCCGGTTTGGATGCCGTATCATTGGCAAAAATTTGGGAACTCGCCGACCAAGATAAAGATGGACAATTGGACCTTGTCGAAATGTCGGTTGCCCTTCATTTGGTGTACAAGGCACTTCAAAATGAGCCAGTCCCTCTTCAACTTCCACCAAATCTCATTCATCCAACCAAGGCTATGTATGTCCAGAAAATATCGCCAGCATTCCCGCCATCGAGACCACAATTTGGAAGTCGCGCCGGCTCGGTTACATCGCTCGATGAAGTTCACATGAATTCTTCGTATACCATGCCGAGACAGGCTCCAAGAGCGTTTTCTGCGCAACCGCAAACAGTAATATATATGAAATTGATTTTAAACAAAAATTTATAGAATGGAGCAGTTGGCGGTCGTTTGAGTGGTGCTTCGACACCTGTGACAGGCTCACAAATGCCTGTCTCCGGATCAATGCATTCTATCAACAGTATGCCGGCTTCTGGAGAATGGCCGGTCAACACGGGCCTCTATGCCGCGAAATTTATTCAATCTGATGCGAACAGTGATGGATTCGTCGATGGAACCGATGTGCGTCAGGAGTTTCTTGCGACCGGCGTGGCTCCAGCAGTACTGGGAAGAATTTGGGCGCTCGTTGATATTGGAAAAACTGGAATGCTCAATCTGGAGCAATATTCATTAATGTTTGTAATTTATATATAATTTGTTTTTCATCATCGTTGTCAATTAAGGATGTACATGATTGACAATTTCAAACAAGGTGGAGAGATTCCGTATGACTTGCCCGCTCATTTAGTTCCGCCGTCACTTCGCGATCCATCAACTGCGCCACCGCCAGCGCAGTCTGTTGCGACACCCCAACTACCAGAAGCGACATCAATGGAGTTGAAAGAAGCTCTCGATGGTGAAAATGAAGAAATGAAGCAGCTTGCTGAAGCAATTCAAGAGATGATCCTTGAACGAAAAGCCGCCGAGGAGAATGTTGTGCAGCTCGAAGCCGACATGACTGTCAAGAATTCGAAAATAAAAAATTTGCAAATCGAGCTCGCGACACTCGAAAGCACTGTAAAACAATTGGAGAGGCAGAAAATGGAAGCGAATCGTAGATTGGCTGATTATGATACACAGGTTTGATAGATTTTTGGTTTTTTTTAATCGGATTTTATTATATTCTTCAAGATTTCTCAACTTGAAGCTGCGTGCGCCGCTCAGCGTGAAAAGAAGGAGGAGACTGAAAAACGTGCGAAACAAATTGCCGACGACGCTCAAAATGCCGAAGCAAATAAAGCTGTGAGAAATATTTTTGATTGTAAGGTTTTATAATCGAAATTGCAGAGCGACGAGAAAGAGATCGAGGAGCTTAAAAAGGAACTCGCCGAACTCGATTCGACCCTTCGAACAGTTCAATCGGAAACCGCAAGAGAATCTGCTGAACGCGAGACGATTGTATCTCAACTTACCACTCTTGAGCGTCGCGAGATTCGAGACAACTCTCAACTGGAGAAATTGTCTAGTGAAAATGAAAAGATTAAGAAAATGACTGATGAGATTGTGTCCGCCGTCGAAGAAGGCGGTGAAAAGATGGAAAATGTGCTTAAAGCGAATCCGGCACTTCTCGCAACATCCCTGGACAATAGCTTGCTCTCGGATGATACGTTTTATGGTGAAGCTTCAACGTCCAACTCGAGCCATCAAATTCAACAACCGCCTGATCCATTCGCATCGGCGAAAGCGAGTAAGTTTTGCGAATTTTCACAGTTGTTTCAAGTGGTTGTTTCCCGTTTAGATCCTGCCGCTGATCCATTTGCTCAGGTCGATCCGTTTGCCTCTCAAGGATCGTTTGCAGCTGCGTTCCCAACCGATCCATTCTCGCAGGGCTTCCCAGCTGACGCTAGTTTTGCGCCGCCTGCCTCTTCGGCACCACCGAAACCGGCGCCACCGCGTCCAGCGCCACCAAAATCGGCCCGAACTACGCCCGTTCCACAGCCAGCTGCTCAAGATCCGTTTGCGTAAGTCTTCTTTTACCCATTTTGGTACTTTTTGAAAAAAATTTGTGGGTTCTGTTCATAATTTTCGTAAAAACCAATTATAACCATTTCGAATGGTTCAATATTTATGTTAAGACCTTCGCAAGGAGCCGCCGCCGCCGCTCAAGCTAACTTTGCCAATTTTGCGGATTTTGGTTCGGCTTTCAACTAAATTTGTCAAATTCCCAATATATTCATGTGCCAAATCCCCAATTGTACCCGATAATTTATATTATGTCATAATACTAACTATAACAACTCCACCATTCTGCAAATAAGGCATAATCTCACTTGTTTATTTTTAGGACAAATGCAATAAATTAGGAGTAATTTATATGTAGAATTTTTGTAAAACGGAAATAAATGTATTATTTATTTTACTTTTTTCTTTGCCGTCGATCAAGAATTTCGCTTCCGCATGTTTTGTTGTTCCCCCCAGACTCACGAGAACATGTGCCTTCCATCGATTGATTTATTTAATGATAAGTTTTTGAGAGAAACGAGGAGATATTTTGTCGAAAGTTGTGAACTTTCCGAGCGTCTCGCTTCATATAAATTATTTATTTTGAAGTGATTTTTATATTTACAAGTTTTAAATGTTTATAAAAATAATTGAACTGAAATTCGGGTAAAAATTGAAAACGTTGAACCAGTAGAGCAAATGCGCTCCGTTGGCGATTTTTTGAATTGATTGCAATGCCCGCGTGAACGAATCGCGCTGGCACAATGCCAAAACCGAGAACCCCTCGTCTAAATGCGTTGTTTCTCGTTGTTACACACTGGAAATGAATGTTTCCCGATTACTTGCTGTAAATTGGACTTCAAAATTTTATATTGCGATATTTTATGGCAGATGCCAATTTTCGCGTAAAAACGTATTATTTTATCAATTAAAAGTGAAAATATTTAAATTAATTTGAAGTTTTTTCAAATTCGCGTCGAATTGATGATTTGAAGGTCACAAAGTTTAAAGGGAAACATTGTTTTCCTTTTGTTGACAGAAAATCGGCGTCGTATCGCATTTGAATATCTATTCTTGCCGAAAGGATAATTTTGTTATCTGTCTTATAACTACACGGAATCACGCAACACGTTTATATTATTTTGTTTATATATCCAATATTTATTATGCGAAGAAATATCTTGCAATATTATTTAATTTTGAAAAATCCGAAAATGTATGAAATTTAATGCCGACTTGAATTTATTTCAAAGTAATGAAACATCGAGATTTCAGAATGTTCGCTAGCTTCTAAAAATAATAATCAAGTGGTCAAAAATGGTCGAGAAGAATCATACGTCGCCAACGCGCCGGCATTCAATTAAAAATCACGGATATCCGGATATCGACAAAAGTCTCTTAATAGGAAATATTACAGAGGTATTCAATTTCATAGATTTAAATGATTGCGTAAATTAAATTGTTTGTTCAGCATAATTTACAATAGTAGTTTAATATATTAAAAATTTGCCTCCAGATACTTCCCAATCAATTATATTTCGCATGTTTCAACGCGGACGTGGAAGAGCAGGTCGTCAAAGACAAAATCTCATATGTTTCATTTCACGGAAAAGTAAATCGAGTTTTGTTTTGATTTCTTCTAATTGAGCCATCTTCAGTTTCACTATGAACCATTTTATCTGGATTTTGGCCCATGGAATCTATCTGTATTATATAAACTTTGTGTATATATTGATGAAGCTGTAGAGGTATGATTAGTAAATTTTATTCAAAAAATTTTTAAAATAAGTTAGACCGAACGAAAGCGAGGACGCAAAATTGTAATGTACTGCTGCGATCATAATACTGGGGAGTTTGACAAAATTCGTGTGAATTGTGCTTATGTTTTAGCATCCTACTTGGTAAAAAAAATTAGAGTTTAATTTGTTGATTTTGTGTGAATTTTACAGATAATTTACCATGGCTTTACGGCTGATGACGCGTTTTTGGCTTTAAGCCGCGCTCAGCCACCAAAGTACATTGGATTTCGAGATGCAGCGCTGGGCGAGCCCACATTCCTTCTCAATGTGCATGATGTGCTTCGCGGTGTTGAAAAAGCGCTACTCCACACCTGGCTAGATTTCACCGATTTCGATTATGAGGAATATGTGTACTATGAAACAGTCGAGAACGGCGATTTAAATTGGATTATTCCTGGAAAAATTCTAAGTTTCTGTGGACCACACAATGAGAGTCGCATTGAGGATGGTAATATTGCCATTGGCTTCGCGGAATTTTCACGTTCCAATTTTAGGCTATCCCTATCACGCTCCAGAAGTTTATTTTGATTATTTCAAACATAATAACATTACAACAATTGTGCGGCTCAACGCAAAAAACTATGACGCGAAAAAATTTACAAATGCTGGCTTCGATCATGTCGACTTGTTTTTTGTCGACGGAAGTACACCGTCGGATGAAATCGTCGAGAAATTCATTAAAGTTGTTGACAAAGCCAAAGGCGGAGTAGCTGTACATTGCAAAGCAGGTAGGTATTTAATTATTTTGATATGATTAGAAATTAAATTATTATTATTATTGCTAATATGTATAAAAACCTAAAAATGTGTTTTGCAGGGCTTGGCCGCACTGGTACTTTAATAGCCTGTTGGATGATGAAGGAGTTCGGTTTAACAGCTTGCGAATGCATGGCGTGGCTTAGAATATGCCGGCCTGGATCGGTGATTGGCCCCCAACAGAATTTCCTCATCTCCAAGCAGAAAATGTGCTGGTCGATGTCGAAATCGAATGGTGTTCATTTGCCGTCGAAATCGCATAGCGAAGAGAGAAAAACAGTTAAAAAATTGACCTCAAAGGTACTTTTTAAAAAACGATTTACGAAATCCTTATGATTTAGGTGGACGAAATCAATCTCAATGACAAAAGTGTTGCCAAAACCAAACGACCGAATATCTTGCCACTTCGTAGAAAACCGATGACCGTAAATGGAAATTATGACGAGGTATTGATCTCGATTTACGTTCAAAATTCGATTTTGTTTTACAGACCGCTCTTGATGAAAAAGGTAGATCGCAAGGTGATCGGTTACTGCAGATAAAAGCAAAGAGTCAAGCCGCCGATCTCCAGCGCACACCTGAGAAACATCATAGAACTCGATTCAATAGCCCCACTATGGTTTTGCCCAGCCAGGCATTCCTTAATAGAAATCGCGAGCCGCTAATGGTTAGCTATATTAATCTGAATATCGATTAGAAATTAATATTTTTTAGAAATCCAAAGAAGCTACCCAGAGCTCAAGCAGTATTCGAGCACCGAGTGGTAACGTTGCTTATCGTACGCGGGCATCGGGCACCCTCAGCAGAACGGTTAGTTTTCTTCAATATTATGCACTTTGTCATCGATTACAGGGAAATGAGCGGTTTATATTCCAAAACTCGCTGTTTTACGAGGTAAAACTAACGGTTTTGGTTGGCATTTTTTCGTTATTTAATATACTAATTGAAAAATACTATGATTTTGTATATGCGAATCCGTTTTTTTTTTTCAGCCCGCTTCCGCTGTATTTCCATCAATGGCCTCTCGAAGAAGTGATGCGATACGATTTTCGTCTCCAACAACACCAATAAAGCCAATATCGCCGTCGCCGACTGTTGCAATTGGAAGCGCCTCGCTAAGATATAAAACTCGGTCTCGCGACGAACACCAACCGCAGGTATGAGAATTTAAAGTGGTATTATCAAAAATGAGAGAGGACCTAATGTGTTTGGTTTATGGGCATTATCAATACGCATAGGCTTAAGTTTTTTTTTTGTTTTAACTCCAGAAAAAGAGTATGATTCCAAATGTTGTACTAGAGTGTTGTGAACATAAGTTATAATTGGTTGTTATATCTCGTGCGTGCTGTTATTGTGATTGATAGTTTCTAAATCTACAATGGTCCGAGAAATAAGTTCAGTAAAAAATACAGATTTTGAAGACCGCCCCTTCCTCCGCCGCCCCCTCATTTATGCATAATCAATTCTATCCGAAAACCAACTCGCATGTGGTGTTCGTTTCTTTTTTCAGTTCAGCCTTGTGCGCATGCCGCCCAACGCGCCGCACACTTCTGTTCCACGCCTACCGCTGAGTCCGCATAACAAGTCATCTGTTGCACGAAGCGCAGAGCCGCTGAAAATTCAGCCGATTGTTGGAGTACGAACACGAAGCACGACGCCATCAAGACGCCTCGTCTAGCTTCGTCGTTTTTTTTTCTTTTTTGCTCTCCTTTAATTGGTTATTGTTATTGTTGTTGTGCATACACTTACTACTTTTCAAATTTCTTGTGCTCAAATTTGGAATCATACTGCTTGTGTTTTTTTTGCGCTATGTTCGTGTACTCCTTCTATTACTCAACCTTTACTAATCAGTAATAAATGTTAAGACTCCCAAGTGTACTGTAAGTGCTGCGGAACATAAGCCGATTCGGATATTATCGAACGCGTCGAGCGCGACACTACGGAAAGTGCAACTATCGAGGTGGGTGTCGGACGAGCGATTCCAATGGAGTACACGTATCTGCATTGTTGCTAATTGCAGACCGAGGCCTTATCCACCGCAGGGGGTCCGAGTTGAACTTCTTGCCAATGGTAGCACCTATGAGCTACGACCACGAATAGCGCGGGAAATTGAGACACCCGGAAAACATTTAGCAGCGAACACAGAAGCATTACTAGGGGTACATTCTAATTGTTGGACAAGAATAATCTCAAATCGTTGTATACAGAACAAACGAAAGAAACGAATGTGATTTTTGATGCGAGCGACTTCGAAACGATCAATTTTAGGAATATCAACTTTATGCGCCGAAAATATATAATACTTGTATATAAGCGATTCTAGCCTTTCATTTGTTTTTTAAAAGTGCATTTATGTTAACTATGTCATGATATGTATATAGTTTTTGGTGCTGGACGCCTCAATTCGCTTTCTCATGAATTTAAGATTACCTTTTTTCTTACTAATAAACGCATTTTGAACTGTACAATCCGAGCATTTTCTAATAATAAATCGAAATTGTTTTTTTAATTCTCGGCAACAATTCTAAAAATTTAAATTCGATTTTGTTTTGGCATTTTATCACAAGCGATGCCTTATTTTGTCATTGTTCAAACAAAACCACACCCCAAGCACGACGTTTTTCCATTATCTTCGTCACACGAGGAGGTCAATGAAATAAAACCGAATGATCATGATAGCGGCTTGATGCAAAATACCGTGAATCATAAAATAGTTACGATAGTTGTGGGAGTATACCTATTGAAATGTTTTGAATTGCAGTTTTCCGTCTTTTTTTTCGCATGAGCTTCTTACCGTTTATTATGGCGTCTGTTTCACTGCTTAGGTCTTACATGGAATCTAGGGACCATCAAAATATGGCATTTTTTCTAAATTTCAAAAACGTTAAAAATGCGAATACCAACAAGAAAAATTCAGCAGTGGATTGACGCTGTGCGATCATTTCGAGTTGAAATTCTTCACTCGCATACTACTATCGGTAAGATTTGAACATTCTCACACGATTTTTACTCGCCCCACGCAAACCTACAGTACCGCTCAAAAGGTTGGAAACTTTTGGTTTTTCGGGCATAACTTGATCGAAAACGTATGGATCGAGGTGAAACTTTCAGATATATTGATAAATATAATCAGAAGATTATTGGTACGGTAGTCTTATCATAGGCAATTATGTGTGAAGTTTTTGTGGACTTTTTCATTTTTTTTTCAAAAATCACTTTTTTTCGACTTTTTTTTTTCAAAAGTTTTTTACTATTTTTCTCTGCTTCTTTTTGCATGTTGTTATTATTTTTGTAATTTTAGACATGTCCACTATCGAAAAAAAGCGGAACTTGACTGTTGAACAACAACGGACAATTTACGCAGGGCGTCAAACACGAGCAACCCTGCAGATTTTGGTCGCCCAGTTTGATGTCACAAAATCTTGCATTTTCAAATGTTTGAAAAGATGGGAAACTCAAGAAGGGATCCCAAAGAAGTACCATATTGGTCCTTCACGCGTGACAGATCGTGCGACTGATAGAAGCATTGTACGAGCCTCCAAATTCAACCCGCGAATGACGGCACCGGCGATCCAGCACGAAGTTATCGCCAATTCGCCATCGCCTGTTTCGGTATCAACAATCAAACGCCGTTTATCAGTGGCAGGATTGCTTGGAAGATAACCAGTAAAGAAACCGTTCATTTCGGAGAAGAATAGACGACGGCAGGACGAGTGGGATAAGCAACATCTGAATTGGACACGATTTGACTGGAATGGTGTTATTTGGTCGGATGAGAGCTCTTTGGCAGTGACGGAATTCAATGGGTCCGCCGTCCTGTAGGTCCTTGATACAATCCCAAGTATCAAACTCCTACCGAAAAGCACGGGGGAGGCAATTGCATGATTGGGGGTGCCTTTTCCGGAAAAGGCAGTGACCCCCTTCACCATGTGAAAACAATCATGGATCGCTTCGTCTATAAGGAGATCCTGGAGGAGCAGATGTCGCCGCATTTTAAGGCAATGGGTCGTGTTTGTGTTTGCCAACAGGACAACGACCCAAAGCACACCTTCAAATTTGTGAAATTAAGAAAATTCGCTTTTTTTCTCAAATATTCATCAATTGAGGATTGGTTTGCAAGTCAGCACATCAAGGTTATGGACTGGCAATGTCAATCCCCGGACTTGAATCCCATCGAGCACTTGTGGGAAGAGTTGGAGAGAAGAGTGGCAAACAGAACCGCCACAAATTCGAACGAAAAGTTCCGACAATTGGAAGAAGAATGGAAAAAGATTCCACACTGGGTCATCGACAACTTGATCGACTCCATGCCTAGCAAGTGCCAGGCAGTTATTGACTCCCAAGGCTTTGCAACCAAGTAATAACCTTATAATTTTAGTTTCCAATGATTTTGTGTTAATAAACTATCTTTACGGTTAAAAAACTGACTTAAATTGCATATCCAAAAAAATGTGTTTTTACGGATTTCTGAAAAAATTGCCTAAAATCCTTATTTGGTAAGCACGAATTTTGTTTAATAGCTTATTATATCGGCAATTGCGTAAGAAACAATCGGAAAAAAAAGTTCATGGAAAAAAGTTTGGTTTCAAAAAAGTTATGCCCAAAAAACCAAAAGTTTCCAACCTTTTGAGCGGTACTGTATAAAATTGCACATATAAAAAGCGGCTCTTAAGGAATGCTTTATCAACATTTTTGGTACTGCACTTTTTATTACAGTACAAGTAATCAATTTATACAAAAATTCAACAAACAATAGTTCATTTTTAGTCAAAACATTATTCATAAATCAAGAGGTACGGTAGATTATAAGTTGCTGATAACTCATTGACGTAAATTAAGCTTTTTTTGACCTATCGTATTACAAACCCGGAATAGATTTTCGCATAATCTGCTCAAATTTTTTTCCGACAGATTTCTTCAATGGTCCCTTGGCAGAAAGACGGCCCCTCCCTTGAGCCTAGATTTTTGAGATTATCCCTTCTTCAATAGATCAATATTTCATATCATAAATCAATGATTCATATCATAAATAATCCAATGTTCGGTCTTGAGGCCATCGCACAGTTGCTTGTGGAGCACGCGGCTCATTCGCATCTCATAGCGCCGACAAAATCGCTTGAGTTGGTGAATGCGAAAAATGCCAAAAATGGGGAGGGGGGTTATCAAAACTAGCTGATAACGGCGCGATTCCTCATCCAAAAATTGCTCTCTTCGCATTTGACCTAAAAATTTTTTGTCACGATTCACTAATTGCACTTGCCCAAACAGGCATTCCAAGGCCAATTAATTTTGAATGAGATTATCGTAGAACCCCCTCCCCCCCTTCTCTTTCAACCTCATTCATTATCAGCACGTCCTCGTGATTCCAAAAATAACAAACCTTAATCTATTCATTTTCGACCTCCTAATTTGATTAATATCATTCCAGATGCGTCTTCTTTCCATATTGATCTACTTGGCGTTGTTGTCGGCTTGCTTGGCTGCGATTTTCCACCATCACCATAATCGACGACGTCCGATGCAGAGAAGAGTAAGACACTATCGTGCTTTCCAACAATTCGAAAATCCGATGAAATAAAAATTCAATAAATTGCCAAAGTTCAAAAGTTCATCCAATTTTGCCTAGGCTTGTTTTATTTACCTCATTACCTCTGCCGAATCGTTATCAGCGCGACGATCGATGCAGGGAGGGCTTAGCGTTGAGAAGAAACGCGAAATTGCTGTGTGTTCTCTTAGAATCACACGTTTAAGAAGATTACGAACTCCTAAAATGATAAAATATTTGAATGTTTCAGCGCACTCGACAATTTAAACCATACTCGCGGAATAAGGATAAGCGTAGTCATGTGACAGCGGCGTCTTGTGAGGCTCATGAGCACTACCTAACATGTGGACCAGAAACCCATTGCGATTTGACCTGTGACAACTTCTTCTCGTGAGCAATATGGCTCGTATAGCTAAATGGTTGTTGAATTAAGACCGCCGAATTGCGTCAACGTGTTGACACACGCGAAATGCTGGCATCCGCGATGCGTCTGCAACGACGGATACGTTCGCGATGACGATGGAAAATGCATTCGTCCGTCGCGATGCCCCAACACTTATTATGAGCCGGCTTCGATGATAATGAACCAAAAGGTCAATCGCCAATTTCGAGCGAAATCGATTGTGGTGAAATATTAATTTTCAGGATAACGATATCATGATTCAGTTCGAGCCCGTCAAATTCTCGCGTGTCCGCCACCACAAGATTGTTCGCCTTCCGCACGGACATCGCAAATTTTTGCCGAAAAAGAGCAACGAAATTTAGACGATTATTCGCAATTTTCTCTTTAGTGCCTAATGATGCCTTTATTTCATAATGCTTTTTTAATTGTCATACCAGCAAAATCCCATTATATATAATTGTGTGTGTGTGTTTTAGTCAAACATTCTGTAGATACGCTCATAAATCATTTCCAAGAGTTAAGCTGTCTTTTTTTGTGTCCGGAAAATCTCATGGATAATTTATTGGGGTTCATCGAGATGAGATGATCGGATAAAGCTGGGCGAACACATTTGTAAAGCGCAGGTCTCAAGAATAACTCGGTAAAGTTTCGCCTGTTTCTTTTCTGACCAATCTCTCGAGGAAGGATGAAGCTTCTCTTCTTCAATGCGGCATGGGAAGCTTGAAGGTATACTACTGTATATAATTGCCGCCTGGAAACGTTCGTCCGTCTGCGTTACCAAGCAACATCCTATCGTGATTTATTTCAAAAAATTGCAAAGCATTGGAATTTTTCGCAGTTGCAAAAGACTGATTTTCTTCTGATTGGAAATTTTAAAGAACAATTCAGCAAAAAAAATTGGCGGCCAAAAATTCAACAAATTTCGAAGTTATCTTTCAAAATCTATTCCTATTTCGGGGTTTTTCGAATTTGGAAGAATTGAATTCAAGAAATCCAGGAAGAACAGATTAATCAGAAAATACTGAATCCTGATAACAATTTAAAAAACAGAATTGCTAGATTTGTTAAATTGCAGCCAGGAGTTTATCCAAGCCCCGCCCCTACTATTTTTCTTATGAGACAAGAGCGCTCTACCGCAACACAGCGTCGATCGGGAAAGTGCGTTCACGCGTGCGTGAGATGAGAGAGTGTGCTAGAATAAGAGTGTCCGCAGACTCTCGGCGTCAAATTGCAGTTCGGTTCGACAAATGCGCTCTATTGCATGTTTCGCACCGGCACCAGTGGCACTATAAAAGGCCGGCGGAATACGCAATTTAGTCAGTTCTCGCAGCTCCTCTAGTTGCGGGAAACCCGCAAATCCTGTGAGCCCGACGTGCCCCGCATAACCTGCGGGCTCCTCGTCGGGCCTTTCCCTCTCTTTTCTCTCCGTACATTCGTACCACATACGTCTGTACTTCCTCCCGGTCCTACCGTTTGGGACCATCTCTTCTTTTTTTCGGGGAATGCCGGCTTCCCCTCCCTTCTTCCAGTCGTACCACTTGCGACTGTCCCCTTCTCTCTATCAGTCGACTGATTCCCCCCCCCCTGCCGTACCACTTGCGGCTTCTTCTCTTTCCATCCCACCACTTGGGATTCCCCTCTCTTCCTCTCTGTACATTCGTACCACTTACGTCTGTACTTCCTCCCGGTCCTACCGTTTGGGACCATCTCTTCTTTTTTTTGGGGAAAGCCGTACCACTTACGGCCATGTCAGTCATTCCACTAATGACTGACTTCCCCAAACCTCTTCTTGTCCCACCACTTGGGACTCTTACATTTATTTTTTTTAATACTTTAATTCTTTTTTATTATTTATAATTAGTGTGTTTAGGTATGTTTAGGTATTGACGAACCTGCTGCCGCCGCCGATTGACGGAACGCCGAGGTGAATCGACTCACCACCACGCTAGGTTACCCACTCCACTATTAAGCATTAGCCATACTAAGTGCCCCTCTTCTACTTAATTCGCCGTAGTCGGCTATATTAGGGCCGTAGTCGGCCATTCCCCCAAACGCCAAGGCTTCCTGATCCCCCGTAGTGCCGAGGCGTTGGCTGGATGGCGGCTTATCCGCTGTATCCTAAATTCGGGTGATTGGCCTGGCAAGCCATTCAGCCCTGATTCGGTAGCCGGGAATCGAACCCTACCCAAACGCCCCCGTTTCAAGTACTCTCGAGTGCTTGGAAACTGCTACGGGGCGTTATGGATGGTTATGCTTTAGAAATTTGCTTCACCGGGTGTCCTCCATACTAGTCAGGATGGCATCTGGCCCAGACCTATATTGACGTGGATTGGCCAGCTATGTCAATATGTCCAGCCTTTCGGGTGCACATGGACCGTGCTTCTTGGCATAGTAGCTTGCTACTTTGTAGTGGCTTGCTACTACTTTGTAGTAAGCTTCTATGCTAAGAGCACAAAAACCACATTACCATATCACCAGTAGACCCGGGGCCCAGCCAGACGTGGCTTGCCCAACCACTTCTACTTCTATTATCCTCGGATGATAGTTGTGGGATGTCCTTGGGTGATCCCCATGGTGGGATCGGCGATGACCCACATCAGGTTTCGGCCTGATGCTGGTGAGCCTCTCCTTCAAGTGTCGAGCCTCTACGTGGCGAAGGAGATCAACTGACTCGGTCCTCTTTCACGGGGATCGAGTCAGGCTAATCGACACACATTGACTTCTTTTCGATCTTGCAAGTCGCAAGAAATATTCAGAGACAAACTCAGCTCCGAAATCCAACGGTTCTCTTTAGGACCATCGGCTAATTGCATAGTTCATATAACTTTTTTAAACTAGTCTTTTAAATTAAATAGCAGATTAACAAATGCAATGTGAATTTGATAAAAATTTCGTTTGGTCTTTTGATGCCGAATTTTTCAAATAGAAGTTTAAAAAAATACCTCAGCAAGCTGCGAATTACGGGGTAGTCGGGGGTGTCATAGTATGCGATACTATCTATGTACATTATTATATGCAAAAGCTCTTTTGGACAACCCGATAGAAACTCGTTAAGACCTGAAAATAAATATTAGCGTATTGCTAATGAAGTTTGCCTACCTGCAGTTCTTGCTTTCTTCTTGCACATGTAGATAGCGGCGTTATCTTCCATAGTAAACCACGGTAATGTGCCAACAATCATTTCAACAACCACGTAAAACCACGACTCCAAATCGTCACGGCGGCAGGATTCGCGATCTTCATGAACACCGACACTGGCGAATCTACATGTAAGTCAACAATTTTATTGAAAATAATTTTAACCGAGGTGTGCCGCGAAACTGTGTATGCCATCGGGGATGTCGAAGGTTTCCGGATGAATCCAAAAATTTTCGGCACATTCCGAAGTCGATTAGAACGATTTGTCGGGATTGAAGAGCCGCACAAAAATTTGTCGGCTTTATGTCTCGATGGAGATATCTTAAATGCCATTTTCAGATATTCAATATCTTATTTTTAATTTAAAAAAAGGTTACCCAACACCATGCAATAGCTGAATGGCGCTAAGACATTCCTCGCTAATCGACAGAGCACATGAAATTGGAAATTTTCGATTTGGTAGTGATTGACGAATATCCTACAATTTGTTATTCGTCGAAGTAAGTAGAATTAGTAAAAATTACGAAATTCGTGGCTATTTTTAGAGGAAAATTAGTATTTTTGAATTGTCAAATAGAAAATTAAATTCTCTAATTTTGTTTTCAAATTTTTGAATTTGAATACATCTCGGCCACGGCCACTTCGGTTGTGCCAAAAATTTAAAAGTGCTTCCACTAACCGTTAAAGTTTTATTCAACAAGCTGAAAACCATCAAATTAATGGATTTTGATTTACAAGAGGCCACTAAAAACAATTTGCAAAAATATGGAGAATTGAGCTTCTGAAGTTCTCTAAAAAAACATTTGCTGATTCCTGTGGTGCACAAATCTAACAAATCTATCAGCGGGGTTTGCGAACAAGTTGTCTCGAATTTCAAAATTTCCCTTTTTATCATTATTCACAAAAGCGAATGATATTGGATGAAAAAACCGCAAGCGTCTTTGTTTCGCTTATTCGGAAACAAAAGCTTATCCGATTCCTGTGGCGCGCGACGGCGGCGCAACTCGTTCTCCCGGTTTTCATTCACCTTTCGCTATCAGTTTGACGTGTCCGCCTATTTCTCGACACAATCAGCTAGCCATTCTTAGCTTTTCGAGATCATGCGGCTCGCTGTGATCCTTCTCGCGTTAGCCGCCGCATCGCACGCGGCTTCATGCGGCTCGTCGGGTATCCCGTTCCGTTTCGAAGTGTTGCCATCGGGTAAGCCGGTGCTCGGTTGCGCGTCGCCGACATGCTTTGGCGCGGAAAACGCCGGACGCGATCTTCGACATGATTCGAGTTTCCTCGCCGGCGCTGAAGGCGACGACGGCTTCTTCAGAGAAGGCGATCTTTCAAGAGTTCGCGTCCGCAATATGGATGCGCCAGCTCAACAAGCATCGTGCCCCGGCGAATTCGAATCAAACAGCTGCATTAATCCAATGACGTGGGTCGGAGGATTCATGGCCGACGAGGATGGAAAGTCAGTTATTTTTTGAAGCACTGGATTTCATTTTATTTATTCTATCAATTGCTTAATTTCAGCTTGAAACTTCAATGCTGCCATTACGGAGGCTTGAAATTCGCGCAAGAAGTCGGCCGACCTGTTGTTCATCCGGGAGAAGTCTATTCCGGAGGAGAGGTGCTTCGCGATGGAAGACAAACCGGATTCGACGCTATTTCGAATGTCAAGAAAATTGTCGCCAGAGATGGAACGTGAGTTTATTTTTTTATTTCTATATTTGATGATACAAACAATTCTTTAGGGTTGCGTATGAGCTTACGGTGACTCGTATGAACTGCCTCCCAGACCCAGTTGAAACGGAAAATGAAGGCAACGATTTTGCACATTTTTTTAACGTACCTCTGTCTATCCGTTTTTAGTATCGTTTGACATTCAACGAGACATCGGACGAATTTTGGAAAAGGTTGGCGACACTTCCTCGGCAGGCGGTGTACAGACGAATGAGGTTGGCGACCAGCGACTGTCTCCAAGTTCGTATGTCGACGGCCAACAACAATTGCAACCGCAATCGGATTCGTATGCCCAACCGCAGGCGCCGCAAGAGCCCCAACAGGAAACTGAGCAGTTTGTGCAAGTCGGCGAGCAAGTGGTGCCAGTGACTAGTGCTGGATATTACTATCCAGTGGCGTCTGGTGTTCCAGCTTGCTTCACTGCCAATTCAACAGTGCTCACTCTCGATGGATACAAGAGAATGGAGGATGTTCGTGTTGGCGATAAAGTGCTGACCAGCGAAAACCGCAAGCTCGTCTTCACCCGCGTCGCTTCATGGATCCACAGACTTCCCGACGCAAAAGCCGCGTTCATTCGAATCCGAACCGAATCTGCGAATGAGATCAACCTCACACCTCAGCACTTCATTTACAAGACTGATTGTACATCGAGAAAAATGGACATGGTGTACGCGGAAGATGTCAACATCGGAGACTGCCTCATGATTTATTCTGAAGACACTATGACTCCATCAAAAGTGGTCTCGACGTCTACATTCTATTCAAACGGTGTCTACGCGCCAATGACGGATTCTGGAGATTTGATTGTTGATAATATCTACGCGTCTTGCCATAATGTTATCAAGACATCAACCCTCTCCCACACGTTTTTGTCGTTGGTTACCGGCCTCCAGCAAAAGGTTCTCGGCTTGTTGGGAATGGTCGACAATTCCGGACACCTGCCAGCTACCGCCGAATTCTTCCTCAGCGTTGTTGATGTTTTGCTACCTCACAAGTATTAATTGTTCGTGTTTCATCATTTTCCAAACCCCCTGCAGCTCAGATGGTGCTTAATAATTCCTAATAATAAAAATTAATAATGTATAATAAATTTTGCTTCACAAATTCTCTTTTCTTGTTCCGGTTAAGATGCGATGCGTAAATTGTTTCAAATCGCGTGAGATAGAGAGATTCGAATGTGATAAATCGCGAAAGAATCCCGTCTTCAGGGGTGGGTAGGGGGTGCACTTTATCAGTTTTTTCATCGTGTCAATCTAGGAGAAATCTCGCACGAAAAAAAGAGAGGACGCTATCCGTGGAGGTGGTGGTTGTGTTCAGCCTTGACCCGATTGGTGACCTATAAACCCAATATTTTCGGAATCGCACGACCATTACTAAACCGCAATCTTGACACTTTTCATTCTTCATTCAATATTTTTCCTCCCCCATTTTTTTTTCTGAAGGCCCAATGCTCTTCGTTACTCTGCTCGGACTTGTCGCACTTCCAACAGCGTTGGCCAAAGTCACGCCAGTCGTCGGAACGCAATGCTCGAAGAATCAAGTTATTCGCAAAATCACAGTGTACGAGGATGGAGCGTTAGAAGCTGAATGTGGTCCAGTTCCATGCGGTGAAGTTGGAAGACGATGCATTGAGGTTGGTATCACTTTTTTTTAACGAACCAGTTTCCCCTTGTTTTACTATTTTCATGATTGATTGTTAAAGGATCAAACTGCTTGCCGAGCTGACACCGACGTCTTCTCCGGAATGCGATGGGCGCCGAACGGCGAGAGCATTCTTCTTCGCTGCTGCACAATGAAGGCCAAGAATAAGATTTACGTGGGAACTGACGTCGTCTCGGCGGGAAGCTTCTACGAGGGAGGCGCTGTCGCTGAGAAGGACTTGTACTCGCAGAATGGCGGAGCTGAGTACGACTTCATCGCCAACGCGCGCACTGAGCAGGGTGGAGTCCGCGTGTGGGTTTATCGAATGATTTGCGATAAGGGTGAGAAGCCAGTCAATTTTGAGCCAATTACTACCACCACTGCTGCTCCACTTCCAGTTGAAAAGGTTAACCGAAAAGAGATTAAAGTGATTAATGAATTTCGGAATCTTCAGGTCACTGAAGCTTCCGTGAAAGCTACAACGACCACAGAAGAAGCTGCTGTTGAGGAAGAAGAGGATGACAATGAAGAGGAGACTGCTGAGCAGAATGACACGTATAAAACATTTGAGAGAGAGCCTAATAGTTGATTGAATCTCTTATAGCGAGGACCAAACAGCCACCGAAGACGAGAAGGCTGAGGAAGAAGGCGAGGAGGAAGAGGAGGAAGAGGAAGAGCCAACTGTAATCGACTATTTTAAAATATTAGAAAGTTTAAATTAGAAAATTGTAGACTCCTGAGCCAAAGCCATTCAACCCACTTCGTTACCGACCTCCACATCTTCCGCGATCATCGACAGGCGTTCGAAGGGCCTAAAATGAATCTTAGCTATTTCTAATGTACATTTAATAATTTTTATGCTAATAATAATAATAATAATAATGATAAGTGACTTCAAAAAAATTGTCCAGCATGGTGGGGGGTGTCAAATATTTCGGTGGTGCACCAAAGCGCATCTGGTAGATGGGAAAAGGCCAATCAATTTAGGCGAGTTTCAATTCATGGCTTTAAACAAAAACAACATGCGCCTTTGAGGTATACTGTAGTTTAGCATATAATCTGTAAATATACAGATGATGCGCTATGGGTACTGTAGAATTGGGTCTTGCAAAATTCGTGTCGATTTACGAGGAAATCTACGCGACATTGTGCGCCTTCTCATCAAAATTGGTTACTCAAATCGGCGTAAATGGAAAAAAAAGCAAGAAATTAAATCGAATTTTCTACATTTTTGCATTTGTTATAATTTCTTTTTTAAAGTTTTTTCATTGACGGAATAAATTTAAAAGAGGTGGGTAGGTTTTTTTGCAACAGAAAAATCTAATACCTGATTTTTGGCGCGTAGATTTCGAAATTAAAAAAAATATTAAAATATATTTATAAATAATCTCTCACAAATGAGAGAAGACGAGTGAACAGTGGGAGATAATTGATATTAATTTTAAAATTGTACGAAAACGAAAAATTCGAGCTTTCAGACTGCCACCAAATGGGACCTCTGATTTAAATTACAAAACCTAAATATTCATTTTCCATACAATTTTGCATTTTTCTGAAATAATTATCTTATCTTAATACAACTCAAAACATTATTTAAAGGATTTCTATCATTGTAACGCAAATTGTGGATGATTCAATGCAAATATGTATCGGACTCTTATCAGTCTGTGTTGAGTTTGGGTCTGTTCAATTTCACTTTTCCGCTTTATACTGTTGTTTGTTTGTTTGTTTTTTTAACATTTAACATTTTCTATTATTCATTATTCCATGTTTAAGCGTCGCTTCATGTAAATGTATTGAATTTTCTAAAAATTTGTCATCTAAATAATTGTTAAAATTTCCAAAAAATATTCGCCAACTGCTAAAAATCAATTATTAACTTCCTATACTGGGGAAACCTATAGAAAAAAAGAAAATTAATGATTCTGTCTCTTTTTAAAAAAAATTTTTTTTGCATTGATCCTTAAAAAGATATTCACAGTGTAGAACTGAAGTGAGAAATTCTTATTAAATGCCGTGATTTGCCTATTATGATAAAAATGAACAGCTTTATCAGCTTCAACCAAAATCAAACAGATTATAAGTAATACCGTATCAATAGAATCACCAACGCCCAATATTTCAAATCGTTGCGTTTTATTCATTTTGCTGATTATTTTGGAATGCGTCATTCGTCGAAATGCTTATAAAACAAACGTCAGAATGCCTCATTTCTATAATACTTTTCATTTCATATCGGTCACATCATTAGTTTCTTTTTTTTTAAATAGTTTACAATGGATATTAAACAGAGTAGGTTTGTCGGCTAATATGCAGATGAGGTCCCCACTGGGTGCGTTGTTCGTCCCCGCGAGCCAAATGTATTTTAGGTCCCCGCGTAGTGCAGTATAGGTCCCCCACGTCATCGTGCTGACACACGGTATGCCACGCGCATGCTCGATTCATTTCCATTCTTTTTCTTTCGGATTTAACGCTATTCGTATTGTTTTTTTTTTTCGGAAACGATAGTGAGGTCGTGTTGAATTTTTACAATATCAATATTTTTAGACGTTTCCTGTGCTCATTTGTGTCTCTAATTTCATTTTTGGACCTATGCTGCACTATGTGGGGATCTTAAAGTCTTGTGGGGTGCTTATCTGCAAGATCAGGTGCAGATAAGGTCCCTACAGTGAAGTTATAGATCCCCAGTGAAGAAGAGGTACCCGCTTTCAGTGTAAGTGGGGACCTCATCTGCAGGAAATCATTTTAACCTATTTCGTTTTGTGAATAATGAATTAATTAAAATTTTGTTTGCTACGAAATCAATATTTTTCAGGAAAATGATTCCTATGAATATTTTTCCTTTCCTTCTTCTTCTATTGGGAACTCAGCAACGATTAATAGCAGGCGAAACCATCAATTGCGCAGATGGCGATATGTCTGTTAAATCGATGAAGCCATCATTCGGAGGCATCTCAGCATTCTATTCAATCGCCAAAGGCATTTCGGACGGGCTTCAGAGTACGCCCAACGAAAAAACCTATAAGGTATGGATTATCAGACAGACCCAAAGGATATTCCATATTGCTTCAGGATTTGAATAATTTTATTTTCGATGAGGACGATTCAGTGACATATAGTGTAGTCGCTCGAGACCTGATCCTCAATCAGATTGGGGCCATTGTCTTCTGGAGTTTTGGATTTGTGATCATCCTCGCCGCACTGGTATTGCTTGTTGCCACCGCCATCTGGCAATGCTGCTTCACGTGTGTCCCAATGTCCCAGGTTTACATTTGCACGTCTTTCAAGCGGTTTCAAAATTAATTTCAAGGCGAAACGCTCCCCAACGACAGGAGTAATATACATTGGCCTTCTTGTGACGTGCTTCGCCTTTCTACTCACTGGCACAATTCTATTCAATATTTCGATTGCGAATCTGACATCGTCGATTGATCGCGGACAAGAATTCACGAAACAAATCAGCAATGATTTGGGACGAGTCTTGAATACTGGAGCCCAACAGATGACGTGCGCCGTTCAGACAACAACCAATAACACATTTTCGGAGTTGAGTGCGCAAATTGGGAATTACGCTCAAGTTGTCATTCAAAATACAAATAATCAAATTGGTTTGACGGACTTGATGAATGTAAGTCAACGATTTTAAAGAGCTGATAAATGATCTTTTGCAGTTTAATACGAGTGGGTTTGATGAGCAGATCGCCGAAACACGACGTCTTCAAAATAGTCTGAATATCAATTGCGCGGAAAAATCGACCATTTCGAAACAATTTGAAATTGTGACTGAAAATCTGAACATTTTTCAAAGATCGTCTAATAATCTTGACGATCCAATCAGCGTTATTCGAAGTGAGCTGAACACGATTCAAAATCAGGTATAGTCTAACGAGATCTTAAACAAACCCCTTCTCGAAATTTTCTTGAAAAATGAAGACGTTGAAATTGAATTCGCAAATATCAATTAATATTTTGGTCTTTGATAACGTTTTAATGTTGAAAAATTAGAAAAAAGAGGAAAAAAATATAAACTGAACAAAGTAAACTGTAGCGTGCGATAATGTCTGTAAACACAGCAACGCAAAGTCACAGAAATATCACTAAAAACGACCATCACATTTGATTATTTTTCCACAATCGAATCGAATTTTTTTGACTACTAAATCTTATTTCCATATTAATATTGGACCTATAATTAATATCAAATAAGCAAAATTTCTGGGCTCCTCACATTTTTTAAATCCATGCATATTTTGTTTTTAGATTCAAGCCCAAGCTGATCAGGCAAATCAAGCGATTGAATCATCACAGCTGCAAATTTCGGATTCAACAATTTCTATAAATGTAAGCTGACGCAAAATTCGAATATAGAAAAAAAAAGTGGTTTAGAATATGATTCATGATCTTCAAGATGATATAAGCAACATAGTTAGCGCATTGAATACGGCACAAAGCGACACGGTTTCGGTCGAAAATGAATTATTTTCAATATATGCTTATCCAATACGATTTTTTTTAGTCAAACGCCTATTTTATTGTAAAGTTGTGCCTTCGACTTGTCGTCACCGTGCCGACATGCGTCGCAATGCTATTCGCAATCATTGCCATTCTTGGAGTGTGCGATGGAATGAAGCGCTCACGCTTCGTCGGCTGCACGTCGAAAACGATTCTCGTCGGATTCTACACAATCCTCGTCTTCTGCATTATAATTCTGTTTGTCGAAAGCGCCGCGTTCGTCGCCGGATGGGCGACGTCGGCCGTCTGCGTTCCGATTTTCGAAGATCCAAACTATAAGCTATTCCATAGTCTGCAATCGATCAACATTCAAACGCAAGAGCAGGGCCCGAGCGATCAGTTTAACATCGGAGCGACGATGACAAGTTGCACCGACCCAAACGAGACGTTTTATAACGCTATAAACGCGTCTCAAATTATTTCGCGTAAAACCCGCTGTGTGCATTTTTCTCAATTAAACATTGGTGTTCAGAAGATGCTATTGACAATCAAATGGACCTTGAGCAATATAGGACGCAATCGAATGAAAATATACAGAATTATCCATTCACACAAGTTGAAGTTGCCAATTCGAGTCAACTGAACACGTCTCTAGAAGAATTGAAAAATTCGCTGAAAATTCTTCAAGGAATCACCAATTGCGCGAACAATAATGATTACAGCAATTATCTCGCGTAAATTTATGATATTGAAAATTAATAATTTTGCAATTGATTTCAGAAGCCTTCAATCAACGATCAATAGCGCTTCAGAATTCACTGATGACGTGAACAAATTCAATAACCCACAAACGGGCTACCCGAATATTCAAGCAATTTTAGTGCAGCAGAATAATTATCAATTTGATCAGGGCCAATCCGTAATCAATGGTTCGGTTCAACAATTGACCAGCGAACTGCAAACGAGCATTTTTCTTTGTCGGCCGCTTATTGATATATTCACGAATGGCGGAGACGTTGTTTGCCAACAATTCGGATCGCCAATTCAAGGAATGTGGTCGTCTGTTGGCCTCATTGGAGTCGTCGAATTCGTTCTCGCCATCGTCTTTTTATGCGTCTATCGTTGGCTGAGCCGCAATTCGCCGAAATCGTCGTCGGTTTCAAGCTGGAATGACGGACCAACGCGAAGGGATAGCGACGTGTTCGCGAAGCCTCCAATCCGACTGCCGTCGTTCCCGCAGGCCCAAATCGAGCCAATTGAGATCGATAGGAATAATGCCGATTATAGGGATTCTGAAAGGCATGCGTTGTCCAAACCTTTGATTATTTCCATGTTTTGATTTCAGAGAAGAGGAGAGTTGGGGAAATGTTGGACGGGATGTTCAGGGACTAAAACGAAATTATTAGAAGCTTCCATAATCATAAAAATTATAATGGTCTCTTTTTCTTTCTAATTGCTAGATTTTTTGCCTTACTTTACAATAAATATTTGCGATTTCACTATGTATGAACAAGAATTTTCGATTGATGTGAAGAAAGGGGGAGGCTGCTTCGAAGCGGATACGTCGACCGATCGTCGAACTTGTTTCTGCCAATGATAGGCAGACGAAAGCTGATAGACTGAACCTGATAATTTCTGTCTCTTCTAGTGGTCTCTAATTTTTGGTTGCATTTCTAAAAAGTGATTCCAGATCTTAATTTGTCAATTTTTAATTTTCAAGGCACATGCGTTTAAATAGGGTCTTGATATGAGTGAAAATCGTAACCTAATCTGAATTGAGTTTAATCGAGAAAAATTATGAATATTCGTGAGATTAATAACATTTATTGCCAAGTCAAGAAAAAATAATTAATTTCTGAAAAATTATTATTTTGGCTCGTAAATCTACACCTTTAGTTTTCCTACACTCTCAATTTTCGTATTCTTCGCTATTCGACAAAATTAGGTCCAAACCCGAATCATTCTAGGCGTTGATAAGGTTTTACGTCAATTTCATGCAATAAATAAATTTTCGAAAAAAAGTGGGCCGCCTAGTCCACAATCAAGTTTTTCGTTAAAATCAACCTTGACAAATTACGCAATTTTGGCCAGCTTTTCCATTGATTTCGCGTTAAAACGATACCGATCATTTTTTGAAGATTTCACTTTTTGAAATTATCCAAAAATTGATCTGAAATTTTGATAGATTCGCGAATATCATTTCCCAGTAATTTTTCACGACACACATACACAAATTAATATACTAATGAGCTTCATCTTAATGATTTACAACAAGTTCTTGTAGACAGTCTATCCAAATGCGTACAAAACACCCCCCTCCAAACATAATCATCATCGCCGAAAAGCCTTTTGCCTTTTATGTAATTCGTTGGTTGCCAAAAAAAACTTGAAACCAGCGTATTTATTTCGGCGTAGGCGCGCGTGTGTGTTTGTCTCTCATCTCTGCCGAATCGTCGCATAATTGACAAAAATGCCTTGGCTTTTTTTGTGTGGTGGTTAGGATGAAGATGGAAAATCTGGATCAGATGGGATCTCGATTCAATTGGTTTTTGCCGTTACGCCACACATTTTTTTTCGTTCAACAAATTCTATTTTTTATGCAACGCGTAGATTCAACTAGTTTTTATTGATAAAAAAAATGAAAATAAGATTTCTTCAATTTCAAAGCGGGCTAACTCCTTCTGGGCAATTTGCCAATCAATATCCGATTCTCATATAATCGTGCCAAGACCTGAAATTATGCATTGAACCACAAGCCTATATAATATAGTGAACCGATTCTCGCTCAGGTTGACAAATTGATATGATCGCATTTCTGTTTTATTATGGTAATATGGAGATTTCGCAAATAAAACCTTTAAACCGGTGAAAGCCCTCTATATGGTAGCAGAACTCTCTCTCTTTCTCTCTCTCTCTCTCTCTCTAATCTCGAAAAACTTTGACCAAAGCCACACTTTTAAGCCTTTTGATCACAGTTTTTTTTTAAATTAAATAGCCGCAAGAATCGTAAAATTTTATTTTATACTCCTTTGAACAAAAGCAAAAAAAGTAGCAACCGTATTCAATCGGAAAACTGGGATTTTAAAGAAATGAAATTCTTTTTTTTTAAAGGCGCATACGATAAAATTTCATGATTCTTGCAACTTACCAGCGAAATTCGTTGTGCGACCTTCAAATTACAAAAAGTAAAGAAAGCGGAATCAGTGATTTTAATTAAATTCCATGTTGGTTTCGATATCCTCAGAAGGGCATATGTGTGGTTTGCTTCGTTTTTTCTCTATGGTAATTCAAGATTGCAATCTTTCGCACTTTCGCCTTCTCGCCCCCCCCTGTCCCTTCCAAATAAGGTGCAATTGACAACTTTTAAAATGTTCATCACATCAATCCGATTAAGCGATTTGCGGGGGGTTCAGAATGTGCGTGATTTTTAAAAGAAACATTTCGACCCCCCGGCGTCGCCTCTTCATTTTTTGGCTACTGTAATCCTCGTGATCATAACTCAAAGTGCGTGGGTTCTACCGTAGCAACCCAAGCGTTTCATTGTCTCAATCCAAAATTGCCAGTTTCTGAAGGAAAAAGCCGCTACCAGAATCGGTCGCCGCGAGACCCAACACATTATTCGCCCCTATGCGCCTTTAATCAATTATTCTAATATCTAAAAATGGCGTTTTTAATATGAGAAACAGACGATTCCTTGTATAATTTCACACAGCCAGTGAAAGTGAATGTTGTTTCAAGATTTCCCATAATCTTTGTTCTAATCTGAAGACTTTCAGCAGCAAAAAAACACCTCTGAAAGCGAAAATACCTTTTTATGTATGTATATCTTTATATGGAATCTTTAGATAAAAGTTACAGTCATTATTAATACTTATATAGGCTGTTCTAGTCACTTTTATAATTAATCGGCCAATTTATTTTCCTTTACTTTTTTTATTGAAATAGTAAAGGAAGGGTATAATATGTAGCATATCATTACCAATGGCAAATTTAATTAAAGGCGCACATAGGTGCATCTTGCTGATATCTCATGGCGAACAGGCATTTTCCATCTGCACTCTCTTCATTTCCGTTGCCTTTCGCTAGTAAATCAACCCATTAAATGTTAGAAATGATAAATCGCTGGCATAATTTGAAATCGACACTATGCACAAATGAAATTTAGGTTTGAATTATTTTTGTGAAATTCTTCACACGATTTCTGTTTTGAATTTTTGAGCTTTATTTTTGTTAAAAATCAATAATTAATTTAAACAATTTTAAAATTCTATGAAAGTTCAGCATCTTTCATACTTTTTTGAGATTTATTTCAAAAATTTCTTTAAAAACCACTCAACACTAAACATTTTTGTGGCGAGACGAAATGTGTGCAAAATTGCGTCGATGTGTAAACAGACAAAATGCGAAAACTTGCACATTTGAATGATTTTTTCAACTGTTTTTTAATAGAAATAAAAAAGGCATTAATATGAAACATTTCTAGGCAATTGACAATAGAATAGCAATCTATTTTTTTTTTCAACCAATGCCTTATTATTTGTTTATTTCCGATGTCAAACGACTTGCCAAAATTTAAAAAATTATTGGCTGCGAGATTGCGTACATTGCATTATAGTGTACGCGCATTTAATATTCAGTCAACGAAAAATTTAAATCTACAATCTAATTTCGCGAATTTGAAGCCTCCCTTCAGTCCGACAATAATTTCAAAATATTTCAGATGAAGAATGGGGGCGATGAGGAGGCACCCCCGGTTGGACCGTTGCCAGAAACCTATCGTTCTCCATCAAATATCAACTCGCACAAATACTATTTCATCGTGCCTCTTTTGATATGCGTCTGCCTTATTTGGATTGCCTACAATCAATGGCAAAAGCCACCGGAAATCCAGCTGCCGGCAATTCAACCGACCACCAAAGGTTTACACGCAAATTTCGTTGAAAATGTGGCATTTATACAATTTGATGACCATTTTTTTGAGTGCAAATGCACTAAAGACGTCATATAAGACGATTTCCTGTGGAGATTACGATAGTCACATACATGTTCACATTATTACAGAGAAACCGCGAATTTGGTGGATGCCTGACCTTTTGGCAACCTTGCCTCCATTTGCATTAGGATATCGAACAGAAAAAGTGGCGATTTAATTATTGATAATTACAGGGCGTTAATTACTCGATCAATTCTTTTTTTCAGTACTTGGAGCGCTACAATTTGACCGTATGCCAAATATCGGGAAATTTCGAGGAACTTAGCTCGGCGATCACGTGTTTCCTATTGAATCCGGTGAAATACGCGAGAAACAATTTGACAATTTCGAAAGATCTCATAGGAGATGGGTAATTAATTGCAATTTGTCACATAATTGCAATTTGTCACTCAAAATATGACCAATCAATTCTCTCATAGATTGTGCGGAAGAAATCCGCCGTTCACGTTGAATAAACACGAGGAATGGACGAAAGTTTTAAAAACGCCGACGAGAAAAGTTGCTCTTGTGCAGGAGCCGCTCGAACGATTTGCCAGACTATTTATTGAGCATTGCGAAACGTAAACGACAAAAGCTGATACAAAATGACGAGAAACGACAATTTTCAGAAATTCTCGTTGTTTCGATTGTAAAAACGACATTTCCTGTGTACTTCGTAAACTCTACAAAGCCCATCAGCCACTGGCTGAGGGTCTCGCTGGCAATGTGCGCACTTTTTTGACAGCGGAATTCAGTCCTCAGTCGTGGTAAGTCTTCTTTTCACGTTTTCGAACCAATTTCATGAATTCGATTTTTTCTGTTCGCCTCAGACAGCCAAGGAATTCGTCACATTGATTTTTGCTCAGAATTTTTTTTGCGAAACCATTCCTTAATCATCCTCACCGGCATCGCGGGCGTCTCGTTCGCGTGTATGTTGTCTATTAGTTGCGGACGCTTGACGGGTTTCGCGACTGTCTATCTTTTCTGTGTAAAAGGATGGCGACTCGAAATATTTGACCAAATTAAAAACATTTAAAATTATCTTTGGAATTTGAGGAATTTCAGGAATTGTCATTTCAATTATAACTTTGTGAACATTGAAACGATTAAAATCAGTGGTAATACGACGGAAAAAAGCAATTTCGTCAGGAAATTCAACAAGATTCTTCGCGAGCAAGGTGCCAGTGAAAACGTTACCAATACAATTGCAGCAGAAGTCACAAGTAAAATTATTCGATTTCATTTTATTTTTTATTTCATCAATTTAGAAATTCCAATGGAACTTACCGAAGAGGAACAAAATATAGTGAATAAAATAAAGACAAATGAGGACCAAATGCGGTTATTTAAGTTGATCTATCACCACGATTATTATATTTTTGGATTTAAAATATAAGAAACCCAGGAAATGTCGGCAACATTAATGTCATTTTTACGGGTTTTTCTGCAATCTTTCTAGTTTCACGTTTATTCTCGTCATTTTTTGTTAATGTTTTGTAGTTTTAAAATAAAGAATTTTTTGTTTTATATTTTCATCACTTTTTTAATAATGAGTCACACTTCCGGCAAAGTTTGTCTCACTTGTGAACTAATCAATAAAAAAATTTTAGACTTGAAATGATAGCCAATGTGAGCTGTGTGCATGTGCGTCTACGTGTTTACACATTTTTGAAAAAAATTTCATTTTTTTTCTAGAATATTAAAACAATTGATTGTTATGGAGTTTTGCGTGGTTTGCATTTTTCAAGTACCAGCTCTTGACTGTTGTTTGTCGGCAGCTTGTTCGCACATTGTTTTAAACGTTTTTCACAGTGACTACATGTAATTTTATTTTAATTGATTTGATTTTCAATTTTTGGTTTTTTTCAGATGCCATCACGAACACCAGCGGCGAAGCGACATTGTACTTTCAATCTGAAGGATGGTTTTTTTGTTAATTAAAATAAATCAATGTCCAATGTTCTTTCATTTTTAGACGATTCAAAGTTACTTAAATCGCGGGATATTTCTATGCAGCCGCCTCGGAAGGAATATGACTATGAGAGAAGTTTTGTAAGCTTTCCCATGAAATTTTGATTATCAACCTATAAAACTTTAGGTAATGCTATAAATATTTGCTTAAATTTTATGGGTTCAAAAATTGTTCGTTGAAACCTTTTTGACATGATCAATATTTGGTTTCCTTTAGGTTCTTTTTATGGATATGGCACGTCATTCTTCAGCAGTTTTTTTGCTGGCAAAGTCGCTATTTTAAACAAAATTTCCGATAAAAATGGCTGAATGATTTTTTTTTTTAATTTTTGAAATTTCGTCAAAGTACGAAAATAGCAAACTGTCATCATATTTATTCTTGCCCAATTTTCATTAAACAAATATGAGATCATGGCGGATTTCAGCACCTCGGCGGCACTTATCGAACAGTGCGCGGACCGTCAACGATCGACTCGATGGGCTTCGATACGGTAAGTCAGAAAAATCAACGAAAAAGTCAATAGAAAGTAATGCGAGAAACAAAGAAAAAATCAAAAAAAAATGAGAGAGGTGGTGCTAACATTTATAATCCGACCCGCCTTTCCCGCCCGCCCCAAAAATTGTGCAGGTGATAATGATGAAAACAGTACCATACGTTGTTCGATAAGCAAGATGTTTAACCTCTCAAAATCGATACCGGTAAGCAAAATTTGTCAAAAAATGTTTTCTTGGCGAACCGCCCAATTATTTCTTGCAAATTTTTCAGAAGAAATTCTCCGATGGTTTGGAGATCCCTCTAACATATCCCGTTAAGAACAAACCGTTAATTATCAAGGAAAAACTATTGGGTAAGTACATCTCTTTAATTATTTTGTAGAACGTGCACTATTCATTTTTGTATAAATTTTCTCTAGACAGAATCGCATAAGCTGTTTAGTCAATTCCTTAAAATCTCTTAAAGCAACCTATTGATAAGAATCTATAACCAACTATACATTTTCGAATAATCTTCATAGCGATAGAGGAAGAAATCTAATATGGTGTATTTCTGTGTACCGTTTTCATTTAAAAATTCTCAATTTTGTTTTTATTGCATTGCGGAGGTGGCATAACGTCAAATTAATGTGATGTCGCCATTTTAATGAGTTTTGAGATCAATGAACATTCTTGAATGCGGTTAAGGGCGACTTCTGATTCGAATTTTCTAGCAAAGAAAAATTTCGCGAAACTCGCAAACCGTGCACTTAATTCGAGAAGCTTCTTCGGCTACCGTAATCAGAGCACTCTACAAAAAAATGATTCACCCCAAATATTGGGTGTCTAGTCGTGTTCGATGGTGTTCGGTTTTTGTAAATGTTGTGCCTCAAATATTTACAAAACTGATACTGATCATTAGCGATATCTTAACAAAGTGCAAATAAAACAATTAAGTAGTTAATTGCCTGTGGGTGGAACTCGCGTAGAAAAGAAAAAACGTCACTAGATAAATATTTGTATCGATTACTGATAATGAGTAATAAAATCGAGAAACACGGGTAATTAGAATATTTCAAAATATCCTTTCTGTAAAAACTGGTTCTTTAACGAAATTCTATTGCTGGTGGGAGTCTAAAAATTAATCTAGTAATATGAACGGGTTGGGTAGATTTACTAGCATGCGTCTTTCGCAATGGTATCGACCAGACCCATGTCTTTTGTTCATTTTGAGCTCATTTTAATAATTATATATGGTCGGCGTCCGGCGACTACTGTACGCGGGTAGATTTACGCTCATGCACCTTGAAAAGGTCTCGCCACGCGTGAATGCTTATTTTGCCCTTTCACGTGAACTGCTTCATTTTTCTTGATGAGTTTCACATTTCCTTGAATTTCCAACGATATTCGTTTTAAAAATTATCGAACCGGTCCATAAAATTTGAAATAACCTGTTAAACCTTGCGAGACCATTTGAAAAGACGCATTCCCGTAAATCTACCCGCGTACAGCAGTCACCGCACGCCGACTATATTTTATTGGAAATTCGAGTAAATGTCAAACTCATGGAGAATAAAAAAAAATAAATTTCCATAAAAATAATAATGTCGAGACCGCATTACGAAGGCACAACCCGTAAATTAAAACAGCAGCTGCCAAATGCCGACTTTATGCAAAAATTAAAGCTGGATTTTTTTGATTTTTTATTGAATTCAATTTTTTAAACCCCCCCCCCCCCGCCCCCTAATTGAAAAATTTCGCGAACTTTCCTATGTGTTTTCTGATAAGAAGCAGTAGTGGTGATAAATATTGAAATGTTATCAATCAGATCAAAAGTTTTCTTGTGTGACGTATGACCCGTGCCTCCCCTACATGGACACAGTGGTGTATGTTCCTGATCAAACAGAAACCACGCTTTAGAAAAACGAGGGTTCAAATGAACAAAATTTTGACTGATAACGAGAGCATATTTGCAAGAAAAAATTTCGTGAATTGTCAGGACACGCGCGTATTAATGGTTTGATCTATGAGGAATTCCTAAGAAGGAGGTACAAAAATAACGGTATTAGAATTTCACGGAACTTTGAGGTGTCAATTCTTTGCTTTAAGTCGACTTGTTGAAAAATGATAACACAGCTTAACGGTGACGTCGCATTTTAAGACACCAGAAAATTGTGAACGTGCGATTTGAGTTGAGAAAAAAAGATTAGGAAGGGGGGGGGGTTCAACGATTGACTCTGATTGACGATTGATTGATCTTTTTTCAGCAAAATGTAAGAGATTCTATATGAATGTGATTCGCGATTGGATATTTCTTGCGCTTCTTGGATTCATCATGGCGGCACTATCATTCAGTATGGATTTTGCAATTCTCTGGCTTCAAAATGGTAATTGATGGATTTTCCGTGAACCAAACACCAATTCAATATTTAGGCCAAATGCTTCTTTATGAGCTGGTCCAGCCGATACATGTGCTATTGGCGATAATTGTGTGGGTCGGCTACGTCGTCGGGCTCACCGTCTCATCAGCTCTTTTTGCTCATTTCATTGCACCGCAAGCCATTGGTAAATTCAAAAATTAAAACTATCTCATCAATTAATTGTGAATTCTATGCAGGTAGTGGAATTCCCGAAATGAAAACAATTCTTCGTGGTGTCATTCTCAAGGAATACTTGTCGATTCGAACATTGATCTCGAAAATGGCGGGATTGACGATGTCCCTCGGAAGCGGACTGCCAATGGGAAAAGAGGTTTGTGAAATATTTAGACGTTCTCTGTGCCGTTTTTTTATACTCAGCTTTATCTAATTTATTTTATCATCGTTTTTTCCTCTCGAATTAATGTTTACTCAGAAAAGTAAACATTGACATCAATCTATCAATTCGTTCCTGTCTCGCTAACTATATTCGATATGCGTTCAAAAGATCGTTTCAAAAAATTGTTTTAATGGAAGAATCAACAAAATGTGCGACAAGAAATTGTGTTTTGTTGTCGAGAAATTTGACAATTTATAGGGACCATTTGTTCATGTGGCTTCTGTCGTTGCTGCGCAATTAAGTCGACTTGTTCATGGATCATCTACTGGAATTTTCGAGAATGAGACGAGAAGTGCCGAAATGCTTGCGGCCGGCTGCGCTGTTGGCGTCGCGTGCACCTTCTCGGCGCCAATTGGCGGTGTTCTATTCTCCATCGAAGTCACTTCAGTGTATTTTGCGGTTCGCAATTATTGGCGCGGGTTTTTCGCGGCCACGTGCTCGGCGACACTGTTCCGCATATTGCGCATGTTCTCCGTGTCCGATTCGGTTACCGTCGAAGCGCATTTCCAAACAACGTTTCCACCGCAGAATGCGTTCATGCCGCAAGAGCTACCAGTGTTTGCCCTAATTGGACTGATTTGTGGACTTCTCGGATCGGCGTTTGTCTACATTCATCGAAAATTGGTGCTGTTTTTGCGGCGAAACTCGGTGGCGAAAGCGATTTTTTCAAAAAAGTGTGCATCATTAAAAAAAATCGAAAATTTCAACGCGATTTTCAGCTGGATCATATATCCAATATGTGTCGCCACATTTGTCTCATCACTAACATTTCCGATGGGTCTCGGAAGGTTTATGGGAGGTCAGGTATATTAATGATTGAGTCGCCGAAAACTACAAAGTCGGTTTTGTTTCAGGAACGTTTCACTCACACAATTCATGAGTTCCTCATCAATTGCACGTGGACAGCTGAGCCTGGAAATATCGCGGCGTGTCCGACGCCTTCGGAAAATGTTTCGTTTGGATCTAGCAATCAGTAAATTAAAAAAAAGAAGATTGATTTTCATTTAACGTTTGAATTTTTAGATTTGACATACATCATTGGAAGGGTGACAACATGAATTATAGTATTTTTGTGACATTATCAGTGTTTCAAGTTGTTTATGTAAGAACCAAAAAGAAATGAGAAAATTTTGAATGAACTCATATTTATTATTATCCAGTTTTTCTTCACAATTTTGGCCTCAACACTTCCAGTACCATCGGGAATTTTTATGCCAGTGTTCGTGCTTGGCGCTTCGTTTGGTCGATTGGTTGGAGAGGTTCGTCGAAATCAATCGAAAAAAAAACTTCGTCATAAAACGTTCTAGGCAATGTTCCAATGGTTTCCGAATGGTTTCATCGCCGAAGAGCAATACTTTGTGCGACCCGGAATTTATGCGGTGGTCGGAGCGGCGGCGTTCTGCGGCGCGGTGACGCACACCGTTTCGGTCGCTGTTATTGTTTTTGAGCTTACCGGACAACTGTGCTCGTTGCTACCGGTTATGGTAATTCGGTTTTTTTTTCTTTTTCGCATGGTTTGAACTATTCGCTGAACACCGGCAAAGAGCAAAAATTTATCGGGCCTGGGGGGAAAAAATATATCGTTGAATGAGAAATAATTTGATTTTTCAGATCGCTGTTCTGATAGCCAATGCGATAGCGTCATACTTGCAACCATCAATGTACGACAGCATTATTCGTATCAAGAATCTGCCATATCTCCCCGATATTCCGCACACGTCATCATTCTACCATCAAATGCTCATTGATCAATTCATGATTACACCTGTCGTGTTTATTTCCAAAGATTTTACACTTGGCGACGTTAAGAAAGTTTTGGAGAGTAATTCGAGGATTAGAGCATTCCCGCTGGTTGAGAGCATTGGTATTCATCATTGAAATATGTCTAAGTCGAACAATTGATTTCTAGAATCACTTGCGCTAATTGGATCGGTGAGCAGATCGCAAATTCAGCGTTTAGTTGATGCAAAGGTTTGTTTTTTGAATATGAATTGAATTGGTTATAATGTTGGTTTATTATCTTCTTCTAGATCGGAACCAAGGCCCGGTTTGCCGAGGCGACTCGACGTGTTAAGGAACGAATCGAGAAGGAGGAAGAGGAGCGCAAAAAGAAGGAGGAAGAGAAGAGCATGGCGGAAGAGGGAAGTCCTGTGCCGAATATTGATCGGAACAGAAGACCTAGTAGATTCTTGATTGTGCCTGTATCTCAAAATGGATCCGAGTCGAAGCGAAACTCGATTGTCGAAGGGCTTAAGCCAAGCGACGCGCGGAAAATTCTCAGCGATGAGCAAAAGGTGCGAATTATATGATATTCGGGCTATTTTTTTCTTTTTTAGCAAGCTCTGTTCGACGCCAGTGCTAGGAATAATGCGGGTAAAACGCTTCAAGCGGTGGCTTCTTCCCATGATCTTGAATCTCATCATACATTTTCAAGTACGTTTCGAATTTGGTATCGTCAAAATAAACGAAGCGCGCCTAATTTTTCAGATATTTTCCGCTCGATCACCCAATTCAGTTTTGCCAAACAAAGCGATGCGAAGAAGACGCGAACAGAGTTCGAGCTCTACGGAGAAGAAGTGGGTGTTCACTGGGTAAACCTCATTGATTTTTGATTTTGGTTCAGAGATTTGAGTGGGAGCGGAAAGTGCTTGCGGAGCCCGTCGATTTGTCCGACGTTGCAATCGATTCGACACCATTCCAGCTTAGTGAATACACCAGTTTGTTCAAGGTAAGCCCAAACATGGCAATATGCATTTGTATGTAATCTCCCGAGCTTCAGGTACATTCGCTATTCTCACTTCTTGGACTAAATCGCGCCTACGTTACCAAGAAAGGTCAACTAATTGGTGTTGTTGGGCTCAAAGAGGTACCAATTATACGTTGTTCGTGATAAGTGTGGTTTTTGCAGCTCCGCGCAGCCATGGAATATCTTCAATCCGGCAATATTCCAACCCCGGGTTACAGTATTTTCGACGATCATCCATTCCAGCCACCGGTAGTCACGATTACACATGAATCAATCAAACGGCATAGTGTGAAACGGAATGAAGGCTTTATTGGGGATAGTGGTGAAGCTGATGCCACTGAAGACTATATTCAAGTGAAGACAATTTGAATGTTAGAAAAAAATTAACATTTAAATATTTCAGCCACCAATTGAGATTATTCGCAGTGGAGCATTGACACCGAATAGAACCATGGAAATTATTGATATCGATGGACCGAGATTTAAGCTAGGCACCCAGTCAACGACAGCAGGATCCTCAACAACGGTAGTTTTTTTTTCAGAATTTGAGAAATTCGTTATTAAAATCGTTTTCAGACAATCAATGAGTTAGAGGAACCTCGGAAGTTAGAGCCTCCAATATTTACAGTAGAAGATCGATCAACATTTTATGACGATACAAGGCTAGTTTTGAAAATATTTCGTAAAGAATTGCATATATTTTCAGATCGGAAACTTCTTACACGAATCCTTATGTTAAAATCGTAGTTCCAGACGAGAAATTTTAACTTTTCATAATAGTTTTTGCTTTTTTTTTTAGCTATAATTGTTTTTTTCATTATTTTACGGGTTTCTATTTGCAATTTTGCAATTTTTAATGTAATATAGTTAGTCGTATCCAAACTTGGGTAATAACAGAGACGCGCGGGTTCCTTTTGTTTCTCGTCCGTGTGAAATATTCTTTTATTATTATTTTTTGTTTTTTGCTTCTCGCCTATATATATTTTTTCCCGAATAATTGAATTTGTCGTTCGTTTTTCGACACCTATAAAAAGCTGAATTCTGAAAAAAAAACCTATAATTCTACGCGCTGGGACACATAATAATAATTGAGGGTTTTGAACGCGGGGGCTCGGCGAGCACACGAGGGCGTGGTTGCATGACGGGTGGGCGGAGCATCGGACCACCGACGTCAATTCGCATTTCAGCGTTTAGACTCTGCAAGAATTGTGGTTTTTGTTAGGCACCATTCGACAAGCCCTGATTTTGGGCGTAGCAGGTATTTCTAAAAATTTATTAAATTAAAAGCCTGAGTGAAATTATGCAAATTTTTTTTCATGACTTGACGGTCAGAAAATAACCACGCATAATTCAGTGAAGGGGATATTTCCTTTTACATTATAAGGAGAAAAATTTGAGCAAATCCAACCACTATACTCATTGAAGCAAAAAAAAAAAATGCAATTTTGCAAAGTGCACATTTATTGTAAAAAGAGCTCGCCTAAAAAAATATGATCTCTTCTAATCAAAAAATGCATCTTTTCATCTATTTTACATATAATTAGTATAGTTTGTATTCTCCGCCATTAGTAAAATCGAAAATGCACATGTGCCGAAAAGCCTATTATTAATAGGAATAATCTCTCGCTTGAGCGCATATTGCAAAGGTTTTCTTGACTTAAATTAGTTGTATTTATGTGTTGTATAGTTTATTAAAAGTCGATTTACTATGTTTCTATTTTAATTTGCTAAAAAAATCAAGAAATATAAGCTATTGTTAAGGAAAAAAGTAATTGTTTTGATGTTTGATGTTTTTTGAAATTTTATGAGCGAATAAAAAATTTCTAACGTTTATAGTAAAATGTATAAAATCAAACTTTTTTTGTAATACTATTTTAGCTTGGAAATTCGTTTTTTTTCAGCTTCATCACGATTAATCCATTATTTCCGATGGCAATGGAACGCGATATGCGTTTAAAAGCGTTTATGGAAGAATATGCGAGAATTGTGCAGCTGTTTGACGATATTGTCGAAATGAAAGTAAGTCAAAAAAAAAATAGAAAAAATTTGATTGGCGAATTTTAGGAATCGATGATGCGCCTCGAGAAATACTTGATCATGATGGTTTTTCAAGTGCTCATTGCTCTTGTGGTGAGTTTTTGTTACACAAAAAAGTTTCTGGCGATTGCCAAACCGCATGATGATTAATTTGCGAGGAGAAAGCGGTGAAGAGAAGAGAAGGTTTAAACGGAAACATATGATGATTTGATTAATTATATATCACATATGTTAGTGGAAACATCGAACGAAATTCGAGAAATGTTCCGAACGGAATTATTGAACGATTTCAAGGAGAGCATTTATCTTCTAAACATTAGCATGATTGTCTTGTATAATTTTTCGCCACGCAGAAAAAACCTTTATGAGAAATTGGATTAGCCTGAGGACGAGTGCACTCGATATATAAAATGCAGTCAAGGAGAAGAGAAATGAAGGCACACAATCGTAGGATGAAACATTGGAGCCTCCGAAATACTAAAAATTGAAATTGAATTCTATCAAAAAAAATTGAATAGAATTATAGAAATTTTTGAGATTCCACTGAACATTGTCTTCCGGGCTCGAGCATTTCAAGCGATGTTGATGAATAATTAAATGCACGTTCGCGAGTTAATGCCAAATTAATCAACTCGAAAGACTTAGCGGCGAGCTTAAAATAGGCAAATTGCAGGCCGGCGGACTGCTTCTCTGCTTTCGATTTTTTCAAGGGCAAAGGCATCGCGGCGAATACGAGTTGGAGCATCGATTCGAGCGCGGCACAACACCGCGAGGCTCCAAGGCGAAAATGGTGCCAGTCGGAGAACGTGCAAGTGGTCCGGCCACGTAGGCGACAATTGTCTTGCGAGTTTCGAGTTCACGAAGAGGTGACACCAATTCTAACGACTTCCATGCAATCACGACGAGCCAGATCGTACTCATCGATTCCAACCATCGATCGAACAATTAGCGAGGATTCGATGCTCGTCATACAACGTTTATGAATAACTTATTACATTCCTCAACTTGATTTCTTCAACGATTTAATATCTGGTGATGCTCTTGTAGTTTTATTGTTTAATTTTCGCGAAATACGGTCTTCTCAGCAGCAGTGACCAAATTTTTTTTATAAGCACCGATATTTATGGACATTTTAAAATCTTTCCATTCTCGGGTATTATTCTTTGTAATTCTTTCCAATAGCAATAAATAGCCGTCGTTGGATTGTTTCGTGTGGCTTACAGAAGCAACAAACGACGAGAATAAATCAATTGGGATGTTTAGTGATGGATGGATGATGATAGTCGTAAAAAAGAAGCGAAAAGAAAACAAACAGGCGAAATTCCTTTTTTTTGCATATGACTAATGACCTACACATCAAAGTAAAGAATATAATCCGGACAAGAAAACGACTTTTCGGACGATGAAAGTGTTTTTTTTTTCGCGAATAGTTTTTTTGAAGGGAATCCTCAACAAAAAATGAAAAAATAGAAATTTTAATAAATTAAAGACCGTTCGATTCGTAAGCCGTAGTATCATAAGCTGCTGCAGCTGCGGACAAAATCAATGGGATGTCCCCTTGTAGAAGAGGTCTGATTGGCGAGTATTGTTGGGATACTCTTTTAATCGTTTGTCAACAGGGGCTTGCCGAGGTAGGCATGACCGTATAAGGGGGGGGGGTCCAATCATTTCAGAGGGTAATCCGATAGTGTATTAGCCAGATGGAAAACTGAAGCGGAAATTTTTTTTGTTATGTAACAATTAGCGAGGATTTGAGATTTGCAAAAAAACGAGCTGCACCGAGTTACGGTGAGTTTGATTCGGTACCCGTGATTTTGAATTATTTGAATTACCGCCACAAAAATTGTTTTAATATCACAAATCTTTAAAATCTTTCAAGAAACCGCGAAGAACGCGTTAATTCAATTCATTAAAAACACCAATAAAACTTTTTTTGTTTACAAAATTCATTAATTATCATATAAAATATTAGCTATAAAAGCTGTTGTTGCTTCGAAATTCTGTCAAAAAATGATTCGGTACGCATTATTTGCCATTCTCGCCGGTTTTCTCAGCGTTTCAGCAAAAATTACCGATTCCGATTATGTGTGTTCAACTCGACAAATCTCGCAATTATCTGTTTTTTCGATAATTTAGAAAGCTTGTGAAATGGTTCCGACGACGAAATGCTCGAAATCGTGCGATGGTGGCTGGCAATTAATGAAGTACGAGTGCAAACGTGGCATCGCGTTTTGCACGTGTCCGTGAGTATCATTTATATTAATTAACACTAAAAAGGAATGCGCCTTGCATAGTTAAAAATAGCAAGACAGGTGTTTATAATAGTTCCCCTTGTAGATCAAAATAACAAACTATTTTATTGTCACAACATGTAGTCTTGGGTCTCGCAACAAGAGTGTCGATTTACGGGCCGTATATTCATTTTGTTAAATTGTGCAATGTGGAGTTCACAAAACGCGCCTCGAGACCATTCATGGCCTTTAGCCAATTTCGACAATATCCTACTACCAAATTCAAAATGCATTTCTTTAATTACAGTACATACACAATATACTATCAATGTAACAATCGGCCATGCTTGACCGCAGATTCTTCAATTTACGATGTGTTCTACGATCAGGAGGAGAAGGACGAAGAGTATTACGAGGATCCTTCTGAATCAAAAAATGAGAACGACAATCAAATCGGTAAAATGTATATTATTTCGTCTGTTTCAACGAAATTTTCAGTTGTGGTTCGTCGAAGGATGAAATAATAATTGATTCATTAAAATAGCTAAATAAAAATCGAATGTGATGTTCAGAGCATTGGGGTGAACTCTTTCGCGTCGTCTTCGAAATCAGCCAGGCTTGGTTTCGATGGCGACGCCAAGTGCGGCGGAATTTTGGGCAGTTGGCGGCGCGGCATTGTTGGTGTGAGAATTGGGAACGACATTCCCGGCACATCGGCAATCTGAAGTGCAGCTTTCTCGATTTTTGCAAAAAAATGTTTTGTGTAGGTTTTTTTGTGTCCATACTACCATGGATACGCACATACATTGTCGAAATATTTTAAGCTTTGCGTTTTGCAAAAAAGAAATGACTTACTAAATTAATTGTATGATAAAGCGGTCGTTGGGGTCTTGGTTTTGCCCGTTTCGCCAAACACTCGTCAATGGGTACCATCTCAGGATTCAAGCTTCAATAATTCCACCACAATTCATTTTTGGTGTGATTCCTTACCAAACATAGAAGACCGGATTCAAAAGACAACTGAGCCTACTGATTATCACAGGTATCACGATATGGTTGATTTGTTTAAAGTCCGATTTCATTGGGTTCAAGCAGACAATTGAATAGGCGAAATAGGGAACAACGGATACCAGAAGACATCCGAGACCCACTTTTGCCATGTGGGTTTTCGGCGCCCAAGTGCACACATTTTGGTTTTGTGTGTCATCGCGAGGTCCTTCCGAGTTTCGAACTCTAAACTTTCAAACGTTGACACGAAATTGCGACAGGAAATTACCTGTCGACGTGATCAATGACGCTATAATAAAGCGATGACGCAATGCACACCGGAATCAGGAAGAAGACGAGGCATGTCGCCGTCAAAAACGCGATGTACCGATGCGCCAATAGTCGCGATTCCGCCGAGTTCTCGTCAATATTGCCTTGGCGCCAGTCGATCGAGCAGAACATTCCATTTTCGAATGTGCTGTATTTTCCGTAACCCGCAATTGGAACAAAACTCCAAATCGAAACGGTGATCAGTCCGAACGCAATGATTTTGAAGTAATTGGTGTGACACCTCCATTTCCCTGGAAAATTGGTCCAATTTTCATCATTAATTTTTAAGTAATGAATCAATTCTTTTATGGAAAAATCATTTTTAAAATAATATATTTGAGATCCGGCGGACACACAAATTTAGGGTATGCATAGTTTCAATAACATACCGAAATTTTCGACGCCTACTCTGCATTTGTGCGTCAGGTGTTGGTGCAGATCGTATTAGCATGTAAATTTTCTTTCTTTTTTCATTTTTTTTTTCATTTTTCCATAACGGAATTACAATTTTCCACTTCAGATTTTACCCCATTTTGGCGCCACTGTCACAATGTATCGATCAAACGCGATGACACAAGCCAATAGCACTTCCATCAACGATAATATCATATCGACGGCTCCATATATAATGCAATTGATCTCATTGAAAATGCCTCTGAATTTCAAAATAATTCGCATAAAATTTTACGACGGCGAGAGTGGGTGGACCCCCTGCCTTTTTTTTAAACAAAAAAGGATTACCAGCAGCGAGAAAGGGCTTACTTTTCGGCGAAAAAATTATGGATGGGAATGATGAGTTGAATTGCAAGAAGCACGTCGACAATCAGAAGGCAAAGGATTGGTTGGAGGCTTGGGTTTTGCCTGAAAGAAGTGAACGGATTATAAAACAAAAAAAATTGTGCACTTATTTTTTGCAGGAAAAGATCAAAAGTTACGTGCAATGTTTTCAAATGCTGGGTCCCTCGAAAAATAAAAACAAAAATAAGTTATATTTGGCGTAAAAGGCACACCGAAAGGAAACAATTATGTTCCATTTTGTTTTTGAAAATCTCTAGTGACATATAAATATAAATCATAGATACCTGAACGATTTTCCATTTTTCTTGTGTCGATAGAAAATTGGGATAATGCAGAGCAAGTTGAGCAGAAACGGAACGACACCTATAATACGATTAGTCATCTAATAGGAGACGCGTAATCAATTGGTTTAACATGATTGCCGGTGGTAAAAAAAACGCACAGTTGTGCGCATTTCCTGGCCTAAAAGCTCAAAAACCTCGACAAGTGGCATTCTCTTCCAATTTCCCCGCATTAGAATTTTTTGTTCGGTGTGTTGAAGCGTTTAATTAAAATTCTTCCTCCTCCGCCCAGCATCAGAGGGCGCGGCTTGATTGTCGCAATTGTTTGACTGAGCAAAAAATAAACTTCCGTCCAAAACACGTGGCAAAAATAGGCGCGCCGGCTCGATTATCGAACATCCGCTCAAGGATTCAATGCATTTTCGAGTGATGAACACGCACACACAAAAAATTGACCTTTTTTAGTGGCAAACCCAAAAAAAAATTTTTAAAAATCGCTTTTATCATTCTGCAACGAAATAAAAATTTCCTCGATCTCGTTCTTCTTTTCCTTACGATCTCCCAAAATAAATATTCGCAGCCAAAATACTCATTAATATTTGATTAATCTTGCGGAAAAAAAACAAACATACACACCCAAAATTGGGCAAATGAGGAAATACGAAATTTCAACAAAAAGATCAAGTTAATGCATTATTAATGTTCATCATCATTTTTTTCTTTCTTCTTCAATGACATCCAACTGGTCCATGTATTAATTTGTGTTGGCTCCGAGTCGAGCGGAATGGCTCGCTTGGGTGCGATTGGATGGCTCACGACACTTTGTTTAATTGGTTATCGCCAACCCCGAGTTTTGACTTTTTCTACATGTTTTGAAACAAAAACAACACATCTCTTTAAAAGCTCATATTTAGCGAGAAGCACTCAAAATTGAATTCTTATAAAAGGTTTTCAGTCAAAAATTATTGGAGCTATTTCAAAATTCAAATCGCCTATTCTAAACAGTCTTACTTTTTTTCAATTTTTTATAATAATAATAATTATTATTTTTATAATTGAGCAATTTCGCTGTGGAAAAATATATTAAAGCATTTTTCCCATAGCGAAATCTCTTCATTATAATTAAAAATCGATAAAAACTCACAAAATGGTATCATATTTGCTGTCAATGTTGAATACTTCATCTCGCGATTCTTGAGAAAATGAAACAATTCAAATTTCTAAAAGAGAAATGAATTTCGAACGCAGCACACCCCAAAAAAGCTGCAGGCTATGTGGGGGCGTGGTCAAAAAGGGGAAGGCGACAAAAAATGGGCGTGTCGTCGTCTCGAGTGGCAACCGAAACGGAAAGACTAGTAAAGCTAATAAATTATCGAGCTAAATCGATTAGCATTAGAATTTTTTTTTGAATGTTTGACTTTTAAAAAATCAAATTTCAAGCAGGAAATTGGAAAAAAAAACACAAATTAATTTTGTCGTCTTGAATTGAACAATCTAATTCAATTTTTAGCTCAAATGGCAAAATAATGAAGAAGGCCCGGTTGTTTATCAAAGATGGAAGAAAAAATGAGAAAATACTGCCACGGATTATCCGAAAATCGTCAAAAACACATCCGCATACCCATAAATGGAATAACAAAATCATCAATCACATTAAACGAATATTTAACAGAGTAGATATTTAAAACAATGACGAATTTGGATATTTTTAGAAAATCTCAGACGCTATTATCCTGATTCTTCCAAATGTAAGTGAAATTCCCAAAATTCGAATCCGTTAATGATGGCCTCGAGAACCGCAAATTGACGCGTTGCGGCCGCGTCGCGTCTGATCAACATTTTCCAAATTTCGTCCTAATCATCAGGGTTGTCAAAAAAACAGGGCCCCCCAGCCCGGCCCCGGCCCTATAGGGCCCAGGGCCGGGCCGGGGGGCCCTACGGGCCCAGTTTGAATTGCCGCCGACGCTAATTACACTAAACAATAAGCAACGTAAACGTGGAGCGTCGTTTCTAGTCGTTTGTTCTCTCATTCTATTGATGCGTTGCAATTTTTTCTCATGCAATTAGCGATTAAATGTCAATGAAATAAAATAATTTTCATATGGATACTCCGTTGACGCCGAAATCAAGAAATTCTACAAACCATAGGCCATTTTATAAAGAAGTAGTGAAGAAACTGATAATGGAATCTAACGTCGTATTGGAAAAATTACTAATACTAGAATAAAATTTTTAATGAAATTAATTTAGGAAAAAAAACTAAAAATAACGCGGTATGGAAAGTAATGGTAATAGAAGACATGAAAATTTTAAACAATAAATCTATCTGTTTGTATTCGAAAAATAAAATATTAATGCAATAATAACAACCTGAAAAATGTTCGCAGATGCTTAAAATAAAATTTCTCTTGTTAAGGTTAAAAAAAAAGGGCCCCCGGCCCGGCCCTGGGCCCGGCCCTATAGGGCCCAGGGCCGGGCCGGGGGTCCGTTTTGACAACCCTGCTAATCATTACAAAACGTCATCCATAATAATCGAACAACTTCCAGACGCAGGTGTTTTCCCACAAAACAAACCCCAAATTAATTTCCGTGAATTAGCTGCGACAAAAAAAAGAAGGGCTCATGGCAAAAAAATAAGTGGAAGAAACGACTAATGGCTTCTTGCTGCGTTCGATACCCAAGTGCATTTTAATGTCTTTTTATTCAGTCTCTATTATGCACAAGAATGTATATAGCAGAGAGGGTTCGAGGGGAGTTCGAACCGACTAGCAGACTCAAAACTAATAATAATAAAGGAGAGAGGGGGGGGATCACAGAACCATTCACTAATCAGGAAAAAGCTGATCAGTACGAGCAAGTACCGTATCACAGATCAGTACCAATTGTAATTTTTTTTTCAAAAATATACATACATTCTTTTTTTTACAAAAATCCTCTCGCTTTCCCTTCTTTTGAAAAAAATACATCATTGCAGAAATCGAATAAAGTGAGCGTGAAACAAGTAGGAAACATGGAAACGGGGGGCGGCCGAGCAAAAAAAAACAAAAAGTGACAAGTGCTCAAAATTAGATCGGAAGAGCTCTCGTCGACACAATCGAGAGCACCAGCTCAACCTCGAACCCGTTCGCCACATAGTCCGTCATATTATAGAGCAATGGGATGAGCTGAAATTCAAAAATGTATCGACGGTTTCAAAGCCATCGCATTAAAAAAGAAACTTTTCCCATAATCAAATTTACACAGAATCAAAATCAACAAAAATAATTACTTTCTGGTTATTATCTTTAGAAAATAAGAAAAAAGACTCAAAAAAATAAAAATTGAATAGTTTTTGTTACATTTTTATAGTCGGCGTCCGGCGACTGCTGTACGCGGGTAGATTTACGCGCATGCGTCTTTCGAAATGGTCTCGCACAGACAAACAGGTTATTTCGCATTTTATGGACCGGTTCGATAATTTAATCGAATGACGTTGGAAATTCGAGGAAATGCGAAACTCATTAAAAAAAAAATCATGTGAAAACAGAAAAATAAGCGTTCACACGTAGTGAGACCTTTTCAAGGCGCATGCGCGTAAATCTACCCGTGTACAGCAGTCGCCGGACGCCGACTATATAAATCTCTTAGATTCACAAATTATTCACTTTTTTATATCTCAATTTTCATAGAAAGTTCATTTTATGTATTATCCTATTCATAATTTATGAATCATTATATTGAAATCGAAATGTTCGCTTAACCTTTTGTAAAATTGAAAAAAAACTAAATACGTTTATTTTAAAAAAGAAGAAGTGTACTCAAAAACCATGCTCCTCATTTTTTTTTTTCGAAAAAATGCTTCCATCGTATTTCAAATTTTCCCAAAACATTAACGCAGCTTAAAAATATTCCAAGAAAATCGGAAGTTTCAAAAATTAATGATTAATGCGTAAAATGAAATAAATCATCACATATAATCGCGAATCGAACGGAAATTTGGCGACACCAACCTGATCCAAACTCTGCTTGAACATCATGTTCTCCTCATCGAGACCATTCCATGGCGAAACGCTGTACTCGATTTGATCAATCGCCACCAAAAGACGAATAGCAACGCTCCTGAGAAAATATGAAATTGTCAATTTACCAAAGAACGCCTCAAAACTAACATGACGTTGGAGGCAATTAGCGATGCCAAATACGGCTCCAACATCGAAACACACTCTCTAGCCGCTATTTCGGTCATTCTTTAAAAATTAATATATAATTTGAAAAATATAAATATATAGTTTACCCGTAAATTCTTGGCTCCTCTTCTGGCGACAATCGCCCGTCTCTCATATTGAAAACGTGCGATAGTCGAATCCCATAATGATTAATTCCTTGAATTTGGAGGACTTGAGTCAACGCTCTTTCCAACGACAATCCATATTGATATTTATTCTGTATATTTTAATTAATCGCTAAATTTCAGAAATTTTCAAATACCATTAAACATCTTCCATCGATAAGCGATTTCGGTGAAAACGCAGTGGTCACATCGTCAGATTCGGAATAGAATTCTATTCGAAACTCCATTCCTTTCGTCGTTTCCACACAGTCCTGCAAAAAAAAAACGAAGCGTTTCGCTAGAGAATTATTGTGGTTTAATAATTGCATACAATTCCTTGTTGGATTTCGTCCAAAATCGTCTCCAATCGATCCGTTTGTACACGAACAGCGACACCGTCCTCGATAACCGACACTTGAAGCGAATTCACTTTTGAGCCGCCATCAAGAATCACAAAGCAAGCGCCTGTCGCTGCAAATATTCATTTAGTCCAGTTAAATAGAATTGTGTTAACAAATACCAGTTCGTTGTCCATCAAATCTCGCCAACACTTGCGTCGTATACGTCCCGTCGTTCGTTTGATCGCAAATCTTCAAAAACAAAAAGCAATCAATTTCTGTCACAATGATAGAAGAATCCTTACCAGCATGCTATCATGTTTTGCAGAATATTCGCATCCCCAAGCCATCATCGTTCTATTATACTGAATGACCTCTTTGAGCTGTAAGAAATTTTAAAGATTGACTGAATGAAAAAATCTCTACCTCTGTTAGCGATGATGTCGGTATTCGAATAATCGTCGATTCATTTGTTAACATCGCAGTGCATCCAGGTATATATTTCATCTGGTATGACCAATTTCGAAAGTCGTTGAACATCTGCGAAGAAAAACAAACAATGTGAACACCGGAAGGCAACAATTTTCAAACCTTCAGCACAGTGCCAGAAGTCTCCAAACTGTACATTGACGGTCTTCCAATTTTATTCACAATTGGCGTTGGGAAGCCTGTATGAATCAATAATAATAATAATAATTTTTAAATTCTTAGTCAAGTTACATCCATATTTCAATCCTAGCCGATTAAGCAGCCTATACGGGCAAGCGGTGGCCCATTGCAGCTCGTCGTTGTGTAAAAAGCACGCCACAATAAACGGATTCGGAGGAATGACAAACTTCGAAAAATCCTTGAATAAGACTGATAATTTTTTATGAGAGAATATTCAAAAATACCTGCACGGTTGGTCTAAACATCAGAATATGCTGCGGAAGTGGGTGAGTCGATTCGGGAACACTATTCACTCTGGCAAATCGTGTTGAGACCATTCTCACTCCGGCATATTCCATTTCCGTTGAATTTGTGTACATCTTCAAAAATCAAGTTTAAAGTGAAATCTATCGTTTAAAAACAAAACATACATAAGATATTCGGTGTAATACGTTGAGTGGTAGAAATGAAAGCGCTTCGGTGACATCCTGGGGACCATTGGCGTTCGACGAGAATCTCGCCTTTTCCTCATCGGTCATAGTCCATGCAATAAATATCTCATCAAGACCAATTTGGGCGAATCCACGCGTCGAAACAGCGAACGCATGTTCTGTTTCGTTAACTATAGCATAATGATTATGGCAAAAGAAGAATGCAACAATTATCGCAATACCTTTAACAGCCTGCACGACACATATCAAATTCTTTTTAAGAACGAAATTGACCGCGTTGAACTCTTTGAGTTTTTCCCAAACTTTCACAGGGCTTATCAAGTCCATTAAATTATCCTCGGATCGCATTATAAGAACTAAAGTAAAATAGAAATAAATAAATTTGTTATTTTAATTTCTATAATTATACCAGATTTTCGTTTCTCATTCGGTAATGCGCACGCCAATTCATCTTCCATTCGAAGTTCGGCTATTCGACGAACGACGGCGCTCCGTTTTCTTGGCTTCTTTTTCGGCTTCAAAGCTGTCGCCCGTTGCTCAGCTTCCGCTTCATCGCTCGGTGCGCCTGGTCGAACTCCATCTCTGCGAACCATTGACGGTTAAGAAGTTTGAGATCAAGCTTACCGAAACACAACACTCCTTCTATTTGAACACGCGACTTCTCCAACGCCACCACTGCTCGATCCAATTGAGATATTTACATCCGGAGGTGACGTGGAAGACGAAGCATCTTGATCCTGATTGTGTAAATTTTGTCGCGTCTTCAGAACACCTGAAGACTAGTAATTGAAATCGGTGGGCTGTTGAAGTTGTGACTAACCTTTTGGAACCGCTGGCTGCTGCGGCGGCAGCTGGTGATCGTCACGAGTCTCATTGCTCGGCTCGCCTTGAACACTCTGCTGCCTTCTAGAAAGCTCCTCGTCTTCATATGATTGGATTCTTGTCAGCATATTGGAGCACGGTTTGCAAACTCGAACAGGTTGTGGCTGCAAAAAAATTAATAACCCATTTACAACAAAACCAAAATTACTTTTTTTCCGGGCTCCAAAAGATATTCCAAAACCGCTTTCTCATTACAGCACGATCCGCAAAGAACTCGTCCGCAAGCTCGACAATGATGTCGGCGGGTTATTATAGTAAATCTACAATTTCAGCATTACCTTTCGGGCATTTATTTTCAATAAATTGAAAATCTACTTGGCATTACACAGCATACAAAGCGGACAATCCGCGTCCGGAATCCAATACGGGCACGTCTTTCCAAGTTGCAGTTCACTTTCCGTCAATCGTCGCTCTCTTCCATGAGCATTTGCCGAATCTTCCGAATCCGATTCATTTAGCACATGAACAGTGGCGATGGACTAAAATTCAATTTAGAGAGCACATCATACTTTTTTTTCGAGCTCACATCAAAACGAGGCCTGTTTTCCACGTCCTCCTCGTCAAAACTTTCAACAACTGCAATTTGAACGTCGCTCGAATTAGAAACCTAAATAAACAAAACATTATAAAATTTTCTAAAGAAGCAACTATAACCTGAGCTGGAGAAGAAGCAACTTCCAATCCTTCCATAACACCTTCCATATCATTTCCAGAATTAAGAAGTGAAATTTCAAGTTGTTGCCTTTCATTCTGATTATCTTCCCTATGAACTTCTGTTTCCTGAAATATAATTCATTTATGATGTTGGCGGTGCTAAAATGAAACCTCGTGCAATTCGTATGACAAATTAGAAGAATTATCCTACAAAGCGTTAATAAATCAGATTTATAACAAATTAAACAAAAATTACTTGACTCTCAAATTGAATAACTTGTGTTGTGTATGGCGGCTGCTCAAGTTCGCACATTTCTTCGGTTATTAATGAGTTTAAAGAAATTGCCGGCGACACCTCAGTCGCCTCTTCTTTAACTTCCGCTGAGTTCGATTCGGGCTGCGCGGTTTCGTGAACTTCTTCAGATTCCTTAAATTTGAGAGTCAAACAATTTCTAATTCATTACTTACATTTGAATTTATTTTTTCTGGTTCCTCAACATCAGCTTCCGATTGGTCAGGAACAAGATCACCTTCGTCAATTTCCCTGCATTTCTCTACAACGGTGACTTCTAAATCGTCTTCTCGTTTCGATTCATCAATCTGTTCATTTAAATCATCCTAAATTTATCAAAAATTTGAAGAATACTTTAATATTTTTCTTCTTGATTATTACCGTTTCAGGCTCCTGAAAACAAATATTTCTCATAAGTAACAAAAAAATGCGTTTTTACCGCTAGAGTTGTTTTCTCGTCTTCAAATATTTCAATTTGATCTTTCGGTTCCTGCAAAAAAAAGAATAGAATTATCACTAACAGAATTCAAACATACGTCATTGTCAAATTCTGGTTCCGAGTGTTTATCAATAACCGGTTTACAGATGACTTCCTTATGAAGATCTTTAAAAAAAATGTTAACTTTTAAAAAATATTTATTTACCTTCTCTCTCTCTGACAATTTCAACAACTTCTTCAGGAACCGCCTGAAGGATTTGTTTCGCAATTGATCCAGCAACCTTTTCAATCTCAATTTCGAAACTGTTTTCTAAATTGATAAATAAATGAAAGTATTTTGAAAACTAAAAATCACCTATATGCTCGCCGTGATTTAAAAGCGACAAATCTTGAATTGTTTCCGGAATTGGGCTGGGTTTTTGGTCTTCAAACCCATTCAAGTATGCCAAAACTTCCTTGTATTCGCTATCAGTCTCCTTTAAAAACCGATTGTAATTCAAATTGAATCTCAAAAAAAAACCTCTTGGACTTCCGGCAATTTTTCTGGATGATTGATTTCCTCTGGTTTAACTTCCTTCTCCGTTTCAAAATGAATTTTTGAAATGATCGGTTGTGGAACGAACGCGGGCGGTGGTTTTTTAATGTTTAACGTAATCGCACCCTTAAAATGATACATTTTTTATTTCAATTTTTTTAGTCAAACCGTCATTTCTGGATTTAAGTTTTCGTTCGGAAAAACTTTTGGAACCTTTACATATTTCTCACTAACGGTTGGTGTTGGTTTTGGACGATTTTTCGGCACCAAGTCGGCTTCCATTTCATCCAGAAGATCGTCCATATCAGGTACATCTTCCATAATGTGAGCTGTAACTCGACAAAATTTTTGAAAACGACTTTATATCAAGAAAACGAATTTATATTAACATGAACTAATGAAAAGACAAAAATGAAACTGTGCATAGTTGGCAGTCGGTGTACGCGTGTCCGCAATTTGGCGTCATCACATTTTTTTCATTTTCGGCTGACGTCCGCTTATCATTTTTCGTCGTAATGACGCAGCAGTACAACCTTAAATGCGCAGGTAACATTTTAAAAACAATAATCAATAATATATTTCTATTAAAAGGTGTGAAACGTCTAATGAAAGAGGCTATGGAATTACGGGAGCCAACCGAAATGTACTACGCGCAACCATTAGAGGTAAATTTGGGTCAAAAAGTTTGCCAACTATTATTTGATTTAAGGATAACTTGTTTGAATGGCATTTTACTGTTCGCGGAACAATCGGAACAGATTTTGATGGGGGGATTTATCATGGAAGGATTCTTTTTCCACCTGAGTACCCTATGAAACCTCCGAATATGATAATTTTGACGGTAATTTAATAATTTTCGATTGCCTATCATTATAAAATTGTAGCCAAATGGAAGATTCGAGTTGAATAAAAAAATTTGTCTTTCGATCTCGGGATATCATCCAGAAACATGGCTGCCTTCATGGAGTAGTAAGTTTCAAAAATTATTTTCGACTATATTCTTCAAAAATCCAATATCCAATTAAAAAATGAGCAATTTTCTAGATAATATAGGCGCTATTATATAGACATTAACATGTTTTGCAGTAAGAACCGCACTTCTTGCCTTAATTGGATTCATGCCAACTGCCGGCGGTGGCGCCCTTGGTAGTCTTGATTACCCGCCGGAAGAACGTAGGAAATTAGCAAAAATGTGACAATTTTTGGTGCTTCTCGGTTTTAAACAAACATTTTAAGGTCCGCTTTCTGGAAATGCAATCATTGCCAAGTGTTAATGAAAGATGTGCTACTACCCATCACCGAAGACGGTGCGAGGAAGGACGCCGAAGAGGCGAAATCATTGGCGGAACAACTAAAATTCCAGGTAAACTTTTTTTTAAAATCCATTTCTATCTGAAATTTTTAATTAGGATGAGAGTGATGTCAAAAAATCCGTCGAAGAAAGTAAAGCTGAAGAGGGAAAAGTTTGTGAAGAGCCCGAACAAGCAGAATCGACTGAAATTTCAGGTAGTTTCTGTTAATCAAAATCTTTAACTAATAAAATACATCGTTCAGAAGCACCTCCAACACCGTCAACCATCAGTGAAACTATTGACGAGCCAGCTAGCCAATCAGCTGTCGAACCAGTCGCCGAACTTGCTCAACTTCCGCGTGCTCAAGGTATACACCATTTCATGAATAAGGGGGGAAATTGATTTTTTCAGAAGTTCCAATTATTCCGCCATCGGAACGACGCCTTCGTTCTTCGCAGTCTTGCGACTACTCGCTCTTCGTTAGCATTCCAATTTGTGTGTTCGCGCTTTCCATATTTATAGTGCTACTCAGTCGCCGAATTTTGCTCATTCAATAGAAGAACCAAAAGAAAAAAGCATAGACGGATATCACCAAATGTATTATAGAAAAATGTAAAAACAACCTGATTATAATAATTAAATTGAAGAAAAAATAAGCAATAAATTAAACCTTGATTACAGCCCAATCGGGCAACTCTGTGTTGAAGCTCCATTTCTGTGTTTCATATTTCAAACAGTGAAGAAAAAGTTGGTAATGCTCAGGCGGCACATTCTTCGTCCGAACGTTGCATTTCAAACAAATTGGATCAAAATCAGGCCGGCGTTCTCGTTGCAAACCCTCGGGTTCCGGCGCAACGTCGTCGACGGCCATTTTTTCCATAAGCTTCTCATATTCCTCGTTTCGCTCCTCGTGCCAATTTTGGCATTTATGAGCCGATTGAACGTCTTTGCAAAGCTATCAAAATTAGAAATTAAATGAATTTGAAATGATAAATTGCGAATACCTCGTCAAAATTTTTATCATACTCGCCATTTTTGCCTTTCGTCTTTCCCCAAACTGTCGAATTGTAAACACTATCGCCAACAATGGGATGACCCAAGAATTGAGCGTGCACGCGGATTTGATGGGTTCGGCCGGTGGTGATGTTCACCTTCACCACTGATTCTTTACCATCGCTCCACAATTTTCTAAAATATTCTGAACCGATAATTGAATTTTTTAAAACTATTGAAAATCACCTAAATATTGAATGCGCGTGTTTCCCATCCGCTTTAACGCATTGAATGCCCATTGAGAGGACTAGCGGCCCAATCGGCTGATCGCAAACAATTTCGCCACTGAAATTATAGGTAAAATTTAAAGTGTAAAAATCTTCAACGTTACTCTGGAAATTCGCCTTCAACTTTGCACACGTATTCCTTTGTCCAATGCCCGTCTTTCAATGTAGTTTTAAACTAAAATTGCGCTATTTTTTAAATAAGCAATGTTGAAAAGAAATGCAGGTTTTAGCTTTTAATTTTCTGACATCGAATGACTTTTCTAAGCGCATCCCTTGAATATGGATCAAAACAAGTATTAAATACAAAAAAATCTGCATTTCTTTGTAACTTAAAGGAGCATGTCGAACCTCTAAATCGGTCTCATAGTTTTTAGCGAATAACAAAATTCCCGAGGTGGTACGATCAAGACGATGAAGAACTAAACTCGATTCAGTGAAATTCACAATGATTGCAAATACCCCGTAATCCTTTTCTATCATAATGCTCTCTGAGCTGTCCCAACACTGTATGAATCGCATATTGGCCGCAAGCATGCACCGGAAGTGATGGCGGCTTATCGACGACAAGGAGATCATCACTCTCATGAATGATTCGAATCGGCAAATCTTTGACAGGATGCTCATGTCGATGAGCCCAATGATGGACTTCATCGTTGTTTTTCATGACATAGTCGAGATCTCGAAGTTGTCTTCCGTTGACGTAAATTCGTCCCAATTTGCACGCAACTCGCTGAAAAGTGTAAAAATATTTTTGCCTCAAAAATAACCGCCGATGTGTTAATGGGCTGGTGATGAATGGTAGGCATTTAATAACGTGTAGCAGATAGATAAGCGAGCTTTTAGATCCCACCTATTACTACATGCTTCTCGCTGACACAAATTCTTCGTCTTGACCTACAGTTTCGCTAATAACTCTTTCTCTCACTCTCGGGTGAGCATTTTTCGTTTCCTGCTCAGCAAACCTCTTAAATATTTCATGTTCGGGAAGTTTTAATGCGAACGCGTTTCTTTTCTTTATAAATTGTATTTTTCGCCTCCCGGAGTCATCCGAAAAACAACAATCTAATTTTCTTTTCAAACCCGATTTTTTTTTGCTTTTATTCTGGAAACGATGCGGGCGCGCCAAAAAAAGAAAACCATATTTCATACTTGGTGTGAAAAGCTCGAAACGATCGAAAAACACTTGAAATAAATCAAATCATTTTTGGCGCAAATTTTGACTTGAAAATTTTTTTGCAAAAAAATTTTGCATTCAAACAAAACTTTGGCTAAGGTATTTTTAATTATCACAAATTAATAAAATGTAGGTAGCTAATTAGACAATTAACTGCCAATACGTTTTTTCGGGACCCAATTTCATCAGAGGCAATTTACCCGATAATTCCAAGTTGCAAAACCCACAATTAAATCTCAATCTCATTTCTTTATTCGTTTCTACTACACTTTTTCTTCCAATTTCGATGGATTCCGACGAACCGAATTGCCATTCAAATTTATCACTTTTTTTCCACTCTACTTCGATGGAATTCGATGTCGCCAGCGAAAATGCCATACACTTTCTTCTAGGGCCACCCAATTTTCTCAAAGTACCCCGAAAGAAGTTTTTTTTGAATACCACCGGTAACTGTGCGCTACTAGAGGTAAATATTCCATTAAAAGCAATTTCAGATAAATGGCGCTGAGAGATTTTGGAGCAGAGCTCGAAAAATCGGTTACAACTCATGTTTTCGCAAAATCTGCCTTGAACTATAATTCTTAATTATAAATCGCGGCAGAACTCAAAATTGCGATTCAAATAAGCCCAATAACCCTAACCCAAAAATTGTAAGAAATATATTTTTAAAGCGTGACCGACGACGCTGAGTATCAATTACGTGAAGTGCAGTTAATATCTATCAAGCACATACTTCACCGATTGTGCCGACGAGAAGGCTGCGCAAGAAAAGTTGCTCACCGCAATAATCATCATCTATTTTTGTTTTGCGCTACCTAATTTCCGACAGCTCGGATTCAATTTCAAGCTTCTCAAATCAATTTTTCTGAATGTCATTCAAAAAAAACGAAAGAAAACAAAAATCTCCCAACTGAAAACAATTCAAACGCTCTATAATTGTTCTTCATGGTATTTAGTGTCAGAAGACTCAACTTTTTTCCGAATTTCATCGACGACGCCCCATCGAATTATTATTATGCATTTTTGACGGCTAAATTTTTTATTCTGATTTTGAGCTCACTTTAAATTGTCGTAGCGCTAAGGTTTTTTTCTGTTTGAGCAATTTTGCTAAAACTCCCACATTACAAATTCCGGTGTTCTATTTTTTAAATGTTTACTTTAACTCCCTAAAATAACAAAATTTGTTTATCTAAATTAAAATGTAATAAATAATCGAGTTTTGAGGCGAAATCAATCTTGGATGTTGCGCATTTCCACATTTTCTATGTTAATTAGGATGTTGATATGCTGTAATTCTTTACGAAATAAAAAATCCTACCAATTTATCATTCAAAAATGGTATTTTTCCAATTTTCTCCTAATAATAGGCTATTTTGTTTCAATTTTCTTCATTTTTGACCCTTAACTAAGTAAGCGGAAACTTGAGAACAAAAAAACTAGGCGTGGGGTTGGCTGATGCCAAAAAAAGCGGGGAAGAAAATGGAAATTGTGTGGGTTTTGCCAATTACCGAAACCCAACTCCTTTACTGCTAGTAGTCAATAACACCTTCTTATGTATGCAAAAAGGGCATTCGTGGAGATATGCCCACGACAAAAAAATTTTAAAGGCGGCAACCTTTTATTGTTGTCAAGCTCTTTATTAAATTTCAAGTGAACAGCTAGAATTCTCGAATACCAATATATCATTTTCTGACGCTGAAATAAAGGTTTCGGTGCAATATCCATTGCCATTTTTGTGGTAAACCAATATGTACTATTTTTTTGAGGATCTAGTAAGACGACTGCACTTCCCCATTCTTCGACAAAATTTCCCATTAAAATTCAAATTTTTGTCGCATTTCCTAATTATCCGGTGTCATTCAAATTCCTTGAATTATTCGAGCAAATACATACTTCATGGAACAAAAAAAATGTAAGGCACACAATTTTTGCCCCCCCCCCTCTTGACAAGAAGCATTTACTTAATTACGTTCATCTAATCATCTTTCTGCCCGCAGGGGATCAAGCTACTTAGCCAACACACCCACAAATATGGCAACCGAACATGATCTTATTTGAGCTTTTTGATACTTCTAATCCAGTTTTTCTCCCTTTTTTCTTCAAAGTTACAGTACATTGATGTCTGCCTATTATTGTCCACAAAAAAAGAAAACCTACAGCATAATTCACATTTGTTGAAAGAAACTCTTCTGTAAATACATCTACAAGCTTTCGCCCAATCCACCTTCCCTTCGTCCTTGTACGATATATGGTCCAGTATGGAGAGAGATGACGAACGCCTAAAATGAGAAAGTCGTTTCCTGCAAAACAACACTAGCTAATAGGATTTCATGAGCTTTATTTGGACATTAAAGTCTTGATTTTTCTCTATGTTGGCAACGATTTCGTATGAACATTAATGAATTCCAATATGGCGTTTTTGATTTTTAATTTTTGAAATAAATTCTCAACTATTTCCTCACCGTCAATTATTTTGAATGGAACATTCATTGGCAAACTGTCATGAACATCCGTTGATGTCTCGTCGTCTTTTTTCTTTTTCGACTTTGGCTCTTGTTGTTTCTAAAATATTTAATAGCTCATAAATCAATCAACAACAACAAAATATACCAACCCTCTCGAGTTTATTCTTTCGTTTCTGTGCTTTCTTGCTCAAACAGCCATCTATGGTTTCCTCCTGATGTGCGTTCATCAATACTACATATTTAATAGAAAAAAGTTAGAATATAAGTCAAAATAAAAAGCAAAAATTGAAAAATTTGTATTTTAAATCAAATTGCGCCAGGCAATCTTGATATACGTCAGCGACCGTCGGACGGCGCAATTTGGGTGCAAAGGGGGGGGGACCGGGTTACGGTAGCAAAAAAGGATCTTGCGTCATAAAAATTTAGTCATCCAACACTTTCAAAGTGTTTTAAAGAAAAATCCTAAATTCCTCATTGCCAAATTTGAATTTGAGAATGATCATCTCATTGGTATGCAACTAAACGTCCAATACCAATAGTACGCCAATGAAATAAACATACATTATGAGAAAAATGTACATGAGCCCCCAGTGAAACGAAAAAAAAAACCTAATTAAACTCACATATCGATTCGGAGCTTCTCCCATCTGTTTTACTTCCGATCATCATTATCATCATCAATTTGAACGCGACGCGAACCTCGTAAAATTAGCACCACCTCATAATTGCTCTTCATTTTTCAGTTGTCACGAAGCATTATGGAGAAGGTTCTCGATGCGAATCCACCGATTAAGTTTTGTAACGAATGTCTCGGCTCAACAGATCCAGAGTATTTGGTTGGTCACATACGTTTATTAATATTTATATTTTGTCTGCAGACGTATAATTTGGCGATATCCGGTGTACTTTTGGCAATCGTTGGTCTGATTGGTTTGATTGGAAACTTGCTGATTGTCAAAACTTATCTTCATCCCGACCAAAATGTTATCAAAATTATCAACTTGAAGCAAATCGAATAAGTTTAGATCCATTCCACTTCAATATATTTGGCCGCGTTGGCGCTTTCCGACTTCTTCCTCATTCTCACAGCGATGTTTCTCTTTGTCCTGGAAGCCTGGCGTCATCATGATTATCCAGGTGAGCCTATGCCGCATTGCAATCGAGCCATCAGAAAATATTCAGTACTTGCTTATCTATATGTCACCGGCGCCCCAATCATATTCCCACTGGCGGCTGTGTTCCAAACCAGCTCGGTGTACTTTTGCGTCGCGGCCGCTGTCGATTGTTTCATCATTGTCGTTCTGCCAGCTTCTGTCAAACAACTCTACTGCACGCCAAAGTAATCTTGATCGCTTTCATTTGTCCTAAATCGATTTTCCGAAAAATGCGAAAATGAAATTTTGCAGAAGAGCAAAAATCGTGTGCTCGTACGTCATACTATTCTGCATTGTCTATAATATTCCGCATTTCTTCGAACTTCAAAAGGTCGCATGCATCGATCCAGACGGCTCGGATTCCCTTCAGATCTGTCCAACTGATTTTCGAGTCAACGAAGCTTACTATTCCATTTACTACACATATATGTATACAACTTTTCTCGCCATCGGACCATTATCCTTACTCATCTTGCTGAACATCTGTGTGGTTTTCACAGTGCTCACTAAAGGACCATCAGAGCCGGGAGGTGGTATGTAATATAAAATTAAGGGGAAGAAGAAGCATCCAAATCATGTACAACTTTTTCCTAGACGACGACACGGTTTCGTTGATTCTCGTCGTGTTCTTCTTCATCTTCTGCAACTTCACCGCACTTTTGGTCAATTTCCTGGAGATTATTCTCGATGATCCAGTAAATTTCCAACGCGTTTCCTCAATCCAATTTATTTTAGACAATGCTCGTCTATTTCGTCGACCTTTCAAATTTGTTGGTGGTTGTGAATGGCACCGCAAACTTTTTCTGCTACTTCTTTTTCGGTTCCAGCTTCAGAGCGACATTAAGAAAAGTTGGTTCAAACAATACATATTGGGCGATGCTAGTCATATGTTGCAGATTGTCTGCCGCACACCGATCAAGAAGAGCCAATCGACTCTGTGGCGTCACAGCGAAGAGCACAAGACCGCTCATTCTCACGCCCTCATTTAAACTATATAATCATATAACGGGGAGCCTCATTTGTGGGTAGATTCTAGAAATGTGTAGAAGTCCATTTTATTGTTTTTTGCGATTTTTCGAAAATATGTTAACCTATATCGCGTTCGTTTTTTTGTGTATATGTGTGTGTGTGTCTCAATAAATTAGAAAACGAGAACAAAAGAAGAGATACGAAATGAGGTCCGAAATTTCGTTGAAACTCGATTTTTGTGGAGAATTTGATTTTCCTGGTGAGCCATGTCTTTCCGTTTTTTCTTGCTTTTTTTTGCGAATCATTCTGAAATAATGCTTTCACTTTTTTTCCACCCCATTTTATCACAGTTTCGAGAAGTGTTGTTTTAATTTTGCGGGGAGTTACAAGCGCGAAAAAAGACAATTAAAGTTTGCTTAATATTCTGTAAACACCGCACGCACACATGCACACATATTATTGCAAACGCATATTCTTTCCATAAAAATGAATATGAAAGCAAGGAGGGATTAATTTTTGTTGAATGCCGGAATATACCAATTCTATATTATACGAAAGCCAGTATGACCGTCATTACTGCCCTTTTTATTGCATACCCCAATTTTGGCTTTTTAAGAATTTTGCTTACATTGCGGTCAAGTAAACATGCTTGAAAAATAAAATAGACCATTTTTAAGCAAAACATTACCAACCCGACAATAAACACATTTCCGTTATACTATATAAGGCGAACAGCTGTTATGCTGTCAACTTTTTGCGTCGCAGCTTCTACAAATGTTTATTCGATACTTCTATTTATTTATTTTCTTCAAATTAGAAAAGAAGCATCATATTTATGCGTTTCCTCCCCAACATCTTTCCATTTTCGGAATTCCTTTTTTTGCATTTCTTGTGGAAGAAGAAGAAGACGACGATGAAAAAAAAAACTCGACTAATTGGGATTCAACGAATTTGAATGAATGGTACCATTGCTCCACAGGGAATCATCATTGAAATTTTCGTCTCAACACCGCCTTCCACATCTTTTACTCACATACATATGTCTTCAATTAACCCGGCCTACATTCCGAAGATATATGAGCCAATTCCATGGAATTGAGCCCAAAAACCGCAATCGCAATTAATTTTGTACTATGTTCATCTATCACGCCTGCTCATTTCGTTTGGACCCTCCTAGCAAAAGCCTCTGTCTGCGTATCACTGACACGCTTTTGAGCAATCTCCCCCCCCCTTTTCACTGTGTCAAGTGATGAGATCGATCGATTCGATTTCGCGCCGAGATGGGGGGACTTGCTTGAAACCCCCACCAGCGTCGCTCTCTTTTTTTTCTGCTCGACCCATCGACGAGATTCACATATGTTGATTTTTTGTCGTTCGTCACATCTGTGTTCCAGACGACAGATAGGCGAACCAACAACAGTTGTAAAATCAAATCGTAAGAGGTCACGTTTTATCCTTGCTGATTTTTTCAAGTACACTTATTTTCTTCTTCTTCTCACAATCAATGCGCTCAATCGGTTCAACTTAATACTTGCTTGAATTGTGATTTCCTGAAAAATAACATAGCAAATCCAAAAACCAAAAATAAAATAATAATCTCTCAAAGTGCTCATTTTCAATACGTCCATCTTTATTATTAATTTTTCATAAGGTCTCGGTTGTCTTGCTGAACTCCATTCCATTTCTCATAATCAAATGTTCGCTTTCACGGTTTTTATTTGCAATTTTCTTAATACAAAAAACATATAAAAATAGTGCGTCGTTATGTTTGGTCTTGGCACGCCAAAATTTTTGTTCGGTATTTCAATCCTTCGGTCTCAATTTTAAAAGATATCAATAATCGTGAGGGGACCTTCATCCAATTAATAAAACCCCATTATTAATAATTCGATTTTAATTATAATAAAAATAAATGTTTGACATGTTTTCTGGTAGTATTGCTTTTATTAAAATTGAAGTGTTTTCGTGAATGCGGCTGCTCTCATTATTTTATAGACCAAATAATAAAAAACAAATATTATTTTGGAAGGAAACAACAAGGAAGGGACTTGATGAAAACCTAGTTGGTTGGGAACACAAAAACACCGAGCAAACAGCAACGGCGAAGAGCGATCGGCAGAAGAATAGACGATTCGTGGTTCGCGCTAGCCGAATTCGGACAAAAGCTGCTCAAAAATTTCAAGAATTGAACGAAACGGTCGGCCGCCACACGAGATGGGGCCCGACCATCCAGGTGAGATTCGAGTTCGAGTTCGCAAAACAAAAATCGAATTCTCAGATGGCGAGCCGAAGGCTTCTTCAGTGCTCTCGAAATCGCGAGTCTTATTCGTTATTGCTCTCTTATTATTTCTGCTTTGCGTGACATTCCTATGCGCCGCTATTTATTATTACATCAATTATAAGGAAAGCTCCGATGTGTGTCTTACACCAGGATGTATAAAAACCGGTAGGAATGACCAACCAATAGTGAACGACGTTGATTTTCAGCTTCTGTGATATTGTCCTCGATGAACGCTTCCATCGATCCATGCGACGACTTCTACGAGTTCGCGTGCGGACAATGGATTCGCGGCCATCCGATTCCCGACGACGCTCCGAGCGTCTCGAGCTTTGAGAACCTCGGCCAAGATTTGGAGTTTGCGCTCAAAGAGCTTCTCGAGGATCGCAAGCAAAATTTCGATTACAAATTCGACGCCGTCGAAAAAGCGAAATACTTCTATTCGTTGTGTCTTAACGAAAGTGAGCCGTTGTGAAGTGGGCGGGGCGAATTTTTAAAAATTTTTGAATTTCGCGGGTCCACACTTTTACTAATTTTAATTTTGAAAAATTATTTTTTTTGATGGTTAAATTGGAAAATACTCGCTTCTACGAGTTTTCCACACGAGACCCAAGGCGGCAATTCAAGTAATAATCAATTGGCGTCCCAATTACGATTATAGCTTCCTCATGTTCTTCTTTTTTTCATATTTTTCATCATCCTGATGGCTATACGTTTATCTCAATGTTTTAAAACGAATTATGACATCTGTTGGGGCGAGCAGTTGGAGTCAGAGCAAGACGAGAAAAAAAAATGATGGGGGAGGAGATTTGATTGATTACAGCTGAAATTATGGAAAATTGGAGAACAACATTTGACGAGGTCGTCAAGAGTTTTGGCGGATGGCCAAGTCTTGGTCATCCGATGCTTCCTGGCGCATCGATTGAGAAGCTATATGGTGCAAACACGGATTCAGTTTAACCGCAATATCTCTAGTAATTTAGCTGATATGGTCTCGAAATTCAAATCGGATTCTCTATTCAAAGCGACCGTTCAACCCGATGATAAGAATTCTCAGCGACATGTCCTATTGGTAATCAGTTCTCGGTTATTCGCTTCCCTTCCTACCGAATCCTATTCAGCTGGATCAACCACAGCTTAATCTGTTTGCCCGCGAGTTCTATGTTTCACCGGAGAATGAAGAGCGAAAAGCTTATTTGCAATTGATAAGGTAATGCCTAGCCATAATAAAAAAGATGATTGTTGGATATTTAAGAGACGTGCTTGTTCTACTGAATGCCAATCGCGAATCGGCAACTTCCGATGCTCTGGAGATCATCGCGTTCGAAACCGCACTTGCCAACGTTTCTGGCACATCGTTTTTTTCTCATTTTTCGATTGCCTCCCATTTTTTTCAGATAACAATGGCTGAAGAGCAGCGGCATGATATTGCTGAACTTTACACAAAAGTGACGTTGGGCGAGATGAGGCGACAACTTCCGAATTTCGATTGGTATACGTTTTTTAATCACATGTTCCATGATCTTGTTGATAAGGTGAGGATGGCGTTTTTTTTTGGCGCCATGCGGAAATTGATCGCATTCTAGACCGGTACCCCGATTCGCTTCAACGATTCTACTGAAATTGTGGTCTACGGGTTCGAGTTTTTGAAGCGACTCGATCAATTGTTGCCGAACCATGATAAAAGGTGGAATCAAAACGCACACCATTTCCAACTTTCTAGCATTTCTAGGCAAGTCATCAATTATCTTGAATGGTGCTGGTTCTTCAAGGCAATGCTTCGCGATCTACCTGACCCATTTGCTCTAACAATTTTCAAATTCTACAAATCCTTGAATCGTATGAATGATATACCAAGCAATTAGTTAACAGTTCCGATTGTTTAGTGATGAACGTGCAGAAGGTGCGATGGCATGGCTGCGTCACCCGAATCAACAGCTTGATGCCGATGGCAACATCGGCGATTTATGTCAAAACCCATTTTGATCATGAAGCGAAACAGCAGGTTGAGGAAATGATCTCTCTGATAATGGAATCGTTTGTCGATCTCCTTCTTTCGGAAGATTGGCTGACATCGGAAACGAAACAATTCGCCAAACAGAAGGTATTTTATTATTCCTACACCTGCCAAATGAGAATTTTTATTGTTTTGAGGTAAATGAAATGAAACGTAAAATTGGATATCCAGATTATTTGAATAATCCAAAAGAAGTCGATGCGGAGTATGCTTCGTTTACCGTAACCTTTTCTGAATTCTCCGCGCAATTTTATAGCAATTTTTAGGTGTATCCAACCCATTATTACAAAACCAAATTCAATTTCTATGAGCAATATCAAAAAGACGTTCTTGAGAGAATTACGGAGCCGGTTGATCGAGAAAGGTATTATTTGCCAACGGCTTGATTTTCAAGGTCCTTCCCTCAAACGAAAATAAAAGAAAGGAAGCGTGCTTGATGATTCGTAAGACCTCTCGAAATTGGCATCGTTCGACAAACGACGCCAATTTCGTGAAATTTGCCTCGTTTAGTTGACGATTAGGCGTCATATTGGAGAGCAACACACACATTGAAAATTGAGGAAGAGTCATCAGAAGATCGGGAATCTTTTGATTTTATTTTTACAGATGGGTCGCTGGTGCAGCTCTCGTCAATGCGTTCTACAGTCCAAATACGAATGAGATCAGTAAGACAAATCATTTCCGACACACCACTTCAGCTGATTCGATTTTAGTTTTTCCCGCCGGAATCCTTCAACCCGTCTTTTATAGCAAAGATTTTCCATCGTCGATGAATTTTGGCGGAATTGGTGTCGTGATTGGTCATGAAATTACTCATGGATTCGATGATAGAGGTGTCTGTCATATTTAATTGGATATATTATTAGTAAATAGTAGGTGGAGGATATTATATATGGGCATAACGTGCCAAATATGTATATTCTCCCCCACAAGAAACACCATCCCCCTTTCACATATTATTAAATGATGAGGCAAATATACGAGCATCTTTCTATATTTGAAAATTGATGCCCGCAGGCACTGAATCATCAAGGTTATGTAAAATCGGACAAATTGCGGAAGCTCATAGAATTCCTTGTAAATAGCACAAACCAAAAAATTCAGGCCGCCTTTACGACAATCTTGGTAATATTAGGCAATGGTGGGATAACGCGACAATTTCCAAATTTGAGCATAAGGTTTTTAAACCTTACATTTCATATTCAAGTGTTCCCCTTTAAGGCCCAGTGCATTGAGAAGCAGTACTCGAGCTATGTCCTTGAGCAGATCAATATGCAGATAAATGGAAAATCGACGAAAGGTGAAAACATTGCCGATAATGGAGGGCTCAAGCAGGCTTACAAGTACGCTCTATCGATTTTACATCTTCTGATATGCGTGATTCAGAGCCTATAAAAAGTATGAGCAGATGCACAACACACCTCCGCGACTACCAGGCGTCAATCTAACTCACGATCAGTTGTTTTTCCTCAACTACGCTCAGATTTGGTGTGGGACCATGAACGATAAAGAAGCAGTGAGAAAGTTGCGCACGTCTGAACACTCGCCGGGCCCGATTCGGTGAGTCAATCCTTTGAAAAATTGCCATCGTTATTAAGCTAATATCGTAGGCGTTTGATAATGAGGTTCGCGAGTGAGAGAAATGAGTCAGAAAGAATGATTAATAATCGGGGAAGAATTCGACAACATGTTTTTTTTTCTAAAAATGAGATTAGCAAAATCAAGCTCAAAAGAAAACTCGCTATAGTCTGCATTTGCGCGTTAATACCGATATGTGTGTATACACCGAGTGCCTACCGTACCGCTAAGGATTGAAGGTGAGCGCTGACAACACTAACCTCAAAATTGATGGGTTTTGAATAAATTTGAGAATCTATGTAGAACACAGTCAGGTGATCTCAGGCAATTTGGAAGTTTTCGTTTCCAGCAATCCAATTGTTTCTTTTTCAGCGTCAAAGGTCCACTATCGAACAGTTTGGATTTCGCGCGAGCCTATCACTGTGCTCCAGGAACCCCAATGAATCCCGTTGATAAATGTCGTGTGTGGTAGTTGAAAGTCTCAGAAAAACACAAAAAAAAACGAAACCATCCATCCACTGCCCATCAACATTTCTCGCAAAAGTTTCCCGATATTTGGTTGTTTCATTTTTTCGATTTGTTTCTCGTCGCATCCGACATAGGCGTGGCTTAGCAATGAAGGAGACGGGGATTGAAGAGGAAAAATTCGGGGGGTGTGGCCGCCACGGAGAAGCTCATTTTTGTGTGTCCCCGCGCGCACCTTCACGTCGTTCAGTTCACCCCCGCTGACATCCCCCGCAACCAAAAGCCCAATGTTTTCGTCATCGCCATCATTTCTTGTATTCGTTTTAGCCGCCATGGTACTTGTTGGATCGTTAGTTCAGGCTACTCGGCAGGTGTGTCAATTTAGTCAATGATCAATACAATTTCTTCTTTTTTATTTTCTGAAATTTGGAACATTCTTGGTCTCACACTTTGTTTTTCTTTTGTGTCCAATGGTTTTCTTTTTGTCTCTTTTGAAAAAATTTCGTATTCTTCTTTTAAACCGTATTTGGAAAATAAACGCAATTTCACCAGATTCGATTTTGTTGTTGTTTACAGATAAAACTAAACGATGGCCGAATAGAATTTTGTTGAATAGTAGAATGGCATTAGTGCGATGTTCCTCTAGAAGACCAATGCTTTTTTTTCAGGATTATCCAGCAATGGATCCTAACATTCAATTCGAGTTGCTCGCGGCGAAGCGAGGCGATGGATTCGGTTGGAACGATTGCGAGTTCTCGCCGCTCAGCTGTCTTCTTCGCAAGCGACGTAGCGCGATGTGATAATAAACACACACACCACACACACACAGACAGAGACACCCCCTACTCGATTTTAAGCATGAACCATCTAACCTCAAAAAAACGACCGCACACACACACACAATCCACTTAGATTTACCATTTTCGCCACCGAACGAATCTCGAATCAACAATAAACAGCGAAGATCAATAATGCATTTCTCGTTGTTAACGTGCATTTTTGGGTCTTACGAAGAAATAAATGTTCATTGTGTACAAAAAACGAAAGCGAGGAACCCGTAAAGAATATCCTGAAGATTGCTGCGATTGTGTTAGTTCTTTTTGTGCCTCTGCCTGACTTGTTCGTACGGAAGCTGATAGCAAGAGCACGAGGCAATCTAAAAGTATGTTGGTTTCATTATCAAATAATTGCTACCCATAATTACCGATATGTTATCGGATAGAGGTAGTCGGCCTTCTTGAATCGGATCATCGCCATCGCCGACTTGCACGAGACCTTGGGCGGCGAGAATTGCTTCCCTGAACAGCAATCATACTTTCTGATTCGCGAGAAATCGCTTACTGCTCGTCGCGACGCTCATCTTCGGTATTCATTGTTAAGAATCGGAGAACAAGTAGATTCATCGCCGCCGAGATGACCGTCAAACCGAACAAAATGAACACCAATGAGAAGACGACATATTCCGGTTGGGTTTGTAGTGCGCCGTGTTTTTGCAACGCGACAAAATCGCCGAAGCCAATCGTCGTTAGAGTTGTGAAGCAATAATAGACGGCGTCGAAATAGGTCCAATTCTCGTATTTTGAGAACGCGAGCGCGCCGCCAGCGATTAGGAACGCGCCCCAGCCGCACGCAATCCAGATGAGATCCATCGGTGTTACCACAGGCTGCTTCCCGGTTGCCTGAAAATTTGGCTCGAATCAATAATGGCATCGAATGTTGGCAAACCCTTCTCACAAATCTCAACAATTTCGCCGCAAACGTGTTCATTCGTTCACCTGAAAGAAAAAAAAGATTGCGACGAAATTTCGAACTTCTCAAATTCGACGTACCAATGCTTTGAAACATTACAAGACCCAACGGGATTCCCGCCAACGCATAGAACATACAAAATATTTTTCCGCCAGCTGTCATCGGGGTACTGTGACCGTAACCTAGTAATTATTATAAATATATATGCTAGAATTAAGGCTCCGAATTACCAATTGTGGTAATTACGGTAGTCGCAAAATAAAAAGCGCCACTAAATTTCCATTGATATCCAGCTTTGTGAGGAACACTTTTCACAATAGTCGCCTAAATAAATATTTGAAATATGAAAATTAAGAAAAGCTTTGAAAAAAAGCACCTCTAAAATATCGTAATCCGCGTTCGACATATTATATTTGCTAATAAGCTTTTCGCGAACTTTTCGAACTAATGCTCGTTGCTGGAGCTCGTTGTCCGACTCAAGCGCATCAAACACTGCGGCTCCCACCAAAAGATAGGTCAGCGTGCACACAATTAATGAAAGCGTTCGGATGTTCTGACGCTTCATCGAATTTTTGCTGAACGAATAAATGCATACAAAACAATTGGCTAGTCGAACAAAAAAAAAAACACATATTGCTAACAGCGGGAAGGTGGAAGAAGAAGAAGAAGAAAAAAAAACGAAGCCGATAGGCGATTGTTGAAAATGAGCCCGCCGCCACCGCCTCGGCTCAGCAGCTCATGTGTAACGTGTGTGACGCAATTCGCGAAATGCGGAGATTGCAGACATTCCGAATTTTTCGCTTATCAATTCAAATTTCAAAACATGCTTGAAATATGTGTTTATTTGAACAACACAAATATATGATCAGATGAGCTGCGCGAGTTTTTCAATGTCACCCTGATAGCGGCATTGCTTCGAATTGCACAGGCAATTGAACATCTGCAAATCGTCAATGAACATTCAATGATGCATTTTACGTCACCTTATTGTTCCACCAAGCCGATCCATAATCTATAGTAAGCTCCTCGTGCTTCTCAATGGTCTTGCTGGTGTAGAAACACATGTGAATGAGCTCGTTCTCTTCAAAATCCCAGCTCACATTGGCCACCTGAATCGAATTTTCGGGGGGCCTCCGAATCATCAATAATCGAACTACCTTGACATTAGGATTGCAACTATGATTGATAAAGCGCGTATAGTTTCCCGTATATTTCGCGTCGATTGTGTAAATCTCCGAACCGATTCGGGTCTCGAAAAGAAATGTTGAATCGCGCGACGCGGCCTCGTCTTCGCTCAGCAATTCTCCGGTGTATTCACCGATATAGGCGCCGAATGGTATTTGGTGTGATGCTCTCACACCCCAGCCACAAATCGAATCACGCGAGAATATCTCAAGATGAGGAGCTCACTCCAAACATTGAAATAATTGGTCCTACCTCGACTGGATAAATTGCGCCCTTTTGAGCTACTCTATTTCCGCACCATAATGCGCATTCGCAAGTTTCATTGCATTCACGAACGATGTCTGACATCAAAACTTCCATATCGTCGACAGTCCCTACTGAAATCAATGATGCTATTTAGAAGAAACGGCACCGTTGAGTTTTGCGTCGCGGTGTTTGCACAATACTTATTTTTATTTAAATTTTTTCAAGTAAAGTAGAAAAAAAAACATTTTCCTGCTACTACCATAAATTTTCGCTGCAAGATCTTGACTATAAAAATTGAAAAAAATGTGCGTCACGATGCGCAAGTCCGCAAACACCGAGCGCGTTGTTTTGGCGCCAATTGGATTTTTTTTAATTTTGGCTAATGACGAACCATTCGTGTATATTCCTGAGGAGCATTCACAGCCATCATCGCAGCCGCCATTGCAAGAACAAGCCTGAAATTCGTTAATAATTTTAAGCAGCCAGTCAAATCCATGATTGGTTTGATCGGAATTTTCGAAGACTCACAAATGTTGGCGAAGACTTTCGACTCCTTATATGTCCATTCGAATCAATAAGCCTAGGAGCGTAAGCGAAATGCCGAAACACGTCCAAATCAACTCGCATGTCGGCATTCAAAAAGACAGGCACCGCGAAACGCTCGGCACCTTGCGAAATGTCCCTATAATTAGCATTCGAAAAATAAAGAAGCATGAAAAAAAAAGAAAACAAACTCAATAAATAGTTGCCATTGCCACATCTAGAAAAGGTGTTGAATGAGGAGAACAAAACAGAGAATTTTTCGCCTCGTTTCCTATAATTATTGTTTTTTTTTTCTGTCTGTAGGTAAAGAAAAGAACCTTGAACCAAAGAGAAAAGTTGGCGAATTATTTATGTGTGGGTTTCTATTCATTTCCGAGAGGAAATGAATGCAATCAGCAGCGACCTATGGAGCTTGTGTTCAAGAGGATGGTGAGAATTGATAATTATTCGGAATTTGGGCTGAAATTGGAAGCAAAAAACTCGCAAAAATTTCTTGGCAACAAAAGAAGGGAGCGTTTAGAAAAAATCGGAAGCCCTTTCGATTCACGTCGCGTGCATTTTTTGCCCCCGCCGATTTTCTTTCGCTTTTCTTCCCCCCACCCCTTATTTGGCGTCCTACAAAAAGCACTTTGTTCAAGTGCTTGCTTATTAGATTTCGACGATTGTTTCGAACTTCTGTTCTATTTTTTTTCGAATAAAAAAAACAATATTTTTTGTTGAGAAAATAAGAAGAACGGGATGGGAGGGGGCACTAGTGGACTAATAAGGCCTCTGACACACAGCGCCATTTGATTCCCATTTATGGAACGATGAACGAGAAGTACATTCACAAAATTGGAGACGGGGGCCCAAAAAAATTTCCTTCCACGCAATAAGAACATTGGCCTGGCACACCATAAAAAACGGGAACTCAAAGAAAAATACATAGACGAGCTTTTATACAACAATAGACGAAAGCCTAAGTGAGCTGACAATAGGCGAATTTGTCTAATATGGTGTGGAACTTCCACAATTTGGAATAATACGTTAAATTAAGAAAGCCAGTTGAATGGCCGTCTATTTAAATAGGTCCTCATTGAAAATTATCTCCAAATTCGAAGAACCTAAAAACTGCGTATTGGGTTTTAATTATAAGCCCAATATATATATTTATAGGCCCGGTAGCATTTAACTAGAGACAATGTCAATGAAATTTCAGCTTGGTTGCGAAAAATTATTTGGTTTTTCCTGCTATATTTGCGTCGCGATGTTTGCACACATTTTCGCGCGCTACCGTATATTTAATTTTTTATTCTCAAAACCTCAAATCATGAACAAAAACAAAAAAAAAACTAAAAATATTTTGTGGCAAAATGTTGCACACTGTTTTGCCACTTATTTAAATGAATTTTTCAATGTTTCAAAATGGACAATTTTTAAACGCTGATATCAGACGTTATCACGAAAAAATGTTAGAGATCTTGCCCGTAGGCGAAAAAATGTTTTGTCAAAAGCGAGAAGACTCCCTCATTATTTTCTCATGAAATAGAAATAATTAGATGGTTATAATTAATAATGAAAAGAAGGAATGTATACATCTCCTTCAATTGTTTATTTTTCTTATGAGGAGTATAAAAAATAATGGAGGGAAGCATATCAATAACTAAGACAATCCATTGTTTGGCAGTATAATTAAATGCGATGAAGAATGCTTATATATTTTTTTTAAAAGAAAATGACACAAATGAGGGTGGTCTGAAATTCAATACGAGGTCTCGCAGCGAATATTAATATCAGAATGTGAGATCCATTCATTTCGCTGTCTGCAAGAGAAGAACGAATTCCGGCTGGCGTGTAATTGACAGTTGTGCACGTTTATATTGAAATTCGCCAAGATGGGCGAAAAAAAACGCGAAAAAATATGTCACTCGTTTGGGTGCAATCATCGCATGAAAGCGAAATTTGATTGCGATTCACATTTTCTTCTTGTGGGAAATTCAACATCTTCTTTTTTCAAATTGAACGATGAGAATCCCAAAAATTGAGACGAGACGACCGATTAATAATTCCGATGGTGTGTGAGAAGTAGTTTCGTCACGAGGTCGGTCAATCACTAAAATATGAATTTTGAATTCCACAAAAAAATGCGTGCACTCTTTCCCAACGAGACAAATCATTTCAATCGATCAAGAATCAGAAGAACTAAACGGAAAATTTTTTTGTGAATGTGCATCTTCACGGGGCTCATCGACTTCTCGCTGAAATGACTTATGACGGAGTGTGTGTGGAAATAATCCGAAATGTGTCGTTTAGTTGATTCCTTCAAAAGAATGGGCATTAAATGGTTTTACGCGTTTTTAACAGCCTTTAAAATGAGTATAAAACCCGACCAAATTTATGGTAAAATTTAACGCGTTCTTCTTTGTCCTCCAATTTTTTGTTTGTTGGCATTGCTCAGGTTCACCGAAAGATCGATTGTGGGGGCAATATGAGGAAAAAGAAAACACCGATTCTTTGGTTCCGGTTTTCCCAAGGAACTGGTGTGAGTCAACGTGCAAAACACCGCGAGAAGACGAATCAGCAAAAAAAAAAACTTCTGCCGCCTCTCGCTGACGCAAATTCGTCCTTGGCCTGAACATCATATCATTTTTCGCTATTCGATTTGTCTGTTTCAAACCGCATTCTTCATCTTCGCCATTATTTTCCCCAATTGACTTCATATATGAAATTCTAGATAGTAATGCTCTTCAAAATGCTCATCGCGTTCGCGCTTCTGGCCGCCGTTTGTGAGGCCTCGGTGGGACGCACCAACGAGAAGGCGGGTAGCACGGTTCGCATCGACAGCGTCCCGAATTCCGAAGGCATTCGACGCACCGTCGCTGCCGGCGAGCAGATATTCGACTTCAAGAAGGGCTACTTTGTGGATGCCAAGGGAAAGAAAATTGAGGGAATCGATCAGAGCAATTATCATGCCGAAAATGGAACGCTGATCATCAAGAAGATCTCGAAAAGCGATGCGGGAAGCTATGTTTCTGAGCCAAATGTGAGAGCAATTTCCGTGAAATGAGTGAGTTTTGAGTGATATTTTTCAGAATCCAATCATTTCCAAACAAGACGATGGCACTTTTGTCGGACTCGCCGGCCCACAATTAATTGTTACTGTTGAATAATCAAATAAATTATTATCACAAATTATATTCCAAAAATCAGAATTTTTTTCTCAAATGGAATTAGTGACGTCGAATTTGGCGCCATCGGGGTTATGCAGACTGTCTAAGATAACGGATATCATGAAATAAGGCCATCGTACGGCAATGATATCGATAATCTCTTCATTTTTTTTAATGCTAAAAATGATTGATCATAATTTTATAAAGAAATTATCATCGGGAATACCTTTCGATTAAAAAGTTATTGCTAATTTTTACAAAACTTTTGATATGATGAAATTTATTTGAAATTAGATATGTATGATCTCCTCGATTTCTTTACCTTGTATGACATCAGAGCAGATTTACTGGCTGGCCAATTTCTGCGCTTATTTTTTCGTCAAACAAAAACTTGTATTATTAGTTTTATTTTCGTTTAGTTAACTGAACATCAATTTTATTTTTAAAAATACTTACATTTTTTGTTATTGTTGTCTCTTTTCTGGATATCTAATAAATTTCCATATTTTTAAACATCTGAGTTCGAGATAGTTAAAAACTTAACTTTTATGCTGAAACATTGAAAAAATTCTCGTAAAGCTATTATAATCGAGAAGTATCCCCTTTTGATCGTATGAGAGCTTCTTGATGAACACTGATCATCAAGGTCCCATCGCGCCTCCAAACTTTGCCATCGATGAATGCTCGTCCGCCAGCTGCAATGTGTGATTTCGTCTCAAACAGAAGCCATTCATCAGCGCGAATATTGATTCGATGGAACCATACGCAATGGTCCAGCGAAAACATCATAGATGACATGAAATTTTTTCTAAATTATTACGAAATTTTCACAATGTTGAAGGGTGGGTGAACCGTACGCGTAATGTGGTCCAACGGCTGTTGATATCAATGTCGAATCTGTGTTATATGCAACGAGCCACCTATGAAGCTTCTCGTCGTCATTCAAATCTCCGCGAGCTCTCATCCAAAAGTGCATTCGCGGTTCGCGATCGTCATCCAATCCGTAGTATTTTTCCAAGTTGACACATCGCATTTCAAAAAGATCTTCTTCGGCGGTATAAACCTGACTGTCATATTTTTTTAGCCTTCGAACAACCGGCTCTGTTGGGACAATTTCCCCTAAATTGATTGATATTTTTTAAGTAAAAATCATTTCGGGATATACCTTTTTCGACTAATTCTTTTAAATGTGGCACAGCTTCACGCATGCTCATAAATTGCTCAGGCGGTAACACATCGGGCATATTGCTTTGATGAGATACCGCTTCATTCTCTTCCTAAATTTAAATGACCAGTTTTACTGCCTATTTATATTCAATTACTAACCACATGAAAAGAAACCTGGAGTGTGAACGCTATTTTCTCTTTTTGAACAGCTTCAACAGTTCTGGTTGCGAATGACCGCCCATCGCGAATCCTGCGCACATTGTAAAAAATTGGCTCTTTTGTATCCACTAGTATACAAAAATGAATAACTTATTCGAATTTCAGCAAAGTTCTCACCATTCAAAATAAAATATGAATGCACAGAATGCGGCCGAAAAACGGAGTCAACAGTTTTCTCGGCCGCGGCCAGGGCTTGCGAAAAAATTAGTCCACCGTAGGCGGCTGAATGATGACCTTGGCGTGAGTTTTTCAAGACTTGAGGACTTAAATTAATATTCACAAAATTAAAAAAAAAAATATATATATATTCACCGAAATGAATCTTTCTGCACTTCGTCAAAAACGAAAAACGATTCCGCAATTTTTTGATAGTTTTCAACTTTTTGAAAGTCATTGCTGGTTTTCCGTATGCCAATCCCTCTTGAGCTCACCATCACACTGCAATAATAAAAACAATGCATAAGAATGGAGAGATAGATTTAATTATGCCTAAATCTATAAAAAAATATAAAGTGCTAAAAATGCAACAAAATGGTGGGTGATTATTTGAAAAAGATTATGTCAATGAAAGGCGACGCAAAAAACGCTTGTCTGCCGATATTGATAAAGAATCGGCTGACTAGGTTCAAATGTAGCCTTAATTATAATGTGTACCTCGTTTTTATCAGATTTGAAATTCTGGGCAACGTTGTAGACATTGATTTATAGCTCTGAAACCGGAAAGGAAAGCGCGTAAGAAATAAGAAATTAAAAAAACGACGCGGAATGAATAATTAAAAGGACAATAATTTAAAAGTTCTTAAAATACAAATAAATGTAAAAGTGAGTTAAGCGACGGAAAACATTCTTTGTTATCGCGAGAAATGATGACTGATCTCTTGGCTACAATGTAGCCATTGGATGGAGTTAAAACCGTCGCAAAATAAAATTAGCCCCTCCTCACGGCATAAATTGAAATTTATGGTCCTATTCATGAAATGTATTTATTCAAAAATGGAAAATTTTTTACGATTCTGTTTATTGCACGAATGAATATATCAAAAATTCGATGGGTCCAAAATATATAAATGTATATTTTGAAATAGTTTTTCAAAAGTTTTGTCGACGTCGCCCGACTGCAGAAAAAAAATGGCTAAATGCCAAAAAACAATGTCCGTGGTCTTGGCGCAAAACTAAAAGTGTAGATTTACGGGTATATGTATAAGGAAAGGTTAAAGACGCACATCGCGGACTAAGACCTTTTTTGGCGTTTATTCAATTTTCCGCAGTCTCGGCGACAAATAAAAAAAACCAATCGAAAAAATAAGAATTTATGAAAATGATATGAGACCGGTGCAGAATACATGCGTATTATTAATATTATTATATCTCAATTGAGCGCATAAATGTACATTATATACAAGCTGATCAACTTTACGATTATGTATAATATATATGAAAATAAATAAAATTGGATGAAATTGAATTATTTCCGATATCCCACATCATTACTATCCGGACAGAATAAATTCTTGATTTCGGCCAATGTGCATAATCGGTCGCAGCAAATTTTGGATGCTTCGCCAGCTGAAAAAAGAATTGATGAGTCATTTTTCAAACAAGCTCAACTAATAGTCAATTTCGTTACCAGTTTTCAAAAAAATCTTTTTTTGAACACATGTGCCCCCCGCCCGCATGCTCTATTGACCTATGACGCCATCCACTCAAGAGCAACTTTCAAGTGTTTCTTGACCTGTTCCTGATCGGGCCACTCGGGATCGCATCACATTAGAGACACCACACGTGAATATCTCGTTTGAGATTTTGTTTACGGCTTTTCATCAGCATGTGATGATTGGCTATTGGATTCTTCGCAATTAGTGGAACCAAAATGTCATTGTTCGTAATTTGGGAGCTTCAATTCGATTTTCAGACATTTTTCAAAAGTCAATTAGACAACCTCTGGCGCGTCACACATCGAAATCGAATCCCCCTGAAATGGATTGAAACGGATTCTCCCTCTAAACATTTTGGGTCAATCTATCATTCAATTCTTGACGATCAAGTTCGCGAGTTGTTTTTTAGTTTTCGGGTTATCCTCCTCTTCCCCAACCACTCCTCGCATCTCACCAACATTCAAAGTGTTTACCATCGAAGGCAACAAAAAAATTTGGTCCACATTTTCTCATATTTGGATTAGTATGTTTCGGGGACACGCGCGGATCTTAGTTCGAATTCAAGGTCGATGCTTCACATTTTAACCGTAAACAAGCCCTTTTTTCGTGCCCCTACGTACCATTTCGACTTGTCAAACGTTGTTAATTTGATGGATTTGTGATGTTCGACAAAAAACTCAACATTTAGCAAAATATTGGGACCAAATTATTCTAGAATAAATAAAAAAAACACTCACTTATACTTCTCAATGCAATCGGGCAAAGCGCTTGTGCGGCTTCATACATTCGATCGGCGCACCGTCTTGCTTGAGGTCTCGCCACGACGCGTTCCGGCAAATTGAAGGCGATTAGGATGAGAATGAGCAAGAAATGCTTGATTGAGAACATTGAAGCCATTTTTGCAGAGATTCAGACCAAATGACGATGCTATTATAGCCTAGTGGGCGGAGACAAGGGACGAGTGGGCGGAGCTTATGTTAGGAGACCCAAATGTTGGCAAGTGGGAGTTGTCTACAAAGGAATGAAGAAAAAAAGAAATTTGTTTGTAGAATGAGTTATTTTCTAGAAAAAAAATAGTGAAACAACGTGTTATTTATTCAGAAAATTAGCAATCGTCGGGGGACGATAAGAGTTTCAAGGGTCAACATTTTCGAGGAACTCAAATTCCGGTTTGGGGTGGAAATTTTAAAAAACTCGCAAAAAGCCGGCAAGATACTGCAATGCTTCAAATTTCGAAATAATTTTGAAAAACGAGTATTTCGAAGAAACTGGTTTCAGCACGGCGGTTATTGGGCTCGGTCGTGTGACATTTGGAAATATTTCAGAGCGTGGGCGGCTAAATTGTTTCCAATTGTGATATTATACTATCTATACGCTTATAAATACTTGAAAATCACGTGGCTTTCACGTATATGATGTCATTATAATATTTTCAGAAAAAAATGCTGAAAGTCCCAATTTTTTTTTGGTCTTTCCTTTATTGAACTTTTGGCAGATTGAGACGAATTTGCCAAATAAAGAATCAAACGTGGTTGGTGCAAAGAGAACAAATTATTGCATGCGCCTTTGATATTCCGTCATCTTTTATGTATTTTGAAATGGATTGCAAAAACCGTAACATTTATATTTTCCTCTGACCTTAATAATACATCATTTTTGTTATATTTATAGATATTTTTCAAATGAATTTGTTTTAAAGTTTTAATAGAACAAACCAGAATTGGCTATAGGGATTATAAATTTTGAATGTTCTGACCCTAGCCCGTTTTTCAAACTGGACCATTATTTGAGGCCTAACATTTTCTACAATCCAAAAATGAAGGAAGGAACAATTCTGCGCGACTTGTAATGAAACATAGATAATTTGTAAACGTGATTCGACCAAACATCATTTCGATTTTTCAATTATTTAGTGTAATAAAAATAAAATTTTGCGATAATGGAGGTAAACGCTGGAAAACGTGAGGAATGTTAGCAACTTTCAAATTTGTCACCATTGTAAAAAATTTTCAGCTATTAATGCGTCATCGACAATCGATTTGAAACCGGACACCGAACTCGGCGAATTTCGCGTCGTTCGATTCATTGCCAAAGGATCTTATGGAGCCGTGTACGAAGTAAACCAAAAACCAAACCGGTTTACGAACATGTTTAAATTTGATTTACAAACCATGACAGGCGCGAAATTCGCACGGTGACGCGTTCGCGTTGAAAATCGAGGACAGAAATGCAAAAACGAGAAATCTTAAAATGGAAATTGTGGTTTTGCGGTGAATTTCTAAATTTGTGCACCACTGGAATCAGCAAATGTTTTTTTTTAGAGAACTTCAGAAGCTCAATTCTCCATATTTTTGCAAATTGTTTTTAGTGGCCTCTTGTAAATCAAAATCCATTAATTTGATGGTTTTCAGCTTGTTGAATAAAACTTTAACGGTTAGTGGAAGCACTTTTAAATTTTTGGCACAACCGAAGTGGCCGTGGCCGAGATGTATTCAAATTCAAAAATTTGAAAACAAAATTAGAGAATTTAATTTTCTATTTGACAATTCAAAAATACTAATTTTCCTCTAAAAATAGCCACGAATTTCGTAATTTTTACTAATTCTACTTACTTCGACGAATAACAAATTGTAGGATATTCGTCAATCACTACCAAATCGAAAATTTCCAATTTCATGTGCTCTGTCGATTAGCGAGGAATGTCTTAGCGCCATTCAGCTATTGCATGGTGTTGGGTAACCTTTTTTTAAATTAAAAATAAGATATTGAATATCTGAAAATGGCATTTAAGATATCTCCATCGAGACATAAAGCCGACAAATTTTTGTGCGGCTCTTCAATCCCGACAAATCGTTCTAATCGACTTCGGAATGTGCCGAAAATTTTTGGATTCATCCGGAAACCTTCGACATCCCCGATGGCATACACAGTTTCGCGGCACACTTCGGTTAATATTATTTTCAATAAAATTGTTGACTTACATTTAGATTCGCCAGTGTCGGTGTTCATGAAGATCGCGAATCCTGCCGCCGTGACGATTTGGAGTCGTGGTTTTACGTGGTTGTTGAAATGATTGTTGGCACATTACCGTGGTTTACTATGGAAGATAACGCCGCTATCTACATGTGCAAGAAGAAAGCAAGAACTGCAGGTAGGCAAACTTCATTAGCAATACGCTAATATTTATTTTCAGGTCTTAACGAGTTTCTATCGGGTTGTCCAAAAGAGCTTTTGCATATAATAATGTACATAGATAGTATCGCATACTATGACACCCCCGACTACCCCGTAATTCGCAGCTTGCTGAGGTATTTTTTTAAACTTCTATTTGAAAAATTCGGCATCAAAAGACCAAACGAAATTTTTATCAAATTCACATTGCATTTGTTAATCTGCTATTTAATTTAAAAGACTAGTTTTAAAAAAATGAAATGAACTATGCAATTAGCCGATGGCCCTAAAGAGGAAAGTTGGATTTCGCAGCATTGAGTTTCTATCTGAATACTTCTTGCGACTTGCTAGATCGAAAAGAAGTCAATGTGTGTCGATTAGCCTGACTCGATCCCCGTGAAAGAGAACCGAGTCAGTTGATCTCCTTCGCCACGTAGAGGCTCGACACTTGAAGGAGAGGCTCACCAGCATCAGGCCGAAACCTGATGTGGGTCATCGCCGATCCCACCATGGGGATCACCCAAGGACATCCCACAACTATCATCCGAGGATAATAGAAGTAGAAGTGGTTGGGCAAGCCACGTCTGGCTGGGCCCCGGGTCTACTGGTGATATGGTAATGTGGTTTTTGTGCTCTTAGCATAGAAGCTTACTACAAAGTAGTAGCAAGCCACTACAAAGTAGCAAGCTACTATGCCAAGAAGCACGGTCCATGTGCACCCGAAAGGCTGGACATATTGACATAGCTGGCCAATCCACGTCAATATAGGTCTGGGCCAGATGCCATCCTGACTAGTATGGAGGACACCCGGTGAAGCAAATTTCTAAAGCATAACCATCCATAACGCCCCGTAGCAGTTTCCAAGCACTCGAGAGTACTTGAAACGGGGGCGTTTGGGTAGGGTTCGATTCCCGGCTACGGAATCAGGGCTGAAGGGCTTGCCAGGCCAATCACCCGAATTTAGGATACAGCGGATAAGCCGCCATCCAGCCAACGCCTCGGCACTACGGGGGATCAGGAAGCCTTGGCGTTTGGGGAATGGCCGACTACGGCCCTAATATAGCCGACTACGGCGAATTAAGTAGAAGAGGGGCCTTAGTATGGCTAATGCTTAATAGTCGTGGGGGGAATACCTAGTGGTGTGGTGGTGAGTTGATTCACCTCGGCGTTCCGTCAATCGGCGGCGGCAGCAGGTTCGTCAATACCTAAACATACCTAAACCACGCGTGAACGCACTTTCCCGATCGACGCTGTGTTGCGGTAGAGCGCTCTTGTCTCATAAGAAAAATAGTAGGGGCGGGGCTTGGATAAACTCCTGGCTGCAATTTAACAAATCTAGCAATTCTGTTTTTTAAATTGTTATCAGGATTCAGTATTTTCTGATTAATCTGTTCTTCCTGGATTTCTTGAATTCAATTCTTCCAAATTCGAAAAACCCCGAAATGGGAATAGATTTTGAAAGATAAATTCGAAATTTGTTGAATTCTTTGTTCAATAATTTTTTGCTGAATTTTTCTATATTTTATGCTTGCAGCACGAGCTTCAGAATTTCATATTATCAAAATATAGTTTTTTTTCGAGATTTTGTGAAATATTTGAGCACATAAACAAATTCTTAGATCTACCCTAATTTGGCGAAATTTAGTTTCTCATTTCCGATCAGACTTCGACAATATTACCTTTAACAAAAAACCAGTTGTCGACGTGATCAATGAAATAACTTTTCGCGTTTTCAGAGAAGCATCATCAAAAGAGCGTAACAATTCTCAAGACTGGGACTCAATTGATAATGCGTTGAAGTGATACCACTTATAATTTCACTAATGAACATGAACTTTTGAACTCTATCAAACCGCTGATTTTCCGACACGGCCCACCCATGCTTTCAAAAAATATGTCGCGGCAAGGCGGAAACCCGAAATAAAGATCTGTTTCAACAATTAATTCGGCGAATCGAAGATAACAGATAGGGGTTTGACTTGTGACCGCCTCCGCATAAAAGAATCGAAATTCTCATCTACTCACAACCCGCAGTCTTCACATATTATGAATTTGTATCACATTCTTCTTGTCGCCATCTTGGCAATTCTTTTCAACGGCGCCACTGCTCAATGGGGTGAGTTCATCGTTGTCTCAATTCATGCATATTCTCTTTAAATCAGGACGCGGTGGTAGATACGGTGGCCGTGGATATGGTGGACGCGGATATGGTGGACGTGGATATGGTGGACGTGGTGGTTTCGGTCCAGGCGGGTTTGGACATGGTGGATTTGGGCACGGTGGATTTGGAAGAGGGTTCTTCGGAAGAAAATAATCGTATGAAATTTTCGTTATTTTCCATTGGCACTTTCATCAATTTAATGATACAATTTAATTTTTTTCCTTCATTTCTGTCGTGTTTGTCAATCTCCGTATAATTCGGCGTCGATTCCGTACTCGCTTAACCATTATTTTCATCTCATAATAATCTATTGAACAAAAAGTGAATGTACACGATGATAATACATAATCAACACGCGCAATTTTCAAGACCAGCTTAATGTAGGTGAGAATCACGAATGAGATTCGCCAACGGACCCGACTGCAGCGGTGCCCATGTGCGCACCGGCCGGAATTCGAGCTCGATCCAGTCACGCTCCAGACAAGCCAGACGTCGTTCCGATAGTCGAAGAGGTTTCCCTTGAATTTGATTATCGAATTCTGTTGAAATCTTTGAGAGTACCTCGCTTGAGATTTCGGTCCTCCTCACCATGAGCGTCGAGGTACACGGATCCCCAAATACCGGCGCGACGTCCGACGGACACAATGCAAACTGACGAGTTGAGCGACAAAAATAGACCCGTATACGATGAGCAATCTTCAGCGTGCTGAAAATCGAATTTGAAACTTTTTTTGCCACAAACAAACTCAATTTACCGTTTCAGCTTCAATAACATACGATGAAGGGTGATCGGTTGTCATCGACTGCAAATTGCAGCATTCATCAATACATACAAGTTTGCCGCATAATAGGCAAACGAGAGGATTGTTCGGGATTTTTGAGCACGTCGAGCAAGCGCGATGGAAATATCGATTGAACAAATCGTCATAATTCGACGGCAGTTTCAAAATTCGCCGCGGTTGCCAAACAACAGGCTCATAGAGGAGTGGCTTAAAGGTAACAAGATGAAATTTGAAAAAAAAATACAAATTGCACCTGATATGAAGCGACAAAGTTCCAAACATCCTCATATCGATCAATCCATTTCGCGATTTTTGCGTGCGACGTTGTCAGCCATTTTTCTTCTGAATTATCTGAGTAGTAAGCACGCAAACGATATTCGAAGTTTACAAAATGCTTTACAAGTTTACAAATTAAGCTGGGTTATTGATTTTTGTAGGATTTCCATGGCTTGCGAATGCTTCATCCAACCATGGAAAAATTAGCTTGAAAACATCTTACCAATTCCAATATATCCCAAAAGCGTGAGCAATTTCGCGTTTTTATCGTGAACGACTTTTTCGTGAACATCAATTCTGATGAGATTGACGTGTCGATAGAGTTCAACGGCAAATCGCAAAAAATCGCCGACACTTTCATCGACATTCTTCACAAGAATTTCATCGCTAATTGGCGTCGGTGAAATCTGAAGGCAATTCCAATAATCGACATATTCTGAATAAATTGAACTTCAAGATTCTCATCGTTTCCCCGCAAATTCTCGATAAACGCCTTGAAGAACTCCTTGCCCTTCCCAAGACATCTGATAACCTCATACGGCATTTGCTTCATCACATCAATCATTCCTTCAATTTGATAGGCCCCTTTTCGAATTTGGGCCAATTTCTTGTGTCCAACTTTGAAAAGAAGTCGAAGAATGGAAGAGACCGATACCCAACTGACAACATGCTTCAAAAGGATCAAAGCAATAGCTGAAATCATATTAAAGCAATTTAATTATGGATAGCTTTCAAAAATTACCCATTTTATCCTCTTTTGTCATCGTTCCATTGTTTACAATATACGAAACTAGTCGAGTGAGCATCGGCTTCGGATCAAACATCAAAAGTGGCGCAGAAGACGGCGGAGTCACATTGGTTGAGCAGCTCTCGCTTTGCACCCGGCGTCTTTTGTTGGCCGACTGCAACAAAAATTATAGACTTACTTTGAAAAAAAATCGGAAACTAATTTTTTTTTTCACAAAATTGAGCACCATCAAAAACTTTTTCCAATACTTACCGGCATCAAAACATCGACCTCTTCACGACTCAATCCATGAAATTCCTGATATCTCGGCAATTCCAAATGAGCAAGAGCTTCTGTGACATTGTCCGTCGTGTATATCGGTGAGTCAAGAATCAAATCACGAAAAACATTAACGGCCGTCTCATTCTCGTCATTCGTGTAAATTGCGCACGCAGCATAGAGTAAATGTTCTGAAAAAACAAAACATTTGAAGTCATTGTGTCCTTTCATAAATCGTCAAGACCTACCAGCAATCAAGAATTTGGTATTTTTGCGAGATTCCGGAAAGTCAAACTTCTCGAAAACGCAATTTCTTTCAATGTGAGCGCTGAATTCCAAAAATGACACAAAAGCCCTAGAATTTCAACAAACGTCGTCATCGCAACCAGCGACGTTCCGCATTCTTCTTTCGGATGTAGCGCCCGCTTCTCAAGGACGTTCTTCGTTCGCTGCCTAGCCTCGAGCAATTCGGTCAGAGCGCTGTTGCCACTCAAATTCGAGTAGTGCTGATGGTACGCCTTATCGTTCGCGTGCTCAGCGGCGACATTCATCGCATGATCCACACATCCTTTCAAAGTGCTGAAAATCGATTCCGGCGATGCCCACGCGCCTCGCGATCGCGTTTCATAGCTTATATCAAGACCCATTGGAATTATCGTGTTGATCGAATAACGACAAAGGAAGCATCCAACTTCCATTAGAACATAACGATCTATCTGAAGGCAATTCAATCATTAATCACTTATTGACCAAACTATTACATAAGACGCCCAATATGCCGTAAAACAGTCAATATGCGCGCAATGCCCACAAGTTCTGATCTCAATTCCCGAATATGGATCATAAAGATAGTTGTCCATCGGATTCCGATAAGAAGCACATCTGTCCGTTTCCGGAGAGTACAAATTTCGCTTGCGTTCGTAAAAATGCCGGCGTGTCGTCAATTGCCACGAGATTCGCGCCGAATCTCGATCATGTCGATCAACGTCCAGAATGTTGTCAATCCTCTCACAATTGCCGTCAATTTGCTCATGCGCTATAAAATTTGGTGTGACCTGAAGAAAATCACCACAATTTCATTAGAAATCAACGCAAGCTTTTTTTTTTACATAGGCGAGCATTCCAAACGGCTTCTGAAGGGTGTTCGGCATTTCAGCGTCGCCACATATCGGGCAATCATAGAGTTTCACATCCGGTTGACTCGTGTCCATCTTATCTAGCTCATCCTGCGAAATTCCTTCTTTGGCTATCAATTTCTCCATAGTTTTTTGGCTCTTTATCTTATTTTGCATCATGATCGCCTCCAACCTAATTAAAAAAAAACAACCCAATTTTAAAATAGTTAATTTCTTCCAAAATTGATACCGTTTCTTTCTCTCCGCCTTTGCTGCATTCTTAATCTCCTGTTGATGATTAGCACCATTCTCTTCCTCAATCTTCTTCAATAATCGCTCCTCAATATCCAGTTTGAATTCAAGAAGCTTCCGGCACGCCGGTGATCTTAAATCAATAATTTTACATAAAACTCAAATCAAAACTTTGAAAAACCAACATTTTTGCTAGAATCGTCAAAAACCGCGCAAAATAAATTGAACAACCACCATAGAGTCGCTCAAGATCAAACTCGCCATTCAGAATCTTCCTCAACAATATCGTATACGATTCCGAGCCCCTTGAATATCCCTCGAATATTTGAACCATATACGAGCAAATTGTGTGTACAACAGGCTCCCCAATTTTATTGCTTAAATTTTTCTATTTGAGTGCGATTTGAAATCACTCGGATGTATTACTTTGTTCGAAGTTTGAATGGAGTATGATAAATCTTGACGAGCTCTCGCTTAACATCGTCTTCTTCTAATGTGCCAATATATCTATAAAAAAAATAAATATGCACTAAATATTGCTCAAAATATGTTAAAAGACATACTTGACACCCAAAGTCAGCAAATAAATCGCCATTTGAAATGTGGTAAAATGAATCACTTCATCCGTCGAATGCGCAAAAGCCACTGTCATAACCGCAATATTGATAAATTCGGGGGTGACGAGAAGCTTGAAAATCTCCGAAATTCCTTCGTGCCGTAAATTCTAAATAATACAAGAGTATCTAATAAAACATAAATAATCGAAATACTTTGTCAAAGCTAATAAGCCTGAATGGTATCCAGAAGTCGAGATCCTTTGGAATTCCATCATAAACCCTATGCTTCGCCACTTCCTTCTGATCGCGTTTCGCGACTTTCGCGAAAACCATCGTCGAATTCCGCATAGTATTGGCTCGCATGAATTGATAAATCGGACAGAACTCGCGATCCCAGATCTCGTCCTTCAGCTCATACATTCCCTGATTCATGTCATTTGAAGTGTCACCTTGGTCGGCTTCAATAAAATCGGCAACCTGGAATATTTCGGTTACCCTAAGAAAGACCTAACAAAAAAATTGCCTCCGTCAATAAATCATCGTAGACTTCATCGACCTGTTCTTCATTTTTCGATCCCTTCACACTGATGTGATTCCTCAATCTCGAGTGAGTTTTTCGCTCGGCCGTCAATGCATTAATGATTTCCGCGCGATAATAATCTCTCATCGACAATCCACAGTTTACGCGAATCACAACGATTTCGGCGACTAATTTCAGGAATCCGAACAGCACATAGTCCATCCAGTCGTTTCTCAACAGAACCGGCTCATTCGACGGCACTTGATGCACATATGAGCTATCAAGAACTTGGCGCACCTCGGCCGATGGACGCGATCCGAATTCATAGCGATTTCTTAAAATCAACTCGCGGCGCTGATCTCGGGTGAGATTGAGTGGCGCCTGAAACAGGCCAACTTTTTTGCCGCAAATCCAATTATCTGATTTGGCGATTCTGAAACATAACTTGAAAAATAAAAATGGAAATCGTTGACATACTCAATGATTTCGGCGAGTTCCTCTTCCGAATAGGGCGTGTTTTCAGACGCTTTCGAGAATCCCATTGCGAACTCAATTTTTTCTGGCTCGCTTTCTAGAATATCGATAAGCTTCTGCACGTCCTCGTCAACTTCGTCCCGCTTTGGATAATCGATTAACTGAAATTTCGAAGGCTCACAATGATGAAGCCAATTTTATCAAAACTTCCTCATCAACCCCGCCCAAAAATCGCGCCAACGTTTCGCTTTCAAGATTCGCAATTGTTCGGAACACCATTTTCTCGTCCAAATAGAAATTCTTCATGAAGCATTCGATAATCCATTGCTTATTGCAATATGCCGAACAGAATCTGAACGTCGAAAGAGAAAAAAATGCGTGAGCCATCATTTTTGTGACAAAAAATAGAAACCTGATTAAATCGATATCCGGCGTCTGGAACGAGGTGTTCACGTTGAACTGCGAATAGAGCATCGACATCATCTGCACTTCGGAGCCATTTCGCGTCCACATTGACGACGAGATCTCGCTTCGCGCCGCCTGTATTCTCAACGGATGAAGGATCAACAATCGCATGATTCTCTCGTTTCGCAAGATTGTCGATGCGAGTTTCTCGCGAAGCCTTGGCATATCATGCAAGTGCGATAGGCAAGTCGAAAGGTGTCGATGAAGCGGGAAATGGAACGAAACGACGTATGTCGGGCAAGCAATGATTTTCCGCGAATCCAACTTCGAGTAGTCGACTTCGTGGGCGCCGGTGACCAGACAAAATAGCCAACGCTGAAATCATGGCTCGCTTGCTCGATCGAATTTCATTTTCATACCTCAATTGCATCAAAAATGGTCTCGAAGAAACGAATCGCGGCGTCTTCATTATTTTCCAATTGAATTCCCGATATCATATTGAAGAGTGTCGTTGAAAGTGTCTCAAATTCCAACGTGTAAGCTCTGAAACCCACAGAATTTCCATTTGAAGGCGAATATTTACTAGAGACTTCTGAACGGGATCCGATGTATCGTGCGGAACATGCTCTCCAAGAACAATCCTCCAAACCTGATGCATGCCTACGATATGTCAAAAACCTTATAGCAAATCTTTAATTTAAAATCATACCCTGCATACTTAATAGTAGTTTGACATAAGAATCTTCAAAAGTCTTTTTATCCAAAATAGCCCTCACCGCTATTGATGGATGCGATAGTAAATTCTGCATGTCTCCCATCACAAACCAATATCCATGAAATTGAATAGTCGTGCTCTCGTTGATATCAATAATTTTCAAATCATTATAATATTGGGGTGGATCGCCATCGTGATGAAGATGGAAATATTTACTTTGGTCTGAATATTTGAATTTTTCTGAAAATTTAGTTCTGTTTAGATAATACCTAGGGTAAGAAATGAATTCTTCATCTTCTCGCATAGCAATGATCGAATCACATTATACACAGTTCTGACTAGATCGCATTTTTCATTTAATTGAAGACAAAGCGTGCTCGATGAGAGCATCTGGACTGAGACATGAACGACTCGACTACAAGTCCCTTGGATGTAATCCTTATCTCTTCCATGCGTTTTTTGATAATTGCATAACTCGCGAATCACCGAGCATATCAGCGGGTACCACGTGAAGAATTTCAGAGCGAACGCGTCGCGGTATTCGACTTCCGACAGAAGGCTCAACGCGAAATTGATGAGCGGCTGTGGGAAGTTCTGGCGAATTATCCAGAAGGTGAGCTCATCGAGAAGCGTTTTGCACCTAGAAATTCGACATTTTATTTATTTTCGCATTCCAATGAAAATGTAGTTTTTTTCAAGCAATTTCAACGAACACTTACTCAAGGCCTCTATCATTTTGCAGAAGTGGAAACATTTCCAGATCATCGCCGAGATCGAGGGACTGAATAATAATAAAGATTTTTTTATTGAATTTTATTAAACAAATTCGTACTGTTCGATCTTTTACAAACAATTCCCGCGTTCTCCAATCTAGGTTCACTTCAACCGGCGAGTTCGGAACAACGTGATCTCCAGTTTTTTCGGTTAAGGCTTGATAAAGATCGGCATCTAAAAGAATTCTTGCAATGGCTTCACGCATTGGACCACCATAGTTAGCCATTTCCTAGAAAATCAATTTTTTTGAAGGATTGAAGAAAAAAGACGAACCTGTAGAATACGAACCAGATCGATAACTTTTTCATATTCTCTTGTGCAGAAATGGCCTAGTGAGAATTGTGGGTCGAATGTGCCATCACTAAGCGTCCGATTTTGAACCATTCTGTTGAACTGACAAAAAAATCGATTAGACAGTTCTGCGGCTTGAACATCTAGTTTTTGTGTACCATCACAGTTTTCTCTTCATGCACTATTAACCAAAAACGTCGGGCTAATTAATGAAATTCTGTGAGTTTTCGAACAAAACATATATAGTTGAAGCAAGCAATACAATATCTAACAGGCGAATACCTCCTCTAGGCTAATATATCCCAAATTTTGTAATTTTCTACCAACCCATCCTCTCCATTCAAGGAATATTCGAACGATGAGCTTGACAATTATAAATTCCGGCAATGAAACTTCAAGGAAGTTTGTTTCGGGTTTCACAATGTGAGGACCATGGAATTTGCAAAATCTAGTAAAAAATTAATTGTCGAGAATTCTTTGACTAATTAAATAATTAATTACCCTTGTGGTCGAATCACATCCTCGTTGCCACAATCACACGCGCCTCCTTCTTTCGAAAAGAATCTCGTATAATCATGACCCGCGTGGCCGTTGGACTTGAAACAACTTTCGCATAGGGACATACAAGGAGTTAAAGCACATGTATTACACCGATAAGCCACTGTATCATTCTCCCAGATCTCGTTGCATTTCTTTGAAAAGTCCAAACTTTTCACTGAAATTCATACATTTTTCGGCATTTCTCCATTGTGTTTTCAACTTCTCTTTAAAAACTCTTTATAGTCATCTCCTTGTGCAATCAATATCCGTAGTTTGTCATGAAAGTGTAGATCATATCTTGAATTCGTGTTAATCAACCTGTTCAGAAGATTATCGAGCCGTTGCGCTTTTTTTCTAAAAGAATAATAACAATTTATCGATTTTTTGGTCAAATTCCACCTTAAATCTTTTGGGAAGACTTTTGTATTCGAAATTCCGGCGGCGAGGGGGTAATTATTCCGTCGCAACTCGTCGGATATTTGTTTCCAATATTTTATGTCATTTTGTACATGATTTAAATCTGAGCGTATCTTGTCATAATTTAAAATCGACATGGCACTTTCATCTGGAAAAATGATGATGAAAACACTATGTTTTCTTAACACATTCTCACCATTTTCTGAATCAGACGACGAACAAGGATCATCTACTTCCATATTTCTGAAAAAATGAAATGAAAGTTCTATCTCAACAAAAAACAAGAGGAAAACAACAAGTGTTCAATGTCGAATAAAGCAAAAGCCATGGAAATGCTGGCTGGTGCGAGACGGAAATTTACTTTCATTGTCGGCTGTCTCTCCGCGAGTTTGCGAAATTTCGCACTAGCGTTTCTCTCTCATTATCGGCACAAAAATGGAAAATTTAAAAAATTAAATAAATAAGAAATAAAATATACCGTAATTTAAAGGTACGCACAAAATAATAATAATGTCCTAAACATACTTAACGAGTACGGTATTAAATAAATTAATTTTTGCGTATTTATAATGATTTTTATATAAAGATAGAATATTTCATCATATTTTTAGTTATTAAATTTTTTTTAAAATTTGAAATAATTTTTGAAAGGATTATATATGCATTTTAGATGCAAGACGAGAAGGGACAGAGCCCAATTCCTAACAAACATAGTTGGTTTAATAGAAACGTTAGAAAAAACTGATTCACCGTAATTAAAAAAAACGTTCCAGGAGTACTCTAATAAGGAATTAGATAAAAACGATCATGTTACTAATTGGATAAGCAGTACACAATTTGAAACGACGTTCGACAGTCCACCGCCAACGATTTATAGAAATATGGTAAATACGTTCTATTTCTACAATATATCATAAATTTCCGGGTGATAGTCACCGAGCGAGCGCGTGGAACGAACTCGAAAAATGATAGAAAATGAAAAGTATTATTCGCTCGCCAAGAATTCAACCACGGAAACTGTGTATACGCAAGACCTCACGACGCCACCACCATAGTTTAGATCATAACTTTAGTCAAATTAAAATATTTGCTTTTAGCCCTCCTGAAATTAATGGAAACTCGAGCCTGAGAGATACGAGAATTCGAAGACAATCTGATAATATGGAGATATATGATGAATTAGAGTAGAACTTTCATCATTCAATTTAAACAAGTAAATTGATTTCAGCAAAATTAAAATAGAGGATGATATTTATGAAAATAATGATTTCGTCGATCAACCAAATTGGGTAATTGCAATGCCGATTGATATTTCGAGAGATGATGAGGAAAATAATACAGTAATATTTGAATCGTATTCTTTTGGATTTTGTCTGTTTCAGATAACTGTTTATAGCTACCAATTTGGCGTTGAGAGGTTGACGGTCAAAGCCGACGACGTAACCGATGAGATCAGAAATTCGAATGCGATTCGTTACACACGAGACAATTTTATGAATGTTAGGGTAACCAGTTTTTTCAAATAAATATCATCATTTTCAAAACTCAACATTTTAGGTGAAACCAATATACTACGCGATGTCGAAAACGGGTTTAGTTAATTTGAAAGTTCGCTATAATCGCGGCATCGAGATCAAAACTTATGGATTGTGCGGCTACTTGGATTCCCGCAGCGAAATTTCTGAGAATAGCCATTTATACATCTGGTTCCATTTTGAACGAGTGTCAATTAATTAAACTGTTTTAAAGGACGGATATCATTGGCCTTATTCGACTCACGCATCGAGATCGTAGATTGCTCGCCCAAAAACGTTGCATAGACGAGTCGGTGGTGTTCGCGCCAATTCGTTTGGTGACACTAACAGTTCGCGCCGAGTTTCAATTGTGATCAGCAGCCAATTTTATGATATGTAGTAGTTGAATTCTATTTTAGAAACATTCCTGACAACTATCATCCAAAATGGGTAATTTCTTCGATCCATCCAATTGTTGAAGTATCTTCGGTTCGAAATGAGGTTTTGAATATTGGAAGAATTCTTTGGCCGTCGCGGGTGTCTCGATTTGATGATTTATCTCTTTTTGAGGAGGTTTCCCATTAATAACATCAAAAGTCTCAATTTATTTCGCAGAGAAACAATTTTATGGTATTCCGCTCGATTTCAAAACCAGAGGTTCTGGTCTCCGTTTCGAGACATCATTACAGTTTGGTTTACTCTGCAGGTCCTCATTTTGTACGGAATGGAATTTTCACAGTAGTAGTTTCATAAAATCATTTATTTTTCATTAAAGTTTTAGGCGTTGGTTGTCCCAGGCTCGAAAAACTCGCGAAGATATGAAGCTTTAATCATCGGACCATTGAAGGTAATTAAATTTTGAATGGAAAGTTAGAAGAAAAAAGTAGATCAAAATTTAAGGTTGTTATGGTTGTGACCTGTGAGAGACTACTTAATTATTCGCCGAAAACTTGGCCGCCATCGATTGATCGCCTTCAAAAAATGTATCAGGGAAAAAGAGATGAAGTATGTAGATAAAATTTTCCGCAAAAATTTTAGCTTGATCGATTTTTTCAGTTGCAAAAAAAACTGAGGCCTGATTACCACGATAACATTAATCTCGAAGAACTGATGGCGTTCGATCCCGACGAAAATGAAACGAAGAGCCTTTTTAATCCAACTCTCTCAAAACTCCGCAAACCAAAATTCGGCTCGTTTGAAATTTGAGCGCATTTTTTCTGATTGCTTGTTTGTCACTGAGAAATATCCTTTATTTAAATTCGAAAAACATAATAAAAGTAGTAAAACTTCATTTAATTAACGCATTCGCGTCCCTCGTTGTCGAATGAGCCTTCCAAGTTGATAACTCCAATGTCAATCCATTGTTCTGCAGTTGGGGTGCCGCCATGGATGAACTTCTTTGGAATGGTGAATTTGATCTTACGTGAGCATGGCTAGAATTTCGTTATTATTTTTTAAGAAAATACTAACAAATTAAAAAATACCGTCTGCTCGTCTCGACACTCATGCCAAATGTAAAGCACAGGATCGATTGAGGTCAACTCATGGGTGCTTCCAGTCAACGCGAAAGCTCCATCTTCGCCAGTTCTCTTCTCATCAAGGGTGTCATCCGGATCCGGTCCTACAAGCCCCATTTTTGAAAATCATATTGATACGGTGTATTTACCAGTGTCAATATCGACAATTCTGACTTTAGTGTTATTGGCGAACGCATTGCCGCACTTGAGGACGCCTTTGACAGCGACACCTTGCTTACGCATTGCGAGCGCGAAGCCAATGAGGACCACAATAGTGGCCAATGTAAGCTTCATGCTGAAAATTAGGCGAAATTGCGATCGAATTCGAATCAAAACAAACAAAAATACGAGCGAATGAGAAATCAGTGGCGTTTGATAACTGAAACGATTTTGTTATCATCCAGAGGGTACGAGAGAAATCGCAAAGAGATAGTGTGTTATTGGGTGATAAGCGACTAGAGAAATGTTTACAACAACTCAGCCGATCAATTTGAGCCCCCCGTCGAATTGTCTAAAGAGTGATACGTCGGCCGATCGCGCTTTTTATCGGTTTTGCTTTATTGATGTCGGCCCGACAGAAAGAGAAGAACACTTTATCATTGAAAAAACCATAAAAAAGAAAAAATAAGGCGATACATAATTTTTAAATTGGATGATTGAGAAGGAATTGCTGAATGACGTAGTACATTTGTGGGGCACGCCATTGCGGGGCCATGTGTCCGGCGCCGCGGATCGTCAAAAATGTCAATCCATCGAAAAGCGTCTTGAATCCGGCGATTTGACGGTCATACTTCCATGGCGTCTTTTTCAAGGTTCTCTGAAATCAAGAGTTTGATAAGATCGCATTGCGTGACTTACGCGAAGTCCAAGTTGATCGGCGAATTGCTGTCCCATCATGAAATTGCAAGCCATATCAGTGTCGCCGTAGTAGAGAAGAACCTTGACGTGGTTCTTGACAATCTTGCGGATGAATGGTCCCATGTCGGTGTACTGCTTTTGATAGGTGGTGGTGACCTTGTCGCTGCAGATGTCCCATTTGCCCAAGTTGAATGGAATGTGAAGCGCCTTGCGAACCTTCGGGTTGTTCATGTAAGCAAGCATTTCAGTATCATTCAAGCACGGCACATCAGCGCCAACCGACGAGTCCTTGTCGTTGAGGAACCGGTAGAGGCTGTTGCGAGTGAAGTTCTTGTACATCGCGTCGATGTTGGCCATTTTTGGTGCGACGCCGCGAAGCATATGACGCATCTTCTTCGAATTTCTCGCCGGATTCGGATCACAATCGCGATACAAATCGTATGGATTGAGTCCGCCGAACCACAAGAACTGGAAGATGTCCTCAACGATTGTGGCACATTGTCCGGTGACGTCGGTCAAATCGCAAGACTCGATGCATCCGCTGCAGCAATCGCGCTCCAATGTCTTCCAGACCTTCTCGTCGATCAATCCGTGTCCGTAGGCAAAGCGAACCGACGTGTCGATGTTCAATGTCTCATGGACATATCCATTTCCAAGAGCCATTCCCTGAATAATCAAAATCTATTAGGATACCTTTATTTGGAATTGGAAACCTTCAGATTGATTGGGAAGTCCTTTTGTCCATCAACGATTCTAGCGGTCAACGTTGGCACGTAGACTCCACCATACGACTCGCCCATTATGTAGGTGGCGTGATGACGGAATTGTGGGAATTCCTGCAAATCGAAAAGAGTAGACGTTTCGCTGTAATTCTTACAGTGAAGAATTGCTTGACGGCTTCGTAATTCTCCAATGAGGTCAAATCGTCATTGGTGGTGATGTTTCCATCGGTAGCGTATGAATATCCAACACCCGCCGGCGACTCGATGTAGACAACCGAGGCCATTTTGTTCCAGGCATACTCATTCTCGCGAAGCGTCTTTCCGTCGTCATTCGCCACGTATGGTCCCATTTCGTTGAGAAGACCGTCCAATGACGAGCATCCTGGGCCACCGTTGAACCAGAAGATCAGTGGATCGTTCGATGGATCATCTTGAGACTCGACGAACCTGAACAAGAATGTTCATTCTCCAATGAGGCATTGATTATTTGATACCAATAATGGAGAACGTGGTTGTCGGAAACCTGGAAGAATCCCGAATAGTGTTTGAAGTTGAGCTCGAAGTCGACGCCGGGAAGATTTTTGATCTCCTCGCTAGTCGCCAAGGTGGCGCACAACGCCAAAACGACGGCAAACACGAAGCCTCGCATTCGACCTGTAAGAATCGAAAATTCGAAATCAAATTGAGGACGCCAATGAAATGGAATTGATGTGGCACATCTGTCGCCACTGACCCCGACATGATGAATTGTGGATGGGCGGTTCCCGCCCTCCCGGTAGAGAGCCGCAGAGGTGAAGGAGGACGACGACGAATTGATCTTTGAGAATTCGACGTCGTGCAACAAAAATTGCTCGATAGGCGTGAAATGAATTTCAATTAGGGTCACAAAAGCCTGGAAATTGCCCGCAGATTGAAAAAATTAAAGGCATTTAACGAAATGCCATCCATCGCCTGCGGAAAATAAAACCAATGGCCGCAGTCTTTGCTCAAAAATAAATGTGGAGATCACCGATTAAAGGCGCACATCGTGCATCGAGACCTCTCCCAAAAACTTTCAGCCAATTTTCCCCCAGACTTCGACAATAGAACCTGATCAATGAAATTTTTGTTAGCTACAAACTTCAAATAATATTTTTTGTGATGAATCGATATGTGCCAGGAGGCGCCAGAATGTTGACCGCCCGAAGCGCCTGTGTTACACCTCAAAATCCGATTAATCTTTTTGCAGCGGCTCGCCGCATTTTTTCCGTCTTCCGGGCAATCAGCCCATTCGATCATGCGACACATATTTCATCGACAAAAAAAAAACAATAAAATGAAGAACATTTAATGAAATAAAAAAATGATCAGCCGGATGTCGCCTGCTCATCGGGAGCAAACACCAAAAAATGAATCGCGTTGACGGTTTGAACAACAAATTTCTAAAAGAAAAATTGGGGATTACGAGATGGTCTAGGTTCGAGGCACCTTCGGAAAGGCCATCAGCAATTGGAGACAATCCAGTAAACCAGTATTGAACAAATTTCCGCGGTATTTTCTTCTAAAAATTCAGCTTGAATCGAAAATTGTTGAAAATCTCCAAAAGACTACCCATTCTCTTGTAGAACCCATGTCGAAATAATTCCGTTGTTTGTTAGAGTGTAAAGATTGTCATTGTCACATACAAGGTCGACGGTGTTCTCATCACCATCAAATACTAGTTGGTGCGATGGGCTGCTTGGTTTAGCCGCATCCCATATCCAGCAAATTTGGGATTTCCTCTCAAATACGATCAAACGATTCTCGCCGAATTTTGCGATTTTTCCATTCGTCAAAATCTGACAATAGAAGATCGTGAGAAATTGTTTGATTCGCGCTCACCGCGTTCAACTCATACGTCTCATAGTCGAGCGGAAAATCGATGGCGAAGCTTGCCAGAAACTTGGGACTGATCAGCATGAAGCGCTGCTCGATGACAGTTGCTGACAACACCGGAAGAAGAAGTGGGCTGCACCGGAGAAGTCTGTCAAAATGACGCGTCGGATTGATAGGCTAATCGAGGATTCCAACCTGGTGCAGTGATCACCATCGATTCGACAAATCACACCATCTCGATTAACAAAATGGAGTTCGGCGTTATGAATGAAAACGGACACCAATTTTTCGACATTAATTAGAATGGAATTTTCAAGATCATCGATATCTAGAATATTAATCTTTGACGAGGAATACACCTAAAGGAAAAGTTGTTAGACTCGTGTTAGGATCCTAGATCATACTACGATCCAATTGAACGCAGAGAATAGTTGAATCGACTCCTTCGAATTGAAGCATTTAATCACTTTTGACACACTCTTCTATAAAAATGTCATTTTTTAGTGCTAAAACTCAAAGTTTAAAATTACCAATAAATTTTTGAGGGTTCTCAACTCGATGACAAAACACCCATCAAACTGAAGCAAGACGATGAAGACTTGCTGCAAAAATTCGACCGACAATTCTAAAACGTCGCCCAAAAACTTTGGCGCATATTTACGCTGTGTCTCCGCATCGCGTGCGATCTACCGTGTGTGTGTGTGTGTGTGTACACGACCCCGATATCGGCGGACGAGGCGGCTGGCTGGATGACGGTTTTCCGCATCCCATTTATTTCTTTCTCTCTCTCTCGAGAAATCCTCAATATCGTTCAATTCAATTACCCTAACTAATCGTGATCCATCAGAATCGGCCTCAATTATGTGATGGTACGGCTAAACATTCGCTATTGGTTCCTCGCAATCCTCATTTTGTACATTCTATTTCATATCATATACACGTTTTTTCAAAAAATCCACGTCGACAATTCTCGAATATCCTATGAGGTATTCCAATCGCCCAATAATCAACCATTTCATGAATTAGTTTTGTGTTTCAGCGGCTTAGCGATGGTCCGCTTTTATTAAAACCTGGCCGTCAGGTGCAAACGCGTCGCGGAAATGTGATCGAAGCCATCGGATATGGTCTCTTAACGGATTTCAATCCAAAACGTAAATTATTTAGATTTCAAAAAAAAATTCGTTATATTATATTTACATTTAGAAAGTCATCGAAAGCCTCAAGAAGTGTTTCCAGCATCGTCTTCAAAAAAATCCGAGCTGCCGGAAATTTTAGAGAGCAATGAGAAGGTAACTCATTAAACGCTCCCAATTTATTTTTTGGCCAACCGTCTGGTTTTCAGCATTTCCTCGAAGCCGCTAAAACCATCCTTCAAAATTTCAACGAAACTGATCGGCAGCTTCTCTATTTTACACTTATCAACAAAGCTTTCGAGCGAATGACGTTGAATTGGATATGCAATACCGCTCTATTTCCAGATGTTCATTCTCGAACCCTAATAGTTAGTATGGACCAATTTGCCTGCGAATCGATTAAATCTCAATGGGATGATTCGGTAGATCAAAAAAAGATCTGAATTATTGACGTAAAGCCAACAATTTCAGATAGCTTGCATTTCGTTGAATATTCGTGACTATGATGGTGGCTACGAGTGGGGAAAACAAAAGTATATCAATCTGCTCACAATTAGAGCCAAGCTCATGTTCATTTTGACCAAGGTATCTATAATTATTGGGTGCGATTATCATTTGAATTGTCGCCCTGGGTCTCGTATGGAAAAATATTCTTGCTTTAGAAGCGAAAAAAATTGTTCAAACTCATCCGTCTCGTATATTTATGAAAGTTTTAGGCTGAAATTCCCTATGTGCTCTTTGAAACCGATGCTACATGGTTCAAAGATCCTCTTCCATTATTTTTAAACCGAACATCAAGCTTCGAAGACTTTGACATCATTGTTCCGATAAAAGGATATAATGGAGGAACGTCAGACACCCTATCGCACAATCCAATGCTCGCGATTCCCACAAATGGCACACTACAATTTCTAGAAGCACTCGTCGACAAATTAGAAAATAATACAAGACTTTATGATCAAGTAAGAATTCCTTTTCTTTACTGCATTTTCAGCCATCATTTTTTTCAAAATTGGTCGATTGATCCGAATTTTTTGGGACACCATGCCCATCGAATTCGCCAATGCGCTTCTCTCATTTTCAAAAAGAAAGTGAAAAATATGAAAAAGTCCAAAATGAGGTAGCACTCGATTTACAATTATTTGAAGCTGATCAAGGGGGTGTTTGAAAATCGCATCTGAATTTTCACAATTACAAAAATCCGAAAACGGCGAGATGTGTTGGTAGGGATTTTGACAGTCTTTGACAGCGTCACAAGCACCTCCTTGGCATTGAGTCTAGAATGCTCTGGGTATACCGTAGAAAATTTCAGACCAATCGGCCAATCATGAAAAAAAAGTGAAGGTTTTATATAGAATTATGGCCAGCACTGTATATGGGATATTCAATATTCAGGATGTTATGAATGAAATGTGCGCAGAGCAATTCAACGGATTGATTTGTCGGACATTTGAATACGACGAGATTGCCGATGGAAAATGGTTCAAATCGCGAAATTCGGGGCCCCAACATCCGTACATTGTCAACAACAACTTCTACGTGGGCATCAAGAACAAGGAGACGCGACAATCGCTCAACGGCCTCTGGTTTCTCGCGACACGCTCAAATCAGTGCAAAATTGGAAAAGTGCGCAATTTTCTTATTGCCAATTCGGGTACCTTTTGATTGTTGTATATCGATTGTTGAACATTCTGATGATGTACGGGCTTGATAAAAAATGACGCGTTGTGCATCGGCGTTTCCGAGACCCATTGTTTGAGCTAGCGAGAAAATGAAACGCTCAGAGTGAGCTCGGTGAATTGGCCAACCTGCTGTTTATGAATATAAGCGCTGATATGTCTCAATATTCTTTCCAGAGCGCTTTCATCATAATCCTCAGGTCGATATGTTGGTGGAAGTTCGGCATAACATCCCTTTGATTCGACTTCAACTTCATCGGTCTGCACCCATTTGTCTGACTGCTCCAAATGGCTCCCATCTGTCATACAACTTCGCTCTTCGAGCCGTTTCTGTCTGAAATCTTCACAGTTTCATTGATAATCGCAAAAGTTCACGTTAGTCGTGGATTCTCATCAATTTCTGGAGCGTAGCCCGGCCGGATTTCAATCAAAAAATCGACTGGTGTAGCCTGAAAATGTCGTATTCAGAGGAAAAAAGGGCGTTCTCAAAAATGTTTAATTTCGCTGTGCAAAAAATTAAAAAAAAAGGAAGACAAATGTTTTTTTTTTATTTTTCTTTTCAATGAAATCGACTCATTAGAGCTCTATTTAAAAAAAAAAATGATTTAAATACTTGAAGAATAATGCTCCTTTTATTTTTAGAAGATAATTTGAGTAGACAGTCTTCGTCACAATCAGCAAGCGGCGGCAAATCTGATAAAATACATTAAATTGAACAATTTTATTGAAAAAACCGACAAACCTGCAAATAATTCATCCATGAATGAAATGTTGTGAATTTAACGGCGCGTGAAAATTTGAGGTCTCATGAAATTTTGCATAATACTCATAATAAATGAAAATTCGAATGAAATAAATAGAAAAGTGGAAATTAGGCCTGAAATTATTTTCGTATTATTGGAATTAAGCGCGAATTTTTGAATTTTTCAAAATTTATATTTGCAAAAAAATTAATATGGGAAGATGCTCTGGGTTGCATACAGCCTAATTTTTCTTCCAATTCTTTTAAAATAAATTTTGGAAACCCCTTCTCATAAGAAATTTCTTATGTATAACATAGTTGACTGGTGTGAAATGAAATGTGTGCAAAATTGCGTACGTGTGTAAACAGAGAAAAATGGGATTGTTTTTTTTTTTACAAAAAAATGTAATTAAAAAAAAATAATTTAATTTGCATTTTTTACAACCCTGCATTGCAAAAAAATGTGTAATTTTTTAAAAACATTTTTATTGGATGAGTAGTTCCATAAAAATGTCCATATGGACCTGTCGAATTAATTCCATCAACAACTAATATTCCTGCACGACTCTTTCTTCTTTAGGTTTGCAGGAAAAGCTGTCTCCAATTATTCTATTCAAATTTCCGGCATTTTCTCAAAAGCCGATTGCTTTGTAACATGACCGAAACGTCTCGCCTCCATGACTCACCTTTCGCTTCTTCGTCTGCGCTCTACGAACATCGTGTGCTTCAATTTTCGATCGGAAAACAAACAAACCGTAATAGTCGGAAAACGGGTGGCTTGCTGGCCGTGCTATGCATATGTGCATATACATCTTTTGTTCATGTTACGACTTTCTCAATGCATGTAAATTTTGTTGCACGTTTAAAAAAATTATCCATATTTTCTTGTTATTATTTTTCATCTTTTCATTCTAAAAAATTTTTAATAAATTGCAGAGCTCTTCTTCAATTATCACCGAACGCCATAAATTCAAAACTTCAAAATAGGTCGTCCCAACGCGAAGAGGCCGACTCGTCGCGACGAGCATGTCGTTGTCGACGACGGTCTCATTCATCTAAAGAGCGCCGACGACGACGACTGCTTCCATCGTCTTCCCTACGCTTCACTAATAGCTTCGTTATTATGTATTCTCGGTGTCGTCTTGTTCGCTATTATGATGTCGTGGGCATTCAATGCAACTGCAGAGCAAACGCGAAGAACATTAAGAATTGACGATTGGCCATGGCTAGACAAGGTAATGAAAAACAAAATGATTGCCAAAAAAATGGAAAAATAATTCATTTTAAAGGTTCAAGTGGTTTTCATAGTGCTAGCCACAATCATGTCGTTTTTCGCATTGTTCTTCTTATGTATCGGATTCACCGCGACGGGAGCAACAAGGGAAACAATGTATAAAGACGCAAGTGCGCGATGCGGCGGAAAAGTCGCATGTGTCATCGCAATGATATTCGACATTCTACTGGTAAAATGGTGTTATTCAATTCATCTCACACATCGGGATTTCAGGTGATCGCTTGGTTATTCATCACATCAATTGTATCAATGCTTTGTGTTGCCTACTTCTTCTTCGACAGACTATGCTTGCATCTTCCCGCATATTCCGAAGCCGACTGTATTGATCTTCATGTATTCTGGCCGCTGGTGGCTTCATTTGCAAACTCTGTAATTAACCACTAAATTAACAAAATTTGGAAAAGTCCAATTTCAGAGCTTCCGCGTTTGCGGCGGTGATGCTCAACAATTCTGTGCATTATCATCAACCGCTTTCAGTTGGTACGTCATCGGATGGGTAAGAAACGAGTCCCTATTATCGATAGTCATTCTTAAAAGTTCAGGTTGGTTCGGTGTTAATTCTTCTAGGATTATTGCTGTTTTTCGGAATACATGCTTCAAATTATGCACATATTGGAAACGCTAGCAAGTAATTGATTTAATATTGAAAATTTAAATAATCTCAAAATTGTAGATACATTGAATTAAATCACGTTGAACGCTATGATCCCCAACCAACAAGGGGTAGACGCTATGAGCCAAGCCATCAAACTTGGATGAACTCGAATTACTCGTAAGTATCTTTAAAATATGCCAGTATGTGCCAAAAAATTGTTTGATAGATCTACCTCACGCAATGCCGAAGCCATGTCAGACTCAGTGAGCCAATTCGATTACCGTCGTAACAAACGTCCTGTACCGGTTTATTAAAAAAAAATGATCTTTTTCTTATGTATGTATATAGAAGTTAGCGACTGCTTTTTTATTTGTCATTGGCAATTCATAAGAGCAAGAAGAAAATCCACAAAAATTCAATATTATTTTCTTTTTGTAAAGTTTGTAATTCTTTATTAAACAATAACTGGATATCAATTGGTGGCCCTAAAAAGGGCCGATGGGATTCGGAGATGTACGGTGAGAAGAGTACCGATTAGCCTGTCGATGCTCTAGAAGCATCGTCAGTTGATCCCCTTTGCCACGGAGAGGCTCGGTACGTGAAGAGGAAGCTCACCAGTTGCAGGAAGAAGCCTGAACTGGATCATTGCCCGATCCCGAAGGATCTAAAGAAAAGAAGAGACGGTACGAAGAGAAGAAAGGGGAATCCCAAGTGGTGGGATGGAAAGAGAAGAAGCCGCAAGTGGTACGGCAGAGGGGGGAATCAGTCGACTGATAGAGAGAAGGGGACAGTCGCAAGTGGTACGACTGGAAGAAAGAAGGGGAAGCCGGCTTTCCCCGAAAAAAGAAGAGATGGTCCCAAACGGTAGGACCGGGAGGAAGTACAGACGTAAGTGGTACGAATGTACAGAGAGGAAGAGAGGGAAATCCCAAGTGGTGGGATAGAGAGGTTGGAAGCCGTAAGTGGTACGACTGGTGCAAGAAAATAATAAAAACAAATAACAAATAAAAAAAAGAAAAAAATTACCACGATCCGCGGATGAAATACCTGACGTTGGTGCCCTTCCTCGTCGCTTCTTCGAGGTGTCTTCTTCGATTTGATCCATTCGATCCATGATCCCTGTAATGATTCGAACTATTCTGATAGATTGTTAGTCCTTCGTTACCATTCAAATCCTTATCATCGATCTGCTCGACGCCCCGAGCAGCATCGACCTTTCGCCATTTCCCTTTCTTGCTCATCTTCACGTGATGTGTCTACTCATGCAATGTGGGTTTAACGTCGTCCTGGACGCGACACTGCAGTAGGGTTAGTACAGGCTTACCGAGTCGCACCAGTCGAGAATCCCCGACACTTTCAACATATCACATCCGAAGAGCTCGAATGAGAAACGACATGTGGCTCCTATCGGATCTGCAAAACGAGGAATTGAGAAAAAGGATTGCGATGAATGTGACTTACCGTGTGGATCCTTGGCCACAGCGAGCCCGCAGGCTATGCGGGCACGGTGAGACCGCAAGATATGCGAGGCACGACGAGGAGCCCGCAGGTTATGCGGGGCACGTCGGGCTCACAGGATTTGCGGGTTTCCCGCAACTCGGGGAGCTGCGAGAACTCTGGTAATTCATTTCGAATCGAATACGACACATTTGAAACCGAATACGACAAATTTCGGCTCCGAACGTGACCTAATTAGGTTCGAAATTTCTCGTATTAGGTTGTGAAATTATCGTATTCGATTATCTTTGGAATACGTTTCGAATGCAGCCGTATTCGTTTTGAATGCAGCCGTATTCGTTTTGAATGTAGTCGTATATTTTTCAAATGTAATCGTATTCGGTTTTGAATTGAATTCGATTTGAATCAATTATGGAAGAAAAAGAAAATCGATTAGACAAACAAAATTATTTATTGCAATAAACACAATAACAACCAACAGCAGGAATGAAACAAAAAATATGTATAGCAGGATGTGCGATTTTTTCAATTTATTTCTTCGGAAATACTATTTCGATTATTTGTTTTCGCCATTTTTTGACGAAAAATTTATAACTTGCTTCAATTTCGACATTTCCTTTTCTGGTAAATGAAAATCGATCGAGTTCGAAAATAATTTTCTTTTCAATCGAAATCGATAATACATTAATCTGTTTCGAATTATTTCAAAATTTAAATCGAATACGATTTCAAAATTGAGAATGAAGAATGAACCAATCGATTTCGAAGATTTATGAATCGAAACAAGTTTTCAAAGCGAATCTAAACAATTTCTCAATCGAATTTCATTTCTTTTTCTATCGAATCAGATTAATTTATATTTTGTTTTTTTGATTATCATTTAACTACGGAAATTCCAAGCCAACGCAAACCTGATAAACTGATATACAGAAAATTAACTATGGCGCGAGTTCGAGAGCTCCTCCTCAATTCGCAGCCTCCTTGCGCGATTACTAAAAATTTTCCAGTAAAAAAACTATAAAAATGAAATATTGACTAACCATAAGTATTCGATATAATTTTCCGTGATTACTGTAACGGCAATTCGCATCATCTTCTCTTCGGTGTCCGGGATTGATATACAATGTAAAAGTAATTCTGTAAAAATTAAATTATTGAAATATTATAGAATTATAGAAAACTGACCAATAAACGTATTGATTATGTGCGCTTCAATTGCAATATTACCTTTTTGAGGATTTCGGCGTGGCGTATACTTGCATCGAATGTTTTGAGGAATCACCTGTAACTATGAAAATAGTAAAAACATCGAAAATTATTTTTTACCTCGTTCATCCAAATCATAACTGCCTCGTGCACTATTGTTCGCAGATGACGCTTACAGGGACGCATCGACTGAATGATAAGTGAGAAGTTAACCAAATCTTTAAAAAAAGTTATTTACTGTAACGAATTTCTTTTTACCATTTCCTTCAATGGCCGGCACAAGGGTGTCGTCATAAGAAGCAAGCTTCAGCGGGTCGAACATTGCAAATACCTTGTCCTAAAAATAGTAGGCAATTTATCTGTTTGACGCAATTAAATCACCAAATTCCCGCTATACGACGTCCTATTCGCTGGTTTATTACAAATCTTTTCCACCTAAAAAATTGAATTGATAGAAATTGAAGGAGTGTGTTTTAAACTGCACATAATTAAGTGATCTGAGAAGAATTTCAGAAGTGAATTGCAGTGATTAATTGATATTTGTAAAATATAGATTAACTAACCGAGTATGCGAGAGATTTAATGCAGCATAATGCCGCTTTCTCTGTATCCGTTCCATTTTTGTATATAGCCTTCAGAAGAGAATCATCGAAGGATATGAGTCCTTGGGCGTGGTCATCGAACTTTTTCTGAATAATGATCATATATTTTTTATTGCTACACGCTTACTTCAGCAATTTCTTTTTCTTCTTTGTTTTCGCTCAGCAACAGGTGCCAACTTCTGTTGCAATTGATATCATCGAATTTGTTGAAACTATTAAAAAATATATTTACATTGAATCATACTGTGGAAAATTGATAAATATAAACGTGCGCGCACGCGAACCGCACGCGCCCGAACGCGAAAAAATCTTGTAAATAGCTGCATTTCGGTGTCTCGCGGCAACAAGGAGTAAGCAACACTACTGGGCATTCATTAGTATTAAATATACTCAGCTCGTCAGCTCGGATATCATACGATATCGTTAACTTTTCGAAACCGACAAAATATTTTTTAAATAGAAAATTTAGGATAAATATGTCGCCGAATCCGGTTAATTAATTTGCGTTCGATTGTAATTCGTATTCGTTTCGGTTTTACTGCCAATTCGTATTCGATTCGAAATTTTGCGTATACGTTTGTAATACGCGTTCAATTCGTATTCGATTCGAATCGAGTTACCAGTGTTTTTTCGAACGTATACGATTGTAATTCTATCGTATTCGTTTCGGTTTTACTGTCAATCGTATACGATTCGAAATTTTCCGTATACGTTTGTAATACGCGTTCAATTCGTATTCGATTCGAAATGAATTACCAGAGTATAGTGCCACTGGTGCCGGTGCGAAACATGCAATGGAGCACGTTTGTCGAACCGAACTGCAAATTGATGCCAAGTGTCCGCATACTCTCTTATTTTAGCACACTCTCTCATCTCACGCACGCGTGAACGCACTTTCCCGATCGACGCTGTGTTGCGGTAGAGCGCGCTGGTCTCATAAAAAAAAACCGTTGGGGCGGGGCTTGGATGAATTTTTTTAATCGTAATCAGGATTCAGTTTTTCCAATTTCTCTTGATTTCAATCTTTCCAAATTCGAAAAACCCCGAAATGGGAATCGATTTTGAAAGATAAATTCGAAATTTGTTAAATTCTTTGTCAAATATTTTTTTGCTAAATTCTTCTATGCTGTATACTTGCAGTACGAGCTTTTTTATTAAATACAATTTTAGTTTATAAATCATACAATTAATTTGCTAAAAAAGAAGACGTGAGTCGCATTTTTCAAAATTATTTCTTCTTTCTTTCTTCTTCTTCTTCTTTTCGAAATGCCTTACCATTTGCTGGATGGAAACAAAGAGATGGTACGTATTTAATGGTCCCAAATTTCATCGAAACTGCATTATTCTATAAGATTGTCTTCGAGGACATTCCTCAGAATCAGATCCAATGTTTCGAATTGACGAACAAGTTCGACAAACGAATGAAATTTTTATGGGAGTCGAGTGTTTCAAAAATTTTGAAAGTGATTCCGAATTGCGGCGAGCTCGAACCAGGCCAGAAAGTTGCAATCATTCTCTGATTAATCGTTTCAAAAAATTATTAGAAATCGTTTGAGCTTCACTATTTTGGTGAAAACTGCACCGACATGGAGTTTGAAGAAAGGTTGCTATGAAATTGATAATTTGAAGAAATACAATTTTTTCAGTGTTATAAAGTTATGGTGGACTCCAGCGAATACTAGAAAAAGAGCAATTGAAGTATAATATTCTCGATTTGTGGTTTTTTTTAGAAAATCCATTTTTTCAAGAACACCGAAAAAGAGATGGAGATACTTTTCGCGGTTCATGTTGCCCCGAATGCAATGGATATTAATTAAAATCTAATTTATACCATATATACATTATTACGCGTTTAAAGTTCTAAATTAGTTTTCCCAAAGATGGCATCAATAAGAAGGCCATTGATTGCGCCAGCGTCATGTGACGCATCCTCTCCCGGCGCCAAGCGGGAGGGGACCGTCACCCTGTCAGTGCCCTGACAAGCTGACCCAACTATTCACAATATGAGTAATATGGTTTATTATGGATAAATGTGGGCCGGTGCCCGAAGGCAACCGGCCAGCAAGGCAGCAAAGTTCCCAACTCCCAGTAAAAGGGGACGGGCCTCCTACTCCTAGTAAGAAGAGAGATAGAAAGGAATGTGGACAATAGGCGCTAGCTAGGCATGCAACCGCTTGACTCGGAAGCCGGCAAGTTCTCGAAAGTGTTCATATTAATGTTAATGATGATGACGATACAAATACTTGAAAGGATCTCAAAATATTTTATTCGATTTACCTGAGAAACATTCAGTTTCAAATGCGATAACATTTAAATGTTTGATCACTACCTAAGAATTAAAAAGTATCAAGTTCTATCTCATTTCACTCGCGTTATCAACGATTGATCATTCTAGTAAGAAGTAAAAAGAACAGTTTTAAGTCATAAACAATTACTGATGAAATCTTTTTTAGAGATCACGACGAAATAAACGTTATCAATCAAGCAATCAGAGTTCAAGCATTTGTATCGTCATCATCATTAACATTAATATGAACACTTTCGAGAATTTGCCGGCTTCCGAATTAGGCGATTGCATGCCTTCTGAAAAATAAGTGACAGGGATCTCAAACAAATAACAACTTTATTAAATGATACCAAACACAACTCCATGAGTTTCTAGCTTTTTCACAACAGTACACTCTGAAAATTTTAGCTATAATATCAAGTATTAGTTGAATTTGAAATGTGTGAAGAAACCGCGGAAATTAGCATCTCGTTGATGGCGACCACGTCGTATTCAGTGACAAACTCGTGAGATAACCAATTAGCTTCCTGAATATCAAGGTAATCCTATTATAAAGAAAAAAATAATAGGAATGCTACATTTTTCTTCGAAGATGCTTCGAATTGTTTGCTATTCGGGTTATATGATGTGCCAAGCCAGTCAATAGTAACCTGGCCCCTAAAAATTGATTCCTTAACTTTCTTTTCAAATTAAACTTGTCTGAAACCTTGTTATAGATTTCTCTAACTGAACGTTGGCATACAGTGAAACTTTTTTTAGTGCAACTTTCTCGCTAATCGCAACAGCCACGGCAATATCATCGACGAATGCGTACTGTTGTCCGTTGATCGCATTGAACTCTCTAGCTGGATAATCAACAATTCGAAAGTTGATTATGTTGTCTCAAAACTTACCCTTCTTTGTTATATCATTCAAAAACCTTGATAACGGTGTTGGAAGCTTTAAAGATGCCTCATAATCAACAAGTTTGGCGTATTCTGGTCCCTTGAAAAACGATGTGTCCCATGGAATAATTGTTGAATGAATCGAGGAGAGAACAATTTGAGCAGCCTCGGGATCCATTAGAAAGTTGAACTCGGCTGTTGAATTGTTTAATGTGTTTCCCACAGCTTAAATCGAAATTAATGAAGTTGAAAAAAAAACTACAAGATTACCCAAATAATTACCGCCCATTAGAACTAGACCGCCTAATCTTTGAACGAACGTGGAATCATTTTTGATTGCGTTCGCAATATTTGTAAGTGGACCCAGGCACACAAGTGTTACATTCTGATTTTGTTTTGTAAGGTCCAATAAAGCTTCAACGGCAGATTGCCTAGCTATTCGAGTATTATCCTCTTCTTCAGCCTGAATTTTCCACATTATTACAGAATCTTCAATAGAAAAAAAGAACCTTTGGAACGGAGTTAGGAACATCTCCGATTCCATCGGACCCGTATAATTCTTGCCACACTTCAATAGGACCCTTTGGAACTAGCGAATCATTGGCTCCGCGAAAGACTGGAATGTTCCTCTGAAAAATGTTCATCAATGAATAGTTAGAAGTTGTCGTTTTGAAATTTTGAAAAAAAAGTTTCTCTCACACAATTTGTTGCGCGAAGAGTCCTGACAATATTTGCCGTCGCTTGCTCAACGGAAACTCCTCCGTGCACTGTCGTAATGCCCACAACCTTCGAATTAATAAAATCAGATTACTGAACGTTTATCTCAGACACACCTCGGAATCTTTGTTGGTTAACGCTATGATAAGTGAACGCACGTCGTCATAAACTCCATCAGTGTCTAAACGCGTGTTTCAATATTTTTCAGAATATTTTCTTTTGTAAATTATGCAAATACCAATTATGATCTTCTTTTTTGACTTTCCAAGGACCGAAACAAATATTACAGCAACCAATAATAGATGTTTAGTCTGAAATTTTAAAAATTTTATTATGGCCGTCTTTTCATGGCCTTGGTAGTTGCGGTTCCCTAGGCCACAACAAATATTTTCGGTTTCCTATTTTTATTCGAGTTTTCCGTATTATAAAATTGCGTTGCTACTAAAATATGAATTTCAGATGGGTTTGACCAAAGATTACCTTCGATACGAGCATGCTGGCTCTTGCGGCTGTGTCGGTTCTCAAAACGGTCAATTAATCGCGATAGACGCTCAAACAACAGCGGTTGCTTCGAACGAGTACTTAAATTTCTACAATATGCGAACAACTGAAAAGGTTAATAAAAATAGGCAATATTTGTTCGAAGAAATGTTTACAAAACGAATTACATGAACGAAAGTAACGAACAAATATTAAAATATTAAAGAAACACCTTTTCAATGTTAAAAATAATTTGAAATGCGATAATATGCGTGTGGTTACTATTGGTTACAGGTGCACGAGTTAATTGAATCCACAAAACCAATATCGTGCCTACGCAAATCGGCAGCGAAACCATTAATTGCGGTTGGGTATTCGGATGGATCCGTTCGATTGTTTGACAGAAAAAATGAAGGTAATTTTCGCTAATTAATGATAAAGCCGTTAAGTTAATTGTTTTTAGATGCTGAACCAGTTATGTTTTCCGGACACAAAAAAGCAGTAAATTGTATTGAGTTCAGTGAGGACGGTTTGCTATTCGCTACTGGAGGAAAAGTAAGTTTTCCACTTTTTGAAAACACCTGAAAATTTATTTTAGGATGGTGTTATTGTTCTTTGGGACATTGTTGCCGAGCGGGGAATGTTCCGTCTTTACGGCCATAAAGAATCCGTCACACAGATGAAATTCGTGAAAGGAGATCGATTTATTATCTCCTCATCGAAAGATTCTTTAATCAAATTCTGGAGTATTGCGAGCCAATCATGCTTCTATACTATTATGGACCATCGCAGTGAGGTGCCAGACTTTTTGCAATATTTTCTCTTTTCAATATGACAAAATTGCAGGTTTATTCTATGAGCCTTATCCGAAATGAGACTATGCTTGTCACGGCCAGCGCAGAACTTGAATTAATGGTTTTTGAGCTTAACTGGAAGAGTGGCGCCACTATTGAAGATGTATATCGAACTCGAATCGATTTTACTTAAATTGCAAAGTTTAGGAGCAATCTGATGAGCCGTCAAAGAAAAAAATCATCAAAGAAGAAGAGGAAGAGGAAGAGGAAAATCACGATCTTGCGAATCAAGCGAACGTGAGAATTAACATTTTTACCAAGAAATTTTTCTAAATTAGTAATTTAAGCGTTATGTGGCTTCAAAAGTTCGCGGAAGAGTCATTAGACAGAGTAAAGGACGCGCTTTGCAATTGGCTTTAACTTCGGATGAGAAATTCTTTATTTGTGTGGTAATTCCGAGATCTAATTAACACGATCATTTAAAGTAATTAAAGGGTGCTGACAAGGTTGCCGATGTCTATCGAGTATTCACCGATGCCGAATCTGAAAAGCGATTGACGAAAAAATTGAAAAGTGCCAAGCGAAAAGCAACGTAATAATATAATCGGAAATTTTTATCAAGTTTCAATTAAATTTTAGCGATCAATCGGTGACAGAAGGCGATGTCGCAAAAGACGTTACAATTATAGTTACTCGAATCGGTGAAATTCCAATGTCTCATAAAATTAAATGGATTGACGTTGCCGACGGGGTTCGAAAAGAAGAGGAGTCTTTAAACTATCGGCTATACGTTCTATTGACCAACAACACTGTGCACGCTGTGAAAATGAGCATCAATGAAGCGTCAAATGCTGTTCATTGCGATTCCATTGAGAATTTAGACAAGGTATTTTTTCTTTTCTAAAAATTTTAAAACGTGTTTTTTTAAGCTGGGACACCGAGAGGATGTTCGTGCTCTTTGTGTTTCATCGTCGTCCAGTTTACTGGCTTCCGCTGGAGGTGACGAGGTTGCCAACCTATATAAATATGTTGAATATGAATTAAAAACTGTTTAGGTGATTGTATGGAGCACACATTCCCTCCGAACATCGCTTTGTCTTCGCGATCCCGAGCTTAGAGAACTCGTATCGTTGAACTTCGTGCCGGGAGACAATTATATAATCACCGGCGGCAAGAATGGAGAAGTCGGCGTGTTTGAGCTTAGCAGTGCGGAGCTTGTCGAAACCCGAAAAGCGCATACCGGCGCGATCTGGTCGATTCAGAATACCGTTGACGGAGAAGGATTCATGACGGCTTCGGCCGACAAGACTGTCAAATTCTGGAGTTTTGTATTAGTCACTGAAGGCACCAGAAAGCGGATATCAGTGCGCGAAAATCGAGTTCTTGAATTGCCTGACGAAGCGCTTGCCGCATGCTTCTCCAAAGATGGAAAATTCTTGATTGTGGCGCTTCTCAACAACACTTGCTCTGTTTATTTCGTCGACACCTTGAAGTTCTTCATTTCCTTGTATGGGCATTCACTACCAGTTACCTGTGTAGACACATCGCCGGTATTTTTTCTGTTTGTATTTACCCCTTACTAGGGACCTAATTGATTTAGAATGGAAAGCTGTGTGTAACGGGATCGGTTGACAAGTCGGTGAAAATTTGGGGCCTCGATTTTGGTGATTGTCACAAGTCATTTCATGCTCATGACGACACGTATGACTTTTCATTTTTCGATTATTTTTATTCAACCAAAATGTATTCACAGAGTGACTTCGGTTTTATTCTGCCCGGGAGAGGAAATGCTGTTTTGGTCGGCGGGAAAAGACGGAAAGGTGCGAATTTAGGTCGCCGTAATATTTTTTATTCCAATATTTTAGATTAAACAATGGGATGCGACCAAATTTGTTCTTGTGCAAACACTTGATAGGCATAGCGCAGAAATTCGATGCCTGGCGCAATTTAATAATGGAGCAGTTATGGTAACCCAAACCCGTGGATTATTTGAATCATAACAACCACTTTTCAGTTTTCTGCCTCTCACGACAAGTCGATTCGGTGCTGGGAGAAAACCGATGAAATGGTGATTGTTGAAGAGCGCGAAGAAATGGAACGAGAAGAGGAATATGAGAAGAAGCTTCTTGATGTATGCGGGATGACGCGAACTCGACGATTTCTATACTACCAAATTTTTAGGAAGACGACGTCGTTGCTGGTGAGAATAACGAGGCTGAAGCTGGTGTGGCGAGTAGCAAAACGGCATCCAGTGTGATTTCGGTATTTCAAAAAAAAAAAGTTAACTTGAGTGGTTTTCATTAATTTAGGCTGAAAACATTGTGGAAGCTGTTAATATTGCGAGAAATGAGAAGGTTCAAAGAGAGGAAGATCCTAATGTAATAATGAGATTTTATTAGGTCATGATAACTTTTTTTGGTTTCAGCATGAACCTCACCCACTCATTGGAGCTTACAATAGTAAATCATTGGATCATTTTATTTTAGACGTCATTGCGAAGTGTAGATCAAGGTAATACTTTTTTATTGAAATATTTAACTCATATTTATTTCTTCCAGTGATTTGGATCGAGCTTTGCTATTAGTGCCATTGTCATATGTCAACGACATTCTTCAAGCGATTGCGGCTTGCGCCAAGAAATTATACAAAGTCGAATTATGCACACATGTGGCTATTTATTTAACAAAGTTGGCAATTTTTAAAATTATTTTTCATCTAATTTAATGTTGTAGGATCCATTTGAGCCATATGATTTCGTCAGCTGACAATGTTCCAGTTTATGAGCTGCTTAAAAAATCGTTGAAATCTGGAGTTGAAGATTTGAGGGTAAAATTCGTAATTGAATAAGACATATTTCATAGAATTCTTTTGAAGGATGTCACTTCGTTTAATTTTGCCGCTCTTCGATTGTTGGCACTCGAACTCGAAGAACGGGATCAGGTTAAAATGTTCGCCGAAATTGATATTTCCGATGATAAATCGAAGAAGAAGAAAAAGGGCCGAAAAGCGGTGATTAAGACACTTGGTAAGGGGATACGTTTTGAAATTACGTTCCCACGATTAATTGGAATATAAAATTTGGTTTTTCGACCGCAAAGAAATTTAATTGAAAGGCGAATTTTGGCCCGAAGCTTGGAAGTTTCGCAATGTGTTTTTTTTTTCTAATTTCAGCCTAAACTTGGCGGCATCTTTCGTCCACGGATTTGTTAATTGTTAAACGTCAATTGTTATTATTTTTGTTAATTGTTGCTGTTGAATAGTTTCATGATACATGTTTGATTTTGTTGAATTCTTAGCGTTTGAAAATGCAAACGAGAAAAAAAAAGAATTGCGAACCCACACGCCTACTCGATAGAGTCTCTCCGCGCATGAGCACACTATTTCGCACATCTGCTCGTGGCTCTATCGATTCTCTTTTTCCTTACGTTGTATTTTTCCCCCGATTCCTTTTTTGGTAGCAAGTTTTGTCGCTGCAAGTTTTGTCAAGCTTCAACTGTTTTTTTAAAGATTTTTGGGTAGAATGCAATGATACTTTTCGTATGGTCGCTGGTGTCGTCGGCGATCGAAGCGGCTCGTAAACGACAATATGCGGGATTCCTGCGCGGAATGCTGGAGCGTCAACAAGCGGCGCGCACCATTGACACACTCGTCTGGAAAAAAGCGCGGTACAGAATTGCGGCGAAGAAAATTAGAGCATGACTTAAACGGATTCAGAGCGAATAGCGGAGAATATCGGAGGGAAAACGAATTGTTGCTGGATAACGGATTAATCAGAGTGTATTTAGAGAATTTCGAGGTCAATTTTGCTCCATATTCTCATTATTGAGTGAATGTTATTTTGCAGACATTAAAAGCCAGCGAATGGCGATTTTGCCCAACATTGTGGCCATGCGATCCAGATTCGATATATTTCATGGTGTTTGATGATTTCATGTCAAGAGCTGAAATGATCGAGCCGGAAAATGAGCAACAATCATTGGCTCCCGACTATTTCAAAGTAGAAATTCCTAGAAAAAAGCGAAACTGGAAATAGTTGATTGCAGCTCCACGAAAAATGCGATCGTCTGGCGGTTCACAAAACCAAAACGCGAGTCTTATATGCGTGCTCGTTTGAGATGTTCGTCGATGTTGTCGACGCATTTTCCGAATCATTGCTCATCGATGAAACATTCAACGTCACTCAGATCCTCAGTAATCCTTGCTATTTTAAGCCATTTGATTTTTCAACAAACTCCAGGCTTGTTTGCCCCACCTCATGAGATTGACAACACGTTGCGTCCCGATATGTCCTCATCAACACTGTCGCTGGCGTCGGCTCATTCGAAAAAACCGCTTCCCATTCTTCAGCATCTCTTCTGGGGAGATACCACATTTTCATTTTCGAATGGCCGATATGGAAGTGTAGGCAATCTGGACACCGATGCGGCATTGTCGCCAATCAGACACTCGTAAGTGCATCAATAATTGCCAATAATTTTTTTGGGGGGTGGGGGTGAGCTCAAATGATTTTGCACAAAAACTCAAACATCGTATTTTTCTCATTTAATCAGGAGAGGGCGGATTAACTAGTGAAGAAGCCTTTTCTTCGATATATTTTCAATATTTAATCCCATTTCAGCCGCCGACCAAGCTCATCGTCAACACTTCCAAATCGCCGCCGCTTTCATTCGCACAATCCCGACAAAACGTTTGAGTTTGTTTCATCTCCGAGGCGCAGTTTAATCAACGGGTATGAAAACCAGACATATCATTTTTTTTTGAAACCGCCGATTTTTCTAGATTTGACGAGTCGGCCCCAATGCCGAGATATTTGAAACAATTGGAAATTCGCGATCAGCATAATAACAAAATAACGAGTTCAGAAACAGGATCATCGGAAAATTCGCAAATTTTTGACGATAGCGCAAGTAGCACCGGTGACACGCTAAGGTAGTTTTATTCTCCATTTTGTTTGCTTCGAATCATCCATGTGCTCTTGCCGTCCCTCCACGCTTCTTTCCCGGCGTACCAATCGGCGGATCCTCTTTCGAATCCTTCGAATCCTCGCGCGATTTTCGTTTTGTCGGATCATCAGGCTTCATATAGTAGAGTTGATTCTTGAGCCATTCGGATTCGCAAATCGCGCGATACGTCGGCCGATTCGGCGCGTGCGGATGAAGAATATCGAGTACCAGCGTTTTCGATGTTGTTGACGCCGTACAACTCTTAGGAAATCTGAAAATAATCAAGATATTGTGTTTTTCTTTTTTTCTCTTCCTTCTAAAAATCGAAGCGTGCGAAATTTGTCGTCCTTAAATAGCCTGTGGCAATTGTTTCACTTTGCAGTAGAATTTGATTAATCCAATTTTCTTCTTGTCCCCCATTTCTAACCTTATTTTGTGTGCCAATTGTCGTTCAATCATCTTCTGCGGATTCCGATCATCAAACGGCATCGAGCCGGTCAGCATGATGTACAATATCACGCCGGTGCTCCACACATCGACAGCATTGGTTGAATACTCGCGGGCTCGCAGAATTTCGGGCGCTACGTAGGCGCGACTGCCGCAAAACGTTCCCGACTTTTCGCCGGGCTTCAGAATACGCGAGAAGCCGAAATCGCCGAGCTTCACGTTCTCATACTTGTCGAGAAATATGTTCTCGCATTTCAAATCGCGATGCACTATATTGTGTTTTTCAAGGTGCTGAAATCATTCGACAATTTTAGAATTAAACTTTTTTCTTCGAAAATTCACCATAAGCGCTGCGATAAATTGCCGAAACATAAATCGAGCTTCATCCTCGTTCAGCGCCTTCACGTCTTTCATTTTCTTGAGCAAATCACCGCCACCGCAGTATTCTGTTATGAACACGATGTGCTCGGGAAATGTGATCATCTGAACGCTGTTTTGTTTTTTGGGACCCTTCACATTTTCCACTCTCTTACGTCATGTAATCGAACTATATTATCATGCTTCAACATTTTTACAATTTCTTTTTCTCGCGGCAAAAACTTCCGAATATAATCTTCCTTCTCTTTTGTCGGACTGAAATTGAAATTGGTGATTCGAGTTTCGGTTGGCTAGAAAACGTGATATTAATGATTTTGGCGGCTACTTCGATCTTCTTATCGCCAAACGTTGCTCGCGCGACACGCGAATATGATCCGGAGCCTAAAAACGAGAGCAGTTTTTTGTGGCTACGAAAAATGCTCGTCGAAACCAAGTATTTTCAATATCACTAGCTTGTGGTCTTTCTCAAGCTGCGGCGCGTATTGCTTCGTCTTAATACTGAAGTCATCAGGTTCATCTTGATTGTCGGAAACGTCTGTGCAGCCAACTAGATTTGTGTTAGCCCTCTTTCATTGTTACCTGTACCCTCTTCCTTTGCCATTATAGTCCCAGTTTTTGAGCCTGAATTCGAATATGGCAACTAATGAAAATAAGCGAAAATATTGAAAATTGTTCATCACGTTGAATTCGTTAATTTTATTAATTTTTTATTTACACCTTTTTATGTATATTTTAGAAGTCACTTCACTATGGACGAATTGCGAATGATTGACGAGACCGATACGGACACATTGGTGTCAGAAAGGCTGATCCAAGCGCAGGAATCTTCCAAAGAAAAAGTGTCGTTTGGTACGAGAAGATTGTCAGGTCTTTCTTTTTCAAATCAACATTTTTCTAGCTCATCTAGCCCAACGAGAAGATGAAAAAGAGGTTGTCAATGGGGAAAGAACACTTCGACGACGACGTAAGTGGAATATTTCATTTTTTTTAATTCAATTTTTTTTCCAGCGACACCATTCCCGAAAAAAATGGAACGGCCCGAACCGGAACTCGAGGAAATAGTGATTCCGGTCATCGAATTTTCAAAATTGCCACCGATTATTAAAAATGGCGGAAAGAATCGAAGAAGCGCATCCATGAAAACCGCCCAATTGATAAAGCAGCAGAATGATCGAAGGTTTTCGGCATTTCCGAATGATGGTGAGTAGAGTTGGCCGCGGAAAAAACTCGGCCAAATTTTTTGCGCGTTTTTTTGCTGTTTTTAATGCAAACAGCGAAATTGATTCAAAACCTTGTGCTTCGCGCAAGATTTCGCCAATTTTTAGTTGATCGTGGACGATCGGTGAGCCCGTCATTCGATTATTATCAGAGTCGCTCGCTGCGAGGATTTACGTCATCCGCAAGTCGTGAGTTTTGTTGTGATTTTAATAGAAGATACGGGGAGGGGTCGACAGTGGCGTCGTTAATTCAAGGTCATTAATACCAATCCATTTTATCATGTGTATGTGTGTGTATTTTTAGGCTATAACTAAAGGAAAATTATTTGATTTTAATTAAATTGAAACTTTTAGAAAAACGTAATTCCTCACGAAGCGGCACATCGCGAGAATTCTTTTCATCAAGAGATACGAAATTAAAGGCAATGTCGAAACCCAATTCGGTTTGTTTTATAATATATATTTTATACTGTACTTTTTTTTAAGATTCTGGTCTACACGGGTGGTGATGAGAAGCTGTATTCAGAAATTCGCGAGCGCCTTGCGTCTTTAATACCGCCCGACGAAATCACGGTATTTAATATATCCAATGAGGCACTGAAAAGACAACCATGGATTGAGCCATCAACTGTAAAAAGAAATTTCGATTTTTATCAAGTCTCGGGTGGACTTATTTCCAGATATGCGTCATTCTCGCTTCGACAAATGAACTCGATGATGCTGCTTGGTCAAAAGTCGAAGCATATTTCAATCAAAACGGAAAAATCATATTTGTCTGTCAAAATAAGTTGCTGGCGAGTATCACCGGGTGCGAACGATCCAAGGATCAAGCCTCAATCCTTCGACTAGCCTTTGGGAACAAGAATTCTCTAGAAGCCACTAACAAAGACTTTGCGAAATTCTTGAAGAAATCTCTCAAGACACTCCCAAAAACTCATTCTATTAATGAAACGTTTCGTTCGAAAGATGTCGGATTCTCTGTGGTTCTAAAAAAAGAAGAAGGTGCCAATTCTGATAATATCTTAATTTGTGAATTGTTCAGACACACCGCTTTTCCTTTACATGCAAAACACTGGTGCGCGACATGCTTCTGCGCTTTTCTCCGACGCTACAACCCAACAGCTTCTAGCGCCCAGTAGGACTGCTACAAATATTCTGTATTGAAACCACAAATTTTGTTTTAGATAGCAATTTGTTGCGAGATACGCTGAAAAATGTGGGAGTCAATGTGATGGAAAATCAGATTCCCGAACTTACAAAGGGGATTCTCGTTGCAGAATACGATTCGATCATCGATAACATTGCTGTAATTGATTGAGTTCGTATTTGAATTATTATCTGTGGATTATTAGGGATTGCGACTCGGCGAGGAGATTGGATCGAATCCGACATTGCTACTTCGAAAATCTGATGTGGTTGCTGAAATTGGCCTTCCAGAGGCTAGTCGAACGTTATTGCCGATTGAAGTAGCTCAGCGAGAAGCGTGCGTCGGCGAATTCAATTTTGACGAATATTTTAACCATTTACAAGTGAAACTCGGCCAAATTGTGCTCAATATTGATGTTGCGACGACAACAATGGATATTTGCACTAGTTTGAATAATGCAATTCCCGCAATTGAGAATGTTCTGGTTGTGGCGAATCAACAAGTCAAAGGAAAAGGTACTTTTTTTTTGAAATTTTCCAATGAATTCGATAATTTCGTATTTTTTATTGCAGGCCGAGGTGGTAACGAGTTCATTTCGCCGAAAGGATCAGCTCTGTTTAATTTCTCATTCATTGTCAAGAAATCGTCACGATTCGCGAAAAATATTCCAATTTTGCAAGTAAGATTCGCCGAAAAATGTTTTAACATTATAAATACCCAAATTTAGCATGTGTTTTGCGTCGCACTTGTCGATGCCGCTCGGCGAATCTCCGGACACACGGATTTCCCGTTGAGAATCAAATGGCCAAATGATTTGTATCATGAGAGATCGCACAAAGTTGGTGGAATGCTGATAACATGTAAATCAAGAGATGACGCATTTTTAATCAATATTGGTACATTTTTCGACGAATTAGAACCTATTTACTTTTTTTTTAAACATTTTCTTAGGTTGCGGAATTAATGTGTCAAATGAGAAGCCGACAGTTTGCTTAAACGACATGATGCCCAAAGATTCTCAAAATGTGATAACCAGAGAAAAATTGATCGCAGAGACACTTAATCGCTATCAATGTAAGAATTAACTGCAAAATTTTGAAACCTATTGACAAGATCAATTTTTAGATTGGATGAATGATTATGAAGCTAATGGGCCAGAAGCATTTAGAAGGAAATATTATGAATATTGGCTTCATTCGTAAGAAAAGTCATTTGTCTTTTTTAAAAGTTTTAACGTTATTCAGCCAACAAGAAATTCTGCTTTCCGATTACAATGAAAGGGTAACAATTCGCGGAATTGATGATTACGGTTATTTAGAAGTGCGTAGCAAATCCAATCCAGATAAGGTAACTCATTAAAATTGAGACTTTTATACACCGAAATTTTGAGATTTTCTCGATTGGCGATGACGGGAACACATTCGATATGATGAAGGGATTAATACGCCATAAAGTGTAGATAGAAAATAATTTAGTCATAATTATGGTGATCAATTGCAATCGCTTGATTTTGGAAATACAAATGCTTTCAAAATTCGTCTGGATTTAATAATTTGGCTAGTTCTTTGACGACGATGTCGATCTGAATTTAGGGAATTTTAATAATTAGATTAGATAATTAGCGGAAATTTAAATAATTAGAGTAAAATAAAAATTTGAAACCTCATCCTTTGTTGTACTTTTTCCAACGCTGAATCTCACGGTCTTCGAAGCAACGTCATAGGGAATGCCGCATTTTCGAAGAACTGGACTATCCTCGCCGCGGTGGCATGTGGATCCTGTTGATGCGTAAAATGTGTGGCACCTAGCATTTCCAAAAATCAAATAGATTATTCACAATTTGGGAAATATATACTTTTGAAGAAGATCGCGTGAACGATAAGAATATCCGACAAAACTGACACTTGAGGTGTTCGGAAGTCTCGGCGAACTTTTGAAGTTTATGATTATATTATCTCCAAAGGTCTCCTCAAAAATTGATATATGTAGTTTATTTTTCATTTATGAGAAAATTCACCTCTAAACTTGCTTCGAAATAGTTTCGCAAATTCTCGAGATCCTCTTGCATCGACATTTTTTCATTCACACATTTCGCAGCCGAACCAAGCCCGACAATCATTGGCGTGTTTTCAGTTCTTCAATATTTCTTCAAGAATAATATAACTCTCGCTGGTCCCTACCCCGATCTTCTACCCGATTCTTGCTTTCCCCCATACAACAATGGCGGTAAAGGCAAATCGGAATCACTTAAAATGAGCGCGCCAATTCTTGGGCCGTAGAACTTGAACATATTAATTCTAACACATTACTAACTACAATTTGTTGTACTTTATGACCAACGATTGAGATGACGTCCACAAAAAGCTTTGACGTATCAATATTCATTTTTCCGGCGACCTGTGCAGCATCACAATGGAGAATCGGGCGATTTTTTCCAAATTTTTGTTGAATTGCGGAATAAATCTCGACAATTGGTTGTAATACACCTAGAATTTGAAATTTTTCGCTTAATGCCAAAATCGAAGAGGGCGCTCTATTTTAGAGTTTGGTCCCAACGGAGATTCTGTTTACTGGGACGATCAAAACTACCAGTTTCATTATTAGCCATCATAATAGTGACCAGCGCAGTTTCATTAGTTATCGCTTCCAAAACCGATTCTACAGTTACATGTCCCGTTGTCGGATCCACGGGAATCAGAGTGACACCTGAAGAAAAACAATTGATGAATCGGCCAAAACCCGACGACATACTTGCAAGCCCTTTTCGCTCTTTGGCTGCAATCGCTTCAAGAATCGAATCATGCGCCTCAATTATCCAATTATTTGACTGCAAATTTCAACTTAAAATTATGAGAACCATCACCAAATCACCTCAGTTCCGCCTGAAGTGAAAATAACGCCTTCCGGTTTCGCAGAGCACATTTGAGCAATTTGACAACGAGCATTTTGTATCATATTAAAGACATTATTAGCTAAAAATGTTGGCCAACTCGAAATTTATGGATTCCACGCTACCGCTTTCATTCAGACTTGAGGGATTTTGCCAAAAGTCAAGCGCCTTAATAATATCTTCCTTGACGCTCGAATCCAGTGGAGTTGTAGCATTATGATCAAGGTAAATTTTGTCGGTCATCTGAAACCGCGTGAGTAACCGGATACTTCCCTCATTATAAATTGTGTATCACAATGTTTATTTAAATGCATATTTATAAAGTTGGCCAAAGCCGCCACCATGATTGCCGCACAATTATTTACATGCTCTCGTCCCCCCGACAATTTAGATACTGATAACGTCCGAGTGCGCCGTTTCCGCACGTCTCCCCCTTGTTTTTTTTTTAGTGTTATTGACATTTGTTTGGGTTTTGGAATAAATAATTGATTTTAGAGTTTTTTTTGCTGCAGATTATCCAAATTCGACTTTTTTTCAAAAAGCCAGTCCCAAATTGGGGCTTTTTTTGCAGAAAAACAATGAGAAAAATTCAACAAAGTAAAAACACTTTTTAGTAATTTTTTAGCATCACTCTTTCAATATTAAGCGATTCACCGAAAAAATTTAAAAGAAAAAAATTCGGAGTTTAAAAATTGAAATCATCGTTTGCGTCACAACCAATTTTTATAGGCGCCAATAAAAATCCCTAACGAAAATGAATACTTAATAAGAATTAATGGCTCGAATGATAAGCAAAATTGTTATCAATTCAGACAAACCAACGAAAGAATGTCAAGCCCGTCTTCTTCTGTTATTCGAGTCGGACGTCGTGTATTCCCAAGCCCGCAAACGGAGGCCATTCGCAATTCCGTTGAGCTTCTACACTACTCCCCGCCACCGGAACCCCCCATTGATTACACAATACGTCAGCCTTCAAAAGGTCGGCATTTTAAAGTCCTTTATGAAGATGAATAACCTTTTAGAATCTAGTTATAAAGTCGTAACTGATGTCTTTCGAAAATCGGATTCTCCGGACTTTACAAGCGAAGAAAATCACTTGAGGTATCAAGATACTCAAAAAATTATCATTCCACAGAAATTTTAAGGTCTTCAAACACTAAACGAATAACTCGAAGAGACACTGTCGAGGAAGTTCTCGATGAGCTGGACACGGTTCTCTTCGAAGCTTCAATACCATTCGAGCAGCTTAGACAGAAAGTTGAGGTTAAATTTGTTAAATAATTAAATTTAAGTAAAAAAAAAAAAAACAATTTTCAGCGATTCAATTTAACGTTCAAGCCATACGCGCCGGACGTAAATGTTGATCAACTCCCAGAGATTCCATATTCAAAGCGTAATTTTTTATAAGCCATGTAGAATTGGGCAAAATGCCAAATTTTTAGAATATCAGCCGGTACCAAGATTAGAAAAAACTAGAGAATCTAGAGATACTGAAAGAATCGATAAGATAGAATTAAGCAAAGAGCAGCAATCAAGAATTGATGAAGTTTACAAAAGTGTAAGTTTTAATCTGTTAATTTAATATTTAATACAATCGCAAAAAAAAAACGAGAAATTTGAAGATTTGTGGACCATCGCACTTTTTCGAGGTTGTAATTCAAAAGTGAATTTTGAATTTTAGCAAAAAAAAAATTTGCTAAAAATTAAAAACTGTCGTGGGCGGAGACATTTGAAAATGTTGAAATACTAGCTTTTTAATGGCATATAAATTTAAATTTTTACAAAAATGTGTTATTTTTTTTTACAGAGCTTTTCCATACGAGACCCAATGCGAAAATTCATATCGTAAATTAATCCGTCCACGACAATTTATTTATATTTTTTTAATGCGAGAAAATTGTTATAATGCGAAGAGCCGCAGATAGTTATACGATTTTTTTTCGGCCATGTTTCGCTTAAAAATTGAGGAGTTCAAAATTTGAAAATGCGATTTCAGACATTACGAGCAATCGAGGAGGCCAAAGATCATTTCACACCCGAATATTTCCGAAAACATGTAAAAAAATAGCTTCTCACCAGCCTTTTGAAACTATGATTTTCAGCTCGAAACCAATCCAGCAGTCCCAAAGTGGAAGGTGAAACTTCTAGCCGAAAAAAAATCAAAGCAAACGATTCAAAGGATAGAACATGATGCATGGGTTTACCAAACAGAAAACCGTAATTTGTGCGGAAATTGAAATTTTAGGAAGATTTCGAGAGATTTAAGCAAAAACTCGAAAAAAACGATGACGGCAATCGAAGAGTGAAGCGTTCTTCAAGTGTTCAGATCGCATCGAGAAGGCGAATGAATGAGTAATTTTATCTTCCATTGAGAAATAAAAGAAAATCTGGCCAATTTCACCAAAATCTTTGAAAAGTTCACAAAACGTTTCAAAGAATGTTCATTGATCGAAAAAAAGTTAACCTTAAAAATTTGGACTTGATTGGACCGAAATCACAAGAACGAAGATTGATTTACAAAAAAAAAACAAGATTAAAATGTATGCAAGAAGAAAGACAAATCGGTACACTGTCAATAATTTTTAAAAAAAGTTACAATAAAAATTTGAAATTCAGCTATTCCGCTTGAGTTGCTTAAATCGTACCACATCTGAAAACAAGCGAAATAAAATGAATTTCTGCAAACCGCGAGATACCTTCAAATAAAAACGATGATTTAGGTCTTTTGCGAGAATTTTTGAAGTTATTGCTTTTACGTGATATTCTATAGTCGTTTGGTTTTTCAATCGGCGACCACTTATATCGACTACCTTAAAAATAATAATAAAAATCTCATTTTTTCTCGAATAATATGACTACCTGTGGACATCCGCTCATTTTCCTTTGTATTTGCTGAAAATTTTTAATCGAATTTAAATAACAATAAAAAACAAAGCAAAAATCTTACGAGGCTCATTTTCTTCAACGAAAATCGACGAAGTTGGTGTGTCATCTATAATTCAACAAAAATTTGAAAAATATATATCTCATAGTTTTGCATACCCGAAGAAGTGTTTGATAATGGTGACAACGTCGTTCGCGTTCCCCTTTCGCGAGTTTCTTTCGAATAACAATCAATCGACGATACTGAAATTCATTTTTACAGCTATAAGAATATCTATTTCCCAACTAGATGAATTTGATTCCGAAAAACTAGCTTCCAAGTTATCAACGATTTTTATCTTTGGACTTCGCCGTTTCTTGTTGTAACTTGTTGCTGAAAATCAATAAAATTGGAGGATTCTCGAAATTAGATAATAACTGTTAGTAGGTGCACTGAAACTTGGTTTCTTAGGCGTATTTGCAGTAGGTGATGGCTCTGAAAATGTTTGTCAATTTGAAAATCTTAAAATTTGATTTACCAACCTCTCAAATATACGACGGCCGCCTCGTTTTGTAGTTCAATCGTTGGACGATCCAGCTGAAAACCAACATATTTAATTTATTCTATTATGTATTAAGTCATTTACAAGTTCCACAAAATTTGTGAGCTTAAATTTCCTTATTAGGGCATTAATTTCCTTCGATAATGGGTCATTTGGAATACTTCGATAAATCACTGATTGCCTAAAAATAATTCAAATTCATTCATTTTTCGATGATATTGCAAACCCGTATTCAACTTCGCACTTTCGGCAATACCATGGAATCGCCGAAAACTTCTTGCTGAGATAGGGTTGTAATCCATAGAAAATTCCCGCACAAATGCGATGCGAGATCTGATTGCATTCAATTTTTCCGCGACACTCGAGTTTTTCAAATAACGGCGCGTGCTCGACGGCGAGCGCGAATCGCTCGGCACCCAGAGGACAAATACAGCCATTTCGGCATCGATTCGCCGAATTCTCATCAATTCTAAAAATAGTTCAAATTTTCCACAGTTTTCTAATGCAAAACTTCCTACTCGCACTTGAATTTTATCGGAATTAGTCCCTGGGTGGCACATTGTTGGTCCATTTGCTCGTCGATTCCACAACGGGGGCATTTGAAATTGCCCATTTGTGTGAAAATTTCCCTCTAAAAATTTGAAAAATAGCCACTAAAGGAAAGACTTTTAAATACGATACCCGAACACAATCGAAATGATAGGACCATATTCCGCATTCGCAAAACACGGTGATAACCTTTTGTGGTATCAAGTATCCATTGACTTCCTTCGAGCAATAGAAACATTTTTGAGATTTCATATACTAAAAAAATTATAAAGAAACCACATATTTCGAAAAATCTGCGAGAAAACTGTTATACCTTCCTCATACCATCAAGGCTAACATTTTGCGGAATTTTCGAATAAAAACTGCTTGAGGGAATCATGTCATTCAGACATTCGACAAGCTTCGGCCGAACAACTTGATCTCGATACAAATGGCAAGTGCCCCTGGAAAAAATAAACCATCATAAGAGTATTATCATTATTGATTTGACAAGCTTACCAATACTGTCCGTCGTCGAAAAAATAGAAACCGCCGCTTTCCAAGAAGCATGGATAATGAAAATGGCGCTTGCATTGCGTTTTTTTCAGCGAATCGAACATTATACATTTATTCTGGCAGCGTGTGTGAGCGCCAATTCTTGCGCGCGCTCGGCATATTTTTGCCGAACATCTCACCTTTAAAGAATTGAATACACACGACAAGTGCAAAAAGAATACCCTGGACGCCACTCGAAGAAGTCTTGAAAATTCTTGCAAACTCGTTTGTTGAAAATAGTGGGTGAATGGATCGTCAAATTGTATTTTCGGCTTCTTATTCCTTTTGCAAAATGACAAATCGCCATGAATAAGCGTCAACTATAACAGAACTATTCAAAATACAACTATAACAGAAATATTCAAAACACGCTTACAGCACAGATGTGGTGCATCGCAAAAAACGCGGGAAGCTCTGGTATCCAATAGAGCGGTCCGCAATCTCCACAATTCTCGTTGTCTCGTTTACAAACTAAGCATATTGGAGGCCTATAAAACAATTTAAATTTTTTATGTGACCGTTTATTTTTATCAGATTACTCCGTGAAATTCGGTCTAGTAATTGTTCTATAGAATAGCCTTCCAACTTCTTTTCCAGAAAACTGCCTAGAAAATTCATCTGAAAATTGTGTGAAAATCAAAAAAGCAATAATAATTCTTACGTTCTGTGACCTCATTTTTTAATTCAATCTGTTTGTCATGAAAATTCCTATTGTCGATTTGCCGGACTATTTTGAGACCCGTTACAATTCTTTCCTGTTATAAATAAAAGTAATAATTAATCATTACAAATATTACAAATGGTTATTTGTTTACTTTCACAGTTGCCCAACAACTAAAGTCTTTTGCATATTTGGAATCGGGAACGTCCTTTGGTGTTAGTCTTATCTCCGCAATATCGTTTGGTCCGCGTACATAGGGTTTGAAGAATATAGAACCATTGGGCATTCCTAAACATAACAAAATAAATTTTTTTCTAATTTTTAGACAAAAATAGATTTAAGAGAAAATGTGTGAAAAACAAAATAAATTTTTTTGAATATTCAAATTTACCAATTTACGATAAAATGAGGGCTTACCGTACTGTCGTTTGGGAAAAAAATTTAAATTTCGTCGGGAGGCGCGAGATAACCTTGAAATTTCGCATATTATCTCTTTCCTATCAGTATTTTGTATCAGTTTTCTATTCTAAAAATAGAAATGTTTCTTTTCAATTCTCAAAGCCATCACGCAAACCAAATTTGTATTTATTAAAAACATTTTTTTAAAATAAAATTACAATAATTTCATATATGTGCTTTCACATCAGGAGATCGCTTAGTATGAGAGAGAGAGAGAGAGAGTAATTGCGAAGGACTGAGAGAGGTTTTTTTCGTCGGTGTCTCTATGGCGCAATTTTCTGAAAAGTTTTGTTGAAAAAAATTACCAACATTTTCCTTTCAAATTAATTTTTTTTTAACATAACGACCCGTGATAATTTATTTAATTTCTTTCTGCTGAATATAAAAACGTTTTTCTTTTTTCAGAATTTCCCAAGGTAGTTTTTTATTGTCGGAGTCAAATTATTGAAAGAAGGCGGGGCCTTCAAATTCGCGAAATCAATGTAGATTTAAATTTTTGGTTGGCTGAATATTAAATGTGCGTGCGCTTAAGTGCAAGGTATATACGCAGTCTCGAATACTTCTCGCTGCCTCGATTGGCCCATAGCCAATAAATTTTTAAATTTCGTCAAGTCGTTTGACTCAGACAATATTTTATTTTAAAAACTCCGAATAAGTGAAGTAAATATTTTATTTAAATAAATCAAGCAACAAAACAAAGCGACGACTCTACAGTGAGGTTTCAATTATCGAAAAATTATGTTAATTATTTAATTATCTTGCGTTCATTTAGAATAATTAGCAATTATCGACCTCATCGACATAGGCGCTCGTGATGCACAAGTTTCTATCAAGAAACTGCTGCCCACGACGGAGAATTTTTTGCGACAACGACAAGTCTTCGCTCTTCGTGCGATTCTTCACGAATTCGGCTCGTTTCTCGCGCCGAAGTTCGACGATCTGTAAATCGGAAAAGCCGAATTTTGGGAAGTGGGTCTCAAACCGAAAATGAGCAGTTTACCTCTCCCCACATGTGAAGCGCCTCCATGCAATTATCCGACAGCTCTTCGTTGTAATTGATGTGATCTTCGTTATGACGTTTCCAGTGTTCGATTGCGCTTTTCACCGACAAATTCTGATAGACGCTGCAAACATTCGCTTCATTCATTTTGAAATCAAAGATTCTCGGAACTTCATCAACGCCTGAATGCCAAGCACCATTCCCAAACTTTTGCGGATCTTCGGATAATATATAAGAACCTTAAAATGCCCGAAATTTTTCAATTGAATTCCAATGCGTCGAATACCCTCGAGTCCTCATCGCGCGCTTCACTAATGAACTTGTTGACCCTATCGAATTGTGCCATTATTTGCTAAAAATTCATTAATACATTTTTTGGGACGGACCATTGAAAAATGATGGCACTTCTGGAGTCGATGTGTGATCGATGTTCGCCTTGAGCTCTTTATGAAGCTTGTGGTTGTGCATGTCTTCGCATAGACAGTCTTCGCGAGCCAACGTCGCCGAAATCGCCACCGGCGACACATTCTATAAATCGTCGCCGATGGATTTGAAATGATGATGGTCCGGTCACCGCACCAGAAGAAACTTACAATGATATGGCCGACTCGTCGTCGACACAACAGCTCGCCGTCGAGCCCAACACTGCTGTCCCAGCATTCGAGAAACGCTGCGAGCTGAAAAATTACAAATATGAAAAATATTGCCTCGAAAAAAAAAAATATATAATTTGCATACGCTAATTATGTTTGGCTCTCTCGGTAGAACGCCTCGCCAATCTTTCGATGGTTGAATGCCGCTGCCCGAGTCGTCGGAACTCACTGAATCGCTCGAAACCGTTATCTGAACACCGAGTTCATATGTTACAGTATCCCAGCGCCGAGAAGCTTACAAGAGTTTGTCCTTTTCGCTGAGACGTGAGAATCGAGCTCTCCGAATCTGATCTAAATATGACAATGGCAAGTGCGCTCTATTGGCATTTGAATTTCGCGCTTTTTTCGATAATTTTTCGAAATTAAAAAAAATATATATATATGTAAACGTGAATCGCACTGCGTCTAATCTGGAAGGTCTTGAAGCGAAAAATTATTCGCGGGGAAACGCACTATACTGTAGTGTTCACCTGGAAGCGGAAACATCATCGTCAAGCGGCACAAGACCGCTTTGTGCGGTCTGCGAGCGTTTGAACGTTGCCCGTCGTCGAATAGCTTGCATACCCGACATGGTTCGCTCGATGGCTCGCTGAAAACGATAAATGAAGCCGAAGCGCTCGTCTGAAGCTGAGAGGCGGGACATAATCGGTTGCTTGGGGCGACGGTGAGGAGAGCTCGTTGATAGTAGAAGATAATTATAGGTGAGCGAAGTCGAGCATATAACCTTCAATGCTAATCACATAGCGAAGCGGTGAAATTTGGCGAAATGGTTTTTTGGCGAAAAAAAAATCGGAATTTATCTAATGGCACTGAATGTTGAAGTCGCAGTCTCTCTGTTTTGTTTGGGTCCCAGAATTTCAAATTTGCTTTAAAAATTCAGAGGGATGCCATTTGTGCCAGTAAGAAGCTTTAATAGAACGAAAATTGGACTTCCTGATTTCACAACAAAAAAAAAACCTATTTTCCATCATTTCCAGTCCAATGCCTATCACAAAATTCCCAAAATTCACGGTCCACTGATTATAGAATATTATTACATATTCATATCGCTAACACTAATGTGTGCTCACTGAAGCTAACAAGACTAAGCGTGGGTGTATGTGTGTGTGTGTGCTCGCTAAGGAATCTTAATGCTGAATGCATAATTGGTAAACAAACCAAAAAAAATGGGGGAAATGCAGAAGAAAATTGGAAGATAAACACGTCCAAAATTTGCAAATGTTCTTCATTTATGCCTCCCTAAATAAAAATCGAGATAAATGAATGTCAGCTGCGGACGTTTTTCCGTCATGGCCTAGACATTTCATAAAAATTTTTGACTTTTTTTCTAAATTCAAATTCTTCTAAACAACATTAGTTGAAAAGGTTAATTTAGAACTACCAATTAAAATTATTATTGTTTTCAAAATTCGATAGATGTCCCCATTAATTATCTGCATAATCCCCATGGGACCACTCTGTTCTTACGGTAGATCTATTTGAAAACAATGACATCAAATTTCTCTGATACATTACAGTATCCGATGACGATCAGGCAAGAGATGTCAATATTGAAAAAATTCTTCTTGTCAGGACAGAACGCTTATTGTGTGCAATTGTACGTCGAGGAGGTTGCACATTAAGCGTACCGTACTTCATTATATTTATTAAAAAAAAAACATTTTTTTTTTGAATTTCTTTAAGGAACTACTTAAATGAGTTTATACACCACAAATTGAATTTTTTAAACCAAAAAATTTGGCTTAATTGCGTCATCCATGACGACAAACGAATTTCCCCCGTGGCCACTGGTTTCAAGACGAATATTTCCGTACTTCAACCGTATAAATCGATTTCAATGTGTAGTTTCATCTTGCGCAATAACAAATATTCTAATCAAAATTTATTAAACAAATGTTTCATTAACTAATTTTGATGAATAATCTACATATGCATTATCTCTCGATAACAATTCTCTTGTTTTCAGAAATGTTCAACATTCATTTATTAACAGAAAAGGATTGGAGAAGAATGAAATATCTAATATTTGTTAGGTGTTTGGTCGAATGGAAATGAGAAAGATGAGATCACAATCGAGAGAATCCAGTTAATACGAATGCCTAACATAGCATATAGAAAACAGAATCGGAATTGCGTTGAAGGAAACAAAAAAATGGTTGAAATTCTGAGAAGCGAGTCGGCGTTGAAGAGATGAATTCAATCGTCATGGTTTTGTCGTCACGGTTTGCGGTGTGAACGCATCGGGAACTGAAATCTTTATCAGATTGTCTTCAATGATTCATTATTATTATTATTGTTCGAGGGCGATTTACCTCGAAAGGATCGGCGGAGAACTCATCGGTGTAGTCGGAAATCGGCTGGCCGCGTCGATCGCGCGGAAAATCGTTGACCGAGAACTCATTGAAATAGCCGTCGGGCACCGATTTTCGGCTTCTCATCAATATTCTACAAATCTAGCCTCGATTACTGTGGCACTAGTTTCTTGCCGTGATACCGTTCTATCGCGACGCCTTCATCGTCTTCACGTTCTCGTCGATCCTGCTCCTCGCCTATCAATTCTTCTAATTGCTCCATCGCCTAAAATGATTGTTAATTATTGAGTGGCTGAATGGAATCACTGATTACTTGAAAATATGAACCCGGTAGCCTTCGGACCACCATCAAACTGCTAACAACGATTGGCATGACGGCGAGCACGAGCAGCGCCAACACGGTTCCCGACGCGTTTCTCATTTGCAGCAATATCTTTTTGTTGTTTTTTTTTGCAAATCGTGCACTTTTTTCGCCAAAAAGCGCACTTTGCGTTTTACCTGGAAAAAGTCGAGAGATTTTTCGCTTTTCGCGGCAGGTGCGACGGCGAAAAAAAAATCAGCGGCGCAAGAATAATGCGATTGAGGTCTTCGAAATGAATGCAAGCAATACGTCATTTAAGTCGCCATTTTTTTTTGGCTTGAACAAGATGCTCAAATAGAGCCAATTTCTTCGAAAATTTTGAGTGCTCTTCATAATAATAATAATAATGGGTGAACAACACCAACAAAAGTGGGCAAATGCATCCTTGATCACCGATTATTCGGTTTAATCGAATAAAATGAAATTCCTGCCTTAAAGATGGTGGTTTGTTGAGGGGGAATGACTAGAATGAGCTAGGGGGGCGGCGCAGACGATTCTCGATTGCACCTGGATTCAATGACGACAATTCTACGCTGATTGTTGGTGCGCTGCGAGCGAGAGCGGCCCATTTCCAATGAGAGACAAAACAATTTTTGTTGTTGATATAATCGAATGATGCTGCGGACATATTTTTTGGTGGTGGATGGGCGTGGCGCGCGCACGCTTCTGAAGCGATTCAGACGAGACGTGACTAGAAGCGACCAGCAATTTTCAGAATTTGCGGCCGCCGCGTCACACCTCCTGAAAAATGAAACGAATGAAATCGCCATCTGCTCTTTGAGCCGAATAATGATTTTTGCCTATTTATAAACAAATCGGAAAATCTCACGTTGAGTAATTTGACCTACCAATAACAAGATCGACTCTCAAATCCTGCAAAGCGATGAGATGAAGAGAAATGAAAATGCTAATAAAAAATCCTTCAATTTCGTTTTTTTTTTAGGAATTTTATTGTTTATTGAGGGCCGGGGCCACAAAAAAAATACGAACTTGGCTTTATATATGAATTTGTTTGGATGGTGCACGTGGTCCCACGTGGTCATGACGTCACCCTTTTTTTGGGTGAGGGTTTGGAAATCAGAACCTAGACGTCCCCCCTAACATGAAATCATTTGTTGACCTCTTGCAATTTTTTTTAATTGGGAAGTCAACAGAATTACGGTAATTATCGAGAGAGACACGCCTTAATTGAAAATTTGAGATCTCCCGAGATAACGGCGCAATTGTGCACTTATTTGCGCAATTGGAGTGAGGTCGAGCAAAAACGGATAATTATAAAATAAAACGCGCTCCATTCCGATGCTTCAACATTTGTATTCACGTCAAACTTAATTAAACGCAACTACTCTTGCTGCCTCGCCCACCGCATGAGGTCATGTATATTTTTAGTAGAAATAAAACAAACAGAAAATGGCTACTGATTTTCGATTTTGTTATGATATTATATTTTACTAATTTTATAATGAAATTGCGCGAATCGAATCAAAATTCGGCGAAAATTGAAAAAAAAAATCAGGTGTGTTTGATTGGCCATAATTGAATTATTCATGAAACACTTATGGAAAATTTGAGATTCTTTGAAAACGAAATGACGAACGGTTGAGTAATTCTTGTTTATGAAAAGAAAATCGAACAAAAATGAGAAGGATGACACAATTCCCGAAATTCGCGTAGCACAAAGCGATTTAGGCGTGAAATTGTTGCGAGTCTGCAAAATGTCGTCGCAGTGTATGCAGACATTTTTTCGTTCTATTTTCGAACTGCAATTTTTCTTTTCAAAAAATTCAATTCCTGAGTGTTTTAAATTATTTTTTCTTCTTAATGTTAAGAAAGTTTTTTTCTAAAATTGGAATTTTAAAATTTTAACTGGAAATTTGAATTATTTTTCAACCTAGACAAACTAAAAAGTAGACAAAAATGCCTAAAATCGAGTGATGCCATTTTCTTTTCAATTAACAAATTGTCCATAATAATGTGCTGAATAATTCGTGTCCGAAAATGCGGGAATGAATGCGACGAGACGGGGACCATTCAAAGTTCTAATGTCAAAACGAAATATTTTGAACGCGAGTAAAAAGAAGAAATGGGTCTCGTGTGGATTAAAAAATCCCTTCTGCAAACGGCGATTTTGCAGAATTTTGTTTGTGAGATTATTTCGGGAAGAGCTCATAAAATTGAGGTCTCATTTCCAGCTAAAATATTATATCAGGGGTAAAATGGGTTAGGTATTTCGAATTGTCCAATGAGAAAAATAGAAAACTCCTATTTGGATATTAAAAAACACAAATCTGAATAGCGGTCCCGGCAATATTCAATGATGAAATGTGCAAAACCGGGAATTGCATGCTCACCAGGTTTAACTCGAATCAACAACGACGACGACGTCATGCAAAAATTACGTTTCGGTCGATTGAAGCCAAAACGGCTTAGTGTTCTCGAGGAAGCGTTTACCAGACAATTTTTGTGTTACAAATCGGGGTTCGAGGACGGAAGCTTAAAAAAAAAACAACGATCTGAGCCTTCTAAAAATAACTAAGATGTTGTGAGCCGGGGGGTGCGAAAAGAAGAGCATGCACACAAAAAAATTGGATATGAGTTGATGATGATGGCTGACGAAGTAAATAAGTGGACGTCAGGGAAGACGAAGAAGAAGAAAAAATTGAGTTAACCCGCCACAAGATTCAATGCATTTTTGAATATTTTGCATTTTTTTTCCTTCAAACAAAATGAAATATTTATTAATGTTTTGACTTTTTGTATTTAAGACATGCAAATTCTGTTGCGGACAGTCTTGCGGGCCGGGATATACCGAAAAATAAACCATATACATATATTTCATTTCAATCATTTTCGCTTGACGACGTTGACGATTCCTTTTTAATTTTTGCCACTTCGGATGTCGACTTATCAACCCGCATTTGAGCTTCGCTCGGTGCCAATCGTTCATGTTCCATTTTGCTGTAAGCCTCAACGCTTGGAAGTGGTCTTCCATTGCCGCGAACGGTCGCCGGCTTCTGAAACATGAAAAAAAAACGAAGGAATGTGCCTTTTAAGGAAGTCATTGACGAACCACTTTGAGAACATCAAAAATTGGCATCAATAGAACATCCTTGGCTGGTTTTCGCTTCGCCGGATTCATCACAATCAAACTTTTGAGGAAGTCATAAGTGGGACCATCCAAAGTGTTGCTTGTAAACTGAAATGTTTCCATATTTCAGAGGACAGATGATTTTCGGTTTCCAAGGTGATTCCAATCGTCAAGAGACCAAAACAATTTTACCTTTTCGAGACCCCGTGCCGGTCTCCTAGCAATTCTCGGCCGTTTCACACCCATAGCCTTGATATCCTCGGTGTCTGGATAGCCGAGAACGTTGACTACAAGCCCAAGCTTCACAGAAAAACAATGGACCAATGCGTTTTGTGATTTTTTTGGAATACCTGATCTTGGGTGTCTTTCCCTTTAAACAAGGTGCGGTTTGCAAAGAACTCGAACGAAACGCAAGCAGCCGACCATAAATCTTAAAATTGCTATTCGGCGCCAATTGTCCGCAGCTGTGTTCCAACAAACCAATCGCTGGCGTAAAATTCTCGCCGCCAAACAACAATTCCGGCGGTCGATAGAATCGAGTAACCTGATAGGAATTGCCCTTCTTTTCCGTCGTCTCCAATCGGCGGGCATTCCCGAAATCGGCCAACTTTAAAAAACCGGCCTAAATGAGTTGATTCGATGAGATTCGTCGAACACCAAAAAAGTAGGACCTCATTGTCAAGAATGATGTTTTGCGGTTTAATGTCCAAATGGACGACCTTCATATGAGCCAAATACGCGCATGCTGCGAATAATTGGTAGCTGTAAAGTTTCGCATCCAATGTGTCAAATTTGACGCCTTTCTCCTTAAGTTTTCCCATGTCTGTTGGCAAATAATCCAAAATGAGACAATGAATCCGCTTTTCATTTGCGTTTCTCGTATAAAAATACAAAAGATTCGAAATTGCCGGATGAAATAAATGCGATAATATTTTCACTTCGATGTAATTCTCGGTGGCCGATGAAGCATCGGACCTTTGAAATTGGAAAAATTCAATTTCAAAAAATTTCTCCGAATAATTACCAAATATTTTTGATGGCCACTTCTCGCGTCTCTGGGCTCACTAGTTTTGTTGCGTAAACATTTGAAAATCGCCCACTTCCACATAAAACATGACCTGAAAACCGGCAATCTATCATCGATTTCGTCTCGTTCTTATGAACCCGAAAATTGAAGTTTGACCGATTCCCATTCATCGGGTCCCATCACTTTCATCGCGGTAAACTCGGACATAATTCCCGAAGAGTTCGTTTACTTTGAAAGATTAATTTCAAGAAAAAAATATTAAAAATAGCAATTTGTTTTATCGACTTTCACGCTTTTCATTAAATTTCCGTAGGTGTTAGCCGCCATTTTATTATTGAACACAACTTGGAATACATTTTTGACCAATTTCGACGGTAAATTAATCCATTGTTGCACTGTGCAATTTTGCGGCGATGTGTATACAGAATCGGCGCTTTAATTGACAGCCGAGATCATGCTTTTCACTTAAATTTTTTATTTAAGAAAACTTTGTCATTGTTTAACACCCAATGGGTAGCACATTGCTTCCCAAATGCAAATGTAACTTCTCGGGAATCTCGCACATTAATACTCAAAGTGTTTTTTTTCTGTTTGTCTGTCAACCTCCCTCTCGACTGCCACACACACTCGTAAAACGCGTCTCCACGCCCCATTTCGCTCCCTTCATACGTTCCGATTCTTTCTGTTGTCATTATTATTATTTTGGAATGGTCATGCTAACCAACCAACATCGACATGCGCTCCAATCATTTTTTTCTGTTCAATTGTGCAATTATTTCTATTTCGTAATATATATATTCTCACCACCTTCACCTTTTAATCAATTTCCTAATTATTGCTATGCCAGGAGGAATGTCGGTCGAATCTGCATCTGCCAAAGTACGACGTTACACCGAAAACTTGAAATCGGGCTTTGAGGTAATTTGTCAATCTTATTTTGTTATAATTTCACATTATCGATTATTTCAGCCAAAACGTGCCCTTAAAAGATTGTACGAAATCGATGCCGATGCGCAATTTTATCAAGAAGCCGACACTCGAAAATATCTGAAAAGATATCTCGAAGACGAGACATGCAAGAAGTATGCGGCGAGGCTGCGTCAAAAATTGCGCGGCCACGAGAAAATCATCAACGAGCAACGCAAACGGCATCGTAGCTCGACGAATAATTGCGACGTGTCTTCTCAAGGAGCGCCGCCGCTCAAAGAGCCGAAAACCGAACAATTATCCGCCGACGATTTCGCGAGAGCGATTTGCGGCGGAACGCCGAAGGCGAGTTTTCAAAGAACACCGGTCAATATTGATTATTCCAAATACAAGGTAGTTTCCCAACTCGATTGATTCTGTGATATTTATCAGGAACAAAAATTGCAGGTGGTTTCGAAAACCGTTGTGCCAAAGGCCGAGCCGCCATCGCCAAAAGAAGATAATGATGTAAATATACCATCAAGCAGTCGTGTGTGCTTATCATCGACTGACGTGAAACCAAACGTAAGATCGAAAACCATTAATATCAGTTTTCGAATTCACGAACGTTCAGGTTGAAACGATATCGCTTCATGTCAGCGATTCACGATCGGAGCCAGCGCCAAAGGCACGACCAAAAGCTGCGGTTGGGAGCCGCTCGCAAGACGATGAAAAAATGTTCAAGCCGAGAAAAGATCGCCAGAAGGTGTTCGCCGGACGCAAGAAGAATGTTCACACAGAAGTTCCATCACTCATGAAGGTGTGCCAGAATGTTATAGCTCAAAATGTCAATTGTAAGTATTTATTAAAATTACTTTTCACACAAGCCTATTTTAGCGCTTGGTTACGTCGGTTGGACTCCGTATATTCTTCTGAAACCGGCGTTGACACGATGCAATATTGAGCAGCTTCGAAAAATTGTAGATATGAATCCGGTGAGTGATTCAAACAATTTTCCTTTGCCAAATCGAATATTTTATATTTGTTCAGACATTGGCCGAAGATGCTGACGAATTGTTCCATGAATACGTGAAACGCGAGTTTCCAGCGAATGAGGACAAAACTGATGAAATGTCCTGGCGCGAGCTTTACGATCAGTTGGTTATTAAAAAGGAAAGGTATGACAGCAAAAGATTGGCGATGCTTGCTGATCGAATTGCTTGCCGTACTAACAATCACGATTCTGGAAGGCGTACGGTAATTCAGATTCGTTCACAATATCAAAACTATTTTATGTGTTGCTACAGATGGTTATCGAATCAGCGCATGCTAATGTTCGCCGAGCGTTCACAAGCTCGCGCCCGACGACCCAGATGCTGCCGACGCCGTCGGCCGTTGAACTCTCGCAGGCGAGAAAAAACGTGTCAACTCGTACGTGTTCCTTAATAGATGACCATATATTTACTTGATTATTTTTGCAGAAGGACGAGCTCAACTAAATGCTTTACAAGGCCCTATTCGCAGTGCGGTTCAGACGGCGAGGCCAGCTAGAAAGACAGTCGCACCATTAATGGCCAAAGTGAAGAAAATGCTTGGTCGATGAATTATTAATTAACCTGTAGTTTATAACTACTCTTCGTTTTAATTATGTGTGGTTTAAATAAATTGTGATAGCATTGTCGGGTGCATTTATACATTTACTGTCGGATGTATGGAATTGAACATGACGGATGCGGTGTTCTTTGAGAATTTCGTTCGTTTCATCCACGCTTTCACACATTTTCTGAAAATTGTATCGATTAAAATCGATATGAGGAAATGAGAAACCTGTATGGCGACACAAAGAACATTGATATGAGCGGTGTCAAAACTGGCATGATTTCCATAATGCGAAATGGCAAATTTTCCATAACAACGCCGTCGATTTTGCGGAAAAGTAGCAAAAGATAGAGTGTGGAAGCGGTTAGCCAGAAAACTGGAACGATTGCCTGAATTGTCAACGCCTAAATTTGACGAATTCGGCAATTCATTTGGTTTCCAGTGCACCTTTATGAGGGCTCGATGCGATTTTCGAGTGGTATCCGACATTAAAACACGGCCGGTGTGATTCAAAATGTTTAGCGCCTGAAAAATGCCCTCAACTGGTTTTATTATAATTACAAATTTTACTTTGTGTCTGAAAAAAATTATACAACCATATATGGGGAAGCAGGGAATTGTCATGTAGACAATCGCTCCACACGAGATCCAGGACCACACACTTTTATTTCCAGCGATTGTTAAATCTAAAATTGTCATTATTAAATATGAAGAAATACTTAACAAATCAAACCTCCCCATATATTCTTATTGTCGTATTTAAGGTTTTCGTGATAAGTATAAATTAGTATAGTTAGCTCATCTGGGTCACCAGCGTCGCATAAATAAATGATGAGAAACAAAAATGATGGGATGTAGACGATTAGGCACAATTTTACAATTTCTTCGGGACGCGGTGTAGTCCGAACAATTATATAATAACGGTAGAGAAATGATACCTAAAAATTTCAATTTTCTCTTTCAACAGTTGTTTTTCTGGCAAAACTTACCATGAGAATCCATTGTGAATGGGCGAATAAATGACAAACAAATGCGTGAAGAAAATAGCAAAAAAATGGGGAAATTTTGCTGCAAACGCCGTGAAAAATGTAAGTTAGACTGTTTCCAGAGAAAATTGTCCTGGAAGAATAAAAAAAAATTAAAATTGTTCGCAACCACTTGACGTAACATTGCAGACACACTCAAACAAACTCACTTTTGTAAAGATAATAAGCCAGAAAGAGAGCTACCAAAATCGCAAATCGCAAAATTTAAAAGAAGAATTGAAAAGCTTCTAAGAGATTTACGCGTTTTCCGCAATATTAAATAGATAAGAATAGTATTAAAAATAATTCCTAAAAATCGAACTTCAAAATTTGATGTTTTTTTTCAAACATACCCAATGGATTCACAATACATCCAACTACAATGAAAATTCGATCGATATTTTTGATATATTCAATGTCGGTTTCATTCATTCAACAAGAATCTGGAAGAAATTGAGCGAAAATTGTGGATTTATAAGAAAAATTGACGTCAAACAAAGGAAACGGATCATTTTATTGGGGATATGATGGGTTGGTTTGACGTTCGTCGCGAAAAATTGAATCGTTATTCATTTAGAAAAAAAAAGAAAAATGATTTTGCGGACTCGAAGAATCGTCAGATTTCGCATTCTTTATTGCTGGAATCAAGTTCGCCCAAAAAGACCTTTTTTAGAAAGGTTATGAGAATGTAAACAAGTAGTTTTTTCGGTTGCACAATGCACCTGCAAAATGGATTCAAGATAGAGCAATTTAGGTCTAACTAGCTTTAGACAATACCGAAAAACAAACAACAAAAAAATGTCTGCAATTTTTGTTGATCAAAAATGAGCTCAATAATCTTGTTAATTAGATTTCGTATGAAAATGGGGCTTCTTGAACATATTCAAACATTTTCAGGTTTAATGAAATTTAAGAAACTGAAATATAATTACAGGTTTAAAAACAGAAAAAGGGAAAAATGTGTCAAGAAATTTAATTTGAAAGCAATCTTAAGCATATATTCATTATTTTAATCCATCCGCTTTCGCTTAGAAACGTTTCGAGGAAAAATTTAGACGGGCAATCCGAAAGTCAACTTCTCCGTCAACGAGCTAGAAAATTATTCGACCTCATGTGTAAGTTGAGTGTTCCACAGCGGGTAGGTCACCCAGCTTCTCATGCATCGGAACAAATTATAATCAAAAATGCAGTGTACCATAAAACAACATAATAAAAAATAAAAATGGCTATTGTCAGCTAGTTAATTGAAAACTTGTTGTCAACACAATGTGTTAGGCATTCAATTGCCTTCGGGTTACGGTAGAATGCAATACTGTGCTCACACACAATGCGCAACATCATACGACAATGTGCAAAAAATTTATTTTAATTTTTGCGTAAAAAACCTGATATCTGAAAAAGTGGAAAAATCCGTCTGGTCTGGTTAATCTAGATTATTTATAAGTCGTCAAAAAACACACAGACGAGCCGCCGCAGAAGTCTGGAGCATGGCTAGCAAAAAAAAAGAACTCAACAAAATTGCCTTCATTGTGTTGTCTCCAAGAAATTCTTGATTAAAATGAAATGTGAATCATCATTATGCGTTCCACTTTATTGGATGACGACAGAACCGAACGACAAAAACCCGTGAAACTTGCAATATAAATATTTTCTAAATTAGTAGAGGAACGGCGAGACGTATGGATTATTCGTCGTCGGAGTCGACGGGCTGCTCATCGGCGGTGCCCGGCGGTTTGCCAATTCCTCCTTCGGCCTGCCATTTCTCGCGACGCCTTTTATCCAAAATCCCAATGAAATTCGTCAATTCCGATGAGCGCGTCTAGAATTTTTGCCACTTTAATACCGCCAAACTAGACTCAATTTATTCAGGAAATTTCTAATTATCACTTTCTAATGCATTTATCTGAAAAACCGCGATCTATAATTTAAAGTAAGTCTACACTTTATTCTAAAACCGACGACTTCCGGTGTGCCAGTTGATTAAAAATTTGAGCTAGGCGACGCTTTGGCTATATATATATATATAGCATCGAAAAAGGGTAAAAGAAATAGTCGAATAATTAGTAATAATTAGTTTTAATTGGATTCACGCAATTAGTACCTGAAGGCCTCCTTTCTCTTCAATCGTCAACCGCATGAGCCCATGTTCGACGCTGCTCACAATATATTCAAGTCTGAACAATTTTGAAGTGCTTCCCAAATTTGTGGGGGCGAAATTACCTCGCCATGAGCTTCTCGACATGCGTCAACGCATCGGGAACCGACGCGCCCCAAACATCCTCCTCAACGCCCAACAATTTCTTGAGAAATTCTTGCATAACTTCACTCGACTTTCCCTGAGCATTCAGGCCATAATTCAGAGCGGCAAGCGCGATTTGCGACGGTGGGAACATTAGAAGAACGTCGGTTTGAAGACACATCTAGAAATTTGTTCATAAAATTCACCATTAAAAAAAACTATTTTGCCTGCAAGAACTTATTTGAATCAACTCGAATACTTTCCAGGTCGAAATTCAACAAAACCATTCGTGTTTTCATTTCCATTAAATGCCCTTCAAACGGTCTGAAAACCATAGGCTCAATTTTGATGCGTTTCGCGAATTCACCACCTGTAGGGACAATGAACCGTCAGATTATAATCAAGAGCTCTCATGATCTCTGGCTCAAGGGCTAGTATGCGATCGGCGTTTTGTTTCGGGTTTCCAGTGCTGAAAGTGGCGAGAATTTGCGTTTTCAAACGAATTCTGAGGAGAAAATACGTTAAATTGCCGACGAACTCGTTAATTGTCACGTAAAACTCGTCAGTCTTCATGGCCAAATAGAAGCATGCCATAATAACAATCTGAATAATCAGAATTTTGAGACATTTGCGAAAAATACACCTTTGGGCTTGTATCGCAAGCGGACCATTTAAGGAAAAGACGTTTGAAGTAGGCATAGGCGGTCCATTTAACAGAAGGCCACAGGCATGGCCGGAAGTAGTCGGCGAATCTGAAAATGGTGGCTGAAATATGAGATTTTCCTATTCCACCTACTTCAAAGCGGCTTCCTCGACAATTCTCTGAAGGCCAAGTTCCTCCTGAACACTCAAGAACATCTCCTCTTCGCCTTCCTCGATCACATCCGAATATTTTGAACGGAATTGAAGGTTCGCTTGTTCGCGTCGCTCCATGATCTGTTGCGGCGTCAGCGTCCATTCCTTTTTCTGTGTACTGGTGGAGTACATCTGAATCAAATATTTCAGAAATGGGGCAAAATTTCGACATTTCCAAGTAAAAACCGCGAAAACGGCATGGTTTTTCGAGATATTTCGTGATTTTTTAGAGGTTTTATCAAAAATTGCAAAAAAAAAACAATAAAATTCAACAATAAACAGTAACAAATATATAACGACGTCTACTTTCTCTTCTTTTTGGATTCGCGTTGCTGTTTGTGAGATTTCTTGTAGCCGAATCGCTGAAAAGCGCCTCGCCTCTTTTTGACCTCCTTTTCTCGAATTTCCGCATACTTCTTTTTCGCCTTCGACAAACTTTCTTCGTTGTGAAGAAGCTCGTCGACCATCGTCTTCTTCCTCTCTTTTTTCGTCATTCGACTTGAATAATAATCTTCTGGAGCGTCAACAACACGTCCGACCTGAAAGAAAGACAAATTCAATATATTCTGGTTATAAGGTCTCACCTGGAAATACTTTGGAAGAACTTGGCGATCATTCCTCCTATAATGAGCTTGAGGATTCAAGACTCCTCTCATTTGCAGCAACTCCAAATCCCGTTTTCTTTCCTCGGTAATCTCTGTAGCAGGCATGTTGAACCATTGGGATCCTTTCGTCTTCTCGCGCTCCTCTTTTCTTAAACGTGCTCGCGCATTTCTGCCGAGAAGCCTAGCTTGCGGTTGGTAGTTATTTTCAAACTTCGGACCGACTATCGCCTTTTCTAAAAGATGCTTCAAATCTTCATCCATCTCATAAGGCTCCAAATATGATGTTGTTAGAAGTGGTCCCGACGGTATTTCCGACTCTTGGGCAACTTCTTCACGTTCGTTGCGATCAATCACGAACATGTCGCTCATATCATCATATTGCGCATCAGATGTGTTCTGTTTCTAGAATAACACACAAAATTGCAAACTTTCAAAACTTTTTTGCAAACCTTTGTCTTCGTTGTCGGTTCATCGTCCGAATCGGAATCATCACTGTTACGCGACTCATTATTCTTACGTTTTTGAAGTTTCTTATAATATAATGCAGACATTCTAAAAGAAAATTTTCATTTCATCATTTAAAAGCAAAGAAAACTAGAAATTCGGCAAATTATTCAGGAAAAAAAATGAAAAAATATAGTGTGCGATGGAGCGCGTTTGCGCATTACCTGAATTATTTTTTAAAGCAAAGTATTTTGGATCTATTCAGTGAATGTAAATTAAACAAAAACGACAAATTTTCATTATGCAGCGATGTCGTTTTTGTCGCAATAAGCGCTTAATTTTACTGAGGGGTACTGTAGATCGCGGGTCGATATTTCAAAAAAATTGGCACATGCTCCTTGAATATCGATTTTTTTTTAAATATTTTTTATATTAAAATTTTCGTATTTTCACTCGTTTTTCGCGGATTTTTTTAAATAATTTAAACTTTTTTTTGAGTAACACTTGGTGATATTCATAAAAACTACTAATTTGTGCATATATTTCCTTTTTGAAGCATGTCATTCGCTGAGTATGAAGGAAACGACTCTTTGGTCGAAGACGTGGTGGAGGCACATGGGCCAAGAAATTTGCCAATTGCTGAACAGCGTGAAGAAGCTAAGCGCACGAGAAGGAGAAAGCCACTTGTAGATGACGGATATGAAGCGGTGAGTATTTAAAAATGAATTGTTGGATTTTATAAATTAATTAAATTTTTTTAGTTTCCACAACACTTTATTGTGGACTTCATCAAGACCGTTGAGCAGTACCCAAGTATTTGGGACTCATCTATTAAAGAATACCACAGGAGAGAATTGAAGCTTAAGGTCTTTCAGAATATCGAAAGCATGTGCAAGAAATTTCTCCGCGCCGGAAGACCAAATGGTATTTTCAAAACCACTATCGGTAAAATTGAAGTTTTAGGTATGACGGCTTGGAAATTGTGGGATTCGATAACGCGCGATTTCAATAGACATGTGTTGCGAATCCAAAATGCTCGATCTGGAACTGGAACATTGGAATCATCATTTCCGTTTGCGGAATATTTACAGTTTTTGGATGGAGTCAGACACAAAAGACAAGTTAAAAAGTAAGTTTACCTGTTTTTTGTTAATTTTTTTTTACTACAGTGCCTTCATATGCGGTGATAAAAGTATTGAGTTGCTTGAATCGCGGGGACCCTCGGATAGTCCGAAGACTGCTAAACGAAGAAAATCAGGTTTCTAGCAATAAAAAATGGAGTTTTATGGGTATGTTTTAGACAGCGATGAGCTGATGAGTATGTTGCGCGAGACGAACAGCGAAATCAAGCAGCTGCTTAGATCGAATGATGAGGAAGCCAAGGAAACCCCCAAATGTAAATTTGACCGATTGTGCAGGGTCATGGCCAGCCACGTTGCGGATTGGCCTGAATTGGATCAAATTCAAGCCGAAGCGAAAGCGATCGCTTTCATCATGGATCTCCAACCGACGGGCAAAAGAAATGAGCAGACGACTTCTCTCAGTTTGTTGGACGAAAATTATTTTTAAGTATTTTTTTTTATTATATTAACAATTAAATTTAAAAAGATAAACATTAAACATGATAAAGAAGATAATTTTTTAATGCCGTTCTTTGATCTTCGGCATCGCTGTATGGGTCTTGAAGTAAGGGAAAGTTGTGGTCAGGTGGAAGATCGGGAGGAGCACCTAGTGATATGTTATGTACAACTGAAAGTGCTACAATGAGGGCGCGCGAAGAAGACGGGTCCATATTAAGGGCTTTTTTGAAAATCTGGAATTTCGACTGCATCACACCAAAAAAATTTTCAATTTTCACCCTAGTTGCCGACATAATCTCGTTAAAACGCATGTTTTCTGGAGTCAAGGAAAGCTGCCTATAGGGTTGCATAAGAAACTTAGATAGTCCAAATCCGTTATCAGCAATTATAAATGGAGGCATTATAATGGATGAATTCGGAAGCGGGCGATATCCACCTATTGTGGCTACATTTTCGAGGAGTGCTCCCAAAGGCCCATCTCTGAACATTTGGGAGTCCGAATTTACTCCAAGCTCAGAGATTTGCAAATATATAACACGCAAGTTTGCATCACAACAAAAAAGAGAATTAAATGAATAAAACGACTTATAATTATAATTTAACGATCCTGTATGCGCAGGATGCTCGATCTTCCAATGCTTTCCATCCAATATGGCAAAACATGGAATTCTTCGACGAGGAGTTCGATCAGAAGAGTTCATAAATCCTTCTTCCAGACGAATTAATTCTCTTCGATTTTGTGGCAATCGGATTTGTTCTCCGGCAACTTGGACGATATCCTCGATTGTATCTCTAACTAGTCGAGAAATCGTTGATTGCGAAACTCCAATTTCCTTCGCAAGAAGATTTTGGCTAATACCTATAAATTTTATAATTTTAATGCTTGTAAAAAACTAACAAACAACTAAAAAATAACCTTCTCTTGTGTATTTTAAGAAAACTGCCAATCGAATTGTCGCATTGATTCGACCTTCGTGATTTCGGCATATCTTCAGAAGTTCCATGAACGTGCTGTTAGAAACGCCGGTCACGAACTTAATTTATTCTACATTACTTATGCAGAAATTCACTTGTTTTACTTGTTTCCTTACCTCAATACCACCACAATCTACTAATCGGTTGACTTTTTCACAAAAAAGATCGAAGCTCTGTTTCTTGATCACTTCAATTGTTTCAGATGCATTCAATGCATTTTGTTTCAATATCCAAACCAAAATAATTCGTTTTTTCATAAGCAGTGCAATCTATAAATTCATTTATTTGTTTTTTGTTTAAATTGTATTTCTTACTATAGCCTTTTTCTTATTTCGTAACCTATCCAAATTAGCCATGGAACGATCTGAAATATTCAATTTCTTTAAATTAAAACAATATTCGAATAAAATCGATTCAGTTTTGGAATAGAAAAAAAACGAAAACGATATGAAATTATTATTTAAAAGTGTTACTCAAAAAAAAGTTTAAATTATTTAAAAAAATCCGCGAAAAACGAGTGAAAATACGAAAATTTTAATATAAAAAATATTTTAAAAAAATCGATATTCAAGGAGCATGTGCCAATTTTTTTGAAATATCGACCCGCGATCTACAGTACCCCTCAGTAAAATTAAGCGCTTATTGCGACAAAAACGACATCGCTGCATAATGAAAATTTGTCGTTTTTGTTTAATTTACATTCACTGAATAGATCCATTTCCAAAAAAGTTGGGGCATTAAAACAGTTTTGATAATTAATACCTAATGAAAAATTTAAGTTTACTATGTATTAGAACATGAGATATCTAAAACATTAAAAAATTTTGACCCCTCCCTCCTCAAATTTATGATGGGGAAAAGCTCACATTCGAGAAATACGCAGAGCAAACTAAAATTTTTTTCAAATTTGTTGCTATTTAACATATAGCAAATATTTATCAGTAAATGAAGCTATTCATCTGCTATGTTTTTTTTTCAACGACTGAAGTTAATTTTTTCCTATTTTTCGTTAATAACACACTTAGTATTTTAGTAGTTCTGTGTTTGAAATTCTGAAGATTTCCAATATTCATATAGTCCGAAAAATTGGTGTTCTATTCATCGAAAACTTGATCATTTTCACTGATGATTTCGAAAATATGATAAATCTAACATAACGTGTCAATTGGCCACGCTTCCTCAAATAATCTCCATTATTTTTTTAGGTCCTTCTATTTAATCAGAAAATTTCTTTCCCTCACGACGCGTAAAACAAGATTATCCGCTCCATAGAATGTCGAAAAAAAAGAAGTTGCCGCGATGCGACGGGGCCGCACAATTTTTTGTGCGATTTTTCGGATCCGATATCCATTCGTGGCTATTTAAACGCGCGCAAAATTCGCTGATAAGATCACAGCCACCATGGGTGTCTGCGAGAATATCGATGATCCAAAAACCAAGGTAAAACAGCGTTCAGCGTTTCATTCACAACACTCTTCTTCCAATCATTTCAGGCCTACCGGCTTATCGGCTACGCCGCCGTCACCTTCTCCGCTGTCGCCGTTCTCTGCTTCTGCGTGACGATGCCAGTGGTGTACACTTATGTTCAAGCAGTCAAGCGACAAATGAACCATGAGATGACCATGTGCAACGTAAGTCGTATTGAATATCTTTCTCTTCATAATTATTGACTCAGGTGAACGCGCGTCAAATCTATCAAGACGTGAACTCACTTCGCGCCGGATTCCCATTTATCCACGGCAATCGTACCGCCCGTCAGGCTGGATATGATGGACAAGAAGAGGTTTGACGGTCCATTCTGCAATTTCCCAACTTTTTTTCTAGAAGAATCATATCAGCGGATATCCCGACACGAAAGCTCCGTCAGCCAATTACGACGGAAAACCATTTGTCGCTGTTGGTGTTGAAGATGGTAGCATTGAAAATCAAAACCTTATTTTCGACTTGTTGCAAATTTTCCAGGCGGTCAGTTCACCAGCAGCCACAATGAGCATCCTGATGAGGGTCACAATACTGGAACCTGCGAGGATTGCTGTCTTCCAGGACCTCCTGGACCGCCAGGACCTCCAGGAAAGCCGGGAAACAACGGAAAGGCCGGAGCCAACGGACTCAACGGGAATCCAGGGCGTCCGCCAGAGTCGCCATGCGATCCTATCACGCCGCCTCCATGCAAACCGTGTCCAGAGGGACCAAAGGGAGCTCCGGGACCAGCTGGACCGCCGGGCGCCGATGGACAGCCAGGAATCGCCGGGCCACCAGGAGAGGTTGGACCTGACGGTGAGCCGGGAAACAAGGGTCGACCAGGAGTGCCTGGAAAAGCCGGAGAGCCAGGCGCACCAGGAGAGAACGGAGAGAACGCCGACACCAACGAGCCACAGCCCGGACCCAAAGGACCTCCAGGACCACCGGGACCACGCGGGCCAAAAGGGCCACCAGGACATCCTGGAGAGCCGGGAGAGCCGGGAGAACAAGGCGAGCCCGGAGAGCCTGGAGCCGACGCCGAGAATGGCGACGACGGCACACCGGGAACGCCGGGACACGACGGCACCCCGGGACGTCCGGGCGAGAAGGGAATCTGTCCGAAGTACTGCGCCCAGGACGGCGGAATTTTCTTCGAGGACGGAACTCGACGATAATTCATTATCGCAACGAAATAAATTATTTATTTTTTGCGGCTTCGTCATTGTTTTTTCTTTTGCTGAAAAATCACGAGAATCCATTTCATTTCGGAACATCTCGAATTTCTAAACATTTCAATGAAAATGTTTATTGGTAGGTATTCGGTGAACTATGCAAAAAAAAAAAAACGAAGAGAGGCGAAATGTTTACGCCGAATTCTCGTAAATATTTTGGCACACACACTTTGTGTGTAATGAGGAAGTCGTTCGAGAGCTCATCGTTGGCTCAAATCAATCAGACTCCGCCCATTGCGACGTGCATAAAATGAGGGTCCCACCTCCCAACGCAATGTTGTATTTTACTTCCGTGTTTCAATGACCCACTATATATATACGGGACGTTCTGATGCAATTCTCATCATTCAGAAATGAACACGAAAATCCTTATTGGTCTCGTCGTTGTGTGCGCCTTTGTCGCCTATTCGGAAGCCTCTGTGGGTCAGCAGCTGGCCAAAGTTGGCGAGAGAGTTGAGATCGAGATCGCCAAAGGAGCAAAGGCTCTCGCGAGAACCACCAAGGCTGGAAAGCAGATCTTCAACTTTAGCGGACCAAATGCCGGAGTTTTCGTCGATGAGGTAAATTTGCAATGTTGAATTTGGTGGGAAAAGGGTATCGCTTCAGAAGGGAAAAAAGATCGACTCTTCCAACTACGAGCTTAAGAAGGATGTCTTGATTATCAAGAAGGCCACTGCAGCAGACAGCGGAGCTTACGAGAAGGAGCCCAACCCACCAGTCGGGCACACCCCAGGAGCCGTCCTCCAGCTCACCGTTCAATAAATTATGAACTGATTCATTTAATAAATTTTTTTTCTCGGCTTATAAGAATCGGAATAATTTCGTTTTTATTGGAAGAGAGCAAACTCGACGTCGGTAAATCCGAGCGGGAGCAGTTCGGGAGCAAGTCTGCTCCCATGCGGACGTCATACGGGAGCAATTAGGCGTCGCAACTGCTCTGTCTCTGTACACAGGAGTTCGGTGATTTTGCAAGTTGATCATTATGATCTTGATATATTCAATGATGACCTTCAAGAGGTTGTTACTTTCTAAAAAATTTATTAATAATTTAAAGCAATCTATTGAATTGTAAGCTCGAGAACTGGTCCTGGGAAGTGGCCGACGGGTGGGTTTGGCTCCTTGCGATAAGATCCGCCGTCGGCAGCGGTGACCTTCTTGATTATCAAAACGTCCTTCTTGAGCTCGTAATTGGAAGAGTCGACCTTCTTTCCCTTCTGCAAAAGATGACTCAAAGCACCATCGCTGAAAATGATGAGATACCTCATCAACAAAGACTCCAGCGTTTGGCCCACTGAAATTCATGACCTGAGTGACGCCAGCGTGATTAGTTCTGGCAAGAGCTTTAGCTCCTTTCGCGATGTCAATCTCGACCTTCTCTCCGGATTTTGCCAATTGCTGAGCGAGTTGCGCCTCAGCAAAAACGACAATGGCGATGAGTGCGATGAGAACTTTGAAAGACATTTTTTGAAATGATCAAGATCGTCGCGATCCTTATATAGTGATCAATTTGCAAAAAAAAAGGAAGTGAAATATCTTTCTTCTCAGGGGGGGGGGTGAGTGGAGTTCAGATAGACAAAAACCGGTTTTGTATGGAAAAATAGGTCGAGAAAAGTACGATATATCAAATTATTGGGCGGAGATCTGAAGGATGGCTCCGCAAAAGGCTTTCTGCTCGATTATCAAGACATCCTTCTTAAGCTCGTAGTTGGAAGAGTCAATCTTTTTTCTCTTCTGAAGCGATACCCTTTTGCCACCATATTCAATCCTGTAAATTCATTTCATCGACGAAAACTCCGGCATTTGGTCCGCTAAAGTTGAAATTCTGCTTTCTAGCCTTGGTGCTTCTCGCGGGAGCCTTTGATCCTTTTTTCAACTCTCTCGTCAAGCTTCGCCAGCTGCTGACCCACAGCGGCTTCCGAATAGGCGACGGATCACAACACAAAGTGCAAAAAATCTCGATGTGATCAGGCGATCATTTCATCTCTTTTTTACCAATAGGAAGGAAAGATGATTTAAAAAAAAACACGGAAGTAGATATTTGCGCCAATAATTTCCAATGTTAATCGATCGGTTAGATTGATTTCATTCAGTGAAATTTAATTCATTAAAAACGTTGAAGTTCGAAGAAAGAAAGTTCAATTCTAGTTTTAGTCTGCATACACACAGACGCAATTTTGCACTCATTTCAAACTCGCAGCGATAAATTTTAATTATCGATTTTTTTCAAAAAAAAAGTTTGAAAAATTCCAAAATGCGCACGAAATTCAAATATTGCCAACAGAACTTCGAACTCACATTTTTCTACGAGTAGCTAAAATATTGATTTCGCAATATTGTTTAGATTCGTGAGAAAAATAAATAAATATCCGTAGACAAGGAAGTTGTTTTTAACCGGTTCTATTCAAATGAAAAGGTATCGAAAATGTCGAAAATTTCAAGAAGGCGTGACTTTCTGATGATACTGTCAATATAAAAGATCGCCTTATTTATCCCTTTTATGGTCAATATGAATTGTCTCATCGTTTGCGTTGCGATTCTCGCTGCTGTCGCGGCATTCCCAAGAGGCGCGAAACTCGGCGAGCGCGTTGAACTCGATTTATCCAGTGAGAAAGTTAAAGGATTCACGAGAGTGTTCGAGGATGGAAAGACGCAGACGTGGAATCTTGACGGACCAAATAAGGGACATTGGGTTGACGAGGTAATACTACAATTTAATAACTTTAATAAATTCAATTGGTTTCAGAAAGAAAAAAAAATCGACTCGTCCAACTTTGAATTCAAAGCGCCAGGAACATTGATCATCAAGAAGGTCACAAAAGCCGACGCTGCTCAATATGACTACATCGCGGTTCCAGTGAAGTTCGACCTTCCACCAGGAGTTCATGTCGATCCCGGAATGCCAACTTCTGTTGATCTTCTGATCCATTAAATAATAAATATGAGATATCGCGATATTGTTTGAAGCAAACCATTCCCAATATTTGGTAATAGGTTTTCTTATTAATATACATAGTTGGTACGAAGTCTTGTTGACAATGATCAGAGCATATCCCTTTGCTGCACGAACAGCAACTTCCTGGTTGCGAATGACCTCGTCACCTCTCGACTTTACACAAAACGCTGAATAAAAGCCGATGTGGATGGTCCGAAAAAATCAGTGCAAAATGAAGTTGCTCATACTCATTGCTGCTGTTGTATTGCTCGCGGCCGCCTATGGATACCCGGGGCCCATGATGGCCAAGGTATAGCGAATTCGGCAATCTGTATTATCAAAAACTAATTGTAGGAAGGAGCCACCAATTTCGAGCTCCAACTTGACATCAGACCAGTCAAATCGATTATTCGAACCGTGAAGACCGGAAAGCAGATCTGGAATTTCTCGGGACCAAATAAGGGCCAATGGGTTGATGAGGTAGTTGCGCATCGAAAATTGAGAGAAACAAAAAACCAATTTCTACAGAAAGGAAAGAAAATCGAGTCGTCCAATTATTCCATCAAAAGCCCGGCGACGCTTGTTATCAAGAAAGTCACCAAGGCCGACGCCGGAATTTACGACTATGAGGAAAGACCGGTTAGTTATACTATATATAGTTTTGGGCTTTTCATTGTGCGTTTGCAGGAAGATATTATGACACCACCGCCGGGAGTTCACGTCGATCCTGGAATGCGCGGATACAAATTGGATGTTTTGTAAAAAAAAATTGTATTTTAGAATTTTTTCAAATAAATATCTCACATTTTTTCTGAACATCCCTAATTACACACAAAAAAACTAGAATCGAAGAATGATCCATGGATTATCCGGTGTCCCATTGAATAAGGTCGCGTATAATGACGATCACCTGACCACATAATCTATAATTATAATATAATATAGAGACGGCGGAGACAAATGGAATAGTAAATTTTGTTGCAAATCAGCGAATTATGGGGGGGGGTTGCGCCTTTAAACCAGAAATGCGTTTCAAAAGCTTCTGATCATCATCATCATCATCATAATCGTCGACGTCGAAAAGACCGGTCTTTGTGTTTTTTTTTTTACTTTGATTCTGCCTCGCCCTCAATTGAAGCAAAACTATCGAGTATTGATGATTGCGTTTTTTTTATTTATTGTTTTTCCGTGCCTGTTTTATTGATTTTGGCCGATGACGAGAAATTTTACATTTTTTGATGTCGCCTTGGTTACATGCCAGGTGTTTCTTCGCACTTTCTGCCGAATTGAAACAGAGAGATCCGCCTGTTTGGTGATATTCGAGCGAACGCGCTAATTGATCTCAATTTTCCATTCTCGATTATGCATGCATTCCGACAAAAAGGGCTCGAATTAGAGGGAGGCGCGTCTAGTTTTTTGAACAAAACCACCGCGCACGTTTCGATGCCTAATTACAATTTCCCTTTTTCACGTTGTCTGCCATCTGCCCAACTTTTTCCCTACTCCTTCCCTCCGAACCGATTCGATTCGTTTTGCGACAGACAGTACAAAAATCGTTGATGGAAAAAATCCCCCGCATTTCGCAATTGCTCTTGAGACAGAATAATTGAATGATACTGTGCGATTCGTATGAGTGTTTGTTTGAATCGCGACGAATTTGAAGAACATGTTTTCTTTTAATTTTGATTCCTTCCTCTACTATTTATTTCTTTTTTGTAGTCTCATTTCTATTTACTGTCGAATCTTCGAGTTTCACTTCTATTGTTGTCCTTGGTGTGAGGTTTAGCAACAGAGACAAGTTGATTTTTGAAGGTTATTTTTAGCTCACATTTGTCTCTGTAATTGATGAACATTTCGTAGGAACACTGGTTTTTAGTGAAAGTAAAAGATAAAAATCAAAATTTTTTGTTGTTTTAAATCGTTATCGATCTACTTTCACTTTGAAAAAAAAATGTTAAAACTTCACGATGAAACCGACATTTTCTTAAGGAAAATTGATTGAAACAAATTACGATAGAATGAGGGCGTATGTAAAGTGGAGTGTCGTTCGCGAGGAAATTCAAATTTTGTCCTTAATTTTTTTTTACAACATCCACAAAAAAAAAGAAAATTCAGTGTTTTCGCTCCCCAATTCATTCTTTAAACATCAGCTCCATACTTAAAACGTTCGTTTCGTCATTTAATGTTCTGAAGAGACAAGAAAAAGCCAGTTTGTTGGACGAAGATGGAGAAAAAGTGTTAATGAAAGCACACACGCACGCTTCATTATGTCAATAAATGATGCCGAAAACGCCATTGGTCAGTTTTTCGGCAAAAATATTTCGATAATTGCCAAGGTTTCTCCCCCCATAGTGGTCCCTACCTTGTAATTTCGCGCACAACCTCCGAGGTGTTACCATAGCAGCAACTTCCTAATTCGAGTGCCTAACCTTTTAGCAAACGTTTGTACTAGGATGAAGCTTACAACGGAAAATATTACACGAATACTGTAGTTTCATTTTATCGTTTTTCGCCAAACATCATTTTTATGGTTTTCTTTTCACATAAACATTCTTGTTTGTTATGGGCTTCCTTTGTACATCTCTGACACTTCCTTGTATTTTATAAATAATTCGGTGAAAATCAATTTTCCAAGAAGCATGCCATTTTAACTCAAAAAATTCACAAAAATGTTCGATCTTCCGCTTCAATCTTTTCAAGTGGAAGATTGAACATAGGCGTCAACTTGATGAGTAATTTTTAATTTCATGCAATCTAAAATAGTTCTAAAATAAAGACGAGCTAACTTTTTTTGATTTTCTAATTTTAAATTCTTAGTAATATACTCAAGAAACTGCAACGAATGTTCGATCTTCCGGCGGCGACTTGTCGAGCAAACCATTGTTTTGATAAAAAAGAACCCCATCCTATCCGTTATAATACATTTTGGTTGTATATGTGTAAATAAATAGGACGGACCGTGCAAACAAATATGTAGAGGACCCCCCCAATCGCGCATAGTATTTACCTGTGTCTGTTGCCAGCCGTGTCCGGTCAGTTGCCCTCGCTCACCCCCCTCGTCCATATTAGGCAGATCAACGGAACGCTGCGTGCACTCTCAATTCGCCGTCCCTTCCATCGATGTCTGTGTTTCTCCGACTGTCCGCAGGCGCTGCATTATAATACATATATATACGTTTTTATTGTTGTTGTTGTTTTGTGAGGAATGCGCGGCCAAGTTCATCGCTACGATACTCATTTTAGATGATGTTCAATCAAGATTATTGCTGATGGTTGCCATCGAATTGATTTCGCGACGAGACCCATTTCGAGATTTACCCCAATTCGATTTAATTGAGGCCCACCATTTAATCCTATTTTTGTTACCAACCCATAAAAACCAGATTTTCGGTGTCGTCTAGATTCTCTTTTTTTTGACATTATAACATTTTCTACTCGATTTCATTCCTATTGTCTCCGATTTTCGAGCCAAAATTTCTATTTACTTTTATAGTTGAAACGAGCTTTTATTTCTATTTGATTCCACTACATTTCGACGTGTTCCCACCACGAAAAGTGAGAGCGAGAAGAAAAATCATATTCGGAAACGTTTTCCGGTCCATTGAAAAGAAAATGCGAAATAATTGCCGGTGTTTTTTTTTGTTGAGAAATTCGTGTTGTTCGTCACCCACCAACTTAAAAAAAAATGATTTTTCTCTTTTTTAAGCTTATTTTTATCAATATTTCACCAAAACTATGCAATTTTCTCATTTTTTTTCTCTAAAAAATTTCAATATTTTAACGTCATCTTCCAATTATTTTAAGCGTTAAGCGAAACATCGAACATTGCCCTTCAAATTCCCTGCTATTTATTTTTGACGCCTTGTTAAAATTGCTCGAAATGACGAAAATATTTTGCTATATAAGGAATATCGAGCCTAATGCGCGTTATCGGCCGAAAAAATGGCGCATTTCCATTTCCTCGATGAAAAAAATTCGATTAAAATGCTAATTTGGTTCCGGATGGGATGCGGGTCAACCCAAATCGAATGCGGCTTTAAAACTAGTATAGAAATGTTTGTACAGACAACAACAACAAAAAAAAAACTGCCCGCTATGTTTGTATACACATACTTTGCATATTATAATATGATTCAGCTTTTCCCACCCATGGTGTTTCTTTATTCTTCGTCACGTCCCCACCGTTTTTGGTTTTGTGAGTCAGTCCACCTTTCGATTTTTATCAGTAGTTGCGTCTTCACGCCGTTTGCACCAAAAATTGATTGGTTTTGAAAAAAAAAAAAAAAAATTTTTCAACAAATTTTTTGTCGATTCAAACTTCATTGTTTATTCGTAGCGAAATGTGGCCATCTCTCGCATTTTTGATCTACCCCTTTTTCGCCTTCGCCATAATATTTGTTTTCGATTCCAAATGTTTATCAATGTCAAATAAATTCTCATGCTGCGGGCCCCAAGTTTGGCACGTTTCCACTTTGAGCAGTATCGAATATCGTCGTTATACATTCTGTCATAATTTATATTCCCAATTGTTCATTTTTTTTTCTTTTCAGCACAATGACGACAGCCACGACGTCGTCGATCGGTGGTTTTGGAAAAGCCGATGATAACATCAGAATCCTTCTCATGGCATCGGTTCGCAATGAATTCGGCGATTCTTGCGTCTTCACAAGACTCGGTGTCACCGCATTGGGACAACATTACGTGCTCGTGGCACGAAAAAGATTCCTCGCCGGTTATCAGGTAAGCAAAACGTTTTCTTGGAGGTATGGGGAATTGAACCCCAGCCCTCTCCCATGCTAAGGGAGCGCTCTACCACTGAGCTATACCCCCAACGAGGAAAATCTATCAGAATTGCGAACAAGAGAAGCCGGTTTCCATTCGCTGTGTGAAAATGGCGAGTGATCATTGAAAATGACGATTTTTCGATTTTCTCGTTTTTTTTCGAATGAGCGCTTTTTCAGACACACATGATTACTGCAAATATGCGAAATCGGCCGTTCATCTCAGCACCCTTCAAAATCAGCGGAACACAGACGCTGGCCGAGTCACGCGAGTTCATTGAACGGCTTGGAGTCGAACTCGCCAAACCAGGAATGTTCTCATTCGATGCACAACCGGAAGGATGCTGCATTCCGGTGGGCAAGGAATGGATTCAGCTAGACGAGGTTCCCGCCGAAGTGCACAATGATCAAGACGCATTTTTAGAAAAAGGTGCCCCGTTAAAAATCTTGCTATTGGCTTTTGCAATCAACAATTTTCAGGTGACGAGGTGTTCTGTGAGGTCATCGTGTCCGGCGTCAAATTCTACCACAGCGGAATCTACGCGGGAAACGGCGATGTTTATCATTTCGTTTGTGATCCGCGTAAGACCGGAAACAAAATTCAAATACCCTAGTCATATACGATTTCCAGAAGAATCGGAATCGTTCGCCGACGCACTTCAAGTTTTTCATGGCGTTCCAGCGCGAGTTCTCTATGACTCATGGTTCGAGTATGTCTACGCATTAATTGAAGTCTCAGGTATCAAGCATCGCGCAAGTCATGAGCAATTTTGAAGGTTTCAGATGTGCCGCCGAGAATCTTCCGAGTGTCCCATCCATTAATATGCAGGTCTGGCGACCAGGTAAACCGCATTTTTAGCAACAATTTTCACACAAAAAATCTAAGGTTGTCAAAGAGGCTGAAAATCTGCAATCAATAATGTTCAATTACGACATTCGCCGCTCAAACTGTCAACATTTCTCATCAATGTGCTCGACGGGAGTCGCATTCTCCTACGACATGACGTCAAACTTCAAATATTTTGCATGCACCGTTTTGAAGCCGACGTCGACTGTCGTCTGCGCGATGGCTCGATCTCACAAAGATCGCTCCAGCTTCAACAGCTCGTCCTCATAATTGTCTGTCAACCCCCACCCCCCTCACTGTTTGTAGATCAATGTGTTGTAGAAGTATTCAAATTATTTTGTCGGGTCCTTCTAGTTTTTTTTTGTCAATCTCAGGGAACGCGTTTCAATTTTATTTTGTCTTTGGGCTTTTTTTCTCGCACTTTCCTATCGCGCTTTCTTTTCCATGACTACCTCTTCATTCTGTTGATTTGGTTTACTTTGTTTCAATTTTGTAAAAAAAAACACATATTTATAAATTATTAGTGAAAACTAAACGGCGAGCGTTTCTTTTCTTCGGAATTGCCTATAAAGCGCATCGGATTTCTCTTCCATTGCTTCCACTATCGGACTGACTGAACGTTTTGAAGATGATGGTGATTCTGGCGCAAATTTCCGGTTTCGAACTTCGGTTTTGATCTGAAAATTTATGGGTAAGTCGGAAGAAATGGCTCGCTGCAGCGGCGTGGCCTAGGAAAAACATTTTAAAACCCACGGCCACAATTTATGGATTAGTTATTTAAGTAATTTAAAAAAAAAGCTGTGTATTGCTTTTGAATTTTTAAACTTTGAAGGTGTCGGCCAACTCTTCTGGGCTCCACCAGTGCTGTGGCGAGCCGGGAAGCATGGCGTGCGCCTTGTATTTGACCGCGCATTTCAGTTGCGCCACTTTAAAATTCTCACCAACCTCCACCATTGGCGGCGTCTTCAGAATCTTCTCTCTCTCCTCGGGCACATAAGCGCCAGTTCTTCCATGTACCCAGAATGTCTCCATTACACCTTTCCCTTTAATGATCACATCGCCACGGGATTGGGTTTCATACTGATTTGGATAATGTGTTACTAATAAGTTATGAGCAGTCGCTGAGCAATGAATATGAGAAGCTTAAAATAGAAAATTGGAATATAAAGGGAGACGAAGAGAATCGACACACGTCTTCCATTGCTTTCCATTCTCGACGCTGTATTCACAGTATCACCGAATAAGCAGTATCTAGGCATACTCAAGCCGACGACGCCGGCCACGCAAGGTCCTAAAAATGAGATGATTAGCCTTCTGTATGCACAATTCAATCCATACCGCTGTTCAATCCGATCCGCAATTCAACCTTTTCTCGTGGAAGGTGAGCAATTTTAAACGTGGATACATAATTCATAAATGCCAAGGACATTTCAACAATTTGTCTGGAAAAAAATCAATTGATGATTTTTTTGTTCCTTTTTGTCGCAAGTCTCTCACTTGATGTGCGCGAAACCATTCCTAATAGGTAATCCGGAAACACATAGATAACCGTCCCCGATTGATTCGACTTTATAAACGCCGTGCTCCTCGATAATCGAATCGAAATTGCTATAAAGATCGTTTAGAAGATTAACGACCTGAAAATTGATTCAATGGGTATTATTGGCGAAAAATTAAAAAAAAAAGACACCTGAAATGGAGAGCATTTTGCAGCTAATTGTGTGAACTTGACGACATCTGAGAAGAAGACGGTGACCGAATCGAAGCCTTCGGGTTCCACTGTTTGTCCGGCCTTCAAGCGATCGGCGACTTGTCTGAAATGTGAGTTTTCGTTTCGTGAACCAACAAGCTTTTGATCGACTTTGGCAACATTCTTCCCAGCAGCACATCGGCCTTCTTCTTCTCGGCGGATAGCTCTTTTGTGCGCTCATCAACTTCGAGCTCAAGTGTTGTTGTGTACTCCTCAAGCATATTGAACACATGGTCCATTAGATTTGTGTTTTTACTGAAAACAAATTCTTCAATTCTTAAATTTGGCAACCTTATATCAACCTGGGCATCATTCCCTTTAAAATCGCGCAAATCTGATCTGCCGTTGGCCGATCTGCCGGCTCCTCGTTCCAGCAATCGGCCACCAATAGAAGCTGAATCAATTCCATTCGTCTCATCGATTTTCGTGTTCCTCTTTTTCACTCTTACCAAACTATTGCTGACTTCAACCCCGTCTAAATCCAATTCAGGCCTTATCGGGGAATGGCCCCCCTTTTTGATGAGATAGATCAACTCGTCAACGCTTTCCTTCCGCTCCTGTATATTCCACGCCGGTTTCCGTGTAAGAATTTCCGAAGCGATTATTGCGAACGAGTAGATGTCGGCCGGCTTCTCAATTTGTTGCTGTAAAAGACCACCGCGTAGGACTTCTGGCGCCATCCACAATTGTCCTAAAATTCAAAAACTTCGCCGACGAGTGATCGTGCTCGCGTTTTTACGTTTTTTCGACGGCTTGCTTTCTTCCATGAGAAAACCGAGACCGTAGTCGGTCAATTTCACCTAGAGCAATTTGTTTCGTTGATAAATTGGTTTGGCAATATTTCAAATCACCTGCCAACTCTCGTTCACCAAACAAGTTGCCGATCTCAAATTGGCGTGACTGTGTAAAAAACTTTGGTGCAAATATTTAAGACCCTAGAAATGTATTGAATTGCATTTTTTTTGTTCTAATCCCCCCCCTAACCTCTGCAATATCTCTGACAATGCAGAACATGAAAAATGGGTCCATTGAGAAGTTGCCTTGCAGAATAATGTCCTGAAATCCATAGTTGATGCTCTGTTGCGTCTAGGGAATCTTGATAACCTGCAAACTCCCGCGCATGCACATTTTCCAAATAGCCACATAATCGGGCCCGTCGATCGACAATCCAATAAATTTGTTCACATTATCATGATACAACTTTCTCATCTTTCAATTTGCATCACCTATTAATTATTCAACGCATAGTTAGCCTACTTTGACGAATTGATCGTAATCGGATTTGACGAGCGTTGTCGCCGGATGTTTCGTCGCCAAAACCGGCTCCTTGTCCAAATAATAAACCGTATAGTTACTGAATTCGCTGTCGAACGTGAATTTACTATTCTCGGTGATGGTCGAAGGACCTGATTGAAGGGAACGTTTACTCTGTTTCTCTTTGTCTTTCTAAAAAAAAATTATAAATTAAACGTTTCGTTGTTTTTAAACCTTGGGTGGCTTTTGCAATTTTGCGTGAGGAATTTGCCATTCGGAATTAATTCGGTCTTGCTCAAGTTTTCTCTGCCTAAATTATAATAGTTTTCGAATTTCCATATATAGTCGGCGTCCGGTTGTAACGGGTAGATTTACGTGTCTTCACTATGGTCTTGCACGGAGTAACTGGTTGTTTTGCGTTAATTTTTAATTTCAATGATATTGAGTTTTCAAGAAAATGATATACTCATAAAGAAAATTAAAATAGTTCACGTGAGAATTTCAAAATAAGCATTCACGTGTGTCGAGACCATTTCGAAAGGCGCACTCGTAAATCTACCCGCGTACAGCAGCCGCCGGATGCCGACTATATATAGATATATAAATGTTTTGTCACCTCATTGTGAAGAAAAACAGGCAAATTAGGAATATTAGGCAGGCGGCGAGAACGCCGGAAATTGAGAACACAAGCGCGCCATATTGAGCCACAAATGTTTGTGGGCACAAATTGCCGTGAAAACCGCAAATCGGCACCGCCAATGGTCGCTTTCCGCCATACCAGAACCACAATTGCGATTCGTCGGTGTAAGCGGCAGAAGCGCTCTAAAATTGAAGCATTTGATTGTCGATGGATTAATATTTTATTTCTTATCGAAAAACTATACCAAATTTTATTATGCGCCTTTGATGTGTACGATAGTTTTGTATGTGTTTGATACGCAGCCAAATTGGGGAGGGGGCAAGTCATGGTCTTGTAATTGTTTCCAGTTTGATCTAGTCTACTATTTAAAGGCGCATTCAAACATATTTTCTACGATTAATAATTGTAGGGTCTATTATACTGAATTTCCTCAATTTTTAAGACATTTTTTTTCAAAGCCCTCCTCCCCAATTTTTTTCAAATAATCAAAGCATGTTACAATATTTTTTGAAATGCTAGGCTTCTAAAATAATAGGACTTCGCAAATTCCAACAAAAATGGCTTCCTATATCATGCGCTTTCATTTTACTGAAAAAAAAAATGCACAAATACTCCCCACCGCGGCTCCGCCGTTATACGTCAGATTCATGAACGAAGATTGATCGTAGTTTTTGTTGAGCGCGTAGAGCATGAACTTGGGAACTCGTGTATTGTTCAAATTGATTGTCACCTCACCAGTGAGACCTAGAAAAATTGGAGCGCTGAATAATGGGCTAATTGCGGGATTGCCGCCAACCTTGAAACGTCCCCTGCATCGCTGTAATAATTTTCAGCGGGTCTTGAATAGCGTCCGGTTCGGTCCGATACAAAGCCGTCAGCGCCATTCCATACATGTAAATCAAGTCGTGAAGACTTCGGCAAAACGTTGACGGCTGCTATAATTGCCCAATAAATTAATTATCGGCCTATAATTATGGGATACATAGTTAAGCGCTTTGACACACGCATCAGTGGTGCAGTTGATTGGGGGTTTAGTGACTTCGGTGGTGACGGTAGCAGAAAACTCTTCAAGGTATGAAGTGTCCATGACATCGGTGGAGAGATCAAACTAGAAACATGAGTTCAATTTTCTTGTGGGGGCAACATTTTGAAATGCTACCACGAGGACCCTTGTGGCCGAATTTCGAAGCTCGTCATTCAATCCATCATTTTCATTGTCATCAGCTTCCCAAAATGGCGATAATCCGGTTGACACTAAAATTATGAAAGCATTTTGATACTCTCCGAACATGATGGCGTCGATTCTGGCAATGATATCACTTACAGCAATTTAACTCACATTTCGTTTTCCCGCGTTTCTGTTTTCCTGAAATTGAGAAAAATTATGAATATTAATTGAAGACTATTTGATACCAAATCCGATACTTCGCACCGAGATCATCAAATGAACATACTCGCTATTGTCCATTCCAAGTTCGTGAATTTTTCGCAAATAAACCCGACGCGCCGTTGATGTTGAGATGGACGAAATAATTACTGGAAATTGGATTTTCGAAATTTAACAAAAGCAATATCAGACTTCTTGCGCGACTTTTCGCCCTGGTCAACGCTCTCGTGTACTCGGTTTCATCGATATTTTTAATACTAGGTAGTGGTTGCTTCAGGATCACATTGAACGTGTATGAATAATCATTCAAAGCGCTCTGAACAATTTTGAGATATTTTACTTTAAGCCGCGATTCTTTGTGTACTTCAACATCTTCAATAATATTTTTCGTATAATCGGTGTCACTTTCATCATAATACAGGGCAACTCTACTCCATTCCATCATTTCGAGAAACTTTGCCACCGTGTAGCCGAGCCTGCAAAAAAAAAAGACGGACCACGTACTTCCCAAATCCAGGTCTCGGCGCGAAAACTCTTACGATAACGAGCTTGGCATGATATTGCTTAAATATGGATATCGAAGGCCGTCGGCGAAACGCGAGCTCGTCACCATTCCCCATGCGAGCGACGGAATTTTGTAGTAGGTCGACATTGAACCTATCACATCGAGCGCTTCAAACAACACACAATTGAGAGTGGATTGATTTAATGGATTGGATTACGGTCGGCGCACGGCGCAGAAACGACGACGTCCATTTTTTCGTCGCGAAAAAACTCGATGCCGATTTCGGCGGCCAACGCGCGATCGCATTCGGTATATTTGACGGTGAACCTTTAATTATGTGATATACATATAGTTTAGAATCATTATGTTAGTTGAAAATCATATACTCGAAATCGAAATCCTCGATGTAGCCTTCTTCACGAAGGCGTCGAATAGCGAGATTTACAGCGCCACCGCTTTGTGGCCATCCGATCACGTCGGGCTCCTGATTTTCAGCGGCTGCGATGCCCACATTAATCTGAACATTGGTGTCATACGAAGTTCAACATTTGTTTTGTATCGTGAATCATACTCTCCTGCGCCTTTAAATCGCCAACGCTATCAGAAAAATTAAGAATATCATGCATGGCATTCGTAAGTGCGAAATTTTTGTTTTGAAATAATCCTTACTAGTGGGGGCTATAGAAGCCGAAAAGATAAAAAAATTTCAATTCGTCAAATTCACGGATATCATATATAGTATTTCTTCAGAGACGAATGAATTTTGAATTTGACGTGTTGCCCATTTAATCGGCGGCGCTCCGTAAAACAAATTGACTTCTTGATTTTTGGTAGAAAGTTGCAAAATAATTTAATTCAAAATTCATTTTCCATACGAGACCGATGGCAATAAATGATGAATATGTATATAAATGACGGCCCACAAATCTCGAATAATTGTTTTAAGTTTTAATAAAAGTGTTTCTTGCTAGATATGATATGCTAACAAGCAAATTCATCTGCGGATTATTCACAAACCTTTCTCCTCGTTGCCGCCTGCGCCTTTAAACTTGCGCCGAATACTAGAAGAAGAACCGGCCAATACATGTGAATTGAGAATTGAAAAAATGAATGAATAAGCCGTTTCGAAATTTTTTGTGAAGCCTTTCAATAAAAAAAACGACGACTGAATTTCAAGAATTTCAAAAACAAAGATTTCATTAGTACACGAATCACCGAAATGAGAAAACGGCAAATCATAGAGAATATTAAAGAATTACAAGGAAATGCATAATTATATACAACAAAGTACACGTTTCAATGGGGGGTTGTGGATGCTCCAACTTTTGGAGTTTGAGTAATGTAAGGCATTGATAAGAAGACAAAGGAGAAAACAAGAAAAAATATATTAAAATTCTAGATTATTATCGATCTGAAAGCTCTGGTGGGGGATTATATATCGTTTTCTCCTTATAGTAGACCTCTTCATGCTCCTTGTCGCAAATGAGCATGATGGATGCTCCGAGAGTGAACAGCGTCGCTCCCCACGCGATTCCATAAGACCAATCGACTTCCCAATTTCGCCGTGAGCCGTATTCATCCATTTTCACGTAGAATGCCACGGGGAACATGATAAGGGCGACGAGTTCGAGAAGAACTGCAATTTTGAATTCTCCAATGAAAGCTCGGCTTTTGAAAATTACCAGAGAATGCCGAGATCATTGTGGCGATTCGGTACCATCGGTACTTTCCGCGAATGTCTGATTTGCTAAGACCGATGACGTTGAATATCACAGCGAGTGCTGTTGCGAATAATGCGACGAGAAGAAGAACAGCGGCTGCCGTCAGAAAACCTGCGAGATTTTATCAATTAATTATTCGCGAGTAATAGAAAACAAAAAATTACCCGAATTTCTCGATGGCTTATGACATTTTCCAGGAGCTGGAGCACCACTGAAGGGCGGAGCATGAGTTGGCTCGTTTGATGATGTGCATTCTTTGAAGAGACCTGTTCGGAACGATCCTAAAGGTAAATATCATTTTAGAAAAAATGGCATCGAAAGAATTTTTTATACCTGATTTGAGCCATGAGGTTGAGCACAGTGAGACAATTGATAATCCAATGGCTATCAGGAGGCATAAAAGCGAAATAATCTAAATGATGGCACTTTTTGTTTGAAATTCCTTGGAGATTTTTATTTACCTTAAGAGGTCTTACAGCGCTCACCGCTTCAATGGTGGTACGCTGAACCGCCACCATTCCTTGAGTTTATTTCTCGTATTTCGTTTTGGTGGGCCTTCTGCAAATAGAATTCATGAAAAACTAGAAATTGACGAGTAAACATTGCCGCTTGGAGGGCAAAGGGCAGTATAGTAAGTATATCAAGAGAAGTTTTACAAGTGAGTTGGACGAGGACGAGTTATGAGAACCAGATGTGAGAAATCTGTTTTCTAGAAAAAGACAAGGCGCGAGAGAGAGCGTTGGGATGATGAAAGAGCGGGCTTAGAAAATAAAACCAAAGGATTAAATGTGTATATTTCAATAAACTTGTAATACATTTATCATGGAAGGATCAGATGTTCAAGGGTTTTTTTTTCGAAAGGGATCACGACAAATAGGATGAACAACAAAAAATTGGGGAAAATCGGCTCTCGCATACGCTTGCTTCCAAATGATTTCGAATCGTCCGCGTCTCTGCGCAGCGAAGAGCACAATAAATAAACAAAACTCAAGTCGAATGTATGTGTATTATTTGAATGAATAACTATACATGCGCTCGTCCTCTGGTTTTCTACCAACGTCTTTCTCTCCATATGCGGTGGGAAAAGCTCAAATTTCGCATAGAATAAACAACAAAAACAAAAATGGGCGCGAGCGGCAGCGGGCGAAGCAACAAAATTCGATTAAGTGCGAGCATTTTTTTTTTCCTTCTTTCCACTAGCGCTGTTTTAATGCTGCGTTGGGTATTTTTGTGGAAGCGAACACTATGTACTTGCGCAGCGGGGTGGCGGCAATACTTTTTATGTGTTAATCGGTTGCGCCGCCGCCATTTTTGGGTGGTTTGTCACCCCGTCACCTTTTGTAGTGTCTGCCGGGTCTCAAGGTGACTTTTGTATTGTTGTATGGTGGTGGTTATGCAAATTGTTGGGTTCGAAAAACATATGGTGAAGTTTTTTTATTGCGGCATAAATTTTTAAAGCGAGAATATTTTTGAAAGCAATACTCATTTTAAAAAGGTTGCCTTTGAGTTAAAACCGATGAAAATGAAAAAAAACTAGAAAGAAAAAGATGCTTTGATCCGCAATTCGTCGTTATAGTGCATTGCGTATGCGCATTATTCTACGAACGATATATATAATTTATTCGAATATTTATTAAGTTTGAATTTTTTTACTTTTTTCGCTTGTATGGTTTTATTTTTTTTCAAAAAATGTTATAAAAATTTCAATTTAATTTATTACAACAATTAAATTTTTTTGTCGAGCATTATAATAGCAATAAGCCGAAGCGTAGGTGAAGAAAAATCGAAAAAAAGAGAAGATTGAAGCGTTCGATTGAGAGTTCGCTTTGTGTAACAGACACACGCGCGCTTTTCTCTGCAGCTCACATGTCAAAAATCCATAAACATTCTTCTTTTAAATAACAAAAAGAAAGAAAAATAAAGGAAAGCGAAGGGAGAACGCTCACAGGCAAAAACATTTTGTGGATTGTGTGTGTGGGAATTTCGGTTGTGTCATAAAAAGCAGTGTGCGTGCCCAGCGCGCGCAGCGATAATACAATAGAAGAATGGATTTGGTCATCCAGGTGTGGTGCTAACCGTAAAAAGGAGCTGGATTCGAATTTGATGTGAAATCGATACGCCAATTTGAATGCTCTGACTAGTATTTGAAGTGGCGGCATTGGCGGATGAGTCACGCGAAAATGAAATGCGGCCAGGTGTGAAAGTGAAACTGATAAATGGGAGGCGGACGACAATTTTTTATTTGCATTGTGATGAATAATTGAACGTTATTTTTTTAAATGCTGAAACATCACATCTATGTTTTGTTATTATCAAAGGAGACATTTACGTATTTATTTGTGCTAGTCGGTGCTCCAAAAGGTTGGCATATGATTATTATCTTATCTGAACGAGCAATGTGGAAAACAAGGCAAAAAGGAAGAACAATGAAATTGTATGCGCTAGATTTGCATAACTACATGCGTCGTATGAAAATTTTTAATTAGGCCCCGCCCATAATTTTTTTGGTCGCAATTTCCTAATAGGTCAATTCTGCAAAAAATAAAACAAGAAAAAGTAAAGAAAATATTTCGTTGTTTTTCTTTTTTTGCTTTGAATTTTCCTCTACTTTTTTCCTTTATTTTTTTCTGAATTGGTTCTTAACGTTCTTTAGTGGTTGATAATTTTAAACATTTTGTAATAGGCACACTTGATTTTGGGTAGAAATAAGAAATTTATGTTATATGTGTAAAAATAATTTTAAAAAATTAAATAGAAGCCAGAATTACAATTTGTGAATTGATTAATTCAGCAATTGCTATTTGATAAATAAATATAAATGACAGGTGTAAATAAAGGTCTATTTGCTGCTCGTAAATTAGTGACATCGTGTGTGTGTAAATTTTTTTTTAAATGAAATGTGTTTCTTACAGGTTGAAAATTATGAAGTCAATGTGCGAATAAGGCAAGGTAAGATTTAAATCTCGAAAGTGTTATAAATAATAGTTTTTGCGCAATTAATAGGACGAGAGGACGAGGAACATAATCGGCTTTAGATCAATATAGACAGACTCTCGACGAGGTGTTCATTCCCCTACAAGGCAGACAGCTGAGAGAGAGACTGAGACGTCGCAAACCAGGTCAGTACCCGCGGGGTGATGAATATTCCATTGGTGGAACACAGTTTGGGCAGAGGAGCGAAAAAGAATTGCGCCGCTTCGTTGTTATTTGCGGGAGACTTTGCGCGTCTGCGCGCTCCTTCAACTCAATGGTATTATTGTAAAAGTATTTTTATCGTTTCGATTGTGGGAGGCGCTCCTCAAAAATGGAGGGCGCGCGAAGACGCGGGGCTCGCAGTCCCGAATCTCTGTCGCTGGCCGCCACATATTCGGGTTAAGAAACCTGATTTTTTGAATTGGCGATGATTTCAATTTCATTTAAAATTAATATTCGGGGGATGACTATCGGCAAAAAAGATTAAACGGGGGAGGAGTAGACAAAGAAATTGTTTTCAAAAATGGGACAAAGCATTCAATTGAGATTTTTCGGACACTTTTGGAAAATTGATTGTGTAAACCGTTATAACCCGTTATTTTTCTGGGGAACGAAACATCAAAAAACTTGAAACATTCTGTGTGTTTACCTTAAAAGGCTCTTAATCTTTGCAGAAACACGCCAATTTGCGGATTAGTTTTACAGTCCTCATTCAACAGCGATTAGTTCGTTTTTTTCTTCATTCTCATTTATGAAACCCGTTTTGTTAATAGTAAAGTGAAAAAGGAGTTTCAAGGTGAAATCCTGCGCACTATGCAAATTGGCGCGCACATCGCGAACAAAGTTGTATTTACCCGAAACTTGACTTAATGGAAAAGAGATTTGCGAATCTGTGAAACATCCAAGCGTGCATACGCGTGCGCCATGCCGTATTGCTGGTAATAAACTACATACTTGAAACATGTTTCATTCAAAAATGTTGTTTCGTCCAACAATTCAATTCATTAAGTATTTCGGCAATTAGAGGAACGGAAACCAATGACCGCCAAGTTGGTGCGTCCGCCCGATAATATCTAATTGAACCTTTTTATCACGTTCGCGCAAAAGTTGGAATGAATCGAATTGAGGCGCGTTGGATGATGGGGAATAAAAAGTGGAAATGTTTTGAGGACAGGTGCCGAAAAAGGAGTCTTGCTCCTCTCCATCCCACTCGCCCTTCCTCTCGCACACAATTGGCCAATTTTCTTGTCATATGGTGTGGTGTAGGTGGTGGCACCAATTTTTGGCAAAGGGAAATGCCAGATGGAGAGTGAAAAAGTTGAATAATTACACACTTTTGAGCATGGCGAAGACGGCACCGCCCGGAGGTTTTATTGTCGTTTGATGAATTGAAATTTTCAAGCTTCTATCTATTTCCATGCGTTTTTAGTTGGAAACGATGGTCCGATATTTTTAGGGGTAAATTATAGTAGCTTGACCTATATTGAATATAATTACTTAAAAAAGCAATCAATTTTAAGAGGAACCTGTCTAGCAGTAATTGGGGTTTTGGAACCGAGTAAAAAACAGACTAGAAAATTTATTCGTGGCAAGACCATGAGTTTTTAAACCTTACAGAAATCTTAGAAATAAAAACCCTATTTATTCTCGATTTCTCTATCTGAATGGAACTAAATTATTCAAAACCTGACGTGTGAGGTTTGAAAACGACGTTTGAATATTTAACGCATCGTTTTTTTCTGCTCGTAAACCTCAAAACAAAGGCTAAAGTTATTTTTTCTTTTTCTTTTGCAGAATCGAAAACGAATATAAAATATTCTTGGGAAGAAGTATGAGAGGAGAAAAAAGCAGGAAGAAAACTCTTGATAAAGATCTAAGTGCACGGCCACCACGCCTACAAATGAGTGCCCTGGGAAAAAGTGCGTAAAAAAGTGTAAAAACTAATAAATTACAATTCGAGTGTACATCTATTTATCTATATATGTCTAATAGTTAAATGAAACGAGATTAGTGCATAATTAGATGAGTAGTGAATGAAAAGCGTAGTAATTAGATGCGCATCTAATTACTCGTGAGGATGGGACAGAGAAGTGCTCAACGAGCTTAGTGTTGACGCAAGTGCCGAGGGCAAATGTTTTTGTTACAACGAAACAATGAAGATTGATTATGTGACATGGGGAAATTTGATCTGCAACACGATATGTGATCCGTTTAACAAAAAAAATGGCGAGGGTTTTTTTCGGTGCCTTCTTTCTTCTTTTTATCAAAACTCACCAAAAAAAACGGAGCCATGAGCAAATTTCATTTTTTATTAAAAAGTGGAGTATTCCTCTAGATGTCTGTCCCCGCCTATTCTAACTTTTTTTTTGCTGACAAGCAAGTCCATGGTCTGTGTATGTTTTTTTTTTGTGTCGCTGTTGCGTGTTTGAGAAGTATTCTGAAGTGTATTGACACAGTGTTAATATATTTATGAATTGCCGAGAATTCGTCAGCGCGCGCAAAACTTTCCCATTGCGGAAAATTTTCGGCCAGATGGCTCGGGAAGAAAAAAAATTCAAGCATTAGTGAGTTCCAGTTTCATTGTAGAAAAAGTTGCTTTCAGCTTCTTCTATTTCATCTCGTGCTTTAAAAGCTCAGCGTTAATTTATAAGTCAAGACACATTGCCCTTACTTCGTTCTCGTAAGCCTTTACGTTCAAGGTGTGGGCGGCGAAAACCGTCTTAAATATATTCAGCACTTATTGCAGAATTCGCGCGACAACGGAAAATTAGCTAAATGCCAAAAAACAATGCTTTCTAGGATAGACCTCTCCTTAATTTTTTTGGAAATTAGACAATTTTCCGTGAAACTTAATAGGTGTATCAGAAAAATCAATTATTTTACCTTTTTTTTATCATAGGCTTTCACTGGTTTTCTGTGGACATGCCTATGGTGATCTAGTTCTGAGTTGCTCGTTGAGGGCTCAACTCGTAGCTCGGCTGATAAATGTTTTGAGATTTCCGGAAATATATCGGTCTGATACCATTTTGGATATACAACTATTATTTATACGTCGTGAAATTGGGGCTTCACAATTCTTAGTAGGATTCCGAGCGAATTACGTATTTATAAAAATAAATCATTCTTTGACAAATTCGAATAATCCTCCCCCCTCCCTAGCATAAAATTTTTTTTGATATAGAATATACCGGATTACGTAGTTTTTTTTTCATCTGATTCGTCTTACATCATTCTATAGAAAAAAAATCGTTGTAACGCGTCAAGCGGCGACAACAATACCGGATTAATCCTTCCAAACTCCACATATCAGGCATTTGTGGGAAAAAGGAAACCATAATTTCCGGTTCAACTTCCGTAAATGCCGCTTGCTCTTTTTTGTGCCAAAGTTGCGACTTTATTTCAAGGGTTTTTTTTTTTTCAAATTTTTGGCGCGTCTAGACCCACCGCTAGAGCGTTTCGTTTTTTGTTTGGTTTTAATTAATCTGTTTGGCGCGTATTTCAGGAATAAAATTAATCTCGTTGTCTGGCGCGCTCTCCGAGTTTTGCGGTGCTTTTCTCTCCAATTACATGCTTTGCTTCTTTGATGCAAACGAATATCCAACACCTAGTCTATTTTTTTGTCATCATTACTATTAGTATTATTTTGGTTGAGAACGCGGCGACAAAATTCGTGCACTTTTGTTTTCTTGGTTATTGTGGTTTTAATTAGGCCTCGGCGGCGTGTTTGTTTTGTTCTTTCACATCCTGTCAGGATTTTTGACGTTTCAATAGGCGTCGAATCGGTTTTCGCTTGGCTGTTTCCGAAAATGTCTGTTTTATGGTTTCGTTGATTGCTTTTGATTGAAGCATGGAATTGGAAACTATGAATGGAGCCGATTTGATTTTCAAACGATCAAAGCCATACCCGTGAGCGGAAGTTTTAATTAATTGCGATTGGGGTTTCATCATATTGGCGATAGTTTAGAATTTGCGCAACTTGTGTTTTTCTGGCATGCTTGGAAATTCTAGAAATATGTTTTTGTTTGGATTCTGAAAAGTTCACGAATTTCTGATGCCTTGTTAATGCCATAGAGCTTGCTGTACTTTTTAATCACAAATATTAACTGTGTGGAAAATTTGTAATTTTGGTTTTTAATTGAAGAAAATAATCTAGTTCCTCATTGTTTTTTTGGCTTCCCTGGAATTTTGCAATATTGTAGGAATATTTATTGAAGATTAAAAAAAAACACATTTAATTGTCTGCTCCCACCGGAAATCCTCAGACGTTCTTTGAACCGTGAAAAAAAATAAAATGAACATTTCTTTTTTTAGCGCTCCATTTTGATTCTCTCTGTCCTACGAAATGCTCACACGCTAATTACTAGGGGAATTTTTCGAATTGAGAATGATTTATGCAATTTTCGTGTTTTCTTCCCTCTTCTCAATGCCAATGCCGGAATGAGCTTTTCCACATCCGCGAAATTCAATTTTCGTGTTGTTTTGTTTTTTGTTGGGACCAAGAAGCATACATTGGGACCTCAAGTTAGACTTGTGTGTCCGAACGAATTACCCTCATAACGGAGAATTGGCCAAATTTCCTTTTTCGTAGACCTACAGTAATTAGTGAGTTTTTTGTATTGGTGGGAAATATAGCTCATAATTGAGATATAGCCAATCATGGGTGGTCTGTTCAAGGGATTATTCCAACTATTAACCCTCACCGGCGAAAAAATTTCGTTTTGTAAAATATTTGATCTTTTCCTCGTTTTTTGTCGCATTCATGAATAGAACGGAGTTCGCCTTTTTTTTCTGCCTATCACTCGCGCTCGTCGGCAAAGTGAATTTGCATACGACACAACGAGAATTGACGCGTTTCACTCGTCGTGCCGTGTTTTCGATGCAATTTTCCATGGAAAGTGGAATGTGTATGGTTTTTGTTGCTTCAAACAACGTATGTATTGTTTTGGGAGTTCCGGGGAGAATCGGAAATATTATTAAAAGTGACTCAAACACTGGTTTCATTTTGTTTTTAAATTTCGAATTCTGCAAATTGACAATTATTCTTTGATCTTCGTAGTTTCCCAGTTATTAAGAAGTTTAAAAACTTGCTAAATATCGAACAAAAGAAACTTTGGAAACGCGCCTGCGGTGAGCTCAATTCGAGACGATTTTCTTTTCATTTCGTTTTTTTTTGTTTTGCTTACGTCTTCTTTTGGTGGCGAGGCGCAGAAAGGGACTCAGTCATCTGTGATTCTCGACGACATTTTTTTTGCCACAAAAAGGTCTTTACTTTTTTCCGCTCATTTCGGCCCCTCCCTCGCCCACACGATTTTTTTCTTTCTTTTTTCGGGGTTCTTTTTTTTGTGTTTCCGCCGCCGCCTCTTTTCCTACTGATTGATTTGTTCTTCCTGATGTGTCCATTTTAAGGTTAATTTTGCTAATGGGCCTTGAAAGCTTGGGGTTTTTCAGACTTTTTTCTAGATATTTACTAGTTTTCTTAAGCTCACTTGGAGTTCGGAATCCAAATTGTTGAAAGCTGTCGTTCGCATAGTTAACGGTTAAAAATCCTAGTTTGAAAATTAATATTTGCGTTTCTCATCTGAAGTTGTATGTATCGAATTCCCTTTCGAAATGTTGGCGTAATGACATTAAAAATCTGTTCGAAAATGTACCATAATATTTCTTCTAATTCATATTGTTCTCTTTTACGATTAATTGAGTTGTCTTTTTTGCAGTAAATGGTGGGATTGGCTGAAGATGAATATGTTCGAGAGATTACCGATTTTGTGAACACTTGCGGTGATGGATGGACACTTCATAAGGTAATTTTGAATTGCAATTATTTTTTTCGTTTCAATCGGAATTGATAAGGAAAATTTGCGAAGTAATAAATTTGATTAATCAAATCCTAGGGTTCTAGTTTGGTAACTCGCAACAAAAATTTCAATATTAATATTATTTTCAGATCAACGATTCAATAATTTCGAAGCAATCTGTAATTTGCCGTTATGAAGAGCAAGTTTTGAATCGGCAATGCCATTTCATTTATAATCGAAAATTGTCGCGTTTGGAACTTTGGTTTATGATGTATTGTAGAAGTATGTCGCTTTTCTCTCGGTTTCGTTTTCGTTTTTTTTTGGCATTTCCAAGAATGCGGCAGGCAATTTGTGGTCCGTTTTTTTTTTCAGGCGGCCGCCCGTTGCGAATTCGCGAGATCGCCGCGATTCTCGGCACGAAACCCGAAAGTAATGATGCGATTGTCGTCGAGTTGGCGCAGCACCCGACGTTGGCGATTCCGTTTTACAAATTGTACGAGAATCCGACCGATTCGTCGGATTTGATGAGCAAAGTACAAAATGAGAAGAATTATGTTGCGAGGTTTGGGAGTGTCCTAATTGAAATACGGTTATTTGCACAATTTGCCATCTAGATGGATCCGCGCGTTCGGAGCTGAAGCCGGCCTATCGAATCCATCGAAGGAGCAGAATTCTGATGTGCTTGACTCGTCTTCATCATGCAGTCAATCAATTACCAGCACTGATGAGGTCTAGAACGTCTTTGGCTGAAACAAAAATAGTTGAAAATTTACGGAATTGTTCAATAATACTGCGGTAAAAAACATAGATTCAATTGTTAGTCTTGTTATTCTTTATTTTAATCACTTACGGGTCCGATTTCCTTTTCTTTTTGTCTTTTTGCCCAATAAAATTGTTTAAAAACGAGTTTTCTGGTGTGAAGACTGTCAACGACCGTTGATTATCATATTTGCACTTTTTGTTTTTTTTTTCGTCGTTGTTATCAGTGTGTGTTTTTTAAATATTGTTAAATACTCATTTTTGTTCCAATTTTAACATGGTCCCAATAGTTAATTTTTCAATCACCCAACAAAGTTAAGGAATTTTGAAAAGTCGAACTAACTTTTTAAGATGTGCATGGTGTTTGAGGATTTCAAAGGATGTTGAATGGAAAATTGGGTTCCTGGCCGCGGTCGCATTGTTATTTGCGATGTTCGGTCACGACCTCACTTTTGAACTGATTGTCTCATTTACTACTCAGCAAACTTAAATGTCATTGATAACGCAGCAAGAGTAAACTGAACTGACTGAAAAATATAATCAAATGTCCCAACTTTAAAATTGCTCACTTTTCTTATCTCTGAACCGGTCGCACGCGAGAATCTTTCTGGGCTAGCAAACCTGCAGGGCGTTTCCGGTGGATCTATGGTATTAATCAGAGAACATGAAAGTGCCTGAACCACCCTAGTCGAAATTTTCAACCGAGGCAAATTTGAACCGCGCCCAAAAATTTGTTCCAATAAATTTTTCAAAAACCCTTCGGAAAGGTAATGAAGTTCATCGAACGGTTGATTTGATGGGCTGGCAAGAATTGACAGAATGTCTAACAATTCATATTTTAGATGTAGGTTTGAAGGGAATTGCTTACTTAATTTTCCGCTAGCTCTCATCATATTCATTACATCATTCGCAGTTCTTGAAGGGTATTGAATGTCGGAAAAAAGAAACCGCTTGCCGACCCGATTTCGAACCAATGATCGTGCAAAGTGTGCATCCCTGTGTACTTGCCCAATTCGGAAGACCACAGATCTGACGCATGCCCTATATCGTAATGTTTCATTATGTACCAAGACAAGCTTGCCTTGAGATCCAAAAATGATACAGCTGGCTCGACCATGACGGAATATTTGACCCTTTCGTATTGTATAAGCAGTGGTGAAGTTCTAAGAAATTCTACTTCGTGCATTAATCTAAAATAAGCATTATACAAACGAAATGATTCCACAAAGCAATGCCTTGATCCGACGATATTTGCATTTTGAGCATTCATTCCGTTTAAACATCGGATTATTGCTGCGAGGATCACGGAACCGTCTTGCTCTTTGATTTTTCGTTTTACCCCTTCCACTCTCATATAAATCGGCACAACTTCATCCCTACGTTGTATAATGAGATAAATTTAAACAAAACATAATTACCGGCTACAATTAGATGGACGAAATCCGTCTATGGCTAAGGAAACTACAACCTTCAATATGTTATTCGAAAACATTTCCAGTGTTTCAATGTGATCTCCATAATGTTTTGATATATGAAAACTCGAGTAATCTTCGTACGGTTTTCCAGAAGCCTACAATACAATTATATATATAGCCGCGAATTTTTCATTACCTGAATGTGATGGTGATATTCATGCGTTTTGACGATTTCTCCAATTTGCTTTGACAATATTCTTGCCAATTGATTGTGAATTGAGAATGTCACAAGCCTAATAGGTTCCGTAATCGTACCTTTCACTGGCTTGCACCTTAGTCGAAGTTCCTGAAATGTTTCCGGAGTCTTAATGCTAGGTACAGTCAGCGTCCAGCGACTGCTGTACGCGGGTAGATTTACGCGGATGCGTCCTTCTTTTGGTCTCCCGTGGACTAACGTTGATATTTTGCATTTAATGGGTTGGGTCGATAATTATTAATTTTTCTCGAAATCGTTTTATAATTAATTTTCTACCAGAATAACATTTATTTTCTGCTACAATAACATTCATAAAGCCGATTAATTCCCGGAACCAGTAATTTCAATCAAAGGGTTAACCGGTTAAAGGGTTTTACATTATGATATCGAAAAAATATGGTAACCGCATTAATGTGTCAATAAATCAAGAATCATACCATTATTCCATTCCTGACAAACACTGAAAACATTATCTTTTGGCAGCATTTCCATGGTCTCGTCAGTTCCGTTATAGTCGCACCCTTCCGTGAACAGACGATCCTAAACCCAGCTCGACTCATAAATTTTCGCCATTCATATTATTTATTACAAGAATACAGTCGTCATATCCAGCGTCCGCAAAATTTCCCGCGAATTCCCCCTTCCTAAAATAACCTCGATTCATTAATTTTCATGAACTTATTTTATTACAAGTTTTTTATTATCTACAGTTTCTTCTTCAATACCATTGACGTTATTGACGTTTTCAACAGGTAAAAGACGAACTCCATAGCCCCGAATTCGCGCGTCTACAAAATTTTTTTTCCTTTATGCTGATCACAGATATACCATTCTCTTCTTTCGTCAATCTACTCCTTTTCATGTTGAAACGAACGTTCTGGAAAAACCATTCTCATCAAATCAAACTTTCAAATTTAAAAAGAATGTAGTATTAATTATATTAAATCTTAAAACCAATAGAAGGTTTTAAAACAATCAATACATTATAATTAATTAATTACAAATTAAAAAATTCATAAAATTAATTTAAATAAATCTTCATTTTGAAATTTAATTAAAACTTTAAATGAAATTTAAAGAAAATCGAAAATTAATTTAAATTAATTTTCGTTTTTTTTAGAAGGTTGTACGACACTACTAATATTACACATAGCCCACGGTTTAGCGCGTTTAGTAAACCATCGTTCCACCGCCGTTTCACCGAAACTCGCTATTCACCGCCGTTTCTACGGCGCGATTTGCTGAGTAGTTTTCTTCATATTGGTTTTTTTTCCATTTTTGTAAGTTTAGCATGCAATTTTCGCAGTTCTAACCGAAATTAACAAACGAACATAAAATAGAATTCAGCAAGTGCAGAAAAACAAGAGGCTTCCCACATATATATTTTTCCTCTCAATGTTTGTTCGATTTTCGTAAAGGCGAAGAAGCTTGGACAAGCGGTCTCAATTTTATCTCATTTTTTATCTTATCGCGTTGACCTCAACGATTGAGTGACCAGTGCGATTCGATTACGAGTTTCGAATATTTAGCGAAATTTTGAAATTGTGTTATCAGTTTTCCTCGACTGTACCTATTATTCGAGAATGTTTTATGGGGTTTTTCGAAGGCTTTGATGAATATTTCGATTTTTCATTTCGAATGATGTCTCATGAGATTTATTGTCCTCTTTTTAATCAAAATATGTTCGTTCTTTCAGGTCCCTATGTGTTTGAATTAGGTAGCGGATTTCACGTGAACATAGCTCTTCCAAAAACCCTCAGGCGACGCTTTTCGCTCGTCGAAGTGTTCAAATCCTAAGATTTATTTTTGTCGATGACTGACAGGGGGCGGCGCTTAAAAATTTGATCCTAAAACTTGAATCTCGTCAATAATTTACGTTTTGACTGTGTATCAATATATGTACAACTACAGTATATATCATAGGTACACGCAGAAATTTGTTTTTTTTTTTTGAATTTGGACTAAATTTTTCGAATTTTGTGCGGAAATTAATAGGATTTTGTAAAATAAAAATATCAAATAGACCTTTAAAAATCGAAGTTTCACGTGAAACTCGAAATCCCATAAAAAGGGGAATTCGACGGCGGTTGGCAGGTTTTTTGTCCATTCGCTGTTCATTTTTTTCATTGAAACCTCCTCCTTCTCCCTCGTCGGCCATCGCCCCCCCCCACCCCTCCCTCGCTCCTTTTTGCAAAGAGAATCTGTCCAGGACAACATATGTGACCACTAGCCGATGAACAATTTTTTTAAATGTTATTTCAATCAGCAATTGGTTTGCTTGTTGTGTTCTTTTTTTGTTTGGTTTACTGGCATGTTGGTATACACCTCGCTTTTTGTTTGATTCTCGTGATTAGCACGTGTGGGGGGCTTTGGATTGCTTTTCAATTTTTTGATGAATTGCAGGTAATTGTTTGATTACCCGCATGCATTGGGAAAACATGAAGGCGACACTACACCTAGAAGATGGCTCGACGTTCTCCGGAAATATTTTCGGAGCCACAAAAAGTGTTGTAGGAGAGATTGGTTGGTGATTTTAGTTTTTCAAACGCGCATTACAAAGTTCACCTAGAAATTTTCATTTTCCAGTTTTTCAAACGGGAATGGTCGGATACGTTGAATCGCTGACGGACCCTTCATATGCCAAGCAGTTCCTGACGCTTACGTATCCCCTAATCGGAAATTATGGTGTGCCGAACGCGTCGATTCTTGACAAATTCGGACTACCCGCCGAATTCGAGAGCGACAAAGTCTGGCCGTCGGCGCTTATTGTCGAAAAGTGAGTGTGCACTTTATTTATTTTTTCTCTTTGCCGAAAACAAAATATACTGGATAAATATAAATAGAGAGGAAAATATTGACAAGAACGGACGAATTTGAGAGGGGGGGGGACCATAAAATAAAATGTACCCCTCGACAATGTTGGTAATAATCGAAATAATTAAAATTTATAAAATAATTTTCTTTCACAATGTATTTTTCATGCGATTCGTAGCCGGCAACTCAACTTTTATGAGTAAATGGTATCCCAAATGGTTAAAACGCAGATAAGTTCAACAGGGGGGGGGGAATTTCATATCAGGTTCCCACAGATTAGTTGCGCAGTTAAAGACCCCTATTTCAAACTTTGTGGGATCTCATTTTGAATTTTATTTCCATTTGGGGACCAATTCTGCACATGTTGGGATACCGAATCTGCGTTTTCGCCTTAAATCATAGACTAGGTGCCCTCACCATGGGAAAATCATTCAAAGTCCCCTAGTCCCCATTCATTATTGATTCTCATAGTCAAGAACTCGTCCCCATTTCCAATGTATTTGGGACCTATTCTGAAGACGTGTGGATGTGTTCTTGGGTGTAGAGATCTATAGTGTGGTTGGACCTAAACTGCGTTTTCGTCCAATGAATGGTAGTGTTTTCTTCGAGAACATGACAATTCTTTATGAAAAATTTATTATCCACAAATGAATAGAGTGCATGGTCTATTTTTAGAAATAACGAGTCTCGTTTCTCGCATAAAAAAATATTTAGATTATGTGGCGACGGAGAGCACAGTCATTGGCAAGCTGTCCAATCATTATCGGAATATCTTCGAAAAGCTGATGTTCCATGCCTTTCCGGTATCGATGTTCGTCAGTTGGTCAAGAAAATTCGAGAGACTGGATCGATGAAAGCCAAGGTACGCATTTGTGGTCAAAATACAGACGTCATTATTCAATTTCAGCTTGTTGTTGAAACTGATAATCATTCTTCGTTTGAATTTGTTGATGTCAATAAGGAAAATCTTGTGGATTACGTTTCACGAAAGGTATTCTTGAATTTTTAGTTCATAAATAAAATTTAATTCTGTCCCTAATCTGGAATTTCAAGCAACCTGGCGTATATGGCTCTGGTGAATCGACAATCCTTGCCGTCGATTGCGGATTGAAATACAATCAAATTCGGTGTTTGGCGAAACGCGGATTCAAAGTCAAAGTGGTTCCGTGGAATCATCCGATTGACGCCGAAAAAGGTTCAATGCGCACCCAATTGATGTTTTCTTATTGAATTTCTTTAGATTATGACGGTCTCTTCTTGTCCAATGGACCAGGAGACCCGGAAATCTGTGGACCATTGGTTGATCGAATCGCCAAGGTTATCGCGAGAGGCGAGAAGCCCATATTTGGAATTTGTTTGGGCCATCAGCTCATTTCGAGAGCGATTGGAGCCAAAACGTATAAATTGAAGTGAGCGGCTGTTCAGTTGAATTTTCGGCTTATTGAAATTGCCCATGTATTCCAGATACGGTAATCGTGGACACAATCAGCCTTGTACTCATTATGCTACTGGACGTTGTTTCATTACTACTCAAAATCATGGATATGCTGTTGATGAATCGACATTGCCGTCAGATTGGAAGGCGTTGTTCACCAATGAGAATGACAAGACGAATGAGGGAATTGTGCATAGTTCGAAGCCAATGTTCAGGTAGACGTGACCTGTTTTGGGCATTTTCTATTCTAATTGGAATGTTTTAGCGTTCAATTCCATCCTGAACATGCCGCTGGGCCGACTGATTGCGAATTCTTGTTCGATATTTTTGCTGAAGCAATTCGACAATCCAAAAATGGGATTCAATTGAAGTACGTACCCCGTTGAATTCCAAAAATCTAGATTTTATTCAGTGTTGATCAAGAAATGATCAAAAAGATGAGCTTCACGCCGGTTTATTATGCTCGTGAGCAGCGAAAGGTTCTTGTTTTGGGATCCGGTGGTCTCACAATCGGACAGGCTGGCGAGTTTGACTACTCTGGAGCTCAAGCTCTTAAAGCTTTGAGAGAGGAGGGAATTCGAACGGTGCTTATAAATCCGAATATTGCGACGGTGCAAACTTCGAAAGGATTCGCGGATTTCACGTACTTCTTGCCGATCACCAAAGAATATGTTACAGATGTAAACGATCAATGCTTCTTCAGCGAATATTCAATACTTGTTGGTTTAGGTTATAAAGAAAGAGCGACCCACTGGAATATTGTGCACATTTGGCGGTCAAACCGCACTCAATTGCGCTATTGATTTGTACAAGGATGGCATTTTTGAGCAGTACAATGTTCAAGTGTTGGGAACTCAAATCCCGACAATTATGAAGACTGAGGATCGCGATTTGTTCAATCGAGAAATCGCTGCTGTCGGCGAGAAGGTTGCTCCAAGCAAAGCTGCGACAACAATGGAGGGAGCCATCGAGGCTGCCGAGGAGCTCGGATATCCGGTGCTGGTTCGAGCAGCGTATGCTCTTGGCGGATTGGGATCGGGATTTGCGAGCAACCGCGACGAGCTTATCTCGATTGCACAACAAGCTCTTGCTCACTCGAATCAGGTGTTGGTTGATAAGAGCTTGAAAGGATGGAAAGAGGTATGATGTTTGATCTCGAGTGTCATAAAAAAAGAGAGTTTCAGGTTGAGTACGAGGTTGTGCGTGACGCTTATGATAATTGCGTTACGGTGTGCAATATGGAAAATGTTGATCCGTTGGGAATTCATACAGGCGAAAGTGTTGTCGTCGCGCCGTCGCAGACGTTGTCTGATAAGGAGTACAACGCTCTTCGAACCTGCGCTATCAAGGTTGGCTTCTTTTGACAGAGATCAGTTTTGGTCGTCTGGTGATGGAAATTGAGGGGGGAAACTTGTATAATACGGAGAAACTTCATATGGGACCATTGAACTGAAAAATTTCAGGTCATCCGACATCTTGGAATCGTTGGAGAATGTAACATTCAATACGCGTTGGACCCATTCTCATTAACAGTATTTTTTAATTTTTTGAAGAAAATTTAAAGAATTTCATTTTGCAGTATTATATCATTGAAGTCAACGCAAGACTTTCGCGATCTTCCGCCTTGGCCTCCAAGGCCACCGGATACCCGCTGGCGTATGTTGCTGCGAAGCTAGCTCTTGGCCAGAAGCTTCCGGTGATCCGCAACAGTGTCACGGGAACGACAACGGCGTGCTTCGAGCCGAGTTTGGATTATTGCGTCGTGAAAATTCCGCGATGGGATCTTGGAAAGTTCGCTAGAGTTAGCACTCATATCGGAAGTTCGATGAAATCGGTTGGAGAGGTCATGGGAATTGGGCGTTGCTTCGAAGAAGCACTCCAGAAGGCGCTACGCATGGTTTCGGATTCGGCCGATGGATTTTCGCCATACTCGTTCAATCGTCCGCCGAGCGATGATGATCTTGCGAATCCCACCGACAAGCGGATGTTCGCATTGGCTCGTGGCATGTACTATGGAGATTTCGATGTCGAGAAGGCTTACTCGCTGACGTGCATTGATCGCTGGTTTTTGCATCGAATGTTCAATATCGTCGAGATTTATCATCGATTGGAGAAGGAGAATGTGAATAGTTTGAGCAGTGAGCTTCTTCTTGAAGCGAAACAAGCCGGATTCTCTGATCGACAGATTGCCAAGAAAATTGGAAGGTATGTTTTTTTGAAAGTAAGTTTCTAGAATTGACTTTTGTATTTCAGCAATGAATGGACTGTTCGCGAGCTTCGTTGCGAGCGCGGAATCCGGCCATGCGTTAAGCAGATTGACACCGTCGCTGGAGAATGGCCTGCTCAGACCAATTATCTTTACACAACCTTTAACGGGGTTCAGAATGACGTTGAATTCGACATGAAAAATGCTGTGATGGTCCTCGGATCAGGCGTCTACCGAATCGGATCATCGGTCGAGTTTGATTCGTCGTGTGTTGGATGCATTCGAGAGCTCAAGGCACTCGGGTATTCAACGATTACGGTGAATTGCAATCCGGAAACGGTGTCAACGGATTATGATATTTGTGATCGACTCTACTTCGAGGAAATCTCGTTCGAAACGGTGATTGACGTTTATCATCTCGAGCAGCCGAAGGGCATCATTCTTGCGTTCGGAGGACAAGCGCCAAACAATATTGCGATGGCGTTGAGCCGCGCGGAAGTCAAAATATTCGGAACGTCGCCGAATGACGTTGACAATGCTGAGGATCGATTCAAGTTCTCCAGAAAACTTGAAGCGTTGAAAATCTCGCAGCCGATGTGGAAGAAGAGCGAAAATATGGAAGATGCGAAGGCTTTCTGTGCGCAGGTCGGCTATCCGTGCCTCATTCGTCCGTCGTACGTGTTGTCGGGTGCTGCCATGAATGTTGCGCATAATGCCGAGGATTTAGAAGTGTTTCTGAAGCAAGCCACCGTTGTTGCCAAAGAGCATCCGGTAGTGGTGAGCAAGTTCATTAGGTAAAGTCTCTAATGTTCGCAGTTTGAGTAATCTATTTGTTGTTGTTGTTTTTTCTAGTGAAGCCAAGGAAATCGACGTCGATGCTGTTGCCATGGATGGCCAACTTCTCGTCATGGCAATCAGTGAGCATATCGAAAACGCTGGTATTCATTCGGGAGACGCTACTCTCGTGACACCGGCTCAAGACATGAACAAGGTCACCGTTGATGGAATCAAAATGATCACTCATAAATTGGCGGAGGCTTTCAATGTGAATGGTCCGTTCAATATGCAGCTCATCGCGAAGGATAACGAGCTGAAAGTGATTGAATGCAATTTGCGAGTGTCGAGATCGTTCCCATTTGTCTCGAAAACGCTCGATTTTGATTTTGTGGCTCTTGCAACTCGCGCGATGATGGCTGAGGATAATCCCTCGATTCGAACGTTCATAAAACCAACTGGGACATTGTTGAAAGGACGCGGACGAGTTGGTGTCAAGGTTCCGCAATTCTCGTTCTCGCGATTAGCTGGTGCTGATGCGATGCTGGGTGTCGAGATGTCGTCGACTGGAGAAGTCGCTTGCTTCGGAAAAGATCGTTATGAGGCTTATTTGAAGTCCTTGTTCTCAACGGGTTTCGTCGTTCCTAAAAAAAACATTTTTATCTCGATTGGAGGATACCACGCGAAGGCAGAAATGCTCAAATCAGTCGAGACTTTGCAAAAGCTTGGATTTGAGCTTTATGGATCTAAAGGTTGATTCTTATTAGGCGGTATTTAAAATGATTGATATGTAGGAACTGCGGACTATTTCCAATCGAACAACATCAAAGTGAAACCTGTGGATTGGCCATTCGAAGAAGGGTCGTCGGATGAAAAGACGTCTAGTGGATCTAGGCAATCATAGAACTATGTGGCTATATTCTATTTCCTTATCTAATTTTAGATCCGTTGTCGAGTTTTTGGAGAAAAAAGAGTTCCATTTGGTTATAAATCTTCCTATACGTGGCTCTGGTGCTTATCGAGTGTCGGCGTTCCGAACTCATGGATACAAGACGAGAAGAATGGCGATCGACAATGGAATTCCGTTGATCACGGATATTAAGTGCGCCAAAATTTTCATTCAAGTATGATTGCACTCTAGAAGATCGAAAAACTCAGACCATATTGATTTAGGCTCTGAACATGGTTGGACGTCGTCCGGCTATGAACTCGCAAATCGACATGGTCACGTCGAGGACCCTCAAGCGACTTCCTGGAATGGTTGACATTCATGTGCACGTCAGAGAGCCGGGAGCAACTCATAAGGAGGATTGGACGACGTGTACTCGAGCAGCACTCTGTGGTGGTGTCACCACTATTTTGGCAATGCCCAACACCAATCCACCATTGGTCGACGCACAAACGTTTGTTGAAGTTGAGAAGTTGGCGTCGAGCAAGGCCGTCGTTGATTATGCGTTGTATCTTGGAGCCACACCACAGAACGCGGGATTCGCTCGAGAATTTGCTGATCGCGCTGCTGGCTTGAAAATGTATCTGAATGAGACGTTCAGCACACTGAAAATGGACAATATTTCCGATTGGTCGAAGCATTTTTCGGCGTTCCCGCCGAATCGTCCAATCGTGTGCCATGCTGAGAAGCAGACGTTGGCAGCGGTACTTTGTGTTGCTCAAATGGCGAATCGTGCTGTCCATATTTGTCATGTTGCCACTGCTGACGAGATTAATCTAATTAAGGAAGCCAAGAAGAAGGTTAGTTGACATTATTAGATGTTTGATATTCATTTAATTGAAGGGATGGAAGGTTACGTGTGAAGTTTGTCCGCATCATCTGTTCCTCACCGAAAAAGATCTTCCGGAAGGCATCCGAGAGGTTCGTCCGCGATTGGTGTCTGAAGCTGATAAGCAAGCGCTTTGGAAGAATCTCGAGTACATTGATTGTTTTGCGACTGACCATGGTAGCTAGGAATAGCGCCAGTTTTCATACCGTTGTGTATGCTTTTTTCAGCTCCTCACACATGGGAAGAGAAAAATGGAAAGAATGGAAAGATTCCGCCCGGATTCCCTGGTGTTGAGTACATGCTTCCATTGCTGCTCACTGCTGTTCATGATGGGCGACTAACATTGAAGTAATTTGATGTGTTCAATTATAATTGGAGGTGGTAATTTTTAAGGGATGTTACTGATCGATTGTCAACGAATCCGAGAAGAATCTTCAATTTGCCGCAGCTAGACGATACCTACATTGAAGTGGATTTGAATGAAGAGTGGACAATTCCGAATAATGGAGGTGAAAGTAAGGCGCAGTGGACGCCGTTTGCGGGCCAGAAAGTTCGGGGACGAGTTCATAACGTGGTAATCAGAGGGGAAGAAGCGTTTGTTGATGGAAGAGTAAGACATGAATGTGATGTTTAAATTTAATCATTCATCGTTTAGATTGTTGTCAAACCGGGATTCGGTAAGAATGTTCGCGCTGCTCTACCAACAATCACCACCACTGATGTTGATGATGTCGAGGCGTTGGGTGATCTCAAAACATTGGAGGGCAGCAACAGCAGCAGCAGCGATGAGCAAAGTCCGTTGCACACGCCGCCGAGATCCCACACGCCGATTGGGTATCCGTACGAATTGACGTCGAAGAATTGCATCAGTGTTCGGGATTACGACAAATCTCAGGTTTTTCGAGAAAAAATGTTTACCAAGCATTTTAACAGGGATTCGTTTAGATCAATCGCATTTTTGAACTTGCTGATCGCTACAAGCATTCGGTTGAACGTCAACATCCACTGAATCATATTCTTCAAGGAAACGTGCTTGTTAATTTGTTCTATGAGGTCTCGACGCGAACGGCGTGTTCGTTTGCAGCGGCAATGCAGAGACTGGGAGGAAGTGTGATTTCGGTGGATAGCAAGACATCGTCGGTGCAGAAGGGAGAAACTTTAGAAGGTTGGAATTTGTTTTTTTTTGTAGTTGAATCTTAAATTTGTGAATATTTGCAGATACTGTGAAAATCCTTGGATCCTATGGTGACATTGTTGTTCTTAGAAGCAATGAGCGTGGATGTGCTGAACGCGCCGCGCGCGTGTGCTCTCAGCCGGTCATTAATGCCGGCGATGGAACCGGAGAGCATCCGACGCAAGCGCTTCTCGATGTCTACACGATCCGACAGGAAATGGGATCGGTGAACGGATTGACGATTGCGTTGGTTGGAGACTTGAAAAACGGAAGAACTGTGCACTCATTGGCGAAGCTATTGTGCCTTTATAAGGTGAGGTCGGGGTGTTGACTATCTTTTCGGCTATTGCGGGGTGGAATTGTATTTGGAATGGAATTTTGATGTTTTTTTTTTAGGATATCACCCTTCATTATATCGCACCGTGTGAGGAATTGGAAATGCCAAAGGATATTGTTGATTATGTTGAAGCCAATAGCACATTTGTTCAGGTTCGTTGAGAAAAAAAACGAACCGAAAATTAGCCGCCAGAAGAATGCCAATTAGGCGGCCCATTAGTGGACATTTTTGGTGTTTTCTCGAAAACCGACGTTAAGCTGAGGCGGGCCTACATTCGCGTTTGAAATTTCATCAATTTTCAGCGGAAATTCTCGAATTTGGCCGACGGCATTAAACATGTTGATGTTGTGTATGTGACGCGAATCCAGAAGGAGCGCTTCGCGTCGCCGGACGCTTATGAGAAGGTCAAGGGCAGCTATGTGATCAACGCGAAACTGTTGAACGAGGCCGCCAAAGAGGAGGAACTACAGCAGAACATTCTGGTGCCGAGCCGCAACTTGCCGATCGTCATGCATCCGTTGCCGCGCGTTGATGAGATCGCCGCCGAACTCGATCATGATGATCGCGCCGCGTATTTCCGGCAAGCGCGCAACGGCATGTTCGTCCGAATGGCGATTCTTTCGCTTTTACTTGGCAAAGGACACTTGTAGTTTGTGTTCTCTTATAATTTATTCACTTCTTTTTTCGGGGGATTTTTTGTGCTCAAAATTTCCCTGCTCATAATTTGTTTGCTCATACAGTTAGTCATTTTTGTTTCTTCATTCACTGTTTTCATCGTTTTCATTCAATTTTTGGCATTTTGTTGAATTTCGTAATAAATCTCGTCCGACCCACCGGAAATTACCACCTGCTTCTTAATTCAATACTGTTTTGGGGCATTTCCGTCGCTTGCATATTTAATTTAATATTCTTTTTTTCTTCTCGTATTTCTTTGTTTCGTTTAGGCGATGAATGTCCAGGAATTCAACACGCAACTTCATGAATTCTGCCGAACCATGAATGAATTGTCGACGACGCCTTGGAATATTATTAAGGTTGCTTATGGTGCTATCCAAATTTTGGGATTAAAAAACGAACAACTAAAAAACTATTTTTTTTTTTTGCGAAATCTTCATAAGGTTTTTGCAGTTTTCTTAAACCTGTTTTAGCGTTTTTCTTTATGCGAAATCTGCAAAGTATCGTAATTTTAATATTTAAAAGAGAAAATTGTTTTTCAGGATGAAATTGGTGAGTATGCCCGCCAGATTTGCGGAATTTCAACACCGGAAGGTGAAATTTTGAACCGAGACGTTTATATTGTGTACAGCGAGACTTATCGGGTTCCAGTACTTTGGTTCAACTTTTTTCGACAAGGTTTGTACCTTTTTCTGTAAAATAATCAATTTTTTTTTTACTTTTTTCGTATTGCTTAGAAATTTGAATTTGAATCACCTAATTATAGGTATGAACAGTTTTCATTGAAGTTTAAAAATAGACTAAAATTATTTTAAAATATAGCAATTTCCGAGAATTCTTTTTAGTGTATCAATAATCGCAGCTGAAAAGTGAGATTTGAATTTGTAGACGGGCGGCCGATTCTTATCGATGATCTCAAAAAGGTGCTGAAGAACCTTGAGAATGAGCCGACGAGCTCGTTATTGTCGAGAATGTCGCATGGAGAACACCCGCATCTAGGTAATTGTGGAGAAATTAATTAACTGAATATTTATATCATTTAGGCGTCTTGTATTATAACATTCATCCATGCAACACAAATAATGTGATGAATCAGCTGAAATCTGATGAAAATTTCATTGCAAGGTAGTGATTTCTTTTGTTGGAAATTTTCGCAGAAAAAACATCAAATTCTTCAGATGGATGTCGATTTATGGTCCCGATATTGGTATCAGCATTCCATTGGAGTATTTCGCATGTATATCAAGCAAAAATCAGAAGATTTAATAAATTACTAATTTATTTTGTATATAATTTAAGCGTTTTTGCCGTTTTTCGAACATTCCCGCACATTCTGTATAAATTGCATAATATTTGTATAAATACATATAGTTAACGAATTCTTACTTTTTTTGCAGGGTCGATCCATTCGAGAACCCTTAGAAATATCACGATAATAATTGCTACCGTAATATAGAGAATTCCGAATCCGATGCCTTGATTATAGTATTTTTTCAAGGATTTTGTCCATTTTGGGGCTTCTGATTCCTCGATAGCTTTTCGGTAAACTACCTAATAAGGCAAGGATAATGAAAATTTCAAAACTCCAAAAAAAAACTTGAGTTCTTTTCGCAACATCGGGCCAATTATACATTTTCGAAACCGCTTTATGTTTGATGGTTGGGTCCATTAAAGTTCCGGCTTCTCGCTTTTTGATAGCTTTGAGAAGAGCGTTAACAAGATCTGAAATCCATAGCGCTTAAATTGATACGACTAGCAGTTTACCATCGGGCACAGGGTCCTCTAGCGAAATGAAATCATCGAGTGGCAGGACCTCTGGAATTCCGCCAACTCGCGTTGAAACCACGTGAAGACTAAAATTTCGAACTATTTTTTGGATTTGGTGAATTTCTTTTAAATTACCCACAACTCGCCGCTTCTACTATACTCATGCAAAATGCTTCTGTTAGACTTGTATTAATGAAAATCTTTAAAAAAGGGGAGATTTATGGTAATTATAGGTAATATTGTTAACCTGTCCTTGATTCAAAACCTCCTTGACTTGATTATGCGGCAACATGCCTAGCATAATTACGCGGTCGTGAAGCTTGAACTTCTCGCGCATTTCTTCAAGCTCAATCCTTTTCGGACCATCACCACCAATAATGAAGCGCACGGTTTTGTGTTTTTGGCAAACCTGGCAATAATCATTCAATTTATACGAATTCATATTAAAAATCTTACTTTTGGTATGACTTCGCATAGCAAATCGGCTCCTTTTCTATATACGAGCCTTCCGAGGAATACAACAGTAGTGGGATTATTGTAAAATTGATGTGGGTCTGGTGTGAATAGCGATGTTTCAATCGCGTTTGGGATAGTCGAAACCTTGTTAGGATCGAGTTTTCCGCGTAGTACCGTGTTTTCTTTGCTGAAATCTCACACGAGAATCTTTAAAACCACGCCGAAATACCTTGTGTATGACACACAAATAATTTGGTCTACATTGATCAAAGAATATTGTAAGACGAGTGTGTTGGTAAGGATTGCTGAAGCGTCGGCGAAACCAAATAAGGAATGATCGGTGAAAACTGTGCGGAGACCCATTAGACCTCCGATCATTAAAGCTTCATGCGCTAAAGCGGAGAACGTCTAAAATACGTTTATTTTCTTTTTTTTTATTCAATTTCATGGTAAAACCCACAGAATGACCATGAATTAGTTGAATATCTTCTCTTATGAAGACTTTTCGAAGCCATGGAACACTTCCTACAATTGAGGCTAACGTTGCTCCATTATAGGCAACAATAAATGGAAGGTAATAGACTTTGAGTCCATTTGACAAGAATCGGATGCCTTTTCGATCGCCATAACTGTGAGTAATTACAATGACCTGGAAATTTCAGTGTAAAACTTTTCTATTTTATGCGAAATTGTTACCCGATGGCCTAGGTCGATCAAGCATTGAGCAAGAAAATAGATATGAGTTTCGACGCCACCCGCGTTTGGGCAAAAAAAGTCGGAAACTAATCTGAAATCTAATTCACTTCAAGCAACTTGTTTTTTTCACTTACGCTATACTATAAGGTCCGATTTTTTTGATTTTTCCATTCATTAATTATATACCTTATTTTACCCTGAAATTAGTTTTTCGGTACTTAAAAGGTAATTTTAGAAAAATTTAATTGAAATATGTTGCAAGTTCGCCCCATTGAAAAGAAATGGCCTAGATTTATTTTCTAGGCCACGCGATTATTTTTATGTTTTTTTGCGAAATTTGGCTTTAATTTTTTGTTTAATTAAGTTTTGTATTTTTTTTCAGAACTGGATAATGGTGACGGCTTCGGACTTTAAGAAACCGGCCAAGAAAGATGAGGTTCCATTGACAGGTGTCATCATTTTGGATCTTTTCGATCAGAGATTTGCACCTATTGTGAAACAAACACCATGTTTTGTAAGTAAATAAGCGAATTAAAAAAAAACCAAATTTTATTAATCATAGGGCTTTACGGAGCTCTGCAATATTCCAGTTATAAATTACACATTCTCATGGCTCATGCGCACTGAAATCCGCCATATAATGCTAGTGGTTTCTGGAAAAAACGAGAAATATGCCAGAATTGTGGAAAAGTTTCACAAAATCTGAAATCAAAACGAAATTAGGAAATTTTAGCGAATGGAGTTCCGTCTTCAATGATTTTAGTGTGATTGTGTGCGATGGTGCGATCAGCGTTGGCGATTTTCTCCGAGAAATCCATAACAGAGAATTAATTACATGTAAGAAATTTCGAAAAAAGCAAATTCGTTTCAATTTTTTGTTCAGCCGACTTTCTTCTTATCTCGAATCCCGCGACTGTGACATCTTCAACCTTGGAAAAGCAAATTTTCGTTTTCCGCAAAAGGCGACAAGAAAACCCCGACAATGTGATGACCCTTCTCTATGGAAACTGCGAATGTCGAGAAAAAACGGTCGTCGGAATTGAATCCGCCACCAAGAAGCTTCTGTTGTACCCGCCAGCGAATGCGACAACACAATTAAGGGTCGATAAGGTAGCAAATAGGAAAAATTGGTTTTGTTTTGCTAATTGTTTATTTTTAGGTTGATTTTTACAATTCGGTTGAAATTCGAAGAGACATCACGGATTCTGGAATCGCGTTATGCAGTCGAATGATTGCAACACAATTTAGGTAAGACATTTTCTTCTTCAAACTGCGAAAAATGAGAGAATTTCAGTGACAATTTCGATTTTCAATCAATCGATGATGTTATTCGCGAGATTTTATCTAAAGATGATATTCTTGGTCTTAATATTCATGTGGATATTTTCTCGCCAGAAGAAGCTGCCTATTCAGCAAAGTATATCTTTTTTTTGAGGTGTTTTTTCGAAATTACGATTTCAGGGACTATTTCTCATTCATTCATCTCAATAGTTTACTATTGGAGCGCTGGTTTTACCCAATTGTTCCAGAAAAATTGGTATAAATTTTAATAAATAGTTTGAACCCTCGAACATTTTCAGGATGTCTCAAAATTCATCTCCGTATGTCCTAGAAATGTCTACATTGAAGACGATGATATAAGCAATTCGAGACTTTCCACAAAAATAGTGTAAATTTTGGATTTATTATGTTGGACTTCTCTTTATTTTCGAGTTTTTTAAGGTTGAGCCCATCTTCGGCGAATGTCTCACTTGGGAAACGATGTCGGGTGGCATCGTCAACGTTTATCATCAATTCGAGCATTGGGGATAACGCCGAAATTGGTAGGAAAATGAAAAAAAAAAACCAAATATGACTCGAAAATGATGACGTCGTAGTTTCCTTTTTATTTGGCAGAATAATTTGAGAATTATGATGCCGAAGTTTTTTTTTTTTTTGAGAGAAAAATGGCGGACGACATATTGATGCAGTTATACTCGAAGTTAACGTTCTCGGAGAGTTGAAACGTTAACTTCGAGCATCCCTGCATCGATAGTCTCCTTTGACGGTTAGACGAGTAGAATTGGAAGTTCGAGTGAGCTAGAATATTCTGAAATTTTATTATTTGGATAGACAATGTCGAAAGACTTATCTTTTAGTTGATAGGAAGATTGATATTAATATCTGAAATTGTCCTTTGAAAATTTGATGATGATTAGGTAATATAGAGATGGCTACTTCATAGAAAAAATATATAAGAAAAGACTATGTAAAATGTTAAGATTTATTGTCGAAAAAATGGGAAATATGAGTGAGGGCGAAATGGTAATAAAATGAATTGGCTATTTAACAATGCGTCGTTGAAGGCAAATTCTGATGACCATCTGAATTGATTGTGTTATTGATCAGCATTTGATACTGTAATTTGTAAATTTGTGTTTTCTTTAATTTTTGAAATATTCGCTTACGGCATGAGGATTTGGTTTCCTTGTTTAGAGACTAGATTCTAAAAACTATCAGAATTTTAAGAAAATGAGATAACGGTTTACCTGATAGTGTTGTATATTTTCATTTTCTTCTTTTCAAAAGTTGCTTGAATCGAATTGGGCGATTCGGATGACACCCAAACCTTCTTAAGTGATCTCCTGCTCAATCGTCGTTGGCGAATTTCAAAAAAAAAAGTGTAATTTAGATGGAGCGGTCTACAGGGATCCTCGAAGTTAACGTTCCGAATTCAGTTTCGAGCAAATATCGTTCGCGTTCCCTTTCTCTTTGGCGTTCTCGCTCTCGCTCTCCCTTTCGCGTTTGCGTTGTTGCTCATCGCTGGCGCGTGCGCTCGTCGTCCATTATTGGCGTCTTCCGTATCTTGTCGATTTTTGCTTGAATAACGAAAAAAAAATAATCTCAACATAGTTTTGTCGGCTTACTTGATGTCAGCATTCTTTGCGCTGTTTGTCTCGTTCATTGCCGGTGCTCGTTGTGCGCACTGAGCGTATTGGTCCCAACATTTCGGGTTCATTCCGAGCGACCAAAACAAGGGACGCTCAAAATTAACGGTGCCTTTTTTTCAAGCGGGATATTTCTGCCGAAAGGCTCGGATCCGTTGTTGACTGGCATCACTTGCTTTTGCAAGTTTAACGAAAAACGTTATTCTTCCCAGGTATCTGGGCCGCGATGCATCAGGGATGCTCGAAGTTAACGGTGGCGTTCTCAAGTTGGCAGAATTATTCGGCGTCTCCTGTCGTCCCCATATTTGGGTCCACTCATTGTTGAATTGACCAGGGATACTCGAAGTTAACGTTTTCCGCTCATGTCGAACTGCTATCATTTTTTTTGTATGTTAATAGAAAATGCCAAATTTTCCCAATTATCCGAAGTTGGGGGTCTCTTTGCATTTTTTTGCTGGTTGATTCATCAGGGATGTTCGAAGTTAACGTTTTCATCTCACGCTCTTTCAATGGTTTCTGATCGACATTTCTAAAAATTTAACCAATAATAATTATATATGGTTTGTTAATAAATTTAGGTGAAGTTTAGGAAATGCTACTATCTTCAATGGGAGTCTTGAAGTGGTACGGAAGTCTAAAAATATTGGAAAGTTGAAATAGTGCACCGAAAGTCAAAATTGATTTTCGAAGCTAACAATCATGGGTTTTTTACGGACCAGCGCATTTTGTTCCCGTCGGCAATTCAAATTGTGATCTGCGCAGTGGGAATTAGTGGCAAATGCCTTCCAGAATTGTGTTTTTTTTTTTTAAACTAATTAAAAAGAACGTTTTCCCAATTCTTCTACTCACCCAAGCATCTTCCATGCATGTGTCGGACGAAGCATCGATTATCGAAATGGTTGATCCCTTTTCCGAATCATTAATTTTGTCGGATCCGGGTGATACGGTTCTATCAGGTTCTCCTAAAAAGATGGCCATAGTTGAAAAAAAAAATAGAAATTAATGCGACTTACATGGGGGGACTCCTCTCCGCGGCTGTGCTTATTGTTCACAGAAAAATTTTGAAATGATGAGTGAAACAAGACGATTTCGATGTGTTTATATACCACCGAAAGTCCCATTAAAAATGTTATTACATTAAATTTAATGGGATGTGGTTAATGATGAATCATCGATGAATCACAATTTCGCGACTTCTGGAACGTTCTCTTTTTTATTTCAGCTTGCGTGCGTGCAATTCTGATGTATTTTCTGCACGAGACACAGAGACGAATCTCTGTGTTTAAGAGGGAAATGATTTTTACAGTCACTTTTTGGAAGGAAGCTATCATTCTTAAGCATTTCGGAGCTTACAATGGAGTTTCTTGTGCTAAAAGGAGAAAATAGAAATGCTGCGCTCGACTTACTTTAGTTACTGTTTGAAATCGAAGTTGTTGTTGTTGGAAGTTTCGCGGGAGGATTTAATTTATCGAAAAATCGGAAATTCTAAATTAGTATTACTTTCTGAGAAAAATTATCGAAATTCTAGTAGAAATCTTTTTTTTGGAATTTTTATTATCGTTTACAAGCTTTGATTTTGAAGAAGAAAAGCTGGAAAGCAAAATTTGAAAAATAATATATTTTTTTATAGAAAATTCCATATTTTATACTATTTAATATGTGACGTCATAATATATATTTTTTTTAGGTGAAAAATCGAAAATTACAAATTGCATTATTGGAAAAAACAGCAAGATTGGAAAAAATTGCCAGATTAATGGGGCATTCATCGCCGACGGCGTCGTGCTTCCCGATGGCACAATCTTCGAATCGGAAGTGATTATCGGAAGCGATGTTGGTTTATTATGAGTATAATTGGTCTAATTAGTGGAAAACTCTAGGTGACGTATCCGATAGAGTTGAGTTTCCCAACGAATAGCGCAATTTGCTCGATGGAAGTTGATAATGAGGAATTCGACAAGATCTCGTCGAAAAAAGAGAACAGCGTCCATATTTGGAATATGTTCAATGGCGGTCCGTTTTGGACGAAAAGCGGCGCGTCGAAGAAAAATGGCAACTCGTCGAATGATTCGGATGAGGATGATGATGATGATATCGACGATGAGGAGGATGAGATGAACGGTGGATTCGCCGACAATTCGACGCGGCAATTTTACGATGAAGTGTTTGAGAGTATGAAGGGAATTCAGACGATGGAAAATCAACAGGCTTGGCGACAGAATACAATAATATACTTTTCTAATTTTTGCTGCTTTTTTAGATGAGCAATTTGATTCTTGAAATCAACTCGTCGAAACTTGCATGCAATGTGACAATGGACGAAGTTGCGAAGAATGTGTTCGCCGCGTTTATGGAATTGCCGGGAAATGAGGAATTGAAGAATTTGCTTCAGGTTCGTTTTTTTTTCTGGATTTTGCTTCATTCGATTCTTAACGAAATCTCAATTTTGGGTTTTTTTTTTGCAGATGGTTAAAAAATGGCGAGGGTTGTTCTTGAATTACTACAAAGCTACTGACGAATCGCTAGCGGCGAAAGCGCCGGCGCAACGGAAGCTCGAAGTGGAATTGAAGCGCAAATGCCAGATTCAGCTGCTTCTCGCGATCGAGGACAAATATGATAAGGAGCCGGAGGTGTTTGGGCCGAAAGTCGCCAAATTGGTGCATTTTCTGTACAACGACGCCGACGTTTTGGATGAGGAGGCGATTTCGGAATGGGCTGGATCGATTCCGAGTGTGAGTGATTTTTTTTTGAAGAAGAAGAAGCAGAAAAAATGATTGAGATAAATGGCTATCAGAATCCCTCGTTGCGAGACTCATCACCAATTGAACTGTTTTTGGGTTTCTTGTATCAAATGAAAGAAACCAATCGTTGTTCCAACAAATCAAATAATTGGTTAAAGACTCATAGGACTGTAAACGCCCTGAGTCTTGTGGCGACTGATTCTACGAGGCGTTTTTATTTCAGAAGCTTTTTTTCTCTGAAACCCACCTGAATTTTCAGGAATCGAAACTCAAAAATATCATGCAGCCTGTAGTGGATTGGCTTGAGCAAGATGACGAGGACGACGAAGAAGAAGAATCCGACGCGGAATAATAAAAATCGAATAAGAATGTTTAGGACTATTATAATAATTCTGGGTATTTATTGATTGTGTGGTCGTTATGTTTCGTTTAAAAAATATGAAAATTATTTCTGCCAATTTTTCTTCAAACCGGGTTTATTATTACCAGCACTTTATTATTTTGAATTTGATTTTGAGTTGGATTGCATCATTTTTGTTTTCGTTTTTAATAGAATGTCGTTCAATCTTGCATTTTTCAACGGTGATGTTAAACGGGATCGGCGGCAGGAGGCGATGCTTCGAAGCATGGTAAAATATGCCCCATATGGTTGAATTTGTGTTGTTTTTAGAATGAACGGGACTCGTTTTTGAAGCGGCTTGAGCAGATGAGCGCGCAAAGAGATTTGGGTTGGTTTTATTTGGGATATTGCATTTTTGAAAAATGTTCGCGGCGAGACCTGACCAGCTAATTTTTCAAATTATTAGGAAAATTTCTAATAAAGTAAAAATATATGGTATTAAAGGTGCATAATTATACAGCGATTCCGAAAAAAAATTAGATATACATATTTCTAATTTTTCTTTTTTTTTTACAGCGGAATTGCGCAATTTTCGAATTAACTTTGAATTTTTGCGATAGCATCGTGAAATAAAATTTCTATTAAATGAAACTGAAATTTTGAGCTTTTGCATGATTCTAATTGCAGAGGATAAAAAGAAAAAGGCGTCGATGAAAATTCAAAAGGAATGGAGACGATACAGAATGAAAAGAATTGTGGGCAACGATTTGCGATCAATGTTTGATGCGCTTAGGGAGGATGACAACGCGAGAAGTGTTCAGGTTTTGATGAAAATGAGCATCAAGTGAACATTTGCTGCAAATTGTCTCATTTTTTTGGAAAATATTGAATTGCAAATTTTAAAGAAAAATTTGAAGCGATCAATCCAGAGAAAATAAAAAAATTGACAAAATTTCATACAAAAGAATAGGAAAATATGGTGATTTTTCTTTTTTTTTTCTCTTCCCCGCCAATTTTGGGGTTTTAGGGAAGGGTTTGAAATTAAAAGTTGGATAAAGCACTTATTATTTGAAATTGCTCTTCCAGCTTCAAAATTTTTTTAATTGAAATCGGTAATTTCAGGATATTTCTCGAATGCTTAACCTGATTGCTGTGTTCTATGAGAAGGGTAAAGATGATTCGAGATTGGTAACATCTTTTTTTAGAAGATTTTGCGAATTCCATTGAACTCCTCTATTCAGGTATTTGTATTAAATGAAGCCGTAAGAATTTCGCGAGAGTTTCCCAACGATTGCGCGAACATTGCGCCCGAATCGCGACGTCTTCTACTGGCGAGATGCTGTATAAAGTTCATGCTCAATGCGGACAGCTGCACCAACTTTTTCATGATTTACAGGTGCCTCATATACAGGGTGTCATTTAAGTTCCCGCACAACTTTGAAGACGTATATTTCTGAAACTAAAAGTCCAAATCAAGCGAGACTCGAAATATTTTTTATCTATAGTACAACAAATAATTATCTATTAACTCTTTTCGATTCGGCCTCCTTTCGCAGCTATGACTTCACGGAGACGCTTCGGGTAGGATGTGACTGTGGTACGCAGGTATTCGATGGAAAGATTGTCCCATTCCGCCAGTAATGTCTTCTTCAGAGCCTCTACACTTGAGTGGGGTTTTGCGTTGACCTTCTCCTGCAAGACCCATCACGGAGAAGTCAAGCAGGTTCAGGTCTGAGGAGCAAGCAGGCCATTCGGATGACTTGATGAAGTTTCCCGGTTGAGCAGATGACACCGAAACTTCCCGGTTGAGCAGATGACACCGAAAACCATCACACTGACAGGATGTGAGGCTCGTTGAATTGTTCTGTCTTTCCCAGAAGCTTGCTAGGATGTCTGGGCAAGTACTCGATGATTTTAAGAGTTAAATGCCGCCTCCATAGTGAACAGCTTCTCGTCGGAGAAGACAGTGACGAGGTGTTGTCCAGACCGTGTGCGAGCAAGAAGTCGTTTTGCTTTTTCGAAGCGTCTCTGCTTGTTGACGGCCGATAGAATTGCCACTTTTTGGACACGATATGGGGTCAGTCCAAGCTTCGTTTTGACAATTTGTTCCATAGCGAAGATGCTCATTCCCATGTCTGACGCTATCTTTCTCATGCTTCTGCGGGGGTTTCGCCTGATCCTCGATTTGACGGCGTTGATCTTCTGAGGAGTGGTTACTGAGACGAGTCTTCCTTGTCTGGGACGGTCACTGGTCGTATTTAGCTCCTTGAATCGTTTGATGGTGTCATAAACCGTTCTACAAGGCACACCAAGGCGTTGAATGATGTCTCTCGGGCTCACATTTTGCTTATGAAGTTCGATAATGGAAGCGCGATGGATGTTAGCCTTCGCCATTTCTCGGAAACACATCCGAATGAGGTGAAACTTGGAAAGTAAGTAAAATATACATTGTTCAATAAAAATAAATTGTATTGGTGCACGGAAAGTGCGTTAGCGAAGCTCTACATGGCGTCAAACTTTTGTGCGGGAACTTAAATGACACCCTGTATATAGTTTTTTTCCAATTCCAAAATATCCAATTTTCTAGGTTTTTTGAAGCATTTATAACGTCGAACAGTGCATTAATGGAGAAATGCGCGAATATTGGGTATTTCGAAGCGCAACTCAAACTCATGGATACGGTAACTGAGCCGAAATTGACCGGAATTGAGGCGAAGGCGCCGCCGCCGAGATGTATGCAAGTCATGAGCCGATTTTTTGCTCCGATTGAGGTTTTTTTTAAAAATTATTTTTATTATTCGCATTTGAAAAACTGGAATTTTCTGCACAGAAAAAGTCGCCAATTTGCACGATTCCGATTTATGCGCATATTATTCGTGCCATGTGCAATTGTCCGAATGACTTGCAATTTATCAATTATCTATTGTCCCAATTTACCAATGTTATGAGCCCGAATAGGTAAATTTGGTTTCGCCCTTGGTATCATGCAGATTTCGCAAACAAACTCAAAAAACCGGTAAAATCTTGAATATCGCTGTGCAGCAAGAAAATCAGAAAACCTCGGTGGCGATCAGGATTTTCGAAGTCTTCAGCGCCTGGTTATTTTTTCAATTTAATCGCAAGAGATATCATGCAAATGTATCATATGCGCCTTTAATCGTAACGATTTTATTTGTAGTTTTTTTGATTACGGCTGCTATTGTGATTAAAGGCGCATACACAAAATTGTTATTATTCTAGCAGTGGTTTAATTTTTTTTACTGTGGAACTGTAGACTTTAAAAAATCTGAACTGAGATTTTCGAAGCTGTTTTTTTTTCATTGGGTGTTCTAACCGATTTTTTTAAAGGATTTTTTTGCGAAATCTGCATAGCACCATTAGAATCCATCACATTATTTTTTGTAGTCCCCATTTCTCGGGATTTCTGAAAACTGTTGAAAACGCCGCGCTCGATGGTAGACACGATTCGGCGATGGCGAGATTGAGGCTGAAAGCGTTGCTAATTGAGCAGACGAAAAATTTCGACGATTTCGACGAGGCGATGGTGTCACAATTTATGAACACATTGGCGAAAGTGATGGCGATGGGCGATGGTGTTGCAGTAAATGACAGGTGTGACGCGATGGAGCTTGGCGACGAGAAGCCCGAGCATTATTTGAGGCGAATTGTCGACGAACGACTCGAATCGGATCAGTTCCGGCGAATCGCGAAAGTTTATGGTTGGTCTCGTTTAGTTTTTGTCCAAGAAAAATTGATGGGTCGCCACAACACCCTGCTAGTTTCACCTTTTTTCGTTTTTTTTTTTTAATTTATGAAAATTGGTAGCTGAAAATATTACAATCGCAAAAAGCGAGCACTTTGAACTGAAATCGGTGTAGATTTAAATTTTTGGTTGACTGAATTTTAAATGCGCGTACGCTTAAATGCAAGGTACGCAGTCTCGTGCAATAATTGCTTTGAAATTTCGTTCAGACCTTTTACGGCCACAATGATGAATGAAAGTTTCAGTGAATTGTGCCAATATGAAACTTGAAACGATTGTCTCCCTTCAAAAGCAATTTCTTGTGATAGTCGACACACTTGCCGGATCGAGCAATTTTATGAAATCGTAGGATTCCGATTCTTTTATTCGCCGAAACAAAATGCTTCAGACTGACAACGTTCATCATATCGAATATTGATAGGAATGGGAAGATTGACGAAACGACGCCAAATTTGGGAATGGTGAAGTCGGCGATCACATTGGTGTGCTGTTGTATTCGGAAAAGGTTGCGAAAATTGGTGGTTGAGAAAATTGCGAAAATTTTCAGACTGGCGTCGGTTGCTGATTCGGAATTCGAGCCAGATCTCGTCGTTCCGCAATTTATTGATGTTTTGACACTTTTGAGGTGGGTGTGTGTTCATTTTCTCATCGAAATTTCATAAAAATTGAAGAAAATTTTAGAAATGTTTGCTTAAAACTCATAAATCTAGTGCATCCTGATGTGCCCAGTTTCAAGAAGATGTCGGAAGTTCGGCAGAAATTGAACGAAGCGAAAATGGTTTGGTTTGAATTGGATTTTTAGAGATTTATTCTTATTCGTCTTCTATTTTTAGAAATGGAAAGATGTTTGCGATGCAGTGGTGAGCACACTCCAGGCGGTCAACGAAAAAGAGACGAGACTGAAATTTTTGAAAGATGGATTCTGGACGGACCATGACAGAAATGTAGGTGGCCCAAATTTGAGTTAAATTTGGACCAAGAATGTTTGGAAATTTTGATGTTTTTAAAAACCTCTTAAAAATGTGTAATTTTGCGTCGCGGTGTTTGCACACATTTTCGCGCGTCACAATTGAATTCGATCTTTCCTGAGTTTTCAAAATCTCAAATTTTCAAAAATCGATATAAAAATGCAAAACATGGTATTAAAAAAAAATAGGAAATTAAAAAAAAACCATCACCATTCACATATTTTCAAAAATTTCGGCACTTTTCAAAACGTGACAATTTTTGTCAGGTTGTTATCACGAAATGGGAAGTCGACAGACGGCCAAATCAGCGCGCGTCGAATTCCGATGATCAAGCGTTCGTTCAGCATTTGTCGTATGCTTATGATGGAAGCGACGATGATTCGGATGTAGAGGAAGAGAGAAAAGTGGGCATTGTTTTAGATTGTATATTAATTTTAAGTGATTTTTGTTTAAAGAATATTTCCCCAATTGCTGCTCGTAATCTCGCTATAATGCAATCGATCCCATTTATCGTACCTTTTATGCAGAGAGTTAAGGTATTTCATTTTTTTTTTTTTGAGGACATTTGATACAGTTATGGGTTTTTATTTTAAAGATTTTCTCGAAATTGATCAATCATGATCGAAATGAGGGCGAAATTCCGCGAATGCACGATTTCGATTTTCGCAGCAATGGCTATAACATCACGGTTCGACGCGAAAGCCTTTATGATGATGCTTTTGAGGTTTTGGGTCCGAATCCGGGAAACGGTATGTTTCAAAAATAAAGAAACATTTTCCAATGTTACGATTTGGATTAAGATCGCGATTTACGCCTGCCGATTCGTGTCCGAATGGTCAACTGGATCGGAGTGAATGAAGCTGGAGTTGACGGTGGCGGAATTTTCCGAGAATTTCTCAATGAGGTGCTCAAAGAAGGCTTTGATGTCAATCGTGGACTATTCCAATATACGTCTAATCGGTAATAATTTTTTTGAATTTTTTGTAAAATTACATATCTGATATCGAGAGATGGAAACAAAATTTTAAAAGGAACGAAAATTATAATAAGATTTTGCAAAAAAAAACTCAAAAAGACCATACTCGCGAAATACGGCTGTCAAATGGTGTAATTAAAAAAAAACGCATTTAGTTTGAAAAATTTCAATTCCACCGAATAATTACGCTAAAAATGGTGTAATTCTTAAATTTCTAAAATTCTCTAAAACCCCAATGCAGATTGCGAAAAAACTATGTTTCTTGAATAGATTTTCGAATTTTCTTCCTCAAAAATTTGCAGCACTGAAAGTGAAATCGGACATTTTGAAGTTGTCGTCGAATAAAATGCATTAGGTGCAAACACGCGCGGTTTTTTCTATTTCGGAAGTTCGACTTCAATGTTTGACGCTTGCTGTAATATTGCGGACATTGCATTTTATTCGACGGCAATACTCTTTAAATGAGAGTTTTCACAGATTACTGTACCCAAACCCATCGTCACCGATTGTCCTCGGGCCACAGTATTACAGACATTATCATTTTTTGGGGAGAATGCTGGGAAAGGTTTGCTGCTTCTTTTTAGGTGAAAATCTCAATAATCATTTCAGTTGATCTATGAGAAGCAACTCATTGAGCTGCGATTCGCCGAATTCTTCATTTCGCAACTTCTCTCGTCGAATCGCCATCAGAAGGATGTCGATTTGCAGCACATGAAGAGCTACGATCCGGAGGTGTTCAAGCATTTGAGAGGATTGTTTGATATGAGCGAAATCGAATTGGAATCGCTTCAATTGGACTTCAGTTTGGTGATCGATGATCTCGGCGATGTCAAGGTGCGATTCTGACGTAATCAATTCCGACGTCCAATTTTATTCTAGACGGTCAATTTGAAGCCGAACGGCTCATCGATTCGAGTGACACGCGAGAATGTTCACGAATATGTTCGCCTCTATGTCAATCATCATCTCAAAAAGAGGGTATTCCGAGTGTTTTCAGATTTGTTCAAAAATTTGCTGATTTAGATCGAGCCGATGATGGAAGCGATGAGGCGCGGAATCAGCGATTTGATCAATGTTGAATGGTTGTCGATGTTCTCGTCGAACGAGATTCAGGTAGAAAAAGCTCATCATCGGCTTGAATTGTTTAATGAAATAAGCAAGAGGATTTTTTGCTATGCGCCTTTAACCCATCATTCCTATTATTTATGGTACTATGCAAATTTTGCGAAGAACTCGAAAAAAAAAACCTGAAAATATTTTATTTGTTACCCGAAATCTGCATAGATCCAACAAGGAAATATTTGTTGGATCGCGGTTTTTCCATTCAACAATTCGATGTTATAGATTTTGATTGCTGGAACTGAAGAAGTGTTCAGTATTGATGAAATGCGCAAGCATTGCCTTTGCACGAACACGAAAAACTCGAACGATGAGCATTATATTGATGTGTTTTGGAGTGTTGTTGAGGAAATGACGGCAGAAGACAAAAAAGCGCTTCTAAAGTAGTTTAATTTCGATTTTTTTTTATGGGACGAATGTTTGAAACATGAACATTTTAGATTTATTACGGGCTGCTCGAGACCACCGATCGAAGGATTTCAGAATATTTTCCCGCCGCTTGGAATTTTGCTTGTCGAAGATGAATCGCTGCTGCCGACAAGTGCGACTTGTATGAATATGCTCAAATTGCCCAAATATTCGACTCGTGAGAAACTTGAGGAGAAATTGAGGTTCTTTCATTTTTTTTTTAATTTTTCCATAATTTTTGCTATTTTAGATATGCGATTAATTCGAACGCTGGGTTTGAATTGATGTGAAAATGATTTAATTCAGATGGGCCGAATTTTTTCTTGAAATGTATATTATTCCTGAATAAATTATTTCCCTTTTTTTTCGAATGCTTGATTTTTGATGAAATTTGGATGAAATTCCAACATTTCGATTTGTTTATTTTTTAATCGATTTTACGAATTTTGCAGGTTGCAGATAAATTTTTCGAATGTGTAAACTATTTTATTTAGCCTTCAAATATTTTTGATTTGAAAATGACAATTTGACCTGCGATATTTTTTTTGAAATTTTGACCTACGACATCAAGTAAATGTTGCGCGCTAAATAAAATCATCACAATGGAAGATATCGATTTTTTGCGTTTTTTTTTTTCGCTAAATTTCTGAACCTTGTTTTTGATTCAAATTTATTCGTTTTTTTTGTATTTCTTTTAATTAATGATGCACAATAATTAGCTCAACTATTTTCAGTCCATCAATAATTAATATTTGAATTCTCGAATTTTTGTTGTCGAAATATTATCATCATTCTCTGACAGCGAACTCCGTCGTTCGGCAATTCGTAAAAAGCGAACTGCCGTTATTTTTGTTGCTGGTGTTCGTGCGAAAATTGTTTTACTCCCACCAGTACGACACTCCAATTACAGATTGCTCTCCGTTTATTGACTTTTTTGCAATTTTTCTTTTCTAACCAAAAAATGTCCGCTGTTTTTCTTTTCTTGGATTATATTCCTTGTTTTCAGAAGCATTCACCGGTAATCGAATACACCGCCGGACCAATTTGTCAGCCTTGCTCGCCGGATCGCCGGTTTCAAAATTAATTTGAAACAGTTAGAATAATAGTAATATTTCATTGCACTACTTCGTGTTTTCTATTTCAGCAACGATTACTTCCTTCCGACTTCCTCGCCGCTCTTCCTCCCGCCGCACCATCGATCAACGTCGGACCCTGAAAGCCGCGGTCGCGCCGCCAACGAGGTTAGCGTCGATTTCGTTCTGCCGCCCGCCTTCATCGTCGAATTTTGTGTTTTTGCACGCGTGCGCCTTGATTCTCGGACTTGGACAACATGTGAATGCAATATTCCTTTCTAGGACTATTTTTTTAATTTATTTTTACCCTATTTCTACATCATCGAGATTAGTCTAACGGATTTTCTAGGCGAGTTTTGGTATAATTAATTGCGAGTAGTTGAAGAGACCCCAAAAAGAACTTTTTTTCAAATCATAGTCAAATTGCAAAAAGAAATCCAACTTTTAGGTCATGTGTTGAGCTTTTTTTTCGAATTTCTCCGTAATGTCATTAGAGTAATGTTAGATTAACTTGTTGCTTTTAACCCGTTTTGACTCTATTTTGTTTTCCGATTTTTAAAGGAATATTGTGCACATGTGTTTGGAGTCGCCCACCTGTCTCGAATTTTGCTTTCTTTTGTTGTCAAATCGCGAATTTCTTTTAATTTTTTTGTTTTGGAGTTTTGCATTTGAATTGTTTTGATTCTTCAGAGTTTATGAAACACTTCTTTGAGCATAATCCCCCCCTCAAATTTGCGCGGAAATTTTTTTCAAAATAATCTAGAATTTATGAACAAAAGTTAATAGATCAAATATAGGTGATTAGGTGTTGGCCTGGACTGTGCGGCAATTGGATTGCCGAAATAAAACCTCAATATTTTGGTAATTTATTCTTTAATTTCTGTTTGAAAATTTTAAAAATTGATCAGAATAAATCGTTTTTTATTTTTGCGAAATGTCAAAAATACTATCAAAATGTATTGCCGGAATTATTTCGGCAATTCGCTGATTGCCGTACACCAGTGTGTGCTCTCGGGAGAGAATTTCTCGAGAATTCCGATAAACTACCGATAGCCAAAATTCATGTGACTCAGAAATTTTTGCATTAAATTGGTAGTAGTAGTAAGCCAATTTCTCGATTTTTCTCGGGACCACTCACGTGCCTTTACGATATTCATTTCGAAATTTCTTCCTCTTCTGAAAGAAGGTCCATTTGCGTATTTTGATTTTTGAGATTACTCTCCACTTTTGTGTTAAATATGTATCATGTCTTTTATATTTTGGTTGTGATAATTGGGATTTAATTACCTAATTTACTTTTTGCTTTTAATTTATTCGAACGCGGTAGATAATAGGCTCTTTTACAATGCAGAATAGAAATTAGTTATTTCCAATTAAACAAGACGTTCTTCTATTGGAAAGCGTATCATAAGTATTCAGAAAATGTAATGAGAAGAAAACATAAAAATAATAAGATTCAAAAACGGGTTACGATCAAAATGTTTTGGGTTACTGTAGGTTTATCTCGCTTCTTGACTGAAAAAAAGAATACCACTTTGTCATTTTATCCGTTTTGTTCATAATTTTCATAATTCAAGAAAGCGTTGTATTTTTTAGAGCCTACAGTAATCCTAAATCCTTTTCACCGTCATCCGTTTTTGCTCTCACAATGGAGGTCGTTATCCACTACATTGGCGGTATTTCTTAATGTGCTCTCTATAATCTGCGGAAAATTTCCTATCGACTGGTCCAAACGTCTAAAAGTCTGAAAATTTTCTATCTGAAGTTTGAATAGATTTTCTGGGCAAATTTCGGTGACCATTACATTTTGTATGCGCGCTTTTATATCCCGAGTTTATAATTTTCTCTCACCCACCGCTGCACGCTCCTTAAACTTTCATATTAAACTTTGAATATGAAAATGCGCATACAAAATGGATGGGTGAGTAAAAACTTCAGACAGAAATGTTCAGACATCTAGGCGTCTGCATAATGACTGCTAGAGTCGATACAGAATTTTCTCTAGATTATATGACCAATTTTTTTTCAATATAGTGAAAAACGACCTTCAAGACTTTCTGCCAAAAATTCGCTAAAAAGCAAACCCTTATTGTTTCAAAAACTCTGTGAATCAAAATACTTTACTGCTAAAACAAGAACAAAATAGAAAAATTAAAAAGAAATTCATCGACTTGGCCGTGAAAGAAAGTGAGATTCGAGGCAATTCAGCGACTCCGAATGTCCAAGTAATCGAGAATCGAATGGGCACGCTGAAAAACAGAAAATTCGACATTATGGAGGGCTGCAGAACGGAATCGGGGCTAGCAGTCGTGGGGGGAGGACCGCGCATCTGGACTCCAACGGGAGGAGGGGGTAGGATTGACGGTGTTGGGAAAAAATTCGAAAGGGGGGCCTGGTTACTCAATTTTTTAGAAAATTACGGCATGGCGTTCTCTCTCACTTAGCGACTCCTCCAATTTTTGAGCGAATCCCTCCCCCTTCATTTTCCCCGAGCCGAAATCGCACAAAGAATCCCGTGTCCTAATCTCTCCAATTTTCGGTCATTTCCCCCCACATTTGTGAAATTTTCCATCACGTTTGTCCCAAAAATCAAACTCACACACTTCCGATTCGCCATTGCTGTGCCAATGGGAATACGCTTGAATTTACGAAAGTTTGCATATAAGCACAAGAAAGCTCCAGGGTTACAAGATAACGCCGTTTACAGAAATCCTGCCGTCATTGTATGCAGTTTTGTCAGGATCAAAGTATATACATTCTACTGGACCAATCCTAATCTAACAAAACCATAGACTCTGGCTTTAAATTTAACTCTAAAAATGTGAACATTTTGGGACATTTAAAAACCGCGCAGACGCGCCAATTGATGTAAATGGAATATTAAAGGAGAAACTGAAAATACTTGAGGTCAATTTCCACAATTTTAAACCGGAACGAGAAATATGAAATTATTTTCGTCACCACATTCGAATAAATTTGAGCACAATCAAACGAGGAAATCCGCGAATCTATCAAAATTAACTCTACAAATTCTCACTGCACATTGAAAAATGGACGAAAAGGAGATCTGAACACATTCAAAAGAGGTTATTAAACTGATCTGCCATAGATCCACTTTTCAGGTTTGGCTGTATTTTCTGCGATTTGGATATTATTTGAAAATGGTTTTTTGTAAGCCAATTTCTTGCGGAAATATCCATGCAATAAAAAATTACATTTTTTTCCTGTACAGTTGTAAATATTATTTAATGTTTCCTGAATTATTTCGAAACTAAAACTTCTCTCCTATGTAAAACTCTACCCACGTACCATTTCGCATAATTTGAACAAACCTCACTTACAGAACCCCTCCCCCCAAACTCGGTGTCATTAAAACCGCTTACTCTGGAATTAATTAGGTGTCCAATAAGTGTGAAACTAAAGAAAAGGAACATTTTTAACGATTTTGCGAAAAAAACCCGATCGAAAATATTTTAAATGAGAGAAGTGTTTTTTCTGTGATATTTGCGTCACGGTGCATTCACGTATTTTGGGTCCGTAGTTTCAAATCTTAACCATTGTTTTTTCGTTATCTAGCGAATTTTTCGTTCCAAATTATTGCGCTTATACGGGCGGCGGCAAACTTTTCAGAAAACGGTAGTAACAATCGATTGGGAATTTTGAAAACTGTTTGTGTGCCATTAAAAGTATCCTGTTTCCACACAGTCATTTTAATCTCTAATGTTTTTTACACAAGTGACACCAAACTGCATACAAAGACAAAGAGTAATGTAAACGGACATCTAGTAACTTTACAGTAACCCTGGCTCGTCCGTGAACTGCCGTAAATTCCAGTGAATTGCCATTGACACGACAAGAGACGAATCAAAGAATGTGAGTTGTGAATTTGGCACAAAATTGAAGGAAGATTTCAAAACATGTTGGAAAATAACCGAAAACTGAGAGAGAGGAACCAGGCCATCTATGTGTATTTCGACTCGGGAAACAATGTCGAGTTTAGGAAACGAACAGGGAAACCGGAGGAATCAAATGCTCATAAAGGAAAAAAAATCGCGTACCGTATTAATTAATCAACATTTATTAACAACGAGTTCTCGAATGCTGCTCCATTTGTCCTCTTCCTTGGTTTTATCCTTCATTTGTCGATATAGGCAATACACAATCTAAAGTAATCCAATTTTTAAAAATATAATCGATATGTCTACGACGGCCAGATCTTTAATTTAGCCAATTTAGCGCAGCGATCGATAATAACTTACGTTAAATAATTTCAAGCAGTCGTTTTGAGAAATATGACTCGATACCCTGACAGCTTCATATTCTGAAAAAAAAAAGTTAATTAATTGAATGAAAACGGTAGAAAATAAAAACGAAATCAACGAACATATGCAAACTAAATGGAATAATGCGGAAAGAATACGGAGGGAGTACACGAAGAAGAATACTATGAATACGAATTCTAGGAAGATTGATAATCTGAAATTTTTTTTTAATTGGGCGACGGGATAAATACAAATATATACTAAGATACCTCGCGTATAAAAGTATTAAAAAAAAAGAAGTTTCCGTGATGAAACACGCTTATAGTCGGCGTCCGGCGACTGCTGTACGCGGGTAGATTTACGGGAATGCGTATTCGAAATGGTCTCGCAAGGACTAACAGGCTATTTCAAATTTTATGGACTGGTTCGATAATTTTTTAATCGAATATCGTTGGAAATTCAAGGAAACGCGAAACTCATAAAAACAATTAAGCAGTTCACGTGAAAACAGCAAAAATAAACATTCACGCGTGGCGAGACCTTTTCAAGTCGCATGCGCGTAAATCTACCCGCGTACAGCAGTCGCCGGACGCCGACTATATATATGATTAAATTACAAATGAATCATAACTAGAGCAGGCTTAAAGCATATAAAAAAGCAATATTGTAAGGAAAATAAGGAAAATTCAAGAGAAACACCAAGCATTTCAAGGAAAAGTTAATATCGATTTTTAAACGGGTGACACCGAAAAAGCGCCAGCAATAGGATTATTGACGTAATCCGAATTTCGTTGGCGCATTATTGGATACAAACTTTATAATCAATAAATGGTCATAGAAAGTCATATTTCAACCAATTTTTGGTGATTTCTCGGAACAAGAGCTTCGTTACCAAATAATAAATAACAAACGCAATTCTAAGCAGGTTAACAGTTTACTCTGAAACACGAAAGTTCGATATGGTAAAACAAGGCGCTTTAACCCTAATGAAGCCTTTCACAACATAAAAATGCATAAATGAAAGGAAAACAAAGAAAATGCACGAGAAACGCCAAACTTTTCAAAGTTAACATTATATCGATTTTTAAACGATTGGTGACACAGAAAAAGCGCCAGCAATATGATTATTGACGTAATCCGAATTTCGTTGGCGCATTATTGGATACTGTCGTTTTAATCAATAAATAGTCAAGGAAAATCATCTTTCAACCAATTTTTTTGCCGATTTCTCGGAACAAGAATAATTCGGAGCTTCGCTACCAAATAATAAATAACATAAACGCAATTCTAAGCTGGTTAACCGTTTATTATTAAACACGAAAGTTTGATAGGATAAAACAAGGCACTTTAACCCTAACGAAGCCCTCAACAACACGCAAAATTATGTACATGACATTCATCTGATAATATTATGATTATGAAAAAAATTAATAATAAAAATAAAAACAATTATAGAATATAAAAGATCACAAACCGATTATATCACACATCTTTTTTAGAACGGGGTAAAAACTTTTTGGGTTGATTCATTTTTGAATCATATTTATTAGAAACTCTTCGTAGTTTGTACTCGATGCATATTTCTTGGCAAACTCGACAATCGCCTGCTTTCGCCGAGTATGCGGAAATTGATAGCTAAAAAATTTTGCTCAAACTATTTCAGAATTTGGCAAGACCTACTTTTCAATTTCAGCAACATCGCGTCTCGACGTGTTCAAAATCGTGTGTCGCACGAACGACGCTAAATTCGATTGCGATACCACAATTCCATCAACAAGCGGACCGGCTTCTCCAAATCGATTCGGGGTTCCGCGAGTGCGAATTTGCACAACGCCAGGCTCAATCAAATGAATGAACATCACCTGGTAAGCGACATGCTGAGGCGCAGCCGAATGATGCTCATTCGCCTTATTCACGCTCAAAAGCGAATTTCCATCGTCGCAAGTTCCGAGAAGTTCGCCTAAAAATAACAATTTGACAATTCTTCGGCAACAAAAAAAAGCTCACTAATCGGAAAATTGGCGATGTCTTCAGCGCGTTCAAGCCAAACAAGAAGCATACGAAGCGGACATGTGCGTCGACTGATATGATGGCCACCACCTGAAATTATTCCATTTTCAAACAAGCCGATGGGAAACCAACACCCACCCATGCTTGAACCGCCACCCGCGTACGGCCTAAAATCGCGATCGCTCAAATTCGACGGGGACTTCTCGCCATTCCTCCGCGCGCTCAAATACCCGCTCGCATCGGTATGTGTGCTATCAAACGATTTATCATCAGAGACAATCGAGCGATTGTTCGATCCTCCTAGAAATTATTTTAAATGGTCCGTTGGGATTCAACAAAAATTACTTCTCGAGCTCGTCGCCGGCGACATTATGCTCTGTTTGAACATCCGAACGCTTCTCTCCGTGGGCATTAGAAATGCGATCTCGGCACTTCCGCCAACCTGATCGCACCACCAAAGCGCATTCTGAATTCCATCAATGATGTAATGATCAACAGCTTCCGGCTCAGTGTAAGGTTCTAAAATGAATATAAAACGTTTGAAATAGTCAGGCAACATACTTCTCTCATTCGAATACGCCGTCGACCAATGTCCCGTCCACGTGTCATGCACACCAATCTCGATACCCTCGCCCAAATCGGCGAGAAAATTGCAAAAATCGGCGCATGTGTTCTGCACATTGAGCTGAAACTCGAAAACCGTCAAATTTTTGTCAAAATCAATTCAGAAAAATTACCGCGTTCTCGAGAATATCCACCGCGTTTCGTTGACCTTCTTTCACATAGAATATGTGGGCGGTTTGATGGGATCGCGACGGATTACAATCAACAATCTCATGCATATCGCGATAGAATTGCTCAGTTTTCGAGCTGTCGAGAATGACAATCTCCGAATTGAAGATTTTGTCGTTCACAAGCCCAAAATCATAGAGCATCAGGCGAATTGAGCTACAATCGTCCGAAGGCCTGAAATTTTCGTCTAATTATTATCAACTTCAATCAGACTTGTGGAAAAATATCGACTTTTTAATATACAAATTTAAATTTTTAAAGAAAATAGAAATTCATTTTCTCTATTTTCACTATGTTCTTGTAAAATCCAAAAAATGTCCCAACCTTATTGGTCTAACTCTTCTTTCCTCGCTGCTCATCCTCTCAAACATATTATTCCGTCGAGCCTCATCGAAAAACGATTTTCCATTCTGCGTATGTTGCTTGATCTCCTCAGCGATCGCTTCCGTTTCCGAAGTTGATTCCAAATTCCGAAATACCGTATCCCTACAATAATCAATCCAATAATAAGAAAGATCATTAGAAAAAAACTCACAGTTTGCACGTATTTTTGTAAAATTCAGGCTGTATCACAAACTGTTCTCCAATCGACTTTTGAACCGTCGTTGAGCCTTTCGTCGTTGGCGTGCTCGAACCTAAAAATCAGCAGTAACTAGCTGAAAATAGAGAAAAAATGCCTAAATTGTGCAGAAAAAAACTTAGCGATTAGTGTGGTGAAATCAGTGGAAACGACATAGGGTAAAAATGGTGAAAACATCAATTTTAGTTTGACAATTCATATTTGCCTCAAAAAAACCTCAAAATTGTTGAGCAATTTCATAATTTCAAAGATGTTAGATTCCCAAATTTACCATCATCCACTTCTTGTTCTTCTTCTTCGTATCCCTCAAAAAACGCGGCGATCGGATTCGTCGTGACGCCGGTGAGAATCGATCCCGCCGACACCAAACTGACGCCAGAGCGAATCGACGCGGTGGTTACTGTAGGCACAAAAACACCAACAAATACAATGCGGAGACAAATTGTACAATCGGCGACTTACCAGTTTTGCCAGAGCCGATGCTCATCGAGCCCAACGTTGAAGCCGTATCTTGAGATCACACAATTAGGCAAACTTGATGGTTAGCATGCGAGGGGGCAGGGAAAAGGACAAGTGATTCAACAAAACCAAAAATCATCGATTGTTACCTTCAAATCCTTCACTAACAGCGGTCATCGGAGTAGGAGGTGGTGCAGTTCCCTGTTCTTGAGTTCGAGGTCGCAGCTTCGCGATTCCAGTGTTCGCACCTTGCATCGGAGATCGTCGGACATAAAGAACAGATGCGCTTTCTAAAAAAAATGGACCTTGTAAAAAGACCCCTTTAAAAATGGTCTCACCAGCTTCCAATTCCTTAATATGCGAAGCCTCATGAAGCGACAGCAAAGTGTCGCCATTCACAAGAAGATGCAAGAAGTTTTTGGAATCAATCGCGTTGCCTCCAAACTTGTGCATGAGCCTTCGCTCATCCCGAAGAACATCCGGTCGCCTTCCAGCAACACAGAACAAATTGTACATGAGCGATTCAGCCGCCTCTAGAACGCGTTGACTCGCCGGTTTCGGTTTGACATTCAGATCCGGCTCCTCTCCAGGCTTCGATTTAAAACCGGTGACACCAAGCTGGATCACATCGCAAACCGTGGTAAGAACTCCGGCGCATTCAGCAAGCAATGGGGAGGCGGTAAGCCAAACAGCGACAGCGTTGAACGCAGAAACAACCTATAATGAACATTTTAAGGAATAATTTGTTCAAAAAAACTAACAGTCGAGTGCAAATCCTTCGAATGAAGTGGCGGCGGCTTATTGAGCTGCTGCTCGATGAAACGGCACAGCGATGCGATAACAAGGGTACCCGTAGAAACATCCACTAAAAATTTTGTTCTGATTATTCAAAAAAAAAACAATGCAATCTTACTATTATTGAATAAAACCGTATGATGAACATGGGAGATACAATTGAGAACATCAATGATGGCCAATGCCGTCGAATGATCAATCGTCTCGATTCGTCCCAACTTGTCGCAAATCGCCGACAACACACCGCGAACAATGGAAGCGCAAAGACCTGAAATTCTTTCATTTTCAAAAAAGAAAACACAAAACACAAAACAACGCTCAAATTTACCTTTTTCGGGTTGTCCTGATGCGCTAGCCGCTGTTGAAATCTTAATCATCTCCTTTGTTTGCTCTTCATTCAGACTTAAATCGAATGTACAACTTTCTTCGACGAGAACTGCACATAACGCTGAAAAAAAAGCACTTGAAGAAAAAAAAATAATACTTTTTTCGAACAGATTGAAAAATTCTACCGAAAACAATCGATTAAAAAATGCGCCAACGATCAAGAAATACGCCATTACAACAGACAGATGGCGCATTTCTCGTGCAATATTTTTTCTTGATTCTTAAATTTCCTACCTAATGCGATATGCAAATTAACAGGGTCCGTCTCATTGCGCACGCTGAACATTAATGTCTTGAATATTCTAAGCCTCAGATGCAAATAAGTCGCTGCATTCGACTTCAAATTAGCGGCATCCGCAATTTCTGCAAAATGAAAAAAAAAATAATTCGACGTAAAACTCAAAAAATAGATCTTACGGGGAATTTTGCTCATGCCAAACGTCGACGGCCAACAAATAACCGACGACAGCGCTTTCAAGCAAGCGCGTCGAATTTCGACTTCCGCAATTGACGGATGCAGACGAAGTTTGGATGATTCGATCATCACAATATCCAAAGCGAACAGAAAATGGGGAAGAAGGCTCTCGATTCCGGGGAGTCCAAGGCGGAATATGTTACGTCCGTAGTAGAAAATGGTGCACAGCATGACGCGATCTTTCTAAAGGTTTCTCAAATTCGCAATTCCCCTACCAAAAATTGATAGGCTCACCTCAACCAGCGTCTGGTAAACCGTCGCATAGAAATTGGCCAATTGCGTATTCGAAATGCACTCATTCGACGATTTCGACGAGATGATCCTTATAAGAGACGCCAACGCCGAAGCTCGTCCCGCCGTGACGCCGTCAACCTGCATCGGATAATCGTCAACATGTTTGTGTGTGCTCGCCGAGCTCATCACATCCGATTCGCCAGCAACCGACGAGCATGAGCTGCCTAAACGAGAATGATGTAGCCAACAATGAATATGTAGAAAGAGAATTGACGAACCAATGCTTTTCCGACGATTCACTGCATTCTGATGTTCCTGGGCACCACTTCGTCCCATCATTGGACTAATCGCGTCCGGAATGTCGTCGAGATCAACGGAATGCAGCGAAAGTCCCGAGATCACATCTGTAGAAAGCAAAAACATAAATCTGAAGAAATTGAGAACAATTTGCGAGATTTTTTTTAAAATTTTTCTTGGTTTTTCCCCCGTCTCAAAAAAAAAAAAACAAGAAAACCCACACAAGTCGGCATTTTGAAGTGCCAAAAATGGTTGCGAGCCCCAAAAATCCGGCGACTCGGTGCTCAATATCAATTCACGCAGGAGATTTCGACGACGACGACGACGACAATGATCCGACGGCGGACATGACCTACCGCGCTGCGGACGTGGCGCGGCAGCACCTCGTCTAACCACCGTGCTAAACCGCTAACCAGATAAGAAGCAACAAGAAGCGACGATGTAGAACACTACTACCAAATAAGCAAGTCAACCAACAAAATGGACGCTCCAAAAAAATTCAGAAAATGTTTTTAATTGTCACAATACAAATGAGCGCGCATTTCGAAACCAACACACAGCTCGTGCTCATTGTGCAAATTGCCTAGCAACTGTGGACAATATTTCGCAATCTCTAGCGGAAAACGAAATGAAAGAAAAATGCGGTGAATCGGAATCGAGGCGGCGACGAAGTGAGGTGGCTGCCGATTCGACGCAAAACCAGTTTTCATTTCGCATAATTATATGGAAAAAACAAATACACCCCCCCCCCATTCCCGTTAGAATTCAACAAAAATCAAATTAAATTTTTTATAGAATCGCGATTCAAAATGTCTTGTTTTCAGACTTATCATGGACTAAGTGCTTCTAGAAAATCTAAAATTGAATCTTACAAGCTCCGACAGCTATAAATTTAAGAACTCGAATTTTCAAGTCTCTAACACCTAACAAAAATTCCACTTTTCCCTTTTTTGATAAACATTTCAAGATTTTTTAATATAAATTTTTTTAAGAATATTGTAATTTTTTTTACTCAAATAAAATTCCATGTTGGAGCCGTGACCTCGACACGTCACGTGACACACCACGTGGCACACGTTTCATAGGAGCGATATAAAAACCCCTTTTTACGCTCAATAATCAGTTATTCATATTTGTGTCTAATAAATATATTCTCTACGTTGGCTCGTTCACAAGGACACAACAACTGGCGATCAGGATGAGATCAACATTGGACGTCAACACAGTCAAACTGCTCTTGGCAGAGCAAGCGAAGCAGCACCAAGACTTCGTTCGAGAAATCACCAAACTGCTGATGGAGGGACGACCAGGCACTTCACCAACCGCTCCCGCACAACCAAACACCCAAACAGGGCTTATCGACTCGCTGACGACTCGACTACCGACATTCTCCTTCGACCCGGATGAAGGAACCACATTCGAAATCTGATATTCACGGTACGAGGACATTCTGCGACTGGATGGATCAACATTGGACGACGGCACCCAAACCAGGATCATCCTATCAAAGCTCGATGCCCCCGCTTTCGCCAAGTACGCCGACAACATCCTGCCAAGGAAACCATCGGATCTGACGCTCGAAGAGACCATCACCCGGCTCAAGACTCTCTTTGGACACTCGAAGTCTGTATTCCCCCACCACCAACAACGATCAACGACGTCACGAAGAACCTCGACCCCGAAGGCGAGGACACCCGAACCACGACCAGAACAGCCAACAACGCAGCAGAAGCCACCATCACCATGCAGACATTGTGGAGGACCTCACTGGAATGCTGACTGCAACCGCAACCGAACGGACAGCAGACGAATCCCGAAATCCCGCCGGAAACGCCAAGGATCCCGCAGAGGACGTCAAGGAGGACATCTGGGACTCATCTCAGTCAACCACGCATGGATCAACAAGAGCAACCGGATCTTCAAGAACGTGAACATCAATGGAACCGACGTCAAGATGCAATTGGACACTGGCGCCGATATCTCGCTAGTCTCAACAAAGGATTGGATTCGACTTGGGAAACCATCGCTCGAGCCTGCCAATGTCAATCTGAAAGCCGCCAACAACAACAGGATTCGCCTCAAAGGACGGTTCAACTGCAAGTTCATCATCAATGGACAACACGGATCCGGATATTGTCATGTAGCCGATACCGCCACACTCCTCGGACTGGATTGGATTCAGCACATTCCCCGCTCTCTCTTGCTCACGGACGATGCCGCCGCTGACGCGTACACCAAGCGGATCGAGATCACTTCGCACGACCTCAAGGATGGCCGACGAAAGCTTTGTGAGGAGGTAATGAAGAAATACGCGGACGTATGCAACCCAGGATTAGGAAGATGCACCAAAACGACTGCCAGCCTGAAGTTGAAGCCGGATGCCACGCCAATTTTCCGGAAGTCAAGACCCGTCCCGTATGCTGCTCTCCCACGCGTCACTGAAGAATTAGAACGCCTCATTGCTCAAGGAGTGCTCGCGAAGATCGACCATTCGGACTGGGCCGCTCCAATCGTTGTCGTCAAGAAGAAGAACGGGTCTATTCGAATGTGCGCCGACTACTCAACAGGACTCAACGATGCCCTCGAACAACACCAGCACCCACTGCCAACTACGGACGACATCTTCGCAGCCATGAACGGAGCTAAGATTTTCAGTCAAATGGATCTTAGTGAAGCTTACCTGCAATTGGAAGTCGCCGAGGATTCTCGCCAACTCCTCGCCATCAACACACACCTTGGATTGTACACCTACAACCGCCTACCTTTCGGAGTCAAGACAGCACCTGCCATCTTCCAACAACTCATGGACTCGCTGATCGCAGGAATCCCAGGAGTCGCCGCCTATCTGGACGACATCATCATCACTGGATCAACCCTCGAAGAGCACAATCGACGAGTGGACACCGTATTCCAGCGCCTACAAGAATACGGACTGCGAATCAGACTGGAGAAATGCCGCTTCGTAATGGACGAAATCCGATTTCTTGGTTTCATCGTCAACGCTCACGGACGCCGGCCGGACCCGCTGAAGGTAGAAGCCATCTCCGAAATGCCGCCGCCAAAGGATATCAAACAACTCCGATCTTTTCTTGGAATGGTTCAATTCTATGGAGCATTCGTCAAGGACCTATTCACCCTTCGACAACCACTGGATGCGCTCACAAAGAAGGACGTGCGTTTCACATGGACATCACAATGTCAAGCTGCCTTCGATCGGATTAAGGAAGTCATCTCATCGGACCTCCTGCTCACGCACTATGACCCCAGATTGCCGCTCATAGTCGCCGCTGACGCATCAACCAATGGAATTGGAGCCGTCCTCACACATCGAATGCCGGATGGAACGGAAAAAGCTGTATATCATGTTAGCCGGACACTGACAGCCGCTCAACGGAACTACAGCCAAATCGAGAAAGAAGCACTTGGGCTCATTTTCGCAATCCAAAAATTCCACCGATTCATACACGGACGGACATTCACCCTGCGCACGGATCACAAACCTCTCCTTGCCATTTTCGGATCGAAGAAGGGAGTACCGGTATTCGCCGCAAACCGTCTCCAACGCTGGGCCACAATGCTGCTCAACTACGACTTCACCATCGAATACGTCAGGACAACGGATTTTGGACAAGCCGACGCACTCTCTCGTCTCATATCGGAACATGCCCGCACTATGGAGAACGAAGATCGAGTCATTGCCGCCGTCGAAGCTGAAGTCATCGCCGATCAGACCGAACGCTGCTCGAATCTGCCCATCACCGCCGACCAAGTTCGTCATCACACCCGCATGGAACCCCTTCTCCGCCGGATCATTGATTACGTCACCACCGGAAAATGGCCGAAGCTCACAAGGAAGCAACCAGAATGGAACTACTTCAACCGACGAGAAGACCTCAGTATAGTCAATGGATGCCTCATGTTCAACCACCGGATCGTCGTACCTGCTACACTCCGAAGAAGAACTCTCACCGCACTGCACAAGGCTCACCCTGGAGGAACCAAGATGAAAATGCTCGCTAGAAGTTACGTCTACTGGCCATCGCTGGACCAGGATATCGAGGATCTTGTCAAGAGTTGTGGAAACTGTCAAGCTGCCGCCAAGAACCCCATCAAAGCGGAACTTCAATCATGGCCTGCCGCCTCTGGACCATGGACACGCGTTCACGCCGACTTCGCTGGACCCGTAGATGGATCGTACTACCTGATTGTAGTGGATGCCTACTCGAAATGGCCGGAAATTCACGAGACGTCAACCATCTCGACGACAGCAACGATGACAATCCTGAAGAAGGTTTTCGCACAATTCGGAAATCCGGAAACCCTCGTAACGGACAATGGAACACAGTTCACGGCAAGCTCATTCCGACAATTTTGCGCAGAACGTGGAATCAATCACATTCGGACACCGCCCTACCACCCGCAATCAAATGGGCAAGCGGAGCGATTTGTCGACACATTCAAGAGAGGTATCAGGAAGCTTCAAGGAGAAGAACCATCGCGAGAAGCCCTTCAAACGTTTCTCCAAGCTTATCGATCAACACCATGCCCAGCTGGACCGGATGCCAAATCCCCTGCTGAGAACTTTCTGGGAAGACCAATGCGGACGCCCCTGGCTTTGCTGTTGCCGACAACCACTACACCTGGACCGCGCAACGAGAAAATGGAATTGCAATTCAACCGTCATCATGGAGCAAGGAACATTGCCTACGAAGAGGGAACCGCTATCTTCGCGAAGGATTTACGATTCTCCAAGCCAACATGGACCGCTGGCACCATCGTCGAACGTACAGGAAAAGTTACATACCGCGTCAAGTGTCAAGGACAACTATGGACTCGCCATGCTAACCAACTCCGACCTAGGAACGACTGGAACGCAACTGAGACGCTACTGGACCTATATGAAATCCCAATGCCAATCGACATGGATTCGGACTCGGATATCACAACCGCCATTCAAAGGACCCCATCTCCTGTTCTACGTCGTTCAACAAGGATCCCGAAGCCGGTCAGACGACTACAGATCAATCCATCCCGAAACACCTATGTTTCGAACTAGCGAGGGAGATGTTGGAGCCGTGACCTCGACACGTCACGTGACACACCACGTGGCACACGTTTCATAGGAGCGATATAAAAACCCCTTTTTACGCTCAATAATCAGTTATTCATATTTGTGTCTAATAAATATATTCTCTACGTTGGCTCGTTCACAAGGACACAACATTCCAATTTCTCAGTTTTTCTAAATCCTTTCATTTCGGTTTTTAAAGAAATTCTCGAATTTCTTTCACAATAATGAACAATAGCGAAATTACAAAAAAAAAACAATAGAAGAGGTCTTGGTGCGAAACAAAATGTTTCGATTTATGGTGCTAAACAAAAAGGATAGGTTAAAGGCGCATCGCGTCAAAACCAATTCCTTAATTTTTTTTGTCATTTGAAGGTAATATGAAATTCGAATATTTTAAATTTAAAAAAAGTATCACAGAAAAATTGTTTCTATTCATTACTATCAGCGGACAAATTTGAGGGACCAATGCTCAAGCATTTCAATTATGAAAAAGTATGTCCCATTATGGAAAAGTATGTCCCAAAACCGAAAAAAAAATCAATAATACAATTCGCCAAAAAAAAACGAAGAGACCATGAAAAGACCGTCATTCATCATCATTCAATGTTTGTCTATACAATTTCAAAATATAGTTGCCAAAAATTCAAAAAAAAAAAACAAAAATCAAAAAACGATCGAGTGCAAAAAAATGGCAAATTTTACTCGCAAAAATCTCAAATTCATTGATTTTTTACACGACAAACGCAAATATTTGCACAATAAATTATGAAACTTCGACATTTTTGAGAAAACTTTTCGAATCGCAAAAAAGAAACAAAATCCATACGTAGACAAAAAAAATTCTACAAATTTTTTGAATTAAAAATTTCTAAAAAAGTTTTCTTTTATTTATCAGAAGCCTAATAATTTTTGAAAATTTTCCAATTCCAACGTTCTCGCGATGAATCAAGCTTGAAAAAAAAATCAACGAAACCGCCAAATCTCGAATGAGCCCAATTATTAATCAGAAAATGAGAAAAAACAAAACGAAACCTACCCGCCACAATAATTATTCAAAAAAAACAAATTATCGGCTAGCTAGTCGAAGGAAAGGACGAGTTGAGTGTCGAATATACAAATAATATAATAGATACTGTCAAAAAGTGTACAGAACGGATGGACAATGAGCGGGCGAGCGAGCGACCGACGCTTCGGAAGGTGGAGTAACCAGTGAAATGCAAAATGGATGGGGAAAAAAAACTAGTTATCGCCGCGCGTCCCGCTGAATACACTGATTTCGATGAAATATGCCCGATTCGGACGAGATGAAGTCAATGCGAGTCGAGGATTTCTCACGGCACAATTTCTCGTGTACAAATGAACAAACAATGGAAATAACGACACTGTGTATTTGCCAGGTGAGAGCTTCATTCTTTTTTTTTTCTGGTTTTGTTGTGCTGCCGACACAAAACCACTACGAAAATTTGGGGCATTTAGAAAAAAAATTTTTCCTTTTTTTTTTGGATTTTTGTAGATAATCATATATTAAAGGCGCATGTTTGTTTTCCCGCCACAAATTTAAAACCATTAAAATGTACGCAGCTAAAATTCAAGTTGCTTATGCGAGGTTTAAGCTTAAAAAGACCCAAAACGGCCGGTAAGGTGGTCCGCAGCAAAATCGTATCATACATGATTTCAGCAAAACCAAAACCAACCTTTCCCGCGAAAAAAACCGGAAAACTGTCCGAAGAATAAATTTAACAAAAACGGTTTCGATTTTATCCCCTACAGTGCTGATTTGAGTTAAAATACTTTCAAAAAAAGAACTGCAATCAAATAATGCTGGCAGAAAGATTACTCAGAATGATCGATAACTTCATTGTCTTACTTTTAATGGTATTCGAAGCCGATGTGGGGCTCTGCTGCTGCTGCTGCTGCTGCTGCTGCGGACCCATCTCCCCAATGCTGGCGCTTCTCGGCGCCGTCAGCATCACCCATCGTTTCCATGTCGACGGCGACGATTCCTGCCACATTCGCCGGCGATCTCTTTTTTTTTCGGTGGGTGCAACGAGGAACAAAAAAAATAGTCAAGCTCAACAGCAAACACAGTTGGCAGCGCACATCGATGAATAGCCGAAGAGAACGACGAGCCGATTGGGAGGGGCTTATTAGATCAACAGATTCAATCAGCCTCCCAAGTAATAATATCAATAATAATAATGATAATAATCATAATACAGGCGAGTCGGCGAGTCAATACGAAATTATCGATGGGCAATGCAGAAAGTGCAGAGAGAGAGAGAGAGAGAGAGAGAAACAAATTTGAATGCCACAAATATGGAAATCGATTAAAAAAATCCCACTCCATCAATTTTTCTATATTTGTTGTTCTCTCGTTTTTGGGGCGGCGCTTCTATTTGCACACCGTCGACCGACTGTCATTGGGCCTCCTTCAATATTTGACGCTAAATTGACACCCAGTCCGAACGGCTCCGCCGATGGGGGGCTCGCGTTTTGAGTGAAACCAAAAGATCGCCATTCGCATTCAGTATTTGTGTCAAGTGTTTCGTCGATGGTACGCACGCGATTGTTGAATCGCACTGGCGAGAATTCATACGTACGTACGACTCCAACAAAATATATGCATATATATATGGGCAGTGTGCAAATACAATATGTAGATCGAATTGTCGAATCGAACCAAATTCGGAAACAGGGAAGAGCATGGAGTTTTCAACGATAAATTTGGAATATGTCCAAAATTTTTCGGATGAAATTCAAAAGTTTTACATTCTAAAACAATTTTTTTAAAAATAAAATGCCTGAAAATGCGGCCAATTTTGAGAGTACGTTAAAATTTTCATCGTAAAACATATTCTTTTGAATTTTAAACGATTTCAAAAATTCCGCAATTTTTTTTCCAATTTTCAGAATCATTCACATTAACGAAGAAAAGTCCAATTTTTGATTTCAACAAATCGAGAATAACAGTTTTAAAAAAATGCGCGAAAAAAATGAAAATTATCGATTCAAAATAATATTTTTTTAAATAAAAATCTTTAAAAAATGTGGTCAACTTCGAAAATCTCCCTAACCAAGATATTCTAAAAACTTCTGCGTTTGACACTTTTTTTTACTATTTCAAAAGAATATTAGTTTCCGCTAAATAAGGACCGAAAAAATTGTACTGCAGAACTTTAAAAAAATTGGAATTTCAAAGAAATAACCCAACACAAATTGAAATTAGCCGCAAATTTGGAATTCGAGATTTCAAAAATGACAAAAATACACCAATTTTCATGAAAAAAAGTGTAAATTTTCCAGTGATTTTAAAATTTAATAATTATATCAGAAAAAAAAATAATTTTTTGTTGTGGAAAAATGAAGAAACGCCCATTGTTTGAGAAAATTGCAGTAAAAAAAAAGAAATTTTCGTACCAAAACCGGCAAGATGAAATCGTCTCGTCTCGCGCAAGAACAACAACTTCGACGTGAATCGCGCGACAACCTCATTGAGCTGAACAGCAAACGGCTGACCGGACGACGACGACGACGACGACATTATACAATACGCATATCTGCATAGATTTCAAGTTGAATTCAAGACGAAAACGCTGGAAATGATTCGAACACACAGAAAACGCATTAAGAGGAAGAATAAGAATAAGAAGACAACGAAGAAGATGTATGCGAAAGGCGCATTAAATTAGTGTGTTAAAACCAAACAAAACCCATTAAAGGAATTGGAATCGAACAAATGCGCGGGGGTTGAGGTTGGTTCGCTCGCACAGAACCTCCCTCGTTGCGCCGCGCGTCTAATAATACATACAACAACCGCCTGAAAATCGCTCAAGGCTATTTCGTCGCGCTAATTATCGGACCAATTATCCATTAAATGAGATTTAGTGCGGTTTACTGTTTCAATAAGTATTCGTTAGATTTTGACCAAGTACAGTGCTAGACATAATAACAATATCCCCACACCAATTTCACTCAAATAACTCGAGAACGTGAATCGCTCCAGAACGGTTGAATTCGAAGTTCGTCGGATTGCTAGCACTTTGGCTAGTAAGATCACGAGAATGGCACAGATCTCAGAAAACTTGCCGGTGAGGCATTCGTTGAGCCAAATCTCCTACGATTTTGTCGTTTTCAAAGTCGTTGAGAGGCATTTCGTAAGGAATTTCATTTCGAAATTGTAATCAAATATTTGGATGTAGAGTGGAGATGTCTTTTATGAAAATTTCGACAAAATTGCGGCGGCGAGATATAATTATGTCGAGCACTGCATATTAAAACAGATTTTAAAAAAAATTGCGCGGTTCTTTGTTTTTTTTTTTTATTTTGATTGAATAAATTTATTACAACTACATATGTATTTTCTGGGCCGCAATTCAAATTTCAATTTAAACAACAGAAATTCACATTATCAGTAAGGCATTTCAATTGGCCGAAATAATTCAAGCAATTATTGCTAATTTCGGAGACTTATTTCGAGTAAAATTTTAATTTGTTTTTCCTTCAAAAGACAATTCAAAATTCTTAAATCAAGAAAATGGTCAAAAATTAAAAGAATCAACATTCAATTCAATTCGCCCAAAAATACGTGAACCAATTTGATAAAATCAAAAAAAAAAGAAGACGCGACGAGTGCGATCGATTTGTGGAGGAGCTAGCCGAGTGTGTCTATGTCAATTTGAATCGAGAAGGTCTTCTTTATGTAACCCAATGAGAAAAAAATGGAGATGGGAGGGAGATGCGCGCCGTCGGCCGAAACCATCAACAGTTTTCGTCGATTTATTTTCTCGACCCTCAAAAACTCACCGATGCCCCCACCACCACTCTCCTCGTCAATCGACCATCAAAGGTCAACAGTGAGTCGACGAGACAAAAAAAACAACGAAAATCAACAACAATGGAGCAAATGTGCTTCATATTTGGCTAAAAATTTCCCGGATTTGCTCTGAACTTCAAATTTGGACAGCAAAGAAGGCCGAAAAAAAAACTGTTAGGATCGTCTTTGACCCGAGAACAAAACAAAAAACGAAACCAAATTCTGTAGAAGAATAGCGATTCATAATTGGCGTCCATTATTCGTCAATTCACGAAAACACACATCCAACAACGGACGGAGCGCGTCTTCTGACCTTCTCCGTCCGACCGACGGACGGAGATGCCCAATTCACATCGAACACCGTTATATGAGAAAAATACGAGCATCTAGATGTTTTTAAGAGATACGGACCATTGAGAAGAGTGGGATGCGCAAAAAGAAAAAAATCGAATGAAGAAGTGCAAAATTTAAAAAAATGCGATTTTTTGCGGCAGGTTGCGTAATTAAATTCGAAAAGTACCCATTTTGCAAATCTTGTTTCCAGCCATAACACCAAATTTCAGCAAAAATCTTCTTTTTCAAGATTTTTGATGTCAAAAAAATAGATAAATTCAACAATACGACAGAAACACAAGAAAACGTGAGATTAAACAGCGCTTATAGATGAATTTCGGAAATTCTCGAAAGAATGCAGTTCAAATCCGGCCGAAATCGTCCAAAAATTTGCAATTGTTCGACGACAACAAAAAACACCAAAAAAACTCACTTTTTCTAGCAACCTCAATTTGCTCATCGGCGACATTCAGCGAGTTGGAATGCCGCCGCCGTCGTCGCGGTGGTGCAATTGGCGTAATTTTGGCGCCAAATTTTTGGTGGTATCACCCCCGCGAAAAAAAAAAACAATTTAATTAAGGTAAAAGAGATACTCGCCGGTCGGTCGTGGACGTGGTGAACGGCGCGCGCGCGCGGGGGCAATGATGATACGCATCTCAATCCGCCGTTGCCCATTTTTGGGTGGTGTTGCGACACACGAACCAGTTTAGATTACACACTATCTACCAAACATACCCAAAAACAAGCAAAAGAAACCAATATGAATCAAAAATGAAACATTTTTATAGTCGACGTCCGGCGACTGCTGTACGCGGGTAGATTTACGGGAATGCGTCTTTCGAAATGGTCTCGCCAGGATTAACAGGTCATTTCAAATTTTATGGTCCGGTTCGATAATTTATTAATTGAATGACGTTGGAAATTCAAGAAAATGCGAAACTCATCAAGAAAAATGAAGCAGTTCACGTGAAAACAGCAAAATAAGCATTCACGCGTGGCGAGACCTTTTCAAGGTGCACGCGCGTAAATCTACCCGCGTACAGCAGCCGCCGGACGCCGATTATACTAAAAAAAAATATAAATTTCTAGAAATTGATGATTTCTAGAGATTCTGAGAGGATGAAAAATTAAGAAAATTAAGCTTAGAAGTGATAAAACGAGACTTAAAAAATAATCGTCTAAATCAGTTTTCACTAAAAAAAAAGACACTCACATGAAACAATCAGAATAGAACAGATGAGACCGGGCAAAAAAAAACCGGCGTTCGTCGAATGGGAAAACGTTGTATTTATTTTCGAGGCAAAAAAAAACCCTCGTTCTATTTGTCCACTTCTTTTCAATTTTTCCCCGATAAAATTGATGCGTTTCTTTTCCGTACGAAAAAAAAACTGCCAATTGTACAAAAACGGCGACAATTGGAAAATTTTCAAATTCAACCAAATCGGGACTCGTGAAACTGCTCACAAAAAAACTAACAATCAACTTTTTTTAATAAGAGCATGTCTGATAACATAACAGCTGTTATTTCCAACAAAACGGGGCTCCAGTCACCAATGAGCCCGTTCCGATAACAAATCATTTTCCTGCTGCGGACATTTCAACCCAACAATTTCAAAAAATTCAACGCACCGTCCGAAACTCCGTCATTGTGTTTCCTCGTCTGACTCGTCGTCGGATATCCATGAATTCTTGGCGGCGTGCAATTCGCCATCGAGAACAGCCAATCTCCAACCAATTTCAGCATTCGATCCGTTTTCGGTTTTCGCGACGAATTGCTCATTGGCATATTGCCAGGATTCCCTGAACATTTTCGCGTTTTTCAATCAATATTTTAAGCAAAACTCACAAGCCAAAAAGTTGGTGACAAATTGGTTCGCATATTTATAAGGTCCCGCAATTTCAGAAGTGGATGGCGGCGGCGGAGCCTGAGCCTTCACTCTCGTCGATGCCTGCGTCGTCGGTTGCTGCTGATTCGTCTCGGAGAACACCGGCGCAGATGCAGTAGAGTTTGCGACAATATGGCTGATGCTTTCGCCATGCGCGGTTCCTTCTGGCACTGGCGCAGACCGATACGTCAATGTCGATGAGGTTTGCTCAGACGCTCGGCTTTGCGCCGAAATTGTCGACTCTGTCACCGATGTCGTCCGATTCGAAGCATCTTTGTTACGATCTAAAAATCGACTTTTACACAAATTCTCAAAAATATTGTTAAAAATGTATTGTAGTTTCACAACTTTAAAAAAAGCGGGCTCCTCGAGTTGCAGTAGATTGTGAACTACAACAGTAACGCAACTTCTTTTTTTTTCATAGGATCATATATTCCTAGAAACTGCGATAAGAATTAAAGGCGCAGCAATTAAAATTTGAAAATTCGGCAGTAGTAGAATCCAATTGGCAATTCGCCACACTCCGTCCACTATTTTGAGATCTCCGAAAAAAAACCTCCAAAACCCAACTCTTACCAGTCACCGTACTCCTTTGGTCTCGTCTCGATTCGGCGTACGTTTTTCCACTCGAATTCGAGCCCGACGCCATCGATGGTTGGGCTTCATCAATAATCATTTGACCGACAGCTCCATTCAACGAAACATAGCGACCAGATTCGCCAGTCGTCGACGCAGTTCTCTTAAAAATTTATGTTGTCGTGTGCTCAACAAAATCGATTCTCACATGTGTGTAGTGACTGTGGCCATCAGTGATCGTCGACGCTTGTCGCGTTCCCGTCTGACTCGCTTTGATGGTGTCGGTTCCCGTCGAACGCAAATCGATAAGAACTCGCGAATCTCCTTAAATGCGAAATTCGTTTTCTACAGAAGAAGAAATAACGCGCTACCATAAAACAAATCAACGAGCCGCTGAATGGTGGTGGCAGCAAGGAAAAAAGCGACACCCTGACTAGCGCTAGCCGACGCCAAATCATGATTTGTGGTCGAAATGCTAGAAACCGTTCGTCTTGGCCATTTCCCATCTGAAAATTAAAAAAAAAAACACCAATAAATTTCATTGGAAAAAAAACGTCCCCCTCTTAAAACTCACTGAGCGACTCATTCCTCATCGGATCATGCGTTAGAATCTTGGCGGGACAATCAAACAGACACAGCATATTATACCAAGTCCGGTAGAGTAGATGAATCTCCTCCTCATCGTCATCTTGAAGAATCGGCACATTCCCAAACGGGGCGATATTCTCATCATCTGCGTTCATGACAAATTCAAAATCAATTAAAGCATTTTTAGCAATTAAAGAGACAATGAAAAGAAAAATTTTTAAAAAATGAAAAAGAAATATTATTTTGCATTTAAATTTCCCTATTTTTTCTACATAGGCTTTTAAGCGTTTGAAGCTTTTTTCAATTTTTTTTTAACTGTCGTGGGCAGTTATTTTTGAATATTGTGGGTATTCGCCCAAGAATTCTGTCCTTTCTCATAATAATTGTTAAATTGTTCAATTTATTAAAACTTGCACCTACGACTGTTTTTCATACAAGACTCACGACGGCAATTGAAATGATACAGTAATCACGTAACCCAAATTCGTCCGTAATTGACAATTAAATGAAAAATATGAAAACTCACGTATTTGAATCTTCAAATAATCGTCTCCATACATTTTTTTGCACACCAATACGGTCAAACCGAGTATTTTCTGAGCCCAACATTCGATAATCGGCACCTGAATTTTCAAAATGTCTCAATTTCAGCCATTGCAACAAGACCGTCTTACATTATGCCGCCATCGCCGCGCCAAACTCGCCAGCGAACTCCAATACGTTAATGAAGGGATGTGCTCATTGAGCACCGCGTTCAGCCACATCTCGAATACGGTGTCAGCGACTCGAACGCATATTCGACTTCCCATTTCATCTGCCGTATTCGGTTCGGACAGCAAAAGGTCAGCCGAGTTCAGAAGAAAACTCAATGATCGAGCCCAGACCTTGAAAAAAATGGAGAGTCACGAGTTCTGATGATCCTCCACACCACGGCAAAATATGTACCATTAGAAGCACACAAGATGACCAATATTATATCTTCCTCTTTCATATATGGATAGAAATATGCTAAATCTTGAGTTTTTCCATACAAGACCCTACTCAAAACAGAACCCCATAAAAACTCCACACATTTCGCAGAAAAACTAGTTTTTTTTTTTCGAAAAAAAAAAGATCCCCCCACCTCATCCAAATATTTTCTGCTCGAATTCCTCGTAAGGAGCTTAATCTGATCGAGGACCATTTCAATTTCGATTGATTGCCGCTCAATTGCCAATCCCTTTGGTACATGATGAGGAGTGGTGATCGTCGAGTCCAAATCATCGTCTCTTCGGCAAAACACCCAACGAAGTGCGTCAATGATGTTTCTACAAAAATTGTGTTCATTTTTTTTTGAGAAATGACCAAATCAATACCGAAAATATTTCTCAGGAGTCTCTAAAAGAGGTGTCGGAATATTATTATCCGGTGTGTCGCATAATGCACGAAGCCAATGAAGATATATTCGAACGGCGCCTAAAAAACCGATCAGTTGCATTTCAATTGGAAAATTTTGCACGAAAAAAAATCCCAACAATTTGTCAGCGCCGAAAATGCAAAACTAGTTGCTAACGATCGTTCAAAGGTCATTTCAAACGTAAAAATCGCACCTTTCAACGTTTCATATTCACGACTGGTGGCGAATGAGAGCGTCAGCGAGTGATTTAGCACCTGCATGCACCATTTCAGGTGCTCTTCGCTGTTTAAACGAATCGATGCGCCATTTTCATCCGAATCTGACCGTGTGAGTTCGTATATAAGCGAAGATGACACTGATTGTGATGTTGATCTTGAAAAAACAATTATGATGAGAATGAGAATGAGACTTGACTTACTTTGTGAAAAGGTCAAGAATACTCGAGCTCAAATCGGAAAACTCCAGTGTCGGCCATTGCTCGTACATTTCTCCGCATAAGCGAACCTGAAGCGAACCTTCTACAGATATCAAGACAGACGAAATAGTGCGGCGATTGGAGGGCGAGGTGACGCGGACGACGAAAACACACTCTCGAGATGGCCTAATTTATCATCAAAACTATTGCAACATCGGCGCGCGATTTTTTGGGCAATTCGATCAATTTTCGACAAAGAATTCAATTCGGCACCGATGCGTTTTAAATGGACAGTGACAACAACACGATGAATGTCAAAACCATCGGCTTTGAACGGCACACGAGAGTCCTTGACATTGTCCGTACGGAGTACACACTCGCAGTGGTTGAGAAAAAAAACGACGGCCACTAAGAAGAAGTTTTTTTTTTGAAGATTTTCGCACCTAATGGAATCGAAAACTTGTTTTATGTTTTTTTTAGGCAATAGTTGAAATGAGAAAATTATTCTTTGCATTTTAAAAGGGCAACAAATTGAAATGTTCCATTCGAAATAAAATTAATTGCCGTCGGGTAAAATGCAAAAGTGTATTGCAGACTTGCATTTTATCCGACGACAATTACAAGTTTACAAAATGCTTATTGTAAGCACGACCGCGGAAAATTTGCCAAATGCCAGTGAAAAAAAAGTCCGTAAATCTACACTTAATTTGGCGCAAAGACAAATGCTATGATTTTTAGAATTAAGACAATTTTCCGTAGTCGCGCGACTTCGACAATATATTTTTTTTAATGGCTAAATGCCAAAAACACGATAGCAGTGGTCTTGGTGCAAAACTTAGTGTAGATTTACTGACATGCGCATAAGAATAGGTTAAAGGCGCACGCCGTGCGCCGAGATCTCTTTTTTTTTTAATTTTTTGGCATTTGGCCAATTTTCCGCTGTCGCGCGCCGTTGACAGTATATAAATTTGATAAATAAAAAGAGATAAAACAAGATCTTTCAAAAATTTTGAGATTTATAGTCCCATTGGCTTAAATTTATCCACTTATTCTCAAAATATTCAATTTATTTTTTAGGGGAAAAACAGCTGAACAAAACTGCGAAATACTACGACTATTTGCAAATACGTCATAGATCGTGTGGAATTGATGGTCAAGTGATTTTCGCGCCTCGCATCTAATAATATCATAAAAATGCCAACCTCACGATGCCGTTTCTGTTTTGAATTGTTGTTGTTGTTGTTGTTGGCCGCTGGTGAATCGTCGACGTCGTCAGCTGCTGAGTTGCCGATGACTCCTTCCGTGAGTGTGGGCAATTCCTTTAAAATGTTCACAATCTGCTCCATCTCGACGCTCTCGACGCGACCCCCGCCGATTTCGGTTATATTTGCTTTTCGAGTTGTATGAAGGAAGTGTTGTTGGTTTGTTGGGGGGGGGGAACTGGCGAGAGTAAAACTGGCGGATTTTTTTTTTACACAGAAATTCACTCAAGAAAATTTTCTCAAGTCAGACGAAACACTAGAATAAAAATGTTGTTGTTGTTCGGAATAACGCTCACGCTGTTGGACGTCGGCGACATTGACTATTTTGAGTGAAAATGAGATGGTGTTCAAGATTAATTTGATGAAAATAATTACCAAGGTTATACATTCGCAAGTTAACTATGCAATACACTGAATTTCAACGACAAAACCTTTGAATGTGCATATTTTCTAATGAAATTAAAGTCTCTATAGCTTGATAACATGCCTAGAATAGTTCTAAAATTAGACAAATAAAAAATGTGAAAATTTCTAAAAAAAAAGATGTCGTCAAATAAAATGCAAGTCTGCAATGCGGATGGCATCTTATTTGACAACACTTTTTTTATTTTTTTTTATTTTAACAAATTTAGGGAATTTTTGTCATGCTAATTCCAACTCGAGTCGTTGAAAAAACAAAGTTAGGATTTCCGAAATTCGCAATTTGGAAATTCAATTTTTGAGATAAATCCATAATAACATTAAATTTTCGCATAATTTTAATAATTTTTGTCACCGTCAAAAATTACCTTGCAATTTCCGCGTTATCATTTATTCAAAATAATATCTACCAAGATAAAATGTTAAAAATAAGACTCACGCGGTGAAAAAAACCAACTTTTTTTTATTATTTTCAAGAAAATTCAAAAAAATAGGGAGTTACCTTATTATATCCGGAAAGGAGCGACAATTTACGCATTGTGGTTCGAAACATGGTGTTGACATTCAGATACTCTATAAATAAGGTGAAAATCAATACAAAAAACCATATATATACATATATTGAATGGAGAGGAGTTGTGAACAAATACATGATATTGTGTGTATGCGGAGGAAACAACAAAAAACATTGGGCGAAAAATAAAAAAGTTCAGAACCCAAGTGACTCAGGCTCGGCGGCGGCATCGGTCAAAAAGATAGCGAAATATTGGGCAAAATCGAGAGAGTTTCAAGAAAGCATTCATTTCGAATGATTCACACGTATAATGTATATTTTATTACAGGCCTTTGTCAACGCCTAATTTTGCCTTCAACAATTTGTTGAAGTTTCCCAAAAAGGGCAAGGAATCTCGCTGGTTTCACACACGAGGCGACCTCTAAACTGTCTAATGGGTTCCCGGTTGTATTTTATGTATGTTTTTGTACAATACGCGAATTTCCAAATTGCTGTCTTTTTCTCAAAAAAAAAAAGACATTTTGTCATTTTTTTTCGCAACACAAAAAGATGTATTTGAAACAACATTGGTGTCGGCGAATGGGAAAAATAAATTTTTTATTTTTTCAATGTTTCGCTTCGTATGCGATTGATTCATCGCGGGGGTTTATGTGTGTAGTATTTTTTATACGAAAATTTTTGAGTTTTCTAGAAATAATCGCGGAAACTGGATTTTCTTGGTTGTTTTTTTTTTTCAAAATGACACAATATTGTCTGATGATGCAGAAAAAACAATGATAATTAATTCCAGCAATCAACGATTTAAAACATTTTCGAATTTTTCCTTGTAATTTAATTGATGTATTCCCTCAATTGAATGACATGAGAAAATTGATTTTAAGCCAAACCTCATTTTTTTAATTGTAAATCCACAATAATATCAATAAAGATTTTTTTCAAGGTTGTCTGAAGAAAACAGGATCGGATCCCAATATTGAGATCCCTGGATTTTTAAAGAACTTGAGTTGAATAAAAAAATATACCTTAATAATCATTTACGTAAATCTGTTTTCAAATCGTCGGCGTCGAAGCTTGCTCGGCAAATCCACTTCCATAGCATTGATGCCGATTCTTGAAACATATTCTGAATTTGAATTATTGCATTCGCAAAAAAAAAAGAAATGAGCACTCAATGTTGATTTACGGTGAGCTTGATTCGCAGGTTATTTGAAGTACGGTAACTCGAAATAAACATGTTTAAATTCAAATTTGAATTGGCGCCCCCCGAACGATTTGCTACTCGCTTTATGGTAATAAGTTAAAATAAAATCCTCAATATAGAAGCCTCGATGGCATTTCCGATATCAACTGCGCATCGCCAATCAGGCACATGTTGATCATTGAGATTCGGAGATCGCGCGAACCAGGGCTGTGCGGCAATGGAATTGCCGGATTGCCGAAATTTTGATTTTCGGCAATTTGATATCAAAAAAAAATCGGCGAAACAAAAATCAATGTCCATTGAATAATTTGCGATACCGTGAAAATGCGGAATTTATATTTCGAATTATTGTTAAAATCATTTAATAGCCGAAATTTTGATTTTCGGCAAATTGCCGAATTGCCGAAATTTCCGATTGCCGCGCAGCCCTGGTGCGAACGTCGAAGAACCTGAAATTCCGTCCAAATTTCGTCCCAAGGAAGAAAATGTCAGTGAATAGGAAAAAAATGTATAAAATAGTTGAATACTGGTCTCAGAATTTGTTGAGGAATGGATAATTGTGGGGCGCGCACTTGTAAGCTGAAAATCGGATCGACTAAGTACAGAGTAAGTTGATTCCGACAACTATCACATTATGAATTAGAAATTTGTTTCAGAAATTTAATTTAGATTGTTGAAAATTTTTAAAACAATTCCAAAAAAGCTAGAAATTCAATACATCGGACTAAAATTAGAATAGTCACAATAAAGTTAGTTCATCCTTGAATTTTTTATTCGAAATTTATAAAGTTTTTATTTTCAAAAAAGCATAGAACCCTCGAAATTTCGAGAATTTCCAAAAGTGTCAAATCTTATTCTTGAAGAAGCCGAAATGTCTGAAATTGCCAATTAAAAAACACTGGAATCCCTCAAATGAATCTTAAAAATCCCCAATCTCTTTCATTTGTAAAACGTGCCCAAATTTGGTGGGTGTTTTCTTATTGACGAACAATAGAAAGCGAATCTCGAGTTTGTGCAGCTCAACACGCCATTTGTTGGTTTACGTGATTCGAAATCAACAACGAAAGCACTTAAGCACTGTCGAACTCCAACGGGGGTGAGGGGGCAAGTGGAAGCTGTCGGAGGTGTGAAGCTACTTCAATACTGTACGCTTTTTTTTTCTTTTTTTTCTCGAATTGTTTTCACAGGCTCAATGCACCACACTTGACGCGAATTTACACAATGAACGCCAAACTGTGTTTTTTCGAAAGGAAATTGTGAAACTAAATATCTGACGCCATTTTGCAAAAGAGAAGAGTACTAATTAATATGTGGTACAAACACAATATTCTACGCAAAACTATACATATTTTACTTTTAAATTTTAAAATTAATTGTCAGATTTAAGACCCAGTGCAAAAGAAAAAAAGAAAAGAAAAGAAAAAGCGGCTACTAGAATTTTGCGGTGCAAGACCTTGTAGTTCGGTAGCCGCTTTTGTTGGACAAGACTATAAATCTCAAGAAATATTTGAAAAATTACAAGATAAAATTTAACATACGGTAATTAAATGCGCATGAAGCTTGTTAGACTAATCTCAGATATCCACGTTTTCCTTGGGAAACACGCAGATCGCCATTTTTCACGCAAAATTGAACAACCAATGGGACGCAAACCCATTGCACCATAGTCGACGGCAAACTGCACCACACAATACAATGGGCGACCTCATTCATACCATAAACCGCTAACTATATACTATACGTATAATCATCATAATAATACTTTGATCCCATTTTTTTCCTCGTCGCGCACCCACAATCCGCCGCGCGCATCCGTTGTGTTGTTAAGCAGGCCGTCTCGAGGCTCCGCCCCTTTCCACTATTTTCGCGTCCGGTCATTCCGGCCAGGTCGACCGTGTCCACTCGCAGCAAACAATTTCGGTTGCCCAGTTGCTTGATTTTTTTTTTGCGATTTCTCTCTCAATCTCTCACAAAAGCCTTTTGTGACTGTTTTTCGAGACACTTGAACTTTTCTTTTTTTTTCTCTCGACCCCCATTTTTCTGCTTAAATTGCTCCTAATTTGGGAATGTTTTGACCTATTTGGCGAGTTGCTTCAAACATAAAACATTTCCGAAAGGTGATTTCACGCAAATTTGCGGACATTCCGATTCTTTTTTTTTCAATAGCTCAATTTGCTGGTTTTAAAACAACCAATTCCTCTTTTTTAAAAGAAAATATTCTGCCTTAGCACCTGAAATCCCGATGTTTTATTTCAATAAAGTCTATTCATAAATTTTTAAAGGAGATCCATTCGGATTATATTTCTGTAGTTTTTCTTAATTTTTTTGACCACCCACAGGAAAACACTCGATTTTATTTCGTCGACATTCTACCCGATTTCGGCATACAAAAATTTGAAGTTACACAATTTTTCCTGCGGACGAAGATCGAGGTTAAGCATTTTTTGAAAAGATTCAAAAAAGCCTTTTAGTGAATAATTGAAAAAATTAAAATTAGTTGGCAATGTTCCTTTAAAGGAGCATTTATATATCATTTCGTCGGGCTTCTGAGGCGAATAAATATTGCGTGAAAATTGAATTTCAAAATTTCGACCAAGTGGTGTTGCTCATATTCAATGTTTCAAATTTATGCCGCCGGCATGGTTCGGGCGTTTCGTTTGGTGGACACTGGTCAGTTGGGCGGCGACAGGGTTTTCTTGCTAGGACCCGCTGAAACGAATACCGCCGAGAAATTGTTTGCTCAGCACAACGACACGAAACAGAAACTCGGTCGTCGGTCCTGTCGGTCTACCGCCTGGTCAGCGGCTCGCTCTCGAATAAACACCAAGACCTTCGACGAGCTCCAAATAAGGAGAGACACCAATGAACAAGTTCAATCAACACGTTGTCGCATTTTGTTGCACATTTTAGCCTACCGTACTTCTACAGTAATCGGTTTTGATATCAAGAGTCTCATTAAGAAAATTCGCCGTGTTATTCTCTATACTTCACATTTCACGTCTTTCCATGAAATTATTTTTTGCGAATTTTTCTGCAAACACCACACTCTACGAAATATCACACATGCACTTGATCTACAATACACCAAATTCGACGATATCTCGCGTATCTCAACCTTTTTTGTAAAAATTGATAAAAAAAAAACACCAAATTCTACGAAATATTACGTAGTTTCTCATTTTGTCGGTCGATAAAAACTGAAACAAATTGCAGATGAGAGAAATCTTGGGAATTTCTCTAATTTCGCTATGCTTTTCCCGGCTGACCGCCTACGATATCGAATGCAAATGGAAAAGTAATGTGTCAGGTAAGCGGGAGAAAAAAATTAAGAGGCGGCACTGAATGAAGGAAAAAAAAAGCGAAAAGACCAATTAGGGGGGGGGACCGTTCCGTCCATTTGACTCCAATTATGTGCGTCCGTAAATACATTAATTATACGCCCATTAAACTGTCCGCAGCACGCTTTTATTTTAAAGCAGTGCGAGAGAGAGAGACAAAAAACAACATTTATTGAGTGATGTCTCAAAACCAACACAAAACCGGGATAGAAGCGCTCAAGAGCTTTTACGCAAACATTATGTTTCGGGCTCGGCCAACTTGGGTTTGTTTTTTTTTCTCGCGCTGCTCAAATGCATGAAATCGAATCCGCTGGTGGGGTACGGTGGTTTTCGTGTCGAAACCACCTGTTGGTTTTGGTTAATTGAGCGCTTCATGTCTGGTTTCGGCCTAATCCGTGCGAAATGGAGACCTTATAAACACAAACAAACATGGTGTGGAGACAAAAGAAAGCGGATGTGTACATAATACTGTTTGGACGGCCATTTCGGCCCAGGTGCGCAATACCGAAAGATCGATTTTCTTGAAAAAAAATACAATAAGAATTAGAAAACTGTTTGGTGGTACTGTAGACAAGTGGTGCAAACACCGCCGCATTTTAATGCACCAAATTACTCAATTTTAGTTCAACTCAATTTTCAGCAATATTTTTCAATTTTTCAGACATTGAGGATGTCGCACACCACAAATATCAAGTACTGGAGGAATGCTTATTTTATAAATTGACAAATGAGGCCGATCGGATGCAGGGAAAAACGAATGCGCTCATGCTTCTGCCGCCGACAGTTGCTGGCGGTGAAACACTCGAAGTTCAAATTCTCGATGGATCAATTCGAGAGCTTTGGATGGTACGGGAGTAGAATAATTTTTTAACGTTTTACAATAATTTCTACTCAAAGAAATATTAAATCTAAAATTCTTAAACTATTTTAATTTTAGAACGAAATCTTCAAAGAGATGAATATCAACGGCTATTTGAAAGTGGTACGTGAAAATGGCATTAAAAATTCTAAAAATAATTGTTTCAAGTCCTGGAAAGATCGCCGCCTTCGCTGGAATCCAGAAGAATGGAAAACCGAGAATCTGAAAATCAAATCACTCGGCCGACTTTGGGTGCCGGATATCAATTCAGACAAGTGAGAAATTCGTCAACAAATTATCAGCAGCAAAAATATCCAAATTTAGGCATTCAACAGTGTCACAATCCGTCGATTATGTCACTTATAATGATCTCCAAACGAATTATAATGGAAATATTACCGCGAAATTGGAGTTTCGAATGCACGCACAATGTGAAATCGACTATACCGAATATCCAAATGTAAATTAAAAATATAATTAATTCCGAACACTGAAATATTGTAGGATCGAAAACATTGCTGTTTCAATCTTCAATCGTCTCTGTATAAAAGATATATTAAGTATTTCTTAGAGCACGAGGACGGAAGTGGTAAGCGTTTTTTTTTAAATTTTTCTATCAAGGACCATACTAATTTTTTTTGGCAAAAATGAGAACTATATCTATAATTTCTAGAATAACTCAAAATAATACAAATTTAAACATCAATTCTCAATTTTTATTAGAAATATTACAAATTCGAGTTGTTCCTGGCTAGGGTCCAAGCAGAATCGTTTCAAAATTCGAATTTATACAATTTTATCATTTTCACATCAAACAAAAAATAAAAAATTTGAGATATGCTTAAAACCGATGCTCTTCGCACCAACTGGCACATTGACAGAAGTCAGTCATGGATTCTAAAAGGCACACAAGATGGTGATAATCGGTGAGACCCAAAAAAACACAGCAAGCGGCGAATTTTATGCAAAATTTAATTTTAGCGCTGAAAAACTTGAAGTGTGCATCGGAGTTTACCGTAAATCAACAACATTGGCTCTTGAATTGTCGCTTCCTGTCCTCATTTCGGCTCTTATTCTGCTATTGGCTCCATTCTTCGGAAAGTTCAATCAACAGGTGGGAAATTTTAGAGGGGAGGGGGGACTAAAAATTCATCAGAATCTCGAGAAAAAAAGATAGCAAAATGAGCATTCATTTAATTTTCAGCTCAATCCTCAAAAATTGCAAATTTACAGATCTACGTGAAAATGTTCGCGCTTCTCCTCCAATTCATGAGCTTCGAATTTTTATCCGATAAGACGCCGCAAGTCGGCTTCGGTGACACGATTCCGAAAATTTGTAAGTTGATTTCTATCAGTCGACATTTATCGAGGAATTCTCGTAGATGTTTTCTACGCATTCACCATCGGAATGACGGTTCTCAGCCTCATCGCGACTGTCATGATCGCAGCGATGAGTCGAGTCAAGAGAAAGGTTCCGCCAGGTACTGGTCGAGTCTAGCTAGTCTTTGACTCAATTCCTCGATTCAGCGCATCGTTACACACTTCTTTCGTCGGTTCTCAATGCGAATTTGTGCTGTGGCTCCGAGGAAGAGCCGGTTACTGATGGAACATCGTCAAAGGTGAGAAAACGCAAAATTTGAAAAAAAAATTCGAAAAGTCGCGATTTTTCACAAAAAGGGAAGTGGTCGTGGCCGAAAAGTGGGGAAACCCAAGTCCACAAAAAAATATTTCAACAAATTGTATATGTATTAACGGATTGTAGAAATGGCGATGAAAAAGAGATTTTTGGCGAAACAGAGGTGGAAACGGTGTTTGAGAAAGTGTGTGATTTTGAGATACCGAGACATTTCTTTTCACCGCCGTTTCTACAACACGATTCTTTTTTAAACCTAATATAAACAAAAAATATTTTTAGATTTTAAATGTCGATTCTTGAAATTATTATTATTATTGTTATTATTATTATTATAAGTTTGAAATTTCTCTCCAAAACCCTCTAAACCAAAAGCATTTTGCCAGGTCCGGGAATTTTTTCGCAGTGAAAGGGGCAGAGAGAGAAAACAGAAGAAATGCTCCAAACTACAAACAAAAAGAAAAAATTCTTTATTCACATCATTTCTATTGACTTCTGGTCTCGTCGATCGCGGCCAAAAGTAAACGATTTTTATTTCGACTCAAACATTGAAAAAATTTCGCAATTACTCGAAAATGTTCCCCTAAAAGTCAAAATTGGTCCCCTCAAAGGAAAAAATGTTTGTTTTTTGGGTTGTTGTGTGTGTGTGTTTTTCGTGGCCTCGCCGCCCCACCCGCAGCACACAATTATCTCAAACCACGCCCCTCCCACTTTGAGATGTTCGCGAAGGTTCGAGAAAATGCGGCGGCGGCCAATCGAAAGAGGCAGCACACTTACATAAATGGTAGCGTTAAGGAAAAAAGTGAGGAGAGAAGGCAAGCAAAAGAAGACCAACGGGATAAAGAATTGAGAAATCGACGAAAGGTCAAACATACATTTGTTGTTTTTTTTTTTTGATCGGCAAACAATATTACCAATTTCGTATCGAAAAATGGTTCTTGGAAATCGAGGAAAACAATTTTTTAATAATTTCCCAATTGTTTTTCTTCAAAACCAAAAAGGAGTAAAAACAGAATAATGCGGACTGTAAAAAAAACGATGATCTGGTTTTTTCGACCACGGCAGCCATATTTCAAAAATCAAATTGAATAGAGCAGACAAATTTGTTATGATTGAAATTTTTCGTCTCAAAATCGTGATCTAGTGTGAAACTCGTTGAAAATTCGAGTAACCATTAAAGGCACATGCAATAATAATGTCGATTCCCTTGCCAAGATCATTCAAATTTTTCGCAATAACTCCCAGAAAATTCCATTTTTTGTTAAAATCTCAACAACAAAAAATATTGTGTTTAATCTACGAGATAACTAGTCTTCGCCCTCATTCGACCCTGCTGCCCCAATTCTCAAAAAAAAATCGAAGTATACCTCTAATTTCAAGATGTCCCAGGACGCAACATCGGATTGGCTTCAAATTCACACCGCCCTCAACAACATCGCTTCAATCCTTCTAATCATCATCTACATCATCGGCGCAGTCGCCATCGCCTTCTAAAAAGAGAGACAGACCGAAAGTAATAATAATAATATGATTATATGTATAATATGTACACACCCTCTTATTATCCACAGTTTATTTTCTCTCCAAGTCAAAACCAAAAAAATGGAATATGCCAAAAAATAAATATTAAATTACTACCGGAGCTCTCTGACAATACAGAAAGGTGGGCTCTATTCAAAATGAAAAAAAAGAACAGTAAATTTTACAGCTATCAATTTCTTTTCGTGTGGGGAAAACACCAAAAAAGAAAGGGAAAAATTAATAATAGGCAATAATAACATAAAAAACCAAAGTTTTTTTTTGGAAAATGAGTGAGAGAGAGAAAATTAAATGGATATCGACCCAAACAATCGGGCATTTCGCCAGGATGTTGCTTGTTGTTTGTGGAGTGGAAATGGGGGACATTTTGAGTTTTGAGGAGATCTTTCATTTTACTCAAAAAAAAATTCGGTGAACAAGAATTCTGTGCTAAAAAGCGGCTATATAAAAATAGAACATTAAGAGACAGAGAGAGAGAGATGGAGATAGAGAACCATAACGAAGTACACCGAATTTTCGAAACAAAAGGGACAGATGATGGAACAGTGTCGAAGAATAATTAATGTTGGGCGTTCTCAAGGAAAACGGGTCTCGTCGCGAACCCCCATGAAAATGTGGAGAAAACTTAATCCAAAATTCACAAAATCGTCTCCAAAAATTAACAAAATTCAGGAATTCACAACCAAGACCCATCTGTCCCCGGAACAAGCGATGTGCTCGCCAATTCCTCGAGAATACAAGAAACCGGAAACACAAATCGCAAAACGGAACAGAGAAGTTAATGACAGGAGACAGAAAAGTAAAAAAAAAACGAGGGTAAAAGTGTACAATCTCTCAAAATCAATTGAGAAAATGTGTTGGTGGCGGTGTTGGTCGTGATGGTGTCGGGTGTGGGAAATCCTTGGTGATGTGATGGTGAAATACATTAAAAATGAGAAAAAAAATCACCAAGAATATAAGAGAGAGAGAGAAAATAATGAGAAAAAAGAACACCAGCAATGCAGAGGATTTTGTACACGCATTTTTCGAAAACAAGACAAAAATATTAATCAGGGCGGAAAGGTGGAGAGGATTATCAAAATCGCCGCCATCCCAAACAAGAAACAAAAAAGGAGAACTGTACACGTTTCGGGTGGGGTTTTGGGGACAGATGAACAATACACACTATTTACAATGTTTTTTTTTTGATGCGCGCGCAATATTTCAAAGGTAGATCGAAAAACAAGAAAAAAAATTTCGATGGTCCCCAAGAAAAAAGACACGACAACTTTTTCTTCATTTTCGTCGTGTTGAGAATGAGATGTAGACAAGTGTAACAACAAAACAAGATAAATTTGGTCAAAATACAATACAGAAATGCCACCGCATGACAGTTTTAAAAAGCGCATGAAATGCACCGCTGCCACATGGTGACCTACACTTATAAATTAATATTAGCTTAGCGAAGTTCTTTTCTGAATGAATTAGCTAAACGGCACGAATTGCTGCTCTATAACAAAACTGGATGGGTAGGTGGGGGGTTCTATGCACAATTTGTGAGAAGTTTTTTTGCTATCATCAATCTACGCCTGAGTGCCGACACGATGGATCGGCTGCGCGCCGGTGATGTTGGCTGGCGTCGCCGTCGGCTCGCCGATCGAGCTGCTCTTCGATGGAATTGATGAGGAGCCAAACGAGCCGACGGTGTCGTCCTCAGTCGTCTGGCGAGGCGTCATTTGTACAGAGTTGAGCACTTCTGTAAAGATTTCAAATTTCAACAAAAATTTTTTGCTATAGCAGAATCCTACCAATGTTGCCTCCACCAAAGAGTTGAAGCGGCGGTTGTTGAGTGCTCGCGCGGCCAAAATAGATCGGTGGCAAATGAGTGGGCTTCGATTGCGGCGAGAAGATGCTATACGATCCGCTATCATTCATCTTATCGCTCAAGTCGAGCATCGACGTCGGCGGCGTCGTCGGCGAGGCGCGGCTTATTGGCGGCGTGAACTCGCCGGTTGGCGAAGCTTTGACAATGTTCGTCGCAGACGAGAGCTTTCGAGCGAATCCCGAACCAAACGGCTCGCCACCAACAAACAGCTGTGAGCCATCGAACTCGGCATTCTCATTGATCTTGAGCTGATCCATGCGCGCCGAGAGACGCGCGCGATTGATCATGTTGAAGTGCTCGGACATCTGCTGAACGTCGCGAGCCGAATCCTTGCGATTTATCAGATTCGATGGCGTCTGGAGAATGGTCGACGGCGCCGATTGCTGCTGGATCCACGGATGCGCGAGGATCTGATCAGCGCTATATCTGCAAAAACCGATCATCATGAAGTCTTAAAAAAAGTGTTCGAAAGTCTACAAGCCGTAACCCAACGTGAATTCGAATCAAAGCTCGTTTAACTCTCAAATTTCTAATTTCTCCTCCGTTTCCGGACTACACTGACGATTCGGCGCACAATGAGTAGGATATGAAGGAATCGATGCAGTGGTCTCGCACGCTCAACCCAAACACACAACCAACTTCGCATTGAAAGCACTGTGCGTCGAGAGGGTGCGAGGCGGTTAGGTAGTCGGAAAGAAAAAGAAACCCGTCAGACGAACCTTTCAGTCGGGCAGCGTTTGAGGAGATTCGAGACAAGATCCTTCGCCTCGTCGGAAATCATGTCCCATTCCTCCTCGGGAAACGTGTAGTGACCGGCCTGTATGCGCTGGAACAGAACCTGTTGGCAGTCGTCGCACGGCGAACCATCGGACCATCTGAAACAATTCACCAACATAGACGGAAAAGAGTTCGATTGAAATGCTCACCCGCAGTTCTCATCGTCGCATTCACCTTGAAACGGCGCATAACCGGCAAGCATAATGTACAAAATGACGCCCAGACTCCAAGTGTCGCACTTCTTGTCGTACTTGAGACAGTTGTCGCTGCTGAACGCATCGACGACTTCCGGCGCCATGAATTCGGCGGATCCGACTGGCGAGGCGAGATCCGGCTCCGACGCCACCTGGCTCAACGGACGATCGTGACGATCATCGATGCGTCGTTGACTCGCCAAATCGAGATCGCACAATTTCACCGGCGAGACGTGATCGGGATCGGTACAGAGCACGTTCTCCGGCTTCACGTCTCGATGCGCTATTCCGCGATCATGCATAAACTTGAGCGCCGACGCGATATCCTTCGTCACACGACGCGCCTCCTCCTCGGTGAAATAGCCGCGTTGAAGAATGTGCTGAAGCAGCGGACCGCCTCGCATCTTCTCCATCACCAGATAGAAGTTGGAGTCATCCTCGAACCACTGAAAACGCCTCTTGAAGAAATGTCAAAAAGGAAAGACGCGAATGCTCACATCAACGAGTTGGACAATGTTGGGATGGTTCTTGCACGTGTTGAAAATGTTAACCTCGCGAAGGATGCGCTTCCTCGAGTGCGTTTCGCCGTCCTTGTCGATGATCTTAACAGCATACTCGACGTTGGTCGCGTTGTTCGTGCACGTCGTCACACTACCGTACGCGCCGCTTCCGAGATGCTCGTTCGTCAACTTGTAAAAGTCTAAAATTTAAAAATTAGTGGCGTTTCAAAATTTTTTCCGGTTAAATTCAGCAAATCCCCATTGCTTATCAAATCAACGCCCGAAAAAGAAATTAAGCGACCCCCTAGTTCGCGAGGCAGATAAAATCGATCGCGCCACCGCCGCCGCCGACTGTAAACATCGTTTAAAATCAATATTTGCAAGCGTTCAAACGCGATGTAAAAATTCGATTCGCCTCAAGTTACGTGCCGATTTAAGATGACGATAATACAACAAATCTCAATACCAATATTCTATTGCATATGCCAGGTGTTCAATTCAAGGTCGACCACAACACGGCCTTAAACATATACATACATCATGCCTCGAATGAGAGGCTTATTGAGCAAATATCAACATAGTTTTTTTTGCGGTTCGGCGTGTTTATTTTATGGCGGCAGCCAAAACAAAAATTGGCATCAATAAGAAGGGAAAAAAAGAACAATAACAACAAACGAACCGAAGAATCCGCATTTCGGCACGTTCTTGCGTTTCGGGGTTCGCGGCACCCGACGAGTTCCTCCCCCGAGCGGCACGAGCTCCGACACCGGCTCATCCTCATCTTCAACGAATTCGTCTGAAACACAAAAATTAGACATTGTGTCAACAAAAAAATCGATGAATCGAACCATTGAGATGATCATCATCATCATCCATTTCGAATTCGCCGCCGAAGAAGCGCTCCGTGTCGCGGCCCGTATAAGTTGGTCTAGAAATTTCAAAAATGAGTTATTCTTTACTTTTTAAATAAAAATTATTGCTGTTGTTTACATTTCAGTCAAATAATAAATGTCACGTATTAAAAAAATGTGAATTTTGGCTAAATATTCTGTTCAACAAATTTGTTGATAACGTGTATTTCAAAATAGTCAGTATTTTGAAATATCAACCAAAATGCTTCAATTTCGGTTTGGAAACTGTGATTTTCAAAAAAAAAAGAATATCCGTTCAAATTCAAATTTACGGTTAAAACTTGCTCAAGTTCTTTCACTCGCTCATTTACTCAACAATACCAGACCACGGGGCGCGAGAAATCAACAAAAAAAAACAAACACACACTTATCATAAAAACTTCGTGTTTACCTCGACATGTTCTCGAAGCTTCCATTGGACGATAGGTCGCTGTCGCGTCTCGTCAGCATATTACCCCGAATGAGCTCACCGCCGCCGACCATATCGTTGCCGTCAAGTGGATGGTGATGTTGGTGGCCGAACGCCGAATCTGCAATTAAAATCTACATTATTTCTTTTTCGGGCGACCGCAAAGGACACAATAGACAACATAAAATCAATTGGGAGGCAAAAAAAATTTTGTATTCGGAATATTTGCGTCAACATGAATAAAATAATAGGCGCGAAATGTCATGTGCGCTGTGTTTTATGGGCATTCTGCCAAATTGTGATACATTTCGCTCTCTTGGCGCCCTCCACACGATTTCTATTCCATTCGCCTTTTTTGTGTTCAAACCCTCTCCATTGGTCTCTAGCATCGAGCGCGAGCGCGCGCGCGCGATGCGCGGAAAATACCACGTGAGAACACCGATATTTATCGCCCAGCATCACATCATCATAAAACTCAAAAAAGAAAAACGATTTTTGTACGAACAAATGAGTCAGCGCGGTTTTGATTCATATTGGTGTATGATCTCAAAATTTCGAGAAAAATTGATAGGACCACAGAACATCCTTTGAAAGATCTTCGACATAATAATCAATTGGACTAATTCATGAAGTGCCGAGAATGATGATGATTAGATTACTCTTACATTTTTCTATTTAAAACTAAACATTTAGAAGCCTATAAAAGTCAATTTTTGATTTTTACACGTCAAATATGCAAATCACGTTGTTTATAGAAACATATCGCAAAAAATGCAAATAATATTCAAAATCAAATATCTGTAAGCTATTCAAATATTTAAACTTAATCAAAAATTTGAGGAAAATCGACTTGATGACCAAAATCTGTTCGATACGAAAAAGTCATACGCCACGTCATTCGTCCTCTAATAATAATAATAATAATAGGACTCCTAATCCCCGGGTTGCCGACGACGCCCAATTGTTGCCACTCGGTCTCCAAAGTGTATAGACTCAAAATGACCGGAGCGGGTCAAACGAAACAACATCTGGCTGGCTCGTAAAACGTCTCTCTCGCACGCTAGCTTACGATCGCGCGCGCGCTCGTGTCAAACACAGCCGGCCCCAAAGTCGTGGTCCTCCAGAAACGAAACCGCCGCCGACGATACTAATAAAACATTTGGGGCGTTTCGGATTTACCTAATTATCGAACATAAATCGGGTGTCCGTCAATTTATGTTCTCGTCGCACAACAAAAATGTTTTTCAAGGGGGCGTGTGAGCACAAGTGAAAGGAAATTGACCAAGAACGCACGCATTTTTTTTTGGAGCAGAAAACGAAATTCGTAAACAATTCTCCTTTTTGCTCCTGCTTCTAACGCATCGTCTTAAACAGTAAAAGGTCAAAATCGAAATAAGGGAAAAGCTGCAAACAACGACTCCAGCGAAATCTCGTTTCAACGCGAAAACGCGAGTCTAATCTCGCGAAACAATCTCGTCAAAAAAAAATTGGCAAAAGCCGACAACACGGGAAAATCGATCGAGCTACAGTAATACAAGACCGCGAGAGTCTTGGCTGATGCAATTTCGTAAACAATACACAAAAGCGCGACTGGTGAGGAGAAGAAAGCAAACGAGAAGAGAGAAAGACAAAAAAACTCACTGGTGGTCTTGTTGGTGACACCCATTGGTGCAACCTGATGGTGCGAGAACGCACCGTTTGGCGATGGTGGGTAGCCGGCGTGGAGAATGGTCATACTTTGATGGATGAACGGCAGAATTTTGACGACACGACGTTACTTGTGTTTTTTGGTGAGAGGCTGGATGGAAGACAGAAGTCGAAAGGACGTCGAATCCTTGGGAATCCTGAGATCGTCAACCAAAAAATTGAACGCACAGAGACACACACGCACACTTCTCACAGGGGCGTACGCACGCTACTGTGAAGGCGAGCGGATGGGGCCTTCGCCTGGTAGGCGGTACTCGCCGCCTCTACGTCTCTAGCACCATCACCAGCGCACATCGCGCGATGATCGGCCTTCTCTGCCTCTCACCCACCAAGGCAGACGGAGAAGGAGCGTTTTTGGCTTCTAGCATGTTCGCGCGCCGCGCTCACGTGAGAGTGTGCGCGAGCGCCCAAAATGGCGCGACGGCAGCACGATAGAAATGAAGGGGGAAAAAACAACTCATCATAAACAGCGCGCATGTTGCATGCTGGTGTGAACATTGAGTGCCCAAAAATAGGCATTGCCTAATTAGGAGAGTGGAGGAGGGATTACGATTATCGACGAAAATCCACGAATCACGCCTACACATTTGAATTGGAAAAAAGGAAACAGAAAACAATCTGCACTCGAAAAAAAAAACGAGGCTTGCATTTCTAATCTTCTAAGAGATGATCGACCACCCATATTATAAATAGCGCAAAATAACAAAAATATGCTATAAATTGTCGCTAAACAAAGCGCTTCTTTTTCAAACTTTCGAGAACCTTCTCGCATATTCTTTCCATTGTCCCGTGCAACGGGTCACCGCAGGTCAAGCCATCGCATAAAAAACTGATGGATGGTTGGCTGGCTGGCTCAGCGCGCGTTTAATGACCAATACCAAACAAATGATGGCCGATGATGTCATCGAAGGGTACCAAAACCAGAACACTTATATTATATATCATTGCATATCCCTCAACCGTTACAAACAACCAGCCAGAGCTCTTCCTGTTGTATCTAGCTTTTAACACACACACATACACAATTTTTCTTCCCATGATCGACAAACACGTGCATGTTTACCACAACTTCTTGAAACTCTATTTGATGTTCTTTCATCATTCAATTCGATTCCTGCGCCGGAATACTCAATAATTATCACGTATATCGCTATCAATCAGCCAAACCAACGATTACGATCGAATCGAACGCTTGCAACAAGAAAAAACAATTTTTGACAGAGAACCATGTCAAATCGAATTACATCCGGTTATGTAAGACATCTGGAGCAAGATGAAAAATAAGAAGAAGAAGAAGACGAGGCAAAAAACTGCCAAAGAGTGCCCCCTTTTTTTGAGCCTTTGAGAGCTCCTCCCATGGCAAGGGTGGAAAAACGAGCCGGACGAAGAGGGGAAGGACGAGAAAAAAAAAACTGCAGTGAACATGCAAACAACAACTATTTCTTCTACCAAGACCAGGAATGGCAAGTGGTTCGAAGACCACAAAACCGCAATAATCATGCGCTTTTAAATTATCATAGTAAATATTTCAAAACTTAAAACCAGCTTACCAATTCGCAAAAGTTAATAATATAAGGAAATGCCGCTTTCAATAATAATAAAATGTAATAATAATGATAATAATAATAATAAATATCTGACGTCGAATCTAACACATTTGTGTTTTTTTTTTGTTTATTTGTATTATTTAATTGTTTTTTTTTTTGAAAAAAGTGCGACATTCGCACCTTAACAAAATCAACAATGCATTGTCAAACCACAGTACCCGACAGTTACTGTAGATGGGTGTCCGCAAACACCGAATTGCATCGTATTTATTCTCGGCTTTTCGCACAACTCGATTGATCAACAACTTTTCTTTCGATCGCGACAAATATCAAATGTTCAAAATCAGTCGGGCGCGCGCGCGAGTAAGCGTCCGGCAATATTTGGGCAAGCGCAACGATTGGCGAGAGCGCAAACCGCAACGGTTTTTGAATACAAAAATAAACATATCGAACTCGAATAGGAGACGGATAGCAGTCTGACGGCAACTCGCTGGGCCATCAGGGGAGCAAAATGAATCAAATTATGCAAATCCCAAATTTGAACAACATCATATGATTGTGCACAAAAAATTGTGTTTCATGTGCATTTCCGGCAACTACAGTAACCTTGAACAGCAGCGCATCACAAAAAATCTTTGGTTTTTTCATTTCATTGAGTGTTGGCGGCGAAGAAAAAAAAAGAGTCATATGACAAGTTGGTCGGTTGAAAAAAATGAGTAAATCTTTGAACGATTTAAAAAGATTTGGAAAAATTGCTTATAATAGAGGTTCCTACGATTCTACACATATCCAGCAGAAAATCTTACAAACATTTTTTCTAAAAGTGCTTCAATCGATATGGAAATTTCACTTAAAGTTAAAAATAATTTTAAAATGCAAAATACATTTAAAATTATTCGCCGTTTCGTATTTTTAAAAGCTAGTTTGAAGTAAAAAGTTTCATGTCATTTGATGCGTTACTGTAGAAATTTTCTTGCTGCGGACATTTCAAATGCGAATAATTAACTTCTATACCATCTTCGAACAACATAACGGGTTTCCCAAATCGCGCTCAATCATCAAATCAGAATTATGTCCGTCGATGATGATGATCCACATCATCCAAAGGTCATCACCATCACCCCACCAAAGCCTTGTTACTGGTGAAGACGCGAATAAGATGAGCGCTTCGAAATCGCCACCGTCGGCGCGTCTCACATGACTGTTGTTGTGTGTTGTTGCAGCAAGCAGCAACAGCAAGCAGCAGGTCAGTCAGATAGGCAGACAGGCGAAAGAACGAAAACGCAGAAGGAGGCGCGAATCGAGGGAATCGCGAAACCCCCGACCGAGAAGAACCCACTCGTCCATTTTCGATTCGATGGCGAGGGAGGAGGGATTTTCGCACAATTCGCGACGGCGCGGCCGCAGCCGCTGGATCACAACACTCACCTACTATGCATTGTGTTCGTTTCGCATTCTATTCTGATGCTGCAGCTGCAGTGGACGGACGCAATAATGCGTTGCAAAATGTGGAAACAATCGATTACAACAATGCGAACAATTCGGAATAATGCAGATATTGGGGTTTGGTGTTGCTTTTTCATCATGGAAACTCACACCATATCTTCATTTAATCAAATTTCTGAAGTCATAGGATCTCAAAACTTCGTTGTTGACATCTACAAACTCTCTCTTTTAAAAAACAAAAAGCACGAATTTCACAGTTTCAACTAGTGTTACAATATGCTAAAGTTGTCGCATTACTATTCGCGCAGGTGATATAACATTTACTATATCTGATCTCATACGAAATAGTGCTACAATACCTGAAATACTTCAACTGAGCATTTGGTATACTATCCCTCCGCAAACCTACAAAAATCCAAATCCATCATCTGTTAATAAAATAAAATTTAAGTAAGTCCGCCATATTTGAAGTACATTTGCGTGGGGGTTGCGGCTTCTCAATAACTATTTCCGTTCCAAAAATATGTCCTTTCCGTTCCGCAAAAAAATACAAGTTGTACACATCATGATAAACGGCATATTTTGCCCACGTTCCAAACATGTTTCTTCCGGTTAAAACATTTTGAGCGTATAGAGATGTGTGTGTGTGTGCCATTTTTAGTCAATACCGTCAGGTGACACCCAATCGCGATCGCTTATCAATTCCGTGCGATACCAAAAATCATCCGAAAAGAAACAAAATAAATATTTTCAAAAATTTTGCCAATACCCCCAAAAATGGGTATATATGTTTTAATCATAAAACTGTTGACATGCTTATCACCAATCGTAATACTGGTCACTTTTTTTTGATAAACGATTAACTAATGCCACTGATAAACTGTTTGAGGGCAAATAATAATGGCGCGACACTAATTTGGGGATCATTTTCGAAAGAACTCTCCAGAATAGCGGAAAAGATTGAACAAATTTTTCGATTTCAGAAGCGTGTTTTAGGCAACGATAACAAATTTGTGGATCTTTAAAGGTGCATATGAGAACATAAAAACATATGCTCGCATTGAGAATTTATTTCAAATTTTTTAGTTTCCGCGAGGATTTCGTGCGAAAATATGAATATTTTACGACAGATTGAAAAACCAATTTATGCGAATATTCCAAAATTAAAAAAAAACTTTGTCTTCGGGGATTTATTTTCTCCATATCTACCTTCTACTAACTACTACTGTTTAAAAGACGCATCACTAGCCAAAATTACAATAACCAGAGACCTAAATACATACGTGCTCCACCTCTAAGTGAATTCAAATTCCAAAGGAACTCATGTGATCCAATTGAACTTTCCTTATCGGCCGATAATTGTTTGAAACAATCGCCATGCCATATTGTCTAGAAGACAATAACCAGCCAGAAACGGACAAAAATAATTTAATAAATGATAAGGAGAGAGTTGGGTGCCAAATAATGAAACGATGCACCTACCGTAATGCTCAAACGTGCCAGCGACTTTTCGCACAATCGGAGCTTCATCATCCTCTAGAAAGAACATCGTTGTTTGGTTGAAATTAGTAGCAGATGGTTTATTTATTGATTCGGTTGAGTTGTTCTTATTGGGCTTAATTCGCAGCAAGTCTGAAATTTAAAATCTAGAATTTCACTGTATATATGTATAAGATATATAAATACATGAGTTTATACAAAAAATTCAATTTAAAATTTCAGCTAATGTCAGTGCATTCGGCGGTTCAAACTCGAGAAAATTATTGGCGACCGCCTTTTTTACAAACTCCAAAAAATGCTGAGTTGATTGATTTATTTACGCGAATATTCAAACAATTTTAGTGTATTCGAATTACCGCGGGTCGTCGCCATTTTTAATTGGAAAATTGTTGACATATGAAAAGAAGAGAACGGAAAATTATATAGATTTATAATGAAAAATGAAATGAGATTTCTGGTGATCGATTCGCTACTAAACCCGAAACATAGCAATCTAATACCATAAATAGTAAAAAATAGCGAAATGGCGCCTTTAAAGTGCCAAAAAGCTACTTTTTTTTTTAAATAAAACATTAAAAACTGGGGAAATTCGTCATTTTAAGAAACCAAACGAGACAATCGAAACAATAAAATGCAAAACGTGTGAATCTTTTTCAAATGCGTTGAGCGGGGCGGTACTGTAAGGCTCTCAATGCGAAAAGCTAGACAATGGAGAGGTGAGGCACAAAAATCAAGGTATAGCGAAGAAAGCGTAGAGAAGGCAGTTGGCAAAACAGAAATATGTAATAATCGATCAGTTTTTTCAACTGGCTGAATCTTGCCAGTAATTCTGCTCGTACTAGAATATTTTTTTTACATATTCGGAAGCGTTTGTGGTATAACTTATTAGAAACCAATTTAGGTTTTATTGGAATCCCTACGATTTTCATGCTAAAAATGAGGAACACGTTTTTAAAGAACAAATACAGCAAAATAAAATTACTATTTTTGATGCATTAAAATTTTTTCTACAGTCTCCTATAAAAATGGATCGATTCGTCGCAGTAAATCAATCAAAGGGAAATGGAACCTCTAGTTTTCTAGATCTCATGCCAATTAGCGATGAGTCACTCATCGCAAGAAAACCGCTTTACAAAATCTTTCGAGTCTCGACGCGAACGAAAAGTAATCATCATTATTTTCGTCAAAACGCTAGTAGTCAAGCACCAGCTTCCTTCTCATCACCATCGCAAAGTGACATCATTTAAACTATAGTGAGGCGAGTTAAACGAAAATCTACCTGGTTACTGGCAACGAGATGTTACAGTATTGCCACAAGCGAACGTCTCCAATTTCCCTGATTTTGTTGTTTCCTGGAACCAGAAAAAATCAACCAAAAATGGAGTGAAAGCAAATGAAAAAAAATGATAAGATGGACAATTTTCTGTACAGACGAGGTTGAGGAGGAATGAGAAGAGAAGAAGATAGGTTTGCGGCGGCTCACCGGTCGGGTGCTGCGAGACACGATCGCGGTCATTAATTTTGGAGGCAAAATGGAAGGGGGGACACTGAATTGGCGGCGACGGCGACGAAAAACGTGTGACACGATTGGAAGTATGATCACTTTACTATCGCGTCGTAGTAGACAATCAAGAGAAAAATGACGCAACACGATTCAAAACGATAAATCACGTAAATATAGGTGTGACATGTGAAATTTTAGAAGCAAAATTCGTCAGTTCTTAATAGGTATTCAAAATTCCCAAAAACTTGACAAAAAAATATATAAATTTTTGAACTGAAACGTGAAGAGATTAAAGAGAAGCCCATCACTTACGTTTTACAAAATAAAATAGAAATTGATGAATATAAGTGTACTTTGAAAATTGGACATTTAAAAATATCATGTTTCAAAAAAAAAATGGAAAGCGACTGTTCATATCGGCGCAACGCGGGTGAGACTGGCCAATGTGCACTATCGCCAACCTGCACCCTCCTTCGCACCAAATGGGCGGAGTCTTCACCAATTGTTGTGGGCGTTCAATTCAAATTTTACGCGCCCGAAATTTCGCGAAAATTCTTAATTTTTAAATAAACCAAAAAATCTAACAGCCGTCAGAAGCTTGTGGCTCAAGTTTCATGAGTGTTCTAAAATTGATAACTTTTGTTTTCCGATCGAAAACAAAACTGATAAAAATATGTAATTGATATTGAGAATCTGGTTTAAATTATAATATAATTTTTTGAAAAAAAAAAACACTTACTTTTCGCAATTCTAGCGATAATTGTAAACAGTAACCCTACTTGAATTCTCACGTCGCGAAAATATTGATATTTACTTTTTAAATACGAAAGAAAATGCGTTTCAATTACAAAAAAAAAATGGAGGAAAAAACCAAAGGGATCATTGAAACATTCATACATTGTCGAAAATAACATTTTATTGCAATACAAAAAACCTCCCACAAACAAAATTCAACGGATTACGAAATTTGCACCGCGCTCGGCATAAGCCAATGTGAAATGGGATCAAAATGAATTTAAGAGAGCAATGGAACGAGATGGGACAACTGTGCCCCCAACCCCCCATGCACGCAGACTACTGCTCGGATCACATGGGACCACTGCAGCAAATCGCACCGTTGTGCTATAGTTAGCACGTGTTGAAATGTGCCGTATTATGAAACGTGCAATTTTCCCCCTTAATAAGGATAAGGCCAATCCGTACGATTCGATGGGAATAGGACTATGCTATTGTGCTGGATTAGGGCTTAAATGCACAATTCCTTATTACGTATTTAAATTTATAATGAGATGATTGTTCACTAGCTATAATTTCAAGATTCCGATATAAAGATGTCGCCGCGAAATTCAAATCATATAGACCACGCCTACTAATGGACGAGTTCAAAGATCAAACGGCCAAAATTTGAAAATGCATTTCGTCCCAAGATTTATATTAAAAAATAACCTACAGCCAAAAAAGCTTGACTTTTTTTGGAATAAAAAATTTTTGTTTACAATTATCAGTTCATACTATACACTCAAAGTTCAAAAACCCAACAAGAAAGATTTTAATTTTGCGTTTTATCTTATCTATCCCACTCAAAGGCATCGAACGATATTACATTTTCCGAAAAAACGAAGCGAATGGCAGACAAATCTCTGCCTAATTATTATCTCACAATTCGATCGGATCACATGTTGGTTTCGTTCAATTTAAAGGTCATATGACTCCGCCCCATTCTGACGACCAGACATGATGCGAAGACGATCGATGTCGTTTGGCACATGTTTACCTGACCTAAATTTTTTTGAAAAAAAATTAAAACAGACTGATGAGAAAAATTATTTGTGCGCCTAAAGGGCAGACAAATAAAAATGGATGGTTTGAAACGTTTTCCATCAATAACACCACTTTTTGAACGCTTAGCAAATAGTCAAAGTGCCTAAGCCTCAAACAAAAAAAAAGAGAGATGATGATTTGCCGTGTGATCCAACGCGGAAAAAAGCTCAAATACAGTCGAGGACCAAACTCAACAATATTCACAATTTACTCATACATATTTAATTATCGCATTTGCTGCGTTCATCGTATCGGTATGAAAATCTCTTCGACGCTCTGAAAATATAGAGAATTGTTTTCAAAATCATGAAGTTTGATTAAACAGCGCCTAGGCGTAGCGTTAGTTTTTTCTCAAACAAAATATCATGAGCATGAAAATTTATATTGCACAAATATGACACTCGTAGCATTATACGCATATTTGAAGCAATAAATAGATAGCGCAAAACGCGTTACAATTTATACTCCAAAATGCAAATATTACAAGTTCTTAAGTTGTGCATCAAAATAATTTTAGAATGAGAAAAACAAATTACCGTTTCTGGAATATCCTTGAACAATCGCATTGTGCCCCTGATCACGTTTTACTGAAATCATAACTCATAATGGACCGAAATTCAAGGTCGCATTTTGTGTGGAAAACAATCCTGTCATTTTATTGTGTGCCTCGTTAAAAAGAAATGAAAAACTCGCAACCTTCGCGCGGCCTCAGAAGTTTTTCTATGCAAAAAAATTCAAGGCTGTTTCATTCTATTGCACAAGTATGACACTCACGACGACATTCATAACTGAACCATATAACTTCAAAACAAAACGTTTTTCCGGCAAATGGATTAGCTACGGACATCGCAAGTTCTTAAATTGTGCGGGGAACGATAAACTAATGAATCTAGTTAGTTTTTTTTCTAAAATTTTGTTAGTTTTACCCAATGCAATCACAAAAAATTGTCTGATTTAACACTAAAAATGACTATTTTTCAAGTCGTTGAGCAAGTCCAAAAGAAACATTTTTTAAAGGAATACACTGATTTTAGAGGAAAAAAATAGAAGAAAAGTAAATCCCAATTTTCCAAAATTTTACATTTAAATAAAAGTTACCTTCATCAGCGTTGTGAGACAGTTCTTCCCATAATTTTCTTCAACTTATCGAGAAACCAGATATCAAAAAATCAGCATATTCGCCGGAATCTAAAAACTTGCGGCTTTAACTGAAAAACAAGTTGAAACTAATTTCGGAGCGTGTTTTCAAACGAGGTGTATGCCAGTGTATGTGTACGGTAGGGCGCATTTGACAATCCGCGGTAGCGGGGGAAATTTGAATTCCCTAACGACGAATCTTCAAGTTTTCTAGTTGGCCCTTAATTTTTCATTTCTTTAATTCATTTTTCTTCTATAGTTACCAAATGAAAATTTGTACACTTGCATGTAATACGAAAATCCTATAAAATTTTGCCGGTAAACTTGTTAGATTAAGACAATTAAAAATTAAAGCATAAAAGTGAAATAAAAAATCATCATCGCAAAAAACAGGGCACCTTGAATACTTGTGGGTCATTCCACTTTTTGGGGCGGTGATTCCAATATTGATTTAAACATAACCTGTGAATAAATTTCATCGTGAATCCGCACAGGGTGCTCGTTTTTTGCAATTCTAATATATAGATAAAAAGAAACAGAAAATTACAATTTTACAAATTTGTTGACGTTTTCATTAAAAAATAAATTGATAGGTTGACATTTTGATCATTTTATGTGAAGTTTGCGCCTTTCTAAAACATATTTTGCTGCCCTTCTTCAGTTCTATGATTTCGGTTGCAGATGAGCTCGACTGAAACTTCACTACGAGTTGTAGTTCGGGCTCGGCCGATGAATGCCAGGGAAACTCGCGAAGGGGCTCAACGTTGCATAGAATATTTTGAAAGCACCGGACAAGTAATTTTGATATCAATTTTTAGAAAATTTACATTTTTCTGTAGATTTTGATAAATGGCGCTGCCTCATTCACATTCGATAAGGTGTTCCCTGACACTGTCGATCAGGAAATGGTATACGAAGAAACCGCCCATCCGCTTTTAGATCGTGTATTTGCAGGTATTACGAAATAATAGCAAGCTATATATTTAAAGAAAATACGAATTTAGGATTCAATGCGACAATTCTGGCGTACGGACAAACGGGAAGTGGAAAGACATACACAATGGGAACCGAAGACAACGATGGGACTGACGAAATTCGACGAGGAATAATCCCAAGACTAGTTAACAGTCTTTTCAAAAGGATAAATGCAACAGATACACCAGAATCTTTTAAAGTAAATTAATAATTAAGAGAAAAAATGAATTCAATTTTTTTAGGTCACAGTTTCCATGTTTGAGGTTTATTCAGACAATGTTTACGATTTACTAAGACCCGATAAAATTAAACTAAACGTGCATGGAGATGAGAAAGGATGTAAGGTCTTGGGCGTTACTATATCTGAAATTGAATTTTAGGCACTATTGTGAATCTGACCGCTGTGCCCGTAATTGATCTTAAAGGCGCATTGAAGCAACTCGCGACGGGATGCCATTACCGAACAAAAGCTGAAACTGCAATGAATGCAATGTCGAGTCGATCTCATGCAGTTTTCACGATTGTTGTCGAAAAACAAGCAACGGACGAGAATGAGCAAGCATTTTCGTCAAAATTGCAATTGGTGGATCTTGCCGGCTCAGAGCGCTTGAAAAAAACGGAAGCTGAGGGAAATCGAATGAAAGAGGGAATTAATATCAATTCGGGACTTTTAATTCTCTCTCAAGTTATTTCGGCACTCGCCACAAAGCAGAAACACATTCCTTATAGGAATTCGGTTATCACCAGAGTTCTTCAAGGTATTACAAATTAACGATTTCAAGTTTGAGTATTCCATTTCAGATTCTCTTGGAGGCAACTCTTTTACAGTATTCCTTGCTTGCATTTCACCGGCGGACACTAACTCCCAAGAAACGTTGAACACACTTCGATATGCCGATCGCGCCAAACAGATTAAGAACAAGCCGATTGTTAATAAAAATCCGAAGGCAGAAGAAGTTTCATACTTGCGATCGCAAATCAAACGACTCGAGAAAGAGAATGAGGATCTTCGCAAGGGGATCGCTCCTGGTGAATCAAAAGTTGCCGATCTCGCCAAATCGTTAGTGATTTACTCAGAAATAACTTTAACTCGGAGGGCTTGTGAAATGATGACTGTAGTAAAAGGTCTGAGAACTCGAATGCTTACGCCAGATTAACCATAGAACGAACTTTGATTCAAATCGTTGCCTTAAGTGTAAAAGCACAACGAATTTGAGAGCGATTCCAATAGAGTATAGTCCAACGCTGTCCAGAATCTGGTAAATGTACTCAATTCTGGCTAAATTGCGACTAACATGGTGGCATTTAAATGTGAATTCGCGAGTTCATTGGGTCTGGTTCGTAGCTTCTTGTTCATATGATCACAATTTGATGTCTGATCACAGAAAAAGTTGAGAATTGCAGACTTTTCTTTAATAGAAGAAAATTGATGTAATCTTTTTTAATTTAGGGCTGAAATTTTGGCTCTCAAGGAGGAGCTTGCGATCAAGGAGGATGAAGCCCGCGAGAGATGTATGAAACTCTCAGAATGCATTGTCAAGATTGTAAGAATTGTTAAAATTTCGAACAATAACTCGATGTTTGGTTTTAGAACGCGCTCAGCAATCGCGTAGTTCGTCTTGAGAGCGACAAATCGAAAATGGCATCAATCATCAACGATCTTAAAACGAGCATCACGTACCCATTGTTTTACGAAATTCCACAAAAAATGCGATTAAGGAACGAGGAAATGTTGCCGGCCAGCGAGATCGTTGCAAACATGGAGAAGATACTCACTTCGGAATCGGATGCGACGGTGCTCGGCGACGATGATAATGGTGATGAAACGAATTTGATGGACGACACCCTCTATGATACCGAAAGGTCCCAATAACAACTTTGAATGTTTTTTTTTTTTCAAATTTCAATTCAATTTTAGGCTTCCTAAACTTCAACAAGAACTCGATGATATTGAGCGTCAGATCTCATTGAAGGATGAGAATCGACGAAAAGAGCTGGAAACACATATGGAAATTGTGCAAACATTGCAGAAACGTGAGGAAGAAAAGACGCAGCTCGTTGTGCACATCAGCGAGCTTGAGTCGGAGATCGCCAAACTTCGGAATGAGACGAAGAAGGTCACGAATGTTACAAAGTGGGGTTTAAATTATTAGAAGGTCAAAGATATTTTTATTTAAGGCTCTCCGAAGAACGAAGATTGAAGCTGAAGGAACTTGAGAAGCAAGAGGCTGAATCTAAGAAACGATTGAACGATATGAGGAAGCTTCAGGAAACTAGTAAGAAAATGGAAGAAGCCCATAAACGACTTGAGGAAGAGCTATCGAGACTAAAAATGCAGCGATTGCGTTTGCTTAAGGAGCAAAGAGCTGAGGCAAACAAGTTCAAAGCGTTCAAACTCAAACATGAGCGTGAGATGCAGCAAATGAAGACGAAACATCAGAAGCGGGAGCTCGAGGTTGCACGGCAGAAGAGGATCGACGAGCAGAAATTCTCTGTCCTCCAACAGCGGCTCGCGGAGTCTGTGCGAGCAAACAAGGCACTCAAGGAGTTGAACATGAAACGTGCGAATCGAAAAGGAACTCCTGTGCCGTCGAATGAGCTACAGGTTCGGATGAATATGGCGAAGTTCGCCCGTAGACAGGTTTTTAATAATCGTAGAATGTAATAATTTTTCGTATCTTTTTCTCGAATTAATAACCGGTGTAAATAATTTTGCATATGTACATATTTGGATAGTAGAGAAATAATCCCCCTGTGATTCATGTGAATAGTTGTGGCCGAATGGAATAAATGTGTTGTATTCCAAAAATAGTCAATGTTGAAGGCTGCCGTTGACGAGGAATTCGAAGTGGAAGCCGCTTCACATAAATGCCATTGTTTGGTGGTGGAGCTCAGAAAGCAGCGAAGTCAGATTCAGGAGCAGATCAACAAGACTGAATCCGAGAAGTTTGAGGGACGCAAAAAGGTGGGCGTTTCAAATTAGATGCCTTATCCAAAATTTTTTCGATATTTTTCAGCGTCGCGTCTCAGCGGATCCCGATGTTTCTGTGGTTCTTGAAGGAGAGGAAGAGTTTGAGGAGGAAAGAAAGAAGAAGCTTGAAGCATTGTACAGTTCGTTGAGCGACGTTAATGCCCAAATTGAGGACTTGCTCAAGAACTCGACAATTTCGGATAATTCTGGAAAGTCGTCAAAGTTTGACAGAATTCCGGCAGAGTTGAGACAAGTGTTTGATGCGCTTCTTCACAAGGTTAGCGGTACTTTGCCAAATTTATTGATACAATTGATTTTTATTTAGGGAATCTCGTTCATGAAGAAAGAAATCGATCTCGAATTCCAAATAGCTAAACAGAGAAGCGATTTTACTGCGAAATTGGAGGCAAGGAAGAAGAATGAGGAAGAACGAGTGAAGAACGACAAACTTTTGAACGAGAAGTATGTGCAGCTCACCGAGAATCTTGAAGCTTCGAAGTCCGAACTCCACCAGAAGCTCACTTTCCTCATTCAACTTATTCGAGCCGATAAGATTGATGAAGCTGCGTTGAGGCAATTTGAAGTGCTTCGAAATCAATATTGCGACATTGAGCAGAAAATAAAGAAATGCCGAGTAGTGGATACCATAGATATCTCGAAATTAATGATATGTTGTTGTAGAGAAAGACAACTAATTTTGTTGGAGGTCTTACACCGAAACCAGAATTGAAGCGAAATGAGCGAGCGAGAAAAGCGGTTGCCAGATATGGGAATGCAATTTCGTCGGATGTATGATTCGCAATTTCAATAATCTCGAATTCGCATGTTTTTTAGGTTACCTTTGATGATTTTGCTTTGCCAAAACGCAACCGGTCGTCGAGAAGCTCATCGCGAACCGAACTACTGAACAAGGTGACTGATGAGAATGTTCGGAAACGTGTGCCGATGTCACCGATTCGATTCGACGATGAGACGAGATTATCGGAAGACGAACATGAGGATGTCGAAATGGCGAATGATGAAAATCAGGTAAATAGTTGTGCTTCTTCTACGTGCCTTTAAATTCGGACCCTTGTTTAGGTGTTCAACGCGACATTTGTTAAAGACGGCAGCACGCCGAAATCGCCTAGCCCACTTTCTGAGAATAATGGAACATTTGTGATCGGAGAAGCGCCGCCGGGCGCTGAGGACATCAGCATTCCGCCATTGAGACGAGCATCGCGTAAAACGACACTCGGACCATTATAATTTATCGAGTGCCGAAACGTGAATGTAAATAATGTTTGTGTTCCTTCTCCATATTTTTCCCTTTTCTTTCTTTTTTAAGGCGTGTCTCTGTTATTTCTTTGAATTTATTTTAAAATTCAATTTCTAGTATCACTATTTGATTGTATTAGTATCCATTTGTCTCGCACACTGTGAATAATTTTTTAGGGATTCGATCCCTTCATTTTTTTTGCTAACCACCGATCTTCACGACTAAAATAAATTGGTGAAGATTTTAGTGAAAAAGACAGAGAAAAATAAGTTGACTGCGGCGAAAAAAAAAACACTGGTTTTGTGAAGGAAGTTCCGTTGCTTGATTGCGAGCATTTGAAGCTGTTTTTGGGAGAAACTGAGAAGTTCCGACTCCATTCTATGAAAAAGTGTTGTCTAGACAAAAAAAAAGCTCCACCAATGTTTTCGCTTTGAAATTAGATATTTGGAATCAGCAATGCTCCTTTAATAGCGGGTATTGTAGTTTTTGGAGATTTGCGAAATTGCTGATTGCTGATTCTTTTTCTAATTTGAATGGGATGTTTTTTTTTTTATTTCCAGGGGTTCTATTGAGTTGACGGTAATTAAAGGTCTCGTGACGACAGTCACTTTGTCAAAAGCACGGGATACTGTAGCACAATTTATATGTTTTTATTTTCGGTGTCGTTCCATATTTTTTGGCACAACAATCAAAAATGTATGTTTCATTTGTGGGACTTCTCTGCGTCTCCCTCTCTCTCTCTCTCATCCATTCAATCTCTTATAAAATTCCGAAAAGGCGTTCTTTTTCCAACTGAGACCCCCCCCCTCTGCCATCCAATTCGCTTGCCGGGGGCCCCCATCCGAATCTCATTTTGTGTGCCCTCGCAAGGCTCAAAAATTTTTTTTCTGGCTTTTTCCCTCGTCGCACACACACACATACATACTTCAGATTTCAATTTGCATTTTTCTTTTCTGTCTTATTTTATCAACGTCCTCAGGGGGGGGAAGGTTACGGTAGATTAGTGCAGAGTTGTCCGCAGATCAAGTTGAACCAAAATTTTAAGCAAATCTCTGCGGCACCAATGGGCGCCTTTAAATTTAAATTTCCCTCCAAAATGTTTTACTTTTACCAATTTGTGGATTCAAAGGCACATACCAATGCTTTTTAAAAAATGCATTATTGAATATTTAATAAGCTAGTTTAAAGGCGCATTCGGCACACTTTGGCTATTCTTTTTAAAAATAACTCTAACAAGATACTATAAAATATTAGAATACATGTTTTAAGCCATCTTTTTGAAATAAAAAAATTTTTTTTAACTGCAAAACGTAAAACTCCGATATTTCGGTAACATAATGAAAATGTGCACTAAAAAAATATTCCCAGCTTGATCATTTCGCAAAGTTATTCTTAAAATCATCGATATTATGTAAAATTTTTGGCGACGAGTGTCGATGATTAGAAGACGCATTATAGGCGCGTTGCAAAACGGCTCCCACGACGACAATACTCACTATAAGCCAGCACTTTTTTTTTTCTTCTTGTTGGCTCGCCTTCATCCATAAAAGGGAGGGGCAATGGCTCGCAAATTTGCTGGGTTGCTGATGTTCGGACCTGCCCGCTCGTTCGATGGTCCCAAAATTTATCGGCTCAATGGTTTGTTCACAGCTTGTTCGCATCTTTTTTTTTCATGCGAAAAGTTCACTTTTGAAGCCTAAGCCGAAAAAGGAAAAAAAAGAAATGGATAATTTCATCACTTTTCTCCCAAAAAGTTGTTCGGGAAAATCACGTTCCTCTCCTCTTCCCCCAAAGTTCCTCAAAGTGTTTTCGCTTCAAGAAAAACGAAAAATTTGTTAATGAAAGAGTATAACCTTGAGAATCTTGAAACGAAATATTTGAGCTTAAAAATACGGTACCATAAATTCCCCTTGTGCTCAATTCGCAACAAGTTCCTCTCTTCGACATTCGCTATTCTTTTTGAAGGGTCCGAACCACTCGGTAATCCCTCCTCCCCCTCCCCCATTTTTTTCTGTGGCCGAAAGAAGCCCTCGGGGGAATTCAGAAGCCGGCAGACGCACGTCGGGGGGCAAAAGCTGCGCAGAAAAAAAAACTATTTTAGACAGAAAAAAAAATTATTTTTTTTTGACGCTAATAATATTTTTTGATTATGTACATCATGAATTCCATATTTTTGTATTATTACTTACCTGCGGACAATTTTGCGGGATTGTTTTAAATATTAAAATGGTGTGCTGAATGAATTTCTCCGATGCTCCTTGAACCTTCGCGCTTTTAATTTTCATGCTTCTTTAATTTTTTTCTACATTCAAAAAATTTTGCAATTCAAGTTTTTGGATTTCTTAATTATTGACCTGATTTTCATTTGCATCGATATGGTCTTTAACGACAACCGCTCAATTCGGGTATTCTCTAGCCGAAACACACTATGCGCCTTTAAATTACGGTATCGCCACAAAAGGTCAAACTCCATGTAGCGACAAGTGGCATTTTTTCCCATCAAACTCATCAAAAATGTCATATGTTGTGTCAGGCCTCATCCGCCGCCGCCGCCGACGTCGTCGAATAGAATCCATTGAATAATGCATTCCAATTCTCATCAAAGAAGGAAAACGAGAGGCTTCGACGTCTTCTTTTTTTGTCTCCGTCTTGGTCACACATCCATTTAAAGGAGTACGGCGATCGGGTGCGAAAAAAATGGGATTGAGAGGGGGGAGCTCGCGTTTTTTTTTTTGGATAATGAGATTTCCACGCACTTATCTCGAATTTCAGCCAATTAAATGTGAAATGATGAAAGCGACGCGATTTTTGATATTCGCAATCAAGATTTTCGCTTCCTGATTACTGTAGCACTCGTTTCCTTTTCTTGGCCATTAAAAAAGATTTTTTCATGTTTTATTCGAAATTAACGAAATGGAGAATTGCCCATTTATTTCGGGCTTTTCCTTTTTTATCGGGACCGCCCAAATTAGCGCGTTTTGTCTAATTGAATTTTGTGCGTCTTGAATGGTCCCGTCTGCGGTTTTTATGTTTTGCTGTTGTTTTTTTTTTTCGCCTAATCAAAACTTTGCCGTCTGCGGCTTGTCGTGATGCAACACCAGCCGTTGGCAGCTGTTTGATCGACGACGAAAAGGGTTCCACACCGACGGGACCAGCAGCGACGACCGACCGGCCCCGCACAAAATGTCCGCAGTAAACAAAGCGTTTATTTTTTTGCCGCCGCCCCTCCGTTTCACGATGCCTCTCGTTTTCCGCTGTTTTTTCTCCTATTATTACTATTTTCTTTGTGTCGACATCTTAACAATGCTTTCAAGCAGCGTTCTTATCGGCCGACAATTCGAGCCGCCGCTGCTCACATCTCCATTTCGTCTGCCCGTCAATTTTCCGGCACACCGATTTTTTCTGTCGCCAGCCTCTTCAGCTAATCACAATAATCGGATTGTGCCATTTGCGGCACAATGTCCCAAAAAAATGGGACCAACTGAGACGACGACGAGACGAAAGCAAAGAAAAAATGGCTGAGTCCGTCATTGCCAATCCATCATTCTCATGTGCATACATATTTGGGCTCGATGTATATTCCTCATTTTTCTCTCCTCTTTCCCGCCAACTATTTTTTTCCAGTGGTCCCTTTTTTTGAATGCACAGGAAGAAAATTGAAAAAAAAGGGTTTCGCTTCGAGACCCCCAAAGAATACCGTATTTTTCTCTTTTATATTCTATCAAATGCTCACCTATCTCAATTCGCTTCGAGACCTTCAACTTGATGCTCGAGATTCATATACCGTAGTTAAAGGAGCATTCCAGGTAACGAAAACCGCTGAAAATGACAGTATGTGGTTGGCCGACGGAATGTACCGAGAAGACGTGCTGTGAATCGTATATTTTTCGGCTTTACCTACTCGGATTTACGTGAGTTATTTCGGCATCAATCTACAATTCGATTGAGAACATTTCATGAAAATATGCTTCGGACAATTTGTGGGTTCCGAATTTTTGAACGTTGCAGCTTTGTTTTGGACCAAAAATTTGAAAAATTGTGAATTTTTGAAAATAGAAAACAGGCGAGATACTTGGAGGTCCTCATGATTATAATCACACAAAATGTCCACAGATTGGATTTTTATTTAAAGAGAAATATCGAAAGTGCCATTCCTACAGATTCCTCATTGTGATCATCGCGCTAATCGTCGGCGCCGCTTGGATGCTTTTCGAGTTTCGCCCAAATTACAGGTACTACTTTTGTTGGGACAAAAAGTGGTTTTATGTTAAATATAACATTATTCTTCCAATTTTTAAAACCGTTTTCACGAAAAAAAAATCGCTTCGAAAAATTTTTTCGACGGGTAGAATTTAGTCTATAACAAAGTCTTTTTAAAAAATGCTGAATAAATTAAAAAAAAAACACGCGACGCGAACCGCAACGCATTAGGGACCCATTCTTCTATCCGCCTAGTTTCTAAGACCTAAAACTTGTACAGTCATCAAAATGGTTCAGGAATCGCCTCCGCCGTCAGGACACCGAAGAGCAGCAGCGAATTGAGGAGCGCTCGTTCGAGGAAACGAAATACTTGAGACGATTCTCCGAGTTGAAGTAAGTCGTCGATTTTTAAGCGCGAGACAATTCGGCGCAGAGTGCAAAAAAATAATATCCGAGAAATGTTTTTTTCATTTTTCGCATTGTTGATTTTTTTTAGTAGCGAATTAGAAGGGCGCCAACAATGGTAGCTTAAGTTGGTTTCTCTTCAAATTTTGTGATTGTTTTCAGTTATTTTTTCTCTTTCAACTTTTTTTTGCCAACAAAACTACTACTATCCATTTTTCTTGTCTCTTTATTTTTATTTTTTTGATGGTGGTTGTTAGTCTGTCTAAAATCGTTTGCTTGGAAACAACTGACTCTTATGAAAAATGGGCTGCGGACATATTTCCAGTTTTCATTCCAACTAACATTGCGCGAAATGCACTGAATTCGAATTTTTTTTTAATTTCAAATTTAAATTTCCACCCTCTAATTCATAATGCATCACACCTGACGCCAAATTGCACACAATTTTCCGCCTGTCTGCACAAACAAAACACCACAATTGTCGCAAAATCGCACAACTCGCAATATTTTCAGTCCCCTACAAGCACGACGGCATTCAATCGACAATTAGATTCATCCATCGGCTGGCTCGTCGCCTGTACATTCTACGCGTACTTCTGCTTCTTTTCAATTGTAGTTTTAATTTGCTTCAATTTTTTCTCACAAATTCAACACTCACAATATTTTATGCTGCCTTTTCGAGAGAAAAATTCAAATAAATAAATAATTATAATTCTTTTAGTGAATAAAACAATTGATTTTTTAGGGGGGGGGGAACATTTGACAAGAACAACTCTTCATTTTTGATCTACATGCGCGAAAAAAGACCAAATTTAAAAAAAAAGACAATGCAATATAATAGATTTGAGATCTTTTCTACAATAATTCCTTTTGTTAAAATCTATTTGTGTGAGGTAACAACGAAAAATAAAGCAAGCAACAATTTCGACGACTCGTCGGGTTTAGTCCGTGTTCAGAAGAAGCGGGTTCACCGATTTCGACGATTCCACCGAATGGATGTGCATCAATTTGCCTGTGAATGCAATTATTATCAAAATTGAAAAAAAAAACGCATCGAAACATCAACGAAAATTTTGGAGTTTTTCAGTAAAAATTTAATTTGACTCCCATTTTAACATTTTTAAAGAATCTACAAAAAACTCTGTCCAAAAAAAGCAGTTTTTGAAAAAAAACCGGTACCTATGTAGTCAGACGCGTTGCGGCTCGCGTGCGGTCATGCGAAATATTTTCTCGAAAACAACCCAAATTTGGTAATCCTGTTCCTAGTTATGAACTCAGTGTCAATGTATATCGTTAAAAATCCGAAAATATGGAAAATAAAAACAATCACGTGGTCACACGCGAACCGCAACGCGTCTGACGATAGGTCTCGTAACGGCCGATTTTGAAACAAACAAAAAATGCGGAATATCGCGTAAAATATTTTTTCCTGGATTCAAAAATTAAACATTTTCGTAAAACATTCAAATTTGGTCAAAAAATTTTTCAATTTTCTAAATTCGCTCTTTACTTATAAGCTCAAACTTCGAAAATATGTTAAATTTTCCCAATTTCTATAAAACTACGATGCTTACCATCCTTCTTCTCCGGCTTCAAACTCCGTTTATAAATGGTGAAACCAATGAGAGCGGTGGCACCGGCGGCAAACAGGAAAATTGTCAACTGCAATCAAAATGAGATATTTAAATTCCCCCAAAAAATAAGCAATTGCAAAAATTACCAAAATCATATTAAATTTAGTGTTGCTTCTTTGCGTCATAATCTCGGTAGAATCTGGAAAAAAAAATAGGCGATTCGCGAAATTTAAAGGCGCATACGGGTTAGGGCTTTACGACAAGTGTGAGTGACATCCACCATACATTGCTTCTTGTGGATCGGATCCATTTCAGCGGCGTCCAGCATACAATTGCATAACTAGAAAAAATTATTTGGGCCCCAACGCGAAACAAAAAATCGTACATCATTGGCGCAAAAATCCACTGAGTGAACGTCGGCGCAAAGATCAAAGTTGTACGAGCACGATGCGAGGGTTACTGTAACACAAGTTAAATAGTACAGTAACTAGAAGAAGATGAAGAAGAAGAAGAAGAAACGGCTTACTGTTAACAAATGGGCACGTCTCGTAAAGCTTCAAATAATCATGTTTGATCTCTGGAACAGTTTTCGGCACCACTGGTATGACATTTGAAGGCTTCGTCGGATCTGGAACAAATGAAAATTTGTAGCCAAATTGACCGAATCTCGATTACCTGTGTAGTTCGAGTTACCGTACGCCAAATGTCCAAGAAGCTGCAACACGAGACACGCGTCGCTGAGCATTCCGCGGCATTTGAAGCTCTCCTCGGTCGGCAGACGTGCGACAAGCTGAAAAACAAAAATTCAAGCGTATAATTGAGGCCTAATCGTTCCTAATATTTCCCACCATCCCCACTTTAACCAAAAACTATAAAAATTTCATAAAATCGTCCAAAAAAGGCCAAATTTAGTTCAATTTTAATGTTTTTGTTGTTCTCGATCAGACATCATAAGACGATCGTCGAATAGTTATGTCATTTCCCTCCAATAATGATAGTCATATGAGTGCCTCCACAGCAATCCTAGTTTGGGCATACCCGATTGCACTCGCAGAATTGTTTGTCGCATTCTTCCTGTCCCAATTGTTGGCCATAACAGTCATCGTGGACGGCGCAACAATGATTCAAAGAAGCTGAAAAAAATGATATGAATAATTTTTTTAGTTTTCAATCGATCTAAATTTGATCTCGATTTTCTACATTTAAAGACGCATGGACATATCGGAACAATTGATGGGATCAGCCGCTACAATGTAGTGTTTAAATGCTCTTTATAAATCAATGTTCAAACGAAAACTAAATGTGGACTTTGGGAAAGCTAATATTGAGATACGATCATTGGTTAATGATTGGTTGAGCTTTTAATTAGGGATAATCAAGCTCAAGAAAGATCACTGCAGCAAATTCTATCTCAATAAACCAATATTATCCTACTTGAAGTGCACAACTCCAAAGATACCCTAAAATTTTCAATTTTTAATTCAGAATTCAAAAAAAAATCTATCATAATTAATTAGTGACAAGAACAAAAATACTGTATTTTGTGGCGAAATCTCTTGAACACGATATCCTCACTGAAATCACGCCACCTCAAAAGACAAAAGTTCCTCAAATTCCCGTTTCACGCCTATTTGCGCTCGTTAAAATCGTTCGGGGTCTCGCGCCACTTGGGCTTGTTGTTTTTCTTGTCTAGTCCTTTGAGGCGATCGCGATGACCTATCAATTGCAACCACCCATGTGCGGCTAATTTGATTAGCACGCTAAATAAAATGACGAGAAACCGATGATGAAGGCAGAACGAAAAAAAAAATCATCGAACCAGCGAGTGAAGGACAATTCTGTTCGACCTGCTTGTACGTGTAGTCCTTGCTGTGTCCGTCATCGCTGCCACAGTGCCAGTGATCGCGTGTCACGCTCATCTCGGTACGAAGTGAGCCACCAGCACCTAAAATCGTTCAATTTTAAGTGAAAATCGCTGTTTTTGAGCGCAATCTAAATCCGATAAAATCACATTTTTCGATTTTTTAAAGATTGTATTTTCTCTATAAAGAAACTTCACTACTTATTTTCAATTTTTGTAGTCAAATTTTCTCATGGTTTATGGCAAAATCATTCACACTTCATAACTCTGACGCAAAAGACCCAACGTGGCTGCTTTCTGGAAAAAAAAAACTCTTCTTGTCGCAGCTGAAAGCGATTTGCATTTTTTTTTCGTGCTCGCATGTCACGTTCAGCGGCGAACTGAGTAATCAACAACAAGAAACCTCGTGCGTCTCGCGCGCATAATTTATATTTATTTCGAATGATCAAAAATTACCGGAAAACGGGGCCAACGATCGTCGCGGTCGAGGAGCGTGTGCAGAAATGAGGCTCAATACGCAAATGAGGAGAATTCCCGGCCGGTGTGCTCTTCGAAGCATTATGATTGGTTGCCGAGGATGTCCCTGCAGAGAAATGAAATGAAATCAGGGAATGGTCGGCGGCACTTAAAAGGCGGATTTATTTATTATATTTATTGCGGCGGATTTTTGGATTCAAGAAGATGATATTGACAATGAAAACATAACAAATTTCGATTAAATGGATGAGTTTCGTGGATTCTGCGAAAAATAAAATCAGAAATCAAACACGAAACGAGGAAAAGGCACGTTCCCGCGGAAAAAATAACCAAGGAAATAAAACTTTGAGCAAGTCTGCATTACGGACTTGCGCAACTACAGTAACCTAATATTAATAATATTAAACAGGAATTTCAATTCAAGAATTCCGCAGCGGAATGGATAGGCGAATGACTCAAATGTCCTTCAACTTTTTTGCTGCTTTCCCTCGATCCCTCCCACTTATTTTGCGCGGGTCACTGATAGATAGAAATGCATTGTTGTTTGTTGATGTTGTTATGAACACGAGGCGACTTATTTCCCAAAAAAAAAACGCAAAAGGAAGTTTCAAATCACCCCTAATCGTAATTCAAACTGAATACTATTGAAAGGAAGGTCGTTTTTAGTGGTGTGACCTTTATGTTTGTTTCCACTCGGTATAGCTGAACACTTTTTTGTCGTCGCATTTGCAACACTGTGCAGGATCTGAGCCTTTTTTGTTTGTGCAGAGATGTCGAGATAGCAAACGGAACAGATATCTCCTGATCCACCCACGCGTGAGGTGATTCGGGAAGACAAGGAAATTTATGGAAAACCGGCAACAGATTCTATTATTTTTAAGGGGTACGGTAGCGGTTTAGTGAGTTCACCAGACGCCTTATTGCAGAATAAATTGCGACGCGCATTATAATGCATAAATACTTTTTTTTTCGAATTTTTCCTGAAAATCTATAAAGTTGCAATATTTAGTCAAAATCAAAGGTTTTAAACACATACAATTTTACGGGCAACCAATAAATTACAGCAAAAATTTAGAATTTTTGGCTATTTTTCCTCAGAAAAAGTGCAACAGGTGAAAAAAGGCCGAATCGCAACATCCTGAATGATCAACTAATTGGCGTTCAAGTTTCTTTGCAGATACGGAAAAATGGCGGAGATTGAAATCTCGAGAAGGCCAATCGCAATAAGGGGGAGGAACTGCTTAATTTGGGCGGGTGCCTTCAATCAAAAACCATAAAGTTTTCGCGAACATGTATTCTAGAAATCGTTAAGCATTTATTATAAAGAAAATGCGATAAAATAAATACAAACAAATCAAATTTGACTATAAATATACACATAAAATCGCATAATTATGGTTTTAAATTGGATCTCCAATGTTGTTTTCGCATATTATTTTTTATGGCAATCTTCAATTTTAAAAATTCTAGTTTTCGTTTCAAGACCTCTCCAAAATATTCTAATAGTTTTTCTGCCAAATTTCTAAAAATAAGATAGACAGACAAAATCAATTCATTAAAAACAAAAATGAAATTAAACTGAAGAATAATATTTTGGAATATCGATGAGAACTCGACACAGTTCCTTCCCATTTGTTCAAAAATAATATTTCTTTTACTGCTTTCGGCCGATATTTCGCAAATTCTCCTTCAACCGTTGGTGTTTCGGTTAAATTTTCTGGCATTCGTTTGACTAAAATTATCAAATTTAGAAAATGCATTACAAGTTGAGCAAAAAAAAATTTCTTTCGAATTGTACGCCAATTTTTTTTTCACAAATATCCAATTTGCAACAAAATTTTGCGTCGAACAGATTACCAAATTATCTTTTTTTGGTTCGACAAAAAAATTTTAATTAAAAAATAATCAAATGTATGCAATTTTGGGCGCCGGTGAATGCACACTTTTAGAATTTCTTTTTCTTCAGCGAATTTCAACGTTTTTGTGCCGCAACCAAATATTTCTAAACGCTGCTCGTGTGAACCTTTAAAGGCGCATGCGAAATCAATTGGCGTACAATTTTGAAATTTGCACGAATGTTGGCATTGTTTATAAAACCAAAGAATCGTCGCATCATCAAGCATCGGATTATTTATAATAACACTTGCTGAAAATATTATTTTTGAAAAAAAATTCAAAAAAAAAGCTTACAGTGCAAAGATGTGTGATTCAATTCCAAATTTGGGAAAAAAACCTCGTTTAATTTCGAGTTGTGCTTCAGAAAAATCGAATAGTTTTCGGCTTTCACGAGATTTGTGAATATTAAATAGTTCACTGTTGAATTTGAGATATGAATTTCCGATGAGTTGAGGATGATCGTTGATTCGACGAATCGCTGGATATCGCTATAGTCCCATGTGTGAGTGATTATTCTAAAAAAAAAGTTTGGAGAGGTCCAATTTTTGGCTTCTCAAAATTTTAGTGTTTAAAAAAATCATTATGGGATAATTAAAAATCGAGAATTAGTGGATTCGTTGGTCTCGAGAAGAAATTTGAGAATACCTCATATTTTTGTAACTGTAACACTTTTTCACCAATCTGTACAATTCAACTGTATCATATGAATCGCTTTGGCAATCTGAAAATGGGGTTTTATCTTACCAATCAAATTTATTTTCAGAAAACACACGGGAATCTTCAGCGATTATTGATACTATGATTAAATTGATAATTACCAATAATTTCTTCATCGAATTAATTGGAAAATAGGAATGAAGAAAGTGTCATTTTAATATTAAAATGACCTTATTTTAGAAAATCACGTAAGCAATCATATATTTGGCAAAAGCGATGCCTGCTGCTGGAATCGAACCAGCGTCGCCACGGCCACAACGTGGAGTACTAACCACTATACTAAGCAGGCCGAAAGTGAGCCCTCGCAATTGCCGTCAGTTGATAGCTGACTACGCTTATGACGAAAGAGTACAGACAAGTAGGTAACGTAGACGCCGAGAGTGCAATGCGAGTGTTTTATTCATTCTAGGTTTTTGAGTTTTTATTATTTTAAAAAATTAAGTTAAAATTGGAATGAAAATGATATTAAGCAATTCCAAAATCTCTTAAATCTGATAATTGGACAGTTCGACGTCGAATTGAGCTGAATGAGCCGATGTGAATCACATAGTTGAGGTCGGATTGCCTTCCAATAAACGGCGAGTCATCGAGTATGTGGTCTTTTGCGTGTCCTGCAACACAAATTTTTATATATTGTTGTGCTGCCGTCGTTCATCAGCCGCCATAGCTCAGTCGGTTAGAGCGTGCTCGGTAGAGAATAATTGCTGCGATTTGGGCGTAAATTCGGCTCTAGTTTGACGGCGGAACTGCTACAAAATCACGCCCGAACGGGAGCAAAGCGTTTCCCGATTGATAGCAGACTCGGCAATTTGTTGCAATTCGGTTAGCGATTTACACCAACACCGCTCTCAAATTTCGCCAGAATTTTTCCCAGATTTCTCCCAATTCGTAACAGTGAAATCTTTATTTAAAAAATATATAATACAAAAAAAAATTTAATTTGAAATCAAATAACATTTTTAAAATTTGCATTAGCCACTTAGTCGGTTCGTCCTTCGCTTATTAAGGCGCGCACCACAGCTTTCCAAGCTTTTCGGTCCTTGGCTATACCATAGAACTATGAGCAACTTTTAAATTATCCATGTGTATTGAGCTCCTCGATGATACAACGTTCAGGAACTCTTCTCTGAAATGTGCAGTATGTTATAAATTATATATAATACTAATTAGTAATCTACAGTGCTCCACATAACTATATACCCACCCTAATTTTGTCGAATAACTCGAATACCTCCAGAAATGGTTTCAATTAGAAAATTATGCGCATTTATTATTAGTTTCATGTTACATTCACAAAATTCAACCAGAAATTACAATTTAAAAAATTTCGTCATTTTCACGAAAAAGTGGAAAAAATTTTTCCACAAAACTATATACCCACCCAATTTTTTTTGCGTTTTTTCGATATTTTTTCGTATTTTCGAATTTTTTGCAATTTTACTGTTCTTTTTTAGATGCATGCCTTTTGAAAAGCCGCTCACCGACTTTGAAAAAGATAAAATTGTAGCAAAGCTGGCTCAAGTTCTCTCTTATCGACAGATTGGGAATGAACTGGAACGCAATCACAATGTTACTGGGGTTTATAGTAAAGAAGATTTACGATTGCAACAAGTATTTTCATTCAATTACGGATCTCAAAAAGGCAATCGTGGAAGCCTGGAAGCTTGTCGATCAACAGCTTCTTGACAACCTTTATTTATCAATGGACTGCCGAATTTTTGACGTAACACGACTCAATGGAGGTCCAGTTAATTACTAAATTATTTTTTTGTTGAATTTCGTGAATGTAACATGAAACTAATAATAAATGCGCATATTTTTCTAATTGAAACCATTTCTGGAGGTATTCGAGTTATTCGACAAAATTGGGGTGGGTATATAATTTTGTGGGGCAATGTATAAAACTTTCAAATTCAGTTGTGAGGCTAAATAATATTATCGGCGTTTTGATTTTGTTTACTTTTTTTACGCTGACATCACGTGACTACGAAAAAGACGTTAAAATTGCAACGCCGCATTAATACTAGTTTAACCTTAACGTTTAACCCAGAGCCCCATTGTGTCAAACAAAAAAGCTGAACGGATTAAATTCCCATTCATATTAATAATAATTTTGAGTGTCTGACCACAGGCAAACGAAAATAAACTCTACAAATGATCTTTAATATTCCGTGACTCTATTATGTTTTAGATCGTTTGCCTGAGTCAACTAGCCCATTTATAAAAGAAAAATTTTTACCTTCCAAAGAAACCGCAACCGAACGAGGTAATGGAAGTAAACGCTCGACATCGTACTGTGTATTTCCATGGCGGGATAGTCATCTGAAACAAGTATTCCTCATGGCAGAAGATTAACTGTGTGCGCACCTTCATGAGTATCTCTCTAATCAAGTGCCCTAATTGATTGAATATCGCCAACGGTGATTTTGTGACGAGCGTATATCTGATTCAAGGAAATGATCTAAATAGCATTAATTTTGTTGTACTCTATCAAGTGAATATCTTCAACCTCGAAGGGATCCGGTCCGTTCGCAACATATACAACCATACATATTTTGCCATATATTTAATACCTAATTCCTCGTTAAGCGATGACACAATTCGTTTCATTGTTCCGTAGGAATCTTTAAAAAAAAACATGTATTATTTATTTAAAGACTAGTTTTATTAAAAACGAAAAGTAATAAAAAAAATTGAAAAAAAAATTTGAAAGAAAAAAATTAAATGTTCAGTTTAAATTTGCACTGCATTTGCGCTTTAGTAGAACTTCACTGACGTTTTCGGTAGGTGAATTGCCTGCGATTCTGCTATCAATTTATAGCAATTGGGCCCAAGTAAAAAAAGGTGTAAGAATTTCAAATGAATTGCTGTGGTTTGTGTGCTTGCGCCCGAATTGTACTGATTGCACATAGATGAGTGCTTACTTCTGCTCCCAATCGAGTGCAATTCGCCTCCAATTCGGGTTATGTGAATAATGGGAGCAAATCGGGAGAATCTCTGCACCAAATTTTGTGAATTTACCCAAATTGCACCCGAACAAGTGTACTGCTCCCGTTCGGGAGTGTTTTTGCACCCGATCGGCCGCTTACGCCCGAATTGTAGCATTTCAATTCTACCGAGTGGGTCTAATAAGCCCAAGGTCGCAGGTTCGACCCCTGCTGGCGGCAAACATTTTACAATTTTTTTTGCTTACCCGCATAAGACGGTTGTTTATTGAAATGTTCGATCATTTTCGGGATTTGAGATGTTCTGAATATCACAGCAGGCGTGCAGCAAGATTCGGGATATGAAATATATGCGGAACCCGTAATGTAATACCGTAATTGGCAAGGAAACTAAAATTTCAAATATTTTCGACGAGAGAACGAAAATGCTACCTGGGGAAATTGACGAATCACAAAAATTGAAATAATTGCGGAAATTAACAATGCGGATAATATATGAAGCCGAGGGGCCAAAAGCTTGTAAATTAAAAAGCTAATAAAAAGACTAGAAGAAATTGTCTGAAAATCGAGACATTTGCAAAAATATCGATTTTTCGCTTACCAAAAAATATGAAGGTAATTTTCGCAGCTTTATCGGATGATATAATTTCACATAATCTATATGATCAGCATAATCAAGATGCCTAATTAGTGAGTTAATTAACTCAGTAAACTGGCCAATTATAATTGAGTCGTCTTCAATTAATAAAATATACCTGTAATTATCAATTATAATTTTAAAACATTAATTTTTTTGGCACCTTGATCTCGATTTTTGCGCCAAGCAATGCCAATAATCGATAGTTTCTTTTCGAATCGTTTCATCGAGAATTAGCGCTTTTTTGGTCCCATCTGGAATTTCAAAAATATCGATTACTGTAAATCTAGATCGATTTACTATTTATTGACAGAATTGGAATGGAAATTTGCTCAAATTGCGCCAAATCATCGAAAATGTCGATTTCGACATTGCAAATGCTCAAATTGAATGCTCCAATTGGCTGTTGCTCAAGAATAAAACCAATGGTCTGGAATTTAAAATATAATGTGATTGGCTCCAAAACAGTAGCGCTCGGTGTTTGCGGACATGCTCAATTTTGGAGTTTTCACGCAAATATAGGTTTGTGATCTTAAATTATACATTTTTGAAGTTTCGATTGCCAAAAAATTTGAATTTCCCAAAATAATGAGGATCGCTCTGAAATGTGTGCAAACACGGCGTCGCAAAATTACACCGATCTCAATTTTATGTTGGTGTTTTTGTAAAATTATTTTTTTTTTCGACATAAATCCCAAAACCAACCTGCAATAGATAGAATTCGCCGCGATTCGACGCCACCACTCGAATTTCGAGATGATTTGTCTGAAAATCGCTGAAATTTTCAAGAAAACGAACAAAAAAAAAACTACCAAATTCTCGGGTTTTTTATGCGATTTTATAATCGATTGTGCCAAATTCGCGCGATATTCGTTCAATTTTCTCGGGTTTTCAAGCAAATTTCTGAAAATGCGCGAGTTTTTTTTTATTTGATGATGATATATATATGGATGACGAACCTCGGAAAAAAACGATCATCAATTCCGTAATTGGGCACAAATTGTCGAATGATTAGCATAGTTAGTAGAATTAGCGCGGAAATTGTCGAAATCGCGCATAATTGAAATGGAATTCGCATTCAGGCCATTTGAATTTGGTGCGATTTGAATGGCTTAACTATGCGAGATTATACGCGTATTATATGTTCAAGTGGTTGCTATGAGAAACCTGCAAAATGCGTCGGTGATATTGAGTATGGGAAATAAATTGGGAAAAATGTGAAATTTAATTGAAAAATTGCCAAAAAACTGATGGAATTTGAAACAAATTTTGGCAGAAAAATTGAATGGATGAGAGGGTGGAATGTAATAAATTTGAGTGCTCACGGCGAGCCTCTCATTTACGAGGCTCAACACCGACAGACTCATCCAATTTGTTGTTGCTATTTTGGCACATGAAACTTTTTTTTGGTCTCTCGCCGTCGAATCAATAAATGATGCGTCGAGAGACGTTTTCGATTATCGATTATGTCAATATTTGCACACAATGACTGTTTCGCAATGAATATACGAGATGCGGTGGATTGAGTTGATTTGCATTTGACGAATCATCGAATACTGCTTTTCTCAACTCTTATTTTACAAGGAAGGTCATTCCAGAAATTTTACTCAAATTATTTATTTCAATCGAAATTCAGAAATTCAACAAGAACGAAAAAATGCCTTCAGCCAGAAGACTTTTCGGTACTTCTTTTTTCATTTTTTCAAATTCTCGATTTCTATTCGCAATTTTTCGATAGCTATTTTCCAAGTCAATGATTACGGTGAATGTTTAAAGGCGCATGCGGGAGGCCAAATATTCAGAAAAAAATTAAGATTGGATTGTTGCTAGAAAAACTTCATATTTTCGGCAAGAAATGAAAAATGAAATTCTATGTTCCGAAATTTCCAGAAGGTTTCATTTCCGCGCATTTATGGTCCGTCTCACAATCTCGTTCATTTCGCCTGCGATTTTCCAAGTCCGTAACTTGTTTGCCACGTGGCAATTCAGTAGAAAGCCAACAAAAGATTTTTTAAAAAATGCGTACATCTCAAATCGTTATCGCTGATCATCGGAATGGCAACATTGGTCATCCTCATCGGACTTGCGTCTTCATTGTCCTCCGATAAAAAGGAATTCCGTCTTTCGTGTTCCGTTTCAGCACAACCGGAGAAAAAAAAAGAAGATCCCTGTCGAATGAGCACTTGGAGAATCCGCCAAAAAAATTTTTGCGGCTCACTTTGAAAAGTTAATGTTGTGATGAACGAGAAACGTCGGAATTCTGGTGAACCGAATCGTCAAATTGCCGGCGGGACGACCGACAAAGAAGGCTTTTTCAATATTCTTGGATACAATCAGAGTTGGGTGAGAATGATGGTGAACGTGCCAAAGTGTTACCGATTTGTGGAGACTCGTCAATTTTTCAAGAATCCTCGATTATTTGTGCGATGTATGAAAATCGATGTGCTCCGCAGGAAGCGCTCAGCACGAAAAGATCCTACGTGTTCCCGCAACGGGAAATCAAGACCAACGGACCATCATGAAAATATACGTGTATAGGTTTTCAATGGTCCTGAATTCGAAAATGGAATTGCCTTGTCACCAATTTATATGGTTTTCTCGAAACTGCTAAATTTGGGGGGGGGGGTGGCGTATCATTATGACGTGCACTGTATTCGGCTTATTTGAAATAGTTGTCGGCTTCACAGCGTTTATACCATTTTCAGACAAATGTCAGACTATAGAAATCTACAGTATTCCATTTAAAGACGCAGAAAAGCTACAAATCGTCCAAAATTTATTCTAGACAATTTCATAATAACGAGGAAATGTTTAATTATCGACCTTTGGCAATTGATCCATATTAGATAAGATCACTATCGGCTCCACCACCACCGTGTTCTTCTTCATTTTGATCTTTTGAATAGGATTTTTGATTCGGAATCGTTGACGCGACACTAAAAATAAAAAATTCAGTATACCAGTGATGTGAAACCGAAATTTTCTTTTACCTGATTGGCCGGCTTCGCTCTCAGATAGAACCTTGGGTTCCATCGATTGGCATGTCAGAAGATTCTTCAAAACCTTTCTGACTGTCTGATTCGTCGTGAAGAATAGAATTGGGTTGAGGATGTTGTTCAACACACTGGACAATGCCTTTAATAGGACCATCATGTATTTGACCCAGCCGGTAGCTCGGACCCGCGGAGTCAATGTGAACAATGTTCTCCAAATCTGTAAAATTGTGCCCTGCAAATATGGAATCAATCAATTTTTACCATAATTGAGATGGCTAGCAGGAATCCTTGAAGAAGCAAGCTTTTGTCGTTGTTACTATTATTATTATCGTCGGACAATGTGCTCAAAGAGGCTCGCTTCTTTTGCAAGAACATATAAATGATGATATACATTAGAAATATAGCCGCTGGGATTACATAGCTCGAGGAGACGACAAACTGCAAGCAAAATGCCTTTATTTCGCTTGTTGGGACCCATGATTACCAGGAAGATTGGGCCCTCGTTAACGAGGAAAACGTCGTGGAATTCGAAGGTTTTTCTTATGAACTTTGTCACAGCGGTCATTTGGAAGAGTCGAAGGTAACTGACAATTAGAATAAAGACCCATCCAATGAGTAATGGGTACTTTATATGATCCCTTCAATGAACGAATTAATTAGTAATTAGCAGTGATGTTGCAAAGAGCCATGCGGCAATTGCAAATAGCGACCACGCCCACCAAATAATAATTTCACCGCAAATTGTAATTTTTCACATTTCAAGTGAAATTTTTATAAATTTAGTTTAGCACTAGCATATTTTAAAAATAATCTTACCTCGTGAACGCCCATGCCAATGGTCGAAATACAAAAACAGAGAATCTATTAAGAGCAATCAAAAAAACCAAAGTCGATGTTGCCGTTTCTGTCAAATTCACCACACTGATTCCCAATGAATACCTATAATATATATCCAATAATTATAATAAATTCATTGTCAGAAGTCTTTAACCATTTTGCCCACTTGTCTTCATCGTTATAATCGAAAAACATTGATGGCACAACGCAAGTGATTTGGAGGATCACAGATATGCCGTTGACGATTGTCAAATGCCAAACGATAGTGAAAAATGGGAACTGAAGGGTATTGTGGTTTTGGAGATTACAAAAAAGAAGTTACCTCTTTAAATAGTGAATGACCTTTTATCAAAACTGCAATGAACAAGGATACGGTAATCGCGCCGAAACCCACAATGCTAATATAAATGACGGTGCAAATTGTGACTAGAGTCGAATCATAGTTTTCTAGATTGAGCTCGCCGATGGACGACATAAATTCTGCAATATTGAATATTTGTAATAGATGACAAGACATCATAATTGAGTATTGGCGGATAATTGGATAATTATAGATTTCTCGAGGGAGTGAAAAATATGTTGCAGAGATTATTGGAATTATCAAATTATTCCAGAAATTCAAAAAAAAAAGTAAAAATTCCACTCATTTTGCATTTTTGTATCTCACTTTTATACATTTTTCTTGCATGATGAATAGGTTCATTAGGGGAGAAGCATGGCAATACCTATAATTTTCAAATTCCATTTATGGAAACTCGTGATCTCCCTTGAGTTCTCGTTATGACGAAGTATCGCAAGTTTTTGCAGAATTTAAGAATCAGAAAATCACTCAAAAAACGAATGTTATTCGTTGGAAATGCAATAGGTAGTAAATCACGTTTTGAGCTAATTCGTTTACTGAGAGCAATGCTCCTAACTGCAGCAGTCAATGAGTCAGTATTTCAGGTGGCTATTATGATTTTTGTTATATTCGCCGCAAAAAAAATGAACAAAGGCCTATTATTCAAACTTTCTAAAAATAAAATCACTGAGATTTTTTTTGACCTGAATTGATATAGTTGAACTTGTGGTATATGTTTAAAACTCAACAATAATCGTGAGGCCAAAATTTGATATGGGAACTAAACAAAACAACTGGCGAATTGGAAAAGACACAATCATACGCTTAACTATGTCAAAATAAAAAAAATATATATAATACGCATAATTAAATTTGGCGCGTGACCGGCGAGTGGCCGTCGCCGGCCATTTTTCTAGCCGACAATGATCGGAGTCATATATTACAGTTTGGATTTTTTACTGCAAAATGTTTGAAGACGTTGAAAATGTCGAGAAATGCTCGAATTTGTTTAGATTTTCGAGATTTTGATCGGTTTCACACTCGGACTCATCGTCTTCTATGTGATCGCCGTTGTCATTTGCAAATGGAATGCTGATGAGTCGGCGATTGATTTAACTCGAAAAGTTTACAACAGCTTATTGGTGATTAATTAGCCTAATTGCTATTCGAAATTCATGATTTTTTTTAGAATTCGGTTGACGCACAGAATCATCCCGAATTTAGTCGAACGTTCTTGAAGCGGATAAGCCCGAACGAGTTTGAGAGTCCGCTGCAGCTGCTCGCCGAGTGCGAATCCAATGATTGACACATTAATTGAAAATGGTTAAGATTGATTCGTCGGCAAACTCAATCGCCGAATGGTTCGGCTGAGAAGAATCTGCGGACCCCGCCGAGAGAGCTACTCGAGCCGTCCGAGAAGGAGCCGATACCGGGACATTTGAGGCCAGAAATATTCTACGTGTTGAAAGCGCTCGAGTTGCTCAAGATCACATTTTTTTTTGGAACCTAATCTTTCTTGAAATTCTAGAGGTTTGGAGCTGCCGAGTTGTTGGACGTTGGACCCGCGCGATGTCGAGATATTGTCGATCGAAGCCGGCGCGATTCTTCTTCAACCCGGCGATTTGAACGATGTCGTAATTGTGGTCGTCTCCGGCGATTTGGGAGTTTTCACCAATGTCAATGTGGTGGGTTTTCAAAAAAAATAAAATTGGAAAAATCGATCGATTGCATATTCATTTGTCAATCTAATCGAATTTGTCACAAAATTATGGCTGAAATTTAATTATCGTCCAGCATACGATTTCTCGAAAGGTCTCGTCTGAATAGCAGAGCGCTATGTCGTCAGACGCGTTGCGGCTTGCGTGCGGTCACACTTGAAGACAATTATATTCTCGATTAACTCGAAACAATTTTTATAAAACGTTTCCCCGCGAGCCGCAATTTTTCAATCGTGCAGATGTCGCAAAAAAGCTAGTTTTTAGATTTTTGATTCAAAAATCTGCATCGAATTCAAGCAAGGGTTTTGTTTTTTTTTGTCGATAATCCTGGATAAATGATATTGGCACGATGCGCCTTTAACTTGTCCATTTGATTATCCCCATATTCAGTTTCGCGTCGGGACCTCTTTCATAGTATAGTGACATTTCTACAGGGCAATCGTGAAAGGCAATGCAATATTAAGCGGATACGACGAGGCGAATCGTATTTCTCATTCACCTCGATTATTGAGGTCCTCATGGTTGGAAAAAAAGAAGCATTTCCGATAAGAGACATAATTTTGAGAACGCGAAACCCGAGAATAAGTACCTAACACTTCGGGCGCTCAAAAGTTGCCGAGTTGCGAAATATCGGTTCACTTCGTTTTTCACGTCGTTCGCCAACTCGCCGCAATCGTGGATACGGACCATTCAGGTGATAATGACGCGATTGCAGCACTGCACTCTGGTGACGTGCAATTTGTACCTGGGAATCGGCGGGAAATGCATTGATCAGGTTGATTCAACTGAGAAATTGGAGGGCGAAAAAATCAATTTTTTTAGAAGCGAAAATTGCCGAACAAGGAGCGATTTGAAGCATTCGACAAATTGTCAGGTATCGCAATTAGACGATAATTGGATAATTGCTTAATTGATTGTCTGGCGCAGGTTGCAATTAAAAATTGAACCCGGCGACTGATCAATTATTTTCTCAAAAAATGTCAACAACAAAACAAATCAAAAATTGTATCGAATTTATTTTTGAAGGAGCAGAATTGAAATTTAAAAAAAATCAGTAGTGACGTGGCAAGTGCGCCTTTAAAAATCAATGTGCATTCATATGGACCTATTCAACAAATTTAAATTTTTTTTTTGACAAAAAAAAATGAAAAAATCACATTAATTGTGCATTTATTGTTGACTGAATAGGTCCAATAATACGTACGTGAAAATGAGAAAGAATTGAAAATTTTCCACCGGGTGCGCCGCGACTCAATCTCATTTATTGGCCCCGCCCCCCTCCTACCCACAACTCGACTCGATGTGATCAATGGAATTTTGAGAATTTAGTTGAGGAACAATTCGAGACGGGAATTGTGTGGATGGCTGAAGCGATGGGCGTACCATCAGAGGTCGATGTGTTGCGCGCGAAAGTGAAACGAATCGAGTGCCAGAAGGGTAGTGTGGTCATCGAGCAGAACTCGTTCCAGATTGATATGATGTTCTTGGCGTTTGGGAAATTCAGCCTCAAGCGGGTATTGTTTTGATGGGCTCGTCGGCGAGTAAATCGACACCAATGAATCGCGCGGTGTTGTTGTTGTTTATTTTTTTTTGTCGAAAATAGTTAAAGTGTACCAATGGGTTCCTTGTTTCTGACAGCTTCCCGAAGTCGACGACACCGGCACAGCATTGTCGTTCGAAGTGTTCCCCGGCGACATTATGCCGTCGATGCAGATTCTCACGAACGAGCCGACGATGTGCACGGGAACCGCCACCGAGAAGTGCATTTATTTCGTGTTGCCGCGAGAGGAGTTTATCAGGTTGGCGGCGACGAAAATCACGGACCATTCTCGTTTCAAAGTCGCCTCTCAGCTTCATCTCAATTCATCCGATCATCTATTTGCGATTGGCTTTCAATGCGCTCCACTTTGTTTCGCCGTTCGCCAAGGTGTTCGACATTGCCGTCTCGTGGATTCGCATCGACACCGGACAAGCTCTCTACAGGTACTCTGGGCTTGGAGTCTCGACAGCCTAGTTGACAAAAATAAAAAATAAAGAAGGCCTCGTTTTTCAGGCAAGGCGAACGCGCGAATTGCATGTTCATCGTGATGGGCGGTCGCTTGCGGGCGGTGAATAATCGAAAAATCGTCGAGGAGTACGGTAGATTGGATGTCATCGGAATGTTGGATATGGCCGAGCGAATGCCGCGCAAAACGACGGTTCTCGCCGTGCGCTTCTCGCATTTGGTGTGCGTTCCCGAGAATTTGCTCGGTTTCGTCAAAATTCGCTATCCGCAAGTACGTTGGTCCGCCGTAGGCTTCTCGTCGTTGCTCTCATTCAATTTCTACGATAGGTGGCCACCAAATTGTTGCAATTGATCTCGCGCTGCTGGAAATCGCCGGGATTGCCCGAGAGCTCGCCGATTCCCGATTACACGCAAATTCAGAATTTGCGCACGATTGCGGTGGTGCCGGCGTCGCCCGACGTGCCGCTCGTCGCGTTCACGTGCGAGTTGTACAACGCGCTGACGAAGCACGTGAAGGCGCTTCGACTGAGCAGCACCATCGTTGGAAAATATTTCGAGCCGGGTGCTGTAAATAAGTGAGTTGAACATTGTCGATGTATTGTCAACTTTATTTTTTCTCGATCAGAAAAATCGATTTCGGTTTGATGCATTGGCTGACGGTTCAGGAAATCTTCTACCATCTCATCATCTACCAATGCGATTTCCATCAGACGAGCTGGACGCGACGATGTTTGCGAATGGCCGATGCGATATTGGTTGTCGCCATGGGCAAATCGAGTCGGCGCGCGCAAGTGCTCGCCGAGCAATTGATGAGCTGCAATGAGAAGGGCATTCGGCAGAGCAAGGAATTGGTTTTGTTGTGGACCGAGGACACAATGGCGCCGTCGGGGACCGCCGAATGGATGGCGGCGCAATACTATTCGGGATGCCATCATTTGCGAGCGCCGAAGCGCCTATTCAATTGGTGCTCGAACGCGGAGATCGCCAGCGAGGAGAGAATCATTCAGTTTTACGAGAACGAGGTGTTTGGGAGCATCGACACGAGAAGCGACTTCGCGCGTCTCGCGCGCATTCTCACCGGCAACGCGGTCGGCGTGGTGTTCGGCGGGGGCGGAGCGCGCGGTGCCGCGCACGCCGGCGCCCTCAAAGCGCTTCTCGAGAAGAATGTGCCGATTGATATGGTTGGCGGCACGTCGATTGGCGCGTTCTTCGCCGCAATGTACGCGAGCACACCGGACACGAGGGCGGTTGATCGAATGCGCGATTTCTTTGAGGATCGGTCTAGAAACAATATTATTGACGTTCTCATGGATCTCACTTATACGCACTCGGCGCTTTTGACAGGATACCGATTTAACAAGTAAAGAATCATTATTACGAAGAGATTTTTTTTAATGGGTTACGAAGCTGAATTTATTGAGAAGAATTTTGAAGTCTGTTTTCGAACCGACGCAATTTTGCACACATTTCAATTTTTTTTAATTAAAAATTTGAAACAACCCACTGAGAAAATTTACAAATAAATCGTTTTTAATTTTCGATTCTTTAAGGAAAAAAAAGAAAAACAACAGTTTCAAACCAAAATGTCACTTTCTTTTCCTTAATACTATTTCTAGAGCTGTTGAACGAATTCTGGGCGATCGTCAAATTGAGGATGCCTGGATATCGTACTTCTGCATCACCACGGACATCACGACGTCGAATATGCGCGTCCATCGGTCCGGCGTCATGTGGCCGTATGTTCGTGGATCGATGTCGATCGCCGGCTACATTCCGCCGCTTTGCGATCCCACTGATGGACATTTGCTGTTGGATGGAGCTTATGTGAATAATCTGCCGGCCGATGTTATGAGGTGAGTCGAATTGAGCTTGGCTCTGGCCGAGATGTTTTTTTCAATAAACACTGATTTTGTTTTGTAGATCGCTTGGAGCCAATGTGGTGATTGCGATTGACATCGGAATGGCTGAAGACAACTCGAATCTCACTGATTATGGATTTTACTTGAGCGGAACTTGGGTGATGTTCCGCAATTGGTTTCCGTTCATCGAGCCGGTTCGCGTGTTGAACTTGTCTGAAATTCAGGTAGCCCGGTTTTTCTTGGAAACATTGCCAATGTCCACATTTTAGAATCGTCTCGCTTATGTTTGTTGTGTTCATCAACTTGAAGCTGTGAAACGTGCTCCCTATTGCCATTACATCAAACTTCCTGTGGACCATTACCCGATTTTCAATTTTTCGAAGTTTGCCGATGTCTCCGAACTTGGCTACACGACGACACTTGCGAAGCTCACCGAGCTCATGGAGAAGAATCCGAACACGAAGGAGAAACTACTCGGCATCGCGAAGAACATGAATTCAAGCATTCAGGTTTGGCGTTGGTTGCCAATCGGCAAGTGTACTGAGAGAAGGGAATTGTAGATGCAGGATAACACAATATCAAGCATTGTCAATATGACAATGATGCCAATGGTGACGTCGACGATGACGAGCAGCTCGACGACGGGCTCGCCGAAGCCGACGCGCGATTATATTGAAGTGAACGCGTCGAGATCCATGGTCAATCCGATTCGTAGTCCAATCCGAGAGTGTAACTCTTGAGAGCATCTCGTGCATGTTTTGTGTTCTTTTTTTGGAAAATTTATAATAAATTGTTCTATTCAATTTTTTCTAGAAGAGCATTTTGAGCAAGGCCACTAGGAAGACGTAAATTGAGAAATGTTGAAGTGACGACTTGTCGAGTTTTGTGAAGCACCACTGAAATTAAGAGAATGATGAAGCCCCGATATTTATATTAGATCTACCTGATCCATCGGCATGTCTGGTTTTGTGTCCTTTGCGTATTTTTGAAGGATCTCAAACGGACAATAATCCGAGTCCTGTGGGCATCCGTCGATTCCATTGGTGATTGGATTAAACAAATCTCCCTCTTGTTTGTGGTAGAGCATCTAAATCAGAAGATTTGAAGAGAAACGAGACGGCAAGCAAACAGGTTACCTTGAAATATTTCTTGTTGTCTTTAGTATCGTTGTATAACTCGACGAGCACACATGCTGAATAGGCTGGATAGTGTCCGGCCGGCTTGATGGCGTATTCCTCGACGAGAAGCGCTGAGAAGAAGGCGTAGAGAGTGGTGTCGTGCTAGAAATGTCGATAAATTGAGATACACTGGTCTCGTTACCATTGAATAAATAAAGTTTTTGAGGTTATTGATCCATTTACAATCATCGGTGTTTTTTCCCATGCATTCCAGCTAAATAAATGTAGTCATTCGATGTTTTCTTAAATGTATTAAATTGTTCCCAACCTTTAGATTAAAATGGTCCATCATATTTGTGAGAATTGGACCACCTCGAAGCTTCCTTAACAATAATCCAAGGTCATGCCCGTTTACAATTATCGAATTATCTATAATAGCGGATTTAAAGCTTTAAACAATTTTTAAGGTTTAACTGAAAATTCCGTTGTTGTACAATTGGACCTGATCATTGATTCTATCGGATCGTTGGTAGAGTTCATCAGAAAACCATGAAAGTTTCTCGCGAAGCGTTTGATTAAAATAGATTTGCTGCAAAATTAAGGCGATTATAAGTTTTTTGGTGTAATCTTTAGAACTAAGGTGCATTAATGGCAAACATCGAATTTTGGTTTCAAATTTTGGTTTGAATCAAAATCGCAAGTTGAATTAATGCGACATTTCGAAGGTTTTGCATTTGCAATAAAAATTTAATGGCACCTCAATTAATTGCGTCTGAGTGATAATATATAAATTGTCGATGTCGATTGTGCTGTTGGTATTCGTTGACAGCTCTTTGAGGGTCCTCGACACCTACAAAAGTGAAGAATGTCGATGAAAATGGTTGAAATAGAATACCTCCTCGCTGTTGATAAAATTCTGAAGCTCGTCGGACTGTTTGCATAAGTCCCATACCTCATCGCGAAGTGGGCAGAAGCCGTCGACGTAGCCGAGCTGGAAAAAAAAACAAGAATCTTCGAAGAAAAACTACGAGAAACATTGAAATTCGCCGAAAAATTTAGTTTCGTAGCCGAAAATTGGAAAGTGAAAAATTTGTGTGTAGCACACCGACACGTAAAAATGCACACTTTTGAAAATGTTTTCCAAAAAGTGAAATTAAAAAAAAAACAAAAATTTTTGGCATTCCTACATGATCGGTTGGATTATCAACGGTGTGAATCGCAATCGGTACATATCCATGTGGCCAGCCAGGAGTTAGCGGATAATCTTCATTTCCTTGTGTTGTGTTGTCATCCTGACCATACATTCCCATCATATTTGACATTGCCGAGATTAAAGTTCTATTAACGTCTGTTGATCGCACATAAATCTGAAATATATGAGAAATAATAAAATTAACAAAAAAAAACATAAATTCTCTAACAAATGCATTTAATATGAGATAATTTGGTTTAAAAAAATTATTTTTAAAAAATTCCATAAAAATCACCTCGTTTGACCGATATTTTGGCGACAAAAACTGCATATCATTGACATATCGTTGTCTTAAAAGCTTTCCCAAATTCAAGTGCTGCTTCATTCCCAATGGCGAGAGCTGTCCGAGACCGCCGCCGCCGAACGTCCACATCGATTCGGTGATCGGATCATTGTTGTACAAATCGGCTGGAGACCGATCGCCGTGTCGCCACATCGTTTGAACCATTATCAATTCCATCGTGCCATTTTTGAAGCAGCTAATTGGAACAAGGAGAGATATGATGGATAAAACAATAAGCATAATTCCCGTTTGAAGACGCCTTAAAGCGAAAAATGAGACGGCTTGGTTTTCTTGTAAATGTCCGCAGATCGAAAATATCTTAAAAATTGCGAAAAAAATGATCGAAGACTGAAGTTTGGTGCTAAATTGTGCAGTTTAAAAAAATGACGGTTTTAAGAAGGAGGGCCGTTAAATTTTTATCACCTTCACCCGCTCGTTTGATAATCAGCACCGTTTAAAGGCGGATACATCGACACCAGTTAATGCGATTATATCACATTATTTGAGCTTTTCTTTTATCACATAGTTAAATTATTATAAGTATTATTAATAATATTATTATATATAGTAAGTGATGGAAACTATGAGCAGGATGGCAATATTGTGCAATGAGGGCGCCGATTTCTTGAGAATATCGTAGTCGCACCACTAAAAACTTGAAAATCGATACTCGATATTCTCAATTTCTTGCCTGATTCATTTCCATGTCGGGTTTGTAGGTTTCGGCAAATGTTTCGAGCACTGATAGGTCACATAAGTCGGATGAGCAGCCGGAGATTACTGAAAACCCCCTTTATCAATTGCGCTCTGTTGCTAATCTTTTTCGCGCTTGGATTTGAGTTGATTCGTTGATTCCTATTTATTTATTTTTTATTTTTTTCTAATAATAATTTTAAAAGAAGGGCTAAAAATTAAAAGCATGGATGGTTTTTTTTTTAAATTTTAAAGGCGCATACGATTGAAAAATTTCCAAATTTGGCGAATGGCAATAAGAAACTCACGTGAAGTAATTACATTATTGAGCGTGTCATTTTCGTTTCGATAATAAATCAACTGAAGAATTCGAAAATCAATTTAAAAAATGAATACGAAAAATATACCTTGAAATAATTTTTGCTGTTAGTAGTGTCTTGCCAAAGTTCCATTATAGCACTGGCCGAGTAGTCCGGATAGCCTGAATGCGTTTTAATTATATCATATTGAAGAATGTTGAATTCAAAAAAGTGTCGTAGAGTTCCGTGTTTTGGTACGCAGTGCACCGAGCGATTCCGCTTTTTGTCATTTTTTTGAAAATTTTTGTTTAAAAAAAAATTAGAAAATAAAAATTTTATGTGAGCAACTCGCTGGGCGGGTGTTGCGTACCGAAACACCGAATTCTACGACACCTGAAAAAATTCGCCAATCAATTAATTACCTCTTGGCAAAACGACAGCATTCGATATATTAAACGCCGAGAGTAGGGCATAAATTGTGGTATCATGCTGGAAAAAAAAGAGAATTAAGATTCCAATTTTTTTTCGCGCAAAATTGATCTACAGCAGAGTATCCGAAAAACTTCAAATTCTCCGTATATCTACAAGGCTTCGTTGTATTTCCGGAGCAGTCGATTTTGCGGACCATTCGATTGTAAATGTCATTCAATAGGGTCCCGCCGCGAATTTTCTTCAACATTTTTCCCATGTCAAGCCCCTTCACCATTACGTCTGAAATTCGTAATTTATTCAGGTGAACGTTTTTTTCTTTGAATGCAGATATGCGCCTTTAATGATTTAGGCAGTTAATTTTGAAATTTGGCAAAATTTATTTTTTAAAAAAATCAAAACTTACTATCCAATCCTAATCCATCTTGAAAATCTTGAACCTGCGAATTGACGATGTCGATTTGCTCGTAGAGCTCATCCGTGTACCACGGTGTGAAATTCAGAAACACTTCCGGATAGTGGAACTTCTCGATTTTGAGCGCGCTGTACAGAATCCACAGATTCTCCGGATTGATGTCCTCGCCGGCGAATTGGCTGAGGTTGCCCATCAGCGCCACAACGTCGGGCCGATTGAAGTAGCCGTCGACCTGGTCGGTGGTCTTGGCGAGATTCCAAATCGTGTCGTGAAGTGGGCAATAGTTGTCGACGATTAGCAACTGTAATTACTTACTATGTAGTTTATGTGCATTTGCGTCGCCGTGTTTGCACACATTCCAACAACGCTACAGTAATATTAGTCAGTTTTTGTTTTTCGCAATTTACACACTTTTTGCACTAGATTAGAGACTCAAAATTGACTCAAAAAAATTATTTTAGAGACTCAAAATTTACATGATCGAAATCTTCCTCGATTGTGTGGATTGGAATTGGCACGAAGCCTTGAGGCCAGCCGGGAAGGTCCGGATAATCAATGCCTGTAATTTAAACAATTGATTTGAAAAAAAAAATCAAATTATTGCATTTTTCTTTGAAAATTTAGGAATAAAGAAACACGTAAATGGGATTTTAATCGGATGGCCGAAGTTTTAAAACAAGGCCATGACGTTGAAATGATTCATTCTTGTCTATTGGGGACAGTTCAGAAATTTTGAGAAAATCTACAGGTTTCAGAATTACCAATTTTTTTTAATCAAGAAACAAGTTTAATTTAATTTCTGAAAAATTCGAGTATTTTTGTTGACAAAAAGGAGGCCGTGAAAATTGATGGCCGAATTTTTAGAACCACGGCCATGCTGATTTTTCTCGCGCAAGAATTCGACTATAAATTTTGAAACCTGCTCGATTGTAATTCTGCTGATATCCTCCATACATTCCCATCATATTCGAGAACGCCGACATCAGCGTTCGATTTTTGTCCGACGATCGAATGTACACCTCCTTCTGATTGTACGTGTCCGACAAAAACCGATACGGTTTTCCGGCAATGTAACGCTTCCTCAATTTTGTGCCAAAATTGTATAGTTGCTTCATTCCAATCTGCAAAACGCCCAACTTAATTACCCTTAATTAGTCGACGTCCAATTAACCGGCGTTAATTGTCCCCAGCCACCACCACCGTAATACCAATATTCTTCAGTAAATCGATCATTTTTATAGGTTTCCGTTGGCACTCGATCGCCATGCCTCCACACCTGCAATTAACCCTTAATTAATTAATCATTAATTATGCCACTAATTACTGATTGGACCAGCATTAACTTCATGGTGCCATTTAAGACATCGGCGCCGCTGACCAGTGAGATAATAAAGGTGATTAGGCATAATTTTGCAAGCATGCTATAAATGGTCTGAAAACGAGAAAATTCTTACTTAATTAGGGTTGCGGTAATTAAGAGAGTAATTATACCAGTAGCGCGAGTTGGAATTAGAAATGAGGGCGTGCGTACGGTCCGCATGACATTTTGGGAAATGAGCAAAGTTAGTCACGTTTGAAAATTGAGCAAAAGAGAATATGGTTGGCGTGGTGTCGAGTCAGCGACCATTCGCGCAAAAATTGAAAAGTTTTCGCATATCGCCACCCAGAGACACTGGGAGCCCTGTAGCACCACCGTATAAGAGCGCGGTCGTGAAAACATTAAATGTTTTTGAAAATCCTTGAATTCGATGGAAATTTGTAGAAAAAATTGAAATTTCATTGGCAAAAACACCAATTTGCATAAATAGCAATTCGCAAAAAAATATTTGTTTTCAACTCATTTCGCATTCAAATGCATTTTCCCATTTTGATTTGAATTGAGGTGAAAAGACGAAAAATTGTAAGCAAGAAACACGTGGCATCAAATTAGCGCCAGGTGCAGGTGGAGCTGTAAGGGTGCCAATTTTGGCCAACATTGAATAATTTGCGTTTCTTTTTTGTTCTGTTTGTTATTTCGGGCCAAACTCGACCGAAAACGCATTGATGTGTGAAGTTTTTGGACCGGACCGGATTTGACACCAATCGGGCTGCGGGTGGGGATGGATCAAAATATTGATTTTCAAGGATTTCCAGAAATGCAGGTTCGCGACAAGACCAGATTTCCTTATTAGACGAATATTTATAGTGATGGTCGGCAGAATTCGAGTAGCATGGTAGCAGACTAAAACTAATCGAAGAACTTTTGTGCCTCCAACAGTATTGACAGAGGAATGAAGAAAAGTTGGAGTGCTCGACGAGACGAAAAAAATGCGAAACTCAAACAGAGAATTATTGGAAATGGGTCCCCAACTAACACACACAGTCAGCGATTGCAATTTTTATCCGATTTAAAACCCGTGAAAGTTGACACCTCAAAATTTATCAACATTTTTTTTTGTTCATTTCACACCGATAACAATTCGATAGTGATAATTAAAACCACAATTTTGTAGTATAAAAAATGGGGAAACAACGATGAAAACAATCTTTAAAGGCTCATTCAAAAAATTAAATTTTTTCGCGCCAGGAATTTTTTTGAAAATGGTGAATACCGTAATTAAAGGCGCATGCCCAAATTTGTTCCAATTTTCTCAATAAAAAATTTTAATAAAAATTATTATAATTTTTGTTGAAATTTCCAATGTTTGAGGTTTGATAGCCCGATGGAATTACTATGCAGACGGTGGGTGCTCACAGAGCTCCGTCTTCAAATACCATCTTAACAAGGCGATCTCCAAGGCTCCAAAAATTAATTGAAACGTTGGAAACCAAATCAATTTGATATCTTTTAGATGAAATTGAACATTTTTGGAATTGCGCGCCAATTTTTTTTCCAAAAATTTGAATTCAAAAATATTCAAAGTTGTGCAATGTTGCGTGTGTGTGCTCTGGTAACTCAATACCAATCGGATCCGAATTGGAAAATTTTACCAATCGGATCCGCGAAATTACCAATCGGATCTGAAATAATACAAAAATCGAATCGGATCCAAGGAATTTCGAATCGGATCCGAATTATCTAAACAAATCTGATCAGAACAATTTCCAATCGGATCCGAAAAAATGCAAATCGGATCCGAGAAATTACCAATCGGATGCAATTACAAATCTTATCCGTAGAATTACCAATCGGATCGGGTTGATTCCGGAGCCGAATTTTGTCGGATCCGATTTGTAATTTTTCGGATCCGATTGGTTTTGCGTTACCAGAGTGTTTGCACATCTACAAAATTTTTTCTTAAACTTTTGGAATTTTCTTTTAAAAAATGCGCATATTATTCGCATTAAAGCACCTCAATTTCTGAAACACTGCTCATAAAATTAAACAGTGCAAATTTTTGAATTTTTCAGCAACCAAAAAAAAGAAGAAGAAGAGGAATGTCACAACTAGGAAATATTAGCAATAATAGCGCGAAAATCCAATTCAGATATCCAATAAAAACGCGCACACACACGCCCACCGATAAGACTCAAAATCAAAATTACGCGCGCGCCCGAGTTTTTCAACGAATTAATGCAATTTTTATGGGAATTTCCGCGTAATCTTTAGCCGGAGCCCGCCGAATACGTGTTTATTATAAACGGCATAATTATACCTAAAATGCATTCACACCATTTGTAACAATTTTTGGCGGGGCCTTCAAAGCCACCAAATTGGCGTGCCTTAATAATATTGCATGATTCAGACCCCCCATCGTTCATTTTTACCATTATTGTTGGTTTTTTTTTTGTTGTTGATTATCACAAACATTTTTGAATTGTATCATTGAAACAAACTTATAATTTAAGACTAAAATCAAAAAAAATTTAATTTAAATTTAATAAAAAAATTTAATTGAAAAATTAAAGAAAAAATTATTTTAAGACTAAAATCAAAAATCATGGCATGCGCCTTTAATTAACGATTTTCTTGTTTTCGCTTGAAATTTTCAAAGTCATTTAAAAGAGTAGTTAAGTGAAAACAAAGCTGCGGACATTTTCAAAAAAATGGGAAAAAGAAAATTTCATATTTTCATTGTTTTTTTGTTCTAAATATTATAATCATTGTTGGATTTGGTGGATTATCCAGTTTACAATATTTGAGGCCACCACGAGACCCAACAAAATCCAATATTGTTGTACCTCGAAAGCACTTTTATTTTGTAGACCCCTTATTAAGAATAAATGATGAGGTGAACATTTTCAACCGGTCCATAAGACGACCGAAGTGACGTTCTACGACATTGCTATTTTATGAAATATACGAGACCATTTTAAAGGCGCATTGAACTCTATTGAAATTGCAAATTAAACGAATGTTCACGTCTCAATTGCTCGATTCATCTCCCCAATAACGATTTTCATTTCTTGCGAGTCCATCGAAATGAAATTGACGTGCTCGGCTTCCCGCTGATTCCTTCGGCTTCACCGTTCGACAAAAAGGTTGTTTGTTTTTTTTTGCAATTTTCTTTTGTCAAAAAAAAATCGAAAAATTTGGTTCTATTTTGATGATTCTTGTTGAAATCGCGCGCCGGCCGCAAATTGCCTGTGTACTCCATACGGACAATGCACTAGTGATCCCAGTCATGTTGCGAGATCCAGTAGACCTTGTCAGCCGTGCAATCCTCTTCACGAATCCATTATAGTGATTACTGCCGTTGCGCAGGTATTTGATACGCAGCCAAATCGATCCAAATCATGTCTGCCAAAATTTTTTGTGCGCTCCGTCGTGCATTGTGAGCCTCAAAACGATTATATCTATTATAAAACGTGGTCCGCGGAACATAATATATGAATTTATCTAAAATATTGAATCAGCAACGATGAACGCACAACATATTAGTCTGCAATCGGCAATATATATAACTCGGAAGAGAATTGAAATAAAACAAATCTTCAACAAAAAATACATAGTTATGAAACATAGTAGTAAGCAATAACTCAAGAAAAAAAAAAAAGAGAAAACAATGACAATTTTCTCAAAATCCGTATTTGCGCGTCAACTCTTGTGTATGTGTGCACACACCGCAGCGTTTACCGTACTCCCTCGAAACTAACTCACGTTTTAAATTTCAAAATGTTCATTAATTGTACTAGCGATTTAACCGTAACAACTGAGTTAATTATATCACACGAAATGCTTGGCAAATGATACACTCAGGCAAATGAAAAAAAATATTTTGAGACAATTCTAAAATCTTATGAGGTTCGTTGAGAGGCTAACGTGTCTCTATAATATTTTAGATTTGTCTCAATAAACTTTAGGAAATCTCATAAGATTTTAGAATTTATCAATAAGTTTCAATGAATATTGTGAGACTTTAAAGTTTATCAATAAGTTTTAGATTTGTCTCAATAAACTTTAAAGTTTATCAATAAGTTTTAGATTTGTCTCAATAAACTTTAGAATATATCAATAAATTTTAGATTGTTCTCAATAAACTCTGTCCAATATTATGTAATATCATACGTTATCGAGCAATTTTCACACAAATAGAATGTAATAACATCCATAATAATTGAATATGTATGAACATTTCATTTATTACAATATTAATGCGAAATGAATATATTAATAATAAAAATCAGAAAAAAAAATAAATGAATCAATTTATCCTTTTCGCATTTTCTCCTTTTTCTGCGAATGACGCACAACGTTGCTATAAGGAATTCGTTGCATATATTGAAAGAAAATGTTGAACTTACAAATTTTGATGATTGAATTTGTCGTTTTTCGATTAATTTCATGAGTTCTTTGCGATAAAATGACTTCTTAATTAAATCCGGATTCGCGTTGAAACGCATTTTCAATGAAGTCACAATCTCGTGATATAGTTTATAACTGAAAATTGCCAGTTTTAAAAAATAACTGAATGAGTCTAACTTTCTCAAAATACTATATCCAATCCCGTTTGTCTGTTCCGAGCACATGTTTCTCTTGATAACGTGATAAATGTGCTCATGCGCTTGCGTGCTTATTGCCGACAGCTGACCATGACATTACTGTACAAATGGTATATAAGTTGCTGAAACAATAAAGACAGTAATCATTAGTATTATTTCTTATATCAACGACAATAGCATGATGCTACAACGTTCAATAACTCTTAAAATTGCAAAAAAAACGACTTACGTGCACTTTTGAACCAGAAAACAATTGAGGCGCCCCATCTCAAATTAGAATTTCTAATAATTTGCAAATACCTGCGATCTGAAATAAAAATTTTCCATTATGTACATAGCTAACGATCCCATATTACTTTGTTTGGTAATGTTGTATTTGTAACTAAGCGAGTCGGTGACACCATCCATCGGTAGCAAGCATGTATAAGCAACACAACAGCTGAACCTAACGGAGGGATGGTTCCGATCATGGCGTTAGAAACAATTTTCACTTCAAAAATCTTCAAAGGATGATAATTGCAAGTGGTAAATTAACTTACACTAGCTTTTTCGGACCTATTAATGTCATTGAATTTTCCTGATAGCGACTTTACCGAAGATGGCAGTCTCGCTTTCACATCAATAGCTTCGCATCGAAAAATATTTATTTCGTTTTTAACGAAGACTTCTAAAAGACAATCTTCAATTTTTAAATGCTGAAAAAGGAGAGACATAATTGAAGTACCTTTTATTATACGTGTTCCCTCGTGAAAAAGGTGGAAAATATCCATGGCCGTGATCCACATGGGCACCTGCTCATTGAATTTGCTGTATTTACCTCGTTTCTTAAATCTATCGGCCAATGTTTCTGGAATGTTTGTTCCACACTTTTCCCGATCTTCTAAAATATCGAAATCATTAGAAACTGAAGTATAATTGTAATTAATTGTAATAATTGTGCTTATTTTTAAAATTCATGAACCTGTTCATGCAATGACATGTTTAGACACAACTGTTTCAAATTCAGCATGTAAAACAATGCAGATTTAAGGTAGTGTTAAACATTTATTATAAAAACTTGCATTTCATGAATACGTCCATCAGTGAAGTGAAGAAACTATTACAAAAAGCTAAAAAAAACGGAAGGAACATCAAAAACATAAATTATTGATTGGAATTTAGAAGATCTTAAAAAGAGACGCCGCAAATTGCGTCAGTGGAAGTCATAAGGGCCCTATTCAAATTTTAAAGTCTCACAATATATTGAGATACTTTACACTTTCTCAAAAGATTTAACTTTCTCAAAAGATTTAATTTACAAATTCCAAATTTTTAAAATTTATTGATTCTCAATAAGTTTTAGAAAGTATCAATAGACTTTAGAATTTCTCAAAATATTTTAGAGTTTATCACTGAATATTTGATTCTCAAAATATTTTATTTGATTTGCCTGAGAAATCCCAATGTTGGCCGAAGTCTACGATCGCGCGATGATGAAATTTCAGTGCTACCGTAATCCGACCAATTGTTCCGAGTCTGTCAACAATCTCAAATTTTTCGCCTACTCGTCGGTACTCTTGAGAAAAATCGCCAAAAGCGAAATTTTGCCCGATTCATTTTCAGCACGACCGAACCATGTTCATTTTGATGGGTCTTCTCGGCGTCGAGGAATTGGTCGACACCGAAGTCGGATGGCCCGATTACACCGCCACGCTTATGTTTGAGAATTTCGTCAAGAATGGGACCGACGACAATTATTTCCGAGTAGGACCCGACATCAATGAGTCATCGATTTGAAAAACAAAATGTCTATTCAGCTTCTCTATCGCGCTCATCCCTTCGAGACCACATTCCAAGTGGTGACGCAAAAGATCAAAGACTGCGATAATCAGGAATATTGCTCTATGGAGGTGCTCAGAAATATTACGGATACTTATAAAACCGATATGGACATTGACACGGTAATACAATTGCGAGTCGAACCCCCCACCAAAAAAAAAGAACACTTGAGTCAATATTGATTTGTTTCAGATGTGCAACACGCCAATTCAAAAATCCGGCAATTCTCAGCGTAATTTATTATTTCTCGCAAATACCCTAATTGTATCATTTGCCAAGCATTTCGTGTGATATAATTAACTCAGTTGTTACGGTTAAATCGCTAGTACAATTAATGAACATTTTGAAATTTTTTGTGCGCTCCGTCGTGCATTGTGAGCCTCAAAACGATTATATCTATTATAAAACGTGGTCCGCGGAAAATAATATATGAATTTATCTAAAATATTGAATCAGCAACGATGAACGCACAACATATTAGTCTGCAATCGGCAATATATATAACTCGGAAGAGAATTGAAATAAAACAAATCTTCAACAAAAAATACATAGTTATGAAACATAGTAGTAAGCAATAACTCAAAAAAAAAGAGAAAACAATGACAATTTTCTCAAAATCCGTATTTGCGCGTCAACTCTTGTGTATGTGTGCACACACCGCAGCGTTTACCGTACTCCCTCGAAACTAACTCACGTTTTAAATTTCAAAATGTTCATTAATTGTACTAGCGATTTAACCGTAACAACTGAGTTAATTATATCACACGAAATGCTTGGCAAATGATACAATTAGGGTATTTGCGAGAAATAATAAATTACGCTGAGAATTGCCGGATTTTTGAATTGGCGTGTTGCACATCTGAAACAAATCAATATTGACTCAAGTGTTCTTTTTTTTTGGTGGGGGGTTCGACTCGCAATTGTATTACCGTGTCAATGTCCATATCGGTTTTATAAGTATCCGTAATATTTCTGAGCACCTCCATAGAGCAATATTCCTGATTATCGCAGTCTTTGATCTTTTGCGTCACCACTTGGAATGTGGTCTCGAAGGGATGAGCGCGATAGAGAAGCTGAATAGACATTTTTTTTTTCAAATCGATGACTCATTGATGTCGGGTCCTACTCGGAAATAATTGTCGTCGGTCCCATTCTTGACGAAATTCTCAAACACAAGCGTGGCGGTGTAATCGGGCCATCCGACTTCGGTGTCGACCAATTCCTCGACGCCGAGAAGACCCATCAAAATGAACATGGTTCGGTCGTGCTGAAAATGAATCGGGCAAAATTTCGCTTTTGGCGATTTTTCTCATGAGTACCGACGAGTAGGCGAAAAATTTGAGATTGTTGACAGACTCGGAACAATTGGTCGGATTACGGTAGCACTGAAATTTCATCATCGCGCGATCGTAGACTTCGGCCAACATTGGGATTTGCAATCGTCGCAATTCGGCCTGCACGTCGATGCCGTTCACGATCGGCGGCTCTTCGGATCCTATAAATTTTCAATGGTCCTCACGAATATAAATTTCATCGGATACCGTAAACGCCGGCGTGTTGCGCTTTCTGCGGCTTGTACCATTCTTGCGACGCTCGATAGAATTCCTCGTTGTACCACGGCGCTTTCGCATAGAGCGTATCGTTGAAATGGATCCTCTGCATTAATTTGACGATCAATTAATGGGGCAATTAAGAAGCAATTAATTAGTTTACCTGACACGTCAAACTGTCCGGAACCAATACCGTATCCTCGATGCTCACATTGTACCATTTTGAGATATTCATACCGAAGCCGATATTCTGGAAAATTCGCCCATCGATGACGGGTGAGTGAGAATGTTTTGGGCCTACCTGCGGATTTCCGAACCATTTGAGAAAGACGGTCGAATTTCGTCGAAGCGTCTCAATCTCGGTTTTCCGTTTGCACACGCATTTCTCGGTGACACCCTTTAAAATAGATTAATGTACATATTTATGAGAATTAAGGAGGTATTTGAGCAATGCTTTAATTGCGCTATTTCAAAAACTATTTTCACGTAAAATTGATTGAAATGTGTGCAATATCGCGTCAGTGTGAATCACAGACGAAATCGTTTTGCGATAATATTTTTTCTTTTGGATTTTCTTCCCAAAATTTGCATTGAATGCAACATTTTTTTCTATAACATATTTCACAATTTTTGTCGCGATTTAATAGATTCAGTGATACTGTAGGATTCGAGAAATCTGGCCGTGGCCGAAGTTTTTTTTCGTTCAACCAGCATCTCGTTATTAAGGTTTCCGATATGAGTTTTAAAAATCTATTCATGTCACCAAATGAAAAATTCTCACACATGGCTCGTCCTCAACATGAACTGGTATCATGCTAATGATTCCTGCAAATAATTTCCAAATTTTTGAGATGATCCATTCCGTTCATTTACCGTCGTTCTGAGATTGAGCCGTCGTGTACATGCCGGAAAACACCGAATTTCCCGACATTATTGTGCGATTCACGTTTGTCGAGCGAACGTAGATCTGAAATTGTCCGCAGATTGGAATCGTGAAAAAACCAAAAGTCGCACCGCGGAAATTTAAATCCTTCTCTATTGGAAAACAAAAAAAAACTAATTTCGATTTCAAAAAAAGCTCTTTGTGGTGCGGCTATTATATCATTCGAATCTCCAGACTTGGGTCTCTTGAAGCTTCGATCTCAGTTAACTTTTAAAAAATTTTTGCTTCGATATACTTCTGGAAACGCATATAGGTTTCAATTTCTCCCGAAAACAAAAACCATTCGTCTTTTCTTTTTCTCGTTAGTAGCTCGCCGATTTCGTTTGTCAATGTTATTAAACACTGCCGATGAGCTTATTGGCAAACATGTACTACAAGTAATCAAAACCAAAGAATAAAATTGCTTACAAAAATATGTTTTTTTTTTTCACTTCAAAGACCCTTTACAAATTTTTTTGCGTGTTCCTTTAAATAATACAAAGAAAAGGTTACTGTAGGTCTGGTTACTGTAATTTGTACATTTCTGCGAGTGTTTAAATTTAAATTTGAATTACGATTCTAACCGAAATTTCGAGAATCCAAACTCCCTCCCCCCAAAATTAAAGGCGCATTACCTCTTTTGCCTTGTAGGTCTTTGAAAGCCATTTGAGATCGCTGATATACCGCTCCCTCAGAGCCTTCCCCAATTTTCTTGTCTGCTGGAGGCCAATCTAGAAAAAAAAGCGGCGACCGGGATGAAGTTTTCCGGAAAAAAAGAAGATGAAACGAACCGGTGACAATTCGCCAATTCCTCCGGCCGCTTCCTCCCATTCCTCAACGGAAATCGGGAAATGATCATAGAGGGCTGCGCGATCGCCGTGTCGAAAAAACTGAAACATCGAGAAAGCGGTGTCTTGGCACGAAAACGAAATCTAGAGGCTCACCGTTTGCACAAAAACCATTTCCATGTCATTGTTGGCCGAATAAGTTGACGAAAAAAGGCACATCAAAAAAATGAGCATTTTTGTGCGTTTTTTTGTTGTGTTTTTTTGGAATCGAAAAATTGCCTAAACCCAATTGATCCACAAACCGATTTGAGCCTGTTTTTATTGGATTCTGTAATGTACACAAGAAAAAAATGGGAAGGCTCGATTCTAATGCGACTTTCAAACAACAATTATAAACTGAGCAAATAGATGAGAGTCCCTCCCACCCCCACGACGAGACAAAATCAAAACTTGTGAGTAATTCGACAAATAATTTTGATGCGATCCGAACAGATCAACACCGATTGATAATACGGAAGTAATTGGTTGGTGGTAATTAGTGAGAGATTTCGAGGACGCCTTGACGAATGAGCATTTCGCAGTCTTGACGGGGAAGCGAGTGCTAAAATATTTATTATAAATCACAATGACGAATTTTCTTTTTCTATTTGTACTCATTTTTTCCCGGGTGGCTGACTCATTGGGAACGCCTCCTTCAAACTAGATTCTCGAAATTGGTCTTCTCGGGATCATGCATGCTTTAAAGGGTCCCGCAATTCTACTTCGATTCACCCCCCCCCCCTCGATAATTTAAAACAATTTTGAATTTAAAAAAAATAGAGATTGCGAAACAAATGCAGGTTTAACAATTATTCTATAAATCTGGATTTTTATTCAACCGGAAATTAGAAAAAAATGTGATAAAATTTCTTTTAACCAAACGACCGAAAAAAAAGGATTTTTTTCTCGTAAAACACGTTAACAAAAATATTCTAATTGAATCGATTATTCATATTTTTCAGGCGTCAAACTTCAAATGTTCACAAAAAAAATGACGTGTGAAATTCTGCATTTTCTCACGTCTAATTTTGGGGGTAAAAAAGGCAACCCTAAAGTAAGACATGCTAGAAAATTACAGTAACCCACAAGGAAACATGTCATATGGGATGTAAAACAAACTCAGCAACGTTTGGCAGTTAAAATCAGTTTTTTGCTAAGGAAGGACCCGCCCGCCTTCCTAATCATTCCGTGGCCTTTCCGAAGTGAGTCAGAAGCTGGGAGGAAATGCGGCCTTCATTTATTGAGAAAAAAAACGACTTTGTCCGAACGATCAAACTAAAAATATCAATTCTCGCCGACCCTTTTAAGGGTCGTAAAATCACACTTTGAACTCGCACCGACGCACACCACCGCCGCTCGATCGACAAAATAAAAAGAAATATTTTTTAAATCGATAATTCATATAGCTGCAGACAATTTGAGGGTTTGAAGAAAAAAAGCAGAAAAGAGAACCCATTTTTGGTGTAACAAGAAGAAAATTGTGATTCATAAATCGACACCACCTACGATTTTTTTTTCGGCTTCAAGACCCATTTAAAGGCGTCAATGAATATCGGGAAATATGATTTTCGATTAAAAAATACTATTGCCAACAAAATTTCGCCGAAAGACGCGCGGTCGAAAAAAAACTGAGGAACGCGGTGTTTTTTTTTCGAAATTTAAATACTCAGACGACCGCTCTCTCTCTCTCACTCTCTCTCTCTTTTTCTCTGAAAATGTCTGAGAATTTTATCATTGCATATTATTCACAAAATTTGTTTAAGGCGGTAAAGTTCTTAGGTGCACTAAAAAATGTTATTGCCTTTTTTTTATTGTTGGCGTGGTCGAATCGGCGATATCGAGAACAAGGAAGAAATCGCGAATCAATTTGATGACAATGAGCCGATCGGAAGAAAAAAACACACACACACATACAAAAAAATGTTTGAAATTTGTGAAATTTTTGAGCAGCTGTGCGAGTCTCTCGTTGAGCCCCAGCCGGGTTGGTGGAGGAATGGGACGGGGGTCTAATTCGTCACTGGCAACTCAGCTCACCGAAATTCGGCGAATGATTAAGCTGCTCGGCACCAGAGTCGACTTTTTGTTTCGCGTTATATCACGAGCATTTTTTTTCTTGTGCTATGAGAAACATACACGAGTATGAGAAACAAAAGATCAAGCATGTTGTATGTACTTTGGCTAATTGTGGGTGTTAACAACACGCGCACGAACGCTTCAGTGGAATGCGCCTTTAAACTTGAAAATTTAAGAGCTTTTTAAAGGAAAATCTCAAAGCCCTTTAACTTAAAGGTGCATCAATCAGCGAATTTTTAAGGACTCATTATAAATCCAAATTTCGGTTCAGTTACGGTACCATTAATGGTGCTATTTTGAACACTTGGGTGCCTTTCATTTTTCTACACGTATTGCACCTGATACTGTAGTTCGGGATTTTTAAGTTTTTTTTTTCTGTTGAAAAATCTAAAAAGTATCATTATTGTTGTAGAAAGCGAGAAAAAATCCAATCAACAACAAATAAAGAGCCAATTTATTATGGGAATATTCCTCAATTCAATTTGAAAACGAGGCTACAGTAACAGGTGAAACGCGCATCTTCTCACGTGCGCCTTTAAAAACAAATGTAGAATAATAATAAAAAAAAATTTTTCGACAACAGTAATGAAAATTTGGCAGCTTTGCGGAAAAAAAAGGAGTTGCGGTTTTTCAGGATACTGTGTTCCTGAACTTCAGTGCTTGTGGAGATTATCTCAGAACTAAAATATATATGCGCCTTTAAAATGAGACAATATGTTTCACACCATTATTGGGACAATCAAATTTGAAATTTCGATAATTTCATTTTTTGTTAAAAAATTAATTGCCAATTAAAAATGATATCTGAATTTTCTAATATTTAAAGAAATGAGTAATCCGCTGAAATTTTTTTTGCGATTTTTTTTCAACCCAAAATCCAATTTATTCAAACAATTCGCCAAAATTCTCAACAGTTCCGCCTATTCGTCTCGCGGGTTACGGTATCATTCTGCCAAATATGGTTTTTGGTTGTTAAACACTGCTATCAATCTATATTGGCCAATTGTTGATCATTTGAGCTCGATTTTACGATCGTGTCTATCAAAAAATTACTTTTCGGCGAAATTTTTTTTCGCCAACAATAATTGATAAGGTAACTAAAAAAATTTAACGCAGAGTCCAAAAATCGCAATTTTATGGGAAAAAAATGAGAAAATCTGGATTTTTGTGATTTTCAATTAAACAAGCGTTCTTTATTCGCAAAAATTGATACGAGCGGCGAACATTTGTCGAAATTGTTTGTTTTAGACAAATAGTTTTAGAGTACTCGATCAACTTGATCAATTTCAAGTACGGGTTCAAATTAGCAAGACGCTTCATTTTTAGAGTTTTTAAAAATGAATTTTTGAGATTTTTAAACAATTTCAAACTTTTTTTGCTACATTTTCTAATAAAATATTTACTTACCAAACTATCCTTCATCAAATAAACGAGTGTTCCATCGGACGTCTCGAATTCTCCATAATTCTCGAGTGCTCGAACTTGCACAAAAAGCGATTTGGGCGGCTCGGTGTGCAGAAGAAGATTGACGCCCATGTCGCCGAGATTCCCTTGGAAATTCGCCATCGCACTGGAATACTCGTTGAAGAACTCGATTTCCGCCTCGCAAAGAGCGTTCTACAAAAAAAAATAAGATAAGGAAATTGAAAAAAAAATCATAATTTGCTTTTTTTCATCATAAAAATGAGTTTCTGTGATTTTGAAGTTTTCCGGATTACAGAAAACAGTTTGGAAAATTATTTTCCCAATTACAGCCAAATTTCTAACCTTAAATGAGTAGTTCAAGATTTAAAAGGTTTTCAGCATTGTATATCTTATTTTTTAAGCTCAAAATTTTACTATATGTTACCCTGATCGATATTGGCAACGCTCCTCCATACTTCCAACGAAATGATCGAATTCGATCTTTTCTCGCATTGACATATGCGCAGAGGCACCGCTAAACATTAATTTTTCGAAATTTTCCCCACAAAAAATTGAAAATTACACGAATATGATACATTGCTACAATTCTTGGCTGTAATAGCGAGTGTTCGCTGGCCTTTCCGGCTCTCATGTCAGCTCTGAAACTCGATTTATTTTTTTTCCTATTGCGAATCCCTCCTTACACAACTCTTGCATTCAATTTGTAGAGTTCGTCGATTTTTTGAAGACATTGTCTAACCAGTTCTGCCTAAAATTTTAATTTCTTCAACGCATGAAATTTTAATGACCCACATTGTATGGCGGAAGCACATCTGGGTTGCGTTTCATCTCAAAGATCAGCTGAAGGGCCTTGTCAGCGATTCCGCCGCGCTCTTTTTCCGTATTATTCATGATTTCTGAAAAAAGGCGAACATTGAGGAATTCTGTCGAATAAATGACGAAATTGGAAAATCGGTGTTTAAAATTCGCGGTGTATTGTGTGCAAACACGCGACGCTAAATTGCGGACGAGAAGTTTTTGGCATTTTTCGGCTCCGGTTGATTTCATAATTTTAGCCGTTTTTCGCGTGAATTTCCGCAAGTTTCATCGTTTTTATTTAGTATGAATGTAGATCCAATTCATTTATGTCTATGTGAATTGTGTAGTCGTCAGATTGCTGGCGAAAATGCGGCGAATATCGAACTCGCCCAAAAATCCTATGAATGCATGCTTTGCTTTGGCATTCTGGACAAGGAAATGATCGATGAGGTATGAGAATTAAATTGAAAACATTAAAATGTGGGTTTAGGTAGGAGAAGCTGTCCAAAAAGCGCTAAATGCCCTTCCATATGATTCGAAAAGTTTTATTTTAGCATTGAACCTTCCAACCTCCCAAACATTAAGGTATTTCATGAATTTCGAGATGTTTTTCAATCGCATATTTCAGAGAAATTCTTATTTCACGAATTCGTACTGATTTTCATGGAACTCTGGTCACAGTGCCATTCAAAATCAGAAATATTGATGCTTACATCAAAAAATTGGAATCGGTAAGCAAATTTTCCGAATTTTGTCTGCTATTTCACTGGATTCAGTTCTCTGGAAAGCGTCCGACGCTGAATTCGGATCTTCAATTGATGATAACCTTCGAGCAGGACGAGTTCGCCGCTTATGATTTGGAATTTCTGAGGCAAACGTTTCCCAACGATTTTCGGCAAGGAAAAAAGAGGAGATATGACCATAAAGGTAATTTTCTCTATTTTTGTTTTGAAATATTTTATTGAAATTCTTATAGAAGAGCCCACCGAATGCTCAAAACAGCAGCTCCAAAATGTGACGAGCAGGATCACCATTGAAAATGCCATGTAAATCGCTGAAGATGTTGACGAAAATATAAAATTTGTCGCCTAGAAAATACAAATTCGCGTCGCCCTCAAAAAAATGCACATTTCGATTGGATTTCGAGCGAGATCCGGTGTATATTGCGGGACGATATTGCAAATTTTCAAGGTAATTTGGTTTTTGCTTACTAGTTAATGCACCTTTTTCGAATGTCGGAATTAAAAAATATTTTCGATTTCATTGTCGTCTTTCCAATTTTCTAAAATTCATAGTTTTTGTGGTCAAAAATTGCCACTAAAGCAAAATTTAAACGAAAAATGCAGATGTCTGCCGCAATCTCCGTGGAGCGAAGACAAGGATGCTCCACGAGAGCCCGGAAATTCGGTATCAATATAACGATGTACCGAAAAGAAATGACGATTTCCTAGGTTTCAGAAAAGGTTTGCGATATTCTTAAAAAGGAATTTGGTGCGACCGATAGCCGATTCGTCACCTCGGGACGTGAGGACATCGATGTTCGCATGCTCGGAACTGGCCGCCCTTTTGTCGTCGAGCTTCGCAATTGCAGAATCACCAATCCTATTAGAGGGTACCAAGGCGATTTTTCAATTTTCCAATGCAATTTGAGATTCAGATTGAATTATTTGCCGACTTTGATATCTGTTGAGAAGAAGATTAATCAGCAAAAGGATATTAAAGTGAATTTTTTGACCAGAGTTCACCGGGATGTTGCGGAGAAGCTGAGTCTGGGTGCGGAAGGTTTGGTTTCAACTATTATATCCACACTAATACTTCTTTTAAGATAATAAGAAGCAATATACAGCGTATTGCTACAGTATCCTGCCAATCTCCAAAGAAACTTTCGAGAAAGCCGAAAAAATGGCACCCGTAGAGGTTTTATTTTCGCCTCAATTATTCGTTTTCAATATTTTTGGTTAAGATTATTCAAAAAACGCCGATTCGGGTCCTGAAGCGAAGATCTCTTCTTGATAGACCGCGCACAGTGTTTAGCATGGAGTTTATGCCACTCGATTCGCACCACTTCCTTGTTAGGTAGGTTTTTTTTGAAATTTTAAAAAATTCTGAAAAAAAATGAGAAGTATTTTTGAGGAAATGTGATAAATTTGAGCTTCATAACTGTTAAAAAACAAAAAAAAAAGTTAAATGCGGAATTTGACCGCCGAATTGAAAACAAGCTGCTTTCAGAATGGAAACCCAAGCAGGCACCTACATCAAGGAGTTCGTACACGGCGATTTCGGGCGAACTCGGCCTTCGTTGGCGGAATTGTTGAATGTCGAACACGGCGAAGTCGATATTCTGGAGCTTGACGTCGAGAAAGTCGACGTCGAATGGCCGCCGATTGTTGAGAAGCCGATATCATTTAGATGAACTAATCCTTGTTGAACCAATTTTTGTTGATTTTGTTGTTAAATGAATCTTGTTTTTTTTACTGTTCAACCCATATTTGGGAATTTCCACCGCGTTTTAACGCTTTTATATCTTTCTTTTGAATTTTTTAAAAATATGATTTTTTATTTTTGTTTTCATTGCAGGTAATGGGCGAGGCGGCCGTTTCTGTTGAGGTTGTTCAGCCGAAGCCGTCGAGATTTCAATTTGTGCCCGTTCCCGGTGAATTCACACGGTTCGTTTTAATTTATTGCCCGCCCACTCTTAATTGCCTATAATTAATGTTTCAGAGGACGCTGGAAATGCCGTGACTCAGTGGGACCATACGCCGAAACTTTGGAATTTGATAAAGGCGGATCGAAAGAGAAAAAACCGAATCCGAATAAGTATGATCGCTTTTTCTTCTTCTTCTTTATAGACATGCTCCTTTCAATTGTACTATTTTAGGATTACGGTAACTCGGAAATTAGTGCGGTCGGTCGGCAAGGATGAGCTGCCGGCGACAGCGTCGAATGCTGATAGTGAGCCATTATATGATAACCCCGATCCCGATTTTTTTGTGTTTTAGACGCTGAGAAGGAGTTTATGAAGGAGAATGTGGTGATCACGCGTAAGAATGGCGTCACGATTGTACGAAAATCGTCCGGAAGCGCATCGCCGGTGAACATGGAATTCGATCACGTCAAACAGATCGCGTTGGAGCAACTCGGCGCGATGGTGTCGAACAGGGAGATGGGATCGGTGGTGCCGCCGACGCCGATGAACACGCCGCCGTCAACGATCTCGCAGCCGGGTGTTATCGCCGGAATGATAACCGAATCGATTCCGTTTGCTAGTCAATCCACAGCGGGGTGTAGTAATCAGAAGGCGAAAAATTTCCAGGTATTTTTCATTTTTTTTTTCTCAAAATCGGTCTCGAATGAATAATTGTTGTTCAGGTGCAGCCGGTGGTGACCGAGAATCAGCCGCCGGTTCGAAAATTCTCGCATGATAGCGCAAAACTTCAGGTGGGTGCACGAGTTTTTTGAATTCAAAACGAGAAATTCGACGTTTTTCTATCAGATTGACTATTTTGTGGTTTTTATTGGGGGCAAAAACATCTTGTAATTGAGTTTGTGAAAACAAAAAATTAACATTTGGAATTTTCCAGCGATCGAATAGCTCGATGATGGCGAATGTCGATGTTTCGCAAACGTATTCGGAAAATATGGGATCGAAGCCGAAAATTTTTCAAGTTCAAACCGTTCCGGAAAGCGAATTATCGGCTAATAGTACACCAGCACAGGTATGGTGTTTTGGGGCGTGAGATGGGGGGGGGGGTCTGATGGAGATAAGAATGCATGGGGAGTAACATTTTCAAAAGATTGATTATATACTCCACACATGAGCTAAATATCCCCCACTGTAAATCGGAACGAGACCAAACTAGAGTGGCTCTCAGCGCGATCCGTATATTTTCAATCGAGAAGCCTCATTTTTTTTTTTTAGTTTCGACTCAAATATTTTGTTTTAGAGTTCTGCGGACGTTAGTGTTGAGCAGCCGAAATCGAAGAAATTCCAAGTCGAAGTCGTCAAAAATGCGATGGAGACGACGAAAATTGAAATCGTGGAAAACGCTTTGGAATCGGCGCATAAAGCGCTCGAAATTGATACGAGAGAGTCCGCCGGCGGCAACGTGGATGCGGGTTTGAGTAGATCGATAATGATTACAGTCTCGCCATCGCCGGTCAAACGATCAGTGAGTTTTCTTTTTTTTTTTATTTCTTTTTAAGGACGTCTGAACGCCAAAACTATGATTATTCATCGGCACGCGTTGAAAATTGCTCGTTCTCTCTATTTTTTGTCAATTTGTGAGAATATTTTTGTGGGAATTTTGAACAACATTACACATTCGATATTTAGATTTTATCAAATTCTGCATTTTAAGAACGACTTGTTTCGAGAAAAAAACGTTACTCAATTTTTGTAGGAATTGGACAATAATAATTCGATCAACAACTCAACGATGACCACCACTGAGAATAATATGGAATCGATTCGCGAGGTGGCGAGCAGTGTTAGCAGCATTGAGGCTTGTGGAATTCCGATTACACCGTCGCCAAACGCGCCACATTCAACGCCATATGGAACGCCAAAGGTGAGATGAGCAAAAAATTAGAATTGCGCGAGCTTCAAATTAATTGGGCCCATAAAATATAATGTGATTATACTCTGTCATTTGACACTTGAAAATAATCAAAATTCATAGAAAATTATGCGCTTTCATATTTTGTTGGTTAAATAAAGCAAAATTTGCTTCTAAGATTTTTTCCATACAAGACCCAAGCCGGCAATTCAAACACCAGTCCTTGCTAAATTTTCCGACAAATTCAATCATTTTTTGTGTCGCGAATTTGCAGGACACTGGTTTGCCGAAATTGCCGTTATTGAATACCGATGAGCCGAACTCGGTGATAACGGTGACCGAGGCGAGTCTGACCCCTCACCTCATGCCGATCGACAACAAAATCGAACAAGCGATGGAACTTGTGAAGACCCATTTGACATATGCGGTGCGCGAGGAGATCGACGCATTGAAAAGTAATATCACCGAGCTTGAATATCAGGTTTGAACGCAGTTTTTTTTTCATTGAAATTGCCAATTTTCAGCTACGCGAATACCAATATGAATGCAACTTCTATCGGCAGAATGTTAGTCAGGAAATGATCGATCAAGCTGGTATTTTGTTTAGAATTTACAAAAATCCAAAAACAAAGATCGAAAATGTCCCAATTTTAGGCGCGTTCGTTCGCCAGCAGATGCAGAAGCATCCAATGCCGACACGCCGTGCGGTCAGCGTCGCCGGAATGTATGTCGACGGCGGAGCGGCCTCGTCGAACATGGCGAGCAACAGTCATTCGTCGCCGCATATGCGCAATTTGCAAACGCAAATTCAACAAATCAAGGTGAGCGTGTATTAAACGCAAGTGTGCGCCTTTAAATGCGTCTCGACGAGAAAAATTTTTGAATTGGTAGAGAATGGTAGGCAAGCAAAGAAACCGAAAACTAGATTTTCATGTGCGGGCATTATTCGGGAATTTGAACGATTGTTGAAATGTGCTAATTTTCTCCTGCGTTTTTTTTTTCAGAGCCAACCTCAGGAAGTTCAGACGCCTGTGCCCGCTGTTGTCCAACAACAATCTCAACCGGCTCAAGTGACCCCTGAAAATCGGCAATGAATGTACAAAATAACGCTTTACTCATTTGATTGTTGCTATATGCTCCTTTAAATAATTGTATGTGGGTTCTTTCAAAAGTTTCGAAAATGAGTTGTATTCTTGCCTTCGTTCCTCATCCTCCTCGCGAAAACAAGACATTTTTAACCGGAAATTCCATTTTTTTTGCCCATCCTTCCCAGCCAAGATGATTTGCTTTTCGTGTTTTCATCGGCCAAAATTATTCTAATTTGGTCAAACATCGCATTTTTAGGAATGATGTAGCAATAATAACCACTTACAATACGCTTTATTGTGTTTCTAACCGTTCTTTTGTTTCTTTTTTTTTCTTCAAATCTTTAAATTTCCTCTGGGGTTTTTCATGAAAATAATTGTATGCATAAAGAAATCGAATGCACTTTATTTTGACACATCGAATGATTTTTATTTCCTTCGATTTTTATTCGCTTTTTACCTCCTATATTAATCATCTTATTATCACCCATACATGCTCAGAATTTTATGGAATGACGATTACTGTGCTTATGGTGGCTGAGAAGCCGATGCTCGCAGAATCGATCGCCAAGCTTCTCTCTGATGGAAAAGCGACGAAACGGAAAGGCATGAGTTTTGTTTTTTTGAGTTTTCAAGAAAAGTCAATTAATTCCGAAGATGGCCAATTTTTGGCTTTGAAAAATAAACATATTCGAAAATCCGCTGTTTTCCCGAAATTTTATTCGAAAAAAAAAGAATGAAATTTAGCTTATTCTCTTCTAGATGAAACGATATCGAAAATTTCAAAATGCAAATAGCATTGAGTTCTTCGAAAATAGAATATCTGCAAAATTGAATGTAACTGTATTTGAATGAAAAAAATAATAATAATAAACGTCAATAAAAACGGTAGGTATTGCGAAAAAAATGTTCTAAAAATAATTTCTTATTGTTTTTTTTTCTAAATTTCATCCGGTCGAAGTGGAAAATGATCGAATTCGATATGTTCTTGAAGTCAATTCTCCTATAGTCAATCTATTCGCCTACTGCAGCGTTTAAAAATTTTATTTTTAACCTGATTTATTTGACTTTCCCTTTGCGTTCCGTTTAAATGATTCTCGGATGTTTTTTTTCCAGATTTTCCAAAAATTTGGGAGTAGAAAATCAGAATTTGAGATTAAAAGATTTTCGCTTTAGAAAAAAATGAAATGAATTGTTTTTCAGGTTGGAACAATGCGTGCTCGGTCAGCGAATATTCGGGTAATTTTCTCGGCAAAAATGCTTGGATCAAAGTGGGATCTTTTTCCCGGAAAACTCTCGAAATGATTTGTTAAGGTCACCAGCACCTGCGGACATGTCATGAGTTTGGATTTTCCGTCGAAATTCAATAATTGGGAGCGCGTCGATCCGTCGGAACTCTATTCAGCGCCGACGAACAAAATTGAAGCAAATCCGAAAATGAAAATGAACGATGTAGGAGGAAATTCTTAAAAAAAAACCATCGTTCATAATTTTTTTAGTACCTCGCTTCTGAAGCCAAAAACGCCGACTATCTGGTTTTGTGGCTCGATTGCGACAAGGAAGGCGAAAATATTTGCTTTGAAGTCATTGAAGCTGTTAGAAGCACAATGTTCAAGTCGAAACAAAATTATATGGATTATATTTATAGGTTTTCCAATTTTCTTTTGAAAATTTCACGATTTTTTGGTGAGTTTAGGGCTAAATTTTCGGCAATCACAGAAAAAGACATCAAAGCGGCTATGCGAAATCTTGGAAGACCTGATAAGAATATATCATTGTCGGTGGATGCTCGACAAGAGCTTGATTTGAGAATTGGATGCTCTTTTACGCGATTTCAAACTAAATTTTTCCAGGTGAAATGTTTTATTTTGATAAACGGTTACGGTAGATTGCTATATGTGTAAACACACTTGACGCAACAGTTCGGACCGGTTTCATTCTGTTTTGGGATATTTTCACTTTTTTTTCAGGGAAAATATGGCGATCTCGATAGCAATGTCATATCGTATGGCCCTTGTCAGACGCCGACACTTGGCTTCTGTGTGACGCGTCATGATCAAATTGTGCAATTCAAGCCCGAATCGTATTGGGTTATTAGAAGCTCGTGGGTGTGCGGCGACGCGCCGCCCATATCACCGGAATGGTCTCGCGGTCGAATTTTCGACGTCGACGTCGCGAAATTTTTTCTCGATCGCATCAAACGCACGAAAATCGCCCACGTTGTTGATGTTGCGAAGAAGGAGGCGAGGAAGGAGAAGCCGTGCGCATTGAACACAGTCGAGCTGATGAGGGTGGCGAGTAGCTCGTTGGGATTGAGTCCCGCCACAACAATGCATGTCGCCGAAGCTTTATACACTCAGGTATGACTGTAGCGAATTTGAATATTGTAAAAATGCATTTCAAGGGTTATATTTCGTATCCAAGAACTGAAACCACCGCCTATCCATTGAGTTTCGATCTTGTTGGGACCCTTCGGACCCAAACGAGCAATCGGAAATGGGGAGAAATTGTGAATCAGGTATTTTTCAAAAATTGAAATTCAATAATTTGAGTATATTAATTCAGGTTCTTGCTGAAGGCATCAAGAAGCCGAAAGGTGGCGTTGATAAAGGTGATCATCCGCCAATTACCCCAATGAAGCCATCGAATGGCCAATTATCGGGAGGTTTTTGAGAATCGAATTGTAGATTGTGGGACTTAACGCGATTTGTTCAGATCACGCGAGGATTTATGATTATGTCGCTCAACACTTCATTGCTACTCTCATGAAACCCTGCATTTATGAGATAACCACTGTCAAGTTGGTCTTTTTTTTTTTCAAACAAATTCTTATATACAAGAATGTTCAGAATCAAATGCGGGGATGAGACATTCGCGATTCAGGGAAAATCAGTGGTCGAGTCTGGATTCACCGCAGTGATGACATGGATGGGAATTGACGAGGAATCGACGATTCCGGTGGAGATAATGAACAAAGGGGCGCAGATGACGTTGAAGTTGGTTGAGAATTTTAGAGGGAAATCTGAAATTATTTGCGCCATAAATTGCAGAGACGCCGAATTGTCGGCGAGAGAAACGTCGCCGCCTGGCTATTTGACCGAATCGGAGCTCATTTCGCTGATGGAAAAACACGGAATCGGCACGGACGCGTCAATTCCGGTGCACATCAACACAATCACGCAGAGGAATTATGTGACAGTTGAGAGCGGACGGAGACTTGTGCCAACCAAACTCGGGCAGTGTTTGGTTAGAGGATACTGGAAGGTGGATCCTGAGCTCGTACTACCCACCATGAGAGCCGAGCTTGAGACTCAGCTCAATTTGGTGGCGAGTGGAAAGGCTGATTATTATGAGGTAAGACTACTTTTTTTTCAGTTTCACATTTTCTAAGAATCGTTTTCATTGTTTTTTTTTTAGGTGAAAAACCACGCGCTTAAAATGTTCGAGTTGAAATTCCAATATTTCGTAAAAAACATCCCGCTCGTCGACACACTCTTCGAGGCCTCGTTCACCACACTATCGGCGTCGGGAAAGCCATTCACGCGTTGCGGCAAATGTCAACGCTATATGAAGTTGGTCGAGACGCGTCCGCAACGTTTGTTTTGCCCGACGTGTCAGGATACGTATGCGGTGCCGAACGCGAAGGACGGCGTGTTGCGGATAATGGGCGATGCGAAATGTCCGCTTGATGGATTCGAGCTTGTCTATTGGCAGGTAACCCGTCTTAGTATTTCATTTTGACATTTTTGATTCTATTATCCGTTAATAGATAATTAGAAAGTCACTTATGGGAATGTCTTGGTAACTGATGATTTATTCGCTACAGAATTTTAATTATAAGCAGAATCCGGCCTACAACTAATAGGGGACCCAATTAATAGGGACTCGTAAAATTAATATGGTGATTAAACTCAATATTTCTAAAAAAAATATTGCTGTTGGGAATTCATGTTATTTGACGATGTTGTGTGCGTTGATCAGATGTTGTTTTGAGACGCGATTAAAAAGAGGATTGAGAATTTTGAGGATCCATTGTAGAAATCAAAACGATACTGGGAATAGTGATGAAAATTTAGTTTGGAAATTCGCGGATTGACGATTTTGTTTAAAAGAATTGCCAAACGAATTCCAGTGATTTCCAATGGTTTATGGAGTTATTCTCATTTTTGCAGGGCGCCGGCGGAAAATTGGCTCGAAGCTACCCGCTATGCCCGTTTTGCTACAATAATCCGCCGTTTGAGAATATGCCGGAAGCGAGCGGATGCATCAGTTGTCCGCATCCATCTTGTCCGAATTCCTACAAGTAATCACTTCGATATTCGAGCCGCGTTCAATTCGCAATAAATTGCAGTGGTGTCGGTGTTTGCGGATGCCTGCAGAATTGCGGCGGTGTGATGGTCGTCGATGTTCAATCGCATCCGAAATGGCGGCTCACGTGCAACAAATGCGCGTCGGTTATTGCGCTATTCGACGGGGCTCAAAAAATTCGCGTCAATAATGATCGAAGTTGCACGGAATGCGGAGCGCAATTTATTCGAGCCGAATATAAGGTAAGACATAGGTGGGCGGAAATTTGAAATTTTCACAATAACATTTATTAATACAGACGGCTGGATCGAATCCGCTGAATGGTGCCGCGTCGTTCGAAGGTTGCATTTTTTGTGAGGCGAGCTCGAAATATCCGGACGCCATCAATCTCAATCACGCCTATTTATCCGAGGAAGCCAGAGATCGAAATATTCATTCTGGGCGAGGAAGAGGGCGAGGAAAAGGGCGTGGAAGAGGAGGTGGTGGGCGTCGAGGGAGAGGATCTACGGGAAGAGGAAGATAGATTATTTGTTATATGCATAATAAATTGCTGCCTTGTTTTTCTCAATTTTTTTCGGACGTGAAAATTAATGGAAGAAAATTAAAGGCTATTTTTCATAATTGTTATGGGTTATTATTGCAGAAATGTGAATTTTGAATTCCCGCGGTTTTTGAATATTTGTCAAATTCCGTAAAAAATAAGTCAACCTGCATACCCATTAACCTCCCATCATCACTCCAACGAATTCCACCCCTTTGTCGCACCCTGAAAGAGACATCACAGAAAATTTTCCTGGAAAGAATGAGATGTGTAAAGTTTTGCCACGAATAACCGAATTGTCCATCTGAAATCATTTTCAGTGTAGATAATAATCCAAATTCATAGGTTGTAAGTAAAATAATTAGTTAAACATGAAACAGTTCGGGAAAAATATATATTTCGAGAGAAAGCTGATGGAGAAAGAGGGGATGGTCCATCTGAAAGATCGATCCATGAAATTAGAATAAGTAATAGTTTCACATTGTCATCAATCTAAACTTACTTCTTAGTCACTTAGTCAGTTCGTCCTTCGCCTGTTGAGGCGCGAACCACAGCTTTCCAAGCTTTTCGGTCCTTGGCTTGGCTGGACCAGGGGATGACGGCTCCTTCAGCTGTTCTTGTAGTCATCTCCTTCCGAAGCGAGTCAGACCATCTCATGGGAGGCCTTCCTCTTGGCCGGGTCCAATTCCACGGCCGCCACTCCGTTAGAAAAGTAAAGGGTGCGCCATAAATACGGAGCCGCAACTTTGCGTCAACTCTGCCGCCTACAGTGCCCATTTAATTGTGCACAATTATTTGTTTAAAAGTTTATTTTATGTTTTACTAGTTTGTTAAGTTCCAGCTCGATATAATTCGTTTTAATGTTATGACAGCAGCTTTCCCGTTCAGGGCTACCCAAAAATCTTTGAAACTAATCTTTTTACACCGTTTTGAAAGCGGCTCCGTATTTATGGCGCACCCTGTAGTCCATCTTCCATCTGTTCTTCTAGCAACGTGTCCGAGGAATCTTCGAGGATTTTTTGTCGTTACTATTAGAAATTCACGAACCATTTCGAAGAAAATCTCTAGAAAATTTTCTTCCAAAATTTCTCGAATAATTTTTCGAAGACATACACTGAAAATGTGACATTTTCAAAGATTTAATCCATCGTATCTAAGAAAATAAACCTTAAAATTGCTTAAAATCGTGAAATTTTAGGATGTGCGCTAGAACGGAAACATTTTTTTTAATAATTATTTATATTTTTTATATATATATTTATTATATTATTATACAGTGCTCCACATAATTATACGGTCAACAACAAAAATAACAAAAACGGAGTTGCTATATGGGAATACAATTTTGTTTTGGTAGCAAAAGGAATATCCCGAACCATCCAGTTTGGGTCCTGAAGCGAATACGAAATTAACATGACCAACGAATTTTTTTTCATTTTTTTCGAAAAAGTGCGAAAAATCCACATAATTATTCAATTTTATTTTTTGACCTTTTTTCAATTTTTTTTCAATTTTCAAGTACTCGAAAATTTTTTAAATAAACCTTTATTGTTTTCTAGGTATGAGTAGAGGAAAAAAGCTCACAGAGTATGAAAAAGGTCAAATTGACGCTAAATTAGCCCAAGGGCTCTCTCATCGTCAAATTTCGAGAAATATGGGCCGTTCGCAAGACGTAATTTCTCGATATGCGGCCAATCCAGCAGAATATGGCACAAAAAAGTCTACTGGCCGCCCATCTCTCCTTTCGAACCGAGAAAAGCGTAGAATTCTACGCAGAGCATCAAACTCAGTCATCTCCTGTTCAAAAATCAGAAGCGAACTCAAACTTCCCGTCTCCAATGAAACCGTCCGACGGGTTTTAAGCAAGAGCATGTTTATTAAAAACAGGTATGTACAATTATTTTTGTAATTTTTAGTTATAAACAGATGAAATGCTGCTAAATGTGGATAATTATTCAATGGGAAGATTTCCCGAAACTTTCAAAATTTTCGAAATTTTGAGAAAAAATCAATTGACCGTATAATTATGTGGAGCACTGTATATAATTATCATATATGGCCTAGAAATTCTTTCAATATGGCATAGAAATTCCTAGTCCATTGTAATTTTTTTTTAATCATTTTCAAATAATTTTTTTAGTTATTCCTTGCAGTTATCATAGTATTTCTAATAATTTCTGTGGTTTCTAATAGTTTCTGCGTTTATAAAATAACCGTATCTTATTTTAAAAAATAATTATTGAAATTTATGCCCGTTTTTTGGATGTAATTCAAAAAATAATCGATTTAAACCTTGATTCACTTCTTCAATGACGTTTTTATTTTGATAGTTGCAGAATGCCACCGAAGAAGAACGCAAAACCCGCAAAAGAAGAGGGTGGTGGGAAGAAGGAGGCGAAAGGTGGCACTGCTGTCAAAGTTCGGCATATCCTATGTGAGAAACAGGTATAAAGGCATTTGCACCTTTAACCATCCATGTCGAATAGTCTTTATATCAATATTATTTTTGAAATAATGTTTCCAATGAGACATACATTTTTTTCTGATAATGATATTCTAATTGCAAAAAATTCATTTATTCCCAGCCAAATCCTATTTAAATAAAAAAATATATCATTTCCAATATATAATTTTGCAGGGAAAAGCTCTCGAGGCTATTGAGAAGCTCAAATCGGGTATGAAGTTCAACGAGGTCGCTGCACAGTACAGTGAAGACAAGGCGAGAAGTGGGGTGAGCAGTTTTCGGTTTAAAGGCGCATTGCCAACAAATTCCTTTTGAACAGGCATTTAATGATGCTTGGAAATGCCAAAATTTCTACATAATGTCGTAAAGGGGGATGATAAGAGTGTGAAATGGAAGTTTTCAAGTCATTTGGGAAAAAAGTCCAAAGAAAACTAGAATTTTAAATTTTTTGGGAGCCTCCTTTAAATAATATCACGCGCCTTCAGGGTGATCTCGGCTGGATGACACGTGGCAGCATGGTGGGCCCATTTCAAGACGCCGCGTTCGCACTTCAGAACAGCACATGCGACAAACCGGTGTACACGGATCCGCCAGTTCGCACCAAATTCGGCTATCACGTGATAATGGTCGAAGGCAAAAAGTGACGCTATTTTGTTTTTTTTTCTTCGGTTGTACGACTTTGAATAAAATTTGGCGCCAAACTCAATTGTTTGAAATTATCAAATTCGTAATGAATTCCCCAATTCCGGGCACCGAGGCAATTAAATTTTTAATTGCTCGTTTGAGTACAAGTTTTTATTGCACCCGATAATAGAAATTTGCCAAATATGGCTCTTGACGTACAAGACAAAGTCTTCATATTTGCTTCATTCGCTACTGCGGTAAGCAATGGATCAGCTTCTTCATCCAACCAAAATCTTAGGCCGTCGGTGCGGTTTTGATTGTCATCGGGTTTGTGCTCAGATTCGGCAACGGTTTCGCCGATTTCAGTAATTATGCTCAAAAGGTATACTGTAGTTCAAGCCACTCCTCTTGGCAGCATACTGTATTTGTTAATTTTGTTTTCAAGGACAACGATTTTCTGGAATTGCGTCGATTGGATATGATCTTCGGGTTATTCGTGGCGGCCGCCTGTGTTCTCATCCTCTCATTTTTCTTGGCGCTATTCGCCACGTGGAAAAAGAACAAATTCCTACTCAAATGCGTAAGTTTAAAGGCGCATCGACATCATCGCCTCGCGTTTGCATTCAGTATTGTGCTCTTGTCGGCCTCATGGTTGTCGTCCAGCTTGTCGACGGCCTTCTTGCGTTCACCTATTCGGATCAGGTCAATCAAATGGCTTCCGACGACATCATGTACGAATCATTGGCGAAAGCGGCGTTGAAGTTTGCGACGGGGCATACGGTAGCATTAGTTCACAATTTTTGTTGCAGGACCATTCCGGGAACGGCCGACACTCTTCCGAACGACGATGAAGTGCAATTTTGGGCAACCACGCAGAATTCGGTAAGAGTTTAGAGCAAAAGCTCGAATTAAAAAAAAAACAATTTAGTTCGCCTGCTGCGGCGTTTACAATTCAACCGATTGGACAATGGCGTGGGGAAAAGAGAGCACAAGTCAATTAGAGCTTTTGCACTGCTATCAAAAGCATTATAGCGACGTAAGTGGAGTAGATTTGTGGAATAAAAACGGAGCATGAGATTCCGTGGTGCAAAGAGAAGAAAAATTGCGATTTCAAATTTTCCGTTTTGCTCTAGAAATTGTTCAAACCCCATAATTTTACTGCATTCAAATCAACATTCTGCAGGGATGTGAGAAAATCGTGAGATCCCGAATCGCCAGCGAAACACAATACCTAGGAGCAGCATCAATGGGTGTTTTAGTAGTGGAGGTTCGACGTTGATCATGCTAAATATGAAACATTTGAAATTTCCAGCTTATCGCCAGCTTCCTCGCCGGTTATCGCGCCTATACCCCTTCAAATTCATATTAGATTGGAATATAAGATAAAAATGAAAAAAAAAAACTATTTACAAAAACGTCTCCAATTCGTTGGCACAATCATTAGAAAATCTCAGATTATTCAATAATGGCTGTCGGCTGACCGACGTGCGAACCATGAGATTTCGTCTCAACGATGACAAATCGACGGTGTACCGTCGAACGTCAGCGAAACAACGGAAAACACGAGGAGCGCGGACGAGTGATGACGGCACGGCTTAGCGTTGAGATGAGCAGAAGCTTGAGGGGCAGCGCGATGTCTGCGGCAAATGTGAGATGACCGTTTGGGTTGAGAATTGCCAATTGGCGTTGCACGTTCTTCTCGCACACGATTCGCCAAGTCTCTCTGAAAAATTATTGAAAATTGAAATATTAAAACATAAAATTGTCGGCGTCACTGCAGAAAACTGGCTAAATGCCAAAAAAATTATGACAGTTTTCCGCAGTCGCGCAACTTCGATAATCTTTTCTTAAAAATTGCAATAAATTTTGTTCAAGCGATTATGTGACTTTAAATTTGGCATAGATGCTCACCCATTCGGCCCTGGTTCACAATAACATTTGGCAATTGTCTCTTTTCTCGTGTCCTGCACTTCAATAGCTTCGCCGGCTGAAAAATATGCCAATAATGATCGAAATTGTGTGCAATCGATACTTAATGAATAATATCCAATGACATCCCCATTCCAATCCATGACCGAAAATGTTGGCGGCCCTCTTCTTGGCCTTAAAAACGGCACCAACAGTGACAAAAGTGTTCGTGGAGCGGTGTCTGTCACAACGGCCACTCGCCTTCCTGAAAACCCGAATTTGAAATCGAATTCGCAAAATTTTCGCTACCATATGACTCAATAATCCAGACGGGAGCTTCATCGCACACGTGTTCTGCCCATATATCCAAAAGCGGAAAATCAGATGGATCGGTGATCTGAAATTAAATTATAGACAGTAATTATTTCCTTAGGAACACTTATAAAAAACAAGTGAAGGATGAATTGCAGGTACTTTATACAAAAAAGAAAAGTGCTCTTATCTTGATTTTGGTTAGCATTTCTCCTCGTCATTTATGAATTCTTGGCTGTTTGTAATTTAAGAAAAATGATTTCAATATATGAAAATCAATATTTAAACAGAAGATAATGTAATAAGCTGAAGAAATGCGAAAAAATTAGAAAATAAAAATTCAAACAGAAAAAGACGCATGTAATACTTTATTGACGCATTCCGCGTGCAACATTGACGTGTTTTACGAGCATTCTGGTTAGTTTTTGCTATACATTAAAAATTGTCGAACCTGCAATTCGGATCCTTGATGATTCAATCTCAAATTGGTGCACGTCGACACGTAAAATAGCACTTGCGCTTTGCTGGGAACAATTATTTGTTTGCACGAGTGCGATAGTTCCTCTTCAATGTCCGTATCGCCGTCATTCATATCAACGGCGGTCTCGAGGCGATTCGAATGATGCGACGAGCCGGGCTGCAATCGATTCATGTCAGCTAGACAACCGCAAATTTGCCCGCAGATGTCAATTATGGTGAGAAGCTTTTAGAATGTTTGAGAAATAATAAATTGAGCTCACCTGTACGACGGTGACCTGCGTTCCACCATTTTCCTTGGCCATTTCGTATTCGAATCGCGAACAAGTAGGATATTCTTGAAAGCTGCAATAAAAAAAAGCGAAATGATTGCCTTTTTAGTCATTTTTTTTTCACAACAATCACCTATTGTTTTAAGTTTCCGGTAATTTTAAAAATTGGATGAAAATGGGGGACAGCGGCGCTGTTTTTTTTTTGGCTCAGAAGAAATTCACCAAACATTTTTTCGCTCAATGTAAAGGCGCATAAAAATAAATTGTTTCGGCTCAATTTTACGTCATGAATTTTCGTTGTAAGATACTTCAAAACAATGAGAAAAGTGCGGCTAGGAAGCGTCAAATCGGGTGGGTCTTGAAGCGATAATTTTTCTCTTAATTTAAAGTCGAATAAATTTCATCAAATTCAAATTTTGTTAGCTAAAACAAGGAATGAGAAACCATGATAGAAGAAAGAATGATGGTCCTTCTTGTCTGTGGGTTGGAGGCCGGGGGGGGCTTAACGAGAAGCTCTGAGATAATTAAGGTGGTCCTCCTTCTTCGACAAGCCCAACCAGGCGAAATTGGAATAGCATGGAAGCGAATTCCTCAAGGGACCATCGAAAACTGAACCACAATTCTTTTGTTGATATTCAACGACAAACAACAACAATGGATAAAAATGGAATAAATTATTCAACGATGGCATTCTGGTAGACTAGCTGGCGACAATTCGCGGTTTCGCTTCCGCAAGTGGACGAGTGTGTCAGAATCGATTGCTCGCCGACGAGTTCTTTTTTCACACGCGGATTTCGTTTCCGAATTTCGTTTCGCATTTTCGACGACTTTTTAAGATTGGAAGGATGTGGAAAAAATTCGACTTTTTTCGCACAACTCAAATTTTTTTCGGAAAAAGAACAAAAAATGAAAAACACCGTTTTTTGTGGGTTTTTCTTTAATTTCAAAAATTCTAAAAATGAAAGAAAATTGTATAAAACGAAATTCGAATCTAAAATTCGAAATTTCGAAAGAAAAAACGAGATTTTCGAGAAAAAAAGCGGTTCGAAAAAAAAGTGAAACAACCGTTCTCGATGTTCGCGGACTTTACCCAATTTTTGCATTCAATTTCCATTTTTCCCGGTTTTCCTCGCGATTTTTGAGCATTTAGCGTTAAAAAGGTGCTTAAAAATGCCGAATTGAAAAATGTGTGTAAACACCGCGACGAAAAAATACAGGAATTTGTGGATCGATGCAGAAGACGAAAAAAACATTTTTTTTTTGAAGACCGACATTATAAATGAAAAGAAACTCGAGAAGACGTATCAAGTGCCAAAATCGAGTTGTCCGAAACGCAAAATTTCATTTGCAAAGGGGGAAAACCAAAAAAAAATGAAAACCAAATTTTTTTTTCGTCACACAAAATCGCCGGCGGGCGATTTTATGAAATCGAATTTCCAAAAAAAAAACGAGAGAATGAATGAGGAGGAGTCGAAGAAAAATTTGAAAGGAATCGATTCGTATGAAGATTTATGGGCAAATTGCCGCCGAGGACAGCTCGGCGAGCAGGATTTACGATTGAATGCGCACCGCGAAAATATGCCAAAATTTTTGAAATTTTCGATTCGCTTCGAGACCTTACAAAATGCGCCCCATCGCAAAAAAAACCCCCCCATAGTTTCTCAACGTTTTCATTTGGCTGCAAAAAAAAAGTGCGATGGAGCGCGTTTGCTGTCACGATCTGAAAAAGCTCACAAAATTGGGGAAACAAAAACCAACTTGTTGAATTCGGTAACATTTTGCGGAACATCCGAATTCGATGACGACGACGCCAAATTCGAATTGTACTCGTCGAGAAGAGCGGTCTCGCCGTCCATTTGCCTGCAAAAAGAAATGTGTTTGAAAAATCATCGGCAGACAATTTTCAATTTTTTTTTGGGGGACCATTGAAACCCGCCGAAGGACCAGAGCGTCCAATTTTTAATGAAAACTAGTTAAGAGGGGTGGGGTTGAGAAAAAAAAACTTGGTTTCTCAAGGGCTTCTCCTTCTCTCTCTCTCGAGAAAAATTTAATGAATTTCTAAGAAGAAATGAGGGTCGACGAGCGTACTCGTCGAAAATTGGAAGGGGGGGGGGAAGGGACGAGGGACCATCCAAATTTCGCGTTTCCGAAATTATTACTGTTTTAGCTCATTGATGAGTTTTGCGAAAACCAGTTCAAATGGTCCTTAAGCGAATTGCACACATTTTCAACTACAGTAATCCAATATTAGAAAATAATTATAATTAATCGCACAATCGGTTCTTAACTATTGTTACAGTAATGGGTCTTGCAACGCTTTTTTAGGTGTTCTTCTACGGTCCTGCTTGAAAAGCGGGTCTCACGGCGAAGCAAGCAGGCAGCAAACAATAGCTACCGTAATCACCTCAATTTTTGAGCATTTTTCGGATAATCGCCGGAAAATTGTTTGAATGACAAGCTAAGTGTACGATTGGCGACATTTTAGTTTTTTGTTTTTGTTCAAGCAGAAAAAAAATCACGGGATGTCTGGAATTTTCAAATGTTGCAATTTTTTAATTATTCAATTATTCAAAATTTGACCTCAAATTATTAAATTTAAACTTCAAAAATGAATGAATTTTGAGCCGAAATGAACTTTTTTGTCAAAAATTGCAAAAAAAAACCATAATTTTCATTCGTAATATTAAAATTTGAAATTTCAAAATTCCGATAGATATTTCTGAAATTTCAATAATTTTTAAAATAAAAAACACCTCTGCCAATCATTTTTTTTCATTTTGCCTATTTCAAAAAAAAAATATCGAAAATTGCACTACATCAAAAAAATGTGTGTGGGCGTACGGTAATCGGGTCCCACAGCGATCGACTCTGTGGCGTGTAGATCAACAAATGATGTCAATATCAAGAAAACAAGCTTGTGGCGGAGCCCAAGTTGTCGGACAAATAATCGAGGAACACAAAGGTGACATGACATATGAGCCTGCCCGATGGGTAGGGACCGTTTTGTTTAGTGTGGTCCCTCAAGACTACACATAAATCTTTCGTCGGCGTTTCTCTCAACTGTCTTGTTCTTCTAATAATAAATATTATAGTTTTTGAGGGATATGCTTCAAAGCGACGAGCAAATTGCGTCAAAAAAATTATTTTTTTTGCATTTTGAATAATAATTTTTGAAAGGTCGACTCATTTGCATTATTCGATTTTTTTTCCAATCTATAAATTTTCATGAAATTTCAAATTCTAGGGGAATTTTTATTGATAATTTCAGCAAAAAAATGAAAATATGGGATTTTTTTTTTCAAAAAATCAAAAAACGGCTCAATTTTGTGCCTAAAAATTTCATGAAAAGCTTTCTAAAAAATGGGAAATATTTTTTCAATTAAAATAAAAAAAAAATGAAAATTTCCACATTTTTGTAACTTTTTTTTCATTCAAAGTTCAAAAACCAAACAAATTGAAAATTCTCACATCAAAAATCAAATTTTTGAGAATTTTTTTTTTAGAAAATCGAGATTTCCAAATATAAAATAGGAAGAAGCCAAAACGAAAAGCGGATATTGGCATCAGCGCGAAAAATCTGCTCGAGATTGACAATCGAGATTAATTGGACGAATGGGATGGGAAAAAAAATCAGATGTGGTGGTGGTGGTTGCCAGTTTCAATGAAAACTCGAAGGTCCGTATATATTCTCATGGAAATAGGGGGACCTTCAAAATCAGCAACAATTCAATTGTATTTCTTGGCGAGACCAAAAAAAAAATGAAAGCAAAATGGAAAACAAACATGTTTTCCAGGGGTCAACGTATGATATATTGCTGTATACATTTCGTTTCGTTCTTTTTTTTCGAAGAATATGAAAATGTCGAAAAAAAAAAACCACTTGCGCCGATTTTTCGCTTAAAAATGAATGATTCGAATAATTCATAAAATCTGGTCACGATATGCAAAAAATTCCAAATATGACAAGTTTTTTGCTTTTGGATAACAGAAAAATGGGAGAGAGAGAGAGAGACGCAGAGAAGCCAGATAGGTTTAAAGGGACAACCCGATAGTAATCCGTTAAAGGGGTATGTCTCCAATTTAAAGGGACATCCCGATAATATTTAAATTTTTTGATTTTTAACAAAATCCAATAAAATTGCAAGTTTTTCGATTATAAAAAATTATCATTGCTAAATACTACGTTTAAAAGTACCTAGGGACCATCGAATCAAATTTGGCCAAAAGAATAAGAAAACGAAAAAAAGTGTGGGGGGAGGAGAAAATCGAAACGCGCCCACCGACTCGAGCTCGCTTCCGAATATTACTCGCGCTTCGCCGCATTCGGATATAATAAACGAAAACGAAAATGGGTTGGGGGGCTCGGCGAGCATCGGAAGAACGACAAACGCGGCAGAAGAAGAAGATCAACGAGTCTCCGATACAGTACGCATTTAAAGGGACACGTTTGAGAGGGAGGGGGGGGGGGTGGAAAGAATTTTCAAAATTCTGAAAATCGATATTTTTCAGCCAATTTTCAGTATTTTTTCAATTAAAACATTCTAGATTTTCGAACCCAAAAATGCGCGTTTTGAATGCTCATAATCTAGAAAAAATACACCAACCACGAAAAGAGAATGTGCATTAATTTTCGTGACTGAACCCATCAATTTTATGCGAAAATTTACGACCCCCAACTTTTAGTTGTTGACTGAAAATGTCCGTCGAATTTCGGCAAAGGTTTTGGAAAAATACTACTATGGGCAAAATTAATTTACTACGCAAATTTCAAACCTAAAAATGCCCTTATTCCGAAAAATTGTCTATTTAAAAAAATAGGCGATTTTCAGCAACAAAAAAAACCAAAAATAATAATCAAAATTGAAAAAATTGCCGACGGGATGAATGCTTACAAAATGTAAACTAGAGGCCTGTGTAAGCTGTCAAATGAGAAGGAGCACAAGAAGGAGAAGAATAAACAAACAAACAATTTGCGGCGGCGACAAAGCGCGCCAAACAAGATGGGACGGACAAAAAACTTGACAGCGGTAGGCGGCTCCGATTACAATTTAAAGGCGCATTGCTAAAGAAAAACCAATATCTTTTTTTTTTCAATAAAATGTCTCGAATTTTTCGCCGAACGATTTAATACAATTTTCATCTGCGGACAAAAAATTTAATTAATCCTCGGCTTTTTTTCTTGCCAATTATGAAAAAAAAGAATTCAATTTTTGTTGATTTTGTATTTTTTGGATTCAAAAATTTCAAAAAATTTTTTTCAACAAAAATCATCTCAAAAATTTTTTTCAGAAGAAATTCACAAATTCTGCAATTTCGCGTAAGTGTGTAGGGACCGCAGAATTCGCTCTTAAAATCGTTTTCCTTATGACATGTGTATAAAAATCACTGAAAACTTCATTTAGGTATTTGAATTGCCGCCTCGGGTCTCTCGAATGGAAAACAATTTGGAGCGAGTTTAAAAACCGCAAATTGTCGGCAGCACACCGTTTTTGTATGTATACCAGGGCTGTGCGGCAATGGAATTGCCGGATTGCCGAAATTTCTGATTGCCGCACAGCCCTGATGTATACGTTTTGCATCAGCTTTTTCCAAAACTCGGTCATTCAAAATCGATATTTTTCCTTAAAAAATTTCATTTTTTTGGAAAAAATGGCGAATTTTGGGATATTTTTGCAAAAGACTTGTACTAAAAAAAACTATTTAATATTAATCAATAAGTATTCAAAAATAAACAATTTTTTGTTAAAATAATTCAAATTTGAGAATAAAACCCCCCCCCCCTCTCCCGCGATTTTCCAACTTCCAATAGCATCGTGTGCACTTCTTGTCACCCCATTTCTCGTGTGTCCCTCATATATCATATAAAGTATTAGTCAAGGCGTAAAAAGAGCACATAGAGAGAGAATTCTCCTTCAGCTTCTTCCTTTCGATTATTCATTTTTTGTCAAAAAAAAACTCGTAAGAAGAAGCTCAACAGCCAAAAAAGCGCATAACGACTATTATAAAACGCGTTTGAAGTTTTTTTTTCCCTTCGTCGAGGTCACAAAATCTCTAGAGAATTTCGAGTCTTTCAGCACTCAATCCATCAAAAATTTCGCGAAAAATGCCAGCAATTTTGAAAAAAAAATTTTCAATGGGAAAATCGAAAATTTGAGAGAAATCATAGTGGCATTCAATTTTTTTGAATTACAGATTTCAAATTTTTTCACACATTTTCGCTTTTCTCACGGAAAACGTCATAATTTTTTAATTTCAATTATTTTATTCGACAAAAATGGAAATACAGGTGATTTTTTTAGAATTGTTTGGACCGCTCATGTTTTTCGATGGCGTTTTACAATTTTTGTTACAAATTAAATTTTACAAGAAAACTCTCAAATTTTACCAAATTCGTAATCACCAACAAAACTTTTCAAGGAATTTCTTTATACATTCATTTTATTTAAGCGACACAATTTTTATTTTCGTCAAAAAATTTTTTTCGTGGAAGTTTTCTTTTAATTGGGGCAATTAAATAACGATTGAGAAAGACGTAAAAACCAATTTTCAAAAAAAATTCAAAAATTTCGGAAAATCTCCAAAAATTCACCAATTTCGTTCAAGTGGCGGACAATTTGAGCGAAAATTCCCATTGATTTTATGAGCAACATATGGGAAATCGGCGAAGGGAAAAAAAACGCCGATGAAATTGTTGGCAGCTAGAAAAATTGGTATTAGAAAAAATAAATAAACGAGAAAACACAATTTTGAAAATTTTCCGAAAAAGGGAGGTCATTTATTTTTTAGCTCTCATAATCTTCGAAAGTTGAAAAGGGTCCGGGAATTCAATTTTCACAATTAAAATCATTCCGGACCATTTTCTTAACAAAAAAAACATCGAAACCAGAATCATGCCCAAAAGAATTCCAACGCCAAACAATTGCAATTCAAATAGTGAAGTGCCACCTGCGGACAACTCGCGGTTGCCGTCCTCGGGCAATTTTTTTTGCTGGCGATGCTCTCCACAAAATGCCATTTCGCATAAAACACAACAATGATTTTATGGGGTCCGGGCCGATGCGAAGAAGCATGGGAAAATGCATATTATTTTCATAAATGTACATATACGATGAAATGTTGGAAAACGCCAAAACAAAATGCTCATTTTCACGTTTAACTCTCAAAAAAAAATTTTACATTTTCACAAAACACTACAAAATTGGCATTTTTTGAAATGAAATTGTGGTTTTTTAAAATAATTTTTCTTGAAAATTATCAAAAATCTAATGTGATCTTAAAAAAAATCGTATATTCCAAAAATATGCGAGAAATCGGATTTTCCGAAAATTTCAAAAAAAAAATTTCGAATTTTCCCTTTAATTTTTCAACAAAATTTCTGATGGCAGACCATAAAATAGAATCGAATTTTTTCAAAATTCGTAAGATTTTGAAATTTTTGGGGTAATTTTTCAAGCATGCTGGGACGCCCCATAAGAATCCCCAAAAATGGGGCGTTAAGAATTTTGAACAAAAAAAAAACAAAACATAAAAGGATGCAGAAAACAACATACCGGAATAAATGGATATCGCGGTCGAAATTCCGGAGTCGATTGTTGGCGTGTCGCATCGTTGGCCTTGAGCCAATTGTGAAGAGCAACAACACAAACTGGACTGAAGGGACGACGGCGTAGAAGCACAGACGGCCACGGAGCACACACACACACACACACAGCTCCACCCCGCAGAATCCGCCCAGTCACCCAAAAACGAGGCGAAAATAGTGCGGGGAGATGAAGAGACGCCGACGAACGAGGGTGTGTGGGGTCGGTTTCGGACACCAATTCACCCCCTAATTATCAAAACTTGTCAACTTTATGCGCCGCTGGCTTCGGCGGCTCAATTGACTACTAACACGAAACATTTCGAAGGTTTCGCTTCTCTCTGTTCGGTATTGCCAAAAACGAATACCTTAACTAATTGTGGATCTCCGTTATTGTCTAGGCGGCAACTTAAATTTCAATTTAAGCAATTTGTATGCGGGTACCGTACTAAAGATAAACTAATTAAACTCACCGGAAATCTTCACAAGGCGCTCGTTTCTTTTTTCCAAAATTCGATAAATTTTCAACAGTGGAATCATTCGAAAATGAGAAAAATAGGGACAATCTTGAAAAAAAAAACAAATATTTTCCATGAGTAAAAATACGCTAAAACGAGGGCATTGTTGCCAACCGTGGAGTATCGTTGCAACTTTCTTTTTCGTAAATATTCATTTTTAAAAACCTCCAAAAATATACTATTAATCCTCTAGCATTAAATCACATAATTGGTTCTAATCACATTTAAAAAAAACCTCGTTAATCCTACACAATTGACCTGTAAATCTCCAAAAGAGCATAAATAAATCAATGATGTAATAAATTATTCGGGATATTTCCAATTTTGCCACGGTTTGTACGGCGGTGTGCAATTCAGCTTAAATCCGGGCGTGTTTTTATTCATGTGATAAACAACCTGAAATTGTTTGATCGTCGTTTAAAAAAATTGGAACGGAATACCTAAAATGGGATCGAATTTCATAGAATTTGAAATTAGATATTTTGGGGCTCAAAGTCAAAACTGAAGAAAAAAAGGCAGAGCAGACACACACACAAAAATTTTTTATTTCTTATTCCTAAACTAAATTGGTAGATTTACGTGGCTAATCAAAAGGGACATCGCGTCAAGACCTCTTCCTCAATTTTCTGATTGCTAATCAAAATCTAACTCACATTAACCATATTTTCGTAGTAATTTTTGTCCAACGGAATATCGTTTTGTTTCAAAACTGTCCGATTATAAAGCAATTCGCCAACACAGTCGATGGCTGCGTAATCGAAGCTGGGCATCATCTGAATTTGGTCAACTTTCCGAAAAATCCAGTGCCATGGCTACCTTGTTGAACATGAGATTCGGATATCTGGCAACTGTCGGCAGATCTTCGACGCCTAAAACGCAAATCGCATGGCGGAGGTTATTCGAAGCACAATCGGACGCTCTTCCACGCCAATGCGACATTCTGAAATTTCCAAAAATGCATGTTTTCCCCTCAATTTTCGAAACCACCTTGTCACAAAATCCGTCAATTTTCCCTGCTTCAAACATTCGTCGGTGAAATGGCCGGGCATTTCGAGAAAATCGGAGGCTTGCAACGTCTCGCCAAACTGCTCATCAACACCGAATGGCTAAAAATTCTTTTTTTTGCTGCCGACGACAAATTTTCCGGCTATCACTCCTCGTACCCCAGTGTTCAAATTGTTGATGAAAGTGCTCATATCCATTTTACGGACCATCCAATCAACAGCGTCTCTCGAAAATGACGCTTGTGCCGCACCTTTGGCAAACTTCAGCGTGGTTTCAAGTTGTCCCGGTTTCGCTTCTGATTCTGAACATATCGCAATTTTGGACTTAACGAAATTCGTGACACATCGCTCACCGTTTCGAAACATTTTCAGCGATTTCGGATCCCATTTCAATTTTTTATCAATTCTCCCATTTTCCGGCGTAATTTCGACGTCATTCGCTCCGCCGAGTATCGAATAAATCTCGACGAGCTGGTAGATGCTTTTAATAACAATGTCGTGATTCTGAAAAGCAAAAACAAATTTTCCAAGTTATTTTTGATTTATTTCAGTCGTAAATTAGATCACCTGCGTTAAAAAAACGAAAATCTTTACCTCATATTCAATTTTACGATAAAAGAAAATTCTCACTTGACGTTATTTACGCGAAAATTTTGAGGAAAAAATGTTTTCAAAACAAACTAAATTTTTTAAACTGAAGTCCGCAAACACAGAGTTCGCAAACACAGAGCGACCTACAGTACCACATATAAAATTTTTGTTTTTTTTTGAGAAAAAAATACTAAAATTACCTGCAATAGCATGACATAACCCCATCCTGGTTTATTAATCAGCGCTTTCATGCAATTATAATGAGCCAAATTCACATTATGACCTTTCGAATCCACTGACTTCTCATCTAAAACGAAAATTTATGTTTTAATTTCATTGTTTGCTCTTAAAAATTCACCTGGAAGAAGTAAAATATTAGGTAAACACGAGGCAAGCGATCGCATTTTCGAGTGAAATTCCGGCGAAGATTTCTGATCGATGGCGAAACAAAAAACATTTTGTGGATGGTACGAGAATCTCACGAAATTCTCGAGCATTTCGTAGTCCGTGTAAACAACACGAGCGAATGCAACGCCAAATTTGAGAGGTTCGAGACCCACTGGCGGAATGACGCGTTCGGTGATCGCCTCGCAACTCATATCAAGATTTTTCGATTCAATCATTTTCGGACGATTTGTTCCATTAAATTGCTTCATATATTCCTTAAGAAATTTCAATTTTATTGGAAATTGATTGAAAAAATGTCACCTTGTCATTTGCATAAAGACGCGCGCAATCAATATGAACAGTCTCCGGCCGTTTCCTATACTGTAATTTCTGAAATAATAGGCTTGCAAAAATCCGCTGACGTCAACCCAACCCAGCGTCAAAGCAAAACACAGTATAAAGAAATCCCACCTTTTTCTGTTTCGCATTCACCGAAATCGTGCGAAAATCGCTTTGTAGATCGTTTATCAACGTATTTCGCTCTTTCACTTCAATTTGCAAGTTCTCAATAATCCTTTCATAGATTCCCTGACTCATGGGCTTCACTGAAATGAGATAAAACTTGATTTTAAGCGCCCTACAGAATTCTGGTTCGAAAAATTTTTTTTCAAAAACTTTTGACCACTGAGCGGATCGAACGCCCAACCTTTCGATCTGGAGTCGAACGCGCTACCATTGCGCCAAGCAGTCGCTGGCATTCACGCTGCCTATCAGCGTATTAGTGAGCGACTCACCAGATTCCTCGCGTTGCACAATGCTCATATAAATGAGAACAATTACAGCAAAAACTAGAAATCCGAATAAATAGTTATAAAAGCTCAGAGACGAGCAATCCAAAAGCCTATACCGTACTTTGCTTTTCATTCTGAAAAGAACAATTTTAAAGGAAGTGCGAAACCAGAGCAAAAGAATTTTGCGAAGAAATTTCCATGGTGACTAGTCAATAGTGATTATTATTATATATATGTCGCTATTGGCAACGAGCCAAATTCTTTGTTAATTATTCCTACGCCGGATTAATGCTAGTAATCCTTTAAAAATTGAGAATAATGCAAAAAGCCTTCATAATAATTCAAAAACTCTTGCACATTGAAACTAATGCATACAAGGGCAAATAATAATAGCACACTGATAAGGACGCATATTTTATTATATATTTGCCTTGGTATCGATTGCGAGAAACTGAATAATCGAGTCATGTTTTCTAGAAAAAAAAACACGAAACCCTCAATTGTTTCTCAAATTTATTTTGTTTCAATTGTATATTTTGAAAATATAAAAAGAAATTTGGATAGAAACGTCGCACAACATTTTATGACGATTTTCGCCGATTTTATGGGAATATTAATAAAAATTCCACGAAAAAAATCGCCTCAATTTTCCATTGAAATATTCAACGAATTGAGAGATGTGTTGGAATCACTTTCCCGTCGCCTGAAAAATACAACTCAAATCGCAATTTTCCGACAAACAAATGCTTACATCTGATAGGTCGGATTTGGTAGAGTGCTTTGTCGTCTCAAAATCCTCCGTTTTTTCGAATTTTTTGCGCTCTCTGTGCTCAAATTCGTAGCACTAGCAGAGATTCTAAAATATCATTCAATGAATTCGGCGAAAAATCGGCCGTTTTTTTATTACCTATGCTTCGAAAATGGGGATAATAAATGAGAAGGAATCGAAATCGAGTCTCTGGCTGCTGAAAATAGATCTCCCCCTAAAATCTGAAACAAGAATTTGCAAAAAAAAATCCAAAAAAGAGAAAATTCGGTCACCATCCTACTATTCCTTCTGTTCAAGTGCACGTGTAATGGTTTAGGCGACGAGTTGCGTCCTCGTGGCAATGTCTGCAAGTATAAACATTTGCTTTCAACACCCAACGTGTCCTCGGTAGTATAGTGGTGAGTATCCGCGTCTGTCACATGCGAGACCCGGGTTCAATTCCCGGCCGGGGAGAAATTTTTTATATTTTCAATAGGGTCTCTCACTCTATCGATCAACGAGTCTTAATGCTAATTAAAAATTAAAAATTGTTCGTCGTTATTCATAGGAGACCGGCTTGGTTGCTTATTTCGCAACTTACTCGACCATGACTAAAAATTACCGTATACGAATCGTCCAGCGACATTCCCATACTATTCCGACAGACCCTTTCCTCCTAAATTTCAAGAATTGCGAAATTTTCAAAAAAAATGCTTAAAAACCTGTGCAACCGCTTCAAGGAATTGTTTTTGCCTTTCGGAATTCACCGTTCCCCAAACCGATTTGAACAAATAAATGAAAATTTCGAGGAGGGTCACCTGGAAAAAAGAAAATACTAAGATTTTGTTCACATCTAGACACTTACCGTACTCATTCCCAAAAACAATCCCATGCTTCCAGCAATGCTCGACAATAAATCGGCAGCTTGCATCTGCTTCTGCTGCTCATGTCGCTCGTATGAAATATGCTGGAAGAAAATGCTGGCAGAAGAGAGATTTGATCTGAAAATCGGCTTCATTTGATTGGTTGAATCTTTCGTGAAAATTTCCAATAAAAAATTTTATATTTGCCCTCTAATATTCAAATAACTGCAGTTTTTATGGGGAATTAAATAACTATTATTTTTTTTCAAATATTTCATAGTAATAACTCGAATAACACATTTTATTATGCTAAAAAACATAACAAGTAGTGTATTTCGTATAATTTCGTGAGGTTAAATAATATCATCGCAAAAACAACAAGGACCTTGAGTATTATGGACCATTGCATTCTTTTACGAGGCTTTGATTCAAATTTAAATTTAAGCGATTCGATTAGCGAGTAACCTCCGAGCCAAACTCTCCGTAAATCTACACACGAGTCTCTTTAGATTTTCGTGTCATTAGTCATTCGACCCGATCAGATCTCAAAAAATTGCCCTCCCCCCACACCATACCTTATATAATCATGGCTCATTCCAAATTTCCTCTCGGGCAACTCCGAAAATGTGGATATCGTGTCAAATTCCAATAAATCGCATTCCGAGAAGCATTCGCAGTTAATATCTAAAATATTCGAAATATTTAGAATTGAAAAAAATCGACCTTTAACAATTTCTCGACATTTGTATAATTCTAGCGGTGTACAATAATGAGTTTCAGTCAAGTTCTTGAGCTTCGAGAAGTATTTGAATGGAATGCAATTGCATTTGCTCCACACGTGCTCCAGCTCACATTCCATCTCACAATGAGGCAACGTATACTGTAAATGGGAGAATTGTGAGGTCTCACAACGAAATTAAATTTCAACTTTTATGTCCAAATGTGGAGTTTTATTGAAATTTTGCTGACAAAATCCCCAATTGGTTTGATCCAAAAGGCTTATCTGCAAATTTCTTTTAATAAAGATTATATATTTTCTAATAATTTTCGAACATTTTTCAGATCAATCGACGCATGAATCCACTCGCCAGGCGGCACTGCTATCGAATTTTTGGCAATTTGCGGAAATTTCCCATTCTCGTGTATCAATATCTGAAATCCCGTCTCAATTTCTCGATCTGTAATCAACTATAATCGCAAATTTCGCGGCACGCCTACCCCCGCGAGTGTTCTGATTCCGTCCATCGAGCAAAAACTCCCAACCATTGCCCTCGCCGCTGTAAATTTGTCGAAACGAGCCGTTGCCATTGTGAAATCTGAAAAATGATGCGAATTTCGATTATCCGCCTTCAATTTTTCACACCTAAAGCAGAATCCGAAATCGGTAAACTCGGGAATCGCCAGCTCGCAACAATTTTCCAGCTTCTTCTTCGCAAAACTACACTCAATTATGGTTTCCTCGCAAATTTTGCTTTAAAAAAAATATATTCAATTTTTTGTCAAATTTTGAAGAAAAAAAACCTATAATTTTTGAAAAAGCTGGCCAAATCGAAAGAAATCCCAGTCTCCAATCGAAATTTCTTCAAAAATTCTAAGAATTCTCGCTCCATTTTTGGATTTTGAGGGGAAAGATCCTCCTGAATCCGACAATTTTAGAAGGTTCTCGATTCAAATCTCATACCATATTTGTATAAAAGTCTAAAATGTAATTTAAGACAGTTTTACTGTATGATTGAGGAATTCGAAGCAAATCCAACGGATTGTGATTGCAAATGGTCACTTCGGGAAACACTATGCCATTTTTGGGCACAATAGTGGTAATTTGGAAAAGCGTTGGCTTTGAATGATAGCCAAGAAGGAGATAGCCACTCTAAAAATTGATTTTATTAGAAATTCGATATAAAAAAGAATACATGAATCATGAATAATGAGAGGCAGGAAAGAACGACAACCGTCCAGAAAATCCGCGAAGGCCACGTATTTGAATTGTAAATTCGGACAAGTCCATGATAAGTTGTCAATCCGGAGAATTCCTGCAAAATAATTGAATCGCCATTTTATGGTATTCTGCGAAACCTTTGTCTCATAATCGTAGATTTTTAAATAAATACGCTCGTTTGTTGGAAAATCGGACATTAAATCAATAAATGCTCTTATCATTTAAGTCGATTAATGTTTTATGGGAGACAATTGAAATTTAATAGACAAATATATATTTTTAAGAATAATAAAAGGCAACTTTATTTTTTTAAGGAAATATGTGTTATGGATTTATTCAATTTTTTTTTATTTTTCAAGATTTTTTGCTAAAAGTAACTCAAGGTAATGAAATTTTCTCAAAAATAATAATATTAGAAAATTATATATTTTATCGATTTTAAGAGGCATAAAATACTTATTTATTTCAATTTTCCTGTATTTTAAAATACAATAAAAATAAAAAATGTTGATCTCAATGTTATGAATTTTAGCGTGAGCACTCATTTTCTTATTTTTAAAGATGGAGCAACTTGCTTCGGAGCATGGTAGTTGTTGTGTTCACGAAATTGTCTTCAAAAATTCGATTTTATTAGATGACTTGCGAACCGCGCGGGGCAACAGTGAGTACGAGCTGACGAAAGCGTACGAAATGCATAAGGCGGTTCAGATTCGCATCAAGCAGGTTGGCTGTAATTCACTACAATCGAAAATTGAAATTGAATAAATTTATTAAAAATGGAATGCTCACTTCAAAAAATCTAGTGAAAACGGGAGCAATGAAAATTGCCAATTTTTTCGTGTTCGATATCAGCTTCCATGCCTGAAAAAAAACTAATTTTCCGCCTTAAATCGATTTTTTTTTCAATTTTCAAGAAAATTTCTTAATATTTGAATAAATAAAATAGTTTAAAATTGAAAAAAAGAAACAGAAATCAGCGGGTTAAAAAAATTGAGGAATTTTCGATTTTCGAAAATCTTTTTGGATACGGTAAGGAAAGGCGCATGCCGTTTTTGAGCTGAGTCTCGCAGCGCCGCTACCGATTCTGGTGGTTTTTTTGGGAAACCAATACATAAGGGATTTTAATAAATTTCCAAACAATCAAATTAATATTGTCGGCGTCGGCTGGGCCTTCAAATTTGCGAAACCAGCGTAGGTTTAAATTAATCGTTGACTGAATATTAAATGCGCGTACACTATAATGCAATGTACGCAGTCTTGCGTCGAATCCAAATTTTTGCCTTTTTTTTTCGTTCCCCCGGCGAACACTCAAATATTTCAGCGCTACAACTGCGAAGAGCAACTCGTGAGCATTTTGCGCGCTCCATTTCGCGGCTTCTCCGTTCAAGTTCGATTCAAATGTCGCGCAAAAATCCATCCAATCAAGTTGGTTTCGAGAAAACGCGAAGAGAAACGATTCGAGGAGCTCGAGAAATTTCTAAGTAAAAAAAAGTTGAAAACTGACAAGAAGCTTAAAATCGTTCAGACGAATAATTGCCAACGACATTCCACAACAATTCTTTATTAGAAAAGTTAAATTATTTAAATGTAATTCCCAATTATTATGCCTAATTAGTCAATAAATATACCAATTAGTTCACTATCCTTGCTTGAAACCCGTAAATTGTCAGCAGTTGTGTTTTTACTTTTGCTAGTTTCCGTCTGAATTCAGAATGCGCCGAAAAAGGCTCTGGAAATCGGTAAGTCCCTTCCCCATATTTCAGATATTTTCATATTTCAGGTCAGCGAAATTTGCAGAAAGAGGGAGTCATTGATCAAATTACAGTTGAGGTGTGTCAGTGTTGATGAGAAAAGCAACACACGCCCGGCCGCGCCATGCTTGCTTGCTGCCCCTCAAAAATAAATTCCAATCATAATTCGTCTCTTCCACCCCCAATACTGTTTTTATTCGCCGTCGGTGAGGGGGGGGGGCATCGTTTGCAAAATGCGAAGAAAAAAACTTGATTTCCATTATTTGGGTGTGCTTTCTTTCGCCGCGATTCTATTTTTAGATCGTCGAGAAGCCGGCTAGTTCACGTGAATTCAAGTCAAGGTCATTCTCAAATGACCGTTTATTATATGCTAGGCATGCTCAAGACACTTTCCACTGATAAGCAGCAATCAGTCAATCCCACGCAAACCGCAGGAATGTCCGCAGCAGGAATGCATAGAATGTGAGCGACTCACAGAGGAACTCAAGGCATTCCTACTCCTCATAATTTATAATGTTATGTGCCGAAGTATGTAGTAGATGTTAACATCATTGATAGGCATCGGGTTTTTTGTGTGTCTCGTCTCGTGTTCGGCGAACGAATTCGAAACAGATCACCGAACAGATCAATTAGCTGAACCGATGAGGGGTGAGGGCTTCGGAGATCATCGCAAACATCCCTACGGCGAAAAATGAAAAAATCATAGTGTTGTAAAATTCGGCACGGCGTACTTCCTCGTCGAAGCGACGTTGATCTGCAACAAGACGACGATGGTCCCAAAATTTGACACAAATCAATTCGAATTTCGCATCGATTCTGGATCTGGAAATTTCTCGAATCCAACATCGCCATGCGCCTTTAATTCTCTCTCTATGAATAAAATTGTGTTTGGCTACAAACATTAAATTTGAATTGCCGCCAAGACATGTTTGGGCAATAAAATTTCAAATATCTTCAAAATATATGATTTTTTTTCAAAAAATGATTTTCTGTTTAAAGGCGCATAGCCTTGGTTTTGAAAAAAAAATTGCAGCAATGTTTGGAATTTTAGTTATTCCATTTTTTAGAAGAATTGTGTTTTTTCTGGAATTCCACCAAAAGCCCCAATTTTCAGATTTTTTTTTCGATTTTATCACAATTGACATGTTTGATTGACGCGTCCACAAGACGAGAACAAATATGGGCAAAAATCGAAAAATCGGCGTTGGCCAGCAATTTTTAGCAGGTAGATCAAAAATATTCGCGAAGAGGCAGACAACGTGGAACCGCCAAAAAATGATTGATTGATCATTTTGCAAATCAACACTAATTTGATAACAATTCACAATCTCTATTTCTCTTTTTTTTTTCTCTTTTGCTGGGTTTGATCTACTCGCTGATCGCATCTAATCAATCGATATTGAAAAATGGGTTATTTGGTGACGTCATCAGCATTTTTCATGATTTTTCGACACGTTTTGACCTCTAAAATTCATTGAGAAAATCAATTTAGAAAAAAAAGTCTGGCTTTCCATATTGGACTTTAACCTTCAGAAATCGAAAATTCCAGCTTAAAAAAATTAACAAATTTAAATTACCCAAAAAAAATAGTATAACTACATATATATACAGGGTGTCATTTAAGTTCTCGCAAAAAAGTTTGACGCCATGAAGAGCTTCACTGACGCACTTTTCGTGCACCAATACAATTTATTTCAGTTAAATATGGTATATTTTACTTACTTTCCAACTTTCATCTCATTCGGATGAAGGCTAACATCCATCGCGCTTCCATTATCGAACTATAAGCAAAATGTGAGCCAGTTGGATCCTACCAGAAGCGTCTCCGTGAGGAGGCCGAATCAAAAAGAGTTAATGGATAATTATTTGTAATTCTATAGATAAAAAATATTTCGAATCTCGTTTGATTTGGACTTTTAGTCTCAGAAATATACGTCTTCAAATTTTTAAATGACACCCTGTAGTTGCTAGAAATGAACTTATCGCTGCCCCGCCAAAACGCAGAGTACCTTATAATGTCAATCGACGCATCAAAACAAAACAAAAAGAAATATTGAGAATCAACGATTTATTAATAGAAATTATGAGAAGATCGAACAAAAAACGATTGCGGTAGGTGAAATCGAGATCAGAGCTTCAAAAAACGAAACATTAACAAATTGAGAAGATATTGATTAAAGCGCGCAGTGTGATCGTTGATCGTGTCGAGACCCGAAGTGATGAACGTGTGTAAAGCACAAAGTCGACTAGATTTCAATTGGTTGTAGAGAATATGTACAGAATATCATTTCATGATGATGATGATCAGTATAAATCGGCGCAGTCCTCAAGGGAATATCGCCACGGTGGTAGACATGTCGCCATTATTGATTGATTTGTTGTTGTTTTGCGACAAAACAAGCACAATTTTGTGTGTGTTTTTATCACGCAGAAGACGATTCACCGACCGCCGCCGATTATTTATAGGGCATCGGCGACGACGCGCCGCCACCTTCTGCCCCACCTCCGGACACGCCCCTTTTCACACGCCTAGTCAAATAATGACATGCGCCTGTACGTCTGGTGGCGACGCTCTCGACCACACCTTTTTGTGTTCGATTGCAGAAGAAATTGAAAGCTGTCATCAATTGATTGCCATATTTGGACATGGTTGCGGGTTGCGATTTTCCAGGCGGTTCGAGAATTTGATTCTTGGAGGAAACGGATTTCAATATGAGACAATTTTCCTTTTCACGAAATCTGATTTTCAATCTACTTGATTCTGTTGCAAATTGGCATTTCTCAATGTTATTTCTTCTGCGGACACTCTTCGGGGTTTCCCGAAACGGATTTTGAAACAAAATTTCCATCGCTTTTGGATTGGCGTGGAATTTCTAAATATATAAAAAACGTGCTGCGGACATTTTTGCGGGTTTCGCGTCATTCATCAGACATGACTCAAAACAGTTCGATGAATAATTGTCGGGCGAAGAAGAAGAAGAAGAAGAAGCCAATAATCATTGATGACGACAAGGAAGAATGATTATCGGCGGGAGGAGAAGGTCATTTCTCGTCGACGACGGTCAGAATATACATAGAATTCAGTGGCGGTTGAAGACAAAAGCATTGCTGAGATTCCAATGCGGACGAGAATGCGTTGGACGCAATTCTCATTTGGTTTCGTTTAAAGGCGCATTACGTGTCGGCATTTGCGTTTTTAATCAATTTCGCGAAATTAATCGAATTTTTTTGGGAAGACGAGGTTGTGCTGCGGACATCTCGTTGCTTTATTCTAGAAGTTAGTTCAGCCTTAAAATTTTCAATTAATTGGATACAAATTGCAAAGAGCTGCGGACAATTTTGCGGGTTTCGAATTATGCAAAACAATCAGAAAAAAATTATTTTTAATAGAAATGGTTTATAATAAATTGGTTTTGTAGAAAATTGCAGATTTCTGCAATATCGTCGAATTAAATAAATTTCATACGGTAGCGCAAGATCTGTGCAAACACCGTGGCGAACATTTTAGGATTTAATAAAATGGCTGCGGACAGTCTTCGGGGTTTCAGCTACACATTAATCCATTGTCTTGTTTTTGTGATTAGTCGATGGCCAATCTTTGTGGTCTCACACAGATTGGATTACGGTAGGGTGTGGCTAAATATAAACACACACACACACACGCGGAAAAAAGAGTGTTTTGTGGACCGACTAATTCGAATTAGACGACGTCACACAAGCCACTCTTCCAAATAAGGCGAACTGTTCATGAGAATAGCGTGCGCGCGCGCGAAAAAAAATTCGGCGAGTCCTTTGACGCATTTTTTTGGGTCGGGTTTTATGACGAAGCGGAATGTGCGGAATTCCAGCCCCATAATTGGCGAGGCTTCTTATTTGTGGGTTTTTACACTTCTCAATTTGCCCCCTATATTTTCTTAATACTCTAAAATTGAAGAAGTTTTTTTTTGGGAATCTTGATACAAAATAATTGGGTGTGTAGTCAAAACAAATACAAATCAGCCATCATTAGTCAACATTATTTGCTTTGTAATTTTGCAAAGTATTCGCAAATTTGCACCCACGCGAGTCGTTCTTTTTTTTTCCTCTAACTGTCCAACCGCAACAACTTGTACTCATGAGCCGGGTAACTCAATAGCCGATGACGCGCTTCTTATGATGCAATTCTTCCACCGGAAGATTCTTTGGGTTTTTTTTTCTGCAAGAGAAGATGATTTTATCGCGGATTTCTTGGAACAAAATTGACACTGTGACATGAGACAGGAATATAAATATATCATCTGGTCGGCGGCTCGGGTTACACAACGTGCTGAATGATGAAAAATAATGTTTATTTTTAGGTCTGAAATTGTTCTTGAGGGAAATGAATGGGTATGGTAGATGGAAAATACGCAATGAGCGGTGCACATAACTGAAAATACCGTACTCTTGTACAAATATACTTATTTCAATTTTCTGCCTTGATTTTTTAAAATTAAATCTCCTTAATTGTGAAAATACTGGTTTGAAATAAATCAGTTTACGACTATTTAACTATGATTAACGAAAAATCGGGATTTTTGTTTATTTTAATCATTTATTTTTAATGAATACAGAAACAACCAGTCAATATTCCAGAATCGTGAAAATTTAGATTTTTCCTTTTTATATTCTTCAGACGCTCAATATTTTTTTCATATTTTTCATTTTTCTGCGCACTATTTTATTAGTTCCATTATTTTCTTCAAAAATAGCGTGTTAGTTTTAGCAGCGCATAGTTAGCATGATTATATTGCATTCAGTGTGCAAGCGCGCTCCATTGACAACCTAATTATTCGGTTGAACATTCGTTCAAATTTAAGTACGCGTTTTATGGATTTTATTGCACCATTTTTCAGTTGACTATTTTTATTTAAAAATTACTATTTTTAAGCTTCAAATGAACCCGGAGAGTTGGCGAAATTCACAAAATCCAGAAAGCTGGCGAGGCCATCCGCCACCGGATGGCACATGGAGGGGACCAAATGATGGCCCAAAACCTCCAACAGGTTTATTTTTTTTTGTTTTGAAAAACTCGTATTTATTTTAAACGATTTAGACCACGAATTAAGAACATCGATCGAAAAAACCGCGCAGAGTTGCGCTCGAAATGGTCCGCAATTTGAAAACATGATGAGGGAAACGCAGAGGAATAATCCAAAATTCGCGTTTCTTTTTGGCGGTCCCGGTGCGGATTATTATCAATATCAGCTGAATATGGCAATTTGTCAAATTCAAGGTAACATTTTTATTCAGAAAAATTGAATATTAATTTTCTTTATTTGTTTTCCTCGAAATTTAACTCAGATTTCTTTTTTAAGTTCAATTTTCAGCTCAAGTTCCACCACCATCATTCACCACGCCACCTCCACCAACTCTTGTGCCACCGGGACCATCAAATCTTCGCAAGAATCTGCCTTCTCTCATGGACACTCCGGAGATCACGAAACTAAAAGCCGAAATCGAGGAATTTCGCGCCAAAATCGCTGATAGCGAAAACAATTTAAAGGCGCATAAAGAAAGTCTCGAAGGGATTATAATGGTAGGAGAGGATTTGGCGTGAGAAATCAATTGCTTGCCGATTTTTTGTTTTCAGAACCATTTGAAGAGCTCGATTCGAACTGCCGAGCAGCAGAAAATCGCGCAGCTTCTTCATGCCCAAAATCTTGACACATCTGAATTTTCGGCGCAAATTGAGAATATGAACAATTCGAAATGCTCAAAAGACACGATTACGGTAAAATATTTATTCGATTCTCAACTATGGATTATTGGTGACAAGATTAAAAGGCGCAACACGGGCTTGTACTCTATTTTTTGTTGTTGATATTCTTGTCACCCACTGGGGGTTTTTTTTACAAATTTCAAAAATGATGAAAAATGCTAGTTGGTTAATTTAGCAAGCCAAAAAATGGATCTTCGAGCATTGTTGCACCGATCAGTTGCGCGAGATCATTCTAATGTACTTGCTAGACCGGTATATATTCCACGAATTTCATTGGTTTTCCAAAACCAACGTGGTGAGAAATGTGAATTTAGGGTGAAGGACGTGAACGCTTCCGAATTCCTACGTCTTCACGTCTTGTATTTAATTAATGATTGGGCGTTTCATTGGTAGGCTTCTCACGAGAAACTCGATTCGATTTTGATTCATTGATCGTTTAGCCAAAGGAAGCATGAGGATAATCAAATGAAAATGCTTACGAGATATGTGCCAAAACTCTACGCCTATTGTATGGAATATGCGACATCGGCGGAATTGCGAGAGAAACTGGAGGGGAAATTGGCCGGCGAATGGGAAGGACGAGGTTATTTCAATGATTCGGTGTTCAAGGTAGCTTGACTGGTTTATTTTTTTCATTTATGTGACGCTGTTGTCAATTTACAGCAAATTCGAAACCCGTCTAGTATTGTGAAGCAGGATCAGGACGCCGAGATTTGCTCGTATAAAACGGTAATTGTTGCTAGAATTTTGATTTTTTTTTTCAAATATTAGCTCAAGATAATGAAAAATTGTTTGAAAGAAATGAAATTAAAAATTTTTCGTACAAAATCTGAAAGGTGGTGGTAATAACTTATCAAATTTGTTAGAGACTTAAATTTCTTCACAATCAAGTAAATTTGCCCGAAAAAATAGAGATAACTCCCAGACGAACAGTAAAACACTTCCGTTGTGAGCAGGATTGTTTTATCCCGATTACGGTCGATGCATCGGGATGGAAATAAAGCCTGAGCTCACTTTTCTCTTGTTTTTGCTAGCGGGGATTAATCAGAAATGTTCCTAATCTTATTAAATTACAAGTTTCTTGAATTTTTTTTTAAATTGCAGACGGCTGAATCGATTCGATCGTCGTTGATGGCGACGTATGAAGGCTACGAGCAACAGCACAATTCATTCTCCCAGCATTGCCAAGCGAAAATTGATGAATTGAATAGACAGATTAACGGTAGAGGACATTTTGTGCTTAATCCTCGATTTCTCTTATTTTTTGCAGAGCATCGACACGGCCCTTCGCCGCATTCGGACGCGTTCTTTCAGAGTTCTAGGCGTTCGCGATTCGATCAGACACCTCAAGGTAGGATTTTGGTTGTTGAACCAATGCGATCGATCAACGGGTTTTAGAACGGAAAATTAATGATTCGAGAATGCCGACGACAAGCACGGGTGGATGGACTGAAGGTAATTCCACTCATTTCCTTTTTAGACTATAAATAACATTTTGTAGTTTCTGAGGAAATGACATCAAAATTTGGTGCGGATGGTGATGATATTGACGGAATGCCATTTGATGAGAACGCGTTGAAACCCAACAAATCGTATTTGGCATTGCCCGCCGGCATAATGGTTCCTTTGGTGAATATTACCGATTTTACGGTATGCTTAATTTGGAAATGATATGAGAATTAAAAAATCTGATTTCAGTACGAGCCGATTGATCCGGAGAAGCTTGAGATGCCGCCGATGATTCCGCCGTCGCAACGTCTCCTCGCGGCGCGTGAAGCGTTTTATAAAGGACTCAATTTGGACACGATTGTTAAAAATGAAGAGCCGTAAGAATTTTTGGCTTTATTTTCTGTTCTTTTTTTGTAATTCACTATTGATTTTCAGATTTGATGATTGGGGAATTGCCAATTATCCTAGTGAGTTTTTGGAGAAGAAACGAGAATTGAAGAAGAAGGTCTTGGAACGATTAAAGGTGCTGTATTATTTGAGAGCAATCAAAAATTGGATCATTCTCTTTTTCAATGACTTTTTTTCCAGGCTGATAAAAAGAGTCTGGAAGATGTCATCAAGAATCGACCGAATTCTGATGAGCGACGAATTTTGGAAGCTGAGGAAAAACGGAAATATAACGAGATGATTGATGGAATCAAACAGAAAGTTGAAGATTACTATGCTGAGCAGCCGACCGAGCCCGAGGAGACGAAGAAGGCGAGGTCGAGGTCGAGATCTAGATCGCGTTCTAGATCTCGCGGAAGAAGTCGGTCTCGATCGAGATCGAGATCCAGGTCTAGAGGGCGAGCTAGAAGACGGAATCGATCGTCGAGCTCGAGAAGCTCAAGAAGCTCGTCGTCTTCATCATCATCGTCGTCGTCATCGTCTTCTTCTTCGACGGATTCTGGAAGGCGTCGACGTAAAAGTAGTTCGAGGAGAAAGTTTGAGCGATCGCCATCGCCCGTCTTGTGAGTTTAACTTTTTGGAATAAAATTTTTGAACGTGTTTTTCTTGTAGCGCGACGCCATCTTTGGGTTTTCGTTCATCATCAACACCGTTGTCGAATGACAACAAAGGGGCACAATTGATGGCGAAAATGGGATGGAATGGAAAAGGATTGGGTGTTAACGAATCGGTAAGAATTTTAACGATTTTTAATGGAAATTGTTGAATGGGTCACATTTTTGAACGTTTCTCTTTCAGAATTTTTAAAACTACATATAAACGAACCGATTTTTTATGAAAAAAAAGTGATTTCGAAAAATGTTTAATTTTGCTGTGGATAGAGAAGAAATGCATTTTTTCTGGTTCAAAAGTTGTAATATGCAAACTAAATGGTACTAAATTATGCAGGGAATTGTCGATCCGATCAATGGGGGCGAGATTCGCGTCAAAGTTGATCAATTCCGAGGCCTCGGCAGCAGTTTGGATCCATATGAGCAATTCCGACGGCAAAGATCCGGTTCGTATCATGATCGAGGAGCAATGTTTAGGAAATGAGCATAATTGTTATGTTTTTGATGTTTATTTATAAATTATGACGCGATTTATTATTTTTTTTTTACAAGTTTTACGGGTTTTTTGAACCAATTAGTATCTTTTGCATCATTGATTTTCCTGTGTCTAAAGTTAAATTTGCACGTTTTAAGGATGAGATTGATATGCCTTGCCATATTTGGGATATTAATACCATTTTCGAGCGCAATTTATGAAGATCAGGCAGGCAAATTTGATTGGAGGAAACAATTTATCGGATGTCCCAAGGATGCCTATTTTGAGCGAGGAACTTCGTGAGATTTTTTATTCGTAATGGGTTTTTGGTAATTTCTGTTTTTTTTTTAGAGGGACGGATAAGGTGATTTTCACTACCGAGGAGGATATTCTCGCGGGAGTCTCATTGAATACGGGAGAAATTGGTATGTTGGGGTATCGTTTGGAAAAAAAAGTAAAACTTTTTATTTGGGAGAAAAATGTTTTTTTTTTGAATTTTTAAAGGGTTTAACTGTTTTTCCCACAAAATTTTTATATTGTCATAAAAACTTTCAGCATGGCGACGGGTTTTTGAGAAGAAGCCGACAATCAATTCGAACTCGATGAGCTCGACGTCGAATGAAAAAAGTTTGCTCATTTTAATATTGTACAATTTGCTCTAAACTCATTTTCTTTTGACCTACAGTAATCTATACGATGAGCAACGGCGGTCAAATTGTGCGATCGTGGAGAAAATCGAACGGAGTGCTCCGATGGCAGATGCCGTTGGGCTCATTCGACGCGAAAATGTAATTTTGTTGAATTTGAGATTTTTTTTTTGTAGGGTAATTTGCGAAAAATCATTTCAGCGCCGACATTGTGTGGTTTGAGAAATTTGTCGCTGCAACCACCGAGCACAAAATCGCGATTTTCAATGAATCGGAGAAGAATGAGCAGAAAAAGCTGATTTTGGAGCATGTCCTGCCTTTTAAGACGTAATTTTTGCCAACGTTTCAATTTCAATCAATGGTGTTCTTTTAATTTTTAGAAATTTCGCGAAATTCGTCAAATCTGCTGATGGACGACTTCTTCATGTTTCCGCTGTCGCTGACTCGTCCACGTTCCATATTCGGCATATCGATGTTAATGAGAAAACTGTGACTCTGCTCAAATCGATCGATATGCCGCAGGTCAACGTCGAGAAGTGCTCGAGAACCGGCGATCTGATTACGTGTTATCACAGCGATTCGCTCATGATTGTCAATCCGGCGAATTCGAAAGCGATTCAGAAGTCGACGGGTGTCGCGATACGGTATGTGTTTTTTTTTTCCTTTTAAACGGTGTTTAAAGGCGCATGCCAATTCTTCAGCGATGTGCAAGGCCATCTTCCGATAATTGTGGTGCGCGGATCGGCGTCGATCAATATTTTCTCGCTGAAAACGGGAAATTTGGAATCGGTCGGTGAAATTAGCGGAATTTTCAACGTGATGAACTCGGTCTCCGACGCCAACTATCTTGTCGCCGCGTCGAAATCGAAATTGATTTTTATCTCATTGACGGATGGTAAATTGGTCTATGAGGTGAGCAAATTTTGGAGATTCGCTTTTGTGCAAACTTCTTTGCTCAAATTAGATTCCACTTGGCGAGGACGCTCATCGCGTCGCACCGCGTACGGTATTCGCCTCGTCTGTCGGCAAAAGCTCGAACGAATTCGAAGTGGTGCTTGTCGGCGATGATTGTCGCATCGAAATGTTGGTGACGAATGGGAAGAAGAAGCACGCGGTTGGAGAATGGACGAGAGATGAGTCGCTGATTCGCGTTTCGTCGGTTGAGATGGTCGATTTGCCGTTGTCGGAAAGCCAACAATTGATTGAGGACGAATTTGAAGGGGATAATCGTGAGAAAAGAACACAATGTTGAATTGAGAATGTTGATTTTTTTTCTAGAAATGGCTCTAACTGCCTTCCTCCGACGTATCATGGTTCAATTTGGACAGGTCCGCCGTTGGGCGATCCGAACGATCGAGCAGGTGTTCTCCTTGGGATCGGTGCTTTCCACGAGAGCGAATGGATTGTCGGATCTTATCAACGCAGTGCGGTCGAACTCGCCGAGCACCACGTGAGAGAGACATTGACAATTGGCTGTTTGCAAATGATGTCAATCGTTGTAATTTAGATCATCCGAAGGGCCGTTTGAACGCGACTACTTCAATCTACGCAAATTGATTGTGTTGACGACACTCGATGGCGTCGTGTTTGGAATTGATAGCGCGAATGGGAACATTCTGTGGCGAATGCACCTTGGCGACGCTTTTGCGCCGCTTCGAAGCAGTCTTGGCGAGCTTCATGTTCCGCTGTTTGTGCAACGCACCACAGCGCATTATCAGCTCGATGGACAAGCGGCGGTTGTGTTCAAAAACGCGGTATTCATTTGAAAAATGTCAAGATTTTCTTGAAAATTCGATGGTTTCAGGCGACTTCGAATGGAATTATTGTTGCGTTCAATCCGATGAATGGAAAAATTGTGGAACGCAAGGAATTGGCGTACGCGATCAAAAAGTATGTTGAAAATGTCAAAAATTGACTATCTGAATAATTTTTTTTCAGGGTTTCCCTTCTTCCTTTCGTTGATTCTTCTCATATTCACTCGGTTTTGACGATTAGCAACCAGAATCAGGTTTTGGACTTCTTCAAATTGCCTAGTTCAACTATGTGTTTGTTTTTTTGTAGATTTCCTACTATCCAGAAGTTTCGCGTGAGATTCTCAACAAGGCACTTCCATTGCATATTTTGGACGCGACGAATGATGGACGATCATTCGTCGGCTATCAAGTTGATTTTGAGAAACGCGCGCTTGTGCAGAAATGGTCTGGAAATTTGGGACTGTCCCCGAATGATCAAATTGTTACCATTAAAGGCAAACCGTTTAATCGTGAGTTTTGCTCGACTATGAGATTTCCGCGATGCGCCTTTAAAATTATCTGAACTACTCTCTCTCTCTCTCACGATTGATTTTGCAATTTTTTGTAGTCGGTGTATGCCGCGCCACCCAGCTTATAAGCCGTATGATCCTTTAATCCTATTAGTTGATATATTTTTGAATTCTCGAATGATTCACTTTTTTTATTTAAATTTCATTTAATTCAAATATTGAAAATTTAAAATAATTGAGAAATGATTTTCAAGACAAGTTTTTTTAATTTAAAGGCGCACGCAGTGTGAGCCTTGCGATAGCTGTAAAACTCGATAATAATAATTTTTTCGAAAAGCGCGTGTAATCAGTCGCGGACCATTGAATAATTGAAAATTTCAGAGAGGGTGCACTCGCAAGGCCGCGTTCTCGTTGATCGCGATGTTCAATTCAAATACATCAATCCAAATTTGGCGGCAATTGCCGCATTGGACCCGACTACACAAATATTGACGATTATTTTGGTCGATGTTGTGACGGGACAAATTGTGCATTCGGCGAACGCGAATAAAGCGACGGGACCCATTCGAATGGTTCATTCTGAGCACTGGATTGCGGTAGGCGCTTTTGGATTCGAATGATCGCCCCAATTATGGTCTCTCTTTTTTTTTCAGTTTTCGCATTGGTCTGAGAAACATCGAAGAACCGAACTTGGAATTATTGAGCTTTACGAAGCGTCGAATCAGCAATCAATGAAAGTAGGCATTCCCTTGGATTTGTTAATGTTTTTTTAACCAACCCCTCTCAAAAATATTTCTAGGAAGCGTTCGATTCGAAATTGCCGACGAAGAAGCCGCCGGTTGTGATTGCGAACAGCTACATCTACTCGCAGGAGATTGACGCGATGTCGGTGTCGGAAACCGAGCAGGGTCTCACGACGAAATCGATACTGATCGCGTTGCCATCTGGCAGCATTCACGAGGTGTCGCGAAAGTTGCTGGATGCGACGCGGCCGCTCGAATTGACGGCGGCGATGCGCGAGGAGATGATGATCGGCTATGTGCCGGAATTGGCGATCGCCACCGAGGAGATGATCAATTATAATCAGACGGTGCATCGAGTGCGCGCTATCAAAACTGCGTATGTCATGACGAATTAAAGAATCATGAAAATTTCGTCCGATTTAACTTGTAGGCCTTCTGGACTCGAATCGACTAGTCTTGTTCTTGCTTATGGCACGGATATCTTCTTCACGAGACTCACGCCGTCGGGAACGTTTGATATTCTGAAGGTATGCCTTGAAAATCGATTTGAGATTAATTGATGGCTCGAATTTCAGGACGACTTTGATCATTTGCTGATATCCACCGTACTCGCTGCCTTAATAATTGGATCGTATATCTCGAAGCGATTGGCGAGATCACACGCATTAACAGCACAATGGGCGTAAAATTTCAGATTCTTTTTTTTTCTTCTTATTCGCATGCTCAAAAATTCCCTTTCCGCCCTCCCACGTATAGTCGACAAATTTTGCGGCTACGGGTCATCGAAAAAATGATGTTTTTTTTTTTGATTGAAGAGTTTTTGACCCTCAATATTTTCGCCTTCCATTTTTTTGTTTTTTTTTGTTATTCGAGTCATTCATTCCTGTTCAGTCCGTTTTTCCCCGAAATTTCGACGCTTTATATTATTATATATTTATTTTCGTTCTCATAATAAGAAGAATAAAGATTTTAGCTGTTTTTACTACTGGATTTAGAGATTATTGAATGTATGGAGATGCAGATTGCGCGACGACGCTTATATAGGCACCACGGAGCACTTTTTTCGTCATTTTTCCAGTATTGAATTTATTTTTATCTTTGGTTACTGTAGACTGATGTTCTGCTTACTTGCGTCATAGTTATTGCAGACTAGCTAGCGAATTTTTTAGAAGTTGTTTGCTGGAATTTTTTTCCTATTCTTTAGAATGTTTTGAAATATTTCATAATTGTGACTCATTAAAACAGCTCTATTCAAAGTATATTTAGCTTTTTGAGCTTTTGTTCAGCTCATTTTCTATTTTTGAGATTTTAAGCCTCACTATTTGTGCCAGAATATATCTATGAATTTCTTTATATGCGCGTTTGCCTTTTCCTAGCTTCTCCTCTTCATTTTTATAATCCGCAGTGGCCGGAAAAGGCGAACAACATGCCCTTTTTTCCATTGGAGAACGCCGAAATTTGAAAGTAGTGCAATTTTGCGTGGGAGTGTTTGCGGTTAGTCGAATTTGCGCGAAATTTCGAGTTATTTCCAAATTCAAATTATCGCTTCTCATTCTCATTTTGACGCGACTTTTTTTTACAAAAAAAAAACAATTAATTTTCGATTATTTGCGTGATGTTCTGTCGACCTAGAGCACGGTTTTCAAAAACTAATTTCGCATAATGGCCGATGTAGAAAAACAAACTCAAAACGCTAATAAGCAAATTGTCGAAAATGTCAAAAGGTTTCGATTTTTGCCGACGTTTCGATATTTTTACTATATATTTATATATATTTTTTCTTATTTTTCAATTATTTGTGTTGATTTTCCAGAACAGTCGACGAGAAACCGGATCAATCCCAAGCCGAACTATCGCATTCGGCAACTGAAGGTGAACAGCAAAAGCCCGACGGTGCGACAGTTTCGGAGAGAAAAGCGACTTCCGAAAAGGAATCGAAGACTGACAGAGAAGCAGCACCAAAGATGGCTGACGGCGCCAACAAACCCAAGGTTCGGATTTGTTCATTTTCGAAATATTCGCATTTGTTTTTTGCAGAACTCTGAAGAGGAAATACTACTCAAAGAGCAAGCCGAGTTTGAGCAAAAATTGCGCGATGAGAGGGAAGCTGCCAAGGCTCTAAATCCGCAATTGAACATTCATGTACCTGATGTGAGTTGAGTCGATCGCAAAACATTTGCATCATCCTGGAGAATTGCATCAGAAATAGGAGGAGCTGGCGGGTTGTGCGCGAATTGCGAAATTCGAAGCTCATCTGAGCAGAAATGAGCAAATCCGAACGGCTTTAAATCCGAAATGTCTCACTATTTTTGCCTAAATCCTCGCGCTCTTTATTTTTTTTTTTTAATAATTTACAACTTAACTATGAGAATAATGTAGACTGGTCCAAATTTTGAGTTCAACATTATCTGAAAATTTACAGATTGCGGTTGAATCTCGATCTCACAATTCGCTCAAATGTTTTCTTTATGGAATTTTATTCCCTTTTTCATCTTGATGAGCTTTTCTTCAGATTTTAGCTTAAAGGGGGTAGTGTTGATTCGATTTACTCTCTCATTGAAATCAAAAGTTCATTTTCTGCCTCTAGTGGGTCTATCTTCAAATTTGCACTATGAATAACAAAATTCGTCAGGAATTGCTGTTTTTTGCCAATAATTGATATAATTTTTTGAGTTTCCAAAAAAAAAGAAATTTACGAAGTTATGTCTAATTATGAAATTTTCTGTCCCATTTGCGCGAAAAAATAGAATTTTCAACAATAGTTTTTTAGTTTTACGATCCAATTAGACAATTATCTATAATTGGCCAATTTTTGCCGAAATTGTGTATCTCTCGATTTTTTATGCGCAAATTTCAAAGAACACCTGCCAATCATTTGAAAATGATTGGATACACACTGATAATTGAAGTTTCGCACTAATTTGTCGATTTTTACGAGTTTTTGTCCAAGTGATTTGTGATGTTTTTCACGAGATTCGGGTCAAAATTGATGATATTTTGTAGAAAATCTATTTTTTCTTTAATAATTCGTCATGGCAGATGACATGTGAAAGTGTTAACCCAGAATTCGCTGAATTTTTGAGTTCCCAATTATTAATTTTGGACATAAAACGTTTAATTTGAATATGCCGCGATTTTTATGACAAGTCCAGACACAATTTTAGAATTTGAATAAAATTTAAAACCTTGCGTTTTTTTTTCAATCACTTTCGACTAAAATTTGTAGTGTTGACTATAGAAAATTGCGGAAAAAAAGCAAATGTGTGCGATAACGACAATAATCGACTGGTAATATAGTATAATACGATAACGACGACGACTTGAGAATTGTTGGTTTCTCATCATCGCCGCGTTTTTGTTTTCTCGTTCGCAAATCGCCGCGTTTCGTTTTTGTCTCTTGACGCGAAACTGTTCGCATTGGTGGTTCGTTTCTGATAAAAAAATTGATTGATAATACGAATTGCGGGGGATTTGTCCCGTCATTTGCGATTTCGATTTTGATACGCTCGCCCACGTGCGGCAAATTCTTGTATATAAACGAACGATCGCCATCTTCCTGGCTTCACCGTTCGTTTTTATTGGATTTCCCTCATCGCACGCGTCCAATGGCGACCGGAAATTGTGCATTTTATTGGATTTTTGTTCACAAATTTTTAAATTTTGTTAGAAAAATGTTCCCAAAATTTGCAAAATTGGGCAATTTTTTTAAAAATAACTTCCATTTTCTTCAATCTTGAGAAATTAGTCTTCAGGAATTGAGATCCTCTGGCCAAACTATGGACCCTCGGCCTTTTTTTTCCGAAATGCTTGCCCATAGTTTGAATGTTTGGCCTTTTTTGTTTATGTGTGTAACTCGATCTGTAGCACTAATTGTGAAGATTCAATGCGTAATTATGTGTATTATGATTATCATTATATTGGAGTTTGTTTTGTTGCCGAAGAATAGCCGCAAAAATGTATTCAATTTGGTGCTAATTGCGCGATGAAATTTGGTCCCTTCTGACGCGAAATTGTGCACTTTTATTCTAGTTTGAAACCGAGTGGAATTTAGAAATTAACGTTGCTCGAATTACAGTAATTCAAGGAGCACTGAGCTCATTTTTTTGGGAAGAATATTTGCGTTGAATTCGACGCCAAATTTGATGACAAAAAGAGCGTTGTTTTTTTTTGTTTCAATATAAGATAAAATATGACCTAATTTCTCAAGAATGAACCTTTAAAATGGGTTGTTTCGCACACTTCCGGACTCCATCGACGCACTATATAATTTGTTTTCCCGTTTCGAAACGTTTTCGCTCATCTACGCGTTTCTTCGACGCGCATGCGCCTTTAAACATCTACAGTAATCTTGCTCGACTACGATTTTTGGTCACTCTCCTGACGTTTGACGAATCGATCGTCTTATTGGAATTTTTGCGTCGTCGAACATGTGGCGGACATCGCGACTGATGGGAGAAGTGGGAGGAGCACGAGCTCGTGCTTCTTCTTCTTCTTCTCCAGCTCGCCGATGAAATGACGCAATTGCACATTTTGCACGTTCGCTTTTTTCTTCCTCTTCTTCTCTCTCTTTTTTTTCGGGGTTTTCTTCTTTCTTTTTTTTTAAGATTCATGCCTCAAACGAGTTTTAGTTCTTTATTTTTGTCGTTCCGCCGTTGGGAATTGTTGAAGAATAAATGTTTAGGGATTGAATTGAGAGAGTGCTGTCAGATTTTGCCAGCTGACCGCTATTTCTTTCAAAAACCCCGAGTTGTGTAAGATTTTCGATTCTTTTTCTTTCAAATAAAATTTGCCAAGTATTTTCAGAAGTAATATTAACATTAAATGAATTTTAAGCTCAATAATTATTGTGATGCGTTTCGAATCGAATCCGACATAACTTGGGCTCCGAAATTGATTGGTTTATTTTTGAAATTTGCTTTTTTTTTAAATATTGGTAAAAAAAATAATTTTTCTTGAAAATTCTTGAATGGAATCTCCCCAAAAATCTTTCAACACGTTGGAATTCCGTGACGCTTTAATTTGCTGAAAGTTGACTTTCGAATGTTCTGTGGGCATTTTTAAGAACCCGTATGTGTTAATTACTTCTTCTTCTTCTTCTTTTTTCCCTCCCATTTTTTGCCTGTAAATGTATTTAATAGAATGGTATTGAATTACAACATTCTTTTCTCATGCCCTTTATACTCTCGATTCGTTCTCTCTTACTTCGTTATTGACTCATTTCAATTTGCCATTCGTTTTGTTTGTTTGTTTAGTTCGTATTTTATTTTTTGCGAGTTTGCGACTCATCACGAAATCGAGCACTGTAATCGTGTACTTGTCGGGTTTCGCACGTTTTCCTGTTTTGAAATGAGGTTTTTTTTCAAAGCACAAAACTCTGACCAGTTTTTGACTTGCGGATTTTTGCTAATTGAACGATTTTCTAAAAAATCTTATTTTTTCTCGCAATTTGGAGAATCTGTCAGATCGATATCGAATTTTGATGTTTTGTAGATATTTCTGAATTTTTTTCGGTCCAGAAAAAAATGTTTGATTTTGATGCAAAAATTCTTTATTTTTTCCGGCAATTCGCACTTTCGAGCGTAATTCGACGAGGCATTCATTCGTTGATCGTCGAATCAATCACGTTTGACGTGCTAATCGCTGCCGTCGGGTGACCTGTGCTGCTGCCTCTCAACGGTTTTTTTCTAATTGCCACAAAAATATATTGTGCGAGACCAATTGCGTTTGAATTGGGTCGAACAAAAAAATTTGTGAAACTTGTTTGCAACAACAATTTTTGTGCCCTTAAGTCAGTAAAGACAGATTAGAGGTTACGCCTTATTTGGGCTACGCATTTAAATTTTGCATTTCGTTTTGGTTTTTCCATGCGCCTTTAAACATTTTTGTGTATGTGTGTTTTTACGAGACTCTGGTTGTCGTAGTGGCTTTGATTTAGTGCGACTAGTAAATAAAAAAAATGGCGAACAAAATTTCGATGCAGAAAAAATTTTTACTTTTTTTTTATTAAAGGCCCAAGGCCAAAGCACAGTGATACCCAAAAATTTCATGATAGGCGTTCTTCTGCTGGCGAAACCAGAGAAGCTCATATATCTACCAAAAAACTTTATTGAGATTGTGTGTTTGAAGGCGCATGATCCATTATTTCGGTAAACCTACGTGTCTCTTATATCGTGTGCGAAAATTGATTTCTTTTCAAGACCTAAAAATTCTTAATTTTATTCTCTCTCCCCCTCTATCTCTCTCTCTCTCTCTCTCTCTCTCTCTCAATCTTTCCATTCCTACAGTATCCACTTTTTTTTATGAAATGTTGCATTTTGTTGGCAAAACATTTATTATTTTCTCTCGTTTCATTAATATTTTTGATGAAAAAGAAAATTATTTGGAAAATATTTTTTCTAGAAATGGTGAAGGACGATGAGGTGAATGTGCCGCTTCAGGGCACTCGATATCAGCCGGCGCCGGTGAGTTTAATTGCTCCGTACTTGATGGCTAATTATATTTGCATTATTAATTCATTAGCTTATTTTTTGTTTGATTTCTGCGCGGCGCTCCTCTCGCGACCGATTTAACGCGCCGTTTGATGTTGTAGAAAAAGATTTGAGTGAAAACAAAATATTTTATGTTTCTTTTTTTTAATGCCAAAAATGCTCCCCAAAAGTTTTGCGATGTCTTCTGATGAGGTACAATTTTTGCGATTCTTCTTTGCATTTTGTGGATTTCCTCAAAATGATTGTTTTAGGGACGATTGACGGGCGTTTTGGCGTTCACCGCGTTCTCGGTCACTTTGGCGTCGTTCCAATTTGGATACCATATCGGTTGCATCAATGCCCCTGGCGAGGTGGGGGCGTGACCCTTTTAATGATGGCTTAACGATTTTGTTTGCAGCTTATCACCAGATTCATCAATCAATCTCATGAGCAGATGTTCTCGACGAAGCTCACCAAGGATCAAGCGGATTTAGCATTGTGAGAGGGGGAAATTTAAAGGCGCTCGAATGGAATGTTTTTTTTTGCAGTTCGGTTGCCGTGTCGATGTTCGCTGTCGGCGGAATGGTTGGCGGATTGATGTCGGGATGGTTGGCGGACAAGGTCGGACGTCGCGGAGCTCTCCTCTACAACAATTTGATTGCGCTTGCCGCTGCTGCGTTGATGGGACTCGCCAAATCGGTTGGCGTTTATTATATGATCATCCTTGGACGCCTCCTGATCGGATTCAATGCTGGTTAGTAGAATTGGTTTTGAAAAATCGGCTTAAACTTTTTCGCCATCTACATACTATAAGGATTACAAGAATGAAAATTGTGTTCAGGACTCTCGTCGGGTCTCGTGCCGATGTATTTGACGGAGGTCTCGCCGATCAATTTGCGCGGAATGCTCGGCTCGTTGCCGCAGCTTCTCGTCACGATTGCGATTCTCGTCTCGCAAATTTTCGGATTGCCGCAACTTCTCGGCACGGCGCAACACTGGCCGCTCATTCTCGCGTTCACCGTCGTGCCGGCCGTTCTTCAATTGGCCACACTGCCGTTGTGTCCCGAGTCGCCCAAATTCACGATGGCGGTTCGCGGGCAACGCGAGAGCGCCGAAGCGGCACTGAAGAAGCTTCGCGGCACAAGCGATGTGACGGCGGAGATTGACGCGATTCAGGAGGAGGTGGCCGTCGCCAGCGCTCAAGAGAAGCCGACGATGGGAAGCATGTTCACGGTAGGAATTGGCGGGGGGCAACACGATGGAAACGTCGATGAGCACACGAAACTGTTTCAGGGCAGCTTGAGATGGCCGATGTCGATTGCGATTATGATGATGATCGCCCAACAATTCTCGGGAATCAACGCCGCCATGTTCTATTCGACGGTTATATTCAAAGGCGCCGGACTCACTGGAAATGAGCCGTTCTATGCCACCATCGGAATGGGTAATCGGCTTGAATCGATTGAACCGAGAATTTGATTGAATCGTATGATTGCAGGAGCTGTCAATGTGTTGATGACAATCGTCTCCGTCTGGCTCGTCGATCATCCGAAGTTTGGACGTCGCTCGCTTCTGTTGATTGGATTGATTGGAATGTTCGTGTCGACTCTTCTTCTCGTCGGTGGTTTGACCCTTCAATATCAGGGTGAAGACTATAAGGTAGGGGAGTGGTGATTTGCTGAAAATGGATGAGCTCATTGATTTTAGTGGGCCAGCTATTCGGCGATTGGCTTTGTGATCATGTTTGTGATCGCGTTCGCGACGGGACCCGGCGCGATTCCATGGTTCTTTGTCTCGGAGATTTTCGACTCGTCGGCTCGCGGAAATGCCAACTCGATTGCCGTCATGGTCAACTGGGCCGCCAATTTTCTTGTTGGCGTCGCGTTTTTGCCGATTAAGGTATGGATTTTGGTGGTGAAGAGAAGAGAACCGAAACATTGTCCGCAGATTGTATTTTATAAATCAACTGGCATTGGAGGTTCTGAGATTTTGAACTTTTTTTTTAATTGTTGAACCAGGGTTGTCAAAATGGGGTCTCTTGCTTTTTAAATCCAAACAAGAGAAATTTCATTGTGAAAATCTGCGGACATTTTTTTAACCACCATTGATTGACCGAAAATGTGTGTGCATTTTTTTTTCAGAACGTGCTCAACCAATTTGTTTTCCTCATCTTCTCTGGATTTTTGGCGATTTTCATCGTTTACACGTGGAAATTTGTGCCGGAAACAAAAGGAAAATCGATTGATCAGATTCAAGCCGAATTTGAAAAGCGTCGATAAATTGTTTTCATTTTTTCGTTCAACAGATATAAGAAACATTAACATACTGCCTTTTTTTTGTTTAACTATATATTTTTTATATTTAAATTTTTGATTGACACAAAAAATTTATTAATTTGAATTTGGCTGGATTTTGTATATAATTTGAATAAATTGAGACATTTAATGGATAATCTTCCATGTGAGACGATGACAAACTGGATTTTGGCGGTTTTCGTATCGTCACCTTTTTTTTGTGTGTATGTGTGTCTATTGTTGCCAATCGATAGCTTCTTTATATCTTGAGATTGCAGCGAATGTTTGGATTTTTCGCGATTTTTTTGATTTTTCCCATTGTTTTTGGTGATTTCACACCGCATTTTCGCAAATTTCTGCACGACAGCTATGGAATTGCGATAACCGATATGTTGGAGCGAACCGATCTTGGAATGGATGCGAGTTTTGGCGGAAAGGTGAGCGCTGCAACTTTTTTTTTATTGAAAGCTATTGAGCCTGAAATGTCATCGTTTCGATGCGCGGACAATTTTGCGGGTTTTGCCACTTTTAAATAATTGTTCAGTTGTCCGCAGATGAGCAACCGTCAAAGCAAGCGGTTATTCTGGTGCATGGAATCACAAATAAAATAACGCGATTCGCGGTGGGACCCCCCGCAATTTGACATATCAATAATAATTTGGTGGTATTCAGGGAACGATGAATTATTTGAAATCGAAAGGATACAAAAACTCGGAGATCTATGGGACCACTTGGGGCGACGCCGGACGGACACCGGTGGGTCTCGTCGACATGAAGTGCAGCTATGTGAAGCAGCTGAGGTGGCGAGAATGTCAGGCGGCGTGATTCCGATAAGACGATATTGCAGAGCGATGATCATCGCGGTTCGGCAGTACACTGGAACGCAGGTCGATGTGATCGCTTATTCGATGGGCGCCCCATTGGCGAGAAAAGCGATTCTTGGAGGGCAGTGCGTCGATACTCGAGAGATATTGGGTATTAATTGGCCTTCAACTCGAAATTTTTTACAGAAAAAGAATGAACTGAAAAATGCGGTCTCCGTGCTAGGTTATTTTTTTTCGCAAAAATTTTTTTTCATCTTGATCTTGTAATTCGAGTGTTTAAAATAATATAATAACATAGTGAAAAGTGGCTTCTACGAATCGATCGCTGCGAGACTCGTCGATTAACATATCCAAAAAATGAGTTCAAAAACTTTTCGAATTTTTTCTTTTGAAAATTCCAATTTTCAATTATTTTATATACTTGTTTTGATATTTGAATATCAAAAATAATTGTGAATAAAAAATTTTATCGGGGGAAGTAAAAATAAATTAAATAATCAATTGAAGGCTGCCGAAAATGAGTTGGGTCTTGTGTCGACTGATTCTAGGAACCGCGTTTTTTTCACGGAAACAGATTCATTGAAAAAAACGAGCACCTTGAATAATTGTGGACTATTGCGCACTTTTTTCGAGGCGGTGTTCCAAATTACCAGCGGGAATCGAAAGGGTTCCTTTTATTAAAACGGTACATCGTTTGTCGACAATCGCGAATTTCTGCAGGACCCCCGCTCACGGAGCTCATCGACACATTCCTGTCAGTGGCTGGCGCGAATTATGGAAGCGCGTTGTGCATTGTGCCGGTGCCGGTTGGCACGTGCAACAGGTCGAGCCGGCACAAACGATTTTCGAGTTTGAATTCGCAATTTGCAGACGCACCGGTCTCCATTGCGATTCGGCGTTCCTCCAGGACATCAACAATCAGCAGAAGTACGAAGGAGCGCACGTGTTCAGCATTTTCTCGACGGCCGATGAGAAGATTGGGTTTCGCTCGTGCGGTCGGCCGGTGTCGCCAATTCGCGGCGGGACCGGCTACGTGAAAAAAGACGGGCTCAATCATGATCAGTTGATGGATTCGACCGTCAAATTGCAATTGAATTTCGTCGCCAATCACAGCCCAAAAGCGCACCCATGATTTCCGATTGATATTTAATTTATTCTAATTTTTGTATAAATTTCAACCCATTTTTTGCAGAATTATTGAAACAATGGTTTTTCTTCTCCAGAAAAATTTCGAGTTTTAAAAATTTTTTCATTATTTTCCAACAGCAAAGTCAAGTACGTGGTACACCGACACGCCAATATACACATTTCCGACGTTGCTTGAAAATTGCTCGATTTTAGCGAGTTTTGGGTGTTACTCGCATTAATCTCGCCTAAAATGTAGCAATATTTGGTAGGTCAAAATATTATGAATTGTTTCAAATTGCCTCGTTGTCCGCAATTTTGTGTAAAGTGTGATATTGAAAAAAAAAGCTCCACATCGCACATACTGCAATTATTTGCACAGTGGGCGTGGTCATGCGGTCGTTGCCATGATATATTGTGCATAAAAACTGGGGAGTTGCCTTCACCCTCGACACTCGTTATATACGCGTTCTCCACTGTGAGAGTGTGTGTGTTTGTTTCTCGCGAGTCCGACGGACGCTCTCGCCAAAAATCGCTATCTCTCGCTACACTTTCTGTTCCACACCCATACACACAGACTCGTTGCCGTTGGCCGCTCTTCACTTTGCTTACCTGTCCATCTGCCTGTTCAAGGTTGTTTCCTAATTAAGCCGATTTTCGAATTTTTAGCTTTGAAATTGAATACGCGCACTTAACCTGAAATCCCTTCCATACCGTTCACACTCACAGGTAAAACGGCACATACGAAAAACGGGCCGTTTGCAGACCGGCGTCACACCGGAGAGGAACAATGAGTAGATATTTGCGCGGTCGATTTATGGTCTATTTTCTGTCTTTTTTTCAAGAAAAAATAGATGAATAGTTGCTCAGAAATATATAGGATTTAAAATTCCTTCACGCCGTTTGTGTATACTTTCAGTTATTTCATCAATTTTATTATTAAAGAAAATTCATAATTAAATTTTTCCGTCAGCCGATCTCAATTCATCGTTGTTCTCTGTGTATTCCTCATAATCCACGACGCCGAATTCTTCATCACGATTCGCCACGCTCAAACTCGTAGAATTTTTCATTCTTATTCGGGTAACTCGCTGGAATATTTGGGGCTGGAACATCCATTTTCTGAGTGTTCTTGCCAATCACTTTGCCTAGAAGTATAATTTTATTCAAAATACGACAGGAACAGCATACATTTCTTTTTTTAACAAATGGTTTCGTTTCACAGCCGGTGGGAGCTTCTTAACCTCTCGAACTGCGACATTAAAAATCCACATCAAATCATCTTGCGTCGTTCTCATTCCATTCAAATTTGTGCGCAGAAATTCATAAAAATTTAAACGCTTCTTAGATTTCATCATATTTCCGAGGTTTTTCTGAATTTACTATTTCAACATTTTAATACTTTTTCAAGATTTACCACACAATCGGCTTCGGTATACAATTGATTTGCTTTAGGGTTTATGCATGCTTTTCTCATGAGGTTCGGCACGTTCCAAGTATTTTGATATGAACAGAATGCCTAAAAAGTTAGCATAAATAACAAGTCAACATTTTGTGACAACAAACCCTATGATCAGCATCAGCATATATCATTGACGACTCGTCAATCGCAACTGTATCATCAATCTGAGAATCCTGAAAAGTGGAGATAGACAATTATGTATCAAACAAAATAACTTCCCTCTTTTGAACTTTCAGCTACCATCGCAGCATTGATTTCATTTCTCATTCCGGTTTTTCTCAACACTTTTTTGGAAAATTTGCTAAATTTCTAAAAGTAATTTATTCCGATAACTATAAAACTACCTTTTTTGCCAACAAAATTTTGGTGGTAACATCGTTAATTATCTGGAAAAGCGTTGTATTGTTTGTTTTTTGTTATAAAATAGGCAAACTGCTTTTCTTTTTCTCTTCTCCATTTCAATAGCAACTTTCTTTACTGCAAACGCTGAAACGTTAGATATAACTGAGACTTATATCATCATCATATATATGTATATATATAATAACAGAATTTCACTTATAAGATTTAAAAAATATAAAAAATTTTAGGATAAATGCAAAAATTCCGAAATCGTGAGGTAAAGTGCATTGTATGCATGCACTACATATGACGCAAACATGCACAATTCCATCTATTGATCATCTATATTCCGTCTAGTTTTTTCACACACGGATTATAGACAATAAATTGTCTATAAACAGTCAATTTTTGATGATTATCTATTTTTCGTCTATTTTTCGTATGTGCCGTTTTACCTGTGCTCTTATGGCGCAGTTGGTTAAGCTCCTCCCTTTTGCACGATACCTCCTTGGCTCAATCCCCGCCATTGGGAATTGTTTTTTTGCTTCATTATTTTTCATCAAGAAAACGAAAACCAATTACAGGGATACGGGGATTAATGCAATAATGCGTCACTCGCTTTAATCATATTCATATATTTTGTTGGAAATGGAATCTAGCGATCAGCTCTATGGGTACGCGACGGTGCTGCTCGCCGCCGCGCCGCTCACCACACAAATTGCTATGGCGAATATAAAGTGAGTGTTTCATTTTTCGTGTCTACGACATCGAACAAACTTCAGATGGACAATATTCTTTCCGATTTTCGCGATTCCCGCACTCACCCTACTCATATCAGTCGGCCATTTGTCGCGATTGGCTCCGGTTCAAACATTCCGGCGAATGGCACCAATTGCGTCGGGTAGGCATTGAATATTGGCTCAAATTTCCCTACATTTCATTTTTTTTGTCTGGTTGCAGGAATTGGATGGGCGCTAACATGGCATATTGCCGAGAAACTCTACACCGAGAGCTTAAGAGCTTCACAGCTTTTTTTGTACATTTTCTATTCGTTCAATCCAACAATGTCGTGGGCGGTGTCGTGTTCACACACCTATAATTCGAATGTAAGCACAATTTTTAGAAAAAAAAATAAACATTTAAATAAATAATATTTAATTGGGTTACGGTAGTCAAAGTCCGCAACGCGTCTCTCGGTGTTTGCGGATTTTTTTCGAAATTTATTTGTTCTCAATTATCATCGATTTTCATTGCAGTATTGTGTAGATATTGATGATTCAAACGCAACAACGTCGACCGAAGGCTACCACTACCCGGACAATTTCTGGCCGGCGCAAGAATTCAATCGGTTTTCTCTTTTTTTCAAAACAATTATTTGTTTAGCGATGACACATCTTTTTTGTTATAGATATTGGGTGAGAGGCAATCCAACATTGGAAAAAATGCCGGCGGTTTGGGAGCCGAACGAATGGTACTTGGGGTCGTCGAAGGTTGTCTAAAAATTTGGAGGAAAATTTTGCAAATTTCTTTTTTTTAGGACGAATTCTACTTCTCCACTCCAAACATCACATTGTTCATTGTGCATCTGATCACGTGGTCTTTTATTTTCACAGTTTTGGTAAAGTAAGTCAATTAAATTATTAAATTGTTTTCGAATTCTTTTTGCAAGTCAATTCCGGCAAAATATTTATCTCGAAAATAAAATTGCAGGTTTTATGATCGAATTGGCGATATTCTCACAAAAGTCTTCATACTTGCCCCATTAATGCTTTACGTGGCCACCGCGATGGGTAAAATTTGCGTATTTTTCATCGATATTCGATATTTTTTTTAGGCATGACCGTTTCCGGATTTCATTTTGTCGACAAAAAAGTGATTCGTGTCATCGACGAATCGAAAATCAATGAGGATCCAATCGATTTTTGGGCTGATTTGAAGGTAGAAAATGGGAAGAACGAGATTTTCGAGCCAAATTAAATTCAGGGCGCCTTTCGGACCTCTTTACTCATCGTCGACTATTCAACCGCGTTCACTGGCGTGATTTTCTTCGCCACCAGCCGACTACGATCGGGAATCGGCTCACTGAGCGCTTTTGTTCTGGTGCCCATGATGATGGTGGTCCCGACGATTCAAACAATCCTCCGAAGTGGTTGCGAGGGCCATGTTTCCGATATTCAGCCGGCTTATTCGATCTACGCATCAACTGGTGCGCGAGTTTTTTGTTTCAAAATTTTTAGAAATCGATTTCCAGACGAGACCATTTCGTTCGATCTACTGCCGGTTTGTTTCGCCACATCGCACTTCGGAGCGATTTGGTCGATTTCGTATTTTTTGGCGCAATATTTATATACATCTTTGGGTCCTATGGTAGAATTCAAGCCTATGCTCCTTTAAATATGACGAGTTTCTTTTTTCAGTTGATCTACACCGCTTTCATCTATCAATCGTTTATTGACGACATGCCGACGGTGCAGAATATCCCGCGACGATTCATCGGCCTACTCTGCCTGGCGTTTACAGTACCGTCCATATTCTTATACATGCCGGTATGCTGGAAAATCAAAATTTTTTGAAAAATTCAAAATCGTGTCTCAGCTGGGCACCAAAATCACCGCATTATTCCGCTACACGTCGCAATCATCGATTGTCCAACTTCTCGCCTATATTGTCATTTTCTTCGTATACGGTAAGCATTGGCTTCTCAATTTGGGAATTCCACACGAGACCCGACGTCATTTTTAAGGTTGGCAACGAATTGAGCAGGACGTTTTGATGACGTCATCGACACCGTCGAATCCGTCGATATTAGAGTATTTTTTGAGGCCGACTAGCCCGGTTTTCTCGTTGGCCATGTTTACAGTGGTCCCAATGCTCATATGTGTAGGTTTTTTTTCCAAACAGTTTCCGAATAAATGTACGCATTTTTGATTTTCAAGAATTTTTTTTTGAAGAAGGATCAAATAGTGATGTTTGAAAATGTGCGAATTTTTTTTTTGTCAAAACTTGAAACGATTTGCAGTCGAAATTCGTGGCCGTGTTCGATTTCCTTCAAAGCGGCAACGATGTGGCGAAACACATCGCGGCAGGTGTCCAATTTATGCCGTTGCCCAACTATTTGAGCTGCCTCATTGGTTACGGTAGGCGATTTTTTCAATGTCATTCGCATCAAAGATTTGAAAATGAAAAATGCGAGAGAGGAAGAGAGAGTGGCACCGTGTGATTTTGGAGATGCTGGAAAATTTTTCGCGGCGAGACTCGAGCAAATTCGAAAGTTGTTTTTTTTTCTACAGGAATCATGTTTGCCCCGTTCATCATTGTCGTCGTGTTCGGCGTTTATACCATTTTCGATATGCGCTATCGTCATCATCTTCCATTGATCGACGTTATTCGACCGACCGGCGACTGGATGTCGCACGCTTCGGTGAATATGAGCAAACCACGCCCACATTCGTTGGCGTACGGTATGTTCAACAGCTTCATTCGACTACAGTACTCTACGGTACTCTTTGCGTTGTTCTTTTTCGAGAGCTTTATTGGATTAACGCTCATCGTATTGTTCTTCTTGAATTCGTCGTCGATTATTGGTGGGTGTTTTTTTTAAGAAATCAAACGCGGCCGAGTATTTTGCGGTCGTGGTAGAAATTTTCTAGACCATATATTTTTTTTAATTCGAAAGACGACGAATATTTGCAGGATTGAGCACATCGCGAGTCGCAAATGACTATCGCAGTTGTATGCTTTTGGTTTTTGTCGTTTTGCACATTTTCTCGCTTTTTGAATTGAGACGAAGCCAACAGAATGGAGTTGAGCCGGCAAGGTGAGCGCGAAAATATATTTTTTTTTTCAGAATTTCGTTTTTTTTGCAGAATTTCGTTTTATATTGGATTGGCGACGATTGAAATGGCGATGATGAACGCGTATATGTGGATGTTCGCTTCGAATCATAATTGGGGAACCGATTTGCCGCCGTTTTCATTGATGCTATTGAATACATGTGAGCCTCAAACAGTATTGCCGAGCACGAGTATTGGATTTTACAGGGATTCGAGGCGTTTGCATATTGGCGGCGATTGCGGTTCGCGCTCACATGTTGGAGCAGCAGCGGCCGTCGCGAGCACGAGACGCTTCTGAGATTTATGATAGCGATATGCAGCAAGTGGATGCTGAGGATGAATCTCCTGTGATTTTTGATCTGGCGAGAGCATGATGAGTCTAGTCAGAAAACCAAAAAAAACGAGTTATGCCAAATTTATGGAGAATGGCGATTGAGAGTTTGGGGGGATTTTGCGAAAATCGCCCGAAATTTTCGTCGAAATTCTCTGAATATCTTAAAAATTACTGGTCGATTGTGTGTTATTTTAAATCGTGTCCAAAAATTTTCCATGTGTTTTTCGTTATTATTTAATTTATTATCGGAATAATTATTAAGAATATGAACTTAAATAAACGCCCATTGTGTGTTCCAATTTTCGGGCGCCAAAATGCGTCTGCGCCCTCGTTGTATGGTGTACTGTCTCGCCAGTTTTGGACGCGATGACCTGAGTCATTTTCGCTTTCACTTTTCCCTACGCTCTATCCATTTTCTTCGCAGTCCTCCGATATTCGGTGTTATGGTGAGTGAATTCCATTTCTTTGATTAGATTGCACAATGAAAATAGAATTTAGGATCAGAAAATCCAAATCTTCCTTGTGAAGGGTTTAGCTTCTTTTTGGTGACTTTTAAAACTTGCTAGCAATTAAAATTAACCAGAAATTGGGTTTAATTCATTTTTTTTTTCATTTAGCGCGATAGATACTGAAAACGGCAAGAAAATTTATACTAAAAGGCAATAAAATAAATCACGAAAATTAGCGCGCGTAAAATAAAATGCACTGTACGCATTGCGGTTTTGCATTTTATTTGACGACTATTATTATTTTTGTGATTTTTTTCCGTTTTTAGACATTTAGCCGATATTTTCAGTTTAACGATGTGAATTAAATCATTTCGGTGAAAATCGGTTTTCAAAATTCAATTTTTCAGAGTCGCCGCGTATTTCCATTATGGGTGTCAATTTGGCTCGTTGTTTCCGCTCTAATTTGCACCCTTGACGTCATCTACACAATGTTCCGACCATACACCAATGCAAAAGATGGATTCATATCGAATACGCTTTTCTATGGATGGAAATTGTATTCATCGGTCGATATTCGTTACGCAAATACGAAAGATGAGGTGACATGTGCGACTGGAAGAGTCATGCTCATCGAAATTGTGCTCAATTTGGTCGCAGTCTTCTTGGTACGCTTTATTCAATAGTTTTGTTCAAGAAAATCTTTAAAAAATGCATTTTGCTTCAATTTCCAATTTTTAGGCGCTGAGAAGGTCCCGACACGCTTTGCTCGTCGCTTTCACGACGAGCGCCTTCGTATTCTGGAAGACGTTCTGGTATTTGGTGATGTACATTCGACCGCCTGTTGGAAGTCCGCCGGCGTTCACGGACCAATACGGATATTTGGGAATGACGCTCATCTTCTGGATTCCAAATTGTGAGATTAAACAAAAATTGAATCGAAATGAGTTTTAAAAAAATTTTAATCGATTTCTTCTTTCAAAACCGAGTATTCAAATTTGCGCGCTTAGGCGATCGCGTTCGGCGTCGCTTTTGAATAAAACTGAACAATTAGAAATTGGCCATGGGTTTTATATAATCATTTTTTGTAGATTGAGAATTTCTTGGGATTATATGAATTTTCTTAAACAAAATTTGATTTGCTGTTTCAAAATTTTTATAAAATTAAATTTATCAGTGATTTTTCGAAAACCCAAGTTTGGAAATTTGAATTCTCTGTTTCAGGCGTTTGGGTAGTGCTTCCCTTCTGCGTTATGGTCGCATTGTGGAACAAGTTAGCTCTTCCGGTGGAATATTCCGAGCAGTGAGTCAACTCAAACATTCGTTAAATATTAATTAATCAATTTCAAGGTACCACAATCGATACGAAAAACCGCCGGGTTTATACACACCATAACATGGGACATGATAAAACAATAAATTATTATTTATTTGAAAGGCCGCGCCGAATATGATCATATTCCTGGAGGAGTATCTCCGCCTCCCCCATTATATGCTCCAGTTCTTCTCTCGACTTCCGCCGTTGCTCTTTTACATTCTCAAGCATTGATTTCTGTTCTGGGACCTCATCGGTCCCTAGAAAAGCCTTCATATCGACACTATCGTATTCCGGCAAATCGACAGTCGTCGACGAGAACTCGGCGTTTTCTCGGAGAATCGCGTCGCGTAGTTTTCTATTAACATCACGCAGCGCCTGGAGTAGATCCTTGATTGGCGAATTGTCAGGGGACCTTTAAAAACCGATCTTTTTCAAAAAAAAAAAAAACATCGCGTCAAACCCACATTTCCAGATAATTAAGGGCTCTTTGCAATTTTCGCGTCAAATTCACCATCTCCTTTTTCGATTTTTTGATTTCTTCGTCGGCGTGCTTGCAATTCGTGTGATCGCCTTCATCAGAATCTGCTGAAAATTAACATTTTTAGTGATTACTTTTTGAGCATTCAAATTTCAAAACCCAATATTTCCTTTTTTGATGGACTAAATTTTTGCAAACCAAAAAAAATTAAGGTTTTTGTGGAATTATGCAAAATTCAAACCATATTCTTCATTAAGAAATCACCTTTGCACGCAGTTTCGCCATTTTCGCGATAATCATGCGTAAATACTTCAAATTGGCTTGACTGGAAGCTGCATTGATCAACTATCCGGTCGGTATCCACTGATTCCAAATCTTCAAGGCAATCAGCCATCTAAAACCAACCAAATCCATTTTTTTCAACGGAAATGAAAAAATTAATTGTAGTAAAAAATGGGTCAAAACCGCAAAAAGAAAGGGGAAAACGACAAAAAAAGCAAATTTTATTTACATATCACAGTAATTTCGTTGAAAATCTTCATCAGCCGATCATTATGAATCCTTTTTCCTGTACTTTGTCGACCAATTTACAATATTTTATCGAGTTCTTCAATGTTTCTTGTAAAAACTCGGCAACAAAGTGCACTTTTGTGTAATCGCGAAAATTGATGAACCGCATAAATTCCATGACAAAATCGAAGCAATTCCATTCAAATTCGTTATATTGCTGCAATTCTTCTCAATTATTTATAATAACTCTCCAGAAAATCACCTCAATTTTAAATTTATCGGCGGTTTGCTGGATGAAATTTGTCAATGTGCTATCGAACCATTCAGCATTATTCTGGAAGAATGGCAGAAAGTCGTAGACCAGTATCGATTTGTCCCATGAAGTGTCTAAAATGCGAAAAAATAAAATTGAGAAATTTTGCGAAAAATGTATAGTTAATCTTAACTGGCCGAGAAATTTCTAAGCCACGGTCACACAAATACAACGATTAATTCAAAAAATTGAGTAAAAATCGAATCACCTTGAGCAACAATTCCATTCGTCCAATATGAGTGTATCACAGACCTCGAGTCTGATATTCCAATATGCAAATCATCTCCTATTTTGTATCTGAAAAAAATGCAAACTTCCAAATTTTGCCAATTTTCGACGTACGACTGAAAAAATCCATGTGTTGGCTTTATGACGAGCGCACAACGCGCGTTAACCTGTTCTATAAATGGGCATGGAACCGGATTGTTCGTCCATGTCGGTTCCTGCAACGAAAACTTCAATTTGTTTTTTTCCAACGTCTGTTTCAATTTTTGGATAAAATTAGTAGAAAGAGTCCAGAAATAATTAACTTTCTTGGTCTATGCCATAAAAGTGACAATTTTTTGCCAATTATAGACATTTTGAAGGATATAAATTATGATTTTTGAGTTAAAAATAGATACCGTCATTAATATCAAATTTTACCTCCGTATAAGCTGCATTACAATCAGGACAATTCAAATTCGGACCAACGGGAATGAGTGTGAGCAAACGAGTCGGACAACCAACGTGTTGGATGTACGAGAGGTACATAAAACCTGAAAAAAAAGAATAAGGAAAATGAAAAAAAAAATCCAATAATTTTTTGCAATGCAATAATTCGTATAAAAATAAGCAACAATTAATTTCCTTTCTTTTTAAATAAATTCAAAACTATTTAAAATTTTAAATATCGTTCAAATTCATCGAAAAACACCCAGCAGCACAACAAAACAACAAAGCCAAAAGAAATGCGAGAAATTTAGGCGTGGCCTCGGAGTAAGAAAAAAAAACTCGGCCACGGCCTCAAAGCGACAACGTCATTTCAAAATGAGCACGTGTGCTAACAGCGACGATCATGATTGGACAATGTGAGGAAATGAGAAGGAAGCAAAAATGAAACAAATTTTGAATGGATGGCACAATTTCAGCTATGTGATGCGAAATCCATTCTTCTGGTTTGCCGTTTTCTGCGCCGTCATCACGTTCATCACAATTCTCATCAATATTTACAATTATCAATGCCTAAAAAAGGACATCACCAAACTAAAAATCGCGAATTGGGCGGTAGGAAAAATCGAAATTTTGAAAAATGAAACATCGCGCCATTATCAGATCGAGGTTCTGACGGAACGCATTCGACTTCAAGAGCCAAACTCGATTCTCATCGAGGAAATCACGCGAAAATTGAACGCGCGCGATGAGAACATGTTCGGCGGCTTCACCATCGGCGATGAGAACAACGGCAAAAGTTGGATTTCATCAAAAAAGCATTTTTTTTGAACATTGTGTTTATTTTAGAGGCCGAATTGAAAGATAAGACAGCGTTGCGAGAGATGATCAAAGGCCAGAAGGAAGCGGATGAAACGAAGGCTCTGATCGACGCTAGGATTTTGGTGAACACACCAATGTTGGTCGCCACGCTGAAACACCAATCAACGGGGCGCATCTTTTTGTTTTTAGGCCAAACGCGAGTTCACCGCCGCCCAACGCGGATAGTCGAATAATGAAGGTCACGCGCGCGATGATTAAGGTGAGATCGTTTGTCGATTGATTCAAACAATTCGCTCCAGGAAACCAAAGGGATATTAGCGTTGGGCAAAAGTAAAGAATCCATCGAAGAGGAGCCATTGATATCGCAAACGCAGAACAAAAAGCAAAATGTGAGAATAGTGGACGATGATAATTTCGATCGCGTTTTCGCGTCGACACCAAATCCTAGAAAAAATCGCCCTATCGATATTTGCAGAATTCGATTGATCTGATGTCTCCACGACCTCCGACGCCGACCAATCCGAATCAGAGCCAAAATAGTAGCTCAAAAAAATAAAAATAATAATAAATGAAATAAAATATGTGTGAATCGGGCGGCGCGTGTGACGGCATTCCTCAAAAAATCGCATGGGTATCATCGAGACGATTTTTCGCGGCAACCAACGCCGCAAACAGGTGCCCGACTATGTGCCCAAATATTTGGAGCAGTACGAGCGTCTCTACGGAAATGTCGACTACAACGAGCCGGCAGTCGACAATCCGCGGCGATCGGAGAGGAAGTGCCAGGAGACAACGCAAGAAGTCATCGAAACGCCCATCACACGAAGCACCGATGTCGATATTGTGAGATTTTTATGAAAAACACAAAACGGCCGATTTAAAGGCGCATTCTTCGAACCCTTTCCAATATCGGCTTACAGGATGAATACTACAATTTTCGACCACCTCCCCGACTACTATCCGAGACTTTTGGAGTTTTCAAAGTAAAAGAGAAAGAAAACAGTTCGATACTCTTTTTTTTCAGCCGCTTCTCTTCCCCTTCACCTTTTATCTTCTAATTAGTTACATGTTTGGATTTATTCTCATATTGTACCAGATCACCCGCTTACCATTACGTTCGTCGTTTTCTCAACAAAACCGACATTGAAATTAAGATGATTATCAAAAGAAAGACGTGTACAGTATCACCGAGGTGATACGAGTTAGTCGACGCCAATGGCTACAATACGTCACGATTTGCTCAATTGTCATCGGAATGTATCGAGTTGCTAAGTTTTCATTTCCACTCTTTTTCCAAATTCGCCATTTCATCTAATTAAGCTCAATTTTCGAACTATTCCTAGCAAGACTTAACTACAAAATGCTAAAATCAACGGAATATCGTAATCGAATGCGGTATTATAGCTCGTTTTGTAAAGAACGACACGAATTGCATAAATTATCGGTATCACTTTAACTATTTCCTTCTAGACTTGAGTTTACAGATGAAATTCATGGCGACGTATCCTACCAACAAATATATTGAAAAAGTCAATGATGTGGTTCGTTTCAAAAAAAAAAAACTTAAAAATCGAAAAAAGCTAAGTATTTTTAGGTCGGAAGCGATAAAGTTCGCCTTTTAAGGAGCCGTTATTAATTGTTAAAACTCAACCGCTAACTCTAAAGCTTTTATAATGAATGAGCTTCAAAAGTTCGCTGCATTTGAACGCAATAATATAAAAAATATAAACGCTATACCGTAAGCTAGCTTCGTTTGTCCGATCGATTTGGATTGAAAGGAATTCGAAGTTCCTAATCTGGAGAAGATTTTTTAATACGCAGAACTGAAATACTCGAGAACACGAAACTGATAGCGAGTTGTCGAAAACTGAACAAAATCCAAGGATCGGTGAGCAATTTTTATTCGAGGGGCTTGGTTATTCATGCTATAAATATTTACAAAGTTAGGCAGTGTTGTTGCAGTTGATTGGCGAAAGTGAGTGCTTAATATCCTCCATACGAGTAGGCTGGCCTAAAAATAAGCAACATTTAAGAAAATTATGCTAAGTGTGCGACTTCTGATTGTCATTAGCTGGAGCTGAGGTAGACGCCTTTGGGAAGACGGCAGTGGCCCAATAGGCGCGAGCAGCATCCTCGTTTAGAACGTACTTGAAGGTAGTGGTTCTTGGCTTTTGAGTGGTGATATCGGCAGCCGGCACGTATGGGGCGTAGACTGAAATTATGAAACTTATTAATTCGTTTTCTCAAAATTTCTTACTTGGTCCATCTTGAGCAACGGTTGTTGTTGGTGGCACGTATGGGCGCTCGGTGGTCACTGGTGGGACGTATGGAGTCTGAGTGGTGGTTGTGGTTGGCTCTTGAGCTGGAGTAGTGTAAGTCACTGGTGGAACGTATGGGGCCTTGGTGGTTGTTGGATCTTGAGCTGGCGTCGTATAAGTCACTGGTGGCACATACGGAGCCTGAGTGGTGGTGGTTGTTGGATCTTGAGCTGGCGTCGTATAAGTCACTGGTGGCACATACGGAGTGTAATATGCTGGCCTGGTTGGTTGGGCGTAGTAAGGCGATGCGAATGCGACGCCAATGAGCACAACTGCCAACGCAAATCTCATTTCCGCTGCTGAAAAAAGATACGATTAACCCAGAAGAAGAAAAATCTGTGAAAATGATAGAAAAATGAACCACATTTCCCTTTTATACCCACCTCGAGATCAAAGAACATATAAATCGGGTGACAGTTAAAAAATTTCGCGGGGCCGCGCAAGATAGATTACGGTAAACACCGCTGTGCAATTGCTCGTCATATGCTTTGTTTTGAAAAAAACTTCAATATTTCTGAAAATCGCTCAAATAATGCAAGTCTCTTTCCACTTCCTGGCTCTTGAATACGCATGATAATCGAATGTGTTTAATTAACTGATTATAACTGTTGAAGATAACAATTTTTCTAGAATTTAACTTGAATTTATTTAAAATTAAGGACACTCCGAGTAAACGCGCAATCCTCATTTTACCGTATTATTGTTCTAGATAGTGTGCTCAACTTTCTTAATGATTTTTTTCAGAAAATTTGAATTTTTGAATAAAATTTCTGCAATTCATTCTTTATTCCGATGAAATAGCTCATTATTCTTTGATTCGGCGAATTTCCGCGCCTCTTCAGGAGCCCATTTCGCGTCTCGCGTGCTGCACCTGCGTCGCCGCCATTTGAAACACTTTTCTCCCGCAACGCGCCGTTTCCTTGACAACGCGCCAGCCAGAAACGAGACGCACGCGATTCAGTGGCAAATTGCATAATCCTCTCGTATCGGAGCACCTCAAGCCTATTAAATAAGAGATGAGCTGCTAAAGCCATCGTCGCGCTATGCTCAAATTACTCCTTCTATTGTTCATTTTTTCAAATCCCATAATTAGCCAGGATAATCCGCTAACCTGTTATCATTGTATTTCACGTCTAGATATTAATATTATCAATAAAACGGAAAGAAATGCTTTAAAAACTGCACTTTTTACCAGGTTATTTTTTAAAATTATCCATTTTTTCTCAATAATGCCTAATTACTTTTTTTCAGGTACAATGTTCCACCGACCAGTGATTATTGCGGAGTCGGAGGAACCGACGTGATGTTCACGAGCTCCGAACTTCAGAATTGCACAAACGGCGACGTTTGTGTCAAAATTATTTCATCGGGTACGGTATTTGATTCCATAAATTAAAAAAAACTAATTTCAAAAATCCCTCAATTTCTTGTTTTCATTAAATGCCATTTTACTTTTTGCACTCATCAATGAAAATCTTTTCCGAAAACGTCAAAAATTACTAATTGCATGGCATTTCGTAACACCTGCTTTAAAAATTCGCACTAAAAAGCGTATAACCCCTAATTAGGACATACAATCCCACCAGGATTTTGACTTAATTATCGGGTTGGCGAGAAACCATAAAATAAGAGGTGCCATAAACAATTCAAGAAATCCAATATTTTCAGCACCAATGGATTCAGACCAACATCTAGAGCTTGTCATTCGCGGCTGCAAATCAAAACTATTCAAGCCAGGTTTCGAGCTCTCCGAGGAATCCAACTGCAGTAACGACGGCACCTCTTGTATAGCAATCTGCGACCAACCTCTCTGCAATTCCGTCTATCTGCCATTTCCAATTCTCGCCATTTTTTTCAAATTCTTCATTTAAATCGAAAAAAAAAAACAATAAATAATAGGAGGAAATGACATTATATCGAGATCAAAATATTTAATTCAAAATCTTTTGGCAAAATGTAAGTTGGCTGATAAAATGCTTGCGTTTCGTTAGTATGCGACATTCATCGCGCTTTAAGCTTTAGCAATTGTAGCTTCCAACAGCATCGGCGTGTTCCAGTCGCTGAACGCAGGTTGTACAACACTGTGGACAATTTGTACAGTAACCCGCTCATTCATCGCGAGACCATGGAGAAGTTTCGGGGTCAACCTTCAAAGTTATACATTATTCAGTGCTAGCAATGCTTGAAGCTTACAAGAAATATTGCGTCTTAGACAGCGGGCTCTCATCACTCCACATGCCCACCATAATATCAAACACCTTTCTCTCATTAGTCGGATCCATTCCTGTAATACGCTTTTCAATTCATATCAATTTAAGATCCCACCTTGATTGATCTCATCGACACACCGGAAAGGCACCGGACACAGATGCTGAAGCGCCAGAAGGTACAACATCGTCGAGACACTTCTTTCCCCACCGGATTGCACCTTCTGGTCCAATCGCTTCAATTTCTCTCCGGCTCGGAAGCAAACTCGAATCATAATTCCATAATTGGCGATTTCAAGCTGAAAAAGGAAATTATGCCGAAAAATTGGCAATAATATACCGGATTCTCCGGAACATCGAGGCTGATTTCTCCCAAGCATCCCATTTTTTCAAAATATTCTCGATACTTCTGATTGATTTCGGTGATCATTCTTTCGACCTTCTCGCGCCATTCATCAATTTCCTAAAAATAACACTTTTCAACACCGCAGAGGTTCAATTGGGCGATTCATTCATATCTTAAAGGCGCATGCCTGCCGGGTCTCACAGCGATCGTCAATTGCCGACACCAACCAACCTGCGTCAGTTTTTCCCTCAAATTCTGTCGCGTCTCCAGCAGCTTCTCCTTCTTCGAGTTCTCATCGACGAGCTGCGTCTTGAGCTGCTCCATGGTCCGCTCATCCTCCTCGCTTCCGCTATCGCTATTCTGCGCCATTTTCAATCGCGTCTTCTCCGCGTGAATTTGTCGTTCAAGCTCATCCAAATCGCTCGTGATGTTCTCTTTTTCGAACAACTAAAAAATTGTGTTCGTGTTTTTTCCAGAACACCCCCCTTAAATTACCGAGTTGAGATTCTTGTAAATCTTCTTCTCAGTGGCATCCATTGAATGCGTCTCAAAATGGGAAAGTCCACACGTGTTGAGCAGCTCTTTGCTGGCATCTTTCTTTAACTCCAGCTGCATCTTAACACGCTCCTCGGCATCGCGCTTTTGTGCCTTTAAAAACATTTGAAAATTTGTCCGGCCAAAAGATCTCATAATCGATTACTCTCAGTCCCGATGAGTTCTCATTTAGCCTCTCAAGCTCCTCCTTCTGCAAGCTCTTCTTATGAAGCCAGTGTTGCTCGAAAATCAACAACTTCGCCATTTCTTCCGACAATTTCAGATAGTTTTTCTAAAAAAAACCGGAAAAAAATCGAATTTGGGTAAAATTTTCTTTAAAAAAAAGATACCTGCAATTGAACGCATTCTTTGATCATTTCTCTGGCACCTTGTCGCGCGTTTCGCTCTTCGCGCTGAAATTCTTTTTCAGCCTCCTCAATATCCACACGATTGCGCTCCAGGCTTGCAAGCCTAACAAACAAAAATAAAATGAAACATTTTCAAAGCATTTTCAGTAAAATTTCCACCGAAAAGTCTGTGCAAGAATAATTTTCCAAAAATATAAAACATTGACTTTTTAAAGGCTCATTAAAAAAACCATCGAACCTCTCCGCCTCATTCTCCAAATTATTTTTGGCGATGCTGTGCGCCTGTTTGCGCGTCCTCCAAATACTCTGCTCATTCTTGAGTTGATCGCGGGCCTTCTGAATCTCAACCTTCTTCTCATGAACCGCTCGCGATTCATTCGTCGCCGCCGTTTTCTGCAATAGGCCAATTTCTCAATTATTGCGGAAAATCGCGAAACCAATTCGTCGATCTCTTTCGAATAGTCGGCCGTCGGCGCGTTCGACGCGCGTTTTTCCAGAAAACACGGATTATTGAAGATGACCGCGTCCGGCAAATACGATTGCGATGTGAAAATCTCCTGCGAATATTGCGAAATCGACACATGATACTGAAATCAATTTCGACGACAAATTCGATCGCAGATTCGAAAGGCGCATACCCTTAATTTAGAGCCAAAAAACAGTCGATACCTCGTTTCGAGCATATATTTTATGATGGCATCAATGTTTTGATCGATCACACCACCGCCAACCGGGATTCGATGAAGCTTGAAATAAAAATTTCGAGGTCTCATCGAAGTGAAGACAAATCTTGCGATTTCCTTAAAGGCTCGCCACAAGACCGATCTCGTGAGCTTTTTTTTTAATTTCAAGAGATTTTAGACACAAAACGCTCAAAATCAGTGGATTTTGAGACAATTTGAGGAGTTTTCAGATTTAAAACAATTTTCTTTTGGGTACTGTAATTAAAGGGTGTTCTAGGAACGGGTTTTTTTTTCAGAAATAGTTATTTAATATTGTCGGCGTTGCGCGACTGCGGAAAATTGGCCAAATGCGAAAGAAACAGTTGCCTTGCGCAAAACTGAAGTGTAGATTTACGGGCGTCTGCATAATGATAGGTTGGCGCACGAAAAGCGCATCGAGACCTCTTTTTAATATTTTTTGCATTAAACCAATTTTCCGCAGTCGCGCGATGCCGACAATATATTAATGACGCATTTCGAAGTCTGAAACGGTGTTTGCGGACATTGAAAGCTACAGTAAGCCAAAAATCGAAATGACCTGGTAGACGTTGCAGAGATACTGTTTCAGCGTGTCAGGCGCCTGAACAAAATTCGAGACGAATTGCGCGAATCCAATTTGTTTCAGCTCATCGGGAAACGTCGGATTGATCTCATTCGGATGCACATTCTCGGGTCGGACGACAGCCGAATTGATTCTCCATCCTTTCGATGGTGAATTGATGCGTCGCTCGTCGTCCTAAACGTGTTGGCGTTGGTTGTTTTGCGTAAAATGTTCCGACATTTCACCTTATTTGTGCAGACGAACATGAAAAAATCGCGAGATCCCACCGTTTGCTCAAGCCATACAGCGGCTTCGGCACATGACAGCGACAACTGAACGGAAATCGTGGATTTCTAGACATTGAGCAAAAACTGTTACATCCATAAATGGCAAATAAATGGGACCATTGAACAAACTCTTATTCATCGTGTAGAATTTCCAAGCTTTCGCCGCGTCTGGATTTCGACGCTCCATCATTCGGAATCGCAGATTAATACTTTCATTCTTTTGCTTTACCACCTCATTTTGCTCTTAAATTTCAAGCGATTTTCAGTTTGCCTATCAATGTTTTACTGTCAGTGAGAGTTTTAATCGTATAGTGCTTCTTCTGAATCGCGTCTTCCACTTTTCTCATGTTCATTGATTCCTGATACAAGCGCTCTTCTTCACTTTTCAACTTTTTCACAAAATCCTGGAAGGAAATAAGTTAAAATAATTGCAATTTCAATTTTTTGAGTTTCTTGTTCGAAATATTGGAAGAGCATTTTTTTGGGTTGTCTGAACAAAAATTCACGAATTTTGAAAAAAAAAGGCAAAATTTCGAAAAGAAACTTAAATTTTCACAATATTTGTGCGGAATTGTCTGCTTTTAGAAATATTTTGAACAAACTTAAAAATTTTTCTCTTGAATTCGACAAATTCACATCGAATCGTTCAACAAAACCCCGCCCAACCTGGTATCCTTGTAAATCCTTGTCAGCTTCCTCAATTTTTCGCTTCAAACTCTCAATATTCGCCTCAATCTGCAGCTTCTCGCTTTCATTCTGCGCCTGGAGTTTCCTCTTCGATTCCAGCTTACGTCTCGCCTCATTCAGCTAAAAAAACGAAAAAAAATTAAATAGAAAATAAAAAAGAGAACCCGATTCTCGATAAATTTGCTATCCATTTTCGCGTCGAGCTTTTCGCAAATCTTTCGGCATTCCTGCTTCTTCTGAACGATCCGCTTGCGTTCAACGTCGGCGTTATTCGTGAACTCCTCAATAATTTTTCGGCACTTCTCAATCTCGCCCTCGAAATTTTCAATCTTCTTCGAAATCGCGCTAAAGTTTTTAATCTCCTTCTTATATTCCTTTTCAGCTTCTTTGTAATTCTTCAAAAAAAGAATAAACCAATCAAAATAAAAATTCTAAAATCACCGCCCACCATAATTGCCGATTTCTGTTGCAATAGCCGTAATTTCGATTGCATTTCCTTCTTTTTTCGATAATTCTCAACACGCGGCTCCAATTTCGCTATATCACCTGCAAAATCGATTCTTACCCGGATGAACAAGCTGAAACAATGGGCAACCTTCAATCTGCTTCACCGCCCTGATGGCCGATTCGCATTTCTCCTCAATTTGAGCACTATCAATTCGCTTCTGGATCAATTCCAAGTGATTCTCGTGCAACTCCGCAGAAGCGGCCTTTTCGGTATTGTACAAAAGCTCAATTGGCGATTGCTCCGAGAAGCTTTTCACTTTATCCTGCGCCAAAAACGCGCAAGGGTTGTCAATCTCAAATCATCCAACTTTTTATACCAAAAAACCAAAAAAAAACCTGAATATTATATTTTTTGCACAATTTCTTAATTTCTGACTGTGTCGTCGCTTTTTTATTTAAACGGTATTCGTGCGATTTTGTTTTTCGAATTATTAATGCCAACACCTGTGGACCATTTTGCTTGTCTGCTCTGAAATTCAATTTTTTTTTAGTTTTTTCAAGAAATGTATTAAATGTTCTTACAATATAATTTCCACTGAACCTTCTGTGCAGCCATGCCTAATATACTCTTTAATATTTTCAGATCTTCCCAACGATTTGGGCGACCCTCCAAAAACCAAACAAATTCCGCAAATAATTGAGCTTTTTCCACTTCCATTATGCCCTAAAATCAAGTTGAGATTCTCTCCAGGTTTACAGACGGTGTGCTCATAAGTCCTGAAAAAAAAACACGAAATACATATTTAATTTTCAAGTTTTTTTTTACAAAAAATTGTGAAACTCTATTCGCAAAATGCTCCCATCCGGAAAATTTTTCCAATTTTCCGGTAATTGCGAAGTATCGATGCCATTTGTCATCTGAAGAAAAAATAAGACAGAAATAGTAAATATTTCGAAAGTTTATGAAAAATATATGGTGTTTCAAAACAAAATTTTGAATGAAAAACAAATAATGGCCGGCAAATTGAACATTCAAAAACTCGGTCACATTAATTTTTTCAATTCAAATTCTTCAAATTTTTGACAAATTCTGGAAAGTAAGCAGATGTGCGGGAATTAAAAGTGATAAATTTTAAAACTGACAATTCTCCAACCATCAACCTTTCCACCTGGCAATCATTAAACAAAAACGCCAAAATGTTTTATTAGTTCGCATCTTTTTAGAAAATCAGTTCAAATTTATATTAAGTATATATCGCTTTTTACATAATTCTCAATCGATCGGACCTTTTCGATTTCCTAGTTCCACGTCGTTTAATCGGGAAAGATTCTTCCTCAGAATCTATAAATTGCGAATTAGGAGAGGGCAAAATAAGAGAAATTGGTCGAAAACCTGCATCACTATCAAGTTCATATTCCTCCATTATCTCATATTCATAAATCGTTAACGGCTTCACTTTGTTCACCTTCTTCATCGACGACTCTTCAATTTCCGGCGGCGGATACTTGTTCTTCAGCAGCATATCGCACATGATAACCAATTCAGCAAACATCGGCCTTGCCGAGTTCGAAGCCTTCCAGCACCGCTTCTCCATATCAATTATTTCCATGGGAGTTCCAGCTAAAAAAGAGAAATGTTGAAATTTCCATGGGTCAAATTTTACCAGCGGGAACATGAAGAGAAGTCGAATCATCATATTTTTTCAAGGCTTCGATGATGTCATTTGTGTCCATATTTTTCAGTGGAGGGTTCCCATTGTCAAAAATCTGAAATAATGACACGATCAAATTAATTGCACGAAAACGCAAAATAAAACTCTCAAAGGAGGATTTTACCTCATTACAAACCACCGCAAATGACCAAACATCGGTTCGTTCGTTAAACGTAGCCGTTGGAAGGATCGTCTCCGGCGCCATCCATCTAACAGGCATCTTGAATCCGTAAATTCAGTTTCTGTTGACGAATCTCCAGACTACCTGATCCAAAATTGTACAATAGGCGAAAAGAGCCGCCTCATAATCAGAAAGTCCAAAATCGGTCAGCTTCAAAATGCCATATTTGCTAATCAAGCAATTTCGCGCAGCGAGATCGCGGTGCACCAACTTTCTGAAATAAAAAAAAAGCAAATGTAAAAAATAACAACGAATATACTTTTCAGCCATATATTCCAGCGCTTTGCACAATTGCCAACAGAGGAGTAGCTTTTCGCCAATAGACATTGTACTTCCCTAAAATGAAATATAGCAAAAAGTGGCATGATTGACATACATGGGCTTTAAGATGGGTTAGTAGTCCATCGGCCATCAATTCCATCGCAATCAATGGCGGTAAATTGTCGAGAGCGATTCCATAAAACTAAATATCGACATAATTCTGTGAATCTGACATTTAATAAATTTCAATACCTTAATAATATATGGATGCTTCAATTTGGACATTACCTTCCCTTCTTTGTACAAATCCTCTTTGGCTTTCATCAAATGATCTTCGGCTGAAATTAAATTAATTCCAGACAATCATTCCTCGCTCAAATCAACAAACATCCCAACAAATTTTTAACCGCTACGTATTTGTCTTTATATCTTCCAAGAACAACTACACTGAAATTGCCGGAGCCCAATTGCCTTGCATTTGCTGGAATTCTGAACACCAAAAATAATTGATTAAATTCTTAATTGGCTAATTCGACTTGACATCAGTGGTTTTAATGAACCACGACGGCCTTTGCTTGTAAGTTGCGAGTTTATGGCCATTAGTGATTGTGTGCTCCTGGTAATACGAAACGAGCTCAGCGATTGTGTTGTGTTTTTGCTGAAAGTCAAAAACCTAATTTAGATACAAAAAATTCTTTTAAAAAAATTTCAAATATCGGAAAATACAAAATTCTGCCACAAAAAGAAAATTTTTTTGAAAAGGCACAGGAGAAAAGTCCGCATTTTCGCGTGTCAGATAACTGCACACATATAAAAAATGGCGCAATTTCGAAAGTTAAAACATAAATCAATAAAAAAATCTGTTCGCTTACCGGTTTCCCGTCGAGTAAAAATCGCCTTCCTTGTTGTATCAGCGGCCTATGGACTACCTTATGACTTTTCTTGATAACTGTGACAAACGAGAGAATCAACTTGTGAACACGATTGATGCACGTGCTCCTAAGTAGAAATGTTCCAACATCCATTGGCTTCAGAATATTCTCCGCTTCAACATCCGATATCAATCCCCAAAAGTAGGGCAACTCATTGAATTTGTACTTTTTCATCGACGCCTGGCGTCGCCTCGCTGTTCGCTGCATTTCAATTACACAATAATGTATAAATAAAAGTAAATTATTAAAATAACAACAACAATAATAATAATATAAATACGCATAATATATATTAATATTTAATTTTTTACGTGAGCTTTCTTTTCATTCAACGGGCGATGGTTTTTCTCTAACTAATTGACTTCTTCGATGCCAAAAGGCAATTTATTGGTTGTGTGAGAATGTAAAAAAAATCAAAAATAAATTATTGCAAAATTCTTATGGAAAGTGAATACTGATAAGTAGAAGAGATCTTCTTGATATGACCCTTTATTTTAAATGTCTTGCACAATGTTGAAATGTTAATGTTTATCCGACGTTTCGATCTTTAGATCATCATCAGGGAAGGTCAATTTACCTACAAGATAATAAGTAATAGATTGGTCAAAAAAAGAAAGTGAATACTAACAGACGAGCATTTGATGATAATTACGAAAAGGGACAAAATGATTAGTGAAAAATTTGATTAAACAGCTCTGGTAAATGATTCCGAGTCGTATACGAAGAAAGCTCAATCGTATACGCTGATATCGCTCTTCAAACGCGGCCAAATACGATTGGGATTTCTTCGTATACGATTATAATTTTATCTTATACGATGAAGAAATTCGCTTTTTTCGTATACGACTAGGAATAATTTACCAGAGGAGTGTTGAAATGATGATTTTTTCAATAGAATCCGGTCGATCGATAATGAATTGACACATGAATCCCATATCTACCGTTTCGCTGCATGAATGTACTTATTATTGTTTGGAATTAAAGTAGAGTGCCGTTTGGTTTATTTTTTTTTTAATTAAAGGCTTTTTCATAATGGGGAAAGGGGTCTGGATGTTAGTAACAGACTGTTGATCTCGATGAGCCCACTTGGGTTGGAAGGTGAAAACCACGAGCTTGTAATTGGCTGTTCTTTAAGCATCCACCTCGCGAGGGCCATTACTTGGTGAAGTCGTTTCGCGTTGAGCCATCCATTTTCTTCTAGTTTATTGATGAGCAGCGGCAACTTGCCCGGCTTCGCTGAATTATTAGCGTCGCGTCATCGAGAAGAAAAACAAATGTAACAGTAACAGTTTGTAACAGTTTGTAACAGATACTTCGGTGCTACCATCATTCACAGTAGGAAGCGACCACCGCCTTCTCCGTGCGAACATCCACTTCAACATAAATTGGCTGAAGTACGATAAAAGCAGAAAGAGAAAGGCGCCGAAGAAAGTATTGGACCCGGAGATGGCTAAAACAATAAGCTCGATTGTTAGTCTTCCAGTAGCCAACAGCGTTGACGAAGATTACTCTAATCTAACAACGCTACTCAGGAAACTACAAGACCAAGCCATTGTTAAACCATCAAACCACCGGACCAATAGGATCTCTGTCGAAACACAACAATTGCTCTCGCGCAGACGAAACATGAGCAGGTCCGATCCCAATTTCAAGAACCTCTCAAATCAGTGCCGAGAAGCAATCGAACGAGATCACAAGGAGTTCACCAATTCCCGGTTACTAGGAGCAGCCGATCAACGCAAAAGCTTGAAGAGAGTAGCGCGAGACATGAACGAATACAAATCACTGATTCCATGCCTCAAATGCTCTACTACAGGCAGAACTCTCACCTCTAGAACAGAAATGGAGAAGGAAGTGGAATCGTTTTACACGAAGCTCTTTGCGAGTAGAGCCCCACAAGCGCCTACGCCTACGACAACGCAAGTCAAGGATAGGCCCCTTCCATTTCTACGAGAGGAGATCGTTTCGGCACTTCGGTCCTTCCCAAATGGGAAATCAGCTGGTAGTGATAAAATAAGCGCAGACTTCCTCAAATGCTGCCACAAAAACACTATCGCGCTGATAACGGACCGATTTAACCGCTACCTAGAAACCGGATCAATACCGAGACTGTGGACCAAGTCAGAGACAACTATCATCTTCAAGAAAGGTGATAGATACTCCCTGGAAAACTACAGGCCAATCACGGTACTCCCTGTTCTATACAAGGCTTTCACAAAATGCATCTTGAATAGAATCAGGAGTAAACTAGAAGCCAATCAACCTGTAGAACAAGCTGGGTTCCGCAAGGGCTTCTCAACAGTGGATCACATTCACTCTGTCCAAAGACTGCTAGAAGTGGGACGAGAATATCAAATCCCACTCACACTTGTCTTCGTTGATTTCAAGAAGGCGTTCGACAGTGTTGAGCATTCAGCGGTGTGGCAGAGCCTAAGAGACCAAGGCGTTGAAGAAGCGTATATCCAGCTACTCCAAAGTTGTTACTCTGACTGTTCCACAAGCATCACGCCATTCCATCGACAGGTAGAGATACCTGTTCGAAGAGGAGTAAGGCAAGGTGACCCAATCTCGCCGAACCTTTTCTCCGCGTGCCTGGAGCAAGTTTTCCGTGAATTGTCTTGGAGTCAATTCAAAAACGACTCAGAAGACAATACGAACACTCCAGGATTACGAGTGAATGGCCGCAACCTCACACACCTGCGGTTTGCAGACGACGTCGTGCTCATAGCGCACAGTCCGCAAGCGGCATCCGAGATGCTAAGTGAGATGGTTGCGAGATGCGAACAAGTAGGGCTCCAGATTAACGCTGGAAAGACCAAAGTCCTACGTAACCCCTTCGCAGACTCCGCCAAGGTTACCCTAACGCACCAGAATTCGGTCAGTATTATTGACGATGTTGACGAATACGTGTACCTTGGAAGACTACTCACCCCCAAAAACGAGCTAGTCAAGGAGATCTTCCGAAGGAGAAGAGCAGCTTGGGCAGCGTTTAATGGAATCAAGAACACCACCGATTTGATTTCCTGTAACAAAACCCGCGCACAGCTCTTCGATTCCATCGTTCTCCCAGCGCTGACTTACGGATCAGAGACTTGGACCTTCACCAAAGCTCTTGCCGAGAGAGTCCGAATTAGTCACGCTGCGCTTGAGCGAAGATTGGTTGGCCTCACGTTATCACAACAACGTGAACAAGATCTTCATCGAGAGGACATCCGCATCATGTCTAAAGTTCGGGACCCCCTACACCACATCACGAAGAGGAAGATGACCTGGGCTGGACACGTTGCTAGAAGAACAGATGGAAGATGGACTACTCTTCTAACGGAGTGGCGGCCGTGGAATTGGACCCGACCAAGAGGAAGGCCTCCCATGAGATGGTCGGACTCGCTTCGGAAGGAGATCACTACAAGAACAGCTGAAGGAGCCGTTATCACCCCCTGGTCCACCCAAGCCAAGGACCGAAAAGCTTGGAAAGCTGTGGTTCGCGCCTCAACAGGCGAAGGACGAACCGACTAAGTGACTAAGTAAATGAAGTGATGGCCAGCAAGATTGAGTGCGAAAACTCCAAATAAAAACAATAAATGACGAAAATAATAATAATAATATAAATATAAATATACATAACATGGCGCAATAATTAATTTTTACGTGAGCTTCCTTTTCCTTTTCCGGCAGCACTGGTTTTCGCCGCACATCGAAAATCCGCTGGGACATAAACATTCCGCGCCGCTTCCGGTACAAGCTTCCACTTCGATTGGACAATTTTCCCGGCACGCGTTCTGGCACGCCGATGTACAGACCGAAATACTCGAGGAGAGCTGAAAACGATAAGAAATTAGTTCACTTTGGTTGAAAACAAAATTCTTCTCGCCTTGGCTTGACATTGTTCGGTGCACTGGGAAGTGCAAACCGGTCCACAGGTGACCTTCTCTTCCAAAGGATCGCTGAGCACAATTTCCAACTTCACATCCTTCTTTGATGAAGAGATTGACGACGCGCAATTCGTGTTGCAAGTTTCCTGACATACCGCAAAGCATTGTTCAGATGTCTCACAGGTAGTCTTGCAGCCGTCCAGACATGTTGGAAGGCAGTCACCAGAATCGTCCATCTAAAAATTGAAGAGCAACAACAAAATTTCCCATAAAAAAACGAAATAGGGCTCACATGAGGAACAAACAAATCAAACTGATAGTTGCGTGTGCATCGATGCTCGCAGAGTGGCTGGCAAGCTGGTGCGCATTGGAATTGTCTCATCGGAAGTGTTATCATTTGAGCATCAATACAATGCTGGAGGCATGTTGGCTGGCATTCTGGAACACAGTATCCTGGAGCAGTGGTAATCCTTGACGCGTATCTTATGCACTCTGTACTGCATAATGGTTGACATTGTGGGACACAGTAGGGTCTCGATGTCGTCATAATCGTCTAAAAAATCACAAATAAATATTAAAAATACAATTTGACAATTAATTAATTACTCTTTGAATGCACTCCGACGAACATAGCGGCTGGCATTGTGGAACACAATCACCCATCACGGACATCGTCGCAAGAGATTCATAGCGTTGAAGGCATCCCGGCTCGCAGCCAGGAAGGCAAGCAGCAATGCAGTTGCTGTGCTGAAATAAAAGATTCTAAAGAAGAATCAACTTGTTAAGCAAAATAGAAGTTTGCAGTTCACCGAAAATCAATATATGCGGCAACCTAATTTTTATATTGGATTTTCGGAGTTTTTGCGATTAGTGCGAATGCTGACAAATCTTAACCTGCATAAATCCATGTTGAATACTATATCGTTGAATGCATCGGTGCTCACACGCGGGCTGACACGCCGGAACACATCCATAGCGATGCCGGTGGACCTGTTGCACTTGATACTTGTAAGCGTGTATGCAACGCGGCTGACAAAGCGGTTGGCAAGCCGGAACACAACTGTGGTGCATCTAGAGAAAAATATGAATGTAGAGGGGAAGCTAGCGAGCCAATAAGCGCCGAGATTTTCTTACCATATCAATGGGATGGAATGGAACCCTATATGGCAAATGCGAAGCAACACAATGCCTTGTGCACATTGGTCGACATGCCGGAATACATGGACCAGGAGTGCTGTAGTAGTCAGATCTTCTCATAATTATCTGGTTGACAATGCATTTTGTGTCGCATGCTGGCTGACAAGCCGCAACACAATGGGACGTCGCCAAAGTGGTACCGTAGGAATAGAGACAGTCCGGTGTGCAGGCCGGCAAGCAAGCCGGGATCGCGCATCGCGGAGCCGATGTGGTCACTGTTGTAACCGCCTGAATGCAGACTTGCTCGCAAGCCGGCATGCAAGACGGCACGCAGAGGCGACTTGGCGGTGGCGGATGCGCTGGCAGGTAGCCGTAGATACACTCGGGAAGACATGATGGGCGACAGGCGGGAATGCACGTCGCCACAGTTGTCTGGTGCATACAGTTCGCCGAGCACGACGGCATGCACGACGACGGGCAGTCCTTCTGCACGATGACTTCGTACCGCCGCATGTCCTCAATGCATTCGGCGTCACATGCTGGACGACACGCCGCAATGCAGGTCGGTTCTTGAGTTGTCTGAAAATCACATTTAAGATGATTGTTGCGGCGTTAATCAATGTCGAAATTGGAAGAAAAACCTACCGTAACCTGCTCGACGTTTACAGTAACCGCGTTCTGAACGCAAGTTGGCTCGCAGCTTTTCCGACACATATCCATGCAGTAATAGCGATTCACCTGGCCGGCACAACTGACATCGCACGATTGCTCGCAAACCGTTGGGCAACGCGACGAGCTCGTTTGCTGCGCGACCACCACCTTCAAACACAACCGTGCTGCCGACATTCATACGTGCCATTTGGCTAACCTTAATCGGACTCGAAATTGTCTGCGGAAGGCATGCTTGTGTACAAGTGAATTGGCAAGTCTGCTCGCAAAGTGGCGCCGGCTGCCGCGAAGTCCGCACACACGAATCGACGCATGTCCGCAAACACGCCGGCTGGCATACCGTAGTGTGGGCTTGCGCTGCGCACGAGCAGCTAGCGGGTAGCGGCTCATTGGCGCATGAGCAACGTTGAGCTCCGAGTCCTGAAGCTGATAGATCAAGAAAGAAAAAAACGTCGCTTCTACCTGTCGAAAAACAATTGCATTTGGAAGTTTGCAGTTTGGCGCACGGACATTGTCGTTTCGCTCGCCGCAAAAAACTCTACAAAAACAAAATAAAAGTGTTGAGTCGATATATTTGAATTGAAATCCGATCCGATCCGAGTCGGATCCCTCCTGAAGGAAAATCGTCGCGCGAAAAACATGATATTTACCGCCATCCTTCACATGTGTATATTTGACTCAATTTTCATTCATTTTTGATGTCTTGTCGCAAAAAACAATGAATTATAAAAAGATTTGGCATCATCTTTGCGGTACGCAAACGAAAAATTAAAAGAGAGAAAAGAGAAAGGAAAATCGACGGCGCAAAATCTGAATTCTGGAAAAAATTTCAGCATTTTTGTGGCAAATCTAACGAATTGATTTTGTCGCGGAAAGTAAGAGAAAAAAATTTACAGGAACGCGTTGGGAATTTTTTTTTCATACTTTGCCATTGACGGCCGTGGGTGAACTTTATTACTTCGTCCACGGCCATCAATTCAATTAATTATTTTTTTATCAAGCAATTTTGATAATAGGCCAATGATTCTTTACTACAAATCTTTTTATACTCATTTTACTATGAATTTACTATATTAATTATTATCATAATCGTATGTTACATTCGCAAAAAAAGCGAAAACCCTTCGCCGATCTACGGTGAGTTAGCTTCGCAGGTTTTCCAAAGCACGATATCCGAATTTTCACTATTTAAATTCGAGTTTGAATTACCGCATCAAAAAAATTCGATGGCCCAAAATTATGCAAGCCGATCAATTTTTTGTGATGGTATTATTTATTGTGAATGGGCCAAATTGGATTCTGCTGGAAGAGCTCGTGAGCCTTTTCAAATTCGAACTTAAAAAAAACGATAGCTAGACAAAAATTAATTTTATAATCACAACTCTCCCGCAGTATCCATCTAATCCAAAAATTCGAGAACCATAATAACGCTAATAAATCTCACCTCTTCAGCTTCTAAATGTGCGACAAATCCGCTTAAAATAATGAGTAACGGTATCAAATGTCGTCTCATGACGGAAAACAGATGCAGCAATACAAAAGGCTTTTCCGCGCCGCGCCGCCCGTCTCATTTTATATATTTATATATATAAGTATCGCCGCGAGGATACTCCGCCTATTCAACGGTGCACTGTGGAAGCAGAAGATGAAAAAAAATTGTCAAGCCGTGCCATATTTCATTGAGGTGTCGCATTTTTGCTCAAGGATCTTCTTTCTATTGTTATATTGGCTTTGAGATCAGGAAGTGCCAGACACTTTATATTCTCATTGTGCTTTAATCTTTTGAAAATAGCAAGATCAATCCACTTGAAAAAAAAAGAGGCACAAACATATATTTCGACAATAATTCCTTCATTTTCCGGTTATTATGAATCATTTTTCATCTACTAATGTTTTAGTCGACTTTTGTTGGGGGTGTTGTGTACATTTCCAAGGTGTCCCATTGGTGTTTGCACGAAAACCGGGAAGAGGTGCCTATTTTTGGTCTCACGCGATTTCGATTACCAGATCTAATTGGTAAGGAAAGAGTGCGGATAATAAAAGGATAATTATTTCCACGAGGAATGTTAAGATAAAATGAAGAAAACCCAAAAAATTGGTTGACGATATAATTATTATCTTTAAACGAAATATTTTATCCTAAAATGATTGAAAAGGCAGTTTTCAGGAAAAAAACGAAAACTCTTGAGATTGAAGAAAATTTCTGAAATAGTGGGCGTGGTTATGATTGCATTTGCCGAACTAATTTGAGCAATCGTGCGGCTGTAGATCCGCCGTGTTTGAGTGGAGGGAAATCTCAAATACGAACTATTAATAAGAATGCATCACCTGTAAAATGGCCAACATTTCTCTTGAAAACTCTTGTGGTACGTGTTTATTTATTTTTCATTGAAACGTGATTCAATAATTGACGACATAGGCCTTTTCGTTTTTGTGCCCGTTCGCCCGGCTTCTAGCACTGAAGGACAAAAATTGGATTAAAAGTGGATGAAAAAGGGTTCAGACTATAGAACTATCTATTTTTCATCCACTTTTTAACATATTTTGCCCCCTTTTCCAGTTTCAGTGAGAGGCATTACAAAAAATATATCATATACACATAATTTGAAATTTTATAATTTTTCTTCTGTTCTTGTTTGTATTTTTTAAATGTGATTTTAAATACTATTGCATAGTTCCGAAAATATTGTACATTCGATGTTAGTGATGAATGAATTTATAGGAAACGAGAACTGTTGTATATTTATGTGAAACAAAAGAAGACGACCCATTGTCTTCTGAAATGCAGATTCACTTTATATGTGATTTGGCCTATGAGGAATGTTGTCTTGATTTTCTATCTCCAATTTGCCGCCTCCTTTACCACTCGATGGATTGGAGAACCTTGTGAGCTTCAAATTCCGCATTTTGCAAATTGCATTTTATTTTCAGTCAGACCAAGCTCCAAATTGACCATATCTAAAAGCATTAGTCTCTCAGAGATTTGTGGAATTCGTCAATCTTTCAATTCTACACAGTTTCCGTGGTCCGTATCTTTTATTGTTGATGTAAGGCAACCTTAAATGATAATTATTTGCTCGCTTCTAGGGTGTTAATCGCCTTGGCGGGACAATCATAAGCCCTTTTCATATTCTCACTGTGGCTCATGGATTCATAAATTCAATAAGACCTGATGGAAAATTGTGTATTCCTTATAATAATTTGAAGTTACGTCGATCATGGTGGGCATATTTAAACGATTTAAATTTGTTTAGCTACTCGGCTTATCGCAAAATTGAATATTTACGGAACACGCGAGTTGTTGCATACGGTGGAAAATGTATACGGGGAACATCGCAGAAGCTGCCTAATGACCCGCAATGCCCAAAATCTGATATGCATACTAACAGGGTATTTTTTATTGCATGATTGGTTTTCTGCAAATTAAAATATTTTTAGATTCGAAGTGTTCTAATTGACGATGATTTCGTGAAAAATAATTGCTCGAAGGGTCATGACTTTGCAATTGTTGAAGTTGAATCAAGGTATCATATTTTAATTATGCTAGATATACATTTGAACCATTTATAGAATTAAATTTGCGCAAAACGTAATCCCAATATGTCTTCCAAGAAATAATATGTATCATTCTCAAGTTCTCACTGTTCCCGGATGGGGCAGAAACGATAGTAATATTTTTAAAGAAAATATTCGAATTTTTTAAATTCTTGATTTTTAGTTTTCAATGAGAGCGGCCCGCTGATCCACGAGATTCCGATGAGAATCGATGAGAACTGCACAAGGCCTTGGAGTGACGATGTGAGATTTAAACTGATAATGAGCTTCTTACACAATTTTCGAAAATTTTTTAATTATTTTTAGTTGCCGAACGACGCCGACGACTATCTTTGCGCGAAATCTCTCGATGTGGACAATTACCTGGCGCCTCGTACTTGTCACGGAGATAGCGGAGCTGGCATGGAATATCGTGACGCTTTCGGAAGAGCTTATTTGATAGCGATGACTTCTTTTGGGACAAGAGGTTGTCCGTCGAATATGCTTGCTCGGTAAATCATAATCGATTCAACCAAAATTTGATTAAAATTGCTACAGATTTACCAAAATTCATTCATATTTGGCACAAATTTGCGAACACACGGGCGTCTGCTATACAATTTGAATTAGTTTCTGATTTTTTCTTTTTGTTATTTAAATGAACCTACTAACATATTTTTGCTGGCTCAATCAGCCACAATTATGTGCTAAAGGCGTTGATCGCGTAATTGTTTCGAAAATAGCAAAAATATATGTTGAAATAAAGGTTGGAAACATGTGTCAATTATACTTTTATGTCAATTTTAACGATCCGGTAAGTAAAGTTTTTGCAGAAGTCTGATGTGCGAAAAAATGTACAAATAATAGGATATAGTTTATTGTTGTAAGTCGAGAACTCGAATTACAATTTAAACTTTATCTAAAATAAGCGTTAGACAACATTAACGAACGAAGCGCAATTTAATTAGTTACCGGATGAGAATAACAATAATAATAAAGCAGCACATTGGAAAATATAAATCAACAACGAAAACCAATCAAGCTTCTCGGGTCCGGGCCTAAAAACAATACACCGTGATTTTCACCGCAACCGCAGGATTTAAATTGCTGATATCATTCTTCATTTTTTCTTGCTCCTCGCAACGAATAATATATTTAATATTAAAACAATTTAACATTCAAACTTTAATTGCACAATAAATTATTTTATAAATTATGGCCGCTAAAGCCGCTACTAATATGCAAACAACAAATGTAACACAAACAGTTTTGAAAGGTACGGCCATCAAATAATCCATAAATGTTGACGGGACTTGTTCCTTGAATTGCTCAAATTTATCAATCGAAATTCCTTTTTTCTCTTCCAATTCGTTCAAATCATCCTTGCCGAATTCGTCGCGTTTCTAAATTGGGTAATTATATGTTTGTGTTATTGATTAATTTCTAAAAACTTACGATTTTCAAGTTTACATGGTAATTTTTCTCCTCTGTATGACGTCCAGTAATTTGTATACTTCCAAATCGTGCTAAAAATATGGTAAAGTGACGGGGCTGCTACATAAGTGAGTATACTTCTCAGTGATTATTCCTTTTTTGACAATTTTTGAAATTCTTTGCGTTCATAGGGATTTGCTACTGTGCAATTATCATTTTTGTTATAAGAACAAATATAAAAATTGTCCTTCTGCAATAATTTCTATCCGACATTCCATCGGTCACTTTGCTCTGAAGTTCGTACTTGGGCAGATTAATGTAATTAACTATTTTGTTTCCATTTGTGAAATCTCCAAAAGGGTGAATCTGAAATCGAAAAAATTTAATTTTTTAGTTTTTGGCAATTATTTGTACAGCGTGGATTTCTCCGCAAGCCAACGGTTTTCGAAACTTGTCTCCGCACAATGAAAAAGCAATTGTGTTGGATTCACAACGTGCTTTTAATTTTAATTGCGAAGACAGCTTTTCAAAATAATTTTCATCATAATTGAACTCCTTCGAAATATCCTTAAAATTTCACATGTTTAAAATAAAATGCAAAAATATTCAGATTTACCTTTTTCGTGATGTTTGTGAGGTCAAAAATATCCTTGAATGTTGGGTTAGTGAGAACCCTTGCGATTGTTTCCAAAAATTTGAGTCGAAAGATTTTGTTCAACTTTAAGCGTTTCTTTTTCAAATTTTTCCTCATCTTCTCCGAACTTTGTCTCCGAACATTAAATCTTTTAAAATTCGAGACACTGTTCCCCTTTTCGAACGTTTTATTAAAACGTAGCCGAGTTCCTTTAATTTTTCGATTGTGCCAATTGGCAAACTATCGTTATTTTTGTGAGTTGTGGAGCGACTTGTTTTGAGTGCATCGTGTGGATTATTGTTAAGTAGATGAGATCTTCTTGATATGGTCCTTTATTTTAAATGTCTTGCACAATGTTGAAATGTTTATCCGACGTTTCGATCTTTAGATCATCATCAGGGAAGGTCAATTTACCTACAAGATATTAAGTAATAGATTGGTCAAAAAGAATAAAAGAGTTAAGTTGTAAGTATCAATCAAAAAACAAACAAACCGTAAGAACAAATCAAGAAACAAAACAATGTCCAATACGTAACACAAAAAATGTGTTAGGAGCGTTAATGTGAGGATGTAAGTAGATCAAAAATTTTAGAAAAATAGAGGATAGGTTTCGAAAAGTTTTTTTAGCTATGACTAAGAAAAATCCCCTCGAATTCTCAAATCAGAGACAAATTCTGTAAGTTCTTCTTTAGTATTAAGTTCAGGATTCTTGGTTTTAATATAAATTCCTTCCAGTATTCTTCGACGAGTTGTGTTCCTCTCAATATCTAGTATTTTAATAGAAAGTTGTAAGGGCTCCCCGTTATGAATTTCAAATGATTGTTTAGACCCAACCGTGTTTTTGTATGATTTTAGATTTGATTTCAAAGCAGCTCTAGCATGTACGTTGAAAAGAAAACCCTGCAACCTCTACCCTCACATCGAACATCAAAAATACGATTTTTGACAAGGATGTCCCTAAGTGATTTACCTTTAAGTTCTACTACAGTGACATCCAAGTCAACTTGTCTAACTGATGTCTTGATTATTTGAGTAGTGGTATCGGAGATGAACGGAACCGGAAGTACATTTTTTATGATTTCTCTGGATATGAGAAGTTATGCCTTTTAGGTCTAGATCTATTTGTAATATTATAACCATTAGAGGCAAAAACTTCTTTAGCCAAATTTTTTGAGAAGGTTTTGTATTCCGGAGAAGAGTTTTTCAGCAGTTTTTAGGGTAGAAATTACCGTATTTCGTTTTTGTTGATAAGGATGGTTGGAATCAAACCGGATGAGAATGTTTTTGTTAGAAGGTTTTCTGCACCATTTGGTCACGAAAATATTGTTCTTATTGGAAATCTCACAGTTAAGGAAAGTCAGCCACCCATTATTAAGAGATTCTCTAGTCAAACATATGTGTTCGGCTTGAGAATTTAAACTATGGAAGACCCTATCCAATTTTCTCTTGTTATTTAAATGAACCAAATAAATTTTTTTGCTGGCTCAATCAGCCACAATTATGTGCATCCTTGACGATTTGACCTGGAAAAAGGGAAAATAAACGGGAGATAGAGATAAAAATGGGAAAAAAAAGGAAAAAATAAATTCGAAAATGTGGCCGCAAATCTACACTGTGCGATGGGGCGCGGTTGCAACCCTAATGAATAGACGCAGACAGTGAGAGTCTATAGGGCGTGACACGGCGTTCACACTAGTGGGATTTACCTGAAATGAAAACTCAAACTGTGTCGGTGATCGGTTGTTGGCGTCTTTGTCGCGCAGTCGAATTTTTTAAAAATCGCCAGGCTTTGACTCTTTTTTCAGGTTTTTTCAATTTTTCAAAAATTTTAATAAAAAAGTGCAGCGACCACGTTTTTCGCAAGGCTTTTTTCTATCGAAAACGTTTTACTATAATTCAATCGGATAAGTATTCAGAGGTCCGTAGTTTTTTAATGATTGAACTGTATAAATATTCACATTTCTTTTCTCTGTTTTTTCACTCTCTCTCTTTTGTTAATATCATTTATTGTTATATTATATGGTTTGATTTATACGATTATGTTTGTTAACACTTGGAAAAACATTTCATAGTTGTTTATTTTTTATTTTTTTTGCAAATATTAAATGTAAATAGTGTGTCATTTCGGCGGAGAAGTTGCAAGAGATTCTCTATAATTTTTTGTTGTTTTTTTTTTTAATTTCGTTAGTTCTTACGTTAATTTACCGTTTAAGCTTCTTTTTTTGCTATTTATCTCTCTCGCGTCTTTATCTACTCGCATTGAATTCATTTATTGAATTCAGATAAGCACTCCATCTCGAAAATCAAAAGCTGGCGGAGTGAAAAAACGATATCACGGACAATTCGCTTTTCGAGATTTTTTTAACTTCCGAATTACTCCAAAAGATCAATGGAAAGACGTCCTCAGCCCAAAAATGCCTTTTTTTGCTATTTCTGTTGTATTACATCAAAGTGTTCTTTTCAAGCTGCCTAATGAAATCGGTAAAGAGAATCTTGTTAAATGTATTTGTTGATTATCCATTTGTTTCCAAATTGATAAGTGTATTTTTTCCCTATTAGTTTTGCAGTTTTCCAAATGTCCTTACATCCTCTTTTTCCGAATTCAATCTCTCTCGCGTCTTTATCTACTCGCATTGAATTCATCTGCTACACATCATCAATTTTTATATCATAATTCAATTGTGTAGTATTTCTTTCGTTTAATTGATGGTTTTATCATTTAAAAATGTTATATGTTTAAAAAGATCCGATATAAATTAAAATAACTTATTTAATTTATAACTAAATTGACCATATATTGCGATGAATCTGGTCCACCCGAAGAAATATAAAAACTAATCGTTCTTATTGAAAAAACGCTCCATTTTGAGAATGTTTCTAATTTATTTTACAATCTTAATTTACGAGCAATTGAGGTACGTCATTTTTTTTTTGCAAATCTTGTTTCCTAATTTCACAAATTTTTAACTGTAATAACCATTGTTTTTCAATATTTTTCGAAATAATGAGGCTTAGGTAAAAATCATCAATATCATTATCGATTTCTAATTTTAATTTTTTTTTTTTTTTTTTTTTTTTTTTTTTTTTTTTTTTTTTTTTTTTTTTTTTTTTTTTTTTTCGCCCCGTGTGAGCGTCTACAAATTATTTGCCACTAATGACGACACTGGTAGGACCCAAAAAAGTAAACGCTCACAATGCGCCGCTATTCGCAAGCTCTACTAACCGCATGGAAATGCTTGGGCTACATTGAGAACACGGATCGCGCAGCTCCAGGACAAGAAAATGTTCAATTATGGCGGGATATTGGACTCATCGAGAAAGTTACGGCGAAGTCTCTCTCTCGGGAAAAGTCACATTGAAAAAAGAGGTTCTCCCAATCGATTGTGTGGCGACGCTGATTAAGAGGCTCACGAGTGATATGAACCAAGCCGAGCTCCAATCGATGCTCCTCCTGGTCGCAATCGGATCCCTCGGACTGCGACAAGGATCGATGAGTGGTAACGTTTAGGCTTCACCTATAGATCACATTATTTGATGATTAATTTTTTTGTGTTTAGAAAATACGTACTCCAACTTCGAGGAAATACTTCCGAAAGACGTCATCGTCTACCGTGTGCCGAAGGCACCGTTCGACGAGCCTCACCACTTCAGATTTCGCGTGTTGGTGGGGCTCTACAAAACACGCACCGATGAAAACTTTGAGCCCACATTTATGGGTATGTTCATTTTCATTCAATGTGTTTTGTGTTTTTATCTTTTTGAGCACACACATTTCTTCAGGATTGTCCCACCCGGTAGGCACGGAAAATTGGGGACTCACGGGCGCGCCGCAGCTCATCCTCGGCGGCCACATCGACGTGAGCTCGCTTCTCGAGTGGAAATGTACAACGGAACGTCGTGTCTCATGGGAGAAGAACATGTGAGAAGAAATTTCACAATAATTTTGTTAATCGGTTTTTTCTATCAATTAGGGTCTTACTTACATAGAGTTTGGAACGTATTTTGGGGGTTTTTTTTTTAGTGAAATGTCAATCTGACTTCGTCCGAAGCCCGGAAACAGCGGCGAGCTGACACGCGAAAAAGCATCAAATTTAAACGCGTTGATGAGATATGCGTGAGACAAATTTAAATTGCCAAACACGCTATTCACAATGAAAAGCCTGAGGTATGGTTACTATTCGCAAACTACTTCACTGTTCAATCAATTATTTTTGTGTTATTATTAAGACAAGGCTACGCGACAAGTCTCGTTAAAAATGTCGCCGTATCACAAGAAGCGCAATCAATTATGGATACACGAATGGTGCACGAAGCGCTTACGCCCTGCCCAAATTGGCGCTCTGGGCAGGCGCGAAACTACATTAAGTAAGGCATTTAAAAACTTGATATGTATAACACTTTCGTCCAAAAACCAATACAACAATATACAGTCAGTGTTTGTTTTTAATGAGAGATAATTTTTTTTCAGTGGGCTCGTGTCAAGCGTACAAGAGCAACCATCGTCCGTCATTCGCTTCACCGCCAATGATTGGTTGGCGGCTTCTCTTCGCAACAGCGCAAGCAACGTCGTTTTGAACTCAAATTATGAGTTCAAAACGACGGGTGATATTCGAAACGAGTGTAAGGTATGTAAGCGTTTATTAAAACACGCACAACAATTAATAACTTCTATTTCTGTATTATACAATTTTGTTTTTTTTTAAGATCGCCGGTGAGAAACCGAGCGTCCGCTGTTTGAAAAGACGATTCATCGATTCGAAGAAGAGCGGCACGTGTCGCCTCGCCGACAACGACGACATTGTTTTGAAGAGCGAGGAAAAGCACGAGAACAACAATACAGTCAGTGTTTGTTTTGAAAATCAAAGTTAGACAACCATTCTACGAATCTCCTCTTGATAACTTGAATTATTGCTAATGTACAAAAATTAAAGATAAAAATTACTGTTAGAAACTGTAAATTTTGACATTCGAGCAGAACACCAAATTTGGTAAAAAAAAAGATTTACGTTTTAGCATCATTTTCTGAAACAATGGGAACTTAGGATCATTTTCTGAAATTTTGAAAACTTTCGAATTCGGATCCCATAAGATCCCCTTCCCCTATAACACTGACAAAAAAAAAACACAACTCAATAAAACAAATAAATTTAAAAATCTTTACCTAATTTTGCATATACAATCATAGTTTTAACGTTGAAATCAACCAAATTCCATTTTCAAATTTAAAAATGACACGTATTTTTTGATAATTTGCAAACGAAATTTAATTTTCCGAAAACTATTCTGTATTGTCGAAACATGACGAATGTGAAAAACTGCAGCGATATCCTATGTATTGTGTGCGTACACCGAGTCGCACAGTTCAACAAGAGCTACAGTAATCTCAACTAAAATTTATTTATTTATTTATTTTATTTTTTTCGTTTTTTCGTATTTTCTTGGAGAATTTTTGGTTTTATGTATATTTTTTTGTTGGAAAAGTGTAATAGCAATATTTTTTGTATATTATTAAAAGATAATTGTTTTACATAAATAGAAACTATCTATTTTTCGAAAAAAAAAGAAACATTTTAAATGTCATTTTAGACAATTTTTGCCTCGAACTTATCAACTTTTTAGCGTTATTGCAACGTGCTTGTTTCTTTTCTTTCTTATACGTTTATGTATTCATTATTTATTTGTTTCAGGTGAAGAAACACGTAACCGGCCGAATAATGATAGCCGAAAGAGAAGACAGTCAACTATTTTGCAATTGATCAATTGTAATTTTTCCCCGAAGTCTTAATTTCTACCATTCATTCAAATTTAGGAACTTTCTATTCTAATAATTCTATTTTATTTTTTTGTGTATAATATAACTAGTGATCTTCTAGAGCGATACATTTCTTGTGAAAATCTGAAATATGCGAAGGTTTCAAATAAATAGATATAAGTATATATAACATGTTTATGTTTAACAACAAAATAAGATGTTTGTTGCTCTTAGGAGAGCCGTTGGGTTTCTGCCGACGAATTAAATCACCATTATTCGATCAGGTGACGAGAGCGACGTCGAAACGAGCGGCTTTCGTTTATCCGATGATGAGCAAACTTGATAATCTGAATATTATTTAATTAATAAGTTCTATCTTTAAACTACAAACCATTTTTTATTCTTCCTCTTCGTCGACGATGACTGCCGCATGATCTGCAATTTAACCACAAAGCACGCATCTTTTTCAATTTCACCAAACTTATTTTCTTTTCCATTCATCTCAAAAAATAATAATTTTAAAGTTTTAAAATTTTTTTAAATAAGTTTTCTTTCTAGCCAAAAGTGAAAACATAATAAAAACTTATCTAATAGCGAAATAGTTGACTGTCTTCTCTTTCGGCTATCATTATTCGGCCGGTTACGTGTTTCTTCACCTGAAACAAATAAATAATGAATACATAAACGTATAAGAAAGAAAAGAAACAAGCACGTTGCAATAACGCTAAAAAGTTGATAAGTTCGAGGCAAAAATTGTCTAAAATGACATTTAAAATGTTTTTTTTTCGAAAAATAAATAGTTTCTATTTATGTAAAACAATTATCTTTTAATAATATACAAAAAATATTGCTATTACACTTTTCCAACAAAAAAATATACATAAAACCAAAAATTCTCCAAGAAAATACGAAAAAAATAAAATAAATAAATAAATAAATTTTAGTTGAGATTACTGTAGCTCTTGTTGAACTGTGCGACTCGGTGTACGCACACAATACATAGGATATCGCTGCAGTTTTTCACATTCGTCATGTTTCGACAATACATTGTACCATTTATGAACAACTTCCTTCATATCGTACAGTGAGCACGGCTGGTAGATGATGTTGATTGGGACCATGATGGTAAATCTGTAAAAATGTAATACTGGACCGATTATTTCTCTTTTTTTGTTGTTTGAAATAATGCCCGACTCGGATTTTTAGATCTGAAATTTTAAGCGAATTTTAAAGCTTAAAAAGGAGATATAAATTAAAAATGGAAAAAGTATCAAAAAATTAGTTTTCGCGTGAAAAGTAAACTGTTACTAATTGACATCCACGTCGCCTTGGTTGAATTTCATTTCAAGAGATTATTTCATCTGTGATCGGTTTCGTTTTAAATCCAATCTAATTTAAAAATGCGTGTTTTCAGTATTTTGTCGGTTTTGGTTCTCTTATCTTTCGAGACGGTTCTTTGGGGTGAGCCCATCATATTAATAAATTCAATGTTCAACCATCTCGTTTTCAGACTGTTCCTCTGATTTGATGTGTGTGTCTTAGGCGGCTGGTGCCAAATAGAAGGATTAAAATGCGTGCAATCCCCAGGATTTCTCTAACCAAGTTGTTGTGGTGAGCATATTGAAAATCATCAAAAAATTTCATTAATTCTTGATCTAGAAAAAAATCTAAATGTTTGAGTGGATGGGAATCTGGAATAGATGTTGTTAATGATAATATCACATGTAAAATGGCCAACACTTCGCTTGAAGACGGTTGTGGTACGTTTTTGAATTAAGGAAATGGAAAAAGTTACGGAAAGTGGCAGGAAAGCGGAATTTTGAATTTTTCAAGCCGGTTTCTTCGATTTTTTTCTTAAGAAATTGAATAGTGCCCAAAAAATCCGAAAATGATTTTTGAATGCGTTATAGAAGGTTCAAAATGTTCAATTAAAGTATTTTTCAAAATTAGAGCAGCTCGCATTGTTTATATAAGTCAGTTTACGAATTATTTATATATTTTAAAAAATGAATAGTGAGCTAATTAATCCTTTTTTTTATAAAAATGGAAAACGTTGGCAAAGACGAGGTTTTCAACGTTTAAAATTTTAGCGCCTCCGGTAACTAAAAAACCACACATAATTTAAAAGAAACCAAGCAGAAAACATTAAACTAACTTTGCCAAATTTAAAATAAATTTCAATATTACTATTATATACACATTCATATGTTATCAATATGGTCACGGTCAAATGGCTTAAAGAAGGCGAGGCCTTCAAATTCGCGAAATCAGTAAATATTTAAATTTATCGTTGACTGAATGTAGTCAATAATTGTTTACATTTCGTCCAGTCGTTTGACTCTTACAATAAAATTTCGTAAAAATTTAAATAAATAGTACCAAATCGAAATGATTTGAAATTATTATTTATTTTATTTATCTTTTCATTTTTTTTTCAATTGTTTTGTGATTTTTAATTGTATCGCAAAATGTCGGAAAATTCAGATATTGTTCATCCAAAATTTTTGATTGGCCAAAAAATGTTCAATTGTACAAGTAAAAACTACTAAAATCGCACCATTTCAACGCTTAATGTTATTACAGAAACGTTAGAAGATTACCCGGAATGTCAATCGCATTCGGAATGCAGACCAAGTCAATTCTGCGACTATCTTGTTAACGAAAATCTCAGAATTTCGAATCGAACGGGGATGTTTCCATCGTGAGTTTCCATATAACTGAATTCAGTATTAATACACTTTCGCCTAATGGAAAATTTCACCTATGCACATCTAATCTAATAATCATGTTCCAGTCACCAAAAGAGCTAATGCAGAATCAAGCTTCTCAACGAATTCGGAATTCGCATGTGTGAATCAGTTCCGGCAACCAAGCCGATCGTCCACTGCACCGAAGACATGGACTGCGCGCATTTGATAAGATACATCCCAAAGTAATCTACATATATTCTGAAAATTGGAATTTTAATAGACGTTTGCAGCGCCTATTGCAATTACACCGGAGGTTTCTGCTGTTCCGGACTATTGGACGTCTGCTTCGGGGGCGGTCTCGTCCGGCCACTCCTAAGATGCGATACAGGAACGATGGCCGGATTCGAGACATGCCACCCGGATTTGGGGAACGGCGAACTCCGAGGTTTTTGCACCGATATCGGTGTAAGCTCCGAGGGTGACAATTTTGTGTTCGGAAGACATGGATTGTGCACATCTGATGAAAGGAATGGTCGGCACTGGCGGGTTGATTCCGAAGTAAACCATTTTCTGAAAATTATACTTTTTATCCACGTTTTCAGTGCTTATTGCAATCAAACGGGGGATTTCTGCTGTTCCGGCTTGCTGGAAGTCTGCTTTGGCGGTAATCTCGTTCGGCCACTCCGTAGATGCGAAGCCGGGACGATTCGCACCGATATCGGTGTATGCTGCGAGGGTAACAATTTTTTAAATGATTCAATATTAAACTCATAAGGTTTCAACAAATACGTTTAAGGACCATATGAAGAGCCGGTTGTCTGCTCAGATGTGGTGCACCCGCTCTTCATCGAACCGGCATGTCACAGAGGCGAGAGTGGTTTCTTTGAATGCCCGGAAAATATCGAAAACTGCACGTGTGTGCTGGGGTGGCCGTGTCCTTCAAGTAACAAATTTTATTCATTCGCATTTAACCCGATTTATTTTCAGTTGCGGCCAACCCACTGTTGGTCAATTTTGGCCGGCCGTCCGTTGGGCAGATTGGGTGCCATCCTCCACGCCCAATCTGCAAACGGGCGGTCAACGGATACTGTCACCCGCAAACACACAATCGCAATTTACGGGAAATTTTTTCCGGGATTTTTCGGGTTTGCCGAAACAAGGACGTGTCAAATCAACAGGTATACACTGAAATAATTATGAAGAATGAAAACGATAGTATTCTTGAAGGCTTTTGTATATGGTGCCCCGTTATTCATTATTGTGATTATCGGATTTTTCTTCGGACCCAATGCTATTCTCAATGAAATCAAGACCCAAATCAATGAATTGATGAAGAAAGTCAAAGACGTTGGTCGAGATGCAATTGCGGACGCTTCAAACGATAAAGACGAGGTACATAAATTTAAGAAAAAATTCAATAAAATACGAACAAAAAAAACGAAAAGAAAAATGGAAAATTTTCAAAGTTATCTAAGTGTTTACGGACTTTGTGTACTGTAGCCTAAAATTATAAATTACTCAAATTTTGAATATTCAATTAATATGCTTATTACTTGTATTGCAGCTTCTCAAATTGCTGGCCAATGGGAAAGTAACCATGCGCGCCCATTCATCTAATATCATTGTCGATTCCCCTCGTTTCCCATTTTCTTTTTGTTTTAAATTTTTTTTTCCTCTAAGTTCATGTGATATATTAAAAACACCTATTTTTTATTACCGCTTGTTTCTTCTAATTGTGTGTGTTCCCGAATTGTGTTTTTCCAGACATTTACTATTATGTTTTCTTATTCTAGCCTTTTTATTTCAATAAAACACATCAATATTGATATTCTTTTTCGTAACTTATTTAATTTCTCCTTTTTAATGACAATTGTTTATTCGAATCCTTTTTGAATTGTGGCCTCCTATAAATTCGTGAAAACTTTATCACATTGTGCAAGCTGTTTTACCAATGGTCCATAAATATTTTGAAAAATTAAAATAATCGTGTTACGAATGCACAGATTGGCAAAAGTTCAAACAGGCTTCAAACAGTAAATGATTCCAAAAATTACTTTATATTTCAAAAGTACACAATTCCTTCATACATCATTAATTTATTCTTTTTTTCCAAAGCAGGTTTCCATTTCTTAGCTGCACAAAATACAAATCGGGTTCGGCCGATCGCCTATGGGTTGCCTTGTTAATACGAGTGCAGCTTTGCTATAAATCAATGCATTCCGATAAAGCACCAAATTTTAAAAGCATACCAAAAAAAACCACTGCTGAGACGATCCATATTTCTCAAATTCGTTCGTTCACGACAACACCGAGTCGAGAGCTACTTCAGAATTACCCAATCGATGGAGGTGGAGGAAAGGGTCGGTCGACATTTGCAAGTGCAATAAAGAAAAAAAGCCTACAATTAATGCGAAGGTGTGATTTCGACGGAAATGCCAACAAATGATTTGAGTTCAAAAAATTAAATGCCGGCGAGAGGAGAGAGACGCAGACGAGCAGACAAATAGATCATAAGCACTAATTTGGTCTGTTTCATATGCCGTCAAACGCGTTGCGGTTTTTTTTCAAATAGTGTACTTCATTTAAAATCAATTTAAATTCAATCTCCTTTTTTTTTGCGCGTTTGATAATAACTATGCTAATTATACATTTCAGACCCCTTTCTCTCGCGTCTACACATAATACTAATAATAAATTATTCGAAATCAATTTCCAATTTCCTATTTATCGCCAAAATATAAATAATTTGTGTGTCCGACTTTTCGAAGCCCAATTTCCTGCGCCGCTCGGCTCGGCTCGGCTGTCGGAGGAGCTCGCAACGCGTCGGAGCATTTCGCCGGCTACAATTTCTTCGCCAAATTTTTTCTTCCATTTTTCATTTTTTTGATAAGAAATTGTGTGCGATAGAGAAAAAGACACCGCCGCCGTCGTCAGTGGCAACCCGTTTCGATGGAAAAATAAAAGCCGACATCAAAGAGCTGCCCCCGATTGCATTTTCTTACGCGCCGTCTAAAATCAAATTTCCGCCAATCGTTTTTCTTGAAATTCTATAATAAATGTCTTTTACATTAATGTGGTTTATTCGAGAAGCAGCGCAGCAAAAAAAAATTAGAATTTCACAAAAAATTTGCTTTTTTTGTATTTGGTGATGTTAGAGAACAATAATAATAGTAATAATAATAATAGTAATAATGATGATAATAATAATAATAATAATGAAATTTTCAAGAAATAAATTAAACGTGGGCTATAATCTCGCAAGATTTTCAAAAAAAATGAAGAGGTTCGCAATTTAAACAATCAACCATTTGACAACACTCATCCCAATATACATATTTTGGTATGGCATGAGATCGAGCGGCGGAAACTTTGGCACCAAAGTTTCGAAAAATAAAAAAAATCAACAAAACAATTGGAAATGCCCGTGGCTTTGGATTAGAAGGTATAATAGAGGGGGGGGGGCTAGTAATTGGGATATTATATATATATATATATATATATATATATATATATATATATATATATATATATATATATATATATATATATATATATATATATATAATTATTTGATGAAAGTTCGAGGGGGGGGGATTTTTCAAATTTCGAGATCAATTCACTGAATAATTCAAATTAGGCTTTTTTTTTTGTTTTTGCTCAAATTCACAGTCATAAGGGCACCAATAAGAAAAAAAAAGGAAAAAAATTGAGAATGTGTTAGTTGGATGGTCCGGTTGGCAGAAGATCGAACACCATTCGTCGCGGCCCGTCGACCATATTTCGAACCGGTATTTGAATAAGGAATTCTCCCAAAAAGGCGCCTAGAAAAATGTTTATTCAGAAAGTTCTCCACACACCGAAAAAAAAAAACTGATCTACCTTTCTCGTCGTTGCTTCTCACGATGAACGTCTGAAGCGGAAATGATTTTTCCGAGTTGATCGGCTTGCCGAAACCTTCTGGAAGCGATTCACCCGATGGCGAGATTGAGCCGCTCTGCAATTTGTCAAAATTTGATATCATCAATACGTTTTCCGTTTTCTGACTCACCGTATGCGAGTTTCTCTCGTGCTGCGCTCCACCCGACTTCTCCTCTTCTTGATCCTTCTTCATCGACTTGTGAATCGTCAGATTCAACGCGTCGGCGCCGTCCGACGTGTCGAACTGATTGCGAACCACCATTTTGAGCGCCGCCTCTTTCGTCAACTTCATCGCGTCGTCCTCGTCGTCGTCGGAGCCGCGTCGCTTCACGTCGTTCATCGGCTCGTGACGCTCCTGGTGCATCTCGAGATTCTTCGCCTCCCACGTCGTGTACTGACATCGTGTGCACTTGAGAATGTTGGGATCGTCGGCTTTCGACGTGCTGATCGCCGCGTTCTCGTCGGAATCGTTCGATTGACCGCGCGTCGCCTGATTCAACACCGCCATGATTTGCGACAAATCCGGCGCCATCTCGCCAATCTGGCCGCCGCTCAAATGCTCCTGCTGAATGTGGAGGCTCATCATAATCGTCGGAACCCGTTTGTCGCACAATTGGCACTTCTCGTCGATCGGCGCAGACGTCGACGTCGGCGTCGACGGCACCGACGCCTTGTTGGCGCTTCGCGGCGTCGACAACGGCATCACACCGTGAACGTCCTGCTTGTGCTGACGCAGCTGATTGCGCGACTTGAACTCGGTGAAGCACGTGTCGCATCGAAACGACAATCCGCCCATTCGTTCGCCTTCGAGCGTGTCGATGTTGGCGATCACCGTCTTGTTCTCATCGATCACAATCCGATGCATTTTGAGCATATGCGTTCGAAGGAAGTACTTATTGCACACCTCCTTGTTGCACAGATCGCAATAATTTTTGCCGTTCGATGAATATTGCCGTTTGACGCCGGCGATTTTCGGCTGCAGAAATTAAAAATAGGGAAATGTTCAAATCAAAAAAAAATTGCCTACCGTTGAGATCGATGAGAGCGGCGAATCGAAATCCTGCATTCCGGTGAACTGCTGATGAAGCGGCGATTGGAACATCAACGGGAGGCCGCTGATCGACGACGGGAACAGACCGCCGAACAGTCGTTGCGCCATCAAATTGGTGTGTTGCGCGAGTTTGTGCTGCTCCAAAAATGCGACGTTCTCAAACTCTTTGTCGCACTCGTGGCATTTAAACGACGACGGCTCGTCGGCGCTGAAAAAAAAAGAATCGTTTCAACGATCTGATTGTGGAAATCAAAAAATGTCGGTAAGACTTACGCGCTCTCATCGGCTTTACTCGCCTGCTGCTGCTGCTGCTGTTGTTGATGTTGTGGAAGCTGCGAGGTCAGCGACGACATCTGAGCCAGAAGGAGATTGTCGAACGCCGATCTGTAGAACAAAATGAAAGTGGAATGTTGAGGTTCGACAAATAAGATCTCGAATAAAAATCGCTATGGAAACCGAATTCAATTTCATTCGGGGCTCGGGTGAGAAGGGAAGCAATATTCGCTCCCCCCTATGCGAAATGTCGTCTGAAATTCGGAAAAACAATTTTTCGCCGCCCGCCCGCCACGACACAAAATTGTTATTGGCGCTGATTATAGAGAGCTCTAGGTAGTTGGAGGTGTTCTACCTTGCTCTCTGCCTCTCTCTCTCTCTCCTAGTTATAATACCTATAGTTATAATCAAATACTACTAATACTACTAGGCTTGAAATTTTCTACTTGTTTTTCAGAACGAGAAGGAAATTAAATTCATTTTTTTTCTCGTTCAACACCGCCGTCGCGATTAATGCGAATGACGTCGTCACGATTCGTTTGAGTGGATCTCTAGATTAAGCTGGCTGGCTTAATACGATTAGCGAGTGACCAGACACCAACTTACTTGATAAGTGAGTTCTCGGCAGCCGGCTGCTGTGGTTGCGACGTCGTCGTCGTCGGCTCATCGGTGATTTTCGTCTTCTTCGCCGGCGGCACTTCGCCATCATCGGACGTCGACGCCACCATTTTCGGCGATATCGAACCGTCTCGCGCCGATGCCTCGTCGGCGGCGTTCCGCCGTCCGGCGAGTTGGCCGACGAGCTGCGTGAAGTCGACGTTTCCGTTTTGGGCGAGCAACTCCAAAATTTGCGGATTCGCGTGCTGCATGATATCCATCACTTCATTCTTCTGACTATTCTGCTGTTGCTGCTGTTGCTGTTGAAGGAGAAGACTGAGCCATGGATTCGCACCGCCGCCATTCAACGCCTCCTTCTCTTCGTCGCCGCCGCCGTCACACCTCATCCGTCCTTCGTTGGCGATCGACGACGACGACGGCGCGCCGGACGACGCCAATAACGACGGGCTGGCGCTTCCGCCCGACGTGACCATCGCACCTTTGCTCATCTGATTGAACAACTCCTGATTGCCGTTGGTCTGCAAAACACCACAATATTATTCCCACGAGTTGTGAAATTGAGTAGTAGGAAAAAAAGGTGGTGGGTTGGAAAAAGCTAGGCATAAATTTTCAAGTGTGGCTGCTGGCTGGTCGCAATCTCAAACCCCCCCCCCAACCTCTTCGGCGTCTCAATTTAATCGAGTAATTGTTTCCTGCGATTTTCGTTTCAAACATTTTCGGGAGCCGGTGTGTGTATGGGGGGGGGTCGACCTAAAATGGCTGCGCACATATATCTACATATATAAATAAATACTACATGCTGCCGTGCTCGCCGCGCGCGCGCACAGAAAGAAAAGAGCTTTTAATAAAATGAGAAATGCATTCGCAATTCCATTATATTCCAACTTTTTTTTTGTTGCTCTCCCTCTCACTCGATTTGCCTCATTTTGAATGCCCCCGCACACAAGAAAACGAAAATCTGAGGACGAGGGTGAAAACCCGAAAACGTACCGGATCGATCGACATCAGCAATTGCTGCATATCGACGGTGTTGGTGGCCATCATTGCTGCGGTATTCGGTTTATTTTTTGTCTTTCGCTCGGCGTGCTGTTGCTCGTGATGACCTGACGATGGAATTACGGTGCGCGGCCACGGCAGATACTGAAAATGTGCGAAAATGAATGAGACAATACGGGCGGTTCGGGGGGGGGACGTGTTTCCCATCGGCTCGTTTCGTGTGCTCTTGGCAACTCGATGGTAAATCAATGACGGCCAGACCGATAATAATACAACATCAAGTGCGATTTAATGAATTCCCAAATGGGAGGGGGAAGAAGAGGACCCCAAAAATAAAAATAATAATGCTAGTAGTCGTGCCAAGGCTACGTGGAGGGAATTCATAGTATGAATAAGCCCAATTAGGCAATCCTCTTCAAAAACGCGTTTGAAATTCGATTGGAAGTGAAGGGAGAGGAAGGGGCGGGGAGGGATGGAAGGCGATTTTGCAATTCAAAAATTCGACGCTTGGCGGGCGCCATTAAGCGGGCAAGGAGCAGACGTCGAGACGTGGCGACGCTCCGCCCACATTTCGAAATGTACTCCGACGCCACGCCCACCATTACGACTATATATATCCAATGATAATTAATGAAGCTGTGAATTATTTTTTTTTGGTTGACAACGACGAAAAAGAACCGCCGGTATCCTAATTTTGGCTTTGTGTGTGTGTTTTTGCTCCTTGCAAATGACTATTTTCATCATAATTATTACCCCCGCTATATATTTTTCGAATTGGCGCGCATTTTCGATGGTTCGACGTCGTTTTTTTTTTAAATTTTGTTTGGTTGTCGAATCAGTGGAGGACAAGGAAAAAAAAACTAAAGAAATGAAAAGAGTAAGAGCGATGATGATGGAAGGGGGGGGCGAAGTCGTGCCGAAAATTGGCTAAATAAACTGGGACGCCTCGGGCGGTGTATTGGTGGGGAGGAGAAGAACTGACTTTGACATTTTTTCCCCACTTCTTCCCCCCTCTACTCAGATTTTCATATATATATATTTATGTATATAGATAGATTGGCGTGAGAAATGAGGGAGCTAATCGGATAAAATAGGCGAGGCAATAATAAATTGAAGGAGTCGCCCGCCGGGCAACACCTTTGAAACCTGCCAATTAGCACACCAGCACCTTTTTGGCCAGTGTGTGCACTTGGGTAAGGTCTATGAGAGGGGGTCCGACGGCGAAGTTTACAGTACTCAAAATGACGTCATCAAAAGTGGGTGGCTAACAAGTATCAGAAAGCGGCGAAATCAAGCTTCATTGGAAGCAAAAAACAGATGAATCGAATTCGCGAATCAAAATCGAAGGGGTGGGGTGGTGGGCCTACAAAAAACCCGTTCCGCATTCAACAAATTGGCTTACTTATAATCACACGAAAAAATGGAGAAACCACCGACAAAGATGGTGGTGGGGTGCGCGACACCAAAAAATCAACAATGGTGGGTTTGCATGGTGTTGGTAGGGGGGGGGGACGAGGGGCGTGGCCATCATTGGATGGAGGGCGTGGTCGAGAGCCGGCGAGGCCGGCGTGTATGCCTTGGACCGAAATTCGTTTCAAATTTTCGAAACAACACACACACACACAAAAAAAATTAGTCGGCGGTTTTGTACAAAATGGCGTGTGACTCAGTGGCGGACCCCTCCCCGCTCCGCAGAGAATTGCAAAAAGAAAAAGGGGGGCCGCCTCGACGAGGACGGCACTCATATTTGATGATGATGATGATTATTATTATTATATTATAATAAGAAGCGAAGGGCTGGAGGGAATTTGAAAACTTCAATTTTGGTCTTCATCGTCGACGTTCGCGGCGGCGGCGGCGGCAGCGGAATGCCGCGCGCGCGCTGATTGTGACGATTTGTCAAACGGCAACAACAACAAAAAAATTATGAGATGCGGGTCTACGCGCGCGCGCAGCAAAAACGTACACTAAATAGGCGGAGTGATTTGATGGCGAAACGAAATTGGTGCGACACCAAACACAAAATGCGCAAATCTCGCACACAATTTTTGGGTGTTTCGCATGGTGCAATTTATTTGCTGCACCATCAACACCAAACGTTTGATAGTGTCAATCAAAAAACGCACTCTCACACACAAAAAAGAACCTGTGCGCGCGCACACACACACACCCATCTATGCATAATTCGGGACCATTCGCCCGCGCGCTCGACTCTCTGCGTCTCTTGGTCTCGCGCGCTCTCTCGTCCGCCTTTCTCATTTTGGCTCGTCGCACGGTCCCGAAACTTGGAAAAAGAAAAACGAATAACCCCACATACACTATTTGCATTTACCATACATGCGATTTTCGCACCACGCCGATGAATAGAATGTGCCAAAAAATGGCGAGGAGATCAATGATTCGTCTTATTAAGGTTGGCTGAGAGAGAGAGAGAGAGAGAGAGAGAGAGAGAGAGAGAGAGAAGGAGCAGATCGTAATCGAGAATGTCACGAATAATATTGAAGAGATCCGCGAAAACCGGAAGCCGGAGAAGGCGCCTCGATTAAAAGTGTTTACAAGTATAAATGTCGATCACTCGTTCGTCTATCTCTCGTTGACAAGAAAAAAAACCAAAGGAGAGATGAATGGAGAAGTCGGAATCCCCGCCCCGTGTTGCAACGGCTATTAGTTAGCCGTCCGTTAGCCGCCGCCGCAGCCCCCCGATTTTTCCGCTTTGACTGGTTGCCGGCCGGCCGGCGAGAGGGGGGCTTGTTGTTTGATTGTACAAAATAAACATCAATAATAATGATGTGAAGAGAAAGTTTCGAGATGAGCTGGATGGACAACCCAATTTGACCATAGTTGGGGTGGGGGATTTCACGTTGAACAACAACAATCCGCCTAGATTCAGGCCTACAGTACTTCTGAATTCTGCCTTCATTACCGTCTGAATTCCAATATGAAGTTTCTCTAATATCAGGCTTTCAGTACCTCAAATATCTGTCCAACAGTACTTCTGAATTCTGGCATCAGCACCCCAAAATTAAAGAATACAGTTCCTCAGATCTCTGAATTCAGGCCTACAGTACTTCGGAATCTTTATCAGACCTACAGTAACCGCTGATTTCGGTTTCAGGACCCTTCCCACGCGATTCCCGACGACTAGTTTGATCCCCCCCATATACACATGCCAGTTTTGTTTTGCTTCATCAAATTTTGATGATGATGATTACTGTAGTACTTGTATACACGTCGTAGTAGCCTCCCGCTCTGGGATCATAACAAAACAAGAGGATCTAGAGGAGAGGAGGTGGATATATACAATAAACTTGTTCAAATCATTAATGACTATAGTTTCGCAAGGCCGAGGCGCCCGTCGCTAAAAAATGAAGTTAATGCTAATAACTGGATCGGGTTCGGGAGATAGATATTCACCTTCTTCTTCGTCTTCCCCTCTTGTAATTACACGACCGAATCAAATCGAATCGAAACATTTTGATGGAGGGGAGATGGAGAGAGAGAGAGAGAGATTCGCAAATTGCGGGAAAATTGTCATCTCATTTGATAAGGCGTTTCGCGCGCGCAGCAAACAGCCCAACAACTAACATTTTCAAAAACACACACATTGATGGAGAGAGAGATTGGTTTCCGAATTGTTGTTGCTTCAAGTTTCTAATCGGTGTGACCTTGCCGCTTCATCTTCAAGCTTCCCAAGTTTGTTTTTGCGATAATTTGAGAGGGGGGGGGGAAGGAGAAGGAAAAAAATAAATATATATCGCATGTTGGAGACCAATTGTCGCGATTTTTGACTAGACGGGCGGCCTCTTGACAAGCAGCTCATCATTATAAGTGGCCTCTTGGTTATTGTTTTTTTTTTTTTTTGCAAGACCCCCGGTCAAATTGATGATAGTGTGAAACGGATACCGATCGAAATTGTTTGTTTCAAAAAAAAAGTAGAATTTCAATGAAAAAAAAACGAAATTCCCATATAATCCAGAGATCAGAATTAAGTCGGAAGCATTTCCAAAAATCCGATTTGAATAGTTAGGGGGGGTATAAAGAGCGGCACCTTGAAATCATGAAACACACAAGAAAAAAACATACGATAGCATGAACCTATTGCGTTATCAATTTAAACATCTCCTCGCGCACACCCACACCTCCCATTAATTCCAAATATCAAATCATTTTACCTTTGTGACTTCGGCTTCTGCTGGTGTTGCTTGTGGTGACGTGGATCGCTGAATCTCCGACGAATCGCCGTCTGAAATGATATGATGAGGTCGAGTTGGAATGAAGCACACACAAAAAAACCAACAACGAGACGGAGCCAGAAAATTGAGAGAGCGCTACCCAAAAAAACAGTTGGTCTTTGGTGAAGGGTGCATGGTGTAGACGAACGCGTGGGGGGGGGGGGGAGCAAACGGCACGGCGAAATAGTGTGCGAGGCGAGGAGACGCGCGACGAGAGCCACAAAAAAAACAAGCAAGTGAACGAGTGGAAAAAAAACGAAGGGGCAGCAAACTGTATGTTGAATTGAGTGGTCGGGACCCCGTCGCGTCCCACCCCCCTCTTCAATGATAGGGACCATCGGGACCACACTATTTCGCTGTCGTCCCCCCCCCCTCTCTCTCTCTGTCTCTATCTTGCAACGATGGTGTGTGGTGAAGGGTGCAATTTGTCGAATTTTGTTGAACGGTGACCCGGGTCAAGATATTGACATAAGATATCGCGGACCATCACAACTACATTCGAAAAAACAAAATTGGGGGGAAAGAAACTTGGGGTTACCGTAATCGGTGATGACACATTTGGCATAGTTGGCGAGATTCTTGGAACCCATCGAGACCCTAGTGTGTCTCGGGCCCCAATTATGGTTTTGAACCATTTGTACAAGACAAATATGACGAATGCGAACACACACACACACACACAAAAGGCTTGCGAGCATTGCTCTCTCACTCTCTCTCTCTCTCTTTGGTGTCCGAACGGTCAGCGTGAAAGAAACATTACAATTTTTTTGGTGGTGTACAAGAGAGCATGGTGGTACCGTCCACCCTTTGGGGTGTCGGAATGGCGCAAATTTGAAAACAACAATGGGATCGGGTGGGTGTGAGAAAGAGAGTGGAAATGTTTGAAAAAAAACGTCCAAACGAATTGGTAGATCAAAAATTTGCCATTTTGATTTCACGTTTGCGAATTGGCCCAAAAACTTGTGCTTTGACCAACCGCGTGGTACAGTAATCCCTGAGAAGAAATTCCGAATCTGATTGGCGTAATTCACGTTGGACGAGTGACGTAGAGCCGAAAAAACAGAAATAAAAATCAAAAATTGAAATTGCAATTAGTAGTATATTCACCACGATTTTTTTTTTGTGTGACCAGAAATTTGTGTTTCGTTTTCCTCCCCGCCGTCCTCTTGAATACCGTATTAGGTGGGAGGGAGAGAGAGGGGGAGGAGGGCGACCCGAATGAATCGAAAGTGCCATGTTCACACGCCAAATTTTTTTGGTGGAGATGATTATCAATGGCGGCGATGTGGTGATTGCGCAAAAAAAAAGCGGCCCCGACTTTCCTTTTTTCGTCTTCTCCTTCTTATTGCCTGATTTGAGGTGGAGGAAAACTCTCGCCGTCTCTCGTGTCGTCGAATGAATAAAAGTTAATATGTGGTGATGGTGGTGGTGTTCAAATATCAATGGCCTTCAATGAAGGCCCCCTCGCCACCCTTCGAACCTATTTCGATGTTGCGCAATCCGTTGTGGCATGTGTGTGCATGGTCCCCAAACTACAAGGACCGTCTCAAATCGACGTTGAGGCTATTGGAATTGTAGGTGTCGATTTACGAAGATCGCAAATGAGGAGGCGACAATGCCAAATATGGTGGCGAGACCCAGATCTCTACAGTACGCACAAATTACCCCCCCCCCCCTGGAACCGAGAATATTCCGGCGCTGGGGACCACCACAAAATAATTCGTTAAGGAGACGCGCGCAATGAATTATGCATGCGTCGGAGCGGCGCAAAACTCTCGGCAATTTGATACCTGGTATTAAATTAGGTAATGTGAAGATTTTTGATGAATACGACGACGGCAAAACCCGCGGCATTTCAATGCCTCGAGGCGGGCCGGGCCGCAGCTCTCAGATTACATAACACGTCGTCGAGGAAGGGTGAGGAGGGAGGAGGCTCGAGCAAATTGAATTCGAAAATCCCCCTATCCTCTTCTACGGTAGAGCAATTTGAAGCCCCTCGCGTGCCCATATATAATCATTATATTTTCCGAATAATAATAATAATAATATTAATATGAATATTAGGCTTGAATGAATGATTTTAATCCGATGCGTCAGACGGCGCAAAATGGTCCCCAGAATTATGGGATTACGATGAGTGTGAAATGGGCGGCCCTCCTAGAAAACTGGACGCCACTTGAACGCTGAGAAGAATCATCCACAGGCTCATTATTAAGGGAAAAGGTGTGGTGGATGTCATTAAAAGTCGTGTTGCGCAAATTTATGTACATTCTTCGCCCTGTTGTTTTTTTTTTGGTCGTGTGCGTTTTCTTCGTCGTCGCCTATACAAATTATTTCGGCGGTTTAGCAACGCATTTAATAGCGCTTATTATTTATTGAAAGCCGAACCAACCAGCTAGTTGAATGAGGGGTTCGGAAGCGATTTGAAATGATGTTAATCCAATAGCTCGAAAGAGAAAGGGGGGGGGTTTCAAAAAAAAAGAAGAAGAAGAAATAAAATAATAAATAAGTAAGCGACTAATCCATTTCGTCGTCGAACCTATACAGAAATAGTTTCAATAGAATAGATTTCGCCGCTAATCCAATGTGCACTCGATGCGAATCGAATGTCGTCATATAATCCGAGAAGCGATTGATACGATTCGATATTCGTTTCCGAATGGGACCTTATCTTGTGAGGAGGGGGGGGGGTGTTCGAATTGTAAAACGCTTAGCAGAAGGCGCAAAAAGAAAAACCTGAAGGAAGGCTTTTAGGCGGCGGCGGCGGCGGCTCGCCGCGTGTGTCCGGCATTCGGAGCAAGATGGTTGTATTGTGTGTGTTTTTGTTTGTATTTCTCATTTCAATCAACTTATCTTTCATTGTGTCGTTGTCGAATTTCGGCTGATGGGAGGGGGGGGGTCCTACGCGACTGTATGTCTAACAGGACCACCACGATTATTTGCCTAATTATGTAATCGTGTGACCCAGAAGAGTCAACAACAACAACACCAGTTCAATGTGGTCCGCGTAAATCGACGCAACGAAATTAGAAGAGAAAAGCCAAATTTGGAAGCACAAACAAGTGTTTCGAAAAAAATCGAGACAATGCTAGGCAAGAGGGGAGGAAAAAAAATTATTGTTTGCTTGAAACATAACAAACAAGCTTGTCTCGGAGGCTGCCGCAAATAACCAAGAGGTCAGTGGCGGTCTGGCTAAACGCTTTTAAGGCGCGCGCCAATGGAATGAATGAAATGGTGGGCGTGGCGAAGTGGACAAAAAAAAACAAACCAACAACGCCATTTTTGGGGAGGGGGGAGAGCAGCGCGAGAGAGCAGTAAGAGCAAATTCGCGAAATTTTTACGAGGGGCGTGGCGCGAGTGCGGCGACCAATCGGCGAACGACAAGCGTTTTGCCTTTTTTTCTTCGCCCCGTTTTGTTTTCAGCGCTGGGGACCACCAGTACCGTAGGAGGCGAGCCGAAATGGTGTCGGGCGTGCTCACGCCAAAAAAATGAAAGAATGATGAATAATGGGTCGCACCACAGGTCGGGTACGAATTTCACACTGGGCACGAATTGGTAGAAGCGAAACAATGCGAAAATAATGGGAACGTGTCGAGTCATCGAGGGAGAGCTGGTATCAATGATGATGATGCACATAGGGGAGGGCGGCGAGCCAAAAAAGAGCTCGCGGTTGGTGCTATTTTTAAAATGCACAAAAATTTGTGATTTGCGCGCGAGCGCGACTCTTAAGAGCCATTCGCGCTAGCCCATAATTGGCTTGATGATTCTCCTGAGGTGTGTCTATGTGTGTGGGGAAGTCGGGAGGAAGGCGAGGGGCAGCGATTACGGTAGCAAGAAATTTCATTCCACTCGACTTCATCGTCTATTGTCTCCAATTAGCGCGTCTGATTTTCGTGGCCAACCATTTTGGCAAATTTCGCGCACCAAATCACAAATTGAAATGGCGAAATTGAAAGGGTCCCCCGGCTCTCTCCAGCACCACTCAAATTTTTTTTGCGTTAAGGTGGAGGACAAGAAATTCGAGCGAAAAAAAAATTAGGGGGGCAAGCGACGCGGTGAAATACGAGAGAGAGAGAGAGGTAGGGAGGGAGTTGCTAGTCCTCTTAAATCATGAATATTTTACATATTCCGAGTGTTTGCTGTGAGCGCCAATTAAAATCGTCGACGATGAGCGTCGTTCTCGTTGAATACCTAAAAACCCTTAGGGGGGAGGGGCCCGCATCAATGTCCGCGGATCGCCAACAAGGCACCCGGCAATTTGTCATGCGCAATATTCTATCAGATAGCGGAATGGTATCGGCGAGCCCGAACGCGATGATCATTATTTTTGGCCGGATTTCGATTCGCCTTCTCCTCGTATGCAAATGCTTCATTTCCGGCGCGCTCACGCACTGCAATTTATTCCAAACTACCGTAACCAGAAAGAAAAATCGAGAGAGAGAGAGAGAGAGAGAGAGAGCCACCCGAATTCAATTTTCATCGTCATCATGAGAAAGTCGATGCGAGAATGGGTGTGGAGAAAAAAAAAATAAGGGAGAAGCATCTTGCGCGGGCGCACCGCAACGAAAAAAAAAAAAGTGTCGATCATCTAGCATATCCGTCAAAAAGTCTCAAGTACTTTCTTTCGCCTAGTTGCTCATGGCTGCCTGTGCTCATCAGCGCGCTCGCCGCCGCGCAACAATTATTTCTCGCCTTGAAACGCGATGTGTAGATTTTTTTTTCTTCACTCGAAACACAGAAAAAAAAAAACGATGAGAGTTGATTTTTGGTGATTTCGAGGCCGGACAGGCTCTCGCCGCGATTCGTTCATTAAAAAAAATTCTTCCAAATGTTAGTTGATGAAGACAAAAAAAAGACATGATTTTTTTTTGAAATAAGTGGTCCGTAATGAATTTCACGTAAAATTGCACACAAAATCGCAAAAAATTGGATTTTTTTCACAAAAAAGTTAAGAATGTCAAGTCCGTAAAGACTTGCACGCAAAAATGCACACATTTTCAGTTTTAAAGATACAAATGGAATCTAGAAAATATTTGAGCAATTCCACTTTTCAAAAAATAATTTCGATGGAAAAATATGAAATCGTGAAAATTTCAAAATCTGTAAAGATTGGCACGCAAAATTGCACAAAATTTAAAGATTTTCGAATTTTCTCAGTTGAAAATTTTTGAACAACACGAAAAAAAAAAGTGAAAGCCAGAAACCTTTTGCCTACGGTAAATGACGAAGAAGGAAGCCATTGGAATTGAAATCAAATCGAATAAAATCAAGTTTTTTGAGAGACGGGCTTTAATGAAGCCCTTGGTCAAAAATAAAGAGCATCAAGTTTTTTTTCTCTCTCAAAGTGTCGACGCTCAGAAATCTCGACACCAGGCCGGAGGGGCCAAAAACATTTTTGTGAAATGAATGTCCACCCCCCCCCCCTCAATCACCGAATCATCAACTCACCGGCGAGTGTGTGTTTGTGTGCTCAGTTGTAGTAAAGTTACAAAAAGAAAAACGGGCAGCTTCAAAGCGAATGACCAATGCATTATTAAGGAGTTTGATTAAAACGAATAAAAAAAAAGAAGGGTGGGGGGGCATATTAAA